TTGTGTGTTCTCAGCGTGTGTTCTCAGCTGGGAAAAGAGTGCATCTGACAACCACCACCATCTTCCTGATTTGGTCCGTATGCTTAATCACTGAGCAAGGCTACTACTTGTTTAGGCTGTTGTTGTTGTTGTTGTTGAAAGATCGGTTAACGTCTGCTGACGGTCCAGAGCCGCACAGTTGAAGCGACCGAAGGGATCGACAAGATCTGCCCCCGCCAGTGTCCGGGTAGAAGCACTCCCGGCAGTAAAAACCAGGTAGTTGGGCTATCAGATCGCACCAAGAAGTCCAATCCTTGACCTATTCCCTCTCTTTTTTTTTCTCCACGGCTTTTTTCCTCCATCCCCATTTCCTTTTCGTAAGCACTTTTCCCCCCATCGGTTATCACCGTAAAGAATAAAAGTAAGGTGGTCCCTTGTCTGCGGCGTAAAGCACTTCATCCCCATGCTCACTTTGTAGTGTGTGTGCGTGTATCCGTACATGCATCCAATTCTGGGTTTCTCAACACAGATACTCCCCGCACCGAAGGGCTAATCATTTCTTAGGCCGGTCTTATGGGGGGGCATAATGGTGCACATCTTATGTAGATCATCCGCTGGGAAAATGCCTGTAACATGCATGGAGAATACTACGTCTAAGAAAGAAACACATACGATCCTTGCTCAGTATGAGCCTATAAGGCATACAAAGACAATTCACTAAGCAACTCGCGGTTTGCAGCGAATGCGTCTAGGGATTGCCTCCCAAAAGCACTTGAAGTGATTGTATGTATCTTTGGGGTTGTTGGTTAGTGAGTCGAGACCGTTCTCTTCGGCTTTGCCGCAAGCTTCACCTGGCTTGACCCCACCCCGTCCGTACCTGAGAAGTGGAGGTAGGGACTTGGAGACTGTGAGCTCGAAAATGAAGTGTGGTCCACTGTATGAAAGCCTCCGCGAAGTCAGGTCTATTCATACTGGAAAAGACCTCTGATACAAACAGTGAAGTTTGCAGTGCTGAGCATATTGATGTAGTTCACATAGGCTAACTTGAGTGATCGGCGCTGTAATTAATGACCCAGAATAGTAGATAATTGCTTCTTCGAAGATACTTTTTCTGCTGTGTTCAACAACGATCAAGCATTGTTACTCAGGTCCGTGTAACTCGCAGATTGGTGCATTCTCGTCAGTGGGAAGCACAATGACGATGCTGCGGTACAGTGATGATACTTTCAAATTCGTTATTTCTATGCATCATTTCCGACACCCTAGGGTCAGTCAGGTCCAGTCCCGTGCGCTACAGCAGTGGTATTACCAGTTTGGAAAGCTTTGTTGTTCCCATCCCTGAGCTGTCGTCGTTTTCCGGTGACCCGCCTCTGGCGAGACTCACAGCTGGCCTGGATTGTCGCTTATCCGAGTCGCTGATTCGCATGTTGCGACCCATGACCCCATAAGGCCAGGATTGACTCGCTGACGACTGTCGGCCTTTCACAGGCATGCCCCATAGATCTTGAGTCGTGGGCAAGGACAAGTAGTCGACGTTTGAGAGGTGCATTATCACGACCTCAAAGCCGTTGATAGATACATACTCAACCTCTTCATTGCCAACCGCCAGCCCTGGCGTCACTCTCCTGCAGGTGCGCAATTTGCAGCCGGACCCGCTAAGTGCCAACCGCGCGCTCCCTTACACCCTTTCACCTATGGTGGCTTGAGTTATCGCGTTGGGCAAACCACACAGGTGTGATGACATGCTTAATATCAAAACTCAGAGATTAATCAAAGCAGTGCCTGAGCCTTTGATCTAAAGCAACCGAATGTACTCTGTGCGAAATCTGGTACGGTAAGTAACGTATCAAGTAGGGGTCGAAGAGACACGGAATGGTGCTGTTCTTTTGCCCGTTAACTTATAGAGAAAGCCGATTGAACCGCCTTGCTGGAAACCCGAGTACACTGCAGGTGTCGTGCTCAAGCCGCTTACACAACCTCACGCAAGTCGTCCTCTCTCCGTCGATCGTACCACGCCTTTTGGGGACACCAAGTTGCAATACCCGATATAGACACCATAATCACTCGAATGCTACCAACGGCTAGTGTGCTCGGCTGTAGCACCATCCAGAGCTGTCAGCTTCACTCCAAGCACAGGGGTTTGCAGCGGACTCGGGTTGGTAGAGGATGACAATTGATGTCTTCGTTTATAGCACATGCGTGTAGCACTGTAGACGGACCAGCAGGATGGTAAAGGTTACATTGGCAGCTTGTATGCACTCCACTTTCTTCAGCTCCGGGCAGCAAAGGTGAATGTGAGTATCTAGACCGAGTCGGGACTCTATACCTGCAGCTCCTGTGCAGGGGTGGTAGAGGGATTGTCCGAGGCCTGCTGTGTCGTTCGTCGGCCAAGTCACTCCAGAATTTGAAGTGGTTCAGTTTTGGACTGAAGAAACTTTTTAGTTAGGCGAGTTGAACGGGCACAGGTTGTTTGGTGTGAACAACTTTCAGAGCAGGCTAACGAACAAGGCTGCAGAAGTGCAAGATCTCTCTGTTGGCGGAGGTTTGGTGTCTGTCAAGTATCGATGTTGGTGTGATATAATGATGTGGTCGCACAGCTAAAATGAGCTTATTATGTCGTCCGCCATGGCGGATATGGCAAAAGCTGGTGCTGCTCAAGACCCAGGCTACCAGGACGGTAGCTAGGCAGGCTGGCAGTCCATCATTTGTGCGCCGTAATGAATGACAAGAAGATCGCGAATCCAGGTCACACCGTCGCAGGGCATAGCCAGCTGGACCAATGCGGAGCGGGGGATACCCCAGCAGGTTGTGAAGAGTGAAGACAAAAAGCAAGCCAGAAAAAAGCAAGCTGCACTGCATCACCGTCTGCAATCTGCAGCAAGGCCCTTAAGGTGAAGGCCGATAACTAAAACGATCACCAAGAAGATGGTTGTAGGCTGGTGATGATGTGGCGAGCTGCGGGCTGTAAATGGAAAGCATAATCTGTTTTAGGACAGCCTCGCTCCTTCGGCAGGAAGTAGACCAATAGCTAAGGTAACGTTGGGGAAGGCACAGAGTATCTTGGGGTACCTTCCCGCAGTCGCCTACATCTCAGCTCGCTCTTAACCGCATGAAAGAAAGTCCAGGCCTACCACAACGGAGAGCTGATCGAGTGTGATTGGTTGACTACGCACCAGCAACTCCGGGCATCTGTATAGCACAATGCAAGCGCTAGGTCCTCACATTACAGGGGGGGTTGTTTGGCTTAGACCTGCCCTGCGATTGCACCGGTCAGAACTTGCCTTACATGCCTCTTTTTCACGATGTTGCCAAGTACCGCGTCGCCCAATTCAAAGGCTGCCCTCTCTAGTCATCTCGGGCCCGGAGTCAATTGACCATGCCGAATCCAGATAGATTTTCTCCTTCACTCTTTCGTGAGAATAGCCTCAGTTGGCCCAGCGTTGTCGTAAGGAGAGTTGCAATTGACTGCTAAGTAAGTCAGGTGGTTAGTTACATCTTGCAGCATCTGCTGTATGGATCAGCGTGGACATCAAACCGATGCTGATATAGCGGGGTATATCTGTGCTTCTTCTGGCAGGATCGCCTTTCCTTGACCTGGGCCCTCTACGCAATGCCATACGAGAATATGCGCATCACCACCCAACGTTGACATTGACAACGGTGAAAGGGTAATTCCAACGACAAGCACCAACAGCACTACCCGCCAATTGGCCGAACAAGGTCAAGGCACACAAATTTGGGCGCCGCCGCCCTGGGACCCGGCCTTACCAACCTGCATCAACCCCTCGAGCTAAGTACAGTACTGTACGGTACGAGATCTAGCTCGCTGCCTCCACTGTGGCAGCTTTTGCATCTGCTTGGAAGGCCAATCCCTTTCACAGTTCAACAAGAAGCGAATGCGGGACCCGCCGCCATATCCCGCCAGAACGGTGACTCTATCCTTGAGGCTTGAGCTAATACTGCTGCAGAGCAAAGGCTCCGAGGGAGACTTCCATTCGGAGGGATACATATAACTGTGGATCAGGCTTTGTGGACAGGGCGCCGCCACGACGGCAGCACAGGCCGGCGCGGAGCGCTCCCTCCTTCACGGTACACTTAGAGACCCTCGGCGCACGCCTAAAACAAAACTCTCGCGTAGCCTTGTCGTTGAGAAGGGTGGACAGGGGTTCAATGCAGGGATAGGTCGGTGGATGAGCCCTCAGTTTTTGGGGCCCGGGTCCTGAACCCAAAGTTGTTCTAGGTACCTGGCCAGAGCGCCGCACACAGACTTTCGCGTACCCGAACGCTGGTACCTTCAAGGCTCGAATGTACCTGGAGCCCCCTGCTTCTCTGCCCATGACGAGACGCTGTCTACCCGTACTGCCACCCAAGCTTCTCGCCGCAATGTGATCTCCTTCCCCGGTGCCCGATGTTGGGATCCAGGGGTCTGACTGATTGCCTCTCCTTGACCCCAGCTCCCTCGGGTATGAACCCACGACGCCATTTGGCAGAGTATCAGTCATGACGGGCCAGAACGACTGCTGGTGTTTCCAAGGGCCCCTCAGTCTATGTACAGCGCGTACAAGTCATTCCCTTCTTTTACCCTCGCACACCCCTCCGAATCTCCATCATTGCCTTCCCTTCCGACTAACAACCTCCTTCGTCTACTTCATCCTTAAGAGGGCAGTTTGACTGACTTTTGTCTCACCATTGCGGTACCCTTCTCGCTTGCCTGGATTACCTACCTTACTTCCAAAGCCACAGCTCTTCAAAAGACGACTTGATTCCGCTGCCTTGCTCTCAACTCTACATTGACAACATCCTCACTCTTTTTCTCTCTCTTTGTATTGTCTAATATCACTCTGACCAAGTCATTCTTTATTTCTTTGCTTGATAGAACATCGATTGCCATTCGTTCCATATCGAAAATTCTAAGTTCTGCTGGGTCTGGACCTAACTTACACGCGGGTCCGAATCCTCATTCCTATCATTACCACCACCTCGTCTTCAGCATTCCTCAACGGCGGTCCGTGATGGAGAACATGGGTTCATACCACCAACCGCAATGGTCTGGTTGGAGTTACCAAAACTCTGCCAGCCAGTACCCCAGATACTCTCAGCAGCTACCTAGCTATGCTGCCTACCTCCCTGAATCAATGGAGCTTTACAACGCTCATCAGGGTCACCTTCTACATCATCACCAAATGTCTAGAACAACTGAGACAAAGCCTCGACTCTCTAAAGAAGAGGTCGATATCCTCGAGGCTGAGTTCCAAAAGAACCACAAGCCTAACAGCACTACCAAGAAGGCATTGGCTGAGTCGATGAGGGTTGACAATGCCCGCATAAACGTTGGTTACATTTTGAACTCGATGATCATTATTTAGCTGGCTAACATGCTTATAGAACTGGTTCCAAAACCGACGAGCACGGGAGAAGAAGGAGAAGAACATTCGCGAGTATGCTGCCAAGCAAAGATTGGACAAAGACACAACTGCCGTCGATGGTATTATTCATTCAGACGTTGAAATCTTTTCTGAACGCGTCGTTTCCAGCGCTCCTTTTCCAGCTCCTCGCCTTCGCAACAATCGATCGACAGATGTGTCGAGCCCAGAGCATGAAAGCGAGAATGAAGCCAGCCAATCTGACTTTGGTGCTGGTTCATCTCCAAGCCTATCCAGCCAACCAACACCCGAGCCTCTATCCGCGTCTACCAATGCATCTTCGTCATGTTATGGTCAGTATCCTCAACTGATTGTTCCAAACGGGGAGGATGAGCCCACTCCTTCCCTACCCCAGCAGTGCTTCCCTCGACTATCCACATCGCCTATCCAGGAGCAGTACGTGTACTCTAGCAACAACCTCACTGTTGAACATACTGGTCAGTCTTCAATGTTGAAGCCTTCCCCCTCCATGGATATTGCCTCTCGCCGAAACAAACGCCCCCCTCAACTTGCGATCAACGCCTCTCGCAGTTACTCAGCAAGTGGTCCTAGGACCGGGATTGATGTGGGAAGAAGGGCAGACGTTGGACATTCCATGCGCCGTGTTGCTTCTGCTACTGGAATAGGCCGCATCAGCAAGCCCATGAGTGGTCCTCGAAGCCCGTACTTTGAGAGAAACCCCGAGGCTTTATTGCAACTCAACCGATCTCCCAACTTTGCGACGACAACAACAATTGCACCGCCGACACCCAACACACCTGTCGTTGTAAACCACCAAGCCTTGTGCGAGGCTACCCCAGCTAGCACAGTGGGGTATGAAGAGAAGTACCCAATGGACCTTGCTATTCACGACCCGACCCTTCGAACTCCGCCTACTACACCTGGTGTCATGGACCACTTATACAACAACGGATCTGTGTACCAAGTTGCCGTGTCTGACGAGCCTCTGGTAACACCAGGACTGGGACCCTACCCCAACGAGTTCGAGGTCCCTGGCGCATCAAACCAAGTTCCTAACTACCTTTCGCATGGAGGCTCTAGCCAACCCCAAACCCCATCATACGGTGCCGCAATGGGACCTAGCTACTTTGGCTTTGCTGGTGGCAATGCTGAGTACAACTGGTCTGATGACGCTTCAATATCAGCACACTCATCACCTGGACAGAACCAGCAGAATGTCAACTTTATGAACATGACACCCTCGAGCTTCACATACTCTGACAAATAATTGTCCTTCACATACCCCCAATCGCGTTACGACGCGTTGCTTTGCAGCAACCAATAGCAATTTTTAAAATATGTACATAAACAGCGTTTTCCTTCCTTTTCTTCATGGAGGATATGGCACAACATAGAAACAATCCCTTCTTACCAGCAGAAGATTGACAGCTGTCAATAATAGCGATCACTTTTCATTTCCGTTTTGTCACTTGTCTTTTCGGTACTTCATGAATGAACAAAATGACATCATACCCTAATGTAATGGGAGGACAGTACCTAACGGCGCTCAGGGGTACACAGGGAGCGGCGTTTATTTGAATGGAAGGTTACCTCCAGGGCGTAGGAGCCGAGTCATAATGACCAAGGAAAACATTATTGGGACAGACCAAGGGTCATGTTGGACAAAAGGATAGAATTCTCGGAGGATGTTGGAAAAAGGAGAAAAATATACTTGACTATACAAACCAATACACCCCTCAAAATTGAACATTTTACTCGTACAAACGTTATCGGATGGTTGCCAAAGTCGCTGCTTACCACAATGCTACCGTTAAAAAAAGAATACTATCTTGAAAATGCACATCGGGTCTAACCTTGTGAACCAGTCTCTTGGGTTGCATTTGACGATACCCAGGTACCGTGATGCCCTTGGTTCGTGAACACTCGAACCTAAAGACTTGAGGGTGGTGGCCCACATTCCTTTCCTGTCAACTGGTTGTCCCAAAACAGGACCAGATTGATTTTGCGTCGTCCACGCCCGTCCAGAAACCTTGTTCTTGACTCAAACGAGCAATGGAGGTGTCTTCACCCTCTTGTTTATACTTTTTTGGTCGTACAAGCCTACTGCATGAGCCCGAGAACCAGGTAACACTCCGGACGGGCCAGTCCGAGAAGAGGCTCCGGCGATCCGGGAATCTCGGGGATCTCGGGGACCCATACTCGGCAGAGTCAGGCCAATCAGAAATTACGGATGGATTATAGATCTTTGAACAAGGCCCCACATTGTGAACTGTACATTCCGGGATCTGTCCCAAGGCATTGGGTACAGGCGGGGGATCGACGCTGCAAGGGCTGGGGGCCTTCCCGTCCTGTGCAAATAAATCGATTGGATAATCATTGAGCGTGAGATGAGCGAAGGATGCAACATAATAACTGGAGCTCCTGAGGCTAGATTTTGCGTCAGACATCCTTTTTGGTATATATGCGGACATAGGGTAAGGTATGTCAGATAAAGACAAAAAGCCACCAGCAGTGTTTCTACGCATCCACAACTCGAGGACGGGCTTGAAAGCTTCAAAGGTGGTCAGCTTCAACAAGAAAGACAAACGACACAATTGATGGTGGCTTGCATATTAAACGCTCGCCCGTTTAGGAAAACATGTTTCTGAGGCTTGACGGTTTTCCTAACAAACCTAGGCAAGAACGGCTTCCGTTGCATGCAGCCTGGGCCCAACTAACGCAAGGAACAACGACTTTTGCCAAGTGTTTGTCTCTTTGTTCCTTGCAGTAATGCGTGGGTCGTGAATCAGCCAACCAGATCAGAGGCATTAGGAACGCCGTGGCTATAGAGTATTCACTAAGTAAGCAGACACCTGTCGTGGTTTGAGAAGTATTGGGAAGTACTCGATGAATGGTCAGATTATTACGTCAAGTTGACCATTTTGGACAGAGGTCTTGGTGCTAAACATTTAGTTTGAAGAGGTGGTCTAAGTGAGTGTCCATTGTCAGTTGCCTGTTGTAGCACACATCGTTGGTGACAGTCCTCGTATTATTTAGATCTTACAACCTCCGTACACTTGCGGATGAGTCTAATGCATCAGAATGACTCGTGGGGGGAAGTGAACTCGTCTCATGTTAGAATTGGTACATATTGAGAAACCTCACCATGTAGTAGCACTCTCCCGTTAAATGGACACCAACATCTGTGGTATTGGTAATAGGGTAAGTGTACTATTTCAAATGATATTTTATAACCGGAAACAAGCAGAGCTCACCAATAATCTGCTTTGATGATTAACGAAGCTAGGTGGATAGTTATGGCAAAGGACATCAAACAGACTAGTAAATTATGCTGGTGTTGCATTTAACTGCTTGTCTATGCAACGACAGACGAGGGATACTAACATCGTCGTTGATCCAAGCGATGGGTGTATCGGCGATGATGACGTTCTCTGTTTAAAATACCAGCCATTCGTATAATATAGTCCAAGGTATTGCCAGGACTCAGTAGCTCATCAGTAATATGTCGCGTTCCATTTGTATAGTATAGTGCACCCGTCATCGGCGTCTTGCTCCCTAAAGCGATCCATGACGTGAACAATCAGTACGAGACACGCTTAGAACGTGCATTCTTTGGTGAACAAATCGCGTAGTAATGATACATTCAAGTTGAATAGACGAATAACAAGAACAAATCAAATAAAAATAAAACGCAGTGAAAAATTCGATATTGACTGTGAAGCAAAAGTCGAGAAATCGCCCGGCCCTTATCGTGAAATGACAGGACTTACAGAGCCCTTCAGTGACTGCAATGGCCCAAGTTATGGACTACAACCAAGACGCGGTGCGACGCGACAGTGGACTCCATTGGTGCAGCCTGCCGAATACGTCAGATGGATGGACCTAAACAAACTCGGCTGACCGTTACCTGCTAGCTACCGCGCACGCGCCAACTCGTCCCTCACGTCGAAACCACTTTAACCCTCGTGAATTATATACATTTTGAGCACCAGAATAACAACAGCCTTCTTTTGCAACCTTGCAGTTATATCCTAACTCAATTCTTCTGTACCCGTACTTGAATATTATCAAATGGCTCTTGGCGTATGATCAATCCACCGTTTCCATGACCTCTACCGCCTTTGCTGGCACAGACGCGTCGCGTTCAGCGCGGTCAAGGATTTTGACGCCAAGTTCCGAGGGAAGCTCAAATCACAAAGATGAGCTGCGCTCGCCCGACAGACACAGGAGGAAGAGGGCAGATTCAGTTACTATGCAGCATCTCTTGAAGCCTTCAATTGCCGTCAAGGTTTGTGTTTGTGGGGTTCTCACTACCTCTCAATGCTGTAACTAATTCGTGATCGTAGCCGCACCCTCCGAAGCTTAACGTCCAACCTCGTATCCTCTACCCGTTGATGGTCCTCCCTCGCGAACACTTCCCGCTCTCCTGTATCGACTTCCACGCTACCAATATCGACCTTGCCTCATATCGATTTTTCGAGTCCCATGTGAAAATACTTGACTTGGAGAGCCGTATGGGCTCTGGCCCTGTAGTGCTTCTTGCTAGAAAGGAATCGAGTCGAGCCGTGTACGCCCTTGAACGGCAGGAAAATGGACTGTATGCTATATGCAGACTGGGCCCCTGGGTAGATCTAGATATTTTGGCAGGCCACGCATCTGCCGTATGTCAACAGCGTCTACACCCAGCTGTGAAGAGCGAGTCCCAAATGCAGAACGGCCCATCCGCTATTACCACACCACATATACGCAAGGAGGAGAAGACCAAAAGAGCCGCCATTGAAGCCATTCAATCTCTTGTTCGAAAAAGACCTAGGTCGCAGTCCGTCTCAACATTGGCCGAGTCCGTGAAGCAAGAGACAGTATCCGAAGCTGCTACTCCCACCGAAACAAAGCTTCCTTCACCAACACTCCAGCCAGAGGAGCTTGCGGCAAGCTTGGGCGAACTCCAGAACCAACCGTTACTCTCCACGATCTCGATCTCGACTCCCATGAATATAGATGAGCCCACTCAGCCACCAACTACAGAAGGAATATTTGATACTTTAAGAACCCAGTACTTTGATACGCTATATAAGTCTATGGTGAGGATTTCTATGTTCTTGGTTCTATTCGGCAACTAACCAGTACAGGGATCGCTCGCATACTTTGCTAAAGGACCACTCTCGCGCGCTCGTTCTACTTTCCAACTTGATCTCGAATCCAACCTGGACATAGGCGATCTTATCGAGCTTTTGAAGGGACTTGTTTTGACAACAGTGCAAATCGACAAGAAATATCGTGAGAGTATTCCCGGGCTCATTGCCCATTTGAAAACGGTGGTCGACAGTTCGGACGAAGGGCGCAAGAAAAAGCGTCGGGCAAGGAAGATGAAACTTGGCAAGGACGGACTCTATCCTCACGAAGAAACCCATATCAAAAAGTGGTGGCTCACCAATAAGCCTGAACTGAAGGACGATGAGACAGATGTGCCTACCCATCAGATCAGGTCTCTCACTTCTATGCTCCGCACAAGAGAGACCCAACTCCAGATGATCATCATATTGGAAATCCTTGCGCTGACTACGCTGAAACCTACTGATGAAGCCGAAGACAGCCAGCTCCCTCCGTTACCCGGTGTTGCCGAGTCTCAGGGTGACATGGCACCCCCTTCGGCCAAGAAGCGGAACAAACACAACCTTCCGGTTCTTGTTGATGTCCATGCCGATCGCCTGACCATCTGGCAATCCACTGCGTCTGATGAGCAGCTGCTAATGGAAGATTCCCAAGTCTCACAAGCTCCAGATGGTCAGTCTCAACAGAAGGCATCATCAGAACCTCTCAAAGACTTCTGTGTGGACATCATTGTGCCATTGTAAGTGTCGAAACCATATGTTGTATCTTACCGAAGGCTAACCAGCTTGACTAGCTTTTCGCATAGGCTTCCGGAGCTATGTGACTCGATTAATCGCAAATTAGGAGGACCAGTTATCGTGAAACCATCGAGGCCCAAGGCTCTGCGGCGCTCTTCAAGCAAACGTTCACCTAAGCCAGGTTCTGTAGCCAAACGTTCTGCATCAGGCCAGCCTCCAAGGACGTTGCAACGAGCGCTCTCAACAGAGCAACAATCGCGTCGTAGTGTTTCGAGAGGCCCTAGCAATATGATTGCTCTTATGCGCTCCGCCACGTCGACTTCTTTACCCGGAATCAAGCGGGAAGCAAGCGATCCAGCACTGGTCAAGTCGGTGCTGAATGCTGAGCCTGATCTGATGAACAGAAAGAACGGGCCATTATCCCGAAGCAGCAGTATTTCCAATCTCCAGGATTTGAGATCCAGCAAGAAGGTCCAAGTCGAAGCAGAGTTAAAGGAGGCTATATCTTCTTTGAGAAAGCCCAACCGTGAAGTTGTTGGCAAGGCACTGGCTGAAGCGGCGGAGCGCCGTGCCACTGTAACCCTCTCGGCAAAGAGTATGTATGCACAACAAGTCGAGCGGATCCTTTGGCTAACACAATGACTTAGAAGTGAGAAAGCCGGGCAGAAGCTCTTTAGGTGCATCGGTGGTGAAAGCAACACCAGCAAATGCTCGTTTCAAGGATATGTTCGCATCGAAACCTGACATAACCAATACGCCCATGATGAGTACTGAGGATGTTATTCCTCCTTCAAGTCTGCCGTCCACGGTTCCCTCCACGGGCTACCGTGGAACTCAGAGGAATATTTTCCGTCAGAGTCCAACTCCTGACTTTGAGAGGATTGGTAGTACGCCAACAAAGGTTGGAACGAGTTTCATTCGTCGGCCTGCAAACGATATAGATGTCTTGCCCTTTCCACCGTCCTCACCAATCGTAGAGCGAAGGACCGTTTCTGCCGCAGATCTGTTCAATCCTGGCGGCATAATGGACAGAAAAAGAAAAGTAAGTTTTGGCTCGTCTCGAGATGACGAGATCATGGCTACGCCTATGAAGGCTATCAAAACGAAGAATATAGTTGATATGGAGAACCTGAACATGGAGCCCGAGCCTCCAAAGCCGGTGTCAATCTATCAGAAGTTGGGATGGGACGACGACCTGGATGACCTGTTATGAGTTGCTTGTCGGAGCATTTACAGCGGTGTTATTATGAGGGACATGCATTATGTGCAGCAGGAGTTATACCATTATTAGAGGGCGTTGGGAATATTGTAATAATATTGTATCCACAACGATATTTGAGATACGACACATGGTACAATTAATATGATGAGTTATCTAACAAGATTTTATGCCGCCGCTGGCTCTACTATCATAGTGGGCAGATCTCTAATGTCGACGTGTTCCTGTGATCCCAGGTCGACTACACGCATCGCCTCCAAACCTACAACGCCTTCTTGCAGCGCCAGGAATTGAAGCTCGACTACGTGGCAGGCTCCTGCTGCGAGAGGACCAACACGAGTGTCGGCGCTCAAGCATACAACATCAGTAGACTCAACGGAAGAATTCTTCTGCAAGGCGTGGAGCACGTTCTCGTCAGTGACCGCATCAGCAATATCCTTTTCGCCTCGCCTTCGACCTCCAACCGAAGGCGGCCGTGTCATGCGGACCTCGCCTCGCCTTCGTTTAGGGATTGCAACCAGTGCAAGCTTCCGTGCAGGCGCTGAGGCCTTGTCCGTAGCGCGATTAACTATGTAGACAGTCCAGGAAAAGACTTGACCTGGATGAACAGGCTCGGATGGACCTGTGAAGGTCATGGTAATACCCAGTTCCGTGACGGACGCCTCTGTATTGCTTGTGGCAGCCTCAAGGCTGGGGAGGGCATCTGGACGACTGATGGATGGTGATATAAGAGGATGCACGGCCTGACCAGTAATGGAGAGCTGGGACGGACGATGGGCGCGGACGATGCCAGTCCCAGCGGTTGCCGAGCCGTAGCCTGGATTGACCGGAAGGGTAAAGTCAAGTTGTGTTGTCCATGACATGGCCATACCAGGCATGCAACGGCCAGGAATAATCTGAGCGGTGGCAGAGATCTTGATGTCGAGTTCTCGCATGGGATTCTTGACCGTAACGTCATGCTCGCGGGGAGCAATGCGGTAGAGGAACGTGACGTGGTCGTGAGATACGCATGTGAGAGGCAGTTCCATGGCCGCATCGTTGTTGAGGTTTTCAACGGTGGCATCAAGGATCGAAAGGTCGATCTGGTCTAACGAAACCTCGCATTCGAAATGAGACGTAAAGTCAACTTCGAGCAGGGCAATTACAGCTGAGCTGGTTGGCGCCGTAGTCGGCCTCGAGAAACGGATTCTTGTGTGAGCAATGGGAAAGATTTTGTGCTCAACTTGTGGCAAGGCACGTATGTGCTTTGTCACGTCTTGTGAGCGCGTGACGGGCGTCACTCTCGATACACGTAGTGCAGATAGTCGCGGCTTCACTCCGCCGAGTGCAGCGTCACTACCGAAGGACTCGAGCAGGTTGAAGCCAGAAGGGACTCCGCTCTGAAGGTAACCGCTCCCCTTCCCTATCAAATCAGTTGAAACTTCGGGTTTGAGGCTTGCAGATGCGGTGAAGATGATGGTAGGTGAGGAAATCCGTGAACGAGGTCGACTCAAAAAGACGGGCAATTTCCAAGCAGCAAATACACTCTGACTTTTTTCCTCATCGTCACTTTCTTCTTCTTCGTCGTCTTCGTCTTCTTCGTCTTCTCCATCGACAATGATGAAAGGGTCATCAATATCTGGAACTGTGCCTGAGAAGACGGTCTCTGAGGTGGAATTCTCCTTGCCATGTGTTTTGCTGTTGACTATCTGGGCCTCGACTGATATCACTAGCCGATTGAGGTGAGTACGAAGAGATGCTTCATCTTTCCAAGGGCTCTTGAGCAATAAAAGAACATTGACCGTTTCATCTGACCCATGTTAGTGATAAAAAAAAGTGCGTATAAGGGCTGGTGAGACGCTTACCAAAGAACAATGCATCCCGACGCTTGATCGAATCGAGTATTGACTTTCCAGGCTCAACATCCTTGAAAGCTGATTCCAGGTCCAGGTTTGTATCTTCCGGTATAAGATAGGATAAGTGCGATTGTTCTGCGAATTCAGTCGTGGGATCGGTAATGAAAAGGCCCCTCTTGAGTTGAGTGAGAGATGGCTCAGGCTGCATAGACTCTTGGTCTGAGGCTGTCCCAGAGTCTGACATATTAAAAGTTTAAATGGATACTTTTCGCTAAAGAGATGGTGGTTTAGAACTGGAAAGAGGACTCCCAAATCGCGTGTTATTCTTTTTCTTGTCTTTTCTTTTGTTTGTTAGATTAGCCGTGTAAGTCGGAATGCAGCTCATGCCCCTTAGCGACGTGGTCCCTCTGCAGATCGATGTTGCAGGAGCATTAGGTAATCAACCATGGGTGGCTGTCGCGACAGGTTGGGGTCCGTGCGCAAAAAGTTGGTGGCGCCGAAATCGACAAACAAGCATCTCCGCGTTGTGACAACTTGACCCTTCTTCAACACCATTGACGACTTCTATCACCACTTCAAAGCCTGACGCGGCTCTATCTTGGTTGAATTTTGTCGCGTATCTTCTCTGCATACGGAGATAGTATTACTTACGATGAACGGCTTCGGCTCTCCGTATGGCCAGCCAGCTTCGGCATGGCAGGAGCACCATACCCCCGATGGACGAGCATACTATTATAATCCAACTACCAAGGCTACGCAATGGACGAAGCCAGAAGAGATGATGGGTTCAGCCGAGGTCAGTGTCTTTCGTTCTTGAATTGATGTAGATCTAGACGCTAACATATGCACAACAGCGCGCCCTTGCTAACCAGCCCTGGAAGGAATACACTGCAGAGGGAGGCCGGAAGTACTGGTATAACACTGAGACGAAACAGAGCTCTTGGGAGATGCCCGATGCTTACAAAGCCGCCCTCGGCGCAACGAGCCAGCCTGCGACTCCTGCTGCTGCAACTCCTTATACACCCCCCGCGAGCGCTGGTGGTTACTCTCATGGTTACGACCAGCATCGCGATCGGCGAGATCAGCGAGATGAGCGCGACACATATCCTGAATCTCGACAAATCACGTATGGAAACGACCCCAAGGTTCAGGCTTTTGTGCCTGCGACGAACGACCCTGAATACGCCACCGCTGAAGAGGCCGAAGCTGCCTTTGCCAAGCTCCTTCGACGAAGTGGAGTCCAGCCAGACTGGACCTGGGAGCAGACGATTCGAGCAACTGCGCGAGATCCCCAATTCCGTGCCATCAAGGATCCCAAGGATCGCAGGGCCGCTTTTGATAAGTATTGCCAGGATGTGGTTGTCCAGGACAAGGAACGGGCTAAGGAGAGGCTGGCTAAACTCCGTGCTGACTTTGAGACCATGCTCAAGAGGCATCCCGAGATCACCCATTACACTCGTTGGAAAACCGCGCGCCCCATCATCGAAGGTGAAACTATCTTCCGCTCTACTAACAACGAGGGTGAACGCCGCCAACTCTTCGAGGAGTACATTATCGGCCTCAAGAAGGCACACGCTGAGCAGCAGACATCTCTTCGGAAGAACGCTATGGATGGTCTCCTTGATTTGCTTCCCAAGCTCAACTTGGAGCCTTACACTCGATGGGCCGATGCTCAAGGTATCATTTCATCCACCCCACCTTTCCAGAATGACGAAAAGTACCAGGCTCTCACCAAGTTTGACATTTTGACTGCTTTCCAAAATCACATGAAAGCTCTGGAACGCAGGTTCAATGACACGAAGCAAGAGGAGAAGAACAAGAAATTCCGTAAAGAACGCAAGGCACGCGATGCTTTCATCTCTCTCCTCAACGAACTTCGTCGCAACGGCAAAATCAATGCTGGAACGAAATGGAGCCAGATTGTTCCTACAATCGAGAATGACAACCGTTATACCGATGCTGCCGGCCAAAGTGGCTCGACTCCTCATGAGCTTTTCTGGGACATTATCGAGGAGGAGGAACGTGGTCTCCGAGGGCCTAGGAACGACGTTTTGGATGTTCTTGAAGTAAGTTTTTGGCATACCGTAAGACATGCGCAATTGATTACTAACAGTTCACAGGACAAGCGGTTTGATCTCACGCCTACCAGTGATTTTGAAGAGTTCCTCTCTATCATGAAGGATGACCGACGAACTGCTAACACTGATCCGGAGATTCTCAAACTCGTATTTGATCGAGTAAGTTGACCTAATCTTGTTTAATTATTGTTCTCCTGTACTAATACCATGGCCAGCTTCGCGAAAAGCGCTCGTCTAGACGGGACGACGATCGAGACCGACAATCTGAACGCCAGCAACGCAGAGCTGTTGACGATTTACGCGCATGTATGAAGCGCATGGAGCCTCCTATCGCTCTGAATGATACATATGACAAGGTACGACCTCGACTCTTGAAATCAGACGAGTTCCAGGCCATCGCGTCCGAAGATGCTCGACGAAACGCTTTCGACAAGCACATCCGTCGACTGCGAGAAAAGGAAGACGAAGCAGACAGAAGCTACAAACGACGTGATCGCATGTCTAGCGAAAGAGACTTACATCGCCGTGAGCGGGAGCGATCAAGAGGTGAGCGTTCTCATCGTAGCGGTGGACGTGGTTCTCGAAGAAGTCGCAGTCCCGAGCCAGATGCATACGAAGCGGATCGACGCAAAGCTATCGCCGAGCGAGAGCGTAATCACCGAAAGTCCACAATGGCAGAGGGTCTCCTGGGATCAGAGCGTAGCCGTCCATCGCCACCGCCGCCTCGTCGCGAGCGAGAGCGAGAACGTGATCGCGACCGTGAGAGGGACTATGATCGTCCTCGCTCGCGTCGCGACGACGATAGCCACTACGACCGTGATCGAAGAGACCGGGAAGACGAACGCGAGAGATTGTATCGCCGCCGCGTCGATCGAGGTTCTCATGATGAGCTCAATTATGGAGACGAGCGTCCATCTGGTTCTCGACGCCGCCGTCCGGATGACGAAGATGAATTCGCTCGTCGCGAATCACGGGACGCCAAGGTACGAAAGATCATAAATTGATTTTGATTACGCAACATGGCTAACAAGTTGTTACAGAGGGTCAAGAGAGAGCGTTCTCGAGAGCGTTCGCCCCCTCGCGTCGAAGAACGTCCTCGTAAGAAAACCCCCCCACCTACTACCAAGGATGTTCACTCCGGCAGCGAAGAGGGTGAGATAGAGGAGGATTAGGGTTGAGTCACTTGAATCTCTGCCCCTGCTTGAAGCAAACAGCACAGCTGCACTCTTTCTCAGTACGTACTGGCATTGTCAAATCCCCTGACAACGTCTGTTCGGCGAGATGACTCTCGAGTACAGACTTGCGGCTCTTGGTCGCCATGACCGCTCCGTGCCGCAGCGGTAGGAAAAGATGGCGACCACGTTACTCGTCCCAAGCACAATTATCTGGCCAGTATGTCTATCTCCTATTTCTTATCCTAGTCTAGTTTTTTTGTGAGCTTTTACGTGAGACAATAGTTGCGGAGTTGTCCAAAAATGGCTGTAGAAATATGAAAATAAAAGGTCTCTCGCTAGATAGTAAACTTATGGACCACATTTTAATCGAATAATTTTCTTGGACGATCCAATGTCTTTTTTTGTGATTGAAAATCTTGCAAACTAACTGACAGCCATCACCTATTGTGAAGGTTGTTTCCCGCGAGGTAGGAAACGTTTTTTGTTTTGACGGCAGAGATCCTGCTAGATCCATTGTCCCTCAATCTACGAAGCAGTCTGGTTTCATTTCTCCGAAGAACTCGAAAACTAGAAAAGATGTCAAGAGCTCATGCGAAAATAAAACAAAGAAAAGACAAACTTGAAACTGGATGGCTTCGTAGGACCAGACAACAGGAGATACTCTGCCGTCGCCGTCGTTATCCATCTGGATCGTCGTCCTCGCCGGCGCTGCGGTCATCATCTATTCCCAAGACACGCTGCCTTTGCCCATTTCCATTTTGAACGCCCCAAACGCCAGGAGATGCACCATCAAGGGAAGGAAAGGCCTCGTTATAGGCGCCTTTAGCTCTTTTCAGCAGGGTTCTCTTCCAAGAAGAACTGTACAAAATATGTTAGCAAGTGGTTACCTGGCGGAATATTAATGGACAGTAAACTTACGAAGTTGCCGCTCATCTTCTGCTCTTGGTCGAGCTGAGATCCGTTCTTGTTGATACGGGGGCGGTAGTTGGTAGGGTCACGACGGAAGGTAACGTCAAGGTTCTTCAAGAAGGCGTTGCAGCCAGTGAGGAGGGACTGAGGCTGGTTGGCATGGGCGTCGATACCGGGCTGTCCGTCGAAGACAATAACACGATCGGCAAGGTAGGTGGCCATGATGAAATCGTGCTCGACAATGAAAGCAGTCTTCTTGGAGTGCATGATGAATCGCTTGATGACTCGAGAGGCAATGATACGCTGCTCGGAATCAAGGTAGGCAGAGGGCTCGTCAATAAGGTAGATATCGGCAGGGATACCGAGAGCAAGGACAATGGCAACACGCTGCAATTCACCACCGGATAGATTCTTGACTTCCTGGTCGATGAAGTCCTCGAGCTTGAGAGGCTTGACAACATCGGTTTGGAATTGAGGAGACAGGAAGGCTTGCTTGATCTTCTTGAAGAACAGCTGGCGAACAGTGCCCTCGAACTTGGGAGTGATGGTCTGGGGCTTCATGCTGATTCGCATCTCAGGAACGTTGCTCTTGCTATCGGGCTTGAGGGCTCCGGCCAGGAGTCGACAGAAGGTGGTCTTTCCGGTACCGTTCTCTCCCATCATGACGATGATCTCGGAATCGGTAAAGTCACCGGCATCTATGTTAAGCTTGAAGTTGCCGAGTGTCTTCTCCATCTTGGGGTAAGTGAAAGCACGAGACTTATCGATGGCAAATTCTTCGGTGGTTTCCGCAATACGGAAGGTCAAGGACTCATCACGGAATCGCAGGTTCTCGGTGGGGATGTGACCGTCGAGGAAGATGTTGATACCCTCACGGACGGAGTGGGGCAGAGTCACAACACCATAGACGGCGGGTCTACCGTAGAGAACACAGATGTAGTCGGAAAGATAGTCGAGAACAGACAGATCGTGCTCGACGACGATAATGTAGTCATTATCACGGAGGAGAGAACGAATGATCATAGCAGCGCTCAGACGCTGCTTGACATCGAGATACGAAGAAGGCTCGTCGAACATGTAGACATCAGCCTGTTGAACGGCAACAGTACCGATGGCGAAACGCTGAAGCTCACCACCAGATAGGAGGTTAATGTCTCGGTCCATGATGTGGTTAAGTTCGAGAACGTTGGCGACCTGCTCGGTGTTTCCAAGGGTAGCTCGGCTTTCGATAAGGAACCGGACGCTCTTGTTGGGTCCCTTGACGGCCCTGGGGATCTGGTCTACGTACTGAGGCTTGACCACGGCCTTAAGGTCATCTTCCAAAAGCTTGGTGAAGTAGTCTATTTCCATGTCAGTATAAGCCCAGCTTCTCATCAGCTTACGAGAAGCTACGTACTCTGAAGCTCAGAACCACGGAAGTACTTAATGACATCCTCCCAGTCAGGAGGGTTATCGTGTCGACCCAGGTTGGGCTTAAGCTTTCCACTCAGGATCTTGAGGGCGGTACTCTTTCCGATACCGTTGGTTCCAACGAGACCCAGAACCTGACCCGGTCGAGGCATGGGAAGTCGGTGCAGCTTGAAACTGTTGGGGCCATATCGGTGGGTGACCTGGCTCTCGAGGTTGGTGGGCAGGTTGATGATGGTAATGGCGTCGAAGGGGCACTTCTTGGGGCAGATACCACAACCGATACAGAGAGACTCGGAGATGAAGGCCAGCTTAGAGTCACCTTGGACCTCGATACAGAGCTTTCCACTGCGCACGACGGGGCACGACTTTTTGCACTCTTGACGACATTTTCGCGGGCGACACTAAAAGGAGGGGTTAGAAAATGTTTGGCGGGGCATGTGGTGATGCTGATGCAGATGCGGATGCTATGCTATCGCTGGAAGACGGACCTTGTCGCTGTTGACGATGGCGATACTATTGAACTCGTATTAGCCCGGTTTTCCTCTCTTTCTGTGTTGTTTTGTATCCACGTTTCGCACCGACATACCGGGTGAGCTTGTCCGACATTGTTGCGATGGTACAGCAAAGGTTGCTTCAAAGGCGGTTTTGGTGGGGTAAAATTTTCGATTCGTGGGAAAAAGGAAGAGAGGCAAAAGTCGACGTCGGAGGGATCTCGCGCGCGCAAGATATAATGACACGCAGGCGCTTGTCGAGGCTCTTTTCGAGGAACAAATGCACGGTAAGAGAGAATAAAGGGAGGGAAGAAAACCAAAAGACCAGGTAAAAAGAAGTTCCAAGGTTGGGCCCGGGTTGTTAGGATTGTGCGGGTGGTAATCCAATTTTCAGGCCCTGTCATAGGTTTGGCGGGGGGCTGTGGACCTACCTAAACCGAATGGTGCCCGTTTCGAGTAAACTGCAGTTTAAATGTGACCTTGGCTTCTTTGGCTTTGCATGACGTTGTTGCTACGGCTATTCGAGTGATATAATGAGTTTATTTTTGGAAAATATTCATGGAGATCAGCCATAGGCTTTCCAGGACAAAGACTTTGTCATATCCCATATTGACGTTACTCGAATATTGTACATAAAGAGATCGCCGATTCACCCGCTAAGTGAGTGGGACTGTCAATACACTGACCTTCCTGGCAGTCGATATTGCCGACTTCAGGTTGTGGTTTAATTTAACTACTAACTACGTGGTAGGGCTCTGCCATCCTCTCATTTAGTCGAAGTACGATTTTGTCACTGATCTTCCCTCTTCTTGGCGACTTAGGTATCCCATAAATTATGAGCTCAACCCATTCTACCAATATCATTCACAAGAACAAGCCAGGCCTAGATATAGTATATTGAATGTCAGCTTATTGTTAGTAGTATAAACGCGACGCGTGATACTGGAAATCATAACTTAGCAATGACATTAGCTCCTAAATTGAACAATGAATACCAATCCCATGTTTTGCTAAAAAAAAACTAAAAAAAACTGTGTAGGATAGTTAACAACACTATATGTGACTTGGCTAGGGTGGATGTTGGTTTGGTAAATCCATTGCAGATGGTCGTCTACATCATGATATGAATATACGGCTAGTAAAGAACAGCTGACTCTAATTCCTGGGGTTCACTAGGGAACTTTTAGCTGCCTTAAATTATTATAGGGGTTAGAGAAAATGGACAGTCTAGAAACACCTTAAGTGCGTATGGTAAGAGATAAAACATTCAAACCAAGCCACTTCAAGGCAGTTACCACTCAAACAATGGAACAATGGAATAAAAGAAAAATAGCTGGCTTCCTTCTCGTGTTTAGGGTAGTGGCGCTAGTATGTCGTGTTGATTGGCCAGCTATACCTGATCCCAAAACAGAATAGGCCGCCCCAAGAAAGTTGAGATGTATGTATGCGTTTTCAACCTCAAGAAGCAGATTATCTCCTCAATAGTAGACATTTGGGAATAAACTCTAGATAATCACTCAAGAAAACTTCGAGTTTAACTTTTTTATTGTCTCACACAAGTACACAAATCCTCCGCCACTTCAACAGCAGTCAATTAGAAGTTGATTGAAAGTCAGAGTCACGTGACTCAGATCCACCCTCTCAGATTCAGTGCTCTCACCCCCCGTGCAATCAATCCAAATCTTCAGGTTCCTGCCTCTCCACCAAATCGATTCTCCCGTCCCTACCCACGTCACCGGGCCCCCGACACCCCCAAACACATCCCAACAGGCCGCTGATATTATCTACATGTTGGCTTCCGTCTGTATGTTATACTTTAATGACTTGTGAGTTTCTCCTAGCCTTCCTGCCCCTTCCAGTCTCTACCGCGCTTCTGGCTTGCTGGCCCATCGCCTATCGTCGATCCCGCCTCGGCCTCGGCCTTGCCTGTCGCGATATTGCTTCTGTAAGAGCCTTGTCTATGGTATAATCTGATGGAAGCTGATGGATTCGATGCTACACGCTCATCTGGATGCTCCTGAAATCCTACACACCGCATCCGAGTTGCCTGGCTCTTCCAATTGCGAGATCGGGGTTTCCATCAGCCTTGCCATCGACAACTTACACGGGATGCGACAAGTGACCCATCTCTACTGTTCTCTCCGTTATTCGACCTCACTGAGGTTGTTTATGGGTCGCCAGATTCGCGTCATTCCGATAATCCCTCAACCGCACACGTCAGACCAGAGCATCAACTAATATCGTCGCGTCTTTAATAGATAGTCCCCATCATCACCAGCATGATGTCCACCCCTACTTTGGGGGGTCCTTCCAATGGACATTTGTCGCCAAGCGATGGAATTAGCATGTCGTTCGATACAGGAGACCAAGTAACAGATAGCGACTCTCACGATGTCCCCGATCACACTTTCGATCAACCATCACCGGCATCCTCAGATGATGCGAACCACGACTCCCACATAGCTCAGGACGATACACACCAATCGGCGAGCGAGCAGTCCAGCGATGACAATGCGTCTGACGACGGAGACTTCGATATGGAAGAAAGCCTCCCATCTCAGAACGAGGACGCGGCAGAAGACCACGCCAGTTCTACCGACTCAAATCAAACCTCTAAGCGCAAGGCTCCCGTCGAGGAGGACGAGTTCATCAAGGCCAATCCAGAGCTATATGGATTGAGAAGAAGTGTACGTTGTGAAAAATTCTCACCTAGTACCTGTTCTTACTTGCTGACCATAATGTAGACGCGACCTCGCGAACAACGAAAAATTGTAGGTCATCATCTCAGGCCGGCGCTGAATGTTCAATTAACCCATTGCCACAGGTTGAGTCTGATGACTCTGACTCAGAACCCCCTGTCAATCGTCGTTCAGTAAAACGACGACGCGTGGAAACGTCCCGTCCTTGTAAGTTCTTGAATGGTCCTTGGCCTTTATCACAAGGCTGCCTATCTCCGTCAGTGTCTAACATGACCGTCTCAGCTTCAAAGATTGGTACTCCGACGTTACGCGCCTCGACCGCCGACTCCGACTCCGATTCAGACAACTATGGTGGCGCTCGTGCAAAGACTCTTCAGAAGAAGGCTCGAATGCAACGTGAAGCACAGCCAGGACTTGTCTTTGCTGAAAAGCGTTGGTCGAGTCGTCGCGCTGCACAGGTACAGCAAGGTGCCTACGAAGAAAGCGATGTCGATGAAGAAGACGAAGACGAAGATGAATTGGCTCTTGCTTCTTACAACGTCGACTATGTTGACGACTCGCCATACGTCGAAAAAGTAGTCCGACATCGGCTCAAAGACGGTCTGGAATTATCATACGATGCTAATAAGAACGACTTCGAGTACTACATCAAATGGCAGAACAAGTCACACTTGCACGATACATGGGAAAACTTTGATGACATTCGAGGTTACCGTGGCTTTCGCAGAGTTGAAAACTACTTTAAGAAACTTGTCAACTATGAGCTGGACATCCGTTTTGGCACCGACGTTCCTCCCGAAACCAAGGAGCAGTTCTTCCTCGATCGCGAGCGAGACGAGGAGGCCTTCGAGGACTACACAAAGGTGGAGCGAGTCGTAGCTGTACGAGATGGCGACGATAGCCCTGAGTACCTCGTCAAGTGGAAGGGTCTCACCTACGAGGAATGTACGTGGGAGCTCGCGTCAGACATCAGCGACGCGTTTCAAGACCAGATTGATCAGTATCTCGACCGAGCGTCCCGTTCGTGGCAGTCAGACCGAAAAGAGACAAACCTCGACACGCGATCACGGATGGTGAAGCTCGAGGAGCAACCCGAATTCATAAAGAATGGCGAGCTTCGAAACTTCCAGCTTAGAGGCCTCAACTTCCTCTGCCTGAATTGGACCAAAGGTAACAACGTGATCCTTGCCGATGAAATGGGTCTCGGAAAAACAGTCCAAACTGTATCTTTTCTCAGCTGGCTTCGCAACGCTCGCCAGCAGGAGGGACCATCTCTTGTGGTTGCTCCCCTTAGTGTCATCCCTGCTTGGTGCGACACCTTCAACCATTGGTCTCCCGATCTCAACTACGTTGTCTATCTGGGACCTGAGGATGCCCGCAACATCATTCGTGAACACGAATTACTCGTTGATGGTAACCCCAAGAAGCCCAAGTTCAACATTCTGGTCACTTCATATGAGTTCATTCTCCAGGACTGGCAGTTCCTACAGTCCATTAAGTGGCAAACTCTCGCTGTTGATGAGGCCCACCGTCTCAAGAACCGTGAATCGCAGCTATACAACCGCCTTGTGAGCTTTGGTATTCCCTGCAAGGTGCTGATCACAGGAACACCTATCCAGAACAATCTGGCTGAGTTGTCTGCTCTCCTTGACTTCCTAAACCCTGGCAAGGTTGATATTGATGAAGACCTGGATTCTCTTTCAGCCCACGACGCGCAGGAGAAACTCCAACTACTTCACAAATCTATTGCCCCATACATTCTCCGAAGAACCAAAGAGACTGTCGAATCAGACTTGCCACCGAAAACAGAAAAGATCATTCGTGTTGAGCTTTCGGATGTTCAGTTGGACTACTACAAGAACATCCTGACCCGCAACTACACGGCTCTCTGCGATGCAACCAATGGGCACAAGAACTCGCTCCTCAATATCATGATGGAGTTGAAAAAGATCAGTAACCATCCTTATATGTTCCCAGGAGCTGAGGAGAAGGTTCTGGCCGGCAGTGTGCGTCGCGAAGACCAGATCAAGGGTTTGATTACAAGCAGTGGAAAGATGATGTTGTTGGATCAGCTTCTATCAAAGCTGAAAAAGGATGGTCATCGAGTTCTGATCTTCAGTCAAATGGTGAAGATGCTCGACATCCTTGGCGATTACTGCTCCTTGCGAGGTTACAAGTTCCAGCGACTAGACGGTACTATTGCAGCTGGTCCCAGACGTATGGCCATCAATCATTTCAATGCTGACGACAGCGACGACTTCTGTTTCTTGCTTTCTACTCGAGCAGGTGGTCTAGGTATCAACCTGATGACTGCGGACACTGTCGTCATCTTTGATTCCGATTGGAACCCGCAAGCTGACTTGCAGGCTATGGCTCGTGCGCATCGTATCGGCCAGAAGCGACCTGTCAACATTTACCGTCTGGTATCCAAGGAGACTGTTGAGGAGGAGGTCCTTGAGCGAGCTCGCAACAAGCTTCTGCTTGAGTATCTTACCATCCAGGCTGGTGTAACCGACGATGGTAAGGCGGCATTTAAGGAAGAACTGAACAAGAAAGGCCTTAGAGTTGAGGGCCCCTCCTCATCTGAGGATATTCAGATGGTGCTCAAAATGCGTTCTTCCAAGATGTTTGAGCAGAGTGGCAACCAAGAGCGTCTCGAACAGCTTGATATTGACTCGATCCTTGAGAATGCTGAAATCACCAAGACCAAGGTTGACGACAAGATTAATCTCAGCACTGGTGGCATTGACTGGGACAACTTCATGCAAATCACCGACGTCAAAGTCGATGACATCAATCTTGATTGGGATCAGATTATTCCTGCTGATAAGATCGCTGAGATTAAAGCTGAGGAGGAAAAGAAGCAACATGAAGCCTATGTTGCCAAGGTAGCAGCCGAGAGCGCACCGCGAAGAGCCGCTGTCAAGAGTCGTAACAGAGAGGAGACTGATCGCACTGACCGTTTTAAGAAGCGTCAGAAGGAGCAGCGAGACAAGGAGGACGACGACCGTCGAACGTTGCTGGCAGATCCGAAGCGACCCTTGACTGACAAGGAACAGCGGGGGCTCATCAAGGCGTACTTCAGATACGGATCTATGGACGATCGTGGCGAGGAGATCATCAAAGACGCCAAACTGAAAGAGAGAGATAGAGACTACGTGAAGTCTGTTCTCGATGAGTTTATCAAAGCTGCTAGTGAAGCTGTTGATGACAATTACGCACAGATGGTTGAGGAAGAGAAGAGACTTGGAAAGAGCCTCACCAAGAAGGATCGCAAGGCGGTATTGATTGATTTTGGCGACCTCAAGAAGGTGAATGCCGAGACAGCCATTGAGCGGCCCAAGCAGCTTCAGCTTCTTCGACAAGCCATCCGCAGTCACAGTGACTGGCACGCGTTCCGTCTTCCTGATGCGACAAAGGCTGCAAGCTATTCGTGCGCTTGGGGCGCCAAGGAAGATGCCATGCTCTTGGTTGGCATCGACAGACATGGCTTTGGTGCTTGGCCGCAGATCCGTGATGACCCCGATCTGGATATGACGGACAAACTCTTCCTTGAAGAGCATCGTGTCGAGAAGAAGGAGGAGCGCAGTAAGGGCAACGACAAGATGAAAGCCCCTGGCGCTGTGCACCTCGTCCGCCGCTCAGAGTATCTGCTCTCTGTCCTGCAGGCTAAGCATTCAAATGATCGAGGTGTGCAACGACTTGTGGAAAACCACCATCGCAACAACAAGAAGAGCCTGGCGAATGGACATCGTGGAAGTGCAACAGCATCCCCCGCCCCACACAACGGCAAGAAGCCCCGCGACCGCGACAGAGAAAACCTTCATAGCGACCTCCACCGATCCCGTGGACATGGCGACGAGCGCGGTACCCCACGACCTGACTATAAGCGGAAGCACATGTCACATGAGGACAGCCGCAGTCCCAAGCACCGCCGTATCGAGGAACATCGTCGATCCAGCAAGCATGGAGAGGATAGAGATAGGTCAGAGAAGCGCCGCCATCGGGATGATGAAGATCGTCGTGATGAACGCCGAGATGACCGCCGACACGACAAGCATCGCCTTAGCCATCGCGACGATCGCCGGGATGACCGACGAGATGACCGTCGTGATAGTCGTCGTGGTGATGACCGTCGAGATGATCGCCGTGATGATCGCCGTGATGACCGTCGGGATGACCGTCGGGATGACCGTCGGGATGACCGTCGAGGAGATGAACGCCGCGGGGACGATCGCCGAGATGATCGCCGAGACGACCGTCGTGAGGACCGTCGACCTGACAGACATCGCGACGACCGTGAGCGTGAGCGCGAGCGCGAAAGACCCCAAGACTCGTACCCTCTTGATGAGCGCCGAGCCAAGGCTCTCCGACGACTGGACGAGCTTCGCCGCATTGGCGACAACAAGGACCAAAGGGCACTTGACAACGACGCCCTGATATGGTTTCTATTGAAACCTGTCCGAGAAAACTTTGAGAGAATCCTCTCTACGACCAAGGACAATGTGAAGTCCAGTAAGGAGCGAGCATCCATTTTTGGAGTTGAGTTGGTCGTCATCGGCACGTTTCTTGACGAAAAGCTGGCAGCCACTGCTGCTGACGAGGGTCTCAAGAGCAATTTCTGGTAAGTTTTGCAGTACGACAACTTTATTTACTGAACCCAGCTAACACGTCTTTGTAGGGACTTTTTGGCAGCGTTGTGGCCTGTTGATGACACAAGCAAGAGCGTCACTGGAAAACGACTGAGCAATATGTATCGCACCCTACACTCCCGCAGCAAGGGATCTGGTTCGACCAAGACCAACGGTGCATAATTATCTTGAGAGAAAGCAACGATCTATTCTCATGAGAAGCACACAGCACAAAACTGTTACGAACAGAGCAAATTATACCTGAATTTTGTTTCATTACGACTTTAGCATCTTTTTCACATTCCGCATAGGATCGGCGTTTGGTTGTGCATATCTCGAAGAACAGGGCTGGATCATGTTGCCCTTGAAGTTGGTGCGGTGAGGTTCAGCTCATACCCGGATTGCATGGTATAGGATTTGTCATAGGTGGAGTTGTGTCGACTTGGCTGTTGCCAAGATTATACTCAGAGGGGCACGTCTTGATACATTTGAGCAAGAACATCATAAGACATATGGGCTCAGTATCAGTATTGTTGTTACATGGAGGACTTCTAAAAGGACTGTGGATGAAAAAAAGAGCCATGACTGCCAAGCAAGGGCTTCTGCTTGGGTTGATAGAGGAAGCACTAAACTATAAAGACGAATACCTCAATGACACGAATGTCTACAGCGTGATTGATAAATGTATCGTGACTGATGATCTAAATAGAGTAATGTCGTGTGTCAGTTTATATGACGTGTAATGCTGTAGACCGTATTTCTTTTGTTTACTATCTCCATTCAAAGTAGCATATTGAGTGTTACTGTACCACCACATGTAACAAGGCTGCCGCAACCTCATCGCCATGGTCGGCCTCCTGCAGATCTCAACCAACCAGAGTCAATCAGACAGATTATGGTGCTTGCTGACAAGTGAGTCGAGAGCATGGTAGTTCAATATCTTGTGAACGACCTACTAACGACATCATGGTACTTTGAAATGTTTTCTTATGATATTCATGTAACTTCTCGCTCGCTATCCAACTGAGTATGTCTACGGCTGGTTCTCACGTGGAATGCACTCAAAACATCGCTCTCCTCTACTGTCTTGGCAACATAGGCTGTCCGCCTCAGAAGAATAGTGTTCGAGACTGTGAAGCTATTTGCAAGACGAGCATCGACCGAACATTGTCGTTTGAGCATGAAAAGCTGTTGACATGTACACTGGCGTTCCTTTCGAGTATTAGAGATGATGTTTTGAAGATTGCAGCTGTCTGTGTGGAAGAGAAAGGGTCTGGTCTCGTTGTGATGGTCGCGGCCAATTCAAAGGATGGTAATGGGTCGTCTGATTATCTCGATGCTGTCAAGAAAGGGTACGATAGGATATGCAAGTTACTGGAAGAGTCACCTGCATGTGAGTACCGAAAATGGAAGCGTTGTATTTGTACTGCTAATGACTTTTCTAAGTATCGTCTGAGTCTTTAAAACATCAAGTCTTCAGTGTCATTGTCGCCATGTGCCGCAGTCGAATACTCAATAGAGCGAGGCTCACCAAGCGTGGCCAGAAACAAAACATCGATAAGATATTGGGTTCGGTAAAGAAAGAGATGGCGAAATTAACCCTGAACGACGACAAGAGAGAGTTCATCAAATTAAGCCAAGTACTAATCTCACGCATGGAGGCTTTCCGAAAGAAGCTGACGCCAGATACATCGACTACCTCGATATTAGACAAGCAGCTGGAGTTGATAGTCGAGAGTTTCTCTAATATCTCCCGGATTCCAACTCTTGAAACGATGCTACTTGATGAAACTGGGCCGAGAATGGAGTCGGATTTGTGTCGTGGGTTACTGAATACCATCAACAAGATGGCGCACTACCAGTCTTGCGCCTACACATTGGTGAGACTTTCAAAACGATATACCTTGTTTAGAAACATCTCTACCGTTACAGTCAAGCTAGACAGTTCAGCATTTGATAGACCAACACAAAAGGACACACGCTTTGAGTTGACGAAGCATATACTGAAACTCAAGAAGGACTACAACACCAACTGGGATCTAAGAGATCTCGATCGAAAACTGGCCAAGAATACAGAAACATTCTGGAAAGATTTTGAGAGAGTTACAGACGAGCCAAAGATCCACGCAGAAATTCAACTCATATGGTACTTGGAGCGTCGCCAAAGTCCTATACCTCCACGAGTCATTGCCTCTAACAAAGACGCTTGCTTCTTATGCAACGCCTTTGTATCCTTTCATGGGAATTATATGACCCCAAAGACCCACGGGAGAATATATCCGGGATGGAAACTACCCTCCAACGGACTTGATGACACTAGAAGACTGTTCCCTAAGGAGTTGGAACGTATGATAGTAGAGAAGGTTGATATGTTGAGCAGACAGGGGCTGAAGCGGACTGTTTATCCTATGGAGAGTACAATTTCTTTGGCGGCTGTTTCTGTGCGCTCTTATGAAGACTCTCGTAGGTTGGAGAGCTTAAGAGGAACAGCCTCAGTTGCTTGTAGCAACAGTAACACAACGGCTGCACCGTCTAAGAGTATCAAGCCTGCGACCCTTGAACCAAATCCGACAGCACAGTCGGAAAGTGTGGTGATTGGAGTCAAGATGAAAACAAGGGACTTGGCCGCTCGAAACACTAAAACCCTTTCACTACCAAGAAACGACAGTTGTGTTGATCTACCGGAGACGTTAGCTTTAGAGAAGCAGTTGGGCAACAACGAGATCTCTAAGAAACACGACCTTCTTTCTAGTGAGCAAGAAGATCATGTTGGACACGCAAAAGTTGAGTTACCGCAGGAAGAGGTCACGAATAAGGAGATATATCGAGATCAAGCTCATCCACCTCCAACAAACTCACACTCTTTGAACGATGAATCAAGTGATTCTACAAACTCATGGAAAGAAGTCGAGAAGGATTTAACCAAGGGCATCAAGGTCGATAGTTCACTTCATCTTTACATCGAGTACACGACATCTCATCCATGCACATCAAAAGTCCTCAAGGTGAGGGCGAGAAGATTGTCGGCTGATGAAACTGAAAAGACCGTGGAGGATTTATGTGACTTGGATAGCCTGCCAGAGAAGGACTTTGAACTTGGAAACTGCCGTCAGGTCAAGATAAGAGCTGGCAAGAGAGTTTATGTAGTGGACTTGGGTGATTTTGTTGGGCAGTAATATTCTGATAATACTATTTTAGCTACCTAGGTAAGTTGGAGATATTTTGATCCTGTTACCTTGAAGCATCTGTCGTTATAAGTGGAAGTAGGTACTTACACCAAAGCTGTCTCCTGCCTAAAAATTCAACAAAGTTCAAAAGGCAGGTGCTCGTTGATTGCCACGGTCGTACTGTCTTGCATGGTATTAACAGGTGATGGATGGATTAATGGTGGATCCGTGGGGAAACACCGCCTTTGATCTGATCACCTCACTCAAGTGACTCGTCTCAAGCAATCTAATCATCAAGCTACCTACTTATTAACGCAATATCCTCAAGCATAACATAAAGTAAGCAACCAAAAACCCCAACAAGCCCATTACTAACAATCTGAACAGTCTCTGACTCTAATACAAAATGGCCGCTTACACCCGTGAACGCCAAATCGCTGAGCTCGCCGTCCTACGAGCCTCCATCCTCACCAAGAGAGTCCAGTCAACTGTCAGCGGCATCTCAAAAGCAGATGACTCCCCCGTCACCGCTGCCGACTTTGCCGCTCAGGCGGTTCTCATCAGTGCTCTCCGCAGCGCCTTTCCCGGCGACACCTTTGTCGGCGAGGAAGACTCTAGCGCTCTGAGAGACGATGACGCTCTGAAGCAGCGCGTTTGGGAATTGGCTTCCGGCGCTCATCTTGAGAACCCGGAGGATGAGGCGCTGCTGGCGAGCTTGAAGGATATTGATGAGCTCCTCGAGATGATTGACCTTGGAGGTAAGGGCCAGGGCGGGAAGACGGGTCGTTTCTGGGTCATGGATCCGATTGATGGAACGGCTACTTTCCTCAAGGGCGAGCAATATGCTGTGTCTCTCGCATTGATAGAAGATGGTAGAGAGGTCGTTGGTGTGCTAGGATGCGCAAACCTGAAGCCTGTAGATGGAAAGGTCTCAGAGTCAGCTATCGACAAAGAGGGTTTGGGCCTCATGCTCACCGCAGTTCGAGGACAGGGCACAACAATCCGCAAGATGGACTTCAACGGTCTCCAGTCATCCCAGCCCCTCGACAGTATCTCCAAAGCCTCCACCCCTGCTGATGCGCAAATTATCAATTACTCAACCGGCTCAAGCTCACGCCACGACCTCATCGGCAAGCTGGCCAGTTCCTTCAGCGCAAAGTTCCCCAACATCGAGCTATACTCATCACACATCCGCTACGCAGCTCTTCTCGTTGGTGGCGGCGATTTCCAGCTCCGTGTGCCTTCTTCTAGCGATGTGCACATGTGGATTTGGGACCACGCCGGTGCTCAGCTCATCGTGACAGAGGCTGGTGGTGAAGTGACTGATCTTGACGGTAAGGAGATGGATTTTGGTGTAGGCCGAGATCTGAACCAGAACAATGGCTTGTTGGCGGCGAGACAGGGTATTTATGGCGCTGTGCTAGAGGGCATGAGCAAGCTTCTCGCTGAAGACGCCTCACGATGAGTGTCACCAAGATAAGCTAAAAAGGACTAGCCATGACTTCATTACAAGTAAAGGTTTGATCCAAAAACAATGTGCTGATATTTACACCCATTATGATATTCCACATGTCCAAACTATATGTCTCATCTTACATCAAGCTGCTTCGGCCTCCAATCTCCATACTGCCTTGTCCATCCTTCATCTGTCCACTTCGACCAACGACAAATTCATGATAAATTCTTTGCAACCTTGTCTTCTCCTCAGAACTAATACTCGCCCGCGTGTTGTCCAGCGCCTTGATAAGATGATCCCACTCAATGACTACTTCCCTCTGCTCCCCGCTCTGCGCCTTGCTCTCTGAATCGGCTGTAGGAGCACCGTGAATCTGCTTCGATCTTTTGCGGGCTATCTTGATCTCGTCGAGCTTGGCCAGGATCGATGCGTTTTCAACAAGGGCGGCTGATTTGCTCTTGGGGGTTATTTCAGCAATAGGCTTAACCTTGTCGCCATACCGGAATTGCACGAAACTTGGTGTGGTGTTTGATTTGGAGCTGGTACCGTTGGGTCGTTTTGAACTGACAACAGGCCCATCCACATCCAAGACGTCATGGATAGCCTCCAACTGAGCGTTAGATACAAGTGCTTGGAGATCAGCACCCGAGAAGCCCTCCGTTCGACGGGCGATATCCGTGAGAGGCCCATCTGACTCGGTCAATTCGTCCGAGAGCCTGACCTTCTGGAACAGTGCCTTGATGATGTCGACTCGATCTTCAAGAGCAGGCATATCGCACAGCAGAGACTTATCAAGTCGACCTGGACGAAGAAGAGCAGGATCAATCAAATCGGGTCGTGATGTGGCTGCCAGCACATAAACCCCTGACAATCCTTCAGCACCATCCATCTGCGTAAGAAGCTGGTTCACAACACGATCTGTAACTCCTGTAGAGTCGTGTCCTCTCTTAGGTGCAATGGAGTCAAACTCGTCAAAGAAGAGCACACATGGTCTCGCAGCCTGGGCTCTATCAAACAAATCTCGAACACTCTTCTCCGAGGCACCGATATACTTGTTGAGAATCTCAGGACCCTTGACGCTGATAAAGTTGAGACCGCACTCACCAGCCACAGCGCTAGCAAGAAGAGTCTTACCACAACCCGGATACCCATAGAGGAGAAGGCCAGATCGAAGACGGAGGGGACACTGGGCAAAGATTGGCGCGTATTTTGTAGGGTACTGCAGCGTCTCGAGAAGCACCTGTCGTGTCTCCTGCAGGCCTCCAATGGACTTGAAGCTCGTTGACGAGCTCTGCAGCGTCACGTTTCTCAGCGACGCTGGTGTAAAGCCCTTAAGCGCTTTGTCGAAATCAGCGCGTGCCAGGTGAATGGCACCTGTTGAGTCTGGCGACTCGGCGATGGCTCGAATGATGGCCTCATTCCTCGCACGAGAGACAAGCACGTTGATGTCGCCAGGCATATAGCCATCTGTAGAACCAGAAATATCAAGAAAGTCAAGATCTGGATCCAGGATAAAGCCACTTGTCTTTGCCGGACGACCCTCCTTGCTCGTATGACTAGCACCGTCCATCCACGCGCCGCTGTCCTCTCCTACCATGCTGCCATCGGCAGTCTGTGGTCGACTTCCGTCACTGAACTGTGTCTGAGCTTCGTCGGCAGTCGTGGCATCTTTCATCACGATGGATTCCATAACTCGACGTCTGGCTTCTTTGTCAGGTGCCTTAAGCTCGACAATCTCACGTACAACGTGGCCACTGACAACCACGCCGTTGATAGATTCCTTACCCTCAGCTGTCGCCAAAAGTACGACGCCGCTGTCACGAGTGCAGTATTGTCTCACGATTGAGCACAAAATCTCACCCACTTGTCTGCTTCTTCCATTGTCGTTCCCAACCTGGAGCTCTGTCTCCACAGGGCAAAGCTTATCGAGGTCGTCTAGGATTACAACGGCCTTGCCATTTAATCGTGCGCCCCAACTGGCAGAAGCAAACAGCCGGTTCAGTGTTTCCTTTATTGTCGAGATCCTTGTTTCATCATTGACCAGCTTTCGACAAGGATAATAGAGCGTATGGAATAATGATTCTTGTCGAAGCTTTTGAGCCAAGTGCTTAGCAATAGAAGACTTTCCTGATCCCATACCTCCAGTAAGAAGAACTGAAGATAGGTGTATCAAGTTCGACTGCAAGTTGCTCAGCAATGAATCAATACCAACAAGGAGTGAATCGTGGCTGGCTTGTCGCTCAAATCCATCCGATTCAGATAACCAGGATGGTCGAGGAGTAGGTGGCTGAAAGTCGATAGCTAATTTGGCATCCAGCCCAAGCAGCCAGTTCGCTGTGTCTTTGCTTTCTTGAAAGTCCGAGCCGTATGTAAACTTGATGATACCACCCTCCCACCCTTGAGGAGGGTCAAGGCCATCGTACAAACTCATCACGGATCCATCTGTCAAAGGACCTTGAAGTAGCCCGTCCTTGCCCTTAGTAGCTGTATAAATCTGACGGAAGCGCTTCGCAGATTCTTCCTTCTCAGCCTTGGACTCTCCGCCAAATCTTAGGCCTTCAACTGTCTTTGCGCTTGTAGCGAAGGGGAAAACCTTGATACTTTGAACTGTACTCTTAGGCAGCTGTTGTGGTGCTGCTTGGAGCTTCACAATACCGCCTACCATACCGGCACACCCGAGAGTTGCACAAAGAGGCGACGAAAGAGCGACTGTCTGACTATTGGGAGGATCGATCCATGACCGGAGATGAGCAATCACCTTTGTAGCCGCTGCCATTCCAGCAGGAGCGCCGCCTTCTTCTGGTTGAGGTTGCTGCAGACCAGCAGGTCTGATGACATCAACCGAAACATAGTTGACTCCCTTGAACGCTTCACCGGAGAGGATATCATGGTCAACCCAAACACTGAAATCTTGAGCCAGAGGTCCTTCATCGAACCACTCTTCGCATGAATTTCGGTCAAGACCGCGCAAGAACACGGTAGGTCGTCGCTCTTCTTTGGCGCTTCGCCGACGCACTGTGCTGGTTGCGCTCCGTTTAGATTTAGAAGTGCTTGCTACACTGCGATGATCGCCTGAATTGTGCGAGCTCTTCTGCCTCGTTTTCGGCGCGACAATAACTTCTGCATCGGGCAACATCTTTGCGAATGGCAGATCTGCGGGAGGTGCCGGATCTAGCGAGATAACCTTGATATTTGCGGTCGAGGTCGGGGATAGATGAAGCGTCAAGGCATGGGCTTCAACCAGGTTGTCGCCAAGTTTGTATGAGGGGTTCGGAAGCGCGCGGATCTGGGACTGGAGATTCAATTCGAGGAATGTCGCGTGTAGCTCGATAATCTCCCAGTCTTCTGGTGTTAGAGGTTCGATGTTAATCGTATGCGCCAGCGGAGGGTCGAGGTGGATGGTCGCCATGATTTTCTGTCCTTCTGACAAACCAAGGGTCTTGGCTAATGTGGCATCTAGTTCGACAAGCTGAACCTCTTGATCGCGAGACGATCTCGAGCCATTGAGTCCATCGCGCGTACCAGGCGGAGCTGTTCTCCTCTTGCTGGGCATGCCTGTCCATCCTACAAATACGGAGCGCTGCTGTGAGCCCGATCCTGTCGATGAGGCTTCTCGAAAGCTGAGTTCGACGATGACATTTTGCGCAGGCTATGAACCACGAATGAGCGATCTATTACAAGTAGAAGAGCAAAGCCAATTGCTTACCGTGTTGACATTAACGAGTAGCGAGACCAGCGACGTGGGGAGGTTGACCAGGCAGCTCTTGAGGTGAGTTAGGGAGATCTCCGTAGAGACGGATTGCGCATTTCGTTTGGGAGGCATTATGCGCTGAAATACTAGAACAATTTCTTGAGAGAAGACGGTCCTACCTCAGCTATCAGCTACAGTTGTATATAAGAAGAGCTCGGACAGGTGCCGAAACAATTCCGATCGAGACTCCGTTTCTCGTCCCGCAGCCGAGGTATCTACACGTGCTCGGGATCCTCGCCGTTCCTTCCCCAGCTTTCATGACCTCCACTGTGGAAGTCACTTTAAGCCGTGCTTTCCTGCGATACCGCTGTGGCTGAATTCAATTAAACTCTTGGTGTGGCTGTGCGTCGCGAAACGCGTAACGACGCGGTAGACGTTCGCGTACAGAAGGTCCAGCGCAACCGCCGTTGCCCCCCTGTAACCCGCAACCCGCAACCTGCAAAGAGCCCCAGCCCACTCAATTTGTGCATTGCGATCGCATCTCCCCATTGCTCTGTAACTACTCGACAACACCGCACGTCTTGACAACTTACAGCGCTTTTCGAATTCGGGACCCTTAATAAATTTCTTCATAATGGCGCTGCGCGAGTTCAAGGCCCCTGTCAGCTATGAGAAGCAGCAACGTTAGTAAACCCATTATTGTTTACTGTAAAGTTTTTCTCCTGGGAACGGAACTAATCAACCATGCAGATGCTTTCGAGGAGTTCTTGACCGGATTCAAGACCTCGCCCGAGCAAACAATCACAACCGCGCTGGGAAACATCACCATTGGAGAGAATGATCTTGACGAAGAGGATGACTTGATGGACGATGACGGTCAGGAGGGGAACCGACGTCAACAAGCCAAGGAGCGCCGTGCTCCTCAGTACAAGTACAAGAACATGCTCCAGCAGCTCTCCGATCGGACGATTGACGAGGCGACAATCGACCTCGACGACTTGGCAACAGTATGATGATGCGATGCACCCATTCCTTATAACGGCCACTAACTCATTCCAGTGGGAGAACGATGCTTTCGACAATGAGGACAATATGAGGCTTGTTGACTCTATCGAGATGAACACAAAACACTACGTCGAGATCTTTTCAAGAGCCGTGGATAAAGTTATGCCCGCAGCAAGTGAAGACATAACGTAAGTGTGGCTGTATTAATTCAACAACATGGCGTATTGACCAGCGACTAGCTTCAAGGACGATGTTCTCGACGTACTAATGACTCGACGACAAATCCGCAACCGAGAGCTTGATGACGCCGCCGAGCGGGACCCAACTGCTGCTGACGACAAATTTCCTGCCGAGCTCACTCGCAGGTATACCCTAGTGTTCAAGCCCAAATCGGATACCTCGAGCCAGCCTTCAAAGGCCCTGGCAGTTCGACAAGTGCGCGGCGAGCACTTGGGTCATCTCATCACTATCCGCGCCATTGCTACCCGGGTTTCTGACGTAAAGCCTATTGTTCAAGTTAGCGCATACACCTGCGACAGATGTGGTTGCGAAATCTTCCAGCCTATTACTGACAAGCAATACGGTCCCTTGACAATGTGTCCTTCAGAAGATTGCAAGAAGAACCAGGCCAAGGGTCAGCTCAACCCCTCTTCAAGAGCCTCCAAGTTCTTGCCTTTCCAGGAGGTCAAGGTTCAGGAGATGGCCGAGCAGGTTCCCATTGGTCAGATCCCTCGCAGTCTCACCGTCTTCTGTCATGGTACTCTTGTCAGGCAGATTAACCCGGGTGATGTCGTTGATATCTCGGGCATCTTTTTGCCTACCCCTTACACAGGATTCAAGGCTATGAAGGCTGGTTTGCTTACCGATACTTACATCGAGGCCCACCACGTTCTTCAACACAAAAAGGCTTACAGTGAGATGATTGTTGATCCTACACTGGTCCGACGGATCGAAAAATACCGTCAAACCGGCCAGGTCTATGAGCTTCTTGCAAAGTCGATCGCCCCTGAGATTTTCGGACATCTTGATGTGAAGAAGGCTCTCCTCCTCCTTCTTATTGGTGGTGTAACCAAGGAAATGGGAGATGGTATGAAGATTCGTGGTGATATCAACATCTGCTTGATGGGTGATCCCGGTGTGGCCAAGTCCCAGCTGCTCAAGTATATATCAAAGGTCGCCCCTCGTGGTGTCTACACATCAGGCCGTGGAAGCAGTGGTGTCGGTCTTACAGCTGCCGTGATGCGAGACCCCGTCACTGATGAAATGGTTTTGGAGGGTGGTGCTCTTGTACTCGCTGATAACGGTATCTGCTGTATCGATGAATTCGACAAGATGGACGAGACTGATCGTACCGCTATCCACGAAGTCATGGAACAACAGACCATCTCCATTTCCAAGGCTGGAATCTCCACAACTCTCAACGCCCGCACATCCATCCTCGCCGCCGCTAACCCTGTCTACGGACGATACAACCCTCGAATTTCTCCTGTTGAGAACATTAACCTTCCTGCTGCACTCTTGTCCCGTTTTGATATCCTTTTCCTGCTTCTTGATACCCCTACTCGCGACACGGACGAGCAGCTTGCTAAGCACGTTACCTTTGTGCACATGAACAGCCGACATCCCGATATTGGCACCGACAACATCGTGTTCAGCCCGCATGAGGTACGGTCCTACATCGCCCAGGCCAGAACGTACCGACCTGTGGTTCCAAGCACAGTGTCTGAATATATGATCAAGACATATGTCCGCATGCGAGACCAGCAGCAACGTGCCGAGAAGAAGGGCAAGCAGTTCACTCACACAACTCCCCGTACCCTCCTGGGTGTTGTCCGTCTCGCTCAAGCCCTGGCACGTCTTCGATTCAGCAGTGAGGTCACACAGGATGATGTTGATGAGGCTCTCCGACTGGTTGAGGCCAGCAAGGAGAGTCTGAACAATGAGCTTGGCACTGGTAACTCAAGAATTAGTGCCACCGACAGGATCTACGCCCTGGTCAAGACTATGGCCGATGCAGGCCAATGCCGTCCTGAAGATATCGTGGATGGAGAGGATCTTGGTCTTGAGCTGAGTTTGAGGAAGGTCAAGGAACGAGTCATTGCCAAGGGGTTTACCGAGGACCAATGGTTTGACGCCTTGCAGGCGTACACTGACAGCAATGTAAGATTTCCGACGGGTATCTTTCTTTACTCAAGCTCTTCCTTACTAACAATGTTCTGCAGGTCTGGCAAACTACAGGAAATGGCACACGACTGGTGTTTATCATTAACGACGATGAGTTTGGAGACGATGATATGGACTTTTAAGAATCTGGCATATAGTGCACAGAAGTCCATGATGTCTGGGTCTGGCGTTTTGGCATATTATGTAGATGAGAGTAGTCTGCTGGTAGAACTTTTCAAAATAACATTACATGTGTACCTACGTATCACTAATAAGTAGTTAAAGGAAACAGTTTCGTGGGCATAAATACGTTACAAGAAGCTGATGCATGTTTTGTTGGGTTCTACTCAGACACCAATATTGTACATTTAAAGAATACATTTATAGCCTCATCTGCATCAAAGATGCGCGCTCCATCTCACCGACATTACCATGACCTCCCACAGTCCACTTCTCAGAAACTGTCCGTGAATTGAGCACGTGGCGGAACATTCCACTCGCTCCCCAATACTCCATCAGAGAGCGAGCTTCATCTTTGCTGACTCCCTCAAGGCGAAGGACCCATGCGTTCTTCAAAGCTTCATAAACACGCTCATCGTAATTACGCTCATAGGGGTCAGGCTTGGGGATTTCACTGCCATATTGACCGGCCTCGAGTTGAGAGAGGACAAGCTCCTGAGAGGGATGGTGGTGAGAGTTGTTCTCGGAGGTAGCGGCGATGACAGCACCGCCATTGGGTAGAGAGGCCTTGCCGGATAGGGCGTCAATAAACAGACGCACAATGGTCAGCTCGTGGGCATGGACCTGGTTAAAGGCGGCATCCCGGTAGTCGCTGATCTTGTTGATATGTGCAAGGCCATCGAGAGCGAAGAGCACGGGGGGTCGACCGGGCAAAGTGAGCTCTGTCCAGAGGGCAAGAAGAGTTGGCCAGGCGTATTCAGCCTCCTTTGCGCTGAGGGCCAGATCAGCGAGGGTGGCGCCCTGCTTCAAGTTGGTGAACTTTGACCAGTCCTTCTCGATGTTGAGTTTCTCAAGAACAACACGGTTGGCTCTGTAAAGGGTCTGGATCATCTTGAGGCAGTAAATAGGCTGAGAGAACTGGATGGGTTCTGTGTCAGGGATAGGTGAGTACTCAGTGTTACCGTTGGTTAAATCTTGAGCTATAGGTGATTGTTAGGGATCTGGCACTTAATGACAACTGTTGGGGGACTCCATACCTTCGGGAATGTGGAACACCACCCAGTTGTTAAGAAGGGCATAAGCCATGGCCTGCAGCATGGTCATGCTCTTTCCTGACAACTTGCTACCCGTCAACACACACTTGAGAGCCTTCTTCTCCTTAGCCGATAGTTCCAGCTTCTTCATCAACTCCACCGTCTCCTTACGCAGCAAAACGTGGGGTTTTCGGAATAGGTTCCAAGTCTGTGTTGTCTTAAAAGCCTCGAGAGCACGGAGATGATCCACCACCGGATCAGGCACAGCAAACACCTTTGCAACACTCGAGTCCTGAGCCATGTTCTTCGCATCCAACGTTCCCAAGCCTTGCACGGGTAGGGCACTGTTGTTGCTGAGCTGAATGCGCTTTCGGAACGCCTTGCGCTCGCCGGGCTGGGGTTTTCGGACAGGCGCTACATTGGCACGCTTCTTGTACGACTTCTTGACCTTCTGGGGCAAGTCTCTTCGGCTCTTGATAGCTGGAGGGGCTGAGACGGCAAAAAGAGAGCTCGAAGTCGAGAACGGGGCCAGAAGGACAGGCTGAATTCGGGGAGCCCTGGGAATAGTCGGCCTCATGAGGCATCGGAGCGAGTTGGCTGACGCCATTGTCTTGAGAAGCATCCCCAAGATGTCGTCTAAAAGACCTTTCGTATTTATCGATACCGTGGACGACGTCTATCGTCGCATTGGCGCCAATTGAGCCAGATTCTAGGACGCTCGTCTCGCGGCCGTCGTGAGCTGAAGTTGAATTGACACTTCGAAAATCTCGGAGCATTAACGACACGCCCCCAAGATTGTAGGGGTGAACAGTGGTAAATGTCTACCATTGGTCAGTTGACTGCTGGGTCGGAAAAACGGCTGTGCACTGATCCGACGTCTCTTATCGCCAGAGAAAAAAGATAGTCTAGCAGAACGATAGAAAAAAAGTTCCCCAGCAGCAACACCAGGACGACAGGTTTGCGACAACCAACCTCCTAATAATCCCTTAACGAGCTCACGACAACCCGAGAAACTTCAGACTTGATCATTTACACAGTAGATCTTCACACATACAAAAATCACAATGTCACTCCCAAGCTCTAAGCCAAAGCTGCCTGTCGCAGTCGAGAAGCCTACACCCTACACCTTCGACCTTGGCCATCTCCTCGCTGAGGACCCCAACCCCGTGGCCCTCGACCGCAACAACCTCGAGCAATCTCTCGCCGAGCTCGCCCGCGATGGCGCTCAGTCGCTCATCAACCAATTCCTCTCCACCTGCCCTCTCAGCTCCACCGCCGAGGGCGTTCTGCTCAGCCTTCCCGCCCCGAGCACCCGCCTCCCCCGCGAGAAGCCCGTTCCTCAGGCCAAGCCTCCTACCAAGTGGGAGCGCTTCGCCGCCAAGAAGGGTATCAAGCCAAAGTCTCGCGATTCTCGCCGCAACCTTGCCTTCGACGAGCAGTCGGGCGAGTGGCAGCGCAAGTGGGGTTACAAGGCTCTGAACAAGAAGGGCGAGGACTATCCCATCGTCGAGGTCGACATAGAGGCCGAGAAGACAAGAAAGGAGGGTACCTCCATCCGGGGCGATGGCCGACGAGAGCGCAAGGAGAGAGTCAAGCGCAACGAGCGTTTGATGCGCAAGAACAAAGGTGTCCCGAAGGCATAAGCGCCTTATGGAAGAGAAAGGATTTGGTCTGCAGTTTCGTGTGGACACTGGGCAAAACGATTGCTGTTGAGCATGGAGCGGCGTTCAGGACTTTGGCGTTTCAAATCGGCATCTTAAAAGCTAGGGATTTGGGAGGGTTTAGACGTTCAGCTTGAAGGGAATGAAAATTGAATCCGCTACGCCCTCTGACCACAATTCCATCTTTCAGTATTGTGAACATGACCCAACTTGCCGTAGATGCCTCGGTGAATGCAAGAACATACATATGAAAAGGACAAGACAAGTGGCCTGCGATAGAGTCTTATCCACTCAACTTCGGGCACTGGCTTGTTACAGTTTCCTGCTCCACCATAGATATAAGAGTGTTCATGTAGATGTAGTTTAGCAACGGGAAAGTCGAGTGCTCATTAAACTGCCAGTTTATATATTCAATCCTGAGGCTTGCCATGAGTTTCCCTGCCTCCGCTACTCAACATCATAATAGCCTCGTCCTCGCAGCTTTATTCAACACTGTCTTCGTTGAGCTACCTGCTTAACCTGGCCGAGTAAAGACAAGCTGCTTGTCCTTTAAATCAATAAACAAGAACGCTAGAACTTCAAACAAGATCCCCCAAAATAGAATACAACACCACCCCTTGGACGATAATCTCCTCAAAATGCATCATGGGTATACCAAACAACAAAGAAAGAAAAAGGCAAGCGCTTTAAAACTTTACTCGGTTAGGCGCCGTCAATGGTTACGCTCCAAGGAGCCCTTTGGGAGCCCTGCTTGCTTGCTTGTACATCGCCAAACTGCTAGGCCGCTCTACGTAAACGCCAGCGCTCGGAGCATCCGGATTGTGCAATAAGGTCGAGAGACAGAAGTCGTAAGGGGCATGGCGTCGTGAGCTGGCTTTGTGAAAAACGGAGTCTCAAACTCCCTCCGACAAGCAGGTCCCTCGATCGTGGAGACGTCTACCAAATTCGAGTAGGAAAGCCAGGGAATAACAGGCTAGATCAGACACTCCAGTCAATTTCCAAACCATGACATGCTCAACTTGGTCGGTTATCTCCCAAGTCTGGGCACTTTTCAAGACAACCTGTATAAGTAGCCGTAAATACCCTTGTAGTTTTCGTCAAGTTATCAGACATGTCTTGCAGTTCAGAAGCCAAGGGGCGACAGCGGCATGATAGGTGACAACGGTCTTATATCGGTCGAGACTCTACCCACCTCGCGCTCGCTGTTGATGGTCAAGGTGGTTGGGGCGGACGAGTTGTTCGAGACAACGCTCCCGTTTGAGGGGGATATCTGGAGCTGTTTCTTCTTCAGCTTTGTTTTCTGGTCAGCAAGGCTGAGGCGGCCTGACTGCTTGCTGCTCCCCGATGAAGAGAGATGCTGTCGATCGTCCTCTGTTTCCTCTTGAGGTTTTGGTTTCATGGGTTCGGCGAGACCCCTGGGCGGAGGCTGGTCAAAGATGACATATTCCTCCTCGATGTACTGGGCCTCGTTCTTGCATCCTCTCCAACAGTCGCGCCAATCGCAGACCAGAAACTTGAAGCAGAATGCGTCGATCTTCATGCACGGTTGAAAGCAAATGCACAAATTCCTAAAATCCATCTTGTTCTTGTCTGAGTGGGCCAGGAGAAGGCTGAGGTGGCATGTGATGGCAAAAAGAAGATAGTAGTTGAAGGGAGAGAGATTCGAGAGCTCCTCAATAAGAAGTTCGGGGACTTCCTCTGAGCCTGCGCACTCCCTTGCAATTCGATCCTGTGCCGCCTTAGGGAACAGCTCGTCTGGTAGTTCCCGCAGCCAGGCCTTGAGCATTGATCCAATGATATTGATATCGTATAAGTCACGCTCATTAAAAAGGTTCACGTCGTACCCTGTTTTGAGTCAGTATCATGCTTGTAGGTTAGTAGTTATATGAAGAAAAAAACTTACGCTCATCAAACTTGCGCTGCCACTTCTTGATCTGAGGACCACTGCCTGGAACACGGTATAGACCCTCGACTTCACATCCCTTATAGTTCAGATAATCGATGGCTCTCCATGGGAAGGCGGGCATCCAAAACTCCGTCTTGTCTCTCGAATCCTCCAGTCTCTTGGAGATTCTCGTCAACCGTGTTTGCTCAACGAGTGGTAGGTTGATGACCTTGAGCTGGTAGTGTTCATCATCCAGCGCATCCTTATCTTCCCGACCACTACGTCCACTCTTGTTGAAGAAGCGGTCACTAAGCATGCCAGCCGCACGCGTTCCCGAGCTCTTTAGGCCGTTAAAGAAGGAGCCCCCATTCTCGTTTAGGGAAGAGGGTTGGGTTTTTGATTCTTTGTCGCGTTGCGCCCTTCTGGTCGAAGATGTATCTCTTGGCGCGCGGTCTTCAGATCGATTTCGGTTTGCGGAACTCATTTTGCCTCGAAGTGACCGGTCGCCTCCTTGATTCTCGGTCTTGTATGGTACAGAGTTGAGGTGTAATTCAGGTTCGGTGCCCTGCCGAGGTGAAATGGCGGGTTTCAGTTCGGGGCTAGCCTCCTCTTTGTCGCGATTGGACCGACTGCGGTTCAATATGCCAAAAGGCTTCGACCTTGCTTTTTTTGTCAAGGACTGAGGTGAAGCAGTCTCGTAGTCACCAGCAGATGAGACAGACAAATCGCTTCGCAAAGGATCGGCGGAGACGGGTTTGTGTAGAGTGTGGTTAGGTGTGTCGGTTTTCTCTGAGTAGCGTCAGCGGTTGATCATGGACCTGAGCTTGCGCACAATAGCCAAAAGTATAATGGTACGTCCCAGCTCAGCCAAGCTTGGTTACATGTTTACATACCTCCGTGTCTTGGTCGATTGGGTCCGTCGCTACCCCGCGACATTATCTGAGCTCTCGCCTCTGCTTGATTGCGATGCTGACCATGCGGCTGAGACTGGTTGGAATATTTAGAGGGCTTATTAAAATGGAAGAAACCGTTCTTGGTTCCCTTCTTCACGTCGCCTGATGATGGCTGCACTACTTCAGGCTGTGCGGTAGTCGTAGTCGCTGGTGGGCTGGGGAGCTTGTCTTGTAGAGTAGAAGATATGGAGGGATAAGCTGTGGGGTCGTCGCGCGTTTGCCGTAGTGGCAGTCTTGGTGCGGACCTTTGTCTATCCCATTCGGCAGAGGTTGTAGAAGTTGAGGGTCGTTGAGCAGTTGCTGTTGTGGGTGGAGGTGGTGCGAGAACTGGCACTGTCGCCGATATTGGCGTTGAGGTTAACGATGATGGTTTTCCGTCCGCAGTGGCCGTTGCTGTTGGTGCAGTCGTATGTGACACTTTCTTCTGCTTCCCACTTTGATTTCTCAAGGGCGAGAATCGACTATGGAAAGGAGAGGAGCGGGGAGACCGGGGCGATTTGGATTCGACTGGCGACACAGCTGGAGAAACGGTTTCAGCATTTGGCGGGTCGTCTCTGCTACGTAAAGCAGCGTCAGATCCAAACTGGGATTGTGCCTGGGCCTGAGGCGAAGACTGGGAGGGAAGCGCCAGTGGCTGCGGTGCCGCTTTACGGCCCATATTGGATCCTGCCTGCCTACTCACGGCGCAGTCTCACAAGTCGCAGTCGCGGACGTAGACGCGGACGATTCGCAAGCTCCCACTGCCACGGTGGGCGAAACAGGAGGGGGGGTAGAGGTGCGGGCCAGGGGATTGGTCGCCTGCTGTTTGTACGGAGTAGGCCTGCTATGGATGCTCTATGCTCTATGCTCTGACCCGATCTGTTGCGGGTCGCGATTCGGCGGTGCCTGGAAAGACAGGGCAGATGGCAGTCCAAAGAGAGAAGGGACAGCGAGGAATGACGACCGGAGACGGGAGATTTGACGATTGGTGGCCTTGGTAACAGAGATGGGCGCGTCAAAGTCTGTAGTGGTGGTCCTCTGGTGTTGGTTGGCGCTGCTGGGAAGGGACAGTACCTGTTGTTAGGTCAGGGGCACCCGGAGAGCGTGGGGTAAGCCAAATTCAGTGGAGGGATAGAAGACGAAAAAGAAGTAACAAAAGGAACGAGACAAGTCCGTGTGTTTTTAAGAGATGATGGAGGGAGAGTCTAGTCACAGATCAGGAATCCCTCTACGAAGAAGGAAGTTAGTCTCCGCAGCGTTGTGCTAATGGATGTTATGCGATGGATGCATTGACAATGGCGATGTAGCGTTGTGTTGGCCAGGTTGGGCTTGGGCCATGCTTCAGTTATGGATCGTATAATAGTATCAATCAATATCCGATCGTGGTAGGGCCAATACTAATGCCGGTGGTAAAATGTCCGAATCCCAGCCCCCGAATCAAATGCTAATAAGAGAGAGTAAAAGGGCAACGCCGCAGCTGGGAGCACAACACTCGGTGGCCCCGACTGAGCAACAGCCTATCGTGTGCTGTACTACTGACCGCTTCACGATGATTATAACACCTCACCAAGCACAGAGGCATCGAGCAATGCCAGGAATCGAGGCAGGGCATTGGTGAGCATGCAGCTGACGATGTCCAAGGGCTTTGGGAGGTCCCAAAAGAAGCAAGGGACAGAATGTGGAACGTCGGACGAAGAAAGACCAGGAACAGGGGACGAATAGAGACGAAGCCTTGGCCTTTTTGCTACGGGGGTTTAATCGTGAGGGGGTTCCGGCATCTGGGCTGTCAAACGCTAACTAAAAGGCCACTGTACTAGGCATGTACCCCTAAATATTTGGGTGTTGGTACCTGGCTTGGCTTTGACGGCACCCTCCATCCATCATTCCTGTCAGTAGCTCAGTAACTGGCGGGGCATCCATGATAAGTTGAAACAAGCACAGCCACAGCGTGGCACAACTTCTCTCTATGACCCACTACGAATCTACATGGACATCCATCGTCTGGGCTTTTCACCAATCCCGCTAAACCATCTACTCAAACTCACTGCAATAGACTTCGTAACTAATATCCATCCCAAAACTTTGAGGCCCCCTTCTCGCAAGGTACTGGGTGTGGAAGTTTTAAGTCCTGGCCAACTACCTTATCCAAAATCTTCATTCCTTAAATCGTATTCCATTTTAATACTCTATATTTCAAGGCCATCCATTCACCCACCCACACTATGGCTGATCCTTTTGAGGTGCGCATGCGCTTCACCTCGCAGCTTCAGCATCTCAATGCATCTGTAGCATCTGCACAAAAGGCCGCTCAATATGCCCTCAGAAACAAGGATATGGACGAGGATCTACACTCATGCATCCTTGAGCAGCTTGAACGGGTAGGTAGGACCATCTAATCTCAGTGTGAATTCATTGCTGACCCGTGTCAACAGAGTAGTAACATGAATACGCGTGTCAATATCATGTACTTTATTGAACATTTTCTCGACATGGCACAACGCGATGGACACACTGAGTACATAGGTATGATACAGCGGGACATCGTCCGTGTCGTCGATGCTGTTGCCCCAGATGATGGATCGGGTGCCGCCAACGTCAAAGTGGTTCGAAAGGTGAGTTGATATCCGCATGATGGCGCAACCCAGACTTGTTCCTCAACTTGTGGCTCACTCTCGATTTAGGTCTTGCAAGGTCTCCAAGGGAAAGGCTACCTAGACTTGCAAACTATCACCCAGATTGAGGATGTCATTAAAGAGCGTGAGACAAATGTTGAAGACCTCGGTCTTACCTCCCCCAATGGAGACGTCGAGATGACAGACATGCCTCCTTCACAAACGATACCAAAGCCAGGCCGAAAAGGTCCATCGCATCAGCTCGACAAACGGCAGATTGAGCAGCGTATCGAAGAGGATCGCGAGCGTCATAAGCGTGAGCGCGAAAGCATCTGGGCCATTCCCAAGACTGAGAATGCAGAAATGAACCGGTTATGGGACGAAACGAGCGACTTTGGGGAAGACGATGATCGTCTGCTAACAGAGGAGTTGGATGATTTCAAAAAGGAGATGGAAATGCAGTCTGGCTGCCACCATCATCAAGGGACGACCAATGGTAACCGTCACTAGACTGGGACGCATCTTCTCATGATGTCGACATCTCAACGGCGTTAGGTTTGGGTTTGCATGCAGGTTTTTGAAAGAACAGTATTGATACCCGTCGTTTTCGACATGGCCGGATGGGAAAGTGAGGTTTGTAGCCAATTCATCATAAATTCGAGTTCATATAGGGTAGCTCATGGGAGTGACGACGGTCACCTCATGTTCAATATGATATCATGATTAAAAAAGAACCCACCACTGGGTCTTTTCTAAGGGTACATATTGTTAGATACTAGTACATATGTTTTTATACATGCAATCCAGCCATCTATCGTGCCAAGTCGCCAGTCGCCAGTCGCTGTGCCCCAGAGATTAATCATCTTTACTCCATCACCACGGTGGCTCCCAACTCCTTCATGGCGGTGATGATCTTCTCGGCATCCTCCTTGGGGACGTTCTCCTTCATCATCTTGGGTGCACTCTCGACGAACTTCTTGCTGTCTACCAAGCTCAGGCCGAGCATGTTCTTGATCTCCTTGATCACCTTGGCCTTTGAGGTGGCATCGAATCCTTGCAGCTTGAGGGTGAAGAGGGTCTTCTCGGCGGCGGCGGGAGCGGCTTCCTCAGCCTCCTCGACGGCGGGGGCAGCAGCAGGGGCAGCCGCAGCGAAACCGCCTATGGGCATGTCGGGGATGTTGAGCTTGCTCTATTTCGAGGTTCAAGTTAGCGATTGGAAAAACAAGAGACCTCTAGCGACCAATTGAGGTACACTGTAGCAACTGCACTAACCTTGAGGCTTGAAACAAGGTCAGCGGTCTCTAGAAGAGTAAGCTGGCTGATCTGGTCGACAATGGCTTCGATCTTGGGGTTGACGGGAGCGGCCTCGGTTGAGTTCCATCTCCTCGAGGTAGCCGGGATACGGACGAGCTGTGCGGGTGCTCGGGCTGCACGAGCGGATCGGAGCTGGCGAGCGCAGCTCTGGGCGGCATACCGACAAGACATGGCCATTATTGTGGTGGTTGAACTGGGGAATTGCTCGATTCGAGAGGGTCGTCGCGTGGGCGGGCGTCTGAGGGAACGTCTTGAAGTTTTTCGGGCTGTCTCGATGTTCTGGCGGGCTAGCGGCCGTGTCACGTGTATTACTGGGCCATCAACTCATATGGATGTCGAAAGACACCAGACATTAGGTATTACATCTTGATACTTCAAAAGATTGTTAGTATTAGAGATAGGGTCTATACGTCGGACATTCACCTCTTAGTAGAGATGGAAGATAATGTTGTTGGTCTAATTATGTTTAAATGGTTCATTGAATAGGCATGTCCTTTGTTCCTAGTGCCTGTTCTAAGACCAATAAAACATGGGGTTGAAATTGTCCTCGAGTTAATCTTTTCCAAAGACGAAAATAGTACACAATGTTAATCTATCGCTTATTTAAGTCAGCCTTGCAAATGGAACTCAGATTATCAATTTCCGTTGGACCAGTTTAATCGAGATTGAACTTCTTTAAAAGCCATCAACTCTCATGTAAAGACAGTAAGTGCTAGACCAAAGCAGATTAGTGCAGAGTCCCGGCCGTTCTTCAGAACGGTCACGTGTGAAGGTGGCTGCCGAGATAAGATATGATCCTTGTCAATTAAAAAAAAGTTCCAAAGAAGAGGTTCGCTAGTTAAGCAAGCACCAGCATCGACAGCCAACAATTTGTCGACACGAGCGCAATCATGGGAATGATTGATGTCTCGCGCCAGAGGAGGTCGCTCCTCGCGGATGCGACTGTGTTGGACCATTTGCCCGCAGAATTACTGGCAATTATCCAAGATCAGTCCTCGACGAAATTGCTGGATGCTGTTGCAGAGGCTGCTCTTTGCCCTCCACTAACAGAGCGAGTCTTTGCGCATTTCGAGCATGTCTTTCCAGACATTTGTGCTCGATGGATTCTCAACCCCGGAAATGAACAACAACGCATACGAATATACTCAGCATTAGCACGTATTCTACCTTTTGCTCCCTATCTTTCGACATTCATCGAATACGCCTCTTCCACACCCGAACAGCCGACTAATTCTCCATCACTCCGACTTCCACCCTTGAGGCTCAACCAAGATGCTATGACTCAGGATGGAGAGATTTTGTTACAGAGCCTTCTTGTTGCTTGGAGGCTGATTAGTTTCGACTCACGCAACTTCGGCCCCTTGACATCTGCTGCGTTGATGCAGACCTTGTTCAAGCACGAAAGCAAAGCCATTCGTTATCTTGCGACCCGGATTTTTATTCAACTTCTCCATGGATCGGACTGGAAGCTTGAGTCTCTCATCCAAGAACACATTGGAAAGAATGAGGCTATACTTGCAGACTTTGACGGTAGATCGATTGACTATGGGTTCCTTTCGCTGTACGAACAGTCTCGAGTAAAGTCCTTTCTCACTTTGCGCCAAGAAATACAAGCTGCCCATGAAATCGACGACAATGATTCTCCGTGTTCGCAAACCCTTACGACCTATGTGGTTTCCTACGGAAACGTTCTTCTACCTAGACCCCTTGGTCCGACAGGGGAGCCTTCCAACCTCGTACTCACCCCTACGACCATTTCCAACCTGGAACGACTGGCGACTATGCTTCGTGAATCCGACCCTGTTATGTTGTATGGCCTTCCTGGCGTTGGAAAAACTGCGTTGGTGCATGAAATAGCCAAGCAGGTTGGCATGCACTCGAATATGGTCACATTGCATCTTAACGAACAGACGGATGCCAAGATGCTTATTGGTTTATACTCGACAGACACGAAACCGGGAAGTTTCCAATGGCGCCCTGGTGTTTTGACTACAGCAGTGAGAGAAGGCCGATGGGTGCTGGTGGAAGATCTTGATCGAGCCCCAACCGAGGTTCTGAGCACGTTACTCCCCCTAATTGAACGAAAGGAACTTCTCATCCCAAGTCGAGGCGAGAGAATACAAGCTGCAAGCACTTTCCGACTTTTTGCAACTGTCAGAACATCACGAGGTATGAATGGCCGAGAAAATTTGCCCAGTATGGCCGGCATCCGTTTCTGGCAAACTTTGAGCACACAGGCTCTTGCAGCATCTGAACTCGAGGATGTCGTGGTTCAAACGTACCCTATCCTCCGAAAGTTCATCCCCGGTATCCTAGCAGTCTATGCCCGTCTATCTCAGTTTGGCAACAAGCCTGGCGCATTGGCCCGTGGTCGCAATGTTATGGATCGCCAAATGACTTTAAGGGATCTGCTCAAGTGGTGCAGAAGATTGCGCGAGTGCTTGGTTGCCGCTGGCTCAAAGACTGGAGAGGAACCAATTAGCGAAACGACGCGCGACTGGATGTTCATGGAGGCGGTAGATTGTTTTGTTGGAAGCTGCCCTGATCCTGAAATTGGCAAGCAGCTCATCTTTGCAATTGCTGAGGAGATGCACCTGTCCAAGGAACGGGCGGAACACTACGTCACTGCCAATATACCCCCTTTGGACGAGAGCGACAACCAATTCAGCATTGGCCGCGCTGTTTTGCGCAAGAAGAAGCAATCAAACCGAGTGGAAAAGTCCAAACGCCCATTCGCTAGCACAGCGCACGCCAAGAAGCTATTAGAGCAGATTGCCGTAGCGGTCAAGCTGAACGAACCTGTCCTCCTCGTAGGAGAAACTGGTATCGGCAAGACCACTGTTGTGCAGCAACTGGCCGAGTCGCTGGGCCACAAGCTCATCGCTGTCAACTTGTCTCAACAGAGTGAAGTTGGTGACCTTTTGGGTGGCTTCAAACCCGTTAACACGCGAACATTGGCGATGCCACTGAAGGAAGAGTTCGAAGATCTTTTCTCGGCGACTGGCATCTCTGCTTCTAAAAACCAAAAGTATCTCGAGCAGGTCGGTAAGTGTTTTGCCAAAAGTCAATGGTCAAGGGTGTCAAAACTGTGGAAGGAAGCTCCTAAGATGTTCAACAAGATTGTCAAGGAGCTCGAAAGGGTCCAGGCAGAACAATCAGAGACACGGAATGGCGATGAACAGCCCACGAAACGTCGAAAGACTCATTCCAAACTGCAAACTCTGCTTGATCTCCGTCCACGATGGGACATGTTTGCTCGTAATCTCGAGCAATTCGACGTGCAAATTTCAGGAGGCTCTGGTAGCTTTGCCTTCTCTTTCATGGAAGGTAACTTGGTCAAGGCCGTCCGTAACGGTGACTGGGTTCTCCTTGACGAGATCAATTTGGCTTCACCCGATACTCTTGAGAGTATTGCGGATCTCCTGACTGGGCCTGATGAGAAACCTTCCATTCTATTGTCGGAGACGGGCGAGATTGAGAAAATCGAGGCACACCCCAACTTCCGCATTTTTGGTGCGATGAACCCTGCAACCGATATTGGAAAACGTGATCTCCCTGTTGGTATTCGCTCCAGATTCACCGAAGTTTATGTTTCGAGCCCAGACAAGGATCTCAAGGACCTTCTTACAATCATCAAGACATACTTGGGAAGCAGTAGCAGCAAAAACGATCAAGCTGCGGATGATATCGCGCGCCTATATCTCAACACTAAGCGCTTGGCTGAAGAGAAGCGGATCGTTGATGGTGCGAACGAGGTGCCTCACTTCAGTCTTCGAACCCTTACTCGAGTGCTAAGTTATGTGAACACTATTGCCCCCCATTATGGTGTACGAAGAGCACTCTATGAAGGTTTCTCCATGGGATTTCTCACCCTCCTTGACCGAGATTCGGAAAAGATGCTCATCCCCTTAATCACTCACCACCTCTTTGAGAGACATGGAAACTCTCAATCTTTACTTTCTCAAACCCCCAAACACCCTAACGATGGGAAGGAATATGTGCGATTCAAGAACAAGAACCGAGACAGACAATACTGGCTATTCCAGGGCAACGAAACCCCTATTGAGCGCGATGATTATATCATTACCCCTTACGTGGAACGCAACCTCCTAAACCTTGTCCGAGCCACTTCTACAAGGCGCTTTCCAATCTTGATTCAAGGTCCTACCTCGGCAGGAAAGACAAGTATGATCGAGTATCTCGCAAACTTTACAGGCAATAAGTTTGTAAGAATCAATAACCACGAGCATACCGATCTTCAAGAGTATCTAGGCACCTATATCTCTGGATCCGATGGTAAGCTTCGTTTCCAAGAAGGTATACTCGTCCAAGCAATGCGTCAAGGTCATTGGATCGTTCTTGACGAGCTGAATTTGGCACCAACTGATGTTCTCGAGGCTCTGAACCGTCTCCTGGATGATAACCGTGAGCTTCTGATTCCCGAGACTCAGGAGATCGTTAGACCGCACGAGAACTTTATTCTTTTTGCCACCCAGAACCCCCCAGGCCTTTATGGCGGTAGAAAGGTACTTTCAAGAGCGTTCCGTAACCGATTCTTGGAACTTCATTTCGATGATATCCCTGAAGATGAACTGGAGTTTATCCTTCAGCAGCGAAGTCGCAACACCTCTCCCCCAGATTGTCGAAGAATCGTTACAGTGTATAAGGAACTCTCGAGACTCCGCCAAACCAGTCGACTGTTTGAGCAGAAGGACAGTTTTGCTACGCTTCGAGATTTGTTCCGTTGGGCACTGCGAGAAGCCGAGACGCGCGAGGAAATTGCCGCGCACGGTTTTATGCTTCTGGCTGAAAGAGTTCGTGATGAGGAGGAACGCATTGCTGTGAAGGAGATCATTGAAAAGGTCTTTAAGGTCAAGATTGATCCCCAAGATCTGTATTCTGCTACAGTAGCCCCTGAGCTGAAGCATTTCGCCAACAAGACTAACAGTCAGGGTGTTGTCTGGACCCATGCAATGCGCCGACTATATGTTCTTGTTTCTCGAGCATTGCGCAACAACGAACCTGTTCTCTTAGTGGGAGAGACGGGTTGCGGAAAGACGACCGTTGTGCAGTTGCTCGCTGAGGCATTGACGAAGGAGCTTCATATCGTCAACGCTCACCAGAATACCGAGACGGGTGACTTGATTGGTTCGCAGAGACCTGTTCGTAACCGAGGAGCTATTGTTGATGCCATGGATGTGGACTTGAAGGCAATTCTACAAACCCTCGGACTAGACATCTCCGGCTCAGTTGAAGAGCGCCTTGAGCGATACAAGACTCTTGACCCTTCAATCAGTAACAACATCCCTGAGGAGACTCGGGTGCGTATCAGTGCAAATGAGACGCGAAGCAAAGCTTTGTTCGAATGGGCAGACGGAAGCCTAGTAGAGTCAATGCGAGAAGGTCATTTCTTCCTCCTAGATGAAATTTCTTTGGCCGATGACTCAGTTTTGGAACGTTTGAACTCCGTGCTCGAACCGTCTAGGACGCTTCTCTTGGCTGAGAAGGGAATCGACAACTCTTTCGTTGTTGGAGCCGATGGTTTCCAGTTCTTCGCCACTATGAACCCCGGTGGTGACTTTGGAAAGAAAGAACTCTCGCCTGCCCTGCGAAACCGATTTACTGAGATTTGGGTCCCTGCTCTTTCTCAGAGCGAGGATATATATGAGATTGTTAAGACAAAGCTCAACGGCGACTCCAAGCAACTGGTTGAGGTTGTCGTCAAGTTTGCGGCCTGGTTCGGTGATACTTTCAGATCCATGGCTTCGACACCGTTTTCCGTCAGAGAAATTCTGGTTTGGGTTCAATTCATCAACCAGTTCCAGTCTAGTGAGCCCATCGTTTCCCTGGTTCATGGTGCTTCAACAATCTTCATCGACAGTATTGGTGCGAATCCCTCCGCCCTACTTGCTACAGATCCCAAATCCCTCGGCCAGCAGCGACAAAAGTGTGTTGACAAGCTGAGCGAACTTATTGGGAAGGATGTTTCAAGCGTCTACCAGACCCATCCAGAATTGTCAATGGATGATACTTCCTTGACAATTGGTCATTTCAGCATCCCTCGTGCTTCCACAGGTGTTGCTGATCCTGGGTTCGCTTTCCACGCACCCACAACTCGCCTGAACGCGATGCGAGTCCTTCGAGCACTCCAAATGCAGAAGCCAATTCTCCTTGAAGGTAGTCCCGGTGTAGGAAAGACAACGCTTGTTGCTGCCTTGTCTCAGGCATGTGGCCAGCCATTGACGCGAATCAACCTGTCCGATCAGACAGATCTTATGGATCTGTTCGGTACCGATGTACCAGTTGAGGGTGCCGAGGCTGGTAACTTTGCCTGGAGAGATGCGCCATTCCTTCAAGCCATGCAGAAGGGAGAGTGGGTGCTTCTAGATGAAATGAACTTGGCTTCACAATCTGTTCTAGAAGGATTGAACGCTTGCCTTGACCACAGAGGTGAAGTTTACATCTCCGAATTGGACCAAGTATTCAAACGGCATCCGGACTTCCGCTTGTTCGCCGCCCAGAATCCTCACCATCAGGGTGGTGGCCGAAAAGGATTGCCTGCTTCTTTCGTCAACCGTTTTATCGTTGTCTACGCCGATGTATTCTCCGACGAAGATCTGAGCTTGATCGCAGCGCACAACTATCCCAAGATCTCACCACCCGTGATTAACCAGCTCATCCAGTTTGTCTCTCAACTTGACCACAAGCTTTCTGTCGAGAAATCATTTGGTACTCAAGGAAGCCCATGGGAGTTCAACTTGCGTGATGTCCTTCGTTGGTTGAAGCTTCTCGACTCATCGGACCCTCTGCTTCACGACGCCCACGTCGATGACTTCCTTGACATCATTGTCCGACAGCGCTTCAGATCAGAGCGGGATCGAGAGGAAGTGAACAGCCTTTTCACCCTAATTTCTGGCTCTTCACCACGACAACACAGCTTGCACCATGATATCAACCCGATGTTTGGCCAAGTCGGGTTGGCCCTCCTTGACAGACATCCTCATTCCCAGCCAGAGCGACTTCCCAACATTGATATTGTACCGAGACTGCCTGAGCTTGAGTCGCTCATGATTTGCGTCAAGCAAAATGTTCCTTGTATCTTGAGCAGTCCCTCGGGCTACGGTAAATCTGTTCTCCTTGAACATGTTGCTGCGTTAGCTGGGAAATCACTAGTGGTGTTCCCAATGAACGCTGATATTGATACGATGGATCTTGTTGGTGGTTTCGAGCAGGCAGACCCTCTTCGAGAGGTCAACGCTGCTCTTCGAGCCCTTCAGCAGGACTTGCAAAACTCTATCATGTCAGCTGTACCAGAAGGTATCCCCAATGAGGCCCTTCATCTACTTCATCTGCTGGATGGCTTTACTGGTGACGTCGAGTCACTCCCTGCCATTACTAAATGTGTGAAGGAGCTACTTCTGGGCGTTCCTGCAAACTCGGAGGTGGCGACTGCATTGTCCAAGGTCCTTGTTCCTCTTCAGAATTCCTTAGTGCTGGAGAACCCTCGCTTTGAGTGGTTAGACGGTGTTATCGTCAAAGCTCTGCAAATGGGCCAATGGTTGGTTCTTGATAATGCCAACATGTGCAACGCGTCAGTCTTGGATCGACTGAATTCTCTCCTCGAACCAAATGGCTTCCTGAGTATCAATGAGCACTGCGGGCCTGGTGGAGAGCCCAGGGTCGTTCGTCCTCACCCTGACTTCCGTATCTTTCTGACGATGGACCCAAGATACGGCGAGCTGTCTCGGGCAATGAGAAACCGTGCTGTGGAAATCCATATTCATACCCCGCCCCCAGCTCTTGATCCTTCTTACAACAGAGTTGTCAGTGTGGAGAGCACTCTACAGAGGTACAATACGTCTCAACAGGCAGCCGAGTCTGTCTCCAAAACCGACGGATCGGTACAAATTGTTGAACGTGCTCTTGAAATTCTCTCAATCAGTGACGTTTCTCTCCTTCCTCGGTTTGCTGAGGCTCTACCGACAAGCAATGCTCAGCATGAGTCGTTGACTGTTGGCGTTACCGAGCTCCTAAGCTTCCTTCACTCAGACAATGGCGCGGCTGGTGTCAGTGCCGTTTCTCGTCTGTATGCTTCTTTACCCATTCCCGAAAGACTCAGTCCTGCGCAACCACTCCATCCTCTCAACAACTTCCCTGTTACTCAGTTGTCGTCTACACCAGACCAAGCACGATGGCTCGGTGCATGCCTTGAGTTTTACCACGAGCTTTATCACCTACAAAATACTATTGAGGATCAGCGTCGGCAGGCTCAAGTCAACAAGTTGACTGCGCTTAACCGCCTTCAACGATCGCTTGTTAGTGACCGCGTTGCAGCCGTCTCCAAAGACGCTACTGTTAAGCTAGCTTCTTTCTTGGTTTCTACCATCAATGCTATCAAAGAGTGGCTTGCCTTCGGCCTCGAGTCCTCTGAATCCTGGATTGACCGAGTCCGCATCCTCAGGGGTGTTGTTCGCTATCTTGAGCGCACTGTTCGACTTGCCACTGAGGCTGATTTTGACGAGGCTAAGTTCCAAGCACACCTTGCTCAAGGTGCAAATTTCCTCCAGAAACAACTTGATGCATCAGAGGGCGCACATGAGAAAGAATTCGTCCTTCTCCTCCTCGATCGCTTGGGCAAAGACTTTACAGCTGGGTTCAAGCTGTCTACCGGTCTCAGTATGGAGCTACTCTGGCATGTTTTCCGACCAACTCCACTGCCTACTAAGGAGATGTTGGACCGAACAATCGAACTTGAGAAGCTCGGTTCTCGATTTGATGCTCTACGCTGGAAGGCCGGAGCATCAATCCCTAATCTGGCAAAGGCCATGACCACTCTTGAGAAGGCTTCCGGAATTTTCCGCGGTGATGTCCCCAACATAGACAGCCTTCTTCAAGATCTTACTACTGAGATTGAGTCATTGGAAAGTCAGATCGGAACTGATGAGATCGAGCGCAAGCCCTTCTTGCTTGAAGAGTTTGAAATACTTCGTCAAGTTTCGATGCTGAACCCACATGCCTCGGGCAATGCAGAGCTTCAAGTGCTATCGAACATCCCAACCCAGGCTGGCATGATGCTTGCTAGCTCTGATAACCAAGCTACGTTGCTTCAGTCTGTAGAGAACCTGGTTTATCAGAACCAATTTTCTTGGGATGGTAAATTTGTGTCATCATTCTGGTCCAAACTGCAAAGTCTAGGTACCGTTAACCTAGGTTCGTTAGCTCTTCTTGAAGCTGAGCTCCCAATCGCTAGCCGGCAGCTTGCAAACCTGACTGCGGACTTGGTAGAGAACCCCCTGACAAGACTCAACAACGTTTTGTCTAAGCTTATTCTCAATGTCTTCGGCGCTCATGGCCAACATCTCAGGGAGGCTGTCATTGAAGCAGCCCAGCTGGCATCTCAGGACTCTACAAACAACTCGCGTGTCTTTGATGATCTTGCATCCAGCATTGAACCAGATCATTTCCGTCAAATTGCGACCGAGCATTTCGTCCCTGTTCTGAAGGCCCTTGCTGCTTTACAACATGACACACAACGACAAGCCAAATTTTCGGCTTTTGCTTGGATTCACTTCAGCATTGGAACAGTCAAATTGTATGTTCCGGATCGTGTCTTTGATCCCCAAAGCAGGCCTAAGATGGAGCGCGAATTCCTCCAAGAAATGCATGCTCTTCTTGATAAGCGAACAGAATCACTCCGGTCGTTTGAGAAGCTCTTCACAGGACAAAACACGAACCAGCGTATCCGTCTTCTTGAGGCAGAATACACAGCTTTGGGACCCCTGCCTGAGGAGGTACGACCGATTTACAGACCGGCGCAGTCAGAACTTAGCCGTCTCCATGCTGAGTTTTCTAACGTGCTGAAGGCTGTCACTGGTCCTACTCTGGCCTCTGGTCTGGAAATCCTTGATGAAGATCCTGCTCGAGCGACCGAGGAGCTGCAACTTGTCAAAGAAAACGTCCTAAGGCTCTTGGACCGACTTTCTGCTCGTTTCGAAGCATACCAGGATATGACACGACCCACCGCGAACCTTCTGCGCTGCCTCATGATTGGACTCTCACTATGTGATGCTGCATCAGCCCGTAGCTTGGCGCCTGCATCCCAGCAGATCCTTGAGGTGACTCCTTTCCTCGGTGGAAGAATGTGGAACCAAAAGGATGGCGATTTCTCGTCTAGAACATTTGAGTTCTTGAACTACATGTCGGTAGTCGTTAGTGTTGAGGGTATCGAGAATATTGGACACCATGCTCGCGAAATGGTCTTCAAGAGCTTCCATAGCTTGTTCGATGAGTGGACTAAGCGACTTGAAGTGGACCGTAAGGAGCAAGCTGCCAAGGGTAGCCTGTATCGCTTCCGAGGTTCTCTTGAAGACGAAGAAGAGGTTGATGCGGAAGAATTCAACGAACTTTTTCCTACCTTTGACGAGGAAGAAGCCGCAAACGTCCCTTCTGCCAAGAAGCAAGATGAAGTCCGCGACCAGTCGCTGCGAGTGGCTCAGATCCACAAGAACCTCTTCCTTGACCGTCAGGAGTTTGGCACATCTCTCAAGGAGGCTTCCAAATCCGTTGGAGACAGGATCACATCAGAGACTATTGATCACAAGAACATCGACCGGAACCTGACAAGCAAGATGCTGCCTGGCACTATGCTCTACCTGAACGACAAGCTTGATTCTCTTATCTCATCCACCGTGGACAAGTCTTACAACTTCTACACAAGTGCTAACGTCCCTGAAGCTCGTCGACTCGTCGACCTTATGCATAAAATCAAGGCTCGGTTCCGTGAGCTACAGATGGTTGATGAGATCGGTCATATGCAACCGTTGGCTGATGTCATACAAGCTTGTGACCAGGTCCTCGAGCTTGTACACTCGGAGCCACTGGCCAAAATTCTCCCCAAGGTTGAATACCTTCACAGTCATGTGTACGAGTGGCAATTTGGCGGATGGGCTAGCAAGATATACGGTGTTCTTACTCTCCACAACCTCCTCACCGACACAATCATCCGTTGGCGGCGATTGGAACTTTCAACCTGGGCCAATCTTTTCGATATGGAGCAGAACAAATGCCAGGATGATGCTTATTCATGGTGGTTTGTGGCTTACCAAGTTGTTATTGCTGTTCCTCTATCGTTGGTCGACGCCCCTAAAGAGATGGAAGAGTATGCTTCTTCTTTGATTTCGAGTCTAGAAATGTACTTCTCGACCGCGATCGTTGGCCAATACGGTGCTCGTCTGGCTTTACTGCAACAACTCCAGAGCCACCTGAAGTTCTTGACTAATGACTATCCTATCCTTGACGTCGTTCTTCAGGCGCTGTCCAACTTCATTCAGTACTACTCTCGTTACGAGAAGATCATGGATGAAGCCGTTCACAAGGGTCGCACTCCCCTCGAGAAGAAGATGAAGGACGTTCTCCTGATGGCCAGTTGGAAAGATACAAATATTAACGCCCTTCGGGAAAGTGCCCGCAAGTCTCACCAGAAACTCTTCAGAATCGTCAGGAAGTTCCGTGGTATTCTTGGTCAGGAGGCGAAACAAATCATTGACCAGGGCCTACCTGATCAGAACGTGCGTCACGCAAACTACGCCCGAGAGAAGCCCGCCACTGCCAGTGTTCCAGCGGAAGTCTTTTCTAAACTAACTCAGACTATGCCTGGATGGATTGATAGTCACAAACGACTTGCCAACGTCTCAAAGACAGTATCCGTTATGCGCAAGATTTCAGAGAGCTCAGACATGACTAGCGAAGTACCTCAGACTGTCGACGAGTTTGTTTCTAGCGTGAACGAGTCAATGGCGGAACTACGAAAAGAGACGCCTGCGTTCCTGAACGATGAGAATAAAGATCAAATCAAGCACCTCAAAACAAGAAAGAGAAAGCTGTTCGCGGATACCCTGCGTGATCTTCGACAGATGGGTCTCAAGCACAACCTCGGCCAAGACAAGCTTGCTGAACAGGAATCGTTGTCAGTTGTCCTATCAGCGATTAAGCCCGTCCAGCTTCCCCAGCATACTTCTACCGAAGCGATGGAGTACTACCTGCACAAGATTCTCGATCTAGCCCCCAAGGTTAGACTGGCTTTGAGAGACCATTCGCAGGATCTTACCAGCGCTGAGATTGGGCGAAGTGTTGGCTTCTTTGAAGGCATGCTTAACCTCCTGATCTCTCAGAGAAACTTTATCTCATCTGGAGGCTTGTCCCTTTCGCAACTCAAACAGTCAACAGTGCAGTTCAACCATCTTGGACTTCTCCAGGAACATGGTGCTCTTGTTCACAAGACAACAGTATCTGACTGGACACGCCTACTTCCATGGCTGGTACAGATTCTTCAATATGCCATTCGCTTGGTCGTAGTACACGGCAAACTGGGAGAAATAAATCACGTCGCGGTTCTGGAGCAGCTTAAGTCTTGGTATGGACGGTTTGACTTACTTCAGACCTCGACTGTCAGCTTACAACAACTTCCAGAGGGCCTGTCCTCTGAAGCAGCCGGCGAGACTGAAGCCAAGTTTATCAGTGAACTGGCCAGCTTCCGCAACGTCCTTGAAGAGTTGATCACAGAGCAGCCGAAACTCTCCTTTGTCCTGGCACAAATTGCTGGCTGGACTGTGATCACTGAGGAAACTTCAGGTCTGACCTCCGATACTCTGGAGCTTGGTACCTTTGCCAATGCTATTGCGACACTTTGTGACAAGATTCTTGTCGCGATTGAGGGCGCAAAGAAGGTCGCAAGAGATATCCCGCGCAAGAAGGACGAGCCTGCTTGGCTTACCACCCACAGTGATGGCTTCGTCAATCTCTTTACCAAACTTCGTACTGCAGATATTGAGAGAAGCGTGAGCAGCTGCATTCAGATGCTTCAGCTAATTCAGCTTCATGAGCAACATCTCAGCCAGGCAGCAATGAGCCTTATGGCCATCGCAAGCCCAATCGTGAACGAATATGTCGACTTCTCTCAACAAAGTTTAATGCAGATTGTTGATATCCACAGCGCTATTGCGCATATGGCCTACAACATGACGAAGACTCTAACTACAATTTCTACTCAAGGATTCTGCACACCAAATGAAAAGTCTGATGAAACCTCAAACGAGTCTGGCAAGGTGGAGTCCGGAACTGGTCTTGGTGACGGCGAAGGTGCTGAAGACATTAGCAAGGATATCCAGCCTGACGAAGATCTTTCTGAGCTCGCTCAGGAAGCTAACAAGGAGGAGAATGGCGAGATTGAAGATGAGAAGGATGCTGTTGACATGGCTGATGAGGAGCTTGAAGGAGACATGGGCAGTGTTGATGGCGCCGACGACGACGAAGAGGGTTCCAAGGACGGAGATGAAGAGGAGGAGGAGAACGAAATGGACGAAGAAGCCGGAGATGTCGATGATCTTGACCCTACTGCCGTCGACGAGAAGATGTGGGATGGAGATGACGAAGAGAAGGCCGAAAAGGACCAGCAGGGCGAGAAGGCCAAGGGTCAGAAGAAAGACGATGAGCAGATGGCTGCAGACGAAGATGCCAAGAAGCAAGACGGCGAGGAACAACCAGATGTTGACGAATCTGGAGAACAGGACCCCGAGGAGGAAGAGATTGGCGACGAGGAAGAGGATGTCAAAAACCAAGAGGAGATGAGCAAGCAAGAACAAACTGCCCAGGAAAACGACACCTTAGCACTCCCTGAGGATATGGAGTTGGATGCCAATGAAGATGAGGAGCCTGAATCAGATAGCGATGGCCTCGACGATCTGTCGGATATTGAAGAGGAGAAGAAGGAGATGGAGGACCAGGATATGGGTAATAATGAGGAGGAAGATGAAGAGGATGATGCCGCAGTCCAGGCTCAGCTTCAAGACGAGGCTGGGGAAGAAGCACAGGCTGAAGAAGACGAAGAAACCCCTGAAGAAGAAAAGGCGGGCGGCAGAGATGAGGTTGACGAGGAGGTCAAACCTGAAGAAGAGGAGAAGGTTGAAGAGCAGGAAGACGCCACAGACCAGAACCAGCCACCTCAAGACAACGCTACAACGGATACCGATAACGCTGCGCCGAGCGATGTCAAGAGCTCTGGCCAAGACCAGAATGCGGACTCGATGGATGTTGACGATAACTTCCAGAACAACGCTGCCCAGCAAGAGGATGGCGAGATGGGAGAAGGCGCCGCTGACCAAGACACAAGCGCAGGCAACCAGGGATCTACGTCGCAGTCGAAGGAGATTATGGACAGGGCCGAACAGGAACAGGACAAGCCGGACTCAGCACGCAGCGATCCCTTCAAGAAGCTTGGAGATGCCCTTGAACGCTGGCATAGACAGCAGGAAGACATCAAGGACGCTGAACCTGCGGAAGCCACCGAGCAAGATGCGTCACAAGATCCAAGCGCCGACCAAAGCCGCAAGGAATTCCAGCATCTTCAGGACGACGAGACCGCTACGGATACTCAAGCTATGGGAACTGCAGATGATGAACAAGTACAACCCATCGACGAGTCCATGGCTATCGATGAGGAGAAGCAAGATCCCACAAGCCGCCTGATGGAGGAGGACAAGGATGAGGCTGAGCAAGATCCGGACAAGATGGACACCGCGGACCCGGCTGATGCGCTAGATGCCAACAAGCAAGACACAGACAAGGACGAGGACGATACCCGCTCAGGAGTCAAGACACGCCAGGGCAAATTTGACCGCGAGCCCAGTCCCTCAGAGCAAGAGGCGCAAATGGAGGAGCAGGACGAGGATGAGACAGACATTCAGGAGACATCGACTCAACTCTCCACAACACACATCTCGGATGAGGAACGACCCCTCCGGAATTTTGGCGAGTCGATGCAGCAGTGGAGCGAGTTCCAGACCAAGACACATTCACTCTCTCTGGCCTTGACATCTCAGCTCCGACTTATCCTTACACCTTCGCAGTCGACCAAACTCTCGGGAGCTTTCCGTACCGGTAAGCGGCTCAACATCAAGCGTATCATTCCATACATTGCATCAAGCTACAAGCGGGACAAAATCTGGATGCGACGCAGCATCCCGACCAAGCGAACCTACCAAATCTTACTCTGCGTTGATGACAGTAAGAGTATGGGTGAAACATCGTCGGGTACCCTGGCGATGGAGTCTCTTGTTATGGTATCGCGCTCTCTTACTATGCTGGAAGCTGGACAAGTTGGTGTTATGGGCTTCGGCAAGGACGTCTTCACGGCCCATGGCTTAACAGAGCCTTTTGCTTCGGATGCCGGAGCAAAGGTACTGCAGAAGTTCAACTTCTCTCAAGACCGTACCGATATTGCACTGCTCATCCAGCGAACTATTGAAACGTTCAGACTGGCGCGACAGCAGGGTACTGGCAACGCGGATCTCTGGCAACTGGCGCTCATCATGTCGGACGGACTTACACCTTCCTCGGCCCACGAGGGCATCCGCAGGATGCTGCGAGAGGCTATGGAGGAGCGTATCATGATTGTGTTCATCATCATGGATGACACGGGCAAGAAGAAGGGTGACAGCGTTCTTGAGCTCAAGGAGGCCAAGTTTGTCCGAGATGGTGGAGAGAGCAAAGTGGTGATTGAGAGGTATCTGGATACGTTCCCATTCCAGTACTACTTGATCGTTCATCATCTCGAGGAGCTGCCAAGCGCGTTGGCTGGCCTGTTGCGAACATGGTTTGCTGAGGTCAATGCTTAAGCTAAAAGGATTGTTTCCTATGTACAAGACAGACAGGCAGGATAAGATGGTTGGTTGATAGACAGCTGCATATATCGGAGTTTAAGGGATTGTCTCACTTGAGTTACCATTCTTGATAAAAGTAGGGGGGAAGATTGTTTCTGGTGGGAATAGAACAGATTTTAGTTTAGAGATATTAATTTGATCTAATTGTTCACGAGACTGGCCTTGAATGGATGTTGTGATGTAGTTCTGTGTAAAAGCCTGTACTCCAGACTCACAAGTACAGTCCCGTACAAAACTTTTAAAACGGGCTAACTAAGAATATATACAGTATTATCCTAAGATTGCTTACAATTATATGAAATAAAAGACTTTTAATAATTTAGATCATTTATATAAAGGAAGTTGTCGGGATGTTTGCACATCTCCTGTAATATTGTAGAGTTAGTAGATATATGGTCTCTAGTCTCTACACAAAGATGCAGTACTATGAGAAACTAACAGGCTTTTGGATACGTGGACTATATAAAGACCTTGAAGTCAACTACATGTATTTAACATCTATATAAAGTAACAAGACCAATGGAAGTGTTGTGATGCTACTAGATATGCTGAGACAAAGACATCTATTAATGTTAACCTTGGTATCCAATCACTTCCGTCCCGCGCTATTGGAATGCATTCCAGTGAGGTGGAGCGCTGCAGACCCTGACGGCATTCCTTAAAACGCCACTAGCCCGCTAATGCACAGCGGCCGATCCCCCCACTCTCGCACTGCCGTTCCCCCGCGCTGCGAGCTAGGTCAAATTTCCGGGCATCAAATGGAAAGTTCCCCCTCCCTGTTTGACCTCAAACTCCAAATGTCTCACATGCCGAACACCGGCTACAGAATTTGACCGAGACTTTTGGAATCGATAAAGAGGCCACTGCGAATAATTTAGAATTAAGGTTTCCTATTGTTTCTCTGTTGTCTTTTAAACTTGATCTATTTTCTTGAGCTCCTTGTGGCTATGCAAGTGCTCTCAACAGTTCTTGTTCGACGTGGGATATCTCGGCTTGCTATCGGTTCGCGGGCTGCTACGGCACATATCAGCAACTCTACGACAACTCGATTGGTTAGGGGGTCTATTGGAGGAACCGTTGCGACTCGCGCTTCTCCTGGATATACTTTACAGTCACGCGCCATGTCTTCACCAGTGCAGGGCGAACTGCGGTTCAGTAAGTTCAATTGTTAAAATGGAGAGGAATAGATCCAGGTACTGACTTGTGCTGTCCAGAGAACCCAAGAATATTGTACGTCAAGTAACCACAAGCAAGCAGCCAACCATCCACCTAACAAAAGCCCATGCAGCGTCTGCGATATTCAAGAAAAGTTTAGCAATGTCATTTACGAATTCGATAGCATGTATGTTCTTCCTCCCCCTATGTGACCGTAAACACCAACCCAGCTAACTAACCGCCAACAACCAGCGTCCTCACGACCCAAAAGCTCCTCAAGTTCGCAAACTCCCTCTCGGTCCCAGTTGTAACCACAACACAAACCTCAGCCAAGCTCGGCCCTACGGTTCCCTCTCTCGCCCAACTCCTCCCCTCGAAACCTCACGACAAGACACGCTTCTCCATGGCTATCCCCTCCGTCACCGCCGATTTACCTCCGAGCTCCGAGATCGCTCTCGTTGGCATCGAGTCCCATATTTGCATTACACAGACAGCGCTCGATCTGCGCGATGCGGGCCATAAAGTGTATGTTATTGCGGATGGAGTCTCGAGTTGTAACCCGCGCGAGGTGGGAATTGCGTTGGATCGATTGCGCGCTGAGCCAGGGATTACCGTTACGTCGAGTGAGAGTTGGATGTATGAGTGTGTAGGAGACTCGCTGCATCCTGCTTTTAAGGGTCTTTTTGGTGTTGTCAAGGAATCATTGGCTGACACCAAGAAGGTTTGGCAAGCATTGCCTCCCGAGTCCAAGATCTAGGCAGAGTATCATATTTCTTAGTATATTAGAGAGCTGTGCTATACGTAAATTTGCATGGTATAAAGATGGCGATTGCCGCCAAACGTTTTATTTATTTTTCATCTTTTTTATGTCTGACAGGAAAGGGTGTAAATGTCCTTTCCCCTATGTGATCTCCTCACTGCTTACTTCATTACGTTGGATCACCATGATCATTCATCTTCCCCTATTCAGAGCTGTCATCTTGCAACTCGACCATCTGTCACCATGACTCTTTAAAGCAGACCGCGAAAGCCTCCAATCTGGAACCAATAAGACAGGACAAATAAACGTTGTCTTGATAGTTTTTCAGTCTGCGCCTGCGGTTGTCTTGACCTTCGTTGTTGGTTTCATCCATGAGAACGCCGAAGCAACTCCGACAGGGTTGGCCGACCTGGGCAAGCTGCTGTTGGTGCCAGTACTATTAGTACGTCCTTCGCGGCTTGTAGGCGGCGCTGGCTGCGATAGCGGTTGCGATAGTGGTTGCGATAGTGGTTGCGACTGCGGCTTATAGTCGCTGCCCACGCTCACCACGCGCTTCGCCTCCCAGCGATTAGCAGGACTGGCGCCATTCTCTCCGACACTGATTTGGCTCTTACGCCGTCCTTCTCCAATTCCCTTGGATGAAGGCGGAGTATCGAATAAAGAGCCAGTCCTGGAAGATGACTTCTGAGGCCTAAGGACTTTCATGTTGCGACCTCGACCGGCAGGCTGATATCCGCTCAATGAAGCATCCCGTTGCGAGCCATCTGCTCCGTTGCCTGGGCCATGACGCCAAGATCCCCATATGGCTGAGGGTCCGTCTCGTCGAGGGGCTTCAGATGCGGCATGTCCAGCAGCAGATTCTTTGATGTCCAACTCTTCGCCGTCTGTAGCCCTGCGAGATCTTTCACTCTCTGCACCGGACAGGCTACCTCTTGAGCTAGGGCGCTTAGTCAGAGCTGCTTCAGTCGCCAGTGGGGACATCTCGCTGCGAGCTTCATAGTCCTGGTGAGGGGCTTCCATATCAGGGATGCTCTCCTGACTGGCCTGGCTGAAGTCACCCGAGATGAAGGGGGCTGCATTGGCATTCAGCTTGGGCTTTTCGGGAAGGACGTTGGTCGTGCAGAGATTGCGGAACACATTTTCATCTTCTGGGCGGACAAATGGAACCTGAATTCGCTCTCGCTCGTCGCCGCGAAGGGTCATTGTGTTCTGAGAAAAGAGAATATCCGCAGAATGAGCTCTCAGAGCATCGCTACCCAAGAAGATGCGGATTGCCTTGCGATCCACGGGCTGGGTGGGCTGTTCAGTAATTCCAGGAACTTCAAAGAACACGGTAATTGAAGGAACTGGGCCTCGGGGGCTGCTAGAGCGGCTTCCGTGGTGTGTGACGACAGCCTCCGGGAAGTAAAAGTTCAGCCTCACACGATAGATGCCGTCGACGTCACGTTGAATTTCGTCCACTAGATCCAACTCTCTCAGCAGTGAAAAATCAACTGTGGACTTTTGCGAACCACTGCAGACGTCAGCATAGAGGAGTGTTGAATGACCAAAGTTAGGGGTCAGCCAACATCGCACAACTGAGGGCACTGTACCCAGGACAAATAGTGCTGGAGGCGGTCCAGGGATATCGAACGAGTCGTCGTCGTCATCGCCAACTGCAAAGTTGTTATCAAGTCCCAGACTGCTAGCTCGACCAGAAGCAACGGAGTGGTGAGAGTGCACCGAGTGCCCGGCCGAACTGTGTCGTCCATCCGACTTGTGAGACAACGAGCGCTCCATCATCAAGCCGCTTCCAGGGCGAACAGGTCCAAAGTCTCCCGAGTGACGGTTACTCGGGCCACCCCAGCTCGATCCGTGCAAAGCGCTCTCATCGAACCGAACACTATTGGCCCGTGAAGCAGCCCCTCGACGAACCGGCTCTTCTTCTGCTGGCCCAAGATGAAGAGACCCTAAAAGTTCCTCACCTTGCTCATCCAAGTCATCAAACATGTCATTGTGTGGAATAGAAACAGGTCCTAGTTGTTGTCAGGGGGTAATTGATGCAATACAGCAGGTAATGAACTCACCTGTCTGAGGCGTGCCACTCAAGACACCAGGAAAAGGAGAGTTCCAGACAGACTTCAGCGCGGCATCATCCGCCTGCTTCTTTTCCAATCGTAAAAGTCGTTCGGCATGATTGCTCTGGGTGTATTGCACTTGCTTCACTTCCATCTGTAAACTGTACAGATCTTCACGAGAAACAGAGAATCTGGGATCCATCCCCAGAGCAGGCTCAAATAGAACAAGGCTGAGTTCAGGTGTTGAAGAGGTCAATTGACTCCAGATTGCAGATCGGCAGCTCGACTAGCGAGTTCGGTGAGAGATTGAGATGTCGGATGGTAAGAGGGGATATCGTAGACGCTAGCAGGCAACGAATGGCAGACAAAACGATAGGCTTCAACCGTATAGCATGGGCTCAACCCGGCACTGCTTCGGTGCACCGACAAACAAATTGGTCCTTCCGACCTCGATCCCCAGTTAAGAATTAGTTCACGAGGTCCTCCCTCCCCGCCGCATCGCCTGGTGTAGACCAAAAGGCCCTCGGCAAGCAGAGTGCGATCTGGAAAATCGCCTTTGTATGGGAAAGCAAAGATCTCTGAGCTCGACGATTGATAAGTATCAGGGTATATGATCGCTAAATGGAGCAATAATCGATGGAGCCAGCTCTGGAGTTTGCGATCTCAAGTTGTGATAGCTGTGCCTGTAATGCTCGATAGAGCTTTAGTGTTTGTCGAGGGTGTCTGGCAAGTCACTGGCCGAAAAGATGATATTTCCAATAGGATAAAGATATAGGCGTGAAGCTTGGCGAGGTGGAAAGACGAGAGAGATTAATGAGGTATCAACGCAGGCTGACTTGGATACGAGCGATAGGAGTCGGGGTTAAGCGTATAGGTGTCGCAAAGCGGGCAAGAGATCAAGGCCAGTGTATCCGTGTTAGGAGATCGTTTTACGAGGAGAAAGAGTCAATGTTGGGTGTTTTGTGTATTCGGAAAGGGTCGTGATGCCGCTTGTAAAGTCGTAGAAGTGCGTCGGGAGGTGGAATAGGATGAATTAGCAAAGTGTGAAGTGTAAATAGCGTCTCGAGGTTGAATTGGATTAGATTCGTCGAGGGATGGAAGCGACTCGAGGTGGAGGGAGGTACGTAGTCGATTTCGAGGCGGCACGCGCTAAGCCCGTGGCGTGTCAAAGGTAAAAGCAATCCACTAAACACATTGAACGTCAGGGGTGCTAGCCACTAAAGCGAATCCAGTGGAAGCCGCCCGCCTTAGGTGAGGAGCCGTCATGACAGGTGCTGCAGGAGCTCACTACAACTGGCTGTAGGCTACCCTGCCATACGTAACATGGACTGTTCCAAACCACACAGCATGTCGGTTCCGTTGCTCAACTACACTTATGTCCAACTCAGGTCTCTCATACAGGTGAGACCGCAGAAAACACGAGCCAGCACCTCAATCGCCTTGTCTTTACGGATACTTCTTACGGTGTCTGGGTGTACAGGAAGGGGTACACTTCATTCTGTGGTAGTGGGGTAAAGATGTCTTGGCATCCGATACCCAAGCTACGCTCTCTAAGGGATTATTGAAGATGAAAGATGCATTCTGTTATTCAAGAATTTCATCTACAAGTCTTTCTTTAGTCGCCAGTGTTAAGGCTGGGCGCGAGCTCAAGCAGTTCTCGCCAGTCAGGAATCGCAAATCCCCTGCGATCATCGTCTGGAAGACCGTGCCACTCCTTGCCAATCAACGGTTTGAGAGTCTCGTAAAACACTTGATATCCTAATCCACTCATATGAAGACCATCGTGGAGAAGATCGTCCAGACCACCTTGCTTGCCGTTCTCAGGGTCACCTAGAAACGGTCCCTCAGGAGTATAGTCTCCAGGCGCGAGGGAAACGGCCTTATCCATCTGTGCCTGCCACAGGTCAACAAGAACCACTTCTGGGTTTTCTCGTGCAACTTGACGAGCAACTTCGGCATATGCTGCGGTGACAGTGGACGTTCGAACTGCGCCCTTGTGACCATTTTCTATGGATCGAGGTGTCGACTTGATCTCATCGAGAGGAGGGGGCGTCACGAGTAGAATCTGAGGCTTATGAGCAGCGATGTGCGGGTGGTTGACAATCTTTGTGAGGTTTGTCTTGTAACGGTCAATAGGAACATGCTGCTTTGTGAAAGCATCTGGAAGCACAGCATCGTTGGCGCCAAACAGGAGAACCTGGTATGGTTAGGTAAATGAACTTTATTTCACATAAGGCAATGATCATACCAAATAGTCCATCTTAGGGGATGAAGCTGTACGCTCTGGGAATACGTCTGGAAGATACCTCAGAGCGATATCGGTGTTGAAGCCGGAGTAGCCTCGGTTCACGATATCCAAACGTCGGATGAAATCTTGGTGCACATGTCAGATCTAGCTTCATTTACGTCCATACCAAGGGTTCCTACCGGACTGCAGGGCAGCTTGGAAAGAGAAGCCCTCTTGGAGATCTGAGCATTGCTGGAACAAAGAGTCTCCAAAGAGAACAACCTGGGGGACTGTGGACTGAATGAAACATGTCAGCGTCTTAATTTTTGGGAGATGATGGAAGTTAAATAATTCTTACAGCCATAATGTAGAAGCCAGCTATGGTTTAGCTTTTTGAGAAACTCTCACAGTTGGGGGAAAGAGGTGAGATATAGAATCCTGTCAAATGGTGAGACTCTTGCGAGTTTCAATAGCCTCAATAATGCGGCTAAATACCTTAGGAATAACATCTGTCCCACCCGTTCCGCCTGTGCTTGTGTAGCCCGTTGTGGGGGTTTCGAGCCAATTATATATCGTCGATAGTAGGTTAGAGCATGAAGCCGAGAGTGGACCAAGGGATAACAGCTGTGATACGATAAAGTGATGATTTGGTGACCAAGGATACTCAGTTCGGCACTAATAAACATCGGATATTGTTGATGAACCTCACACAAGTGCTGCTGTTAACTACGGATACAGTTCACTAGATACCCGTCCATGGATGTAAGTTAAGTGCTTCAGCACTGCTAATCTCCCTGCAAGTTTCCAAGCTTCCTAACTTAATGTGTTTTACCTGGATCTGTTTATAAAGATACTAACACCTAAGCGAACAAGAGAAAACAGCCAATCTAAAGAAAGAAACACTCCCAGAAACCATTGCTAGGCAGAAATCAAACCAAGGTTGTCAATGTCAATGAGCGGAAATGGTGGGGCCGAAAGAACACCTACTAAAAGTCTACAATTGGGTATTTGGGTATCCAATGGGGTCACAGACAGAGTGAACATTTTAAACTTATTTGCTCGAGATCTCAATGAAACCAGATGATCCAAGCAACACACTATCTAAACATTATGACCCATGCACGTTATAATATTGAGTTTTTATAATTAACGGCGCAATAGGTTAGTACTCTGTACTCTGTAGTCCCCAGTACCTAAAAGTGGTTACCATATCCGTATGTGGGGTACAGTGGATCCATCTCCTTATCGATAAAAAAAGTTAGTCCCAGGCCTTACTTTTTTCTGTCGCCAAAAAATTTCCAGGCCTGCCTCACTCTGATGCTATCACCGACCTCCATATCAACATCTTCCCGCCATCTCCCGCCTAGAGCCTGAGGTACAGCCCTAAACATCATGGCGACCTCTCTCGCTGCTCAATTGGCGCAGGTGGCCGCCAATTCGAAGTCGACTCTCAACGTCAAGGCGCAAAAGGCTTCCCATTCCAAGTCGCTGATCTGGGAGCCTCGAGTCGCCGCTACCCAGAGTTACCAAACTCTTTACACCACCTGCTACCAGGGTTTCGAGGAACTCTGCCAGCTCGATGCTCGCTTTGCAGCTTTCCAGTCCACCATCTTCAGCGAGGAGAGCCAGAGCCAAGATCGCACCCAGCTCACAGCCTCTGAGAATGAGGAACTGGATCGCAGAGTTGAGGCCTTCCTGCGTCTTGCGGGTAGCCGACTCAGGCTGATGCCCGCGATCAAGTCTATCGAATGGCTTATCAGAAGATTCCGGTAAGGCTGCGCATTGTTTGTTGGCGCGGAAAACACAAACTAACGTTTCGTAGGATTCACGAGGAAAACACACAGGCGTTACTGCTCACTTTCTTGCCTTACCATTCGATACCAGCATTCGCGACTCTCTTGTCTATTCTACCAAGCAAGATTCCTCACGACTTCCGCTTCCTCGACCCTTATATCCGCTCCGCCACCTCTCCTCCCCGATCTGTCTTGGTCCGACAGGCTATTCAGCATCCTGCGTTCCTGACTCTTATGTCTGAGTACACCCTCGAATCATGCCGAATGCAGTACAACTACCCTACTTTGATCTCCTTCTGGGCCGGTCTGATGACAGAGGCAGTCAGTGGAATCTTGGATAAATCTAGGTCAGGAAGAGCCGCAGTTCAGAGTGAAAACGACCAGGCTTTGCTTCACCGATTGGGACCTATCTTCGCCGAGTCCCTGGTTATGAAGAAGGTTCCTAGTATTCAGATTGGTTCCTACATGGCCATCGCTGTCTTCGTTGCCAAGGGCAATCTCGAGGACAACGCTGTCACCGCGTTCATGGACCAAACGGTCTATGGTTGGACTAACGACACTGTGCGGCCTGCTCTTGTCTGTCTCGCTATCCTTGCGCAGTACCGATCTGCCAAGCAAATGAGCGGCAAAACCACAAAGGCGCTTATGAAGGTTACAGATATCGGAAACCTTCTTGTCGAGATTGGCCAGGAACGCAGGGTCGACAAACTTGCCAACGGCCTTTGCCTTGCTTTGATCGAGAGGCTTACCAAGAAGGGTGACGCCCGAGGTTTGGCGACTATTATTACCATTCTCAGCAGCTCCGTTCTGAAGGACAAGCAAATCGCCGTTGTTTTCAAGTCACTTATTCTTACCGCGCATCGACTCAACGACGACAACGATGAGGACGGAGCCCTGCGACGAGAACTTGGCTCAGCACTTATTGCCCTGTCGCAGAACACCGGCAAATCTGGCGACACTATCCAGTCCGTTATCGAGGAAGTCAAGTTTGATATTGAGGAGCTGGAGATGAAGCTCGACCTCTCATTCCGATCGCGACGACTACCTGAAACAGTCAAGGACGACCAAGATATCACCAATGGAAACGACGAGAAGAAGGCGCCTCAAGATCTGAGTCTGTTGCTTAAGGAGCTTTCGGACCGATCCGAATCACTCTCTCCTTGCCTTGTACCGCAGCCAGGCGAGATCTTCGACGAATTCAGCCATATCTTCTTTTCTGTTGTTTCTCAGAGCTCACAAAACTCCGACTTGCTGTCCGAGTTTGAACTAAACCCCAAGCTCCACCGACAAAATGCCTTCAAGGATTGCACATACTTGAGTTTCTTTATTCGCATTTGGAGCGGCCCTTACCCAGCGTTGGCTCGTGTTGCGGCACTGGATATGGTTAAGAGGAGGCTCAAGGTTGGTGATGCCGGAAAGACTGATCTACAGGATTTGCTCCCCTACTGTATCTCGGCCCTCAGCGATCCTTCCAAGCGCGTTCGTCAATCTGCTGCCGACTTGATTGCTGTCCTTACTGGTCTCTACACTCCCCCAGTTCCTTCCAAGGGACTTGATCTCTGGGGTGAACAGAGCCTATACGGAAAGAACAAGGAATTTGCCGCATTGGCACCCGATGTTGTCGCCAAAATCCTTCACCTTCAAATTCTTCCCACAGTTGAGGAGTGTGTCATGGATCCTGAACACATTACAGCCGTCCTTCGCACCGCAATCGAGCAGGGCAAATACCAGTCCAAGCCTGACCTTGCATTGGACAAGAAGGACCACTTGTCTCAACCGGGAAGACTGTCTCTCCTCCAGTTCCTTGCTTCGCACATTGTCAACACGCCTTTTGTCGTAGTGAAGAGCAGGCTCTTGAAGACAGTCAACGGGGTCCGAGGCGTCAGCACTACAACAAGAACACAACTGCTGCTCCCTGTTCTGCAATGGTGGGCTGGCCTGAGCGATGATGAGGCGGATAAGCTCTGCAGCTCGGAGCGTCTTGAGAAGTCGGATATGGACAACTTTTTCGTTGATGTCGTGGTTCCTAACGATGTCACCGGATTGGAGTTTTTCTTGGAGTTCCTTCGGGAGCCCAGCCAGAGGGAAAAGGCCGATCTTGTTCGTGCCGTCTTTGCTCGCATCAAGAAGATGTGGTCTTCAATGAAGCCTGACGTCAAGCACACAGCTGCTGAACAGTTGCTGGAACTCTCGCAGGAGCCGGCTGTCTCACCTGACGATAAATCAGTCGTTTCTGCCGAGGCTGCTGACCTGTTGAGAAACGTGCGACTCACTACTGATATTCTCGACGACTTCCTCAAGTCCATCCAGACTGGAACCAAGATGGTCACTGAGCCTCCACCCAACAAGCGACGCCGAACTAGCGCCTCCGGAGGTGACCGCGGTCTCGTCACCCAAGTCACTCCTGAACTTAGCCAGGCGCTGCGAAAGGTCACATTCGTCCTTCAGCTGGTTGAGAACTCTGAACCTGTTGAGCACCCACAACTTCTGGATGGCCTGTTCACTGCCCTCTCTGAGCTCCAGCACTTTAGAACGCTTGTTGGATCCGAGCTGGGCTACCTGCAGAACCTAATCCTTCGAAGTCTGCTTGCCATGATGCCTGCCTACAAGTCGAACAAGAAGCTCAAGATTGAAACCTCTGGCGGATACGGAGATCTACTTGTTAACTGCATCCAAAGGTCTTCCAGTCCCGTTGTCCAAAATGCTGCCCTCCTCCTGATTGCCAGTCTGGCCACCACCGCACCGAACTTGGTCCTTCATAGTGTCATGCCCATCTTCACGCTCATGGGTACATCAGTACTTCGTCAAAGCGACGATTACTCTGCCCATGTTGTGTCCCAGACTGTCAAGCAGGTTATTCCTCCGTTGATCGAATCTCTGCGCCAAGGACAGAAGAGCCCAGTTGCTGGTGCTTCTGACATCCTTGTGAGCTTCACAACCGCATATGAGCACATTCCCGCCCATCGACGACAGGGTCTATTTGTTGCCCTCGTCGAGACTCTCGGTCCCCAAGACTTCCTCCATGCCCTCATCAGCATGCTGGTCGATCGATACGGTCCCAGTGACGCTATCCTGCAGTTTATCATTGAGTTGTTGAACCATTTCAGCATCACCACACAGCTCGACACACTCGTCAAGCTTCTTGACTTGATCGCTGATCTATTCAGAGCTAAGCCTGGCATTTCTTTTGTTCTCCTGGGCATTAGCGATGACAAGGACGACAAGGATAAGGACCTTGAAGCAATTGCTCTCCGTCAGCTGTCGGCCTTCCCCAGCTTTTTGGCCAACAAGAAGCCCAGGGCACAGATTGGAGGCTTGATGGAGAAGGACGATATGGAGGCATCAAGACTGAGGGAGCTCTATGCCACCCTGCTCGAGAACATTCTTGTTCTGGCTGACACGGTCAAGTCGAGTAAGAATCTTCATGGCCGTTGCGGACAGGCTCTTTCCAACCACCTCAACTTGCTATCGATCGGAGAGTTCATCAAGGCTGTTGAGAACCTGCTTGACAGACCCGACATGGGTCTACGACAGAAGGTTCTCCGCGCTCTTGAGGTTCGGGTTGACCAAGAGAGCAACACTGATCCTGCATCCAGATCTGTCTTGTTGGCATTCCTTCCCCAGCTTACTGCCGGTATCAGAGAGTCAACCGACATGCGGTACAAGCACACTGCTGTCACTTGTGTGGACAAGATTTCCGAGAAGTATGGCAAGAAGGACATCGAGGCTGTTGTTGCTGCAGCTACCACAATTGCTGGCGAGCACTGCCTGGGCCAGTCTGAGGAGCGCCTCCGAGTTATGGCACTTCTGTGCCTTACCTCGCTCGTGGATGTTCTTCAAGACGCCATCGTACCCGTGCTGCCGAGCGCAATTCCCCAGGCAGTCAAGTACCTCGACGAAAGCCTGAAGGAGGATGCCCGTGACGAGGAGCTTCACGTTGCCAGTTACGGATTCATCAGCGCTCTTGCTCAACATCTTCCCTACATGCTTTCGACTTATCTCGACCGAATTCTGGAGGTTTCGAACAAGTCTGCTGAAACCGAGCTGGACGATGACGCGAGGGGAAGCCGCGTTGACTGTCTTCACTTCCTGGCCAAACAGCTCGAGGCAAAGGAGATCTTCTCGGCGCTGGACCGAAACTGGGAGAGTGCCAGAAGTGCTGGGTTCTCGGTAAGTTTAACAAATGTCCTATTTGAGAGAAACGTAGCTAATTATTGCAGGCTGTGGCTGAATATCTTGATGTGCTGGGCCTGGCTATTGACAAGCACCCCAAGTCAGGTATCTCCAAGAACGCTACGCTATTGTCGAGCATCCTCACCAAGGTGTTTGACCTTCGACGACAAGAACATGCCAAGGGCGAGCTCGGCGAGCAGGATCTTCTAAGGCTCAGTGCCATCGACGCCAGCGCCAACGACAAGGCCTTGAAGATGATCTACAAGCTCAACGACGCAGCGTTCCGACCAGTGTTTGTACAGCTTGTCGAGTGGTCCAACTCGGGCCTGTCAAAGAACGACCGAGTGGGACGCTCGCTGCGCCGATACAGCGTTTACGGATTCCTTGAGGCGTTCTTCGGCACCCTCAAGTCAATTGTCACCAACTATGCCACGTACATTGTGGACGATGCAGTCAGTATTCTCAAGTCGGTGGATCTGAAGAGCTCCGAGGAGCGACAGCTCTGGTCAAGGGTCCTACAGACCCTGGCCAACTGCTTCGAGCATGACCAGGATGACTTCTGGCAAGCTCCGGCCCACTTTAGTGCCGTCGGACCGGTACTGATGGAGCAGTTCTCACATGCCGGGACGGTGGATGTGACAGAGGATCTCATCCCTACAACAGTGGAGCTGGCCTCGGCGGCAGACTCACAGGCTCATCAGAAGGAACTCAACTCTGGTCTACTCAAGCACCTGCGATCCGAGTCTGCAGCAGTGAGACTAGCCGCGGTCAAGTGTGAACAGGCGTTGACAGATCGTCTGGGCGAGGAATGGTTGTCCATGTTGCATGAGATGCTGCCTCGCATCAGCGAATTGCAGGAGGATGATGACGAGGTGGTTGAGCGGGAGACACACCGATGGATCGTCAAGATTGAGGGAGTGCTGGGAGAGAGCCTGGACTCCATGTTACAATAGACATAGACACGGTTGGAAGATAAAAGGACAGAGAGATGTTAACACCATGAGGCGGACGAAGGGAGTTGTTTATTGAAAAGCCTAGTTGGAATAAGCAAGCTATGCTATGACGTAGGAAGTTTATAGTTAGAAAGTTTTTACTATGTAAAATGAAGACGGTTTTTATTACTATTATTTTATATTTTATTCGAGATGAATTTGCGCTTGCATGAGTGAGGGAGACTGAAAGAAAGGATGTGGTTTCGTTTAAGTGAGCTCAAGTATCCAATTTATACGGCATATGAGTCAGAAGTGAAGGTCATGCCTAGTAATAATAATCATGTACATTTCCTTACAATCACCTGCACTCAAAAACGAGAGAATATCTCGGATCCTTTGGTGGTTGATCGGACAGCCGGGCCCTGGGAAGGTTCCGGCTCCGCATCTCCGTGACAAGCACAAGCTTTTGAAGGTGAAGCTCCGGTGAATTATCGTTGGGCGAAGCGCTTCACCGGGAGGGCCGGGGGGTGCTCCACGGCGTAATCAAGTACCGTCTACAGGATCCTAGGCGGTTGATCTCCCGGGAGGAGGGTATTAGGTACAAGACTAGTACTTAGTAGTTATGTGCCAAGTTAAGTATGTAGAAACTACGTATGCGGCTGTGATGGCGATGGTTTATATAGCATGAAATAGCTAAGGGACCTAGCTAAGGTGGATGGGCTTAAGTACAGGTGAAGCCCGCTTAGTTACGGCCTTGACCAGCTCTCTATAATTCATTTATTAAATACCTTTTGCTTTATTCCCCTAAATTCAAGTTATATTGACCTTGTTTCTTCAGGTTTCCCTGGTGGATGCAGACTAGACAAGTGTAACACCCACTTACACGGCGAGACTTGCGGCACCGCTTTACCCACAGACGTATCCGTAAACACACCTTGTTTATTGGGGAGGAAAACACTGACTCTCTGAGTTTTGTGATATTGCGGATTCGTTGAGTCACGCGAGATTAAAATATGTTCGTCATGGTCGGTCTCGGGCACCAGGGATCGCGTTTATTGGTGAGATCTAGGGGAGTGGGAGTTGGTTGTAAGAGACTGGCGAGTACGGATACTCTCGCTGCTCATGATGGTGAGCAAGAGGACTGAGATCTCAAAGCTTGGGTCAATTGGCTTGTGCGTTGACTTCTCTGACTTAAGAGAAAGTTGCTTCGCATACCAATTGAGTTCCCAATACTTCGAAACTCCAAATAACTAATATGTGCTTCCGTCCAGGTTCAAAGGAGCGCATCGTGGTTCTAGGCTCAGGCTGGGCTGGATATGCCCTCGCAAAAACAATATCCCCTTCTCAAGCCTCCCGCATCCTCATCTCTCCTCGCTCACACTTCGTCTTCACTCCTCTGATTGCCTCAACAGCCGTTGGCACGCTCGAGTTCCGCGCCGCCGTCGAGCCTTGTCGCAAACTCGGCCTTACAGAGTTTCACCAGGCCTGGGCCTCGAACATCGACTTTGCTAACAAGACCATCACCATCGAGGCTAACCAACGCGATGGTATCACGGCTCGCTCGGGCAAGGACCTGCTAAAGGGTCTCGAGTTCCAGGTTCCGTATGATAAGCTTGTTGTGGCTGTTGGTTGCTACAGTCAAACCTTTGGTGTCGAGGGTGTCAAAGAACATGCTTGTTTTCTTCGAGACGCTACGGATGCTCGAACAGTACGTCTAAAAGTGCTGCAAAAGTTTGAGCAGGCGGCTCTACCCAACGCAAGTGATGCTGAGAGGAAACGACTCCTTCACTTTGCAGTTGTGGGCGGTGGTCCTACAGGCATCGAGTTTGCCGCTGAGCTCCACGATCTGGTGCACGAAGACTTGGCCAAGCTGTATCCAGAGCTGATGCCTCACGTCGCCATCACCATCTACGACATCGCGCCCAAAGTGCTGCCCATGTTCGATCGCAACCTGGCCGCGTACGCAACAAACATTTTCAAGCGAGCAGGTATTCAGGTCAAGACAGAACATCACCTCCAAGGTATTCGTCGCGACAACGACGTCCTCCTCATGCGCATCAAAGAAGAGCCCGAAGAGGTCGCAGCGGGTGTCGTGGTCTGGAGCACAGGTCTTATGCAGAATCCCCTCGTGGGACGCTTGGTCGGTCATGAAGTTGAGGGCCTGGGCAAGATTGCAAAGAACAGCAAAACAGGCGGTTTCGCTGTAGACTCCCATCTCCGCGTGCAAGTCGAGACGGAAGAGCAAGGTGCCAGCGGCAAACAAGTCCAAGTCACAAAACCTCTCCCAGACGTCTACGCCATCGGCGACTGCGCGAACATCGAAGGCCAAGCACTCCCAGCTACAGCGCAAGTAGCAAGTCAACAAGCGACATATCTAGGCAAAAGGTTCAACGCCGGAACGTCAGCCCAAGGTACCCCTACAGCGCCTTTCCAGTTCCGCAACTGGGGGACTATGGCGTATCTTGGCGGATGGAGAGCGATTCATCAAAACGGCGGTGATGAGCTCAAAGGTAAAGCGGCGTGGATTCTCTGGCGAACGGCATATTTGACAAAGAGTATGAGCTTGAAGAACAAGATCATGATTCCATTTTATTGGTTGATCACGTGGATTTTTGGAAGGGATATTTCGAGGTTTTAGAACCGTATAGATAAGGGACTTGTGATGTAAAAAGTATTTAACTGTAAGATACTATATTTAACGATGTTATTCATTGTAATTGAATTTTATGTAAATTACATTTAATTACCTATACGTACCTAGTGTTGGTGTTGCTAAGCCCCCTCCTACCCTATGTCATACCTCTATCACCTCACTTCTTTACCTCATCAACCAACTTAAGTCGCTCACATGTCACTCCACTCCTACAGCTCTTGGCGATATTGCCATAATTCAGTCTTTCTTATAAATAAAATAACTTCAACTTTCAAACTGTTGATCTGATTAATGTATGTCTCAATCTAAACTTAGCAGCTACCACACATTAACCCCGCCAGAGATATCCCAACCTCGACTGATCTCATCCATCAGCCATGACCAAACCCTCGGTCAATTACGGCCTCTACCTGGTCACAGACTCAACGCCCGAGGTCCTCGGCGACCGCAACCTCGAGGAAGTTGTTGAGGCTTCTCTGCGCGGCGGTGTCACTATCCTTCAGTACAGAGACAAGCACAGCGAGCGTAGTGTCGCCGTGGACACAGCAAAGAAGCTGCACGCCATTGCCCGCCGCTATAATGTTCCTCTTCTCATCAATGATCGTGTCGATGTTGCGGTAGAAGTAGGTTGTGAGGGTGTTCACATTGGACAAGACGATATGGGTTTGTAAAACACCTCCGTATACACAAGCCAGCAATGATCTGACAAGGTGACCCAGCATATGAAGAAGCAAGGAAGCTTCTGGGCTCAGACAAGATCATTGGCGTGACTGCAAGTTCAAAAGAAGAGGCTCTGAAAGCTTGCAAATCTGGCGCCGATTATCTTGGTATTGGAACAGTCTACTCAACCCAGACGTGAGTAATAAAGCGCACCTCATTTCGTCATCTTTTGACTCGACCCCTGACATAAACCAGCAAGAAAGACACAAAGTCAATCATCGGACCCTCAGGAGTCCGTGACATACTCTCGGCCCTTTACAGCGCTGGCTATGGCTCCATTCCTACAGTTTGTATCGGCGGCATCAACGCCAACAACACGGCCCCTGTTCTCGCCGCAGCCGGATCCCCAGTCAAGAGCCTCGATGGTATTGCCGTCGTCAGCGCTCTCATTGCCGCATCAGACCCAGCTGCTGCCGCCCGGGATCTATTGAGCAAGGTTATCGTTGCCAAAGTCCCAGAGGTTATAAGGGCCGTGGCCGATAAGACGCCTCTCTCACACAACATGACCAACCTTGTGAGTACAACTCTATCTATACTGCCACTACAACTTCTCACAACATAATACCAGGTCGTCCAGAACTTTGCCGCCAACGTAGCGCTCTGCGTTGGAGCAAGTCCCATCATGGCCAACTACGCCGAAGAAGCCGCCGATCTCGCCAAACTCGGCGGCGCCCTCGTCGTCAACATGGGCACTGTTACTCCTGATGGCCTCAAGAACTATCTGCAAGCCATCAAGGCTTACAACGAAGCTGATCGACCAATAGTTCTCGATCCAGTTGGGTAAGTTCCTTTTTTTATTTACCAACCCCCTTTAACATTTTAAACGTACATACAAACTCAAACTTTGCAGCGCTGGTGCTACCGCCGTTCGTCGTAACGCAGTCAAAACTCTTCTCGACGCTGGACACTTCACTGTCATCAAAGGTAACGAAGGTGAGATCCAAACCGTTGCGGGCGCCACAATCACCCAACGCGGTGTCGACTCGACCTCATCTCTCACTTTTGCCCAGAAGGCCTCGCTTGTGCGCTCTATCGCCCTACAGCGCCACAACGTTGTCGTTCTTACAGGAGCCGTCGACCTCGTGAGCGACGGAGTCCGCACGGTGGCCATCAGCAATGGACACCCGTATCTGGGAGAAGTTACAGGCACTGGATGCACTCTCGGCACAACCATCAGTGCTATGGTTGCCGCCTACCGCGCCGATCCCTTTCTTGCTGCTGTGGCTGGAGCCGTCATGTTTGGGCTCGCTGCTGAGCTCGCCGCCGAGAGGAGTGAGGTTCGTGGGCCAGGAACCTTTGTGCCGACGTTCCTTGACGAGCTGTACGGTATTCGACAGTCCACTGCCAAGGGTGACTTGCGCTGGCTGAAGATGGCAAAGGCCAAGACGGTGGAGGTAAACGTTGATGATGTCCCGGGTAACTGAATTTTGAGATTGTTGATATATACACAAAAAGTTTTGGATAGATAATTAGAAACGCTTCGCTGTCTTCAACAGACTTTGTTAGCAGTATGTAAAAAACAAGGATAGACTCAAAAAACGCCCATGCTATCTAACCACAATGGTACTGTGCTAGTACACGGATACCAATACAACCTTTGTAGATACATCAAATTAATGAGGTTCATTCAAAACACCAGGATCCCCAATGATGTTCCACACATTATAACCTCTCGTTGCCGCCGCTTGCCAAAAATCAACCCCTGAATCATCCATCAAGAAATCTTGACTAAAGTCGACAAGCTCCGAGTTCCCAGACCCTGCAAGTAGCCGTTGCCTCTCAGCCCTGACCAAGTCTCTTACCGACTTCAATTGCCTCACAAGTCTCTCGAACGGATCAGGCGGGGGTGTTGGAGTTAGAATCCCCGCAGGCGTCGCCGTGCCTAGCATGTTGCCATGTTTGCGGCGTCCGACAATTATGTCCAGATCTTGAGCTTGCTGAGTCATAACTTGCACCATGTCAAGCTCGCCGTGGATGTTGACAAGATTCCATCCTGGAAGCTGTAGCGTCACAACTTTGATACCTACAATGATGGTGTACACCAGCTCAGAAGCGCTCATGCATAGGAAGCGTGGACGTTCGAGTTCCCGGTGGTCGAACCGGATATCGAAGAATGTTTTGAGCGATCGGACACAAGCCCATAGAAGTTGGAGACGGTCAGTCAAAGGAAGATAGGATGCTGCGAAGTGTTGATCTGAGATGGCGACCTCATAAAGTAGCACTTCGGCAACATTGACATGGGTCTTGAGATTGTCTGAAGTATGTATGGTCAGAGTTAGGTCATCATCGGCGTGGATGACAAGTTACATACCGTTATCAGCCAATCGTGGGCCAATGGAATCTTTATATTGCTGCAATTGCTCCTCAAAAGACTGTACTACCATAGTCAACGGCAATTTGCTAACAGTCTGGCTTAGGTTCTCGGGCGACATGGCGATGGATATAGAATGTGCGAGCTGTTGAATGCGCACAAGCTTGACTAGATACTCATCGGACGGATACTGCATGGTTGTCTCAAGAACCCGGCAGCACATGTCCACATGGTTAGCATTCATGAGCACATCGGGCCGTTTGTTAGCTGTGAACACTCTGCACAAAAAGTCAGTCCAGCTTCATGAGCCAAGTGGCCAAACTCACAAAGTGTTAAGGTAATAAGTCCCGACATGGACTCTCATATGGTTAAGATTTTGATCCAATGCCTCACCCTGAAGGCTCGCATCTTCTTTGAACCTCAGGTTTACACATACAGCTCGAGCAAGGAACAGAAGATTCGTGACCTGCGAGCCCTTTAACGCATAATGAAACCTATAACGTTAGCAAGTCAGAGGAGGCTGGTGTAGGGATTCGTACATACCATGCTATCAGCATCTGCAGGCTCTGTATTAGGTCAAGACTGTTCAGCCCATCTATAACAGCTGCTCGGCCAATCTCAGCTAATAGCTCCTGGCCAAGCTTAACCTGTCTAGCTCCGTCGAGAAAGCACCCCACCATCATGACAGCCTTCCACAGGAATGGTCGATGCTCACGCAGCTCCAGGGCTGTCATATGTCCGGGCACACACACAAACGGGTATAGGCATGCATGGATGGTCCTATACCCATTGAGCAGCAACTCTGCTTCCCGGGGCGTGGGCCACCAGGAGTCCCATGGCCGTGCCTTGTCCGGAGCCGATGGTGGAGGATGTTGACCAGGGTTGTTGTCACTTTCTGGCTTTAATGGGAACAGATGATTGAATCCCCATGCTTCAGACTTTGATACAGGGTCTGGCTGTGCCTCGTCTGTTGGGGAAGCAGGCGAGGATTCTTCTGACGACTCACGCTGCACGTGTGACGATAGCTCTTCCAGGCGTTTCTCTAGAGCAGCTATCTTTGAAAGCTTTGGAATTCTACGGGGCCGGGCCGGAGCCGGAGTCTGGTTTATGCATTGCTTGTCCAGTCGGAGGCACCTTTAAAGTTGAGAATCTCGTGTCAGCAGCTGTACCTATCCACCAACTTACATACCTTATACACGACACATCATATGGGACGCGCCCAGCACAAACAGGGAGCAAAACCAGGAACATCTTATTGAAAGAACCAATCGTCATGACTTACCTGTCGCATTTGAGGCTTCCCAGAGGCCCCGGAACACACCTTGCCTTAGCTTTGGCGCATGTTGTGCAAGCCTTTGGCCCCTTGTTCTTGGCTTGAGCCGAGTCTGGATTAGGACTCATCTTGTCATCACTTAGATCCCTGGATTAGTGTCACAAAAGGAAAATAAAGTGGTTTGCAAAGGAGACGGAGTAGTAAACAACGACGACACCCGAGACACTGAACGATATTCTTCTGACCCTGGTCGCGTCTGACGTCCTTTGGCTGGTCTGAAGTTGTCGTTATGCAGGGATCTTGTCATTTAAACGGAGCCGGACCTGGAAATCTCGCCGATCCTCCGGCTCACGGCCAATGGACAAGCCTGACAAGCCAAGACTTCAGCCCTCCGTCGTCGTTTAGATACCGGCAGAACCTTGTTCCGAATGATAGGAGCAATGTTGTATGATAAATCCATCATATGATGATTTAGTTCAAAATAACATCATATATCCGTAGGACAGTCATGATAGCATATTCAATTCACAAAATCACATGAATAGTAGAAAGAAATAATGTGGGTTGTTGCGCCATATATCATATGATATGATAATGGGCATAAAATGTTCAATTCATATATCCAAGGAATAGGATAAATGGTAATAGATATCTCAAAGTGGTTGCTATATAGAAATGAAATTGTTCCTGCGCATCATTCAACATGCAGTGTGTTTGGGCTGCAAAGATTGCTCTGCGTTTAGGCAGCGGCAGCAGCCTCAGAAGCCTGCTTGAACTCAAGCTCCAGAAGAGCTTCAGTGACGCTGTTAACAGCGTCACCCTTGGCCTTGATCTGCTTGGTAGCATGCTCAACGTTGAGCTGCTTGTCTGTCCAAAGAGGCTCCTGGACGTTGTCCTCTTCACCAACACCGATGAAACCACCCTCGGCAGCCCAATCGGAAGTTCGCTTAATGTTGAGACGGTTCCAAATCTCATCAACGGCCTCGACAAGCTGGTCGCGGTACTCCTTGACGTGGCCAGGGGTAGGTGTAATGCGCAGACGCTCCTGGCCAACGGGGACAGTGGGGTAGTTGATAGACTGGACGTAGATTCCGTAATCATTCAGGAGCATATCGGAAGCTGCCTTCGCAGTCTCGGCATTGCCGACCAAGATAGGGATGATGTGGGAGGGGTTGGGGATGACAGGAATATCGCGGGCATTCATTGCCTCCTTCACAGCGCGGGTGTGCAGCTGCTGAAGTCGTCGATCTCCATCGTAGTTCATTTGGTACTCAATGGAAGTCTGGGCACCAGCCATAGTGGCAGGAGGCAGAGAAGTGGTAAAAATGAAGCCCGGAGCTAAAGATCGGATCATGTCAATGAACTTGGCGCTACCGGCGATGTAGCCACCAACGCAGCCATACGCCTTGCCCAGAGTACCAGTGATGATGTCAATTCGGTCCATGATGGTTCCGCGAGGAGCACCGTTGGCATGGGCCTCCCAGTCAAGATGCTCAGCGACACCAGCACCCTTGGGGCCGTACATACCGACAGCATGGACTTCATCGAGAAATGTGATGGCACCGTACTTCTCAGCAAGATCACAGATCTCTTCGATAGGACCAATGGAACCGCACATACTGTAGACTGACTCAAAAGCGATGATCTTGGGCACATGCAGGGGAAGTGACGCCAGCTTAGCCTCCAAATCCTGGACATCGTTATGCTTGAAGACCATCTTCTTGGTGCCGGAGTGTCGAATTCCCTGGATCATAGACGCGTGGTTCAAGCTGTCGGACAGAATGACACATTCGGGCAGCTTACTGCCGAGTGTCGCCAGAGTCGCATCGTTGGCTACGTAACAAGAACTGAACACCAGAGCGCCGTCCTTAGCGTGCAGCTTAGCTAGTGTAGCCTCGAGCTCAACAGCGTGCTTGTTGTGTCCGGAGATGTTTCGAGTTCCACCAGCACCTGCGCCATACTCCTCTAGGGTTTGATGCATCGTGTTGAGGACATGGGGGTTCCTTCCCATACCGAGATAATCGTTGGCGCACCATACAGTTACTCGATCCTCCTTGTCGGCCATATGCGCACGGGGAAAGTCCTTCGCCAATCGGTTGATGTTGTTGAAGTAGCGGTAAGATTTGTCCTTGAGCTTCTTGTCGATCTCGACGTTGTAAAATCCTTCGTAGTCGAATTTACCGGGAGAGTTGAAGCCAGCGGCGGCAGCAGAAGCAGTTGGAGAAGCAGATGTGGCCTTTCGACTCATATGAACGCCAGGAGGGGCGGGAACTAACACGCACAAGTTAGAACAATCAATCGGCATGATGAAGCACGTATACTGATGATAATGAGACATACCATTGTCGCGACCCTCAAAGAGCGGGTTGTCAACAGCGCGAGCCTCCTTGTTGCGGGTGGTGTGAATCTTGGCCTTACCAGTCTTGGAGTGACCAGAGAAAGCACGAACAGATCCAGGAGCGCGGTTCTTAGCAGTCTGAACAGCCATGGCCTTGCCCATGACGGGGCATCGCTGGCCAAGCAGCTGAAGCTTGGACATGGTGCCGCCACAAGGCGAGGCGGGAGCAGGAAGGGCCGGGCGAGACGAGGTGGACAGGGCGCGGAGAGTAGCAGGTGTGGCCGTCTTCAAGAAAGGACACATGGCCTTGGACTGACGAAGTACGGCATCCATTGTTGCGTGTATTCGACAATATTCGTCGAGTTGAGGACAATGTCTTGGTGATGTGAGCCGGAGGGGTAAACTGTGGGAGTTTCAGACTTGGAGGGGCAAATATGCCAGGCGAATATGGAAAGCAATAACAAGCTTACACTCGGTCGCAAGAGCGAACAAGTGAGGCCAAAGATAAAGCGAAAGCAATTGGGCTTCCGCGAAGGAGAAGAGATGACTGAGAGGTGAGGATGTGATGATAGCAGAGGAAAGAAAAAGAAGAGAAAGACGAGGGAAAATAAAGCGGTAGAGAGGGACTATAGAATAAGTCAAGCCGGTGGTTCGGGCTCGGTAAGAACGGTCGGTCATGGCCCCACAGAATACTTCCGTCTCGGTTCCATCCTTTTCTTAAACGCGACTTACCCCGTTTAGGTAAGTCTATGGTGCGCTATTCTTCCGATTGGGGGCATACTTTGGCACTTGAAATGATTTAGCAACTCAAACACGAATACAGAACCTGAGAATTGGTTCTACTTTGAGGCAGCCGTTAGAGCACTACTCAACTAAGATTCCACAACTGAAGGGAAAAAAGAAGAAGAAAAAAGTCTTTCCGTTGAGAAACTCAGTTGCGGCCTCAATGCGGCCCGCAGCCTCTAGGTGTGAGTCCCGCATCAACCTGGCACCTGGCAACGGCAAATGGTACAGTGACAGCGCCCGAGTCAAACTCAGGAACAGCGTAAAGCAATACCTCACTTCTGATTGGCCTGACTCTTTTTTTTGCACTCTAGATTCCAGGGACTTAGAGGGGCTAGATCTATGCCGATGCAGCGGCCATTGGTGCGCAGGAGTTGAGATGTCAATAAAAGGCGGATAACGCGATTCTTTACGATCAACGCAAGCTACAACAAAATACTTAGTTTAAGCACTGATCATAGGTAGCATCGACTATAACAAAGGTAGTCAATGACTCTATCGCCTCAGTGGAAATAGCCACTCGAACTGCCCGGTCAAAAGGTACCTCAGTACTTTACGGAGACACCATACTACTAAGGTAATTCAGGTCTCATAGGAAATGTCAGCCCAGGTCCCAATCCCCGAGTCCAAAATACTCTCGTCTCGGCCTTGCACTAAACGTCTCGTACGATGCATTCAAGTATCCACTGCTCAACAATCTATTCTCCTTCAAAACCCGCCAAGCCAACTTCAACTTGATACGTAGTATGTAGTGAGTGCACCAATATTAATTATTACCTGCCTCATTCTTCCGTCGTCGTTTGTTCAAACCTTACACTAGTTAGGCTAGAGCAAAGTCTTTCCCCATTTGGCAAATCGAGTCATAGTTGGCGAACTCTGCCATACACTCGCTATCCGTACATAACCATCTTTCGCAACCATGGCACACAACGGAGTTAATTAACAAAGTGCAAACAAATATCGTGCAATGAATTACAAATACTTTTCGGAGCCGACCGGACGGTATTGACAGTTTGCCATCGTCTAGCGTTTCATTGTAGGTATGTAAAGGGGCCCATCCAGGTTGTGGCAGATGTGACTCGTCAAAGGATATATATCCACAGCTCAAAACATCTGATTCCCCAATATTGTAATATCAACGCAGTGTCTCCTTAAACCATTCTCTTGGCAAGGCCCTTGCATGTCAACACCACAAATACGGCTCTCGATATCGTACCCGTTCGCCTATCATGCCTTCAAAGTGCTTCGAAATCAATAGGTCCTCAAAAGGGTATCTCCTGCCTCAATATCATGCCGTGCCGTAAACGCCATTGCAATCGCTTCGTAACTTCCCAGATGCTTCCTCGTCATGATATCTTCCTGCCTATCTCCATGCTCCCATAACCGTCTTGTCTTGAATCAAAAGGCCATGCTTTTGGAAACGCCATTATATGCTGCCTTGTGTTTCGTCCCTGAACCTGAGCTATCCTTCTGGCGTCTCTGTTGCAGACCATGCCCGGCTTTTTTCCTTGCTCAGGGCTTCGTTTGCCCACGATGGAAGACGGATTGCTCGGTTTCTCCTATTATCCATCGCTTCCCGCATCACTTTAATATCGTCTGATACTCGGGATCGCATCTCGCCTCGGTGCGAGTTTTGGCGTTTGATATTCTGCAAGTTCTTGGAGACCACCAGTCAGCAAACTTGTTTCAAAAATGGGGTCTCCCAAAGGCTAGGGTTGTCAAGTTTCATACGTTTGGATCCGGAGAGTCGACTTTCTCCTGTGCCCGAGCAGGAATGGCCGTTTCCTCAAGTCCATTAATGGTCTCGATACGCCCTTCAAGCTCCTTCTCAGTGGCCATAGCCACGTACTCTGGACTAAGATGACCCGAGATTATCGCGATCACAAACTTTTCGTGCGATAGAAACTCGTTGAGTACCTTCCAGCGTCTCTTGTCAGGTAGCAGACCAAACGCACCCTTCTTACGGATGTGGTCTAGTTTAGTTGTCAAGGACTTGGCAATTTCGATCGGGTCACCTCCTGTTAATGGTACTTGGCGTTGTTGTAGTTTCTGGAGGCTCTCTCGCAAGCGAGTTTCAAACTCAGCCCTTGCGGGAATCTCAGTCACGTTGAAGGGCCCGCCCTGCTTAAAGACTGCGCTCGAGCGTGACGTTATAGGGCTTTGGGTTGGTTTAGGTGCTTGGTCTGGCCTGCTAGTGCTGCTCAGCTCGGTAGTTTGGGCTTGTGTGGGCGTTGAACGTGGATGATATAGGGAGGCTGAAGCGTGCAGTGGGCGCGAGTTCTGCATAGATGTCGTTGATTCTGCGTGCTGTACAGTCGCAGGTTCAGGATGACGATGGCCTCCGAAAAACGTGTTTGCCCCAGCCATTGGCATAGGAACCGGGCCATGACTTGGGACCACAGGCTGCTGGGACGAAGGTCGGATTGTCTTATTATGCAGGTAAGCATCAACGTCGATCAAATAAAGTTAGGAACTTACTAGTGTGCCGCCGATCTGATCCTGTCCGTTGTTCGAGGCTTTTGCTGGAGGCTGCGGAAGATATGCATAACCAGCAGTATCTGAAGCTCCATCAAAAGACTGATTGACAGGTTGATGAGATGGTGGAGGGACACGCAAGAGCTGCTCTTGGTCTCTATACAATCTGGCTTGTTCCATCAGTTCCATCCTGTCTTTTGTCCTGATGTATTCCTCGGGATTTGTAGCTCGAAGATGGTTCAACTTGATCATTTCGGCGACCTGCTTGTTCTCTTCCTCGGTGAGGGTTGCGCCCAAATCCTCCTCTTCAAACGTGTCTGTCGTGACAATAGAACGGATCGCCTCCCCGTTTTCCTTGAGTTTGATGAGTTTGTCCAAAATCGAGTCCCTGCCGAGATATGGTTTGAGGTCGATTGGCGGACGATACCGAATTTCTGCCACAACGTCGCCTTTACGCTTTGACCAACTGATGGGATTCTTCTTGTCAACTACGCGGGATGCAAGTTGCATTTTGAAAACTTGTCTGTTGTGAAGATTATCCTCGAAAGTGCCGGCGACCATGAAGCGGTAAACAAACACGGGCTTCTGCTGACCTATACGATACGCACGACCCACTGCTTGCAGTTCATGCGAGGGATTGTACCTGACGTCGAAGATGACCACTCTGTTGGCGCCCTGGATATTGAGACCGACGCCGCCGGCAGTTGTGGATATCAAAAACACTTCTTTGCTGCCGTCGTTGAAATCTTTGGTCTGTGCTTGTCGAAGCGCAATTGGGGTTTGGCCATCTAGCCGGGACACTGATCTTCTTTGCATCTTACACATGTTTTGAAGATAGTCCAGTGTAAGCAACGACTGACTGAAGATGAGTACCTTGTCATTGACTTGACGTGCTTCATCGAGTATGGTTATCAACAGTTCCGTTTTCAAAGAAAGACTTGGCGTGTCCAAATCGCGGAAAGATTGCAGCGTCTTCAAGAAATCCGGGATCATAGTTTTAGGGAACGACCTGTCAGGCTTCTTGTCGTCGTCGTCACCACTGGTTAAGATGCCTTTCTGAACCGCCTTGACCTTTGCTTCAAAGCATCGGGGATGGGTACAAATCAACCCAAGATGACCTATGGCAGCGAAGGTCTCAGCTTGCGTTTCGCCACCTTCCTTGGATACTCCTTTGAGGTATAGATGGTAAAGCTGCTTCTGAGGCTCTGTTGGAGGCACGAAGAGAATAAATTCCTGCTTTGGTGGCAATTCGTCCTTCAGAACAGCGATTGTGCGTCGATGAACCTTGGGTGCAACCAGCTGCTCCAGTGCCTTGAGTTTCATTTGAGCCCTTCTCTTGTCGGCCGCTGAGCTATCGTGATAGAGACCTCGCTCTACCGGAGCAGCGTAGATTTCACGAAACTCGGCGAAAGGGCCAAGGAAATTGGGAGCAACCCATTCGATCATGGCGAAATACTCCAACACGCTGTTTGACAACGGCGATCCAGTCAACGCGATGCGACTTTTTGTTCTGAAGCGCGAACATGCATCATTGGTTTTCGACAACCGATTTTTCATATAGTGTGCCTCGTCGCAAATGACAACATCAGGTCGATTGATAAGAGTCTCCTCGAGATCGTCAGATAGATCAAGAAGCTTCTTAAACATATGGTAGCCAACCAATAGGACGCCTTTCTTAGAAGCCCATGCCGAGACTGTAGAAGTTCTTTCGACAGTTGTCATACTTGAAGTGACCTTGCGCAACTCGCCCAGTAGATTTTCTGGTGCCCACTTCAGAAACTCGTCCATCCAGTTGTCAACCAGAGAGGATGGGCAGATAACCAGGGTCCGAGAGTCCCTCAGATCTTCTGGTATCTGTGCCACTACAGATGGGTCCTTGGACTCTGTTGCTTCTGCCAAAGCAACAAGAACAGTAATAACTTGCATTGTTTTACCGAGTCCCATTGTATGAGCGAGCAAGCAGCCTTGTCGTATACTAGAATCACGCACGATCTGGTTCCACAGAAAGCGGACACCGTCGATCTGGTGGTTCTTGATCCTAGGGCCAATATGCTCGTTGACATAGATAAGGCTCTGGTCTTCTTCCTTGCTTTCGTTGATGATAAGATGGGTTCCATCCCCAGACGCCAGCCCGTGTGAGGCGAGGGCTGCTCTCAATTTCTTCCTGCGATCTTCTTGCTCCCGAATCCTTTGATTCTCTCGTTCTCGGAGATCCACGGCTGCTTTGTCACGAATAATCTCCTTTTCTTTCGGCCTCTGTCGCCCATTGTCGTTTTCCTCGATATCGTCCAGGTCATCCAGGTCTTCCAAATCTTCATCTTCCTCTGGGATAATATCATCGAGAATGTCTGTGTCTTGCCGGTAAATCTGGCTATCCTGTGGGAAGTGAGACGTAAGTAAGCCCACAAACGTGCAAAGAGGCTCGAAGAACGTGACACGGGCATTGTTAAGGCGCTTCCTCATTTTCTTAGCTTGATAAGAGAGCATTGCTTCCTCTGTTGTATGCTGACACATAAAAAAGCAGTGGCATAGCCGTGTGACGTCGAAAAGAACTACCTTATGGTTCTCTTGGTCAAGCTGTTGTGCATTCCTCAGAGGCCCAAGCAGGTAAGGAGCAATATGAGAATCCCAGACTGTGGCATGGTGATCCGAAAGAATCAGATCCACTGCTGCCTTTCGCCGTGCGTGTTCCATATGCCACATCTCGGTAATTAACAATCGCCAACGGTCCTTTTCTCTGGCGTATCTTTTAGGCGATTGCGAGGCAACCTGCTGCAAATTGCCGAAATGCTCGATTGGTGGGGGCTCGACGTTGTTGCTGGAGGCGGGAGGCATCTCTGAATGAAGGTCGTGAGTTTGGCTTTCGGGATCGCGACCCTCGGAGATAGAACCAACAGGAGCTTGTCCTTCGGAATCTTCGCCTTCGATGACCTGACTCTCTGGGAGAGCAGTTTCGGGGATACTGCGCCTGGGAATAGGGCTTCCATTCCGGGACTCCCTTGGCCAAGGACTGTTTGCTGATTTGGCAGGGCTCGTCAGATCAATGGGATTTGTCACGTCAAAACCTATATACGAAGGCTGGTCATCGTCCATGTCATCTTGAGTCAAGTCCATAATGGCATCAGAATCATCCGATTCTTCCTTAAGAAGATCAATCGGCGAGTTCCAATTCCCCCCTGTATGACCATCTTCGACTACTATGTCCATGTGGTCATCCGGAACGATAAAGTCTTCTTCGTCCGAACTCGTAAGAACCTCTTCTTGCAGAAAGCCTTGTGGCTGCCGCACAGTGACTGGCTTTGGGCGAGGAACACCCTGTGGTTTGGGTGGTGGTTTTGACAGTTCAAGCATGTTGATTAACCACGTCTGATACATCTTGTCTTCCAGGCTTTGCTCAAGAATTTTGGCTGCATCTCGATAAGGTGTTTCCATTGTCCAATCCTGATCCTGGATTTCAAGACACATCTTTCCTATTCGTTCAATGAGATGGTTGGCCATTTTGTGAGCTTGTCGTATCTGCAGCTTTCTTGTCCCGTGGCGTCGCGACTTTTGCCATAAGCTGTAGGCTTTCCTCTCATATTTTGGAAGCTTTTTCTGCCGCCAGTTGTCTTCCATAGCTGCGATGGCTTCATTCAGTATCTCCGCAATTCGCTCAGGGGAAACAAAAGGATCGGGTTCGGGGGCTTCTGCAAGGGCAGCGAGTCTTTCGTTTTCGAGTTCCTCTTCCTCTATCTCCCTCAATGTTTCTGCGTCGAGTTCGGTGTCGAGATCGGCCAGTTCAAGGATCTTATCAGATTGGTCAGAATGGGGACTAGGCGACCTCGAAGAATGATTGGAGATGCGGTAACGACCCGTAAAAAGTCGTTTCAGGAATCTATTTGCAACAATTCTTGTGGCAGGTGGGAGTATGTGCGAGCTCGTTATAGCAAAGGAATCTCCGGCCTCTACGATAAAGGAGCTTAATTTGCCAACTGGTGATATGATATCTTCTTTTGGAAGCATACCGCCCCCCAAGTAAGCCCACGCTGGTTCATCTTCCCATTGAAAGTCTAGCCCGGTGTTGTTCTCCAACTCTAAGCTAGGCTGCTCCGTCGGAAAGTTAAGCACATCAGCTTCTGTCGGTATAAAGGCAGCATGAATGTTGCGTGGTCTTTCTGTCAAAAGCATGGGCGCCACCCGTCTGCGTTTATTAGACCTCTCACCCATCTCTGGCACCTGGTGAGAAGGCTCATGGACAGGTGGTTGGTGAGTATGCGCGGCAGTAGGAAGTTCGGGATCCTCTTGTGGCGAAAGCATTTGGATTTCGCCATCAGTGACTGGCGGTGCTGGTCTCTTGAGCGCATGAGGAAGCGTCCCGTTTGTGGCAGGAACTGAGCTGGGCGTCTCGCTTTCTTTCTTGTCATCTCTATTCGGCACGATGTCTGAAGATGCATGCTGTACCGCGCCTGTCGTAGGCGGTTCAACTCCCTCGTCCCAAAAGCTGGCCTGCTTGCGCTGGAAGTCCTGCTGCCATTGCCAATACCCTTTGCTTTTAGATCGAAGTGTAACAATGGCCTCCACAAGAGCAGCTTTATGGCGGGCGATTTTGATGCCCAGACACTCCATCAACTCTTGACGTGAGCATACATGCTCGAATGTCAAAAGAGTTTTGCCGTCGATTTCTTCATCCCGAATGCGTGCTGCGAGGGACTCGGGATCGCGACTCCAGGGATACTCAGGAGCGGATAATCGGTCAGCAACAACGCCGATATCCCAAGAATAGGGATCATCTCCAACGCCTTCCATTTGGTGATGTACGTGCTCTAGGGGACACAGTGAAAGGGGTTTCTAGATAGAGTTAGATTTGTGTTGAGGAAGAAGAAAAAAACGAGGCAAAAGCAAGAAAGAAACAGCGTACCTGAGAAGACGTTTAAAAACATGGGCGGTGTTACCAGGTCTGCTGAGCCTATGCTCAGCAACTTGAAGAGCAGCGGGAGGAAAGGTGCATAGCCGCCAGTCCGAGGTGACTGATAGGTACAGTATCACTTCCTAGCAGCCTTAGAGCGTACGACCGGCGGATAGAAAATGTGTTTTAGACGAGCTAGGCAGGACACTTGGGCGCGAATTGTCGATGAAAAGGTCTTCCCAGCAAGTGAAACAAGGCAAGGAAGACAAGGTGCTGTACGATACGCGATCGGGGCGCAGATACAGATGCAGAGTTGGAACACCCTGGATGTATTTTAAGGCCTCTCTGATTCCTTTCGCATGCAGAAAAGTAGAGGAGAGAAAATGAAAATGAAGTAAAACGATTAATGCGCTTGCAGAAATCGTAATACGCAGAGAAAGTGCGATATTCTTAACCTCAGAACTCCTGTATAAGGTTTCTCATCGAGGGAAAGCGCGTTGTTGCACTGTGCTGTGCAGTAGGTACCTAGGTACCTCCAAGGATCAGTGGGGCGTTATGCGTGATCACGTGATCTGTAATGTACCGAAAACATAACCTCAACATTGGAGACATCGAGAGAAAAGGGAGATCTTTATTTGTCCAGGCAGGTTAGGATTGTAGAGACAAGGTGGCTCGTTTGTCTGTAGCTCGAGGGCAAACACAGTTGAATTGTTTTATCTCCCCTAATTCTAGATACCACAAGAAGCGCAGAGTGTATTTTGATGCCCCACTACCAACAAGAACAAAGATCAAATTAAAGATCATTACTCTCATGAATGTTTATTACTTCAAACTCATCTAATCGGGATAGTTTTCTCTCATCCCTCAACTAAAGAGAGTCTAGAGATCCAATGGGATTCAAATGACTCTTTCATTCTCCGTCTAGATGCGCGCGCGCATTGCTTACTTGATCTCATCTGCTTCACAGCGCAAAGAATTACCCCGCCATGCCCGTGAATGCCCCTCATGAAATGCAGAAACACGCAATAAATACACGACTATTCTATATAAAACAGCAAATGAACATCAGATTGATAGTGGATCGTTCTATTCAAACGCTATCATGCAACGGCAGGCCTTGTTTAGGGCCCCCATGCATAGATGCACTCTTATAATAATATGAACCTTGCTCTGATTCCGTCTAGAAGCACCCACTGAATTATTAAGCCACCCCATCTGGCGCAAAGCCTCCGAACCTAGCACGCAAGCCAACGCTTCTTACTCAACTGATACTTCTCTCACGAGCTGTGACTATTCTCATTATCATTTTCTTCTGAACTCACCCTTCTGTGACTTTTTTTACTCCAGTAATTCCAGTAAATCTCGGCATCATGGTCTCTCTCACAAGCGGGCCATACCCGCCCACCCTCAAGGCCGAGGAAAAGGACGCCCTCATCGAGACCGTCAAGGACTGGTCGATAGGCAATGGCCTCGCAGTCAGGCCGCCTCCTACAGTCATACCCGCCGAGGCAGACCCCAAAGGAATTGCAGCCACCAACGTCCCCGTTACTCTCTTCCCCAGCCCGTTTCCCAAGCAATGTTTTGCTCAGGGCAAGGCGGTCCAGAAGACTTACAACGAGCTGTACGCTTCGGTTAGCAGGGATGAAGAGTTCCTCGCCCAGGTCGTGAAGGAGTAGGTCATCAATCATGCAACCTGCTTGTTACAGCTTCTAAAGTACTCCAGAGTCGCAGATGGTGATGAGTTTATTCGAAACCTATGGGAGGTTCATACCAAGGTCAAAGCTGAGGGATATACACAGGCAAGCATCATTCTTGAAAGTTGCAGATACTACCTAGGCTAACATGAAGACAGCCTCTCTCCCTGGGCTTGTTCAGATCAGACTACATGGTCCACCAAGATACCCATTCTTCTCCCCCTTCTTTGCAAGTCAAGCAGGTTGAGTTCAACACCATTGCTTCTTCTTTCGGCGGTCTCTCAACATACACTTCTGCTCTCCACAAGTACCTACTCCCTTGATACCTCAATTCCTGGCAAAGACAGTTCTGACCATTACAGATACCTTGCCACAACAGAATACCCAATCTTGGAGAACTCTATTGCGCAAGGGTCACTAGATTTGCCCGAGAACACCAGCACTCGTGGCTTAGCTGCAGGCATTGAAGCGGCTTACAACATCTATCCTGACTCTGAACTTGGACACCAGAAGTGTGTCATCTTTCTGGTACAGGATGGCGAGAGGAACATATTTGACCAGCGCCACCTTGAATACCAAATCGTCAACTCTTCGCCATCTACTCCTGTCTTCAGACTTCCATACTCCCAGGTGCTAAAGCACACTACAATTGCAGACACCTCCAAGCGACAGCTTCTATACCACCTTCCACGAAACCCTTCAAAGGTTTACGAAGTCGCCGTTATCTACATGCGCTCTGGATACGGGCCTTCCGACTACCCTGACCAGCAAGCTTGGGAAGCGAGATACCATTTGGAAAGATCGAATGCGATCAAGTGTCCTACGGTTCTGACTCAGCTGGCTGGAACGAAAAAGGTCCAGCAGATTCTGGCAACACCGCGTCCTTCATCTGCACCCTCAGCTCTGAGTAAATTCATCCGCGACGATACGAAGGATGCGGCAGAGTTGTGGCGCACATTCACTAATATTTACCCCATGGATACAAGTGATGCCGGTCTCGAAGCTCGAAAGAAGGCCCTCGACCCCAAGACTTGTCAGGACTACGTGTTGAAGCCCCAGCGAGAAGGCGGCGGCAACAACATTTACCGAGGGGCTATCCCCGAGTTCCTCAAGTCTGTCCCTGAATCCCACTGGGGATCGTTTATCCTCATGGAGCTCATTACTCCTCCTCCAGTCAACAACATCATTCTCCGCAATGGTAACCTTGAGCAAGGCGGTGTCATTTGCGAATTGGGTATTTATGGCGCTTGTGTTTGGGACCAGAGTACAGGAAAGGTTCATCATAACGAGGAGGCTGGGTATCTCCTGCGCACAAAGGGTGACAAGAGTGAAGAGGGTGGCGTTGCTGCTGGCTTTGGGTGTATGGACAGCTGCACTCTAGTATAGATGGTACACCTATTTATATGGTCTAGGCGTTGACTGGCTTCTTTTTGCCTCAACCTCGGTTCCTTTCTAGCTACTATCTTAGCAATTAGACATCCAATTCAAGGGCTAACGATGGTGTTTCTCCATTAATGGCAGGTCCCCATTGATCATCAATTAAGCGTTCAGTGTTCTGACAACAATTATATTGCATCGTGGTATCATACAGCTCCTACAGCGATTGCTCACAAAGCTCATCGTACATTACGTCCATACATTAGCATCCAACAAAAGAAACCATCTTGGAGAGAGGAGTGCTAGCAAGCAGAACATTTTGGCGCCTCGGCGAAAGGAAAAGTGTAGCCATGCTTCAATATGAATCAAAGATGGGAACTCGCTGCTTACTCGCCCTGCTCAGAGGCCTGGGGGCGTCGGAGAACCTCAAGGGTGCCTACACAAAGGTTAGGGTCGATGTATCAAAAAACCTTGGAGGGGTTCAACGTACGCTGGACGACGCTGAAGTTGGTGCGGTTCTGGCCAGCTGAGTCGGTGAAGGTGTTTAGTGAAGCATCACCCTCGACGTAAACGGTGGCACTGTATGACTATCAGTACAATATACCAAGCTGTAGTGGTGATTTTCAGGATACGCACCCCTTGGGGAGGTTCATGAGATAGTCGCGCTGGGCACCCTCAGCGAAGCTAGTAACCCTGAACCAACTGGTCTTGCGGTTCTCGCCCCGTCCACTGTTGCTGGCGACGGCATAGCGAAGGATCTCACGGCCGGAGCTGGTGGGGTGAACCTCGGGGGTGTCGGCGAGGTTACCAATGATGGTGATCTTGGCCAAGGGTCGGGGAACGGTGGTGCTGAAGGCGCGGGCAGCAGAGGCCGGGGCCAGGGCGGTGCGGCGGAAGACGGAGGAGAAAGACATGGTTGCTTTGCTTTGTTCGTGTTTTGTTCGTTTGTTCGTCGTTGGAGGGGAAGAGTTGCTGAGGTTTAAGCTGGAGTGGAGCTGATGGAATACGATTTGTTTGATAAGGGACTGGACCTGTCGCGTCGTTTCAAAACCCTGAGACGCGATAGGGTGGGCTGACAGCTGAAATTGTGTAGGGATCCTCCTCAATGCGTTGTCTGGTTGGTTCAAATCTGGAGCTATTGTGCGACCCGGTAGATGGGTGCCGTTGCACTGTATTGCTGGATAGATACATATGTGCATACATTAGTAGTATATATCCGTATTATATATACGACACTGCGATACAGATGTCAACCTCAGGGCACTTTGGTATTCACTGTCACTTCTTGCTTGATCAATCATCTCAACTCCAAGGCCCAAAGCCAAGAACTCATCAATTTCGAAAGCGGACATCCCGACTCGGTGATTTGAAACATGGCGAGCGATATTATCAGAGTTTAACTGAATCACTAGCTGTGATATACTTTCGAGAGATATTTCAAATTCAAGACTTTACGTATTAGTTATTTATACTATCCCATATAAACTATGAGACACTAAACGCTCTGGATCATCCTACCAAATCGTCATCTTGGCCCAGGCGGTGGCTTGTATCTACAGAGCTTGCCAGCCGCACTGTAGCTTTAGACTTTTAGGTGGCTTCGGGGGTTAATTAGTACCTAAACTTACAGTCTTATTCACAGGCAGCGCTCGCTTACCCCTGCACGTTCGACTGACCCGATCGGGTTGTCAATAGACGCCCCTCAATAGCCGCGCTCTATACAAGCAGACATGGCAGCAACGCCATACTCCAAACAGAGACAAAGATTCCTTATTCAAGAGAGAGGGGGCAAGGGGTAAAGGGAGACTAATTTTGGCAATAGAGAATAGCTTATTGTTACTAATTCAGGGCCACTCCAGGCACGCCCTTGTCTAAGTGCCCACGTCCCGCAGTCCGCCTTATTGAGCCCAGCGCACACTTCCACTCTGCTTTCTTATTGACATCAATAGACTTTTCTTCTTCTCTCTTGCGTTTACTATTGAGAACTGTTTTATAAAGAGAACCAACAGAGCCGTTACTTCTTGATTAAGGCCCTTGCGCTTCCCGCTTTGATCAACCGTTGAGCCAAGGCGTAACCGTCCCGAGCCATCTTGCATCTGTCAACCTCACCAACACAACCAACATCACGAAGCTGCTGTGGCAAATCTCAAACCTTCATTTCTGATATTCACACAAGACTGTTCATTTCGTTTCTGCCGTCATGCCCGACTCAATTCACTTGTTCGGTCGTGACGACTCATCCATCATTGCTGTTCCCGGTCCAGGAACCATCACCACTCCGTCTCTAACAATCAATCTTGTTTCCAGAGTGCTGCTTGCCATCATTGCAAATCTAGCCTGTATAGTACCTCTCAAGAATCTCTACCGCAATGGCGAATTCGCAGCTGTTGTCTTCATCGCCAACATCCAATGGGCAAACCTCGATACCATCATCAACGCCCTCATCTGGCGCAACGACGACACTAGCAAGTGGTGGTCTGGGGAGGGCTTTTGCGACCTCAACCCATATTACACGAACTTCACCAACGCTCTATTCGGCACTTGCCTGCTCGCCATCATGCGCAATCTCGCTCAACAGGTTGGCCTTTTGAGGGCTAATCCCCTGACTGTTCATGAAAGGCGCCGACGTAACCTCGTTCAAGCTCTTATCATGTTCCCTCTCCCGCTTCTTCAAGTTGCCTGGGTTTGGCCTTTGACAACTCAACGCTACGCAGTTGCTACTCTGGCTGGATGCAGCTGGGTTGCTTGGCCCTCATGGCCTTACATGACCTTCTTCGTGATAGCCCCTGTCGTCGTTGCGCTGGTGACGTCTGTATATGCAGGTAACGTTCATTTCCCTGTTTGATATAAAGCAAAACTTCACATCAACTAATACATCAAAGTTCTCACTTATATCCGCTTTCGAGAGATCGCAAAGACTACTCGGTCCGCCGTCAACAGCAGCAGGTCTGCCAACCAGCGAGCCCAAAGGACCAAGCGTCGCCTTTATCTCATGGTCTTGGCTATCTTGGTCCCTTACTTGCCCGTTGTCATCACTCTCGCCGTTCTCAACATGGTAAAGGCTTTCCCACTTCAACCCTTCAGTTACAGTCTTGTTCACGATCGTGTGATTCCCTACCCATGGTCGGTGGTCGTCTTCGTCCCTTCTAACAGCGTCACCTTTGGCTATTTGAACAACTGCTACATCGACATTCTTGCTGCCATTCCCGTCGTTCTTTTTTTCGGTATGACAAAGGATGCCATGAATAGTTACCGCTGCGGGCTACTCTTCATTGGTCTTGGTCGCTTCTTTCCCAAGCTTTATGAGGAATATGATCCTGACAGGACAGCATATGGGAGCAGTTCTGGAAATTCGCACCTCATGGACTCAACCATCTCGACGTAAGTGACTGGCCTTGCTAGAATTTGGCCGTCATATTAACCTTTTGCAGTACTTCATCTATACCCAGCAAGATCAGGAGTCTTCTGTCCCATCGACACTTGAACACGGCTTCATCTGCGAGCCTCAATCCTGCATCCCTGCAGTATGCAAATTCTGATCCTACAGCTACGGATGCTGAATTGGGAAATGCGTTGAACGATTACCAAACTTCACGGCTACCACGTCGAGAGATATCATATCCTCCTCTTACTGCTCCACCCTCCACCGACCCGATCACTCTACCTCCTCGCAACCCCTTTCTCTTCCGCACTCGTTTCGATCTACCCACAATCCCACTCCCATCGCTCCCTTCCTTTAGCTTCCGAAAGAAGAAAGATAGACGACCCCCTCTTGACCGCGGCTTACCTCTGGAGTCTCTTCCTTCTGGCGTCAGCAACCGCCTCTGGGATGACAACTTACCTGCCCCTCCTCCCCGAAACCAAACATTTGTCTGGGCAGATACACAAGACACACCCACACCTGAGACCACCACTTCAGAAATTCGTCTCCTGGTCCCCATGTTGTCTACATATTCTGTCACCACCGAGCCGCTGCAGGAAACGTATCGACGCTAGGAACGTCAGTACGGTTGGGCTAGATGATTCGTCATGAACGCCCCAGGCCGGCAAATCGACGTATTGAATGATATTTGATCAAATTACTCTGGCTTTTCATTTGTTTATTTCTGTTTGCTTTCACTATACTCGCTCTGAGCGGGCTCAGCATCATTGCAGGCGGCGGCGTAGGTACCAAAAGGTCTCGTTCTGGTTTTATAGATACATCACGTACTTTCACAAGTCACGACAAATTAGCTTGCACATAAGATTGCTTTGCTGTTTCAACATAATTTATATTAATCACCACTAAAATTAGAATCAGGTTCAGAGACCTGAGATCTGTGATAATTGCCATTGAATCCATGCCAAAGCATTATCTCTATGTGTATAGCGCCATATAGGGCCTTGCCGGCCCTATTCTCATTTTGAACCCATATATCGTAACCAAGCCCCCCCATTTTAAAACATATGGACGTGAAACCCATTGGTATCGTAAATATTCAGAAAAGGTCAAAAGATGGGTATGCAAGATAGTATAGAAGAAGAAAGAAGAAAAGAGTGTTATCTGGACTCTGACCGGCACAGAGAATAGTGGGAAAAGATAAAGGGACTTGATTATGTATCCTTAGCGTGCTTCTGAAGTTTACGCATAGCTTCGCGATGGACGTCAAGAAGGTCGCCATTTCGCATGCGTTCATCGAAAGCTTTGTCAGCCCATTCTTTCTGTCGTTGCTGTGTCTCGCGACGCTGGGTTTCGGCTTGTTTCTGACTCAGGAGAATGTTACGGCTCATGTCGACATTGCGCTGGACCTCTACCTCTCGACTACCCAAGAGAGACTGCGGAGTAAAAGGGGTTTCGCGGCCGGAGTTGCTGATAACAGGTGTACCGGAGCGTAGCTCATGTTGAACTGATTGTCGGAAGTTTGCGAGGGCGGCCTCGCGGACAACAGAATTAGGAAGTGTTGAAACGCGCTTAGGTTGGTGGGAGTTTGCAAGTGCTTCTGGGTTGTTAAACATATTACCATTGCTACCACCACTAAGGCGTTGAAGAGACGAAGTAGAAGTTGAAGGATTCAGACTGCTCTGTCGCATCAGTTCTTTTCTCTGGTTCAGGGGCAAGTCGTCTACATCTACTCCGACAGCGGCAGCGTACATGGGGTAGTTGCTGAGTGATCCTGCATCACTGGAAGCTCTATGTCGAGCAGGCAGGTTGACTTCGGATGAGCTGGCCAATAGATTCCCTACCGATCTGTTGCGAAGATACATTTCCCTTTGGCCAATAAGGGTCTGGGGGCTCGAATATGATACAACTCCAGGAGTTGAAGATCGCTGACCTTCAGGGCTGACTGGAAGGTTGAGCGTTGGCGCGCCCATGACTTCCCCTTCAGGTATAGGTGGTGTTGTTCGTAGACCAACTTGTTCTTCAGCAATAGGACCAATGCCGCCAGACGACATTCGCAGGCCTCCTGATGAAGATCGCGGCATAACACCACTGGTCGGGGTTGTACCTGGACTACGGCTTTGGCCTTCGCCTGTGAGGAGGGCGAGAGCCGCAGGGACATGCTGCTTTACACCGAGACGCGAAGCGGTATGTGATAGATTGGAGGCTTGTGAGTTTGATCGAGTGATTGCAGGTGCGGGTGTTCCTTCGTTCGATGACTTTCGTAGCTCATCGACGTGTACGGGTGCTGGTGTTTCCATAGTTGGCACTGCTAGGTTCTTGTGTGGGGGGGTTTGAATGTCGTCCAGTGCGGGAGCTTCTGCACTGCTCAAGTGCTTGGCCCATTCATTAGTTCGATACGACAATGCCACCCGAGAAAGTGAACGAGGAAGTCGATCCTTTGTTAGACTGGCGCGTACTGAAGATCCAGATGTGACAGATTTGGTCTTGTCAACCCCCTCCACAGGTCGGCCTTCTGGTTGCTCAAGGTCTTTAGGCTCAGCAACGTCACTGGCACCTAGAACTGCGGCATCCTTTCCAGAAAGTTCGGCATTTATCTCAATGTTCTTTGATAGTTCTTGAGTTGGAAGGGAGTGGCGATCGTCACCGCTTACACTCTCGTCGTCAATTGTCGCAGCAATCGAGCCGTTGTCGTTACGCAGGCGGGATCGAGATCGAGGGATGACCAACTCATCAGTACTCTCACCATGTTCGAGTTCCTGATGATCGCCCAAAACGCGACTCGATCGGTGAGAAATGTTTCCGAGCAAGTCCATTGATCCGCGAGAAAGACGGGACAGGCGTTTTGCTAATGAGTGTCGGTGGCCGGGGGTATGAAGACCGGAATCTTCTTCGTCGGCAAAGGTGGCAACTGAAGAGCGGTCGTCGTTAATGAAAGCGCCGTCGTTATCGTTGTCGTCAGCAACAGGAATGGTGAAGGGGAGGGGAACAATAGGAGGAGCGGTGGATTTGACAACAGATGTCTGTGTGGAGATGCGTCGGTCAGTCTGCTCGCCCACGATGGGAAGACTTTGGGCATTGTTGTCAGTATCCACCCGCTCGTTTGTTGTTGTCGCTGTGGGTTGTGCAGTATCATCCGAGGCCACACGAACCGTGACTCTGCCGTCCTCATCTTGTTCTGAAGACATCAAGGTAACAATAGGCTGTTTTTGTGAGTTTCCAGAGTTAGGCATGTCAGTCATCTCGATAACCTCAACAACCGAGGCAGTATGTGTTTTTGAGGAATCTGTTTGGCTGTGGCGGTTCTTTTTCTCATTCTGAGCCTCTCCATCGTTCGAGGTGCGAGAGGCTGTTGAGCTTGCCACATCGCCATCGCCGTAAATCCTTTCCCATTGTCGTCTCTCGCGTGCATTGGCCTCCTCAATATTTCGTCCAGCTTGTTCTTCCTCCTCGCGAAGGTTGCGCTCCCCTTCGGCAGCTTCCTCTGCCTTCTTTTCACGTTTTTCCCGGACAATCTTCCACAACTTGATTTGTGAGATGATGCCGAATAGGAAAATTATAACGATGGCTGCGGTTTCCACTCGGATGCCCTTAGTAACTGGGTAAGTATTGGCGCCTAGAGGGAATAAATCGTCGTTGAGTTCCCAGACATAGGCCCAGAATTCCTTCAGCCCAGCTCTACTAAAGCAGTCGATTCCCAACACCGTAACTGTAGCGCCAGAGAAGGCAATTGTGAGAATAAGTGCCCAGTCTCGGGTGAAATGACTGAAGTAGAAGGCAAATCCTCCCACAGTGAAGCAAGCAATAAAGATCGCTTTAGACACGACAGGTCCGAGTAGGCCTCCGGGGACCAAGCAGAGAAGCCACATACTAACGCAGAACCCACCGAGGGCACAAGCTAATCCCTCAGTGATTTCTCTGAAAAACGTAGAAGCTGCACCAAGGATACATCCAGAAACGATGGCGGCAACCACATAACCTCCCTGCAAAGCATCGCTCACTTCAGGTTTCATAACATATACAATTAGCACCGCCACTCCTAATGAAGCAGCAAAAGCCGTCGAAAAAAAGGTGTGAATCATTCGATTCTTGATTCCCACAAGGGCGTAGGCAACACCGGTGATAAGTAGAATAGTGCCTGCAACACCCCAACCAGGGGTGAGTTTAGGCTCAATAGGCAAGTGCCCGGCAGGAATCGTCGCTATCAGATTTGTTAGCGTTGAGCCTATTCTGTTATCTCTATTTAGCATTACAATTAAAATAGGTTGAGTCATCAAGTCCACTTTCGAGAGAGGAATCAGTGCTGGTTGATGTAGGGTCTGAACTTTGCGTTTTCTCTGTTTCAGAAGCCGTCACCGAAATAGATTCGGTCTCAGACTTTGAGTCTGTGGCTTCAGCGGATTCGGTCTTCTTTTCAGAAGCTTCAGCGGTCTTGGTAGCACTGCTGTGTTGGCGTGTAAACGTCGAGGTAGACTCGATCGATGTTGTTTTTTGCTGATCCTCATCGTCCGCCCTTGGGGCTATCCTGAAGGCCTCTCCACTGACTTGCTGTATAATCAAAACTAGGCAGAGCAGCGCCCATAACCGGGACCAGTGGGAAAGCATTGTATATCGAGTGAGTGTTGGTGAGTTGGGGTTGATAATTTGTAATCCAAAAGTCGCAGCAGACTCGCGAGACTATGTAAGCATTATCGAGAGCTGAGTTGAAATTTTGTTGAGTTGGAAAGGACGAATAAATAAGACGAGAATTGTCGAAGAGGCGAGCAGTTGAAGAGCAATACTGCTGAATGAGGGCTCGAAACTGAATAGGTCTGGCTTATCGAGGTCAAGTCGGCGGCCGAGAGTGAGACAATGTGTATGTGGATGGCAGGTAGAATAAAAAAGAATGTATGACCAGGGTATCCTCGATATGCAGTGGCAGTCGCGATCGTTCCCAAGGTATATGGTATAACAAACGATCGGCAGCACAGCGCGGGACGTCGGCAGAACAAGGCAAACTCGAAATCAGGATCGATTCAACCCCTCCAGAGAAACGAGCGTAGCTATAAGAAAGAGAGGAGAAGAGGTGGCAGAAAGAGATCGGGAGCCAGGAATCGGTAAGGGTGTGGCATCATAGTTATCGCCTGGTGGTCGGGTATAGAGCATGGTACTTTTTAGCTTTTCGACCAGATCTGATGGTGGGCTTCAGCTAGCGATGGAGTCGAGACGGCCATGATGGGATGGACCGATGACCGATGGGGACGGAGACGCGGAGAGTGACTGGGAACACCCTGGCACAGGTGGTCCAATATTAGCAGTGACTGGACGAAACAGAAGCGCATGGCGCGGCCGTTGAGAAAAGCCTCTTGAGTTTCTCGGGGCCAATCTCCCAAAGGGCCTCCTGTGACGCCGTTCTGTCGTGATGTCCAACGAACGACTTACAGGAAAAGTTGCCTGTGGTCCGCGAGTGAGACCCCACCCGGAGCTAAGCGGTACGTACCTACCGTGCTCCCGGCTCTTGGCTTGCAGCTTTTGCAGCTTTGCACTTTCCCACTTTTCAGGTTGGCCCTGTTCGGGACTAGCAGGTGGAGATCCGTAGCATCAATCACCCCAAGCTCCAGCCGGTCCCACCCCTTTCCGCTCAAAGGCGACCAATGGCCGTTGAGATGTACCTGTTTCGAGTACTTTCAGGTACAGGATCAGCCCAATTAGGCCAGAGCCGGCGGGAGCGCGCTACATGGCAAGAACGTTCAACTCCCAAGGTTGACCTTACTGAGAAACTCGCTGCTCGTGTATGAGCACCTCTCCATCTTAGGTAAGTACCTATCAATTCGATAAACTGTTACAATTTTTGAATCAGATTTGCCTCACCTGAGTCGTATTTTGTCTGAGCTGGAACGCATAAGAGCTACGCCCTGCCATTAAAGAGTACGTATCGTGCCCCTCGACCTCTCTCCCCACTTCACCCAAACATGCTTTTTTCTCAGATTACATGGGACAGGGGTATTGCTGAGCGGCTGATTTTCAGTGGGTTTTGCTCTGTGAGAGCATGCAGATTCTGCTGGGCGTGATCACAATGCCCCCAATTCCAATCTCCATCCCTGCAAAGCATTTACATCCATGTGATTGTGAATGAGGCCCTTTCAAGGTCCCAACGGCAAAGCATGACCATCAATACAACTAGCTGTGCTGATCTGGTTCTTTTCCAACCCATGAGATGATCTCCTTGTTGGCAGATCGCCCGGCTGGTCAACATAAACGTAGCCGCCTTTGCTGGTCAATGGGCGTGCAAATGATATTTCTTCAACTGCAAATTCGCCAACATGCCACTGTAATGATACTGCGGGCAACTCTGCTTTCAGCCGCCGCCATTGTCGCACGTAGCTCAACCTGCACCGGTAACTGCACCATGACCAAGTTCACAGCGCCATCACTCTTAACGATAGGCCAATCCACCATTCTCACTGCGCCACCCTCACATCAACAACTTTCTTTTTGGTGACAATTGGCAAGGATAATACTGTGATGTTCTTTCCAGCTGCACCTCGACCGCCTCCGTCAATGCCGTGCTTGATGGTGCAGATGGTGCAGCAACTGGATTCTGGCTGTGACATTGCATACGGCCAGGTCATATGTGTCGTGGCACTCCGGGGCTCACCAATAGGTCCTGCTTTGTCTCAGGAGACGACAATGCTATGTCTTTCTTACCAGCCTCTCTCACCTCAACGGTTCACAGAGGTTCCATCCTCAGCAGAAGCTATCCGAGTCTCAGTTATGAAGTCTCCTGTCATCTCGTCCGAACTTCTAATTTTATCCGACATGTTACCACTCATAACTCACCTACAGGGTTCAGTTTAGGATTTTGGGCACGGAGAACGAATCTGTTCCTTTAGTCCAAGCTTTTGGGTTGTTCTCGAACATCTTGACCTAGATACGTGTTGCTATTCGCTATCTTTATATTAAAGACGCCATGGCTCACGGACTCAGACTGTCATGCAGAGAAAAGCAAAAACATATTAGTGCTCTGCAATTCTTCCATCGAATCTTCAAATCCTGAAACTCGGCCATGCCCGCCAAAGCAACCGGATCAGCATTATGCACTTCCCATGCTAATCCGCTGGATCGACCCTAAGCTGCAACCAACCGTTTTGTCCATAGCATATTTCAGCTTACTCATTCTCTACTAGATGAAGGGTTGAATTGATGCACTTACACGTCCCCTTCAATGCAGCGCTCATCACTTGTGTTGTCGATCACCATTAGCCTTTGTTCACGTCTAATTCGCATCACCTACGGAGTAATACAGGCGATGACGATGTGGGACTATAACCAGAATTTGGTACTTCTGTTGTAGATTATAGTCAATCGTGAGACAAAATTGTCCCACCAGGCTTAGCTTTATACACTTTTGAAGCGAAATCGACAACGACATCACCCAGTAACGTTTAATACTATTGCCAGACTGTGGCCTAGGGACACGTCCTTGTTCGTCCAACAGTTAGTGGGTATCATCATCATCATCATTCTTATCGAGGAGCAGAATCTCCACCAAAGACCCCCAAAAAATGAGCTGTACATAAGGGTACTGGTCGATACTTTGAGCCATCCTCATCTCTTTACCCTTTTAGAACGTGCGCTACTGGACCCGGACGCTGGCGGCAGCCTCACCGACGCGCCTAGAGATTAAAGACATTAAACAGACCCACTTCCTTGTTTCTACCGTTGATGCACACAAGCACGTTCGGCCATAATGCTGGAGCTTCTTAATTAATAATAATGGATGCCATCACATCAGCTCGTGCTCTCTTCTCGCCTATCTTGTCGCGGGAAGATCAATGGCCAGGACAAGACGCTCACCCCTGTTAACTTTCTTGCCCTCCACAAGCACAAGGGAAACAGTGGCGGGCGCCACGTCCAAGGCTTCTTATAAGCAATATTGATAGACCGCAGCTTTGTCCAGTAAAGTACGCGTTTTGCATGTGAGGTGAGCAACGACTAGTCAACAAACGATCGTGTTGCGTGTTTGCTTACAATTCATTGTCTCACGAGCTATTATTTGAACAAAAGGAATGCTGATCTTGTGGTAGTACGGAGGTAGTTGGCCAGAGTGACATTTGTTTCTGCTGGGATGCTGGTGATAACACATCAACTTCCCGGCTTCCCAAGCCGGTTGCACCCATACGAAGCGTGATACAGAGATCATACCTTCGTCATCATACGGAATCGGTACAGTTGTACAATTTAGCTACTATTTGGTCTAAGACCATTATTTTTGAAGCTCCAGCGCACTCAAGCCTGTGTCTGAGCCTTTTGCATCAACGCGAACCCAACTTTCCGTGCTCTTCAATTGTGTGGAAAGGTGATCTTAACCACGTGTTACAAGTCTTTAACCTCTCAACGCTCAAGAAGGCAAGGGTTATCACGACCGTTGGTTAAGACCTGAGCAATTTTGTTTGAATTTTCCTATCCTTGCTAATACTAACGTTGATGCTAAGTTAGCGCGTCGCTGATGTTGATGCCAGTCTCGTTGCACTTGCAGAACAGCGTGGCAGCACATGCATATGTACAGTGAGACGCGGTAAACTCAATTCCTAGCTGCCACCCTTAACTCAAAGATCTGGTTATCGAGGCTTCCTGGCCTTGCCAATGCATCTGTAAGCGAAGCCGAGCCCTTTCAGGCTCAAACCGGAAACGAATGTAAACAAAGAACAAAGCAAGCGAGATTTCCTGCAGTACCAACTCAGTCCGACGCATTCATACACTCTATTCACCGCGGAGATATCTTAACGTCTTGTCAAGCAATAACTGCTATCTTTGGTAACTATTCAAGCTTAGCTGGCGTCTTAATTAGCGAGTGTGGCGCTATTTAAATTCAACCTGAGACAAGGACCAGACCTGCACGATCTGGTATACCGTTTTTATTGTTGGGTCCGCCGCTATTGATCTTTCCCGAGAGCTAAAGCTTCTTCACTAACTAATAGACAAACACTTAAGAAGACTCTTCCCTGTTAGACTGTTACCAAGCCTATTATGGCAAACTACCAAGACACTTTCGTTGACTTTGACTCTGGATCACAAGTTTGGCATACAAGGCTGTCACATCTTGAACGATGGTGGCGCCAAAATCCAATAGCTCTCGGGTCTGTTGGGTAACGATAACCTAAAACACATGGGTTTCTTGTCAATGGCAAAGAACAGTATAATTTGGGTTGTTTCCAACTCATCCGAAAGTGAGTTCCAGTGTATTGAAGTGTGTATTCAGTTGCAGGTCACTTCCTGGTACTGTGATTCACGCACTAGCCTTGGGTAAGGTGTCATTCGTGAATCAATCTTGGAAGTTCAGATAAAGAATGTTATTAGGGCCTACTTAAAACATGCTCTTCTCAACATTCAGCTATCGTTTGGCTACCCTGGACGGAACCCGATCACCACTATATCTCGGTTGCACTGGTGCCTTGCCGTTCCGGCTGCTGCGTGAGGTCTTTGTTGTAGGTGGACTTTTCTTCTTGCTCTTGCCCGTCAGAGCTAACAGTGTGCTCAGGGGTAGGAGCATAATTCGTAGAAGCGTCTTGAATGGCAGAAGCGCGATGGCAGTGACAGATTCCATCGCCCATATCAACACGCTCTTATGAGACGCACTGTTCTTTGCAGCACTTGCTGCGAGGGCGATAGCATCATCCAGTCTTGCGTCCATCCCGACAAATCGTGACTCGGTCTGGAATTGGAGAAGTGTAGCCTTTTTCTCGTAACGGCGTACAGCCCTGTTGAGCGCATCGAGTTCCGGCTGAATTGCGTTACGCACGTCGCGTGCCACGACGCTCTCCTTTTGCTTCGTCTTGTTGATTTCCTGCTTCATCTCTTGGGGAGAGACGGTCTCTTCGGCGGTGGCGCGGGACTCTAGTTGCTCGAGGCGTGCGAGGACGGCTTCTAGCTGTTCCGAATTATTGTTGCTTTTCTGGAAATTGGACAGCCCTCCTTGTACGACCCTCTGTAAATGAAGAGTTCGTGAGCGGACAAGCTTTATCATGTGTGATAAAACCCGAAGCTCGGCTACGAGAAGGAAAATGGTTAGGTTGTAGTTGGAAACAAGGCCCTCGGAGGGACGGCTCAGTTGAGATCGGATGGCGTGCAAGAGATATGCGCCTAGGAGTGGAAGAAGGAAGCACGAAGCAAGGGCGATGATTTCGTATAGGTAAAGTTCCGCCAGTGCTTCTCGCTGTTGTGTCGTAGGTTGTCTCTCGTGTAGTTCCTCGGTTGGTTCAGTGCGTACTTCTTCATCTTCCGGTACATGATCAAGAGGTGAATGAGGTCGTGGAGCATGGGTGCTGGAGTCAAGATCACTATCGTCGTCGATGACACTTTCAACAGTTGATTCCTGCTGTATTCTAACTTCCTGTGCTGAGTGGTACCATGCCCTGATCGATGAAGTAAGCATATGCTCCCGAAGGCATCAGATAGTAGAACAGTCAAGGGCGAGAACTCACCATGGCTGTGTTACAGACCAGTGAAGGAAAACACCAGCCAGGCCCAGAAGCATGATATCTGTAACTATAGCACTTCCATTCTTGAAGAGGGCACCAGAAATAGCAGGGAGAAGAGCAAAAGCCAACGATAGAGATGCCAGGGATGACGTTTCTCCAGCGGAAGACTCAATGCTGGGTTCTCGAAGCTGCGGGTTGAGCAGATCTCGGGCTTCATTGAGACTGTACTCTGAGAAATTGGAGCTTCTACGAGGCGGTATCGTATCGAAGCCAGGTGACGCCATGTACGGACGTCGAGACGCGGCATCCTCAGCGGCAGACACGGTCACGGCGCGCCGGAGCCCATGACCGGGAGGCGGGGCGTTGATACCGGAGCTTACACCGGCAGTTGCAGCGGGTCTCCTACCGGGGGACGACGTCGTATTCTCATCCGCCATGGCCGAAGCTGACAATTGATGCAGCCGCTGTAGCCGTTTCTGCAGGGCGACGTGCAGTGGTTAAAGAAGTGCCGACTAAAAAAAACTATCTCCAATGCAGTTTTGGGGAAAAGGAAGGGGGAAAATAGGCGGCCAAGTCACGCGACAAAGCTCTCCCGGACGCAGTCACACAGACGGTGAAGGGAAGAGGGGCAAGGGAGGGAAAAGAAGGGCTACGGCTACAGGTGAGAAGAGCGGAGGTGGGAGGTTTGTAGGTGACGAATTTGAATTTGTTGTGCGACAAAGGCAGAGAATTGGAATATGGTGGCGATGGGTTCGTTCAAAGAATGATGATGAGTTGTCTAGTCTAATAATAAGCGACGTCACTTATAGCTAAGGTACCTAAGGTAAGGGTACCCAAAGACTAAAGTTACGGCATTCGAAAGTGAGACTGGCGGGATGGGAGCTGGAGAAGGGGAGCTCTTGGCTCTGTAGGGATACTACAGCAGCGCAGCTAACGTAGACCACAGCACATCTCGATTTTTCTTTATTGGTGCTGGTGCTGGAAGCTGAAAGTTGCCCTTTAAAGTTGATTATTGTGTTTACAGTGAAAGGTGCAGAATGCAGAGATCTTTTTCTGGTTAGCTTCCGCCTGTTCAGCTGAGAAGAACAAAAATCTGCCCGATCTGTCCAATTGATGGATGCAAAAAGGACGGGAAATCCAGAAGAGGGTTGGTTGTAATGGGCTCTGTCACCTGTGATCCGATAGGCATGTTGGCATCTGGAGTAGGCATGTCTTGAAATAGGTCCCGAGCCTTAGTGATCGACATGCAGGGAAGAGGGAGATCCAAGTGGTTTTGTGCGTTGGAGGGCATATAGTTGGTATGTTATGAGCAGCCTCTTTCTGCAAAGGGAAGATGCTATCGATCAGGGCGCGTGCAGATGAGAATGTTAGGAGAGATAAATTGAGGACCAAACAGGCTTGAGCATATTATAGGGTAAACATCATGGCTGAAGATAAGAGTAAATGTGCCGTGTCTGACATGAACGCCACGAGAACGGCAACAAATTAACCAGTCAACGGTCAGTGGTCAATCATCAGCGATCGTAAACGGGGATTGACAAAGGAGAACCCGAGCCGATCTTGCATGGTAAATCTCCGTTGTTGAGATATTACCAACGCCATCTTTCAGCATCAATTTCTGCCTTTCATGCAAGAGTCAAGACGTCAAGACAGCCGACCTCGGGAGTTGTGTTGAAAAAGCAAAGACAATGGAGTAAGCTTTGGCAGCGTGACGTCAACGTTCAGGTGATGTCCAAACATAGCATCCAGATCCATCTCAATGCCTAACGGTTCCACAGACATACGCAGTCCTGAATCTTGACGTTCATCCCCAGCAACAAGGCTCCAAGTATGACAAAACACAAGGAAGTAATTCGGTGTCATACTGGCACGAGGACAAATCTGTTATCTCCAGATTGACTTAAGCGAGACGCTCCGTGATAGGACATCTCTTTGCCGTATCAGAGATCTTGAACACCCACAAGGGAGATGGTTAAGAGGAACCTAAATCCGAGACGTTCATCCCAACTTGAGACAGGGGCCATGTCAGGTGGAATGACTATGAGAATGACCAAGAATATGACAGATTCTCTTCTTTGCAGAGTCTGTACGGATATGCAGGTTCCTCCGATCACGCAAAAGGTGTTGCAGAAACTACGACGCCATCACAGTTGAGACCTCATCGCTCGCATTGCATCGCATCGCATAAACAGTCGTTACCTGGAGTCAGCACGGTCGTCTACTGTATCTTGATCCTTCAACTCTGACTTTGACCAGACGGGACCCAATTGAATAGATGAAATACCGTCATGGCGTCACTGGAGACAGCTACGCATCCCTTGATAGGACTGTGGGAAGCTAAACTTCCCCCTAGTCGAGAAGCCGTCGCCTGTCAAAAAAAAAAAAAAAAAAAAGTCCTTTCAGGGGATGGAGCCTGGTCATCCCGGGAACTTGGAAGCCCTAGTTTTAAAGATTGGTGATGGAGACTCGATGACGAGAACAGAGCGCTATGTATTAGCACGCACCCTACGGAGTACCTAATGTATGCGTCTGACTTGATGGATGTGGGTGTGGATGTTCATGCCAGGTACTGTCCAGACAGGAACAGGAAACTCTATCCGCAGAGGCACAGCTCCTATTCTCTGCATGTGCATGACAAGAAGTCTTGAGACTGGATGAGACGACTCATGTTGCATTAAAAAGTAACTCCCTCGCCCCTCTCGTGTCTTGCTTCATAAACCATTCTCTGCTCAAATCTTCAATTACATCATCAGTAATCTGAACACCATCCATCACAGGCTAAGGGCATAACCATAACCACCGCTTGTTATATGAAGCTAGTTCATCTGAGGCTTCAAGCGAGCGCAAATCTCCGCCTGTCGACCACGATTTCAGACCCGGACCCTTGAGGTTGGCATCTCCCGGGGACACCGGCAAGGCAGGGCTTAGAGAGAGAACAAAAAGGAACGAAATCGACTTGATAAATGTTAAAGGGGGTTGCGAAGCCGCATTTTCTGTCTCGTCTGACCTCTTCCAGCTTTTCTCCTGGGACTTGGGACTTGTGACCTCTAACTGGAGAGAGTCAAACGTCAAACGGCCAATAGCGTTGCGACTAGTTGTCGCAAACTCTCAACTCTACGGCACAGCCCGACCAACTATTCTATAAGATTTTACCTTATCCATTGCAGTATTCCTAGGTTCAATTCCTCTATCATATCAACGACAACCTATATGGCAAGCAAGGCGAGCTGAAAGAGAGAACTCAACCTCCACGGGCTTGCATAAGGATCTTCTCCAGCTCCACTCCCTCCACTCGGCTTTAGGTTGCCTCCACTGGGCGGGCTGCTGTGCCTACCTAGGTACGCTGCAGGGCGCTGAGGATGCTGGCTTCTAGGGCATCCAGCAGCTCCTCATCCACTAAAACCCCGGTCAACCGCTCCCCAGCCTCCAGTTCCGTCTGCACCTATCATTGGCCCACCGTCGACGAATTTCCCCTTGACGTCTGGTCCCTTCATCACTTCTTTTCAGGTTCTTCCTCTTCTCCTTTGCCCGCCAACGACTCGAGCAAGCCTCTCGCCTGCTGCTGCTCGCCAACCCGCTTCGACGAGACCAACGACGACGATTTCCCAGACATCACCGCCTTCGATTTACCAGCTTCTCCTGCCGCTGCCGATTTGAGCCTAGCGACATACCGCACTCGTCGCATTCCTTCATCCTCTCTCTTGGTCTTCCGCCAACACCGGCTCCGTGCACTTTCAGTTAGCGCCCACCCTCCAAGACAAGCCCAGCAACTCGACGACGACGATAACGACGCCTTTGGTCTTGATTGTGACCTCACCCTGGACTTCGCCCTCACTCACGTCAGCGTGAGAAGGACCTCGCCATATTTCCCGAGCGCGGTCGTCTTCGCGGCCGTGCCGACAACCTGTTTCCAACGGATTCTCTACTGTCCCGACCTTCTCCCTCCAACCCGACCGCCGTAGATGCCCTTGGAAACCCTCTAATCCGGAGCCTCGAACCCCCAAAGTCCGCTTACCCCGGAACCGGCTCCTCTACTGATCCAGCCGCGGTTGCTGCCGCCGCATTGAATCCCCAGCACCAGTCAAGCCGAGCATACGACAATCATCAAATATCCGCCTTCCGCCCTTCGCCTTTCCGACCTCAAAAAGCTGCTGGAGCCGCGCATCGTCCTCGTCGGTTATCAGCTGCTCGCCTCTGGAACCCTACAAATTCGACGCCTCGACCTCATACCAAGCCCGACTCATCGCGTAAGCGCCGTCCTTCAACCCCCCCGCCGCCATCTATTCCTCTCTTGCACCCTACTTTGGGCAAGTCGCGCGCACCTCCCGATCCCGTAGGTGCTGGGCCCAGCGATTACCCGCTTCTCACGCTTTCCGAGCAGCATCAAATCAGGCATTCGTTATCGCCTCGCGTTAGTCTTCAAGTTGAAAGGGCAGGAAGCAGTGACCGACGCATAAGTCTGCCGAATTCAGTGCGTGCCTCTTACGACGACAAAGGGTCTCGAAGGGGTGCAGTGTCCGCCGAAGCCCGTCTCAGTAGAGATTTCTTGCGTGATAGCGTGGTGGAGGATCCTGTCATCAAACTCGACAAGGGCAAAGGGAAAGCTGTCATGATGCCCGAGACCGAAGATCCCATGTCACCCTATGGGCAGGACCTGGAGCGTGGTCCAGATATCATGGACCCACGAATGTCCAATGTCTCGGCTGGTGATGGAATAGGATCCGCTCTGTCGACAACGAATTCTTCTATTATGGGCGAAGAGGTCGAACCGGACGCAGCTGGTGAATGGGGCCCCCAACACCCTTGCTATCCTCACCGCAATCCTCATGTCCCTGTCGACTCTCCCGAGTATATCAGTACGCGCATTATTCGAATACGTCGTGACTGGTTGGTCAGGGGTGATTTGGCTCCTACATTTTCCAACCTGTATCCTGAGATTCTAGATCCCGCTGGACTGTCTGAACAGGAATTTCGTCGGATTATTGAGAAGCTCAACGGCGAACTTGTTCCTGCATTCGATCCGTACAGCATGAGGAACATCGCCGATAGCATACTTGGACTGGTTACTGGTTGGGTCTGGGACGATTTTGGCCTGACCGGTATCAAGTCTCGACTGAACAATCTTGAGAAGTGGGTTGAGCAATGGAATGTCGAAATGGAAAAGACGATGGGTTCTGAAGATGGCACTATGGCCCCCAAGATTCTCCCCTTGCGACAAACAGGTTATATGACGGTAGGCTCTCCCCTTCTGATACTATGAGAGCGGTTGCTAATTCTTTTACAGCTCGATATTCAGATCCCTGACCCTGAGATTGCGCCAGCTCCCAGCACCGCAAACCCCAACGACTCAAGAACAGCCTTGCATATGGAACCTGCCTCCGCTGCTGTTGCTTAAACGGGCAGACTCCTACTATACTATACAACATATTCTTTCGATTGATTGACGACCGACCGGTAGCTCGTCAATTCCCTTTGATTTTACTTTCTTTAATCCCCTGACGACGAACGAGGCAGCTCCTTTGATGAACAGGACGCCTCTTAACGAGTTACACCAAGCCTGTCTATACTCTCAAACTCGCGAGATATTATTCCCTTTACCCATCTTGATACCACTACACATCGCACGGCGTTTTCTTTTTGGATTTATTTGTTTTTTAAACAGAGGCCAGTCCTGCATTTTGAAGCAGGGACTGGTTGAAGTTCTTTTTGATCATCTTGAAGAGATGATGGGTAGAAAAGTTGTGGCGTCGTTGGATCAGATCCATTGCTTCCCAGATACCTTGACGCACTCTGGAGACGAAGCTCAGAGTGTTGTTTACTGGGGAGGAAGTTGCTCCGTTTAATTTGCTTAACTGTACTATCATGTAATTCGATATGAAATACTTGTCTAATATCATATGACGCTCAAATTCTTTCATTCCAATCACTTCCTCTTTCTGGGTGCTATGAATATGTTGCTACGGATTACTACAGTGGGCGTGCAAAAGTTTCGATAGCTTCCTCTTTTTCGTATTTCATATAATAATATATCAATTGTAATTAACTATTTTTAAATTATATTACAAAATACAATTATGTCTAGCCTTGTATGCAAGATCTTCTACATATGGTATATTGCATTTCTCTGTTATTCTACGTATTCTGGGTGAGTTATTGTTGGAAATTTTGCACGGAACTGTATGAACCCTCAATATACTAATGCGTCCGCTCTCCAAGGACAATTCAAAGTCCGCCCTCCTTTAACCAAAGCCGTGAATAGCGGTAATAACGGTAATAGCGCCAAGCTACCAAGCCCGCATTATAGCCAGGGTAACGAATGATACCATCTCCCTTCCCTCCCCATGTCGATTACAACACTGCATGGCAACAACATAAAAAGAAACAGCCCCGACCCTCGGCGATTTTCTTCTTACTCCCTAATTCTCAATATCTAAAATGGCCATTACGCCTCCGAGCCTTGAGAATGTCGAGCCTGGAAAAGCAGAAACCGCCTGAACGGGGAGTAATTGGCTGGGTTAAGAAAGTGGCCAATTTGATCCTTGCGCAGTATTTGGTCATTGGATTTGCGATTGCTTGTGTTTTGGGATACTTCTTTCCATGTATGTTTGTTATTCTATCTGTGTGAGGATCGAGAAGGGTTGCTAATGCGAGTTCTACTTACAGCTGTTGCTCAACACGGAGGCGTTATTCGCTCAGAGTATAGTATCCTTTATGGCGCTGTCGCATTCATATTCGTCGTCAGTGGGTTGCAACTGTCGCCAGAGAAGTTGCGCAAGAATGTGACAAACTGGAGACTGCATATTCTAGTTCATGGGATTAGTTTTGCGGTTATACCGGCTATTGTCCTTGGTAAGTTTACCCTATCTATCGTCTTTGTCTAACGAACAAGGAAAAGACCGAGATGAGATCCGAAAGCTGATATTCCCAGCTATCGTTCACATCTCCATTGCAGCTGGGGCTCTCAAGTCTCAGACACCCTCACCCCCAATCCTCATCGGCCTCCTCACAACAGCCTGTCTGCCAACTACCATCGCCTCCAATGTTGTCATGACACGTGCTGCAGGCGGAGACGAAGCCGCCGCCATCATCTCAGTTGTCATCGGCAATGTTGCAGGGGCGTTTCTTTCTCCCCTGCTAATCTACGGCTTCTTCCCAACCGGCCATCCTGAAGAACTCGATGACTGGCGCCCCGCAAGTCCAGCTACCCTGGGACATATGTATGCGGATGTCGCTAAGCAGCTCTGTCTCAGCGTCGTTCTGCCACTTGTCGTAGGTCAAGCTATAAGGTGGAAGTGGGAAGAGCGTACAGTCAAAGTCCTCAACGCTCTCAAATTGGCAAAGGTATCGACGTTATGTCTTGTCCTGCTCGTCTGGACAACCTTCTCTGGAGCTTTCGGTACTGGTGCTTTGGAGGATCTGTCGACTAGCAATGTCCTCTTCCTTGTATTTATGAATGTTGGGCTATATGCCCTCTTCACGGTTATTTGCTTCCTTCTTGCAAGACCGCCCGAGAGCTTGGTAAGGTTAGCGTCTTCGTCGTGGCTAGAAAGTGTTTTCAAGCGCATGTCCAAGGAGCAGACAATTGCTGTATGTTTTTGTGGAGCGGCCAAGACAACGAGCTTGGGTATTCCACTCGTCAGTTCAATGTGGGCGCGCGCGGATGATCTTACACGAGCATACATACAGATCCCCGTGCTGTTGTACACTATCGAACAGGTATTCATGGCCCAGGGATTAGTATACGTCTTTCGATGGTATATGCGGCGAGGTAATATGCAACATATCGACGAGGAGACAGAGCAAGACCCTTGTATAGAGCGGCAGTCCACGGAAGCACAACAGCAACCTCATGACCTCTCAAGACAGATGATCGCAGAGGACATGCAACAGAAAAGGCAGCACGTTTCATGAAAGGCTTGTAGAAGTTGTAGTTGTTTTGGAGAAGAAAAAAATTCCAGAGGATATATAACACTATTATAGACTTATAGTCATGTCATCACTGCTCATGTGCCAACGTTGTGTTTTCATTTTCATCTTTCAGGAGTCGAGTTGCGATATCTTTGTAGACAAATCGTGTTCAGTAAAATTTCGCGTAGTTATCATAATCATCTAAATCAGCCCATCCTCAGGTCTGTCCTGCCTTGATATTTGTGTTCATTGCCTTTCCGTTCTCATCTTTTCGGATGAGGCTCTCGAACAGAGGTCCCAAATGTTGGGCACTCTTCTTGGGGTATCGCTTCTGGTCGTTCTCATAGTCAACGAATGTAACGCCGAATCGAGTCTCGTAGCCCTCGGCCCACTCGAAGTTGTCCAATAGAGACCAAGCAAAGTAACCATGGACATCCACGCCGTCGAGTGTGGAGGCATCGGCCATGGCTCTCACATAGTCGTCGTAGTATTGGGCACGGAAATCATCTTGCAGAATCTTCTCACGTGGCATATCGTTCTCGCCCTTGATACTGGTACCATTCTCGGTAACGTACAATCTGGGGTAACCATAGCGCTTGGAAATCCAGACAAGCAGGTCACGGAAGCCTGGGGCACATGGCCTCAACCAGGTAGACTGGGTCTCAGGGCCGATACAGTCGCCTCGGTGGTTCCAGAAGTGTAGCTCAAGGTTGCCAACAAAGTCTTCTGGTTCGGCCTCACCTTCACGGTGCTTGACATAGTTGGCAGTGTAGTGATTCATGCCATAGAAATCATTGGATCCGAGGACAAGAGCCTTCTCTTCAGGGGTGAAAGTAGGGAGACGGTCGCCAAGCTGCGCCTTCATCGAAGCTGGGTAGTCACCAAAGTAGATGGGATCAGCAAACCAAGAGATGGCAAATTCGATTTTTCGTTCGGCAGCCTCAACATCTTTCGGGTCCTTAGGGTCCCAGGGATATGTGGCGTCGCCATTGAGGGTGATTCCGATCTCACCACCATTCTTCGGCTTGAATTCCTCGCGGTAAATCTTGACGGCACGGCCGTGGGCAACAAGAAGGTTGTGGCCGACAATCCAGGGCTCAGTTGAAGAGTCACCAACATCAGACTTGCTACGATCAGAGCAGCGGCCGGGAGCGTTGGAACCAGTGCTGTAACCAAGAATGGCCGAGCACCAGGGCTCGTTGTGGGTGATCCAGTTCTTGCAGCGGGGGATAGACTCAAATACGACACGAGCGTAGCGCTCGAAATCAAGAGGAAACTCTTCGCGGTTCATGAGACCACCATAGCGGCGGTCCAGCTCGTCGGGGACATCCCAGTGGAAAAGGGTGATAAAGGGGGTAATGCCGGCGTCAAGAAGGTCGTCGACGAACTTGCGGTAGTGGTCAATTCCAGCCTGGTTAATGGGGTCTTCGCGACCACCGAGAGGAATGATTCTGGACCAGCAGAGAGAGAAACGGTACGCCTTGGAGCCGAGGGACTTGAGAAGTGCGATATCCTCAGCAGTGCGGTTGTAAGAGTCACAAGCGGTGACACCAGAGCTACCGTCTGCGATCTTGCCAGGCTTGACACAGAAGGTATCCCAGTTGGCGGGCCCACGGCCATCCTTGTCAACAGCACCTTCGATTTGGTAACTGCCAAGATTGTCAATTGTCACGATGCAATTTCAATGAGAGTGAGATTGTACTTACGAGGCGGTGGCAAAGCCCCATTTGAAGTCACTGGGAAGAGACATGATGGATGACGAACGGCTGGCTCTCAGCTCTTCAAGTTCCAGCTGAGTCGAGGTAAGAAGAGAGAAGGAAACTGAAGTGGGGTGTAGATGAGTGGGAAGAGAAGAGAAGGAGGAGGAGAAAGCTATCTTGTTCAGCATCAGAACACCTTCTTATATGCCCCAACATGGAGCATGGGTTGTCCCTCCATCACCCTCGCTCTCGCCCTCACTCTTCGTTCCACGCATAGTTTAGGCGATCTTTGTGTCAGCTCCGTACAAGGCGGAAATGAAAGAATTGGAATAGAGGTAGAGGCAGAGCCTTAGAGGTAGAGTTGTTTCTTCGGACCGTCGTAGCCGTGGCCGGATCATCTGGCCCAAAAGCTGGGGTGGGGTTGACAAAGTTGTAAGAGGTTGAACGTGGTTGGTGGTTGATTTCACGACACGACGCCAAGCTACCTTCCTTGAGTTGAAATGGTGGGTTATGGCGGCACCTGCCTGGGTTTGCCCTGCATCAAAGTGCATGCTGCATTGCTGCTGACGGGATGTCTCCTTCCATCAGGACTAGAGGCCCTCTTACGGCAACCCCAACCAATGTTATTGCCCCATGGGGATGTGTTTCAGGACCCTTCCAGATTCTAGGCTCTACATCTGCAGTCGTCCATTGTCTTATTCTTCCTCTCTGCCTCTTTTTTCCCTTTTCTTCTTCACACTTTCCTTCATCGCAAACTCGAATTTCCAGAAACTCTTCATCCCCAATCTCCAACGAGAGAGCTGGGGGAATAGCAGACTCTTTTGACACTTTACTCTTTTGGTCGTACATGGACCTCCGTTTTCGTCAGACGATTCCCGCTCAAATGTGCCTCCACGAGCCTTCGGCCCGCCTCTCCGGCGCCACGACAGCCCGCTATCGCCAAAACCTCGGCCCCCTCTTTGACGTGAATTGGTCGCTGCAACTTCGCCTCGCCGGTTGAATTGAATTGACTTGGGTGCATGAGAGATACTCGATGATCACCAAGATCTTATGCGGTGCACGTGGAAACTCCGCCTCAAGATTCCAAGGTTCTAGCCTAGGTACCGAGCAACACCGTTGCTTCTCTTTCTTTTAGCCTGCATTATGTTTCGGATGCTGTAACTGTGATCCTCATTGCTTCTTTAGCTCGTATGTGCCCTGGCTTGCTTAAACTGGTTCCTGTTTCCACTTGTGTCGAGCGGCTCCGGACTGCATTGCCCCGAAGTCCCGGCAAACTATTTCAAGGATTGGAACGGTTCAAATGTCCGGACGCCACGCAACATCTACAACAGATTTCATCTTCTTGCTGTCGTTGAGAGCATCCTCTTATCTTTCGACCAGCTAACTCCGAGCGGTTTTCCTGATCAATCAATCGACATCCAAGGACGCTCGGCTCGTCATTCATGTTCACATGAAAATCTCGAGGTTGAAACTACGAGTATCGGATATTTATTATTTTTGACAAACTATCTCGCTGGCTACTAAGGTTCAGTCAATGGGCTCCAATGAGCGACACAAGGGCTCGAATATCTCGCATTTGCGCTTTCTGGCGAAACAGCATCTTGCTGCCAATATTTTAGCATGAGTTCTCGTCATTATCCCTCCAAATGGGTTCCTCATCAGTCATCAGCTTCCTCAATATTACAACAAAACCGTCTCCTCCCAGGGCTCGTTCAACTTATAATTTCAGTTGCCGCCAGTAACCGCTTCCGAGTCGTCCCTGTCATGTAGCTTTCGCTTTCCGAGGTGAGATAATTCCATATCGACGTCTTCTCCTGTAGGACCCTGCGACTCGTTGCCGTTGCCCGAGTATTCAACAATTTCCCACTCAACCTTGACTAGGCCATCATGCGACTGCTTAACGCCCTGGCTTCGGCGCATATTGCCCAAACGTGTTCCTTCAACCATACCGTCGAACCATGGAACTCCATACGATTGGCGTAGTGCCGTGCTCCTACCCACCACTGTTGGTGGCTGTTCTGCCGGGGTGGTGTTTTCCTCCTCCTCAGGGATAAGACCCATGTCTTCCAGATCCCGCAGGTCCTCCCTCAGCAAGCTTCCGAGTGTAAGGTTGATGAAATCGGCTTCGGTGTGTGGGTTTTCAGACCAGTATGACAAGGGCGTACCACAGTAGCCGCAAAAGTGACGTTTCGAGTATTGCTGGCTAGGGTGTGTATACACACGTCTGATTAAGGCATGTGTCTCGTCTGGAAAGAAGGAGTGTGTGGTGCTGTGGTACCATGACAGAGGAACTCGGATGTATGCAGCCAGTGGAGTTGCAAGAGGAATCTCTGTGAACGACTGTCAGATCATACGCCCAAAGATGGATTGGAAGTGAGTCCCGACTTACGATGAGCTGGTTCGGTGTTGAAAAGGACCTGTGCCTCGCTGATACCGTTTTGAGGAACGGCAATAATATAGCGGTTTCGGCCGCATTGGCAGCCACCGCGCAGCGGCCTGAGGGTGTTCATGGCTAATGGTAAGATACTGGCTATTTGAGTTGCTAACAGAAGTATGTATCGTATGAACTGCGTATGTTGGGTCAGAAGGACATATGTCTTGGGCGTCTCTGGCGGTTGGGAGGAGATGAGAAGTAGATATTTAGGTGATGGGAGCTGGAGTGGCTGCTAAGGATGGGATGGGATGTGCTGGAATTTGTTTGGTGATCAGCAGTTCCGCCTTCCTTCACAACGCATCCGCATCCGACGTCTTCCAATGCACGCTGAGGAAGCTCCAGGCAGGACCCAGCGGGTGGGCAGGCAGTGACGACATGCTCCAGTGACTTTCCGCTAAATGTTAAGTTTCCACGGCGCTCTAGCGCTTCGTGGGGGCTTCTAGAATTGCGCCGGCCGACCCCACCTCCGGCTTCCAAGAGTGGAAAGCCCGGAATGGCTTCTCCTTTACGGATACAATGTATCTGATCAGACTCAAGGGAGGGCCTAAGATATCTGTCATCTATAGACAGGCTCAAACTAGTAGCCATACTCCTAAAGACTTGCCGTTTATTTGAAGTCTTTATAGCTTATAGGAGGTCCGGACTTCTATCACGCCGTAGCCCCACCAGCTGAAGTGTCTCGGCCCCTCTTTTGTGAAGCTAGGTATTATCCATGCGTTAGACGATGAAGCTACCCTACAAGGAGCGATTGATTCAAGATAGTAAAAAGCACTTCTTAGGAAAGTAATGCATCTGTAGAATATACATATTGCACACCTACTAGAATTGATCTGCTATCAATTCAAACGTCGGTCGTACTTCTTCCTTTCATTTCCCTGCAAGTATCAACACTGTCCAGCTGGCATGGAAGTTTCCAGCAAAATGGGCGTCAATGCTACTTGGCCCGTGTGGCCCCAGAGCTAATGAACTTTCGCCCAAGTTGCAATTAAACACCACTCTTCTCGATGAAAGCTCAGTATCCTGAGAAGAACCTCCGGATAGTAGCTCGAGAGAAACCGTGGATTGAATGTCTAGTATATCTGCTCATGCAAATTACTAGAAGAACTGGGTGAATATCAGCTGGATTATTTATTAGTTGGATACCTACGTTAAGTAACTCCCAACTAGGTACTATTTTATATTCATTTATATGTATTCATCACTATTGTTCTGTCCTCTTAGGGTCTTTGATGAGTTTAATGAACTAGTAGTAAAAAGGTGCCTGCCATGATGTGATGACTCTATGACATGCTCAGACAACCCAAACCTAGCATCACTATCCACGGCGCAGCAGTAACATCACCGTGTCCACAACCGTCCAGCATCTCTCACTCCAAAATTCCAAAGCCATAATGCCCCGTATTGGTTTTGGTAGCTACAAAATCCGTGGTCAGACATGCAAAGACGCTGTACTTGCCGCGCTCGCAGCAGGGTACAGGCATATCGACTCAGCCGCGCTGTACCGCAACGAGGTGCGCGTGCGCGAAGCAATCGAACAATCCGGTGTGCCTCGTGAGGACATTTTTCTCACTACAAAAGTCGGAAGCCCTAGGCGGAAAGAAGCTCAAGGCGAAATGTATCAGGATGTCGTTGAGACGGTGGACCGTATCGCTGGAGAGGATGGGTATGTTGACTTGTTACTGATTCATGTCCCTGGACCGTCTCGAGAACATCGGCAGAGGTTGTGGGAGGCTATGGAGAGATTAAAGAAAGAGAGGAGAGCAAAGAGTATTGGTGTTAGTAATTTCAGAGTGCGGCATCTTGAAGAGCTCAGGGAGTATGCTACTGAGTGGCCTCCAAGTGTGAATCAAATCGAGGTGAGCCATGATAATCCCAACACCAAGAAGGAGGAAACTGATCACAGAACGATTGCTACATACATAGCTCCACCCATGGTGTCAGCAATGCGAAGTCGTAGCCTTTTGCAAGGCCAATGACATTGTTGTAGAGGCATACAGCCCGCTTGCTACAGGCACTCGGCTGGACAATACAACAGTTCAAGGCATCTCGACAAAGCATGATATGACGCCGGCTCAAGTTCTCATACGATACTCGCTACAGAAGGGGTGGGTGCCATTACCCAAGAGCTCAAAGCCGGAGCGTATTCAGGAGAATTTCAACGTCTTTGATTTTGAACTGGATGGAGATGATATGAATACTTTGGATGGGCTCGATGAGGGCTCAGCGGGTGCTGTCTTTCGGATGAATGTTGATTAGACACTACTTCATCAACGGCTGTGCGGAGGAAATATATAGTTATGATGCCGGTGGAGCTCGCTCATCTTGTCTGAATTATAGAATATAACAATAGGTAAACTCGAAATGTATACATAGCCCTCATATGGCTGAGCTGCAAATAAGCTAGACAGCGCTCCATCACTGTAGTCAACTCAGCAGCTCTATGCCTTCCCATGCTTGGCCCATTCCCTAAGAACATTCTTCTTAATCTTGCCTGTGCTGGTCTTTGGCAGCTCATCAACAACCTCAACCTCTCGCGGAACCATAAATCTGCTAATATCACTCTGATGCTTGGCCCACGAAATCACCTCATCCCCTGTGACACTCTTGCCTTCCTTGACTGTGATGTAGACCTTGGGTCGCTCACCCCAGTGCGAATCCGGGACTGCTACAGCGCCGGCCTCGAGGATATCCGGGTGTTGGGCCAACATGCTCTCGAGGGCAACAGACGAGATGTTCTCGCCGCCCGAAATGATGATGTCCTTTGCTCGGTCCTGGATCTGGGCGCTGCCGTCGGGATGCCACACCGCAAGATCACCAGAGTGAAGCACGCCTCCAGCGAACAGCTGCCGCGTGGCCTCGGAGTCCTTATAGTATTCCTTGGCGCAGATGTTGCCGATAAATACAATCTCACCGATCTCCTTGCCGTCTTTGGCGACGTCGATAAGGACACCCTGTGGCTGGTCTGGCTTGATGACTCGGATCGGTTGGCTTGTGATGAAGCCGTGACCTTGCCGGGACATCTTTGCGTACTTTTCAGCAGGCGGGAGATGATCCCATCCGGGGAGAGTATAGCATTTGGTGATGGGTCCGTATGTTTCTGCGAAACTAGTTGTTAGCCATATTTCAAGTCACGTAAAAATGCATCTGGCGTACCTGTCATTCCATAAACATGGACGGGGATGAGATTTAACTTAGTCTAGAGTTTGTGTTAGCTTAAGATCCTCATCTGCAACTCCTCATGGTACATACCATCTGTTCAAAGAGGTATCCGGTCGGCGGGCTAGCAGCCACAGTCACTTTGACTTCTTGTGGTAGTCTCTCAGCTTCCTTGGCGGCCACCAACAGTGTGTTGACTGTAGGAGCAGCGTTAAAGTGTGTGATTCCCTCTTCCTTGAGAAGTTTCCATATCAGAGGGTAATCAATCTTTCTTAGGCAGACGTTGGTACCACGAACGGCGACAACTGACCAGGGGAATGTCCACCCCACTGCATGGAACCTATTAATGGTTAGTTACTGATACTTCGCAGCGGGGTCGTTCTTGTTGAATCTCTGCTCTTACATAGGAAGGGTCCATAGGTATTTGCATTGTCCAATGTTGAGACCGGACTCAATGATATTGGCCATGGCGGCAAGATAAGCACCTCGATGTGTGTACACGACACCCTTGGGACGCGAGGTGGTTCCAGAAGTGAAAGGGATGGCAAGCATATCATCTTCGCTCCGGGCCTGAGCATGAAGACCTGCCCAGCCTTGGCTACCTTGTGTGATATCATACTGCAAACCCTCCAGTATGGTATCGTCGAAAGGACCAGACAATTGTCCTTGAGTGGCATCAGTATCCTGGGAGGTAACGTTAACAACAGCTTCAAGATAAGAGTGTATCTATGCACGAAGGGGAAAACCAACCATATCAACAATTAGAGGCACGTTATTGTGCTTCTCTTTGAACGCATCAAGCAAGCCCACAAACTCATTGTCGATGATAATGCAGTCCACCTCAGCAAAATCAAAGATGTATGCAATATCGTCTGGCTTCAGACGGTAGTTAGCCGGGACAATGGTCGCGCCGGCGGCGACGATGCCATAGATAGACTCTAGAAAAGCAGGTGTGTTTGGGGCGAGGATACCCACGCGGCGATAGCCATGCTTAAGTAAATAGTAAGCAAGGCCTCGGGCGCGATCAGCAAACTCAGCGTATGAGCGGCGTAGCACGGCGCCATTGGCGGTGATGTGGAAGATGGCTTCGGCATCGGGCTCAATGGAAGCAGCGCGCTCAAGAAACGTTGTGGGTGATAGAGTGTGAAAGTTGATTGGTGCAGTGGGATGAGGGCGAAGATGATTGAGAATAGAGCGGATGCGAGATGGAGGGTCTGACATTGTGAGAGCTGTGTATAAGATTGTTCACTGCTTGTGATGTATGCTTATTTAGATAAGGGATCAAAAGAGTAGGGCGTAGTAATAGGGGCAATTGCTTATAGATTGATGTGATGAGATGAGGACGATAGGGAGCGTTTTCATAGCTATGTCTCGGTTCAGCCCGGCAAACACGGTTCCAGCTCGGTATTCTTATGGCATCTCAGAGACAATGATTACGCGAATCAGTCTAGTCCGCCACGAACCAATGATGGGTTACAGATCTATGCTTAGGTATCTTAGTAGTAGTGCCTGTGCAAAGGCGGGGACCCCGCATAATTAGTTGTGGAGGAGGACAAGGGGTATTGATACAAGGAGTTATCACCATATGTTATGTTTTATTCATAAGAGCTATACCGATTTTGGTTGAAAGTACTGAATTACTGACTCTTGTATATGAATTGCTCACAAAAATGCAGGACTTATTCTTCTGCTAGATGAAGGAAACTCAATAGCATTGCTAATAAGCGAGACAGACAGACAAGGTCATGCTTACGAATAGTGAATACTGCACTTGGGTAGAAAGAAAATAAGCCAAAATAAGCCAAACAATCTAAATCACTTACCATACTGGGCAAAACATATCGTCTACATTTGTTCCATAAGCCCGGGTACAAGGTATCCGCAGCGGAATTCTGGAGTATCTGTGGGGTAGCTAGTCTACCTAGTTGGTACATACATAGTAGGTAGTTAGCAAAGATCAACAACCAAGGGGAGAATCTTCACATCAAGAAAAGCTGCTGGTGTTAATGGCGGTGCCGACGCCATGGTAGAGGTTCGAGATATGTTAGATGTGGCGTTGAGTGGCTGACTGTGGCTCAATATTCAGACTACCCACCTAAGGTTAATACCTAATGGAGCTCTCCACTCCCTGCAAGTCAAATGTCAAATGTCAATCGGGGGTTGCTCTTATCATTTCTTATCCATCGTCATTGCATTGCATTGCATTGCGTGTAATTGACCCCCCAATCCCCGATCCCTAACTATCCCCCTCCCGCGTCTCTTTGTTATACTTTTTATTACCGACATTTTACATTCGTTTCGCGATCACTGCGCTCTTTCTCTTGTCCTCGATATTCCTACTTACTTATCATATAGCACGGACAGAAGGAGCCACTGCCCACGTCACACTCTGTTACGTCTCAGACTCTAACCAAACCTCTGAGACACGCTGTTTCTTACATCGCATCATTTACTCATAAGAACCTCCCACTCGAGCTGCCAATACCCGCGGTATGTACTACGAAACCATAGGCGACAAGAATAGCTCTCTATCTTCTCAACCTGCGTCTCTCCCCTTCCTGACTAATATACACCAACTCTTGGATCTCCTGGAAGCTCATCATGATCGTCTATAGCTCGAGCCAAAGACTCATGGCGTCTCACAACCCTTCCGAGAGCTCCTCAGCTCGTCCCTCCACCACTCGTACCGCGTCTCACTCACACAGCCCCAACGCACCTGCTTCCAGCAGAGATCGGTTACAAGTCCCAAAAAGAGCCCATACTTTTGCCAATGCTACTTCGGCCCTGGATGATAGCGCTACATCTCCTGATGCTTTTGAAACCGGCGAGCATAGCGACTCCGACGATGGTGCCGAGGGAACTCGGGCTTCGGTTGAGCTCGACATCCTTCCTATTGAACTAATCACTGTAACAGACAGGTATGTGCGCATAGCACAATCACATCCCGGTAGCCCCTTGCTAAACCCATCATCAATAGCTTCATCGAATCTTTAAATGCCAAAGTGAATCCGAACCCTCCCAATATCGAGAAACTATCACAGAAGTTCCAAGACTTCTACGCCCAAGCTTCGTCCCATATCAACACCCATATCAGCGCGCTTGCCTCGAGACAAAGCCGCGACGTGTCGCCCACGCCATCCGCCTCTTCCATCTCCTCCGCTGCCAGCCGCCTCCGATCAAAAGCCAGTGCTCTGACCACCACCAAGACAGAACAGGAACAGCAAATGATCACATCTGAAGAATTAGCGAATCGCAAGCGAATGAGGAAGGCTCTCGAGGCTAAGAGGTCGCTTCTTGAAGAGGCCGTTGAGCGCAGGTTATGCGAGGGTATTTATGACAAGATTTACCGACATCGGAGCACACAGGATGAAGCCCAGGACGACAAACTACGTTCAAAGACTGCTGCTTTAGCCTTGGTCGGCATCGGACCTGCTGACTTGGGGATTGATCTGACCAACGAAGCAGACGAGTCCGACGAGAAGACTGACCCAACTGAACAAGACATCAAGCAGAAGCTGGAACCCGCCCGACGCGACTTAGCCATGATGACCCAGAAAAGATATCCTTTGGGGAAGCTCAATCACCTGAAAGCTGCTCACAGAAGCATAGTGGACGCCCTTGCCTATTTTCATCCTTCTGCGTCTGCCGATGAGATCATGCCCATGCTTATCTACACACTCATTACTCTGCCCCCGGAGAACCTTCATGCCATCAGCGATGTCCATTTTATACAATACTTCCGCTCCGAGTCGAAACTCACGGGCGAGGCTGCATACTGTCTGACGAACCTTGAAGCCGCCATTAGCTTCCTGGAGACAGTGGACCTCACGACACTCAGGGCCGACGAGCAGCTTTCTGGCCCAGCAAAGAGTACCAGCCCGAGAACCGAAACATTCCCGCCGGCTTATCAACAAGGGGAAGCATCTTCGTCACTAAGTGCTCCTGAAGCAAACAAGACCAATGCTGATGCAGCCAAGATCTCTGCTCCTGACACCAAAGCGGCGACGGCATTGCGTAGTCGCCGGTTGAGTGACCTCGTGAATGGGCCTGCGCAAGCATTTGGAGCTGCGAGTGATGCTGTTTTCAATACAGCCGACCAGAGCCTAAAGAACATATCCAACAGTCTGGAAGGAAGTTACAAATTTCTCGTAGGTAAACTAAGAGAGCACCAGGACAGCCCCCGAGATTCCATCACCGTACCTAGAACTCTGGATGACGCGCGTAAACTAGTCAGCACGCCATCTCCAGATGAGGATGACAGCAGTGGCCTCAACAGACTGCTTGCCCCTGATGATAATGATTTGTTGAAACGCCCAGTATCGCGGGAGGATAGAGTCCTCAACTTGATTGGAGGTCGGCGCGACCGCAGTACTGATAGCACTCGAAGTGGCCGCAGTGCGAGCTCTTCCAAGAAAGTCCTATTTGCGTCTGATGAGCCCAAGGCGGCCAGCCAAATCCCAGGACAGAACCCAGCTGTCCTGGATCAGATGCGTAACCTGGGCAATTCCTTTAACCCCATGGCTCGACTTCCCAGTATGAGTATTATCCGCGGGTTTGGGCGCAACACACCGTCGGCGCCGACAACACCAGCGGCGAAGGACGTGGTCAAGCCCGCGGACGGGGGAGATTTGGGAACAGTATGTTGTCAAGGACGTTGTTTTACGTGCTCAATGCTAACAGTCACACAGGCTTTCCCTGATATTGCTCCAGCTCTTCCGCCCAAAGCTATTCCCAAGATCGCACCGCCCAACAAACGCTTCATGGAGATACAGACTCCCGGTGATCTCAAATTGGGTGAAGTTCTTGACCTGCTACGAGACTACCGCCGCCTAGCCGGCGCCCTAAAGGACATTGGGGCGTTTGAGACAAAGTGAGACGAAGCACGATAAATAAACATAGATTCACTAGACTTAATTTAATTCAGGATGCAATGATTGTAATGGGACAACGAAAATCATTATCACAAGCTTTGTTATGTGATTGTGATGCACGGATACTAAGCCAACCAAAGACAAAAGCTACAATGTTTGATATGGGCTTGCCCCTGTGGCTGATTTGCCTTCTATTGAAAACCACTCCTATATATATCAAGTTGCAAGAGGAAACTCAAACCCCCTAAGTAAGTAAAAAAGAACCGCCTGTGTAGCTCAAACTATGCCACACTACATAAACGCCTTGGCTCATGCGTTTGAGCCCTAGAGCTATCATCGATATCCGTAGCATTTGGCTCGAGGTGGAACAAAAGCTTGCGCTCCAACGCTTGCCTTCCAAAGCTCTGTCTAAATCCCAATCCTTTTGATACAGGACGCCCTAAAACTCCTTTCTGAAATTTAAAATCGCTTTTCTGCCGAAAATTATTGAGTTCGTGAAGATAACATGATTCGAATAAAAGATCCTGTGCCATGAGAAGCTGTGGTCATATCATGGAAAGACAGGAATATGTATGCCGCTTAGGGCATGGGGTTGGTTTCTGCCCGACGAGGGTGAAACTGATGAGATTCAATGGTCCGGAGAGGAGGAACATCATCTTTCTCCTCTTCAAACACTGGCTCAGTATTTGATCGTGGGAAATCGCGTGCCGTATTAGAGTTGTTTGATGTTGCCCGTTTGTGGCCATGTATCTCATTGCTGGGGATTGCAGGCCCGGGGAAGAGAAACTGGGAGATAATGCGACTGTTGGCTCGCTCGCGTACACGGCCAAGACTACCTCGTCGGCCGGGGAATCCTGGACTTGTCGGGGGTTCCATGCCAGATGTTGTACCCACTGATGCATTCGTACGTGTGCGGACAAGGATCGGCTGGTTTTCCTCAGCTTCCTTCTGGAAGCGTGCTTCGCTTGGCAACAATACGGCACGATCCAGCCCATATGGTAAACCACGGTGACGGCCACGTATTTGCATGGCAACAATGATGAGTTTGCCAACAACCGTGAACTGAGAGCAGAGGGAGGCATTTACGTTGGGTACACCCATGCTTAAGCCGACAGTTCCGTACGCGCTGATAACCTCAAAGAGAATATCGAACAGATTGAAGTCCTTGGCCTTGAGACTGGTGCCCTCACTGATGGCGAGGAAGAAAAACCCCACGAACACATACCACAAGTCGAAAGAGAGTTGACGCCGCAAATGAGTACCGACGTAGTTGAAAGCACTGGCTGATTCTTCGTCATCGTCCTCTTTCTTACTGCTGTAAACTCCCAGTGACTTCTCTTCATACACGTTGGTTCTTCGAATGGAAATTGCGATTGGGAAGATGGAAATGTACATCATGATCATGTACAGAACTGGAATGGCAGGATGAAGATCGCCCAGGCTGAAACAGGAGAAGCCTGCAGTCCGTGTCGAAGCAGCTTGGAAGAGACCATCGGCGATGCGAGTATGCACTGGCAACTCGGATACTGGGCCCGAGTTAAGCTGGAGAAGTTAGCATAATGACAAATTGGGTAAGATCGGAGAGGTACTTACATCCAACACGACAAAGAACAGCAAGTCTATGGCGTTCAAACCGGCAAGGATCCAAAAAAGCCACCAATTGGCGCTGGAAGGAAATAGAAGGGTGAAGCATCGACGAGGGTGGTCGAGAAGGAACCTAAGTTCCTCCCAGAGGCCGGTGCCCTTTGGTACAATTTGAGCGAGTACCCAGATGACGAAACGCAGCATGACAGGAAACCCGGTGTTTCCGATGATAATGAAAAACCACATGATCATCATGGCATACTCGGAAGTGTTAAACGAATTCATGCTGTCGGGGGTCAAAGTCAACCCCAAATCGTTGAAGGCTGAGTTGGCCGTCCAAAATCCCCACCAAGTCCTTGAAATAGCTTCGCTGTCAACGAGTTTACCATATTTGTCGTTGTGGAGAATAAAGGGCAAGAGGAATGTAACGGCAATGAGCTGAAATCCCCAGAAATAGGAAAGCAAAATCAAAGCCAAAGTCCTCAAAGACCGGTATTCAATACCGCCCAGTTCTTCTCGCTGCTCAAGGGTCAAACCCACAAAGTTCGAATTTCGGCCCATAGTCGGAGTATAACTGAGGTAAGGCATATCCTTGGTATGATCGCTTGAGAGTGCCGACTTGATAGTGTCTATTGTGCGTGTTCGGAAAGCACGCCCCATTGTGCTCTCATCATCTTCATGCAATTCCTTCTGGCCATGGTTAAAGGCACGAGGTTTTCGCATCCTGAGGGCATTGAGAGTGCCGCCAACAGCTTTGGCATCGTCGGTCAGTTCCTGTTTAAGGGGGCGTTTTGGCTCGGCAATGACAATCGTCGGCCTGCGACCAGCTGGTCTCCTCGAGTCAATCGTCGCATGGTCCGGTCTCGATTCCACTGTTCTCGTCATAGCTATAGTGTTGTCATCGTCGCCGTCATCTTCGTCGTCCAGTCTTCGAGGACCCATGCCCCTTTCGGTCTCGCGTGGACCAGGGATCCTCAGGACTTCATTGTCTTGATTCCGTTGGCGTTCTAGGATCGCAATGTGTTCTTGATGAGTTCTTCGCTGAGGGAATTTGGTCAAGTCATCGTCGACACCGTCGCTTCTCTTAACAGTCTCGGCAAATTTGATTCCTGTCGGAGCACTCTGCGATATACCCTGTCCCTCCTTCCACCCATCTCTGGTGTCTCCAGATGTTTGATTGGGCCTCTCCAGAGGATCCAGCTCTGTGCTATTGGACCGTCCAGCTGAGACTGTATCGCTTTCATCGCTGCTCGCAGGGAGTGGCTTGTGCGCTTGGTGTTCATTATCATTATCGTCGTCAGCAATCGCCTGGGATTGAATGACTTCGTTCCCATCTAGCAGAATGCCGTCATTCGTAATACGCTGGCGTCGCCCCTGGTAAGGAACAACAGTGATATGGCGACCATTGACTCCTTCTTCTGCTTGGCGGGCTTCGCTTCGTGCACGAGTCTTTGCTTTAGATAGTGTGGCGCGGCGCAGTCGCGCGTCTGAGACCCAATGTTGAAATCTCTTCTCGAACCAGTAGAGGCGTAAAAACACAACCGATGTGTGTAGAGTGATTGGATTAGATGTTATCGTAAAAAAGTAAACGACAACCTGTTGAAAGGTATTGAGAAGATTGACGTCGATGGGATTGAGACCAGCTTGTGTATTCGCTCCACTTGCGAACATGAGAGAATCAATATATGAAGTGTGACCGTGACCAGCACCGTAAATGATGACGGAAGCTAGTAATGTCGCGCCGATGATCCATGTGTCTGTAAACAATGATCAGCAAGAAGCACGGTATTTGCATTCAATGCTAGATGAAAAGCAAAAAGAGTGCATAATGACGTGGGGGTTGAACGTAAGAGGCACTGAAGGACTGGGGGGGACTTGGGATGAAAGGATGCGACTTACAGTGTATGGAAATAAAGTTAAAGTGCGGTTTCTTGGAGACGAAGGGCGGCTTGATAGATTTAAGCCGCGCCCATATAGCGGCGCGAGCCTCTTCCGGCATATCTTCTCAACTCAAGAAAAGACCACTGGAAGCTCTTGTGTATGCGATGAACAATGAAGATGGAAAATTAGAAACCAGGGGGAGAGGGTTTCCTGTGCTATTTGGGTTGGGTTAGTCGCAGAGCTTGGAGACTAGTTAGACCATGGCTATGGCTAAGGACGGTTATGGTTAACTATGGCGTAGTCAAGGCGGAGACTGAATAGCGGAGGGGCGCAGGAACTGGTGATTCCTGCACACCACTCAAACGAACCGAGAACAAGGTTTTCTTGGAGTGCGGGTACCGTAGTGAATGGCAACTGGGTGCGGAGTGAGTCTCAGGAGCACCGCTAGTGGCCAGATGCTAATGATGGTGATGAAGAAAAAGGTGCAAGCTGTGGAGGTTGAAGACGAAACCATCCAAGAAGGCTAGCTGATGAGCGTCCGAATTAAAGACGCAAGTTGATTGAGTTGTGAGTAAAGGAGCATTGTTGTTTTGTTAGGTAGTTCAATTCGAAGTGAGGATCAAGTCAGAGGTAGAAGAAAAGTAGGAAAGGCTTGAGGTAGGTAGTCCAAGGTTTCGAGAAATTTTCTACAGATAAGGCAAGTGCCAACTGCGTGAGCTATGGCCGCAGAAGATGGAAGGAGGTCTTGGCCACAGAAAGAGGAGAAAAGGGCGGAAAGAGCCCCTGGCATTTACGAGAGCCAAAAATATCAACCTCCAGCGACCGGAAGCTTGTACCAAGTTACAATGATAGCCGATGTAAACAAGGATGGCGACGACTCGGAGTTCGCGATCTTGCCACGAGGGAGCTGCTCAGGCTTTCGAAAGGTCCAATATCCACGTCCCATGTCGCGATAACCTGATCAGCACAGAGCCATGCATGCTCCCGTGTCTTGGCTGAATCTTCCATTGTGCCTGACCGGGAAAAAGCAATGGAAACGAAGAGCCAATGTGATAGAGGCAAGGGGCTGATAGAACAGCCAGAAAGACCTAGGAAGCCTTCAACAAACTTGGAGGGGAGGCAGGAGATCCACGGAGCCAAGGAGCCAAGCGATGGGACCGAGATGCTGGGTCCATAAACGATCCAGGCACAGCACGCTACAGTTCCCACCAAAGCACACACGCGGCATTGACAGGCCTAAGACAGGGGTTAAGGAAGGCCTAGATGCCTGCAGACGGGCATCCGGCCACTGCAGGATACCGTGAGAGAGTGAGGAAAAAACAAGAGGCTTCTTCTTAGCACAAACAATCCACTACGCGGGACACGTTCCCCGGTGCCGGAACGCGTCCACCCACCCGCCTGGTATACATTAGCGGCCCATCTTGAATCCGAGGTTTGTCGCTTTGAATGGTAATTACTCCTACGGCATTTGTTGCTGATCAAGGGCGGAGAGGAAGCAAAACAGAGGAACGGGGCGGAACAAGCCCATCATGCCTGCAATCAAAATGGGAACCCCAGCACACCCAAACTGTCTGTCTATTACTCTCAGACAGAGGGCCGAGTGGGAAGAGTGTCAGGGACCGTTGGGAACGCCCGCCGATCTTGAGATCGTATCCATTGATTGGCAATTCCTCATCCAACGACTCTGCATGGCTAATTTGATCGGGCAGCGATGACGCCAGGCTTTTGTTTTACAGATGAGATTGCTACTTATCTTCACCTCGTCTTCGGCTATTGATGATGATCATTTCCACATCTACGCGCTTTTCCCGTCATGATCCTTGCTGTGAGACAACGTCACCGCGAAGTGCTGGACCCGCCGAAGCGTTCCCTCCGAGTTCCTTTTACGCACGAACAGTGATATGTACCAAAGCCCTGGGTCCCTTGTCCTCGTCTGATGTTCTTTGTGCTACATTGCTATCGGACCAATAACATGCCCTCCAAAAACAATCTCCAAATGAACAGAGCTACGGGAAATTTGGAGATTGGTGGTGAAACCACTGACACGTGCTTGCTCAAGTCAACAAAGGGATAGAGAAACGGTGACCCTCGAGAATTGGGAGTAAGTCGGTCAGTGCTATCAGAGAGTGAGTACGGAGTAGTCTTTAACATGAGGCTGAGGGTGGGAAAGTTTTTTAACGTAAAGGGGCTCGTTTGACCATGGATGCTATCAGCTTTGACCAAAGCTCAGACCTCTCACCAGAATTTTGGGGCCGTTCATGACAATAACCGAGAACAAGGTGGAGGGTATCGATCGCGATCAACTCATTGCTACCAAAACAGTCATATGATCAACAACATATTTACCTATCTTCCTATGCACCACTCCGCCCTTCCGCTTTCCCGCCATGCGATGGCTTCACCAAGCAACGTGATGTCACCGCTCATTGATCCCTTCTTTTGAAAGATTACAGAACACAGTTGATACGCCCGTGTACACATTGCTCAACTCATTTCGTGGCTGAGACAAACGCGTCTGCCACTCTGGATCCATGTGCAAGGGTGCCGTGCAACAAAGAATGGAAATACCGAAAGAACGAAACCCCTAATTTGACCTAACTCCTGCGACGAAGGACACGGCGAAGTGTAAAGTCGGTAACGCCAACGCCAATCATGCAGTATCTGCCTCATAGGTCATGAGAGTCATGCAAAATGAGATGTGAGCGACTCGCAAATCTAGACCGCCTCACCCTTGGCATGCTACACCATACTCACACCATCGGGTAAGCACGAAATAGGTCAGCAACAAAGATCAGCCTCAAGATATTTATCTTCAGATTCCTTTTGAGGTTGCAATAAAGAATGCAACCAGAAAACGAGATCAAAGACCCTAGTATCGCCAAGCTTTTCTCCCCGGTACACTAAGACGACACTAGCAGGAAAGGCCCCAGCTTTCAATTCGGAGCTCTGGCTCTAAAACATCCAAGAGGACGCTACGTACTCCGTACAGTATTTGCTAGTACAATTTCTTATTGGAGGGGTCGTACTCCGTAAAAGTGAAGCAATCGGTCTTGATCTGCTTTGGATATCATCAGAGCAGTCTTGTCACACTCTAACCCATATGGTGTGATACATGCTACTCTGTGCTGTCTGCTTCAATTGTGAGATCTGATAAAGATGAGTTGGTCCGCCTTTTACAGCAACATACAACTCGTTGTATCGTCTTATCTTGCCTGGCATCGTCACATCACGATATCAGCCGGGCTTCTCACCTAATGCACTGCCATCAACCCACTGCATGGTAAGCCATTCACAGCAATGAGTCATCACTTGGTTAAATGCCAGAATGTTTGGCCAAGTCTAGTGCCTCCAATTTGATCAGCTATAGCCATACTAAGTTATTTCCTAAACGCCGAGTCTTCCCCGTCCTTGCGCCGTCAAAGCATTCAAGCCTGCGTCTTTTATACACACGCATATTGTAGTTCCTTTACCCTGTCCGAAGCCTGGATCTTGCTTTCAGTCTTTGGCCCATCTAGCATATCTCTGCCTCTATTAACCTGTTTCCAATCATGTATTGATTACTGCGCCGCTGCGCGTCTGGCATTCTCTCGTCCAATCTTCTTGAAGAAAGTATGGCTCTCTGCCTTCTTACGCTTTGTTGACATCTTCTTGTTCTGCTCGATGTACGCCATATCCTGGCCACCACTGAGCTCACCCAGAGTTCCTGCCGTTCGTCGAGCTCCCTTCTTCTTCTTGCGTCCCATGGTACCTTGATGGAACATGTCATCGTTGGGGTCGTCCTCCTCCATGCTCTCATTCTCCACAAGAACCTTCTGGAGCAGTTCGCGACGCTCAGTAACATCTGCGAACGCCAGCCCAGGCGTCTTTTCGATATTTGCTAGCTGTGTAATAACCTTGAAGGCATATCCCTGGTCGACAAGGAAAGCCTGACGCTTAGAGGAAAAGTACATCTCTTGGGTGTCCTTTGAAACTAGCGAGTAGAAAAAGGCATTGAAACCCTCATCGTTACGTCGTTTAGCTCGTAAGATTCGTCCTAGGCGTTGAGCCTCCTGACGACGAGAACCATAATGGGACGAGATTTGAATTAGGCACGTAGCCTCAGGCAAATCGAGAGACGTGTCTCCGATTTTTGACAAAAAGAGCGTGTTGACGTTCGGGTTGTGCTGGAAGTTCTCCAGCACTTGTAGACGTTCAGCTTGACCGGTACCGCCGTAGATGAAAGCCTTCTGAAGCTTAAGAGCGTACGCCTTGAGGGCATATACATTATCCGAGAATACAATAATCTTGTCTCCTCGGGACTCGTGGTAATTGATAAGATATTGACAAGCCTGGAACTTTCGGGGGTTCATAATATAGAGCAAACCCTTCTTTCGGCTAGGTGCTTTGAGGTACTGGTCGTAAAACTCGGTGGGCATTGGGCACCATACTTCCGCACACTGAACTCGGGCGATATGTCCTTGCTTCGAAAGCTCCATCCAGTTGGCTTCGAAGAGCTTCGGTCCAATCAGGAAGTTCAAATCCGAGATCTTGTCATCTTCTCGAAGCAGTGTCGCTGTGAGGCCAAGCTTCGAGTGAGTCTTGATGGAAGACGTCACCTTTCGGAAGATGTTAGCTGGTACAACGTGCACCTCGTCCAACAGCATCAGACCCCATTCCCGGCCTGTCAAGAACTTCATCATTTTCTCCGCATCATAAGATCGAGCTCGTGACTGAGTCACCATTGCATATGTTGTAACAATGATACCTGTGCTTCCAGTGAAAACGTTGTTCTTGGAATCTGACGTGAAAGCGACGATGTCGTCAGGGTTGATATTGGACCACTTCAAGAATTCGTTTCGCCACTGCACAACTGACATAGAACTTGTGCATAGGACGATTACACCCTTTTTGATAGTGCAGGCTGCTGTGATACCCACGAGCGTCTTTCCAGCGCCGCAAGGCAAGACGATCAATCCACTCTTAGCTCGCCCATTACCGAACATCTTACTCAGACTCTTTTCCTGGTATGGTCGAATCTGGGTACCAGGCTTAAGATCAATATCCAAGTTCGCGTTGGCTTCATCTCTTCTGAAATCGTACTCCTCCAAAACTGGGTATCCCAGGTTCAAGCATTCCTTCTGCACAGTCTCAACGTCTTTGTCCGCAATCTCGAAGGAGTGCGTTACTTCTTGCTCGTCATCGTCTTCCTCGTTGAGTGTCGCAAAGACCTCACCCTCCTGGACAGGTTGTTGATCTTTGCCTTGTTCACCCGACTGACCAAGACCATTGGCTTGCTTCACTCCAGCAGCGTTCTGTGTTCCGGGGATGACCAGGCCGCCGATCTTGGGCGCCACTGATGTTGTGATCTCTTCTGTGCCTTGTACACGTAGAGGTCCGATTCTAGGGTTCTTGAGGAGGGTTTGGAGCATGTTTGGATCGGGACTTTCGACGTAGTACTTGGTGTTCTTGAGGACCAGCTTGACCTTGCCGTAACTTTGAGTACAGCTTGTAATAAAATTTCGAATCTCATCTGGCAACGGCGTCTTAAGAAACCGATCTAGGGTGTTGATGATGTCCTCTGGCGAGAGTCCAACAGAGACGGCAGCGTACAAGCTATGTGTCGTCAGGGCATACTCGTGCATAAAGGTCGGTCGCGACAAAGGCTCAGAAATGGTGATGAGGAAATCTTGCGCCTGCTCTGCAAGAGGATTGAAACTCTCAAGGATAATGCGTCCCTTCTGAGGATCGATCCAGAGAGGTCGGTTTTGGTGGTCTTTCTTCAAAACCAAGTAGGAGAAATCACGGTCGCCAAAGATATGCGGGAGCGGATCCCGAATCGCATGTCTCTTCTGGTAGCGATCCAGGGAGAAGATGTCTATGTTTTTATTCAAATCACGTTCCAGAGCCTCGTCGACGGGGCCCTCCTCTTCCTCCGGCACCTCCTCATTGCTATCGATCGTTCGTGGCGTTGCAGCACCAGGCGTTGACATCCGTGAAGACCTGCCAGCTTTCGCTCCTCCCTGGACAGCGGCGCCCGCTTTCCTCTTGAGCACCATATCAATCGAGTTTCCGACTATTCGGGGGCGTGGTTGGCGTTGTCGTAGAAATGTTGAATAAAGAAAGGAAGACGAAAGTGCAGAGTCGCAAGAAGGTGAAGAGGCGTTGCTAAAGAGCACCTCACCTGTGAATGAATGATGATGACTAAAGTGGGCCCAAGCCTCCCAGTTCTACGGCCTCGCGCCGGCTCTTCTGCACTACAAAGTTAGCGTGGCTTGCGGTCAGGGGCCTAAAGTGCGTCCCGAAAGTCTGAATAATACACAATACACCCCGCCAAAACTTTCCCGACATTCATTTATACTGTCATCATGTGGTATGTCTCCCTGCGGCTCAATCTGTCAACCTCAAACTAAATGGCATTTAGCAAACATATCCTTAACGCCCAAGTCGCCGTTCGATCGCCATGCTGTACGTCGAAGCCAAATCGAAGTCGACCCTGACGGCTCCTAGAGTGAATTCCTTAAACGCTCGCAACTGATCATGCATATAGGTCGAAAATGGTTTGACTGCGTCGAGTGTCACATGGAACAAGAGGACCACCCTCTCAAAGAGAGCTTCGAGATGATCTTTGCCTGCAAGAAGTGCAAGAAGTGCTTCCGAAAGGACGTCAAGGAGTTCGAGGAGGCCGATGAGTTCTGCCCCCACTGTGACAACCACTTCGTTATCGACGCAAAGACTCCTAAGGCGGCCTTGTCTATCGAGAGCGACGACGTACGAATGGACAGCAAAATGCTCAAGGACGAAAGAGAGAAGCAAAAGACGAAGGGTATCAGGTCCATCTTTGACCCGAGCGACGACGCCGACAAGCTGGGATGAGTCATCCAAGCATATAAGAATGGAAAAGTTACGGCGTTCAGGATACATAGCGAGTTGTCACTTCCGTGGGGGACCAGTCTGATAGAATGCATCCCGTCATTACTTGTGTTAATACAATGGCACTGCGCTCCGATTTTCGAGACCCAATGCACTTGTCTATCTATCTGCCTTCCCATATTCTCTATTCCGCAGCAGAGTCATCCTGAGATCTGGTTAGGATGGCGGCGGTTCCAGTTCCTGGGGTTCGGCCGGTCTTCTTCTTGGCAGCCTCCTCCTGCTTCTCCTGTTCGATCTCCTTAACATAACCCTCGATCTCCGATGTAGGGAGTGTCTCGATGAGAGCGCCAGGTGCCATCAGGGAAATCTCAATGTTCTTGGCTCCAGTTTGAACAACCTCAAGCAACGACTTAATAGCAAGTCGAATGGTAGCCTCTCGGTCCATCTCCTCCTTGTAGTTTCGCTCGAGGAATTCGCGAACAGTCTTGCTTGAACGGCCGATAGCGTTTGCCTTCCTGTTACATCGTTAGCTTCTAATATTCTATGAATTCCTTCAATTGTCCTACCAAGCAGAGTAGATACCAGAAGGCTCGGTCTGGTAGAGTCTTGGGACATTGCTGCCGTTGTCGAAGCCTACAATAAGGGTGCTGATACCGAATGGTCGTACACCACCAGCCTGCGTGTACCGTTGCTGAACACCAGCGACGTATTTGGTGATGTAGTCAATGGTGACGGGGTCTTCAACCGAAAGACGGTGGGACTGTGCCTCTAACCGGGCCTTGTCGACAAGGATACGAGCGTCTGCGTTTAGGCCGGCGAAGGCGAGGGCGACGTGGTGATCGAGAACTTGGATCTTAGAGGGTGTGATGCGAGTATCTTGCAACTTCATAGCCGAGCGCTTCTCACATCCTAGCACAACAACATCGGCGCCTTTGACACCGACAGCGCATGTTCCTATTGAGGGTATAAGCCACCGCGAATACGATATCAATCACGAATTTGATAACTCACCTCGCTTAACAGCTTCACCGGCATATTCGACTTGGAAAACGTGACCGTCGGGACTAAGGAAACATTAGAAAGCTTCTCGTGGAGTGATGTAGTGCTACCAACCTGAAAACTGAACCTCTAGTTAGCCATGTATCATTGAGCATAGGACGCTAAGGGAACTCACCCGACAGAGCTCTGTCGTATCCGGAAGCCATGATGTAGGTTCAGGGGATTGGTATTTGTGAGTTCGTCGTTATTCGAGGTATTCGCGGTATCTTCTTGGTGTGATGAAGGCGAATCGAGGGGTTGGTGCTTTCGGTCCAAGGTGTTGACGTTGATGTGCTGGGGTACTAAGCTTCGTCAGAACGGCAGCCTGCCTGGTACGCTGTGGAAGGCTGAGAGCTGGAGCTCCCCAGCTAGCGGGCAGCAACGAGGCCGGATAAACCCAAGTTGCGCACTCCGCGTACTGTACGATATCTATCACACACAGTCTCTTCGCACTATATGTTTGGCATGATTGGACAGCACTCATTGGCTTTCATAGGTCTTCTTTCTACTTCACAGCACCATAACATTGAATCGCTGACTTTATCAAAAGATTGGTTGGCATCATATTCACCTTACCTATCGCTTATGTTCTACAATATATCATTCTAGATTTGCTATCATACAAAAATCACAGTCCATCTGTTTTGTTGTATAAACTCCTCCATATTCGAATCAAGTCAAATCATTTGAGTCAACAGCCGGTTCATCGTTTCTTTTCGAGGCAAGGAGAGAAGTGGTTCAATGCTGGAGGGAGCATCTCCCGGTAGGGGCCCTCCTCGGTCAAAACGTCGCAACTTCAGACCATCTCTGAGTCTGCAGAACGCCAGCGACATGTTGCCCCTTTTCAATCAACCGTGATCGAAAGTTATCGATCCACACAATCTCCATCAGTCCATCCTGCGAAGTGGTGTGGATTTCTCTGTACAGGTCCATCGCTACAGTCATCGGCATGATCAGCATATCAGGCTGGACCGTGTGATGTAGGACTGAACCAAGTCCACGACAGATATCTGCCGCAAACATTCGCCTATGTTGATATCGAGTAACATCGATTTGCAGATCAAATGGCAATTCTGGCCACATATTTGGATATGCATCGATAACCGGCTGGTATATGGCGTGGTGCAGGCTCTCGATGCATTCGTGGAACAGGATCTGTGACATCCAATAATACAGAAATGCAAGCCCGGTGTGTCCATCTTTGAAAGTGTATAAATCCGGGAAGGGGATGAGGCCCTCAGGGCTGACGAGCTCTTCGGTCCAGTATGGAACAGGATATTCGTAACTGGGTCGGTTGGCTAATTCGAACCACGCATCGAAATGCCTTTCAAGCGAAAGGCAGTTCTGGAGAAGTTGTTGAGCATGGTGTCGTCGATTAAGGGTGGCCTCATATGGGAGAACCTGGTCTACCTGAGTAAATATGGCTGGCAGGAGCAGAACAAGGTCCAGTAGGTGGTCCAGGAGAGATTTTGGATGTCTCTGCCATGGAACATTCTTCCAATCAGGAGATGCGATGAAAGTGTCCTGTCTGCTTAGGAGAGCGAATCCAATCTTTGCCTCTTTCAGTACGGCAAAACAGCCATGGGTCTTTGAGCACTACTTACAGCAAGAGGCCGATATACTCGGACAAAGAAGTGATGGTTGGGGAAATGGCTAAAATAAGCCGGTCCCATTCTTCTCATTTGATCAGATCCTGACTCGCCAAACGCATGTCCCGCGTCGTGCTGGCTAGTGTCAGCTGCTATTTGGACTTAAAGATGGCAATACGCAAACCTCGAAGAAGAAGATACAGTAACTTTGCACCGAGTCATCTTGATCATATGCACTTGGCAAGCGTGCCAAGCATTGGGCCTTTATGCCAAAGTCTCCATTACCCATCAGAGACTGCAAATCGGATGGTGCATATGGTGGAAACGTGATGTTGAAAGACGCTGAATCGTCATGAGCTGAATCGTCGTCTGCCAAGATGTACGGAAGCTTTGTGTGTAACGCTGAGACAAGAATCGAACACTCGGCGCCTTGGCTAGACACAAGTGTGCGATCTTCCCAAGCCGAAGTTAGAGGATGAATTGGAGTGATATCGAGCGTTCTGGGTGGCTCTTTGAACGACGGCGACCTCTGTGTCCTGGATGACGAACCCTTCTTGGGATGGGAGGCTACTCTACCCTTCGTCTGCGGTGTTCCCGTGATGAAGACTCGTTCTCTCTCATATCCTTCGCACTGTCGTCCACTCGATGTACACTTCTGGCAGTAAGGCCTTTCATTACTGCACTAATTGATAGTGTTAACTTGACTTGCAGATTCACAATCAAAGGGTCGGGCAACCAACTTTGACTCTTCTTCGGCGGCACGTTTCACAGCCTTTATACTTGCCAGGAACACCAACCATATTAATTCGATGAAATACGAGTTGTTGATCTGATCCATCAGCATCACAGGGTGGGGGCGGATGCTGTTATAAGGAAATAAATTGGAGCTTAACCAGGGTTGCGGAAGCGCCGTCTGCGATGCTGCAACTAAACAGTCACCTATTTCTGTTGCAACGAGGCATCTTGTTGTTGCCTATCACTCCACACATTACGGAAGTTCATCTTCCACACATGCATTGAGGCTTTTGTCACTGGAGCCACCTCGATGCAAAGATTTAAAGATGTCTCCTTTCATGGAAACTCCCCTGCGACGAGTTTCATCGGGGTAATGAGGGATACCATCAACAACGAATTAGGTGTGCCGAGAGCTTATTGCTGAGTTCAGCTTGGTGGAGGAGAAACGGCTCACCTCTCCACCAAAGCCCAAAGGCCAGGGCTCAACAAGCATGACGACACGCCTGCTTGGAATCAACAGGTGTCGATGGTCGAGTGCCACTATGACTGTGGAAAATGGTCCGCGTTGGGGACTTTGGACTGGGTTACGGATACCAGAGTACGGGTACGGGAAAGCTTGTTGTCTTGGCCAGACATAAAGATTACAGGGAACTTTTGGTTTAGCGCTTCGGTGTTATGTGGAGAAGCTGCATCTGAGCTGCAGTATCAGCCCCATAAGGCTGACAGGGAGGTGTGAAGTTGAAGGGCCGCAACGGCTGCTCGTTGGCTGACAATTTTAGGAGCTGAAGCTAGTTATTCGATGGAATCAACGGAGTGGGAGGTAGGTCCGGGGCTCCTGTTGGTTAGACGGTAAGAGATTCCAAATGACGGTGCGCTTTTTATGAGAGTGCATTGAAACTCTCAGCCAGCTGGTCATGAAAAGGGTTTAAGATGAGTCGATTTGATCATGGTTCCACGGCGTCCAGTAGGTCGTACTGAGTCATGCTCTGCATAGTTGGGCATATGTCTGTTCCTCCAATGGTAGGTAAATGGGTCAGAGCGACAGGCTTATGTCTCAAGTCTGCGGGGACATTTCCGCCATGTGTATTTACTACCGATTTAGGTGCATATACCATACTCTTCTATGTAATACCAATCGCCATTTCTGAGTCTATCCAGGACTGCTTATTTGGTGCTTGAGTACTGCCATGACTCAAATAGCCTTTGCTGCTGCGATGCGGTATGGTGTTTGCTCATATAACCGTTTGGGCGCTATTATTCAAGCATTTGCGCTTATCGCATTTGCTTATGGTTATCGGAGTATGTTAAAGCATAGCCAACTGCAATCGGAATCAATTGAGCAGCACGTATGACGCTCGCTACGGCATGCTGCAGAGCATGGGGCATGTGGTGAGATATGCTGTCACTCGAGTAGGAGGCCAAGAGACCGGGGTATTAGATGTACTTGTAGGGGTTCATGATACCATTCTGGGGTCAGATGTCAGCCCTGACGTCGGGAAGTGGAAAGGAGGGGGGGAACATGCCGCTGTATACAGAACCATGCGTGTACAACAGGGCTGAATATACGAAACATTGAACAGGGGTGGGAATGGGGATGGAAGGGAGGATGAAACTCACAGGATCAAAAAGATTCTTAATCTGCTTCATCAGGCCGATTGTGGTGTCGTCTCGGCTGTAACCGATAAACTTCTTCTTGGCAATTCCTAAGCCGTGCTCAGCACTGATGCTGCCGCTGCGCTTCTGAATCCACTCGTATACCCAAGGCTCCAGGGCCTTTTCAACTGCGGGATCGTAGCGGCGTACGGGGATGTTGAGATGAAGGTTGGAATCACCCATGTGGCCATAGCCAAGGACATCAACAACGGGGTGGTCAGGCGTGTCACCCAAGAGGCCAGCTTCTGTCAAACGGGCCTTGGTGTCTTCAACTATAGTGTACATCTCATTTAGAGGGATAGAGATGTCGTACTTGTAGGTGCCGCCCCAGTGGCCCAGGCACTCGGTGATGCCCTCACGCCAGCCCCACAGGTTGCGAAGCTGTGTCTCGTCTTGGGCAACGACACCGTCAGCAATAACCTCACGGGACATGACATCCTCGAGGAATGCCTCAAGCTTTGCTTGGTCGTGCTCGTCATTGGAACCACTCGTCTCGATTAGGCAGTAGAAGGGATACTCGCCCTCGAGAGGATGTACCTGACCCTTGACCTCTGACACAATCCTCTGGCTGCGGCCGTCCATCAGCTCAAACGCAGAGAGTATCTCCGACAGCTGCTTCTTGGCCTCACGGAAGGCAAGTTGAGCCTTATCATATGACTCAATGCCGAAGACGGCAACATTCACGGCAGGAGAGCGCTGGGGACATTGGATGGCGACCTTTGTGATAATACCCAAAGTACCCTCGGCACCAATGAAGAGCTGCTTCACATCGTAGCCGGTGTTGTTCTTTCGCAGGGTGCACAGGTCATTAATGATGGTGCCATTGGGCATCACAGCCTCAACACCCAGAACGGAGCCGTGCAAACTGCCGTAACGGAGCAGTCGTAGGCCGCCAGCGTTTGTGGCTACGTTTCCGCCGACGTGGCATGATCCCTTAGCACCAAGGTCGAGAGGAAAGATATAACCCTTTTGGGCAAGGTACGAGTCGACGGCCTCGAGCACACAGCCAGTGTCGATGACAAGAGAGCCGCTGACCTCGTCGAAGGAGCGGATCTCGTTCATGCGGGCCATGCTAATGACGATCTCGTCGAAAACGGGGATGGAGCCTCCCACGAGGCCTGTGTTTCCTCCCTGGGGCACGACAGCCAGACGCTGCTCGTTGCAGTACTTGAGGATGCCGCTAACCTCGTCAGTGGTGCCGGGCCTGAGCACCAGCTTGGACTGGCCCTTGTACTTGTGCATCCAATCCTCGTTGTACGTCTCAAAGTCGGCCGCGTCGACGCCCGCCCCGCCCGTGATGCCGTCGATGATGGCCGAGGGGTTGTTACCCAAGATCTCACGGAAGCGCGCAACATGCTTGGGCGTGACCTCAGCGAACCGGGGGTCGCGCTGGAGCTGCGGGTACGTCTCGGACGTCAACTTTGTCTGCTGAGCCCGCGCCGGCGTCGGGGACACGAGTCTCGGGGCCGTAGTCGCGATGCATCGGACGGCGGAGTTGTTTGAGTGGACGAGGCCTCTCCTGAGAGCGTTAACCCTCAGCGAAGCAGTCCTTCTACAGCCACTACCGCTACCGGAGGCGGGCGCTCTGAGGGCGCGGAACAGCTGTGAACGGCAAGACATACTTGGAAAATTGACTCTGAATCGAATTAACCGTGTAGGGCTTTTATCCGACAGCCTCAATGCGTATATAATTGAAGAAAAGGAAAGAGAAAGAGAAAGAGAGAAGCAAATCTGCAGTATCGCCCCCAGCAACTTTTTGTCGATGGATTGCGCAAGGCTAAGAGCTGCGGAGCCCACTGCCCACCTCACTCATACCCGACACCGGCCATGGCCTATATGGAAGAAGTCATGGTTTTGCCTCAGCCATTTATCCATTAGGTACCTACTATACCCTTTAGACCAGCTACATAAAAGATTCTCCGCCGGTCTCGCCGCGCTCGGAAGCCCATTACTAGGTACTAATCTTCTCGCAACAGTTCGATTTGTGTTCTCAACAGTGTATTCCAGTATACTTCGGCGTATTTAATTCTACGCCGACGGGAGCTTAAGCAAGCACCAAAGGATCGGTAAATGCACATATTTTGCCGCATTTTGCATTTCCTCATTCTTAAAATATCAATCAACTATCATCCAATAAGCTTTGTGTCATTGTTCCTCCCCCCTTCAAGACCCAAGTACTCTGACATACCTAGTATGATTTGATGGTTCTAGAATACCAAAGTCCCAGCCTTAAATATCCAACCTCCACAGATCGTTCTAAGATCATCACAATGGCAAAAGGGCTAGACATGGATGTCGACTAAATAAGCAGAATCTTCGACTCGTCAAGTCCGTGACCCTTGATGGTATTAACTAAATAAAAAAAACTACTTCGACGGCGGTGTCCCCAAAAGAAGGTTGGGTAGAGCCGCCCAATGTTGGTTGTTGTCTTCCTAACCAATCCATCCATCCATAAGCCATCCACCCACTCTCTGGTATAACTCAATAGGATATTCATTTGCCAAAAGCCAACAGTCCCTCCATCTTCGCCTGTAAAAGTAAAAAGCACCCCTATATGTTGCATCAACCAGAAAGGGCGGCCAGTCTTTCAATACCAGTCTCTACCCGTCTTCCCCTCCCCTCCTTTTCAAGCCTTTGATGCCAAGCTTCATATTCAATTCCATTTGCACAGACGCGTGCAGTTCTAGCCATTGGTCCTCCATTTGTTGCTCCTAGACCCCGTTAGTGTGAGGGCTTTGTGGCTCGGCGTTCGCCTGGGCTGCTTCTGAGGCCTCCCTGTCCCTATTTTGATCGCTGATCAACTTTTCCATAAAGGAGATGTAGTCGTATTGAGGCATGTCTCGGTCCTCTGACATGTCCGGTCCATTGTGTGCGGGCATGATTTCAACAAGCTGATCGATCACTTCGTCGGGCACCAGACTGTGTCGTAGATCCATCTCTGTCACGTAGGGCTTTCCATCAGCCACCTCACGGAACGACTGGAAGACTTGTTCTGCCGTGTTCTGGTCCTCTGTCACATCCACCATGAACCGGATGAATTGTTCAAATGTCACATAGTCACGTCCACCAGACGTTGTGTAGAAGGAATCGTGCATCTCATCCTCCGAGAACACAAGTCCCAACGAAGCAAGGGCAGCGCTAAATTCGAGCTCCTGTAGCGAATTGGTGTCATCACGATCAAAGTGGCGGAAAACACTCTCGAACTCTTCTAACTGAATAGGTGTTAGGTTCGTCATGCTTCGCGCTACCATTTGGTTCTCCAAAAAGGCGAGCTTTTTCTGCACTGAAGTCTTGACAAGTCCTAGTTCATACGAAAGTTCGTCGTGTGTGTAAGTAGTAAAGTCGTTCTCCTCGATGTTGGCCTCTTGGCACTTCTGGTCCAACTCTGAAATTTTATCCAGGTACTGGTCCAAAGGGGAGAGGCTCTCACTCAGCTTCCTCACGTGGTGTAGTTGATCTTCTACATCACCGTCAAGGCCCGAGATGGCCAATTGCATTGTGTTGAGGGCCATCGCAAAATCGTTTGCCTTATCAGCAAAAGATTTACGCAGGGCGTTCTTGATGCTATAATCTTGTCAGAAATACTCATACACATATGAACGAGGTCAACTTACTCTCGAATCGTCTCGTTGATGAGCTGGGCACGGGTCATCTCGTTTGATGCCAGCTCTGCCCACTTCTTCTCAAGGGTATCCAAACTTAACTCGGTGGGTGGATCGTATGGCCTCAAGCGATAAGTACCCAGCTTTGTCTTGATGTTTCCGAGTAGCGTTGCCAGGTCACTCTTCTCAGCAACCCATTCACGCTTCTTGCCCTTTTTGTAGTCGAAGAACTGGGTCAACTGAGCTCTGGCATCGACGTATGTTCCTTCAAATTTGGACTGCTTCCATAACTCAATTCGCTCCTGGATGGCCTGTAAGAGTGCCCGCATTCGTCGTTCGTAGGCACTCTGCATCTCCCAAGCACCTTGCATATTGTTGACAAACTTCTCCACACGGCGTCCAGCATTCTCAACCTTTTCCATTTGCGAGAAGGCGTGGAACCAGTATGCAATGTAAGTCATCAGAGATAGCTCTTCAGGCTTAGTCACATCACATACATCCTCCACATCGAGCAGTTTAGGGATGCCGATCTCCTTATGGGCGATGTCGAAAGCCAGTTGCATGTTGCCTCGATGATCTGTTTTGTCAAGGGCGTCATAATCGATGAGATCGGGTCGGTGAATATCCAATAGAGCACAGAAAGCCAAACCATCGTTCCAGCTGCCACTGAAATCTCGCACTTCCACCTCGTCGTAGCACGCTGTCTTCCGTTGACACCAGAGCAGAAGACCCTCTTTTGCCGACATGCCCTCCTCACTGATGTCACTGATGGTGAATCGAAGAATCAGGGTCCAGATGAGACCTAGAACAATCTTTTGGTTGCCATCGACTACATCTTCAGCACCAATGTTGGTCATCTGGATGCCCCTAGACTTGACAAAGTCGAGTGCAAGGTTTGCATTCTCGAACTTTTGGACTCGGAGTTTGGGTTTTGAGGCATAGCGACCTAGCGATTCGTGTGAAAGACATTCGAGAAGATGTATCAGCATAACCTAAGTATCGCGTAAGCTTGATTACTGGTGAATGCTCTCTTAGAATCAACTTACACCATCTTTAAGATCTGATATAAGGTCCTTAACTTCGAGGTTGCGGGCCTCGATCTTTGTGTTGAGCCTAAAAAAAGAAATTTTAGTACGACAAAGGCTAGGGTTCCAACATTGAGCATACCATTTTGTGAACGTCTTCTGTTGGACCTTAATCCATTGTTGTTGATCCGAATAAGCCATTCTCGTCAACTTTTGATCATGCGGGGGCTCGACAGCAGCAAGAGCGTCTGCGGCAGAGGGTGCGCTGAGCGTAAACCTTCGCGAGCTCGTCGATTGCGTTGATTCCTTTCCTTTCTGAAGGCCTAGAAGAAATCCTGTGGCTGTAGTTGTGCTTTCTGACCGCTGTACTCGCGCCGCATGCACCTGTGACTTGTCCCGCTTCGTTCGCGGGGTCGGTGAAGATGGTGGGGAAGACGATGGCGAACAAGACGTAACGTTCGTGAGGGTGCGACGACGGGCAAGGAATTCGGCGACGGTCGAGGAGGAGGAGGAGTTGCTGGTGTCGGACGAGAAGCGAGGTGGGTGTGGAGAGACGTCAAATACAGAGGCAGAGACGGAGACGGGGGTTGAAAGTGACTCGAGTGAAGCGTTCGATACCCTCGAGGATGATGATGAAGCCGAGGCCGAGGCGGTGGAGATATACGATAAGCGAGATGACGCCGATATTGGAACAGATGGGGAATGGCAGAAATGCTGATGGTGACGATATTGTTTAGAGTTGTTGTCGAGGTTTCGACAGCAGTTGTCCTCTTTGTTCTCTTGGTAGCGCTCCTGCAGTCGCTTGCAGTCGTTTCTGCATTGGGCCCCGGCGTGTAAACAAAAATCGGGGAACTTATCGTTGCCGGGCTGCAGTGGACGTATCCCCTGGAACACCTGGGTGTGATCTCCAGTAGCGTCCATTTTTAGCTCTCGAAGACCCTTCTAGCGGTTGCTCTGAGCCCCTGCTCTTGCTTGGGCGGTTGCTGATGAACCAGGTTTCTATCACTCTGCCTTGTGATTAAAGTCTTGGAAGAGAGATTGGTAGAAGGGGATTGCGTACAACCTGTTATGGTTATATAGGGGTATGCAAGGCCAGGCGCTCAATTAACTTTTGTGTTGTGTCCAAGGCACGCATGCAGAGAGGGAGAGGCGTTGTTGGGCTTATACCTGGCCGTTAGGTTCCCATCTCTTCATCCCTAACGTTTCCTGCCAAACCTCCTCGCATGAAGATACATGCCGATGCTTTCCCTTGGTGACACCTTTATGACGACAGACGATATAATAAAAAAGGGTTCCCCATGATTATGAGACGATGTTTTCGTTATTGTTACTTTTTATCTTTCTCAACAAACATGTCTTCAAGTCTTATACATTACCCCAATTTTGGAGTTTGACAACTCAATGCAGTGAATGCACATACCATGTTATAGAAGGTTAATTCAGGGGTGGACCCTGCGTGGAACGAAACGCTTTCCAGGTTGGGTCGATCACCGGTTATACATCCCGACACATGGCGTCGCCTCAACAGCCTCTGGTAGCATGGAGGGGCAACTAATGAGCTGAACTGCGTTAAGCTTCAGTAGGAGTAAACGGTTGGTCACCACCTAACGTCCAATGTTTGGTGAAACGTTGTGCAACGCTATTATTCTACACTCGAGAACTGATCATATGACTATCATTGTTGCAGCTGAGATATGCCTACCCTGGACCTGTTGGCTGCACAATATCTTACCACAACTCTTTACACTTTGCAATGAGATAAATCAGTCATCTGTACATACGTATCTAGAATTCATTGCAGAGTGAGTATTCTCATGATCAACGGGAGAATGGTAGCGCCGGATGGTCTCGAATATATTGAAGTCGTGAGTAAGCGGTCAGGTTTCACCAAAACGAGGTCCTCATCACACTCGATCTTTGAACATAATTTGGTTCTGTTAAAGATTAATGAAGATACAATCGACAACAAATTTTTACGACACGTAGGACATCAAGAACATGCAAATGGGCATAAAAAGTCCTAGGTATTCTAGGTTGATACTTAACTAGAGTCGACTTTCTGATAGTAAGTTCGTTACTGAGGGACTAACATTGAATATACTCTGTACAACGGAGAGGTCACTGATAAATTATTAGAGAAAGAAGCCGATATAAATTGATTTCGCGTGTATCGTCCAATACTCTCCAACCTTCACTTCAGCCTGTCTATAATAAGGGATCTGAAGATGTAGTCCTGTAGATAGACATGCAATTGGTTGTAAGCGCTGCCACTATCCAGACCTCTGAACCCCGAGGACTGAACAAGACACAGCAAATTGCTTTTCTGGATCACAACGATAGGATGAAAGAAGGAGTCCTTGAAATTTCTTTGTGGATGCCCCTCTAAACAAGCTCTTATACACAATATATCATACAACCAGTCCCAATGCCCAAATTCCTCTACTTCTTCTGTCCGAGAATCTTGGAATGTTGCTTTCTTGTTGTCTTTCCAGGTTGGTTGGCCTGTGACCGCAGAGTGTATCTCTCCTTCTTCCAGGCAAACACCATCTGGTCCACACTGCCCATATCGTGACTGGGCTTGCGCATGTACGTAAGGCGCGCACGGCGTGCCCTCTTGGGTCGTCGCCAGATAATATCGATACCAGTCACAGTCGGGCTGTAGATCTTGAACCACATCTCGACTCCCACCTTCATCATCTGTCCTCGCAGTTGGATCGCTGTGTCCTGGCCCCGGCGTCGGATTTGCAGGAAAGCTCCAGAGAAAGGCTCGCCGCTCTTCGTCGTCACCATCAGAACGTCGCCCACTTTGGCGCTGTCGGCATGTTCCCTAGAGAAAAGTCGTGTGCGTGCGCCGGTCGGGTCGAGTTTGGTGATTTGCTTCTCAAGCAGTGCGGGCATCGGATCGGGGTGTGTTGTGCGGATGCTCGGGACACGAGGGTAGATATGGAACTTGCTGACCTTGGCAATGTCCGCGCCTAAATGGTGTGTCAATTATAACTCATGGCAATCATGATCGTGAGGACGACATACGTTGTTCAGCGCTAAAGGCGTTCGAGGCCTGCTTAGATAGAGGCGCAACAGCGGCTGCCGCAGAGACATTCCTTCGGAACTCCCTCTGGAACCTCGTCCGTCGAAGAGCAGTCTTGAGACAGCCAACTGGCCGTCCCACACTGGCGACGTTCATTGTGTTTTGAATTGTCGTGAAAGATACGGCAATTGAGGTTGAGCGATGCTAGAAATTCTGGAGCTACTTGCAATGCCTTTGGCCCAACGCTGCTAATTGCTGTTGGTGATTGGCCCGGCCCACAGTTTCTCCGATATAAATGGATTCATTCCAAAATGTTGGATGGGATTATAGTATCAAGTGCTTCAATTCTAAAAGGACATCTTAATATTGTCCATTTATCACCAGCGCAATAATGAACAGATCGTTGATATCGGCCTTCCGGCCGCTTGCGAGCTCAAGGGTACCTATCACAAGATGTGTACCCCAATACCGAAACTTCAGTGCAACTTCTCGCCGAAGTAGGTCAAATTTGGCACTAAGATAAACGACTGAAGCCACTTAGCTGACAGTTTCATAGGCTTGAGTGCTGTCTTTGCAGAGACTGAGAACCCTGACTTGAACCAAATCCTCACTCAAATTCAGGAGAAGATCATCCTGCCCGCCTACCTACCAGAGGCGCAGAGAAAACTCATTCACAACAAGAAGAAGAGCGACTACATCCAGCGAAACCCCGTTGTCATTGAGCTTGATGGCCTCGAGCATACTTTCAAGACCATTGACCGATTCACGGATATTCCCAACGCGGACAAGGCATACCAGGAGGCGACAAAACTCATGAAGACGAAAGAGGAATGGGACAACTTGGGCACACTTCTTGCCGGATACAAGAAGGCTGGCATTCGACTAAAACGTCGACAATATGACTCCGCGATCCGAAGGGCTGGTCAGCACCGACAGCCATATGCGATTATCGAGTGCGCCAAGCAGGCTTCAAAGACTGGGTTTCTTTTGAACAACACCAGTTCTGTTGTTCTTCTCTTGGCGAGTACCAACATCAGAATCGCCAATCCTACCGCAGAGGAGAGCGAGGTTCAGGAAGCGTTGAAGTGGAACCAGTTGGTTTGGGATCTGATACAACGACCGGAGCATCTGCGAGACGCTGCATTGCCTCGTGAGCAGCCTCATTTTAACCCCGCGATCCGAGGTTTGATCCTTTACGCCCAAACATCTGCAGTCAAGGAGCAGCAGGCAGCTGGAGCTTCTGTGGAGCAGTTGATCCGAGACGTGCGAGATAATGTTGAGTTTATCGCCAGCGCCTGGAAGGACCAGCTATCCGAACCCTTGACCAAATCCCCCTACCTCAACTATGTGAACGCACGTGCTGAGCCCCTCAGCGCCCAGCACATGCAACACATTGCCCCCTATTTCTATGTCCAGCTCGTGGCCCAGAACGTCCGGGGAATAGAGCTGGCACAAGAGATCATTGGTGACGATGCTAGCGATCTGACACCTGTCCGAGAGGCATTCGAGCAAAACCTTGAAACTTTCATTAGGGCAGATGTAAGTGTAGGAGGCAAACGGAATAAGGCAGGCTGGGGTGGCGCATATGAGGACGTAACAGGACGGAAGCCCAACTGGGCGGATGCCCTCTGGTCAGAGTAACTTCTACTAGCTGGGCGCTCTTCTCTTAGTTGTGAGAAGAACTCGGCAAGCAGAGGCATGATCTTGAAGAATATATGAAAAACTAAAATCTTGGGTGTTGGTTTTCATGACCGGTGGATATGTATCATTTAGATTATTTGTACAACAGACTCTTTTCTACGGGAGAACGATATACTTCTCCAAATGTTTGGGAATAGCGCCCAGAAGCTTCTTGTCCGTCAGCCACTTGCGCGAGAACAGCCTGTCGGCATATCTGTAGGCACCATCGCAGAGAACAGTGACAACGGTGTGACCCTTGCCCAACTTCTCAGCAACCTCCTTGGCGGCAACAACGTTCAAAGAGGAACTGGCGCCCAAGTACAGACCCTCCTCATCCAAACAGCGATAGACCATCTCAATGCTCTTCTCGTCGGAAATATGTAGCGAGCCATCAACCAGATCAATATCAGGCTGGAGGTTGTCGGTAATGCGACCCTGTCCGATACCCTCGGTGATGCTGGAACCCGAACGCTCGTTGAGCTTACCCCCAGAAGAGACGAAGGAGTGAAGGACACTGCCAGGAGGATCGGCGAGGAAGCACTTCACTCGGCCGTTGGAAATATCCTTCAGGTATCTCGTGGTACCAGCCAAGGTTCCACCAGTACCAGTAGCGCATGTGAAAGCATCGACCTTTTCATTCGTTTGTGTCCAAATCTCAGGCCCTGTTGTCTCGATATGCGCACGGCGGTTGGCCGTGTTGTCGAATTGGTTCGTCCAGACAGCATTGTCGAGTCGCTCAGCATGTCGACGGGCTTGGTGGTTGTAATTCTCGGGGTTGTCGAAAGCAACGGCAGGCACAGGGTAGACCTCGGCGCCGAGGAGTCTTAGAAGATCAATCTTGCCCTGGGACTGGGTGTTGGGCATGTAAATGACGAGCTTGTAGCCGCGGGACCGGCAGACGTGGGCGAGGCCGATACCGGTGTTTCCGGCGGTACCCTCGACGACAGTGCCGCCGGGCTTGAGAAGGCCGCGCTCCTCAGCATCCTTGACAACATACAGAGCTGCACGATCCTTGACTGAACCACCAGGGTTCATGAACTCTGCCTTACCAAGGACCTCACAGCCGGTCTCCTCGGAGAGACGATTAAGACGAATGAGAGGAGTATTTCCGATAGCTGCAGCAGGGTCAAGTTAGTCGTCAAGCTTCATCGTTCGGGTTGTTAATATGCGCACCTCCAGTCAAACCTCGGGAAACACCTTGAGCTCTTGATACATTAATGGTGTGGGACGTGGGAGCTGCAGCAGCTTTAGCCGCGGCAGCAGCAAGCCTTCTAGCGCTGGGACGGAACATGATGTTAGATATGAAGCGTCGCGGGCTTGAGTAGAGCCAATTGACAAAGCCGCAGGCGTCAAATCTTCCCAAATATAGAGAGAGGTTGAGGATACTTGGTGGAAGTTCAGCTTAATAAGAAGGGAACTGTACTTGGATGGTGGGGCCGCGATCGGCAATGGCGCAATCCCGGGCTGTCGGTGATGTATGGTCAAGTCCCGCACCGACTTCCATATGCTTAAGACATGACGATATTATACGATAAATCTCCAAATGAGCCATATTTAAAAAATGGTATTAAAATCCAAAACATCTTATATCTATCTGGTATCCAGTTTGGTATTGTGTCAGCCTTAATTTCCTTGGTTATTCTGCTCTAACCACACATATGGTGCTGGGAACAATCCTCGAGAACCCATATACGCTCCAAAGAACCATTCTCCGTTCACGTCTTCAATTTCCTTGACTTCAGCTCCTCGTGGGAAAAGGAGCTCATCATCTGCTCCGGCCTTCGGATACCATCCATATCTCGCTGTCGCTTTCAGCCCAACTCCGCCTTCAGGAGGGAAACTCTGGCTAAAACCACCCTCAGCCGGTGCTGTTTCTGACACGTCTCTGGTGACAAGTCGAGCAAAGTTTTGGTCGTTCTCGTGCCAAACCCATACTTGAAGACCCTGTTCGCGGTGTTCTGGCTTTTCTGCTGCGTCTGACTTCAGTCCTCGACCTCCCACTAGGTCCTTGGCTACATATCTCCATTGGCCAACTTTACCTTCAGTGAACGCAACGACAACCATCCTGTGCCCATTGAGACACCTCCTCCATCCTGAATAGCCATTCTCATGGCTGATCTGACGCTGTGTAACCAGGTTTCCATAACAAGAAGAACATATGTCGTAATCGCCCGGTGCGGCATCTGAAACCAGAGAGCTTGTGCAATGATAGCAATGATATCGTGCCTGGTTCGGCTGAATAGGCTCTTGACATACATCACAGCGTGTAGTAAAAGACAGTGGCTTGAACGGCCCGATGTTGGATGCGTTCGGCCCTCTGAATATTGTGGCTGCTGGGGGCCGACCAGGAGATCTTGGAGGACTTCCAGATCTGCTCTGAGTTGGTTGGCTAGCTTCGTGAGCCAGAGGCAATAGGCTGTGTGTGCATGATCTTCCCTGGTTCACACAGTCGTTGCAAAAGCCCCAGTCACCCTCGTTACAAATGTCGCATCGCCAATAACATTCGTTCGTCCAGGCAAAGCACTTGGCACAGAAAGTGCCACTTTCTAATCGATGCCGGGGATCGTCTGATGTTAATGTTTTCCGTCCATCAGCTCCACCAGGGGCTGAACGAGGGGATTTATAGCGACTCGCAGTCAACATATGTGGCTTTGGAAGGGAAGGATCTCCTTTCTGTTGACGCGACTTCTCCCATTTTGCCCAAGCACCGTAGCCAAATCCGAACCAATGAAGGCAACCCTTTCCGGTCCTGTAGCAGTCTAGGCACATGTTCCATCGTCCACCAGCACAAACTGAACAGTTGTAATGAAGCTCGTATTCGATATGTTGTTTGTTACACCGAGAGCAGCTGAAAGAAGGTTCCGGGAAGAGTTGGGATCTTGTCCTTTGGTGTCCTGATACAGTCGGACTGGTAATCGGGCTAGTGACTGTCTGATGGACGATTGCAAGATCGACTGGACGAGGTCTGCTCGACCGGCCAGCTGCTGGGTCATGATGGGAGAACAAGGGAGGGACTGATGCGCTTGGAGTGGTCCCCTGGCGATTGGCGAAGGAAAGGTTCGCGGCATTGCTACTGGAGGAGGCAGCATCTGTGGGATTAGGAAACGGTACGGTATGAATAGGGGTGCTGGTGCTGCGTCCTTCGCTGAAGGTAGGCCGGGACTGTAAGGCATCAGAGATTTGGGGCCTTGCGGTCAGGTCTGTGGATGAACGAGCAGCAGGCCTGGGCTCACTCGTAGTTGGAAACACGGGGGTCGTCGAGCTGCGACCCCCGCTGGCAGTCCGACGCCTTGGTCTTCGGACTGGTTCTTGGACCTCCAGGTTTGCTGAAGGCGTAGATGTTGGCTGACGACTTCGTTCCTCAGTCTGGCTTGCAGCACTTGTGGCACTTGCAGCGCTTGCGGATCTGGAATGTGGGCGGGATCGCTCTCGTGGTCGACCACCTTCTGGAGCCAGCATGCGAGAATCTGTTCCTGAACTCTCGGCATGTCGCGTCAACGGAGGATAGTTACCTGCATTGGTTCTCCGCGTCTCTTGTCGTGTTCGGTCCCTCTGCCGTCGCCGGTATGCCTCTGTGATCCTCCTACTGAGCTCATCGTCGCGACTCAGATCGATGTTATCTAGATCAAGCCCGTCGAGGAGTCCCTCTTCCTGAATCTGCCTGGCAAACGACTCTATTTCCCTTTCAATATCTCTCTCACTCATATCGCCAGAACTAATTAGCGATCGAATTGATGACTGATGCTCGATCTGGCGCTGTCTTGACTCGCTTCTCCGAGGTCGTCGTTCGCCATCGCTCTGGATTTGGTCTGAACTGTGCCGACCTCCGTCGTCCATTCGAGGGCGACGACCTCCTCGGTGGTGTCGGCTATCCAAGCTTTGGTCTCTTTCTCTTTCTCTGTCTCTGCTTGACCGTCTTCTGTCATCCGCGGATCGACTCTCACGTCTGCGTCGTGTCCTTGGAGGCGCTGAAGAAACTCCCGCCTCTTGTAGACTCAATTCCCTCACCTCTTCCACTAATCTTCTGTCTCGAGCATCGGCGCGCCGCTCTTCTGCAGTTCGGTGGGTATTGATTGTTGGCAGGACTTGATCGCCCGGCTTGTACTTCTTTGCCATTTCCTCTTTCTCAGACGCTGACCGAGCTTTATCAGGACTTGCCGAGACAAACATGTCCAAGAGAGTGACGACAGTAGCATTGTGCTGGGTCGCCCGTACAGTAGCTCTGCATGATGGGCATGTAAAGATGTTTGCGCCAGGAGCAGGCGGATTCGGCGATCGCTCGGCGGTCGCGGCTTGGAAAGAAAACCATTCCTTCAAACAGGCACCGCAAAAGGTATGAAGACAATCAAGAAGAGTCAAAGGTTGGTAAAGGAGCTCCGTGCAGATCTGCGCACACAGTTAGCTAGCTACTACAGTTGGCGGTCACCAAGCTTGGGGACGAAAAGGCGGGGAGATTTACAGAGCACGTCAGCTCCTTTTCCAAGTCCAAGCCAGTGTTTGTAGGCTCCATTCATGATACTGTATTAATCGCGGCCCATTCTCTGGGAAGGAGAAGCTTTCGCGCGCGAGCCAAAAAAGAGGAAGCGCGCTGAGGAGGATTATGTTGCTGAAGATAAAGGTAGGTTGCGGACAATGTTGGGTTGACTAGATCTAACGTTAGAGGTTCTGCAGTACGGGCCTTCTTTAGTGGTGGGTGGCGGGGGTCGGTCTGGGCGTTTGGCCTCTACAAGGAAGGCCAGCAATAGCTGCTTTTACACAGCACACACACACACTTTGTCACAAGTTACAACTATCGCTAACTTAGAAAGAGGTTGGGCCGCAATATGGAAATTGAGAGAACCACTTTACATATATATAGAGTCGTGTATGGATGCCTGCGGGGTGTGTAAGACATCATATGCGCCACAGGTCGTCTTGAGTATGGAATCCGAAGTCCAACAAGACATGATGTATCGCGCTGTTATATAAAATAAACTCAGAGTTATTGTAGACGGTGTTTGGCATGGCCTGCATGTCAATAAGCTCCAACCCTTCTATTCGAATTAATACGAGCTTAATCCATTATTAGCTGCTACTGTACATTTTAGACTAGAGCTTACACCAACGACCACCTCAAGGAACTGTTGCCTCGCCCCCACATGATCATATGAGTCTGGAGAGGGTGTGTAGACATGCACATTATTATGTGTTTGGTGCTTATAGTATTTTTTGAATTATGTATCTAGAGAAAGGTCCAAACTGTGTTACTCACTCCATCAAGTCAAGATACATATAGCTTCAGATTAAACATCTTTATGAGTGGCTCCATTCGGCCTTCTTCTTCTCTGCGAATGCCTTCATGCCGATCTTTTGGTCCTGGCTGCCAAACAGACTGTGGAACACCCGTCGCTCAAACTCAACACCGTCTCGGAGAGGAAGATCCTGGCTCTTGTTGACAACCTCCTTGGCAGCTTGGACAGCGACCCTTGAGTACCCAGCGATAGTCTCAGCAAGCTTGAGTGTCTCCTCCATCAAAACCTCGTGTGTAGGGAACGTCCTGGCAGCAAGTCCCCACTTCTCGGCATCAACGCCAGAGAAGGACTTGCCGGTCAGGATGAGCTCCATGGCCTTTGACTTGCCGATGGCACGAGTAAGGCGCTGACTGCCACCAGCGCCTGGGACAGTACCAAGCTTGATCTCGGGCTGGCCAAAGTTGGCGTTCTCGGTACAGTAGATGAGATCGCACATCATTGCCAGCTCACAGCCGCCGCCAAGGGCATGACCAGAGACTGCAGCGATGATGGGCTTCTTAACCTGAGTGGTGAGGTCCGACCACGATTCGATGAAGGAGTTGGTGTAAGCCCCAGCAAACGTAAGAGGGGCCATTTCCTTGATATCGGCACCAGCAGCAAAAGCCTTTTGAGAACCGGTCAGAATAATGACCGTGGTGTCGTCAGACGCATTAAAGTCAAGGAGAGCCTCGTTGAGTTCCTTGATAAGAGGTGTGCAGAGAGCATTGAGGGCCTTGGGGCGGTTCAAAGTGACTGGAAGGAGAGTTAGCTGCCGTGTTGTAACCAGATCAAGAAAGGAATTGAAGTATTTGATGATCTTACCTTGGCCAACACCAGGCTTAGGTTGGGAGACCTGGATATACTCAAAGGTTTTGGAGCTGTAGGCTCGAGCAACTCGGGGAAGAGTAGACCGTTGAAACGGCACTCGAGCGGCCAAGGGTCGCATGCAACGGAAAGTGTTCATGGTGAAATTAAGAGATGAAAATTATGACAATAAGAAACCGATGAACAACAATGGCTCTGAAAAGAATTTGGGGTTTGTTCTACTTTACGGTCGAAGCAATTGGTGAAGATACTGCAAATCTTATACAAAACCAAAAGTTGATGCTGTGAGAAGCTTAAGAGCTGCATTAACCGGGGACCTTGAGCTTCCCCAGTGACGCAACGCAACTGGACGAATATGCCGAGGATAAGATGGGCCGTCCATATCCATGACAAAGCCGACAGCCAGACGTTGCCTTGTTAGTGAATGTCACGTGGAAATTGTCACTCGAGATAAACATTAACCAAGTCTCCCTAATATTAAGGTCTTCTTCTATTCATAGGTATTTGCACTATTTCAGATATGATTTGACACCTGAGTTTGTCTGTGAAGACCAAGCAATGATGACGTGGTGCGGTCATCAAATGTCAAACCTTGGGAAAACTGTAACACTCCACTGCGTGGAATAGAAGTGCTCTATCAGATTCTTGTCAATAATGTGATTTGGCCATGAGTTGTAGCGAGAGATAAACATGATATTAACATGACTTGGTTGAATTGACCCGACATCTACCCTTGAGCGACCATGTCCTATGTCCGCTGCAAAATAGGCTAACGTTATCCAAACTCGAAGCTTGCCTTACAGGCTACAGCATGAACTGTCAAGGGTACAGGGGTTAATCCCAAGTGTCTGGTCACTCTGGTGCACAGTATACACTGACGTGAATAGCTGCGCCTCATTGACATGTGGAGTCAAAGGGGGCTCTCTCCAGAGGCATCTCTCTCTTCCCCAGGGCAATCTTGCTCTAATCACCAATAAGATTGTGCACTGACTGGGGATTTTCAGGGAGGCCACCAATGGAAACAACCTGCCAATCCAACAGGTCTCTCCTTTGTCCGGTAAAGGGCCGGAAGATTAGGAACTACCTACAAAGCTAAACAAACCTTACGTGGCTGTATCGCCAAAAGTTCGAAGTTACAGGTCCCCTCTAATTGTAGATTCGCCATCGCATCTTTTTTCTTCTTCTTTTCCCATCAACCAATCCCTTCCTTAACTTTCTTTACATTACAGTCGTTGTCCTGCACACCCAGACTCGACTCCTTTTACTCGAATAATTGCGATACCTTGCCCGGAAGAATACCTTGATCGACATCGACGAACCGATACTTTCTATTCAAGATGAATGCGCCAGAGCCTGAGCAGACCCCTTTCGAGGCTGTCAGCGTCCACACCTCCAGGATCCAGCGCGTATGTCTCTCAATGTCGAACTCGATGCCCTGCGATTTTACTAACGATGTGTTCAGAAATACCAAGCTTTGCTGGACCAGTCGACCCCTTTCGTGCTCTACCGATGGGTTGGCACTGTTGTCTGCCTCCTGCTCTTCTTCCTGCGAATCCTACTTGCGCAGGGCTGGTACATCGGTACGCCTCACTCCGCGACCTAATGATTTTCTCGATCAATGTTAACAGACTGTAGTTGCCTATGCGCTCGGTATCTACCTTCTGAACCTGTTCCTCGCTTTCTTGCAGCCTAAATTCGACCCCTCCAACGAAGAGGCCGATAATGATATGGAGGATGGCTCTGTGGGCACTCTCCCCACCAAGTCTGATGAGGAGTTCAAGCCCTTCATCCGCCGACTCCCCGAGTTCAAGTTCTGGTACTGGGCTACCCGAGCCATCGTCATCGGTTTCACTTGCAGTTGGTTCGAGATCTTCAACGTGCCAGTTTTCTGGCCCGTACTGGTTATGTACTGGTTCATCCTCTTCTTCTTGACCAGTAAGTTCCCACCATTGCTCGACACATAATTTCTCAAACTAACTGCCTCCAGTGCGAAAGCAAATTCAGCACATGATCAAGTACCGCTACGTGCCCTTCACTGTCGGCAAGAAGAACTACGCCAAGAACAACTCTTAAACGAACGAATCACGAGGATCCTTTCTTCTTCTTCTTCTTCTTCAGCACAGCAGATATCCCGGCTGAAGGATTACCCTGTGTGTCTTGTATACCTAAACACAGTGACCAGCTCTATGAAGCTGCACAATAATGCGATGTGTATTCCGAGACGTGTATTACAATCATGAGGCGGAAATGACGGGCGACACACCACAACTGGGATTTGGCGATAACGGAACTGGGTTGTTTGAAACGAACGCACCTTAGCTATAGACTTGAATGGGATTGGAGCTATGACAAACAGGGCAGATGAACCATTTAATGGAAATGACAATTTAAATGATTAGAAAACGCGACGAGTCAACTTTTTGTTTTTTAAGTGCTAACAGGAGGTGACGAGCCTCAACAAGTGGTGCGGAATGCTCCTCAACGCGGCTTATAGGTCAGAAGGACAACCATAAAATACGAGACAACGCGGTTTCAATTCTACATCGAATTGATTCAAACCACTGATTTAAATAGGGAGATTTTCTCAGGTAACATTTTTACTGTTTGCGCATGCGTTTGTTGTACAAGTCGAACGTGGAGCTTTGACAAGGTCAGCCTCGCGCCGTAATTCTCATATTTCCTTTACCTCGAAACCTCAGCCGCGCCCGCGCTTAAGCTTCTCCATCCATCTAACCAAGCCAAACCCAACGCCCGCAAACCGCGCCTTCATCCTTTCAAGAATATCGCGACACCACACTTTCGCTAGTTCCCCCTTCGGCGCTCCTCGCCAATTCGATAATCATGTCGTCTTCAGCTCCTCGCTCCGGCGAGCGCATGATTCACCAAGACTTCATCGCACGCATCCGATTCTCCAATGCGCTCCCTCCGCCACCACATCCTCCCAAGCTGCTCGATATCCCTAATACTGGCCTCGCCAGTGGACAGTACACGACGCCTGGCTTTGCTTCGCGCCTTGCGAGAGAGCAGCCGCTGAATATCGAGGCTGATGCTGAGCTGGGCATGCCCCTTGACTTGGTGGGCATGCCTGGTGTTTTCGATGGTGATGAACGATGTGAGTATGGCCTTTGCTGTGACCGAAGGCCGTGAAATTGACCTTCATGCAGCTATCCAAGCTCCCGCTCACCCTCCCACTCTTCATCCTCACGACCGACCGCTATTAAGACCCATCGCCGCGCTCGGAAAGCATAAGGCTGCCGAGGCCAACGTTTCTTTCCTCCGCCGAACAGAATACATCTCTTCAAGTATTTCAAAGCGCCAGGAAGCACTCGCACCCCGTGCTCTGCTTGCCAAGACCAAGAGACGCCTCCCAGAACCTGCGGCGGATTCACCTCATGCCATTAAGCGCAAGATCGACAAGGGCTTCGAAATCGCTGAGCAAGAATTCAAGGACCCCAAACGCGTCAAGCACCCCAGCAAGAAGAATCTTAAGTTGGTCGATGTCTCGCCTCTTATCCCTGATCTCGACGCTTTCCCCGACTCTGGCGCATATGTGACGATCAAATTCCACCAGAACCCCCTGGTTAGCACAAAGGGCTATGACAAGCGTCTTCTCAACGGTCTGTTCCGACCCATTGATCGCAATCCTCACGAGGAAGAGGCGTTTGAGGCAGCTGTGGCAGCCCACGAGCAAGATCCCGCCAACAACCCTAAACCTCAGAACTTGATGAACTATGAGTACTACTTGGCGGCATCCGGCTTGACAGCAGAGCACTTCCGTCGCAGATTTGAGGTTGAAGATAACGACCATCTTGGCGAGGAGGAAGGCTATACTCATAAATCTGATGACGCCGAAGGCTGCTTCCAGTACCACAAAGTTCGAGCATATGAGACATCCCAGGAGACCGAGTTCGAGCATACGCATAAGTTTGACGAAGAGATCATCTTGTCGTACAACGATGACACATTCTACCCAAACCAAAAGGCCGTGTACTATTATCCTGTTATGCAAAAGTCAGTCATCAGACCTCAGCGCACGAAGAACATTGCGCGAAACATCGGTATCACCGATGAGGAGCAGACCGTCGACCAGCTCGACGTCACTGTTGAGGACCCAAGGCAGGATATGCGCGAGCTCATGAAGTCGTACCGCGATAATCCTCTTGGCACAGGGGAAGATGAGGAGGAAGAGGAGCACCACGAAGGCCATGATGCTGAAGGCGAGGATGACGCTGGTCATCGCTCAAGGTCGGCTTCTGAAGAGCGTGACGCAGAGGGCGAGGACGAGGAATAAGTATTCGTCAAGCGTTCTGCTGACAGCAAAGACGCAAGGTGTGTACTCTAAGGGAAGCCAAAAGAACTCCCATGTACTTTTTGTGGGATGCGGCATATGGTATGGGGACAGAGGTGGTGGCATGTATTTGGCGAACCCAGGGCCTGCGGCGTACAGTTCATTAATCATAGATTTTCAGGCGTAGTCAAAATTTCGAGTTTCAAAATACTACACATATAACCGAATTCTAATGCCTGTTTCCATATAACACTAATATCTTCGTGTTAAGCCATAACGCCGTCCGTACCCGGAGGTTCAAGTACCTCATGCTATGCTCCTGAAATTCACATATGCCCATGTCATTTACTTGGTCCTATTCATTCAGCCGTTTCTTCCTTTGGTAACTTGTTCGCGCTGCTGCGATCGTAGCCGATAACCTCTCTCTTGTCGTCTATTACTCGGGCATATCTGCATCTTGTTAGCATCCACATGACAGTCGACGGTCACTGGGTCTCAAGGAGCGTCTGTACTTACTCTAACATCAAACGGAAGAACCACGCTTCCATATCGACCTGACGAACAGCCTGGTTCGCCCACTGCCGACTAGCAGCAGCAATGCGCTCGCCCTCCTCATGGCCAGTCTCCTCGCTCTCGAAAAAGCGAACAGCCTCAAGCCAGTCGCCTCCTTGTATACTGAGAGGCACGTAATGCGCCCACGGCTTGAGCCACTCGGCGTGCCACTCGCGGAATACAGCAAGCTTGAATGTCAGACTGTGGCTACGGAGGAAGGCAGTGAAACGGCCTGAAAAGGCGTTGCCGTCCATGTCGAGGAGATACTTGTAAGACCAGGCGTCTTGTTGATCAACGGCCTCGGTAACGTTGAAGAAAGCACGCTGCGCCTCGCAGTCGCCTGGGTCGCATTGGCCGATATGGGAGAAATGCACGTCGACCATGTCGCTGTAGTCACCCCGCGGAACCTCACTGGCCTCCCAGGAAGACTTCCCTTGGTTCGTGAGAATCTGAGCTTGGTCGCGGGCGTTGAGCTTCTGGACAAGTCGCTGGCGATGCTGACGTCTCCAGCGACCGTTACGGCTGTATCCTCCTGTTGTTGAACCTCGCCAGTAGAGTTTGCTGTGTTTTTTGGACCATTCCATATCCATCTCCTCATCATACTCTACCATGCCCGCCCAGTCCCAAGGTGACGGGTATACAAGATCGCTGTAAGAAGAAATCTTGGACTGCGAGAAAATGGGGAATAGGTCTTGGACGATTCGGTAGGTGTTAGGGCCACCGAAGAAGCCAAAGTTGGACTTGAGACTGGGCGAAAGGCAGATATCGGACATGGCAGTCGTGTTGTAAACGAATCCGACATCGCTCATGCCGTACCTACTTCGATAATCGACCGTCTCGTCTTCTTCGAGACATCGAGCTGGTGTATCAGGCGGACAAGACAAGCGGGAGTGAGCCCAGGTTGACTGGTGTGCGAAAGAATTAAACCTCGTGAGGGTTGTCTCTTCGAATGACTTCCCGTCGTGTAACTGAGGACTCGTCTGAGTAAAGTCATTGGCGAGTTTTGAACTGGCTAACGCTGCAGGCATGTTCTTCTCCTTGGCCGTCTTTACCAACCTCGTCAAGTCCTCATGGGAGAGAATAACGCGAGACTCATCGTGGAAGTTGAAAGCAAGGTCCATGTCCGGGAGATACTTGAGAAACTTGTTCATCATTCCCTTTGTCGCATTTTGTTGCCAGTCTTCGCCATTCTGGATATAAGTAATTCTGTGGTCTCGGATAGATACTCCAATCAACCCATTATCGAAACCTAGTGCCTCCCTAGCTCGAGACCGAATGGTCTTGGGCTTTAATCCCCAGAATGGAGTGATCAAATCATAAACCGTGTCGAACTCATCGACGAGTTTGACATTGTTGTCCTTGGCAAATTGGAACCACTTGTCGAAATGAGGTGGTGGTGGCATGCCATATCGCCGTCTATATTCTTGAACCGCCTCTTGAAGCGTCTTGGACTGTCGAGCCTTGATCTGTTCAAACTCTTGCTGGGCACTGCTCGTAAGATATTTTACAGGGTGCGTTTCCGGCGTGGGAACCTTTCTAGGCTCTGTGGTTCCTTCAACAGGTTGTTCATCCTGTGATGATAAAGGGGTTGACAATGGCTGCGAAGACGATTGAGTTTGTACTTGATACCTCTCGGTTTGTTCTGACGGTATACTCCAAAGACTATAAAAGCAGAAACAGAATAATATGAGAGAAACGAGTAAAAGGAGTTGAGGCCGTTTAGAGGCGCGGAACGATAAGAGAGAGGTCATGTTTGTGTATGGTTTTATACCAAACACAAGTCCTTAGTCGGCGCAGCAAAACGCTGGATCAGGGTATGGTCGACGCAATCTAAGGCTCCTCTTTGATTACGGAAATCAATAAGAAAGTTAAGTAGTCATAAATTCATAATTCAACATGATGTCTCAGGACCAAAGCTGAAGATTGACCTCGAAACAGGTAGTGTGGTGGTCTTGGCTGGGGCATTTTTATTGGCTGCTTGTGCTAAAAGAAAACAACGGCGCTGCAGGTACTTTGTTGGCACAACGACTTGACCCGAATAAGCTTGGACGGCCAGACGTTGTATCGAAACTGGTTGACAGCATTCATTACCAGAGACAGACATTGACGATTAAAACATACTCGGCAGCTTCTTCAATAACGGAAAGATATGTAAATTAGCCGAGCTGAAGAGTTCGTACTACTCGACTCGGGTGTAACACTTGCGACTAACTCATTTGCACATCTTCACATTCACTTCACATGTACATGGGAATCAATAAATCTGAGCATCTCGTAAAGGTTCAATTCTTGTGCTCGCGTGTGCGATAGCCGATTAAGCTATATGATCGCATCGGTCATAGTCCTGGTAATCCTCCTTCAACGCCGAGAATGCCTAGTTCTTTTTTGAAAAATCACTTTTTGATTGATATCCCGTCCCTTCTAGTAGAAGAAGCCAATGATCTTGCCGGAAACGTGCTTGCGTCGGGCCTCCTCGTGGTCCATGATACCAGCGGAGGTGGTCAGGATAACGTAGCCGAACTGACGAGCGGGAAGGAGCTTGACAACCCACTTCTCGAGCTCGGAGAGGCGGACGTTGTAGCGGGGAGAGATGACACCGGTCTTGTTGAGGCGACCGTTGAGCTGAACAACGATCTTGCCTGATCGGTGGTCATCGAGCTCCTCGAACTCACCAATGTAGCCTGAAGGGTATGTTAGTAATGTTTCGTGAGAGTAAACGTTAGACATCATGAGTAAAAAAGATTCCGAAAAACGTGTAAGATCTCCGAGTTTAAATCTATCGGCAATTTATAGGGGCTGAATCGTGGTGCAGTATCGACAGTAGCCCTAGTTATCATGCCGAGTGATGGAGATCTTTGGAGGATATCGACGACTTTTTGGTGGTGGGGTCATGGTGGTGTAGGACCATCGCCAGAAAGCCATGTCGAATAGCGGAACCAAAGGGAAGAAAAGTAGACAGAAAAGAATGGAAACACATACCGTGTCGCTGCATGACAGTGAGGAACTTGACGATGACCTTGGAAGAAGGTCGGATCAAGACCTGGCGCTTGCCAGCCTTCTCGGCGTTGTTGATGGCGTTGAGCGCATCGTGGAGGACGGAAGTGCGGACCATTTTGGCGGTGTTTTGAAGAGATTCTCAGTTCGGGACGGGAAGTGAGGTATCTGCCAAGGAATATCATGGTTAGCCTTTCCAAGGCCGTGAGCGAGGAGAGTGCCCTCAACGATCGATCGCGAGGGTTCTGCCGCCCAGTGGTGAAGGCGAGAAGCGTATCGAGGAACAGCCGCCGTCAACGTCAATCACGCGTGATTGAATTTGAATTTTCCGGCCATTGTTGAAAGGATCGGTTCACGGTCGGCGACGCCCTCGATTGCTCTCCCTTTGCCGTGGTAAAAGGCATCATCCTAGTGGATTCGACTCGCTGATGGCGTGTGCCATACTATACATACCTCGTTGAAGTTGACTTGGTCGTTGGATGAAGACTGTAAAAGGGAAAAGCGGAAGAGGAAGAAAAAAGAGTGTAGCTCCAAGCAATCTGAGCGTGGATTCCTGTGCGAAAGTGGGTCCGTGCACTTGCCCTAAGGCCTAAGGGTCTGCGCACTCGGTCGTTTAGATTTCGGCAAATCCCCGTCAAACTAAACGAAGACATTTCCAGATCACGACTCAACCCCCCCCTCTTCCAACTTTTCCTTGATACACATAGAAATCTTCGAGGATCGCCCGACAAGAAAAGATTATCCAAGATGGTGAGTTGTTGATGTCCTCTCGTTTACTGTCGTCAATTGCGTTTGCCAGGCTGCAAAAAACGCACCCTTGGACGACCAATTTGCGACCAGTGGGGGAGGAGCACCAATATCGAAAATATTGGCTAATAATGTTTTCTCGCAATAGTCGGACGTAGAAGACAACACCCCCGAGGTCGCCGATGTTGTTGAGGTTTCCGGCGATGCCCCCAAGGGCCAGATGTCCATTCTCGATGCTCTCAAGGGTGTCCTGAAGCTCTCCCTCATGCACGACGGTCTTGCCCGCGGTCTCCGTGAGGCTTCCAAGGCTCTCGATCGCCGACAGGCTCACATGTGTGTCCTGAACGAGAACTGTGAGGAGGAGGCCTACAAGAAGCTTGTCGTAGCTCTCTGCAACGAGCACAACATCCCTCTCATCCAGATCCCTGACGGAAAGCAGCTCGGCGAGTGGGCCGGTCTCTGTACGTTATGAACCCCGCGCAAAGCATCAAACATGATGCAGGTTGGAAGTTGGTATGCTAATAAGTCTCACAGGCGTTCTTGACCGTGAGGGTAACGCCCGCAAGGTCGTCAACTGCTCCTGCGTCGTTGTTAAGGACTGGGGTGAGGAGTCTCAGGAGCGATCCATCCTCCTCAACTACTTCCAGACCGAGCAGTAAGTGCTCTTAAACGGCGTTGGATGTGAAATGGATTAGAGGTGTGCGGACTTGATTTCGGGAACGCTCGACACGACATTTGACGGTGTACTCTAGCCACTTCGTTGGCATCTAAAACGGTTTAGGCCTTACATCTCATGGCCAAGTTTCATTGAGAGGAATTAAAAAAAATTGGGCATCATTGGACATTCAAAGCGCTTCGTGTTAATGTGTGATTGTGTGTGTCTTGTGATTGATATGTTTGATTGTGCCGTATTCTGCCACCTACTTTCGCCCTTCAACCTGAATACACTATTAGAAGAGGCCCCAAGACCTTTCCAGGTACTGTCAAAACTCACCATAATAATATGATACCCAAACTCCGTCTTGACTTCGACAAACTTGGGACTGGCCGTCGTGCTTGTCTCCAGAGCAAAAGCCACCTCTTCAAACTTGGGATCCAAGCTACCCTTTGTCTTCCAGCCAAGCGAACCACCTTGTCTCGCCTTGTCCTCAGAGAACTCACGGGCAACCTCATCGAATTTGACGCCGTCGTTCAGCTTTGCCAAAGCCTCCTCCTTCTTGGCGTGCTTCTCGCACTGTAGATCATAAATCCTGTCGTTAGAATTGAATTGCCATGGCGGGGTGAAAATCATGGACAAACTCACCAAGATGTGACGAACATTGATGCTCTGAGCACCTTTAGCCTTGCCGCCAGACTCTTTGGTGTCCTTTGCATCTTTGCCCTTATCTCCCTTCCCCTTTCCTCCCTTGTCGCCGCCCTTTTTGTCGTTTTTACCCATCTTGTCGTGTATAGTCGTCGTGTAAGAGGAGGAAGCTAATTTGCTGCGGCTGCAGGTGGCGGTGGGATGTCATGCCCCGCCATGCAGAACCCTTGAAGCTTCCCTCAATGGTCGTGACGCAGCACCCCTCAGCATTTCACTCAGATCCCATATATCATAACTTCACTTGGCACGAAACAGAGAGCTGATAAACATTTAACGGTTTGTTAATAATGTTGTATTAATATCCAGTATCAGTCCTCCTCTGCAGAAAAATCGACCTGTGTAGCACAATCAACATGCGTAGCACAATCGACCTGTATAGCACCATCGACCTCTGCGGCACCATCGACTTGTATCACACGATCACGCCCTAGAGCTTTACTGCTCGAACCAAGAAGTCCAGCTTTCTTGAAGTAGTAAGCCAGAGTGTTGCGGTAGTCGTTGACACTCTGGTACTCTTCCCGCGCATCCCTCTCGTTTGCCATTTTCACTTTCTAGCTTATAAAGGCATTGTATCCCTTGGTTTGTCTGATCGCCTCGCCTTCATGTTTCTGGTAGAGTTCCCAGTCGTCCATCTCAGATGGACGGGGTATATGTAGTATATCCTCTATTGGCCGCTGCTCGCCAACTCTTTCAAGTGTGAGTTTCATATGATGCATGTCCTTATCTCCCTTGTACCATTGACTGTAGCGGTGTACTTTGTATCTGCGACGCTATTAGCGAGTAGCGACTGTAGAAAAGACAAAGAGGACTCACAAACCATCATAACGTATGCCAGCTTTCGGTGCAAAGGGACTTTGCAGACGATATCCACGAAGAATGCGGAATGTGGCTCCGGGTTGGGACACGAGTGATACGTGTATGTCCGTGATTCTGCCCTGTCTAGCATATCGTATGTACCCATCATTTTCATCGATGTATTCTTCTCCTGTTAGCAATGGTAAGGCAGCAACTCCGTATTTCCCCCGAGTAGGTCTTTCGCGTGCGCTACCAACAATACCATCTCGGTGTGCACAAGCCAAGTTGAGCCACCACCTGTGTCGCAAAGATCAGTAAGAACTCGGGTTCTTGGGGGGGTTAGCGTCCTCTTACTGCCCAGGCTCGATCTCTAAATTTCCCTCCATCTCTGACACCGTCTCGCCATCTTTAGCTTGCCATCGTTCCTCTGGATTCTGGGAGTCAAGGTTCAGGACCACATCTTTGAGCCGGCCCGTCTTGGGCAGATCGTCATAGCGGTTCTGTTCGATGTTGAAGTAGGGTCCTCTAAACCTCTCGATCCATTTGCGCTCTAAGCGCTCCGCCAGCTGGACGTCTTTTGAAAATCTGATAGGGACCCTCGGATGTCGATATCTTGGATCCATTATATCCGATATGAGTTTGTCAAGGTGCGTGTTCCGAATAGTCTCAAACTCTATGGCGCGACTACCGTTCGCCTCGTCCCTCATTACTGCTGCCAAAAATCCCATGGCCTCTTCCCAACGAGGCTCAGGACGACCCTCGTGTAAACCAGTGCGGATTGTGTCACATAAATCCAGGAGCTTATCTGCATCATAACCAGTTCTAGGGGGTAGCGAATTCCTGCCTTTATCGGATATGGAAGGATCAGGGCTGGATGGTGTAGCTACGCGTTGTAAGTTGGCCTGCATCGCATAGCAGTGTCCACTGGGTAGGTGTGCTCACCTTTGCCTTTTCCATTGTCTTCAGATGGAGAACTGAAGTCACCCTTATCTTCGAGTACGCTCCAGCTGCCCTCACTGTCGAGGCTAGTAGACATGGGTGCCTGTAGGCTATCAGCTGCTGTGGAGTAGTTGATGGAATAAGAAGATTGAGCAAAACAATGAGGTCTTATTGTAGGCCAAAAGAAAGGCAATGGGTATAATGTGATGTGATGTGAGGTAGTGATATGCAACTGCAATGAGAGACGGTGTATATGACGGAATATTTTCTCACCTTGTGGTTACTGTTCCGTATTGATCGGCGCTTCATTATAGGCATTTTTGGTGATGGGTTGTTCCTGGATTATTCAACTAGAGAGTGAGGAGCAGTTGCACCTGCACCTGCGTTATGATACTGATACTGTAACGGAATAATCTCTTGAAGCTGCGTATGATAGAGTCTTTCCCGACCTTTGTCTTTACGGCTCATGATTGACATGTCAATTGCGGGCCCCCAATGCAGTCAACCGCGGAGACAAGAAACAAGAGACGATAGACGGTAGATAATAGGTTCAAGAGGCAACTGGAAGAAAACTTGGAGACTCGGACCAAGGGTTGATTTGATTCCTCACAGATAACAACAAAAACATCAAAATTCGGCAAATGAATTTACTCCTCACTCCTCTCCTCACTTAAGTAGTAAGTACTAGGTAGGTCAAGTAGAAGTAGAGAGAAAAAAATAAAAAAGTGGTCGGAATTTGGAATTCGGAGGAGGGGGCGGTTAGATCACGCCTTGTCGTGTGCCCAAACGATCCTTGCAGATATAGAAAATCGGGCTCTTCACCGACAGTAGCAGGCGTAAATCAGGTTCTTATTACTATTAAGTAGAGAGAAAAAAGTTAAGCTTGTCTCGTCTCGTCCCGTCCTATCTTGTCATGCGGGCAACCTCGCAGCCGCAAGTGACTCGTACAAGAGAGGGGTTCCGTTGTGTTGGGGAGACATAGTTTATTAGTGTGGTAAGTAACCTAATAATGAATGGTTCAGGCTTACAGGGGGCTGGAGGTGTCTGCTATGTCCGCTATAATTGCCCGCTCTTGGTGCGGCTTTTGCTGCATGATGCATGCCTGATGCATGATGTAGAAATGTCTTCCTTGTCTGCTGAGGTGCATTACGCTCAGTGGACATGAACTACTCATCTCTACCAAATCTGCATATATAGTTTTCCAAACAATCAAGCTTAAGAACTTCAAACTTACAACCGCTTATGACGTTTCAATATGGAACTGTTGGCTTTACCCCATATTCCGCTAACAAGGCTAGAACTAATTACCGGGTTTCCCTCCTCTACTTTTTGTACGGATATACGTAGGCTGGGTTCCAGTTTTAATGCTTGTCTTGTCTCACAGCATTTCCGAGATAACACTAGGTAGCTAGCAACAAAGCCAATTGCCATATATGAAACACTGATGGGCTTTGCTAAACATTACTTACTATCATTCTTCTTTACACAGGCAGTACTATCGATTTTCGGCCGCAACTGCCTATAAACTACAGCTCTCTATCCGTAAGTTCACATATACATGTAAGATTGACCAAAACTCTAGAATAGGTATTGTGCTGAAGCTACCAAGTCATGACATGTGACCCTCAACTCTACCTAATATGAGTTGAGAAAAGTGTTCTATCCAATAGCGAAGATCTCGGAGTTTTAGAACTGTTCCTATGATATTATACAAAGCGCATCACTGTAAATATTACAATAAAGTTGATAGAGTACGCTCTTGACCGCCTGCCAATTGTGGCACCATCGAGAGCTCTGGTTGGCAAGATAAAGTCACCGCCTTCCACTTCCAGCCCATCCCTAAATACTGCCGGTGAAAAATTCCAGATCGCAAAGCTGCCCCGCTAGACAATTATCAAGACGAAACAAACACAAGCTGTCGCAAGCCTTCGTCCAAATTGATCTACAGCTCAATTCTGGTCGCAATACTTACAATGGCCGAGCAAACTCACCACGCGGCACGTGCCACCGCATATTATACCAGGTCCATTGGTGTCAGCCAGCGCGTGACACCGTTGACGATATCATGGACTGGCGAAATGCGCACCAGGTATGCGCCGGGTTAATATTCGAACCAGCAATTGGGATGCTAACATTGACTAGGTTCTCAGACTTCCAAGTCAATGAGATTAGGGAAGATGGTTCGGTCCTCCACCTGCAGAACATTGGCCTAGCAGATGAAGAAACACCAGTAAGTGCTGACGCGCTTGGTGGTTTTCATGGCGCGCTAACATTATCGCAGGCGACAGAAGTGAAGGAGTCCAACGGCGAGTCTGCGACAAAAGAAACAAAACCCGAGGAACCTGCGCAAGATGCTGAGAAGCAACCTTCGGGCGAAACTGTCACGGAACCCAAACCCGCAACTCAACCTGAGCCTGCTAATGAGGTTTCAGCTGAGGATGCTGCTATCCTTGAAGGCTTGACCGACCAGCGATTCGCCAAGGAATTGGTCGACGTGTACAAGGCTGGACACGGCGCTGATCAAGATAGGAAAAAGACCGTCACATCAGAACCCATGGATGACAGGACAAAACGTGGCCAAGTGCACCAGGAGATTCGACGCATCTTCAAGTCTCGGATAGATACCAACACCGGTGACGACGGTGCCATTATCGCGACCCTTATTCCCCCACGAAAGGCCAACAGCAAGAAGCGCGGCCGAAACGGCGGCGGTCGTGGTGGCGGTGGCCGCGATGAGAAACCAACTGGCGAATACCTGCACTTCACTCTGTTCAAGGAGAACCGCGACACCATGGACGCCGTTAACCAGATCTCTCGATTCCTCAAGGTGAAGCCTCAGGTTATCGGCTATGCTGGAACCAAGGATCGCAGAGCCTCAACAATGCAGCGATGTTCTGTACGATACATGCGACCGCGAAACCTCGCTGGCATCAACGGTAGGCTTTGGGGTGTGTCAACTGGAGACTACGAGTACAAAGACAAGCCTATTTACCTAGGACAACTCCAGGGCAATGAGTTTGTCATCGCGATAAAGAGCTGCGAAATGGTTGGCGAGCCCCGGGACGAACCTATTGCACAGCAGGTAGAGAAGCTCAAGAAGAACGTCGATTCCGCCCTGAGCCACATGAACGAACACGGCTGGATCAACTACTTTGGTCACCAGCGCTTCGGAACCCACGAGGTTGGCACCCACGAAGTCGGTCAATTAATTCTGGGCGACAAGTACGAAGAGGCCGTCGAGTCGCTTCTTCACTACGACGACAATATTGCGCAAAAGGCCGAGGCAGGCGATATTCCTGAGGAGCCCTCCAAGAGAGATGAATATCTACGAAACCAAGCCTGCATGCTCTTCCTCACAGAAAAGGATGTGAAACGCGCCATCGAAATCATGCCCCGTCGATTCGCTGCTGAGAACTGCATCTTCAGACATCTCAACCGACAAGGCGCCCAGTCTCGACGAGACTTCATCGGTTCCCTGGTTCACATTACTCGTGGCCTCCGCTCCATGTACCTGCACGCCTACCAGTCCTATGTCTGGAACCACGCTGTCAGTCGTCGCTGGGAACTCCACGGCGAGAGCGTTATCGCGGGCGATCTCATCATCGCACCCACAGAGAGCACACCCCTTGTCAGCGGCCAGGATCAAGACGGCGACGACATCATAAACCCCGTTGAGGACGACGAGGACACTCCTGTCCGAGCTCGCCCTCTCACAGCCGAGGAAGCAGCTAGCGGTCGCTACACCATATTCGACATTGTGCTGCCCACGCCAGGCTACGATGTTGTCTATCCCGAGAACGACATTGGCGAGTTCTACAAGGAGTTCATGGGCCGCGATGAGAACGGCAACCTCGACCCTTACAAGATGCGCCGCATGCGACGCGAGTTTAGTCTGCCTGGCCGATACCGCAAGATTATGAACCGATTCCTCGCCACACCCTCTGCCGAGGTCCGCGCCTACTCCGACGATACCGAGCAGATGCATCCTACAGACCTCGACAACATCAAAGCGGCAAAAGCCCCTACGCTGAAACGCTCTCGAGACGATGCCGAGTCGGACTCGACAGTCAAGAAGGCCAGGGTTGAGGACGCTACACCTGCTTCTACAGACGTTGAGATGGCAGAGGCCGGCGAAAAAGACGGCCAAGGAGAATCTGTCCCCACTGAGACAGCTCCTGTCGTTGAGGCGGAGCCTTCCAAACTTGCAGTAATTGTCAAATTCCAACTTGGACGCAGTGCGTACGCAACTATCGCGTTGCGCGAGCTTATGGGTGATCCCCCTGAGGAGCCTGAGGCGGAAGAAGAAGAGGAGGCTTAGACTACAATGTTGAACATTTAGAATTGGAATATGAGGAGAGGATCATGTAACCAGAATGTTTGATACCCAACTATTGGCGTGGGAAAATACAATAAAAACAATGCGCTTGCGGTTGTCAGACACGCCATCTATCCTATGCATAACTCGCTAGCTTTCAGCACCATTCTGCTCAACTAGTTTTCAGACCATTGGACAAACCCATAGTCCATTGACATTGTGGCCTTGAATATCCCACCAAGCTTCTCTTAATTTAGTTCCTTGTCGGTTGGCCATGCTCTGTTCTCGTAAACCCGCAAACTTCCCACTTTGACATAAAGTCTCGTTGGCTTGTGCATTAAAGGAGGGGATATCCACAGCCAGGGCCCAGCCTTGTTTGAATCGTGGTGTGTGCCATCAAAACTGCTATCGGGGCTTATGATTTAGCCTGCTTCGATCCACGTCCGTACTTCTGGGCCTTTTCTTCGTTCTCTTCTCTCCCAGTACTGCTTCACCAACTGGTCTGCTTTTTCAAGTATTTCGGCCCTCCGAATCGCTCGATATTCTTGGTCATTCTTGTCTTTCTGACTTGCTTCAACCTTCTGCTCTTCAGAGGCTTCGGCGTTTCTAACTTCTTTCTAAGAGTCCTTTGGCTTGTCATCCCAACCCCAGACGAAAGATAGATACTTGACCATGTTGACACGCTTGGTACGCATTTCAACCATCCAAGGGTGCTCCATCATCTTCCAGGGACTGGCTCGGCGATTGGGTTGTTTTTCCAAGCTTCGAGAATATTAGCAATGCACGCACAGTGACAAGAAGGTTGGATAACTTACCAGCACTCGATAAAGTATTTGAAGTTGTCACTCCAATACACGTCCATTTCAGGCTCGTCCTTCAGCTTAGGCACATTCTGTCGTACAATGTACGTAAGTAGATCAATAAGACCAGCCCTTGGTTGCATTTCTGTGCCGTCTGCTGGGAAAGGGAAGCGATGCTGCGCGACCTCGAGAAGCGTAACTCCTGTTGACCAAACATCCGAGGTGATGGTGTAAGACTGGCCTGTGATACGTTCAGGTGCCATATAATAACTGGTGCCAATGAAAGTGTTGGCCTCGCCCTTAGTACCGAAGTCGCCCGAGACACCGAAATCGCAGAGTTTGACAGCTCCATCTCGGCAAAGCAGAATGTTCGATGGCTTGATGTCACGATGAATGATTCGCCGGGTATGCAGATATGTAAGTCCGCCCAGTACACCCTCGGCGATCTTTCCCAGTACTTTCTCTCCTGTTCGACCTCCCAGGCGTTTCACCTCCTTGTAGATGCTGTCTAACGATCCGCCCTCACAGAACTCCATCGCGATAGAGATAGTGGCTGTGGCAGGGTCGACGAACGCACCGTAGTATTTGCAAATGTGGTCTGAAGCGCACTCCTTGTTGAACCCTAGCTCTCTGAGGATCTGCTTCTTGACATCTGGGTCCGGATTCGTAGTAATGACCTAATCAACGTCAGTGGTTAATCTCCAGATAGCCTTCAGAACTAGCTCACCTTCAGGGCAAAAATAGTGTTACCACCCTTGAGCTTGCATCTTGTTACAGCGCCACCAGCACCTTCACCAAGGCCATCTATTTCGACAATTCTCTTCTCCAAGCTGGCAATTCTCCATCCCTCTTCGTCCAGTTCGTCGACATCGAGAGTCCTAGCCTTCTCAAGGCTCAGCTTATCAAAGGCCTCGAGTCCTTGCAGGCTTCCATCTCGCTCCATAGATACACCACCTTCGCTTCTTTCAGAGTATATAGACCCTACGGCAGACACAGGGTCTGGAGTTCCCTGAGGTCTTGACACTCCAATGCCATATTGCGAAGCAAATGACAGGGCTGAGTACTGAGATCCCGCAGAGGTGGGATTGCTTGCTCTACCATCCAGAGGTCCGAAGCTACCAGACCTGGAGTGAGCAGCGCTACTCTCACTGCCGCCGCCGGCTGATGGTTGGGTAGCACATTGAGATCGAGGAAGCTGTTCATGAGGAGTGACCTGACTACCCATGGGAGTTGCGAGATGCAACGTCGGTAGAGGAGGCCTCGAGGGGGCGGCCACCGGTTGCCCTTGGTTGCCTAGAGCTTTGGCATTGGGTGATGGGGGAATAGCAAGTCCAAGTCTCGGTGTGCGAGCTCCACCACTTCTGGCGCCAGGAATGGCGGGTCGGAGGAGGGGAACAGGAGAGGGGCCTGAGCTATGTGTTGGTAGAGAGATCGGAGTAAGAGTGGGAGGTTGTTGCTAGAAGCTGTAAGTAAAAAAGCCTTCACAAGAAATTGTCAAGAACGGGAACGTACAGGCTGTGGGGTTGAGTCGGAACCATAAGGCTGTTGGTCGGCCATCTCGACGGTGATGCTGCTTACGACAGCTTATGGATAGTGTATGTGTCAAAAAAGTAGTCCTCGTCGGAACCAGCTGGAGGTTCTTGTCTTTGGGTTCGCTTTTGAGCTTTTCCCCGATACTGATATAACCCAAGTATCAGTTAAAGCAGTCGAATATGGTGAGGCAAAGTTGTCGAGCGGCCAGCGTCGTCGGATGTACGGATATATATGGGCTCGAGTACGGTTGTGATTGTTATGAGTATGAGACTTGACGAGCGATCGATGTCGGTAGTAATAGCGAGTGTCGAGAGTCGGTTAATCAAGTTGTTGAAGTGCTGAGTTAAGGGTGAAATACGAATGTCGTCCGTCGTCAAAGAAGCAAGCGAGGCAGCCGCTGGAGTAACAGCCCACGCAAAAGAGCGGGGAAAGGATGATTCGCGGCTTGTGGAGAGGTACGGGCTGTAAGACAGAGAGGTGAAGACGGTATTGGATGTTGATATGCCCGGGAAACGACGTAATAACAGGACCCAAGATGAAGAAAAATCGTGGCAACGAACGACACGTCGTCGATTGAATCCGAAACGAGGAGGAGAGGAGATGAGAGAAAGACCAGAGAGCTTATGAGAGGGCGGGAACAAGAGAAAAGAGAAGTGAGAAGTGTAAGCTGGGAATGGCGTCCACCGTAGATGCACTGATTGGGTCGGGTCATGGGTGGGCTTGTGACTGCCACCCTTAGTGGGAGAGGGGCCCGCGCTTGGGCACCTGTGACCCCCCGAGCTCAGTGAGAGCACCCCTGTAGTCTGGTACCTGAGCTTCTCTTTGTCTGCGGCGCGGGGGGCGTTGAGCGGTTGGACTTCCCTGTAAGCATTGGGCGCTAGGCTTGAGCGGGGATGAAAACTGCCACTTGAAGCTGGGAGACCGAAAGGCGGGTTGGGATGGATGGATCATGGTGGGATGAGACGAATACTTCCAACTTGGCATGCTGTTGGTGTTGGACTATCCGCTTCATCGTCTTTCATCCACGGACCACGGCTCATTACTCGGCGCCCCGTCTTTGTACACACGCATTCGCTCAATACGAGGCGACCAACGGTCTAACGTTAGGTTTGTAGCAATACATTTGAGGCCACGACGAACCATGGCGTCCCATCCCAAAATCTAATCTGTGACTTGGTTGCACGTACATCGTCATTCGCGTCGTCACTTTTGGTCGGATTTCAGGTTTTGGATTATGGCCCCCAATGCGTAGATGTACTTGCTGAAGTTACTGTACAGAGTACGGATACAGCACAGCTGCTATAGCTTCGCTCTATGGTCTTGTCCTTGTTCCGGTGATCCGAGTGCTTTTCCATATGCTAGTTTCAAAATAACATAGTCACAATGTCTGTGGACCTGCCCTGGCTGCTGTACAGTCTAGACAATTTACATGATGATGGGTCAAACGCATCAGAAGCGCTCGCCCTGCATCAACGTGGCCCAACCGCAATTCAGAGCAGGGGAGCCGGAGGAGATCCTTCAGGCCCCGGTCCAGCATTAGATTCGTAACATCTCACTCAGATTATCCAAACATTTTCTCGCAATGCGAGACCTCAATATCAAATGTGTCTGACGAGTAGAGACCGCTGACACCCCTAGAAAACCCCTGACCTGGATATTTGGAATATGTTTGTAGCTGTCCCCTGAAGACGTTCCACAAACTCGATCAGCAATCAAGACATGACATTGCAATGAACCCAATCAGCTAGGTAGCCAAGCACAATTTTTGTCACATCACCCAAAGTGCGCTGCAGCTGAACATATCCCAGGCGTGCCTTCTCATTCGTCACAGAGACCCTGTCGCATTTGACAGCGGATCTCACACCACGACAGGGCAAAACAGGCGCCCGGCTGCTGGCTTCGATAAAACTATTGTATCGATTTGAATCGTTAAGCAGAAGACAAAGTACCAATTGTTCACTGTTGGATATAAATACAATTCCATTGACATTAGTATGTTGTTTCTTAAATACCAGTAGTAAAAGATGTACCTACTAAGTTTCTTCAAGTGACTTGTATCTCAGTGCTATAAGCGCGCGTTTACGGAGTACGCACATCCTCTGCATGGCGCCGAAAGTGGATCAAGGGTCCCGCGATTTTGCGACACTCGTCACCGCCAAAAATTTCCAGTCCAGTAGATTCTGACTTCGCATCGCCTGCAAGCTTAGAATTAGACGGATTCAATCAGCGCCTGCAATTTACAAATATCGAACCATGGCGCCCCCCGTCGATCCCCATCATGCGACTGACGTGTCAGACGAAGAAGTCCTGTCTGACGCCGCCTCATCTTCTGACGAGTCCGATTACCTCGACAGTGCTGGATCTCGAAAGCGCCGGAGGACCGCAGAGGTACCCCACGATGAAAGTGACAAAATTGAAGATGACGACGACGAAGAAGACGAGGAGTTGAAGAGAGTTCTCTCTACAATCAAGGCGCCTTCTCGAATCAAGCGAGCTTCTCAAAATGACCAGAAGGAGGCTCAAGTTAAGCCTGTGACTGCCCCCAAGACCTCCATCCAAGCTCCTACCGACCCAAACACCACCTTCTCCTCGCTCAATGTTCGACCATGGCTGGTACAGTCGCTAGGAAACATGGCCATCAAGCGCCCTACAGGAATTCAGAAGGGATGTATCCCTGAGATCTTGAAAGGAAGAGACTGCATTGGTGGTAGTCGAACAGGTTCCGGCAAAACAGTTGCGTTCGCCGTGCCTATTCTGCAGAAATGGTCGGAGGACCCTACTGCCATCTTCGCCATCGTCTTGACACCGACCAGAGAATTGGCGCTCCAGATTTTCGAGCAGTTCAAGGCCATCTCTTCTCCACAAAGTCTCAAGGCAATCCTGGTGATAGGAGGTTCCGATATGCGCACGCAGGCGATCGAGATTGGAAAGCGACCCCATGTGATAATCGCGACTCCAGGTCGTCTGGCCGACCATATTCGAACTTCCGGAGAAGACACCATCTGCGGATTGAGGAGAGTCAGATATGTGGTTCTCGATGAAGCTGACAGACTTCTCAATGCCACTGGGCCTGGCAGCATGCTCCCTGATGTGGAAGAATGCCTCTCAGTTCTGCCCCCGGCCACAGAGCGACAGACACTCCTTTTTACTGCCACCATTACCCCAGAGGTCCGCGCCTTGAAGGACATGCCTATCAAACCAGGCAAGCAGCCAGTATTTGTTTGCGAGGTTGATACGCAGTCGCTGGCCATCCCTGCAACATTGAAACATATGTATCTAAAGGTGCCCGTCACTCACAAGGAGCACTACCTGCACATGTTCCTACTCACCGAAGAAAACGTCGACAAGACCGTCATCCTTTTCTGCAATCGAACATCAACCGCCGACTACCTCCACCATCTACTCCGAATGCTGGAGCACAGAGTTACCTCTCTGCACTCCAAACTTCCACAAAGGCAACGAATTGACAACCTGGGTCGTTTCCGCGCTTCAGCGGCCCGCATCCTTGTAGCGACCGACGTTGCCGCCCGTGGTCTTGATATCCCCGAGGTCAGCCTAGTCATCAACTACGATCTTCCCCGCGACCCTGATGACTACATCCACCGTGTCGGTCGTACCGCCCGTGCGGGACGTAAGGGTGAGGCCGTCAGTTTTGTGGGACAGCGTGACGTGGAGTTGGCCCTGATGATCGAGAAGCGTGTTGGCCGTGACATGGAGACCTGGGAGGAGGAGGGCGTCAACCTCGAGACTCGTGTGGTTCGCGATGCGCTCAAGATTGTGTCGGAGAAGAAGCGCGAGGCTCTCCTGGAGATGGAGGAAGGAAGGGAAGTTGGTGGCAAGCGAAAGCGCACCAAGCAAAAGTTGCGAGCGGAATAGATTATTGGGATATAAGGAAATTAGAGATAGAGAAAAGCGTCTACTTCTTTTTAATACTGTTTACATTATGCTGATATTGATTGTCGTGAGTTGCTTATCCAATTCGCTACACCAGCACTAGCCAACAACCTAAACACATACTAAAACCACCACCAAAAAGTCAACCAAACTTCCTATTCCTAGTTAAAACATATATGCTTTCTCGTCAAAAAGGAGGCATGGCCTGAGCTATGGGCAAAAAAAGTAAATGGTGCCCCTAGCGAGGATTGAACTCGCGACCTCAGCATACCTCCATGTTGTATTGGACATATAAGAGCTGCGTGATAAACCACTACACCATAGGGGCTGTTGGCCGAGGGTCTAAAAACTCGGTATATAAGCGGCGTGCAACGTTCGGGCATGAAGACGGATCTCAAGCTCATTTGGACAAGATTACTCTTAAACAAGAGAAGGATTCCAGTTCTGTTTCTTTTGATATTTAATGTTATTATTTCTCTTACTAGAGGTTGTGTGCCAGGCTGTAGCTTAGTCCCTGCCTCTATTTCGATGTCGTTAGTGTTGCTCGTTCTCCATTAAGCCTACATACTGATAGATAGGTAATACTATATGGAGACCAATACTGAGCTACATGTTTTACGGATTCTTATTATGTATGGGGACTTGCAAAAGCCTTCTGTGAGTATTCTTTGGAGTGCGTACAGCCTACGGGTACTTGACTGTTGATTACAACCCGTGCGTCCAATTATGTAGACTAAGACAAGAGGTTAGTAAGGTAAGAAACCTGTCCCCGTGTCCTCTTTGTATACTGTGGTCCTATTTGTATGGTCTATGGTCAGTTTCTTATACGCAAGGTTTTCTTGGTTACTGAGACCAGACTGAGTAGATTATAGTCACAGTTTCTACCTTACCTCGAAACTAAACCAAGTATAAGTGTTTCATATCTATACACGTAAGAAGGTTATAAACTTAGCATCTATCTCATAGTCGGATTTCCAATCTCAGTTCCATTTTGATCAGTGTTAACAACCACTGATCATATCCCATGGACCGTTATTAATGCCATGTGCTTCCTATCAATTGATAACGAACTCATACCCAAGTCAATAATAACTCCGAACGCTTCAATGGAGCTGATGACTCTTTTCCTTTCGAAGTAACGAAAGCGTACGTCTCTTCTAGAGCACAATCCTCCAATTGATAATCGATGAGGCCCCAGATAAGCAATCGGTAAGCACATGTATCTTGATCACAAACAAAATAGCTCTCGTCTGGTAACTATCGGGTTATCAATCATTACCGTAGCATAGTAAACTTCAGACTAATCCTTATACCACAGATGTTGGGGGTAGTAAAAGATACGCGTAGCATTACGCTCAGACATATCTTACCACATACCTCGCCAACATATTCTGAGCTACACTTATATCTTTGGCGGCTGCCTGTCTACATTGACAGGAAGTCCCCGTTTGAAAAGTTTTATTTTGGCTGGGGTATATAGCTAGTAGTTAGAGGAGTTCCATATGAGCAGTCTGCTGGTCTTACACGTCTGTGTACTGTGTAACTGGGTTGTCCATCAACCATAACAGGAATTACAAACATGGCTTCATCTCACTCACGAAACACTGGCGCTTTTTATTTGTTATAAGTCCTTGTGAAGCATTATACTTGCATAGCCACGTAACTCTTTGTGGGTTCGTGATTATAAGCCAGCTGAGTAACAGTTTTTGTTATCCAAGCACATTTAATAGAAAATGCCATCGCCAAGCCAATCAACCTTGCCAGACAATCATAAATACAACTGATCATTAATCATAAGAGTGAGATAATCACAAAGGTCGTCTCTACGGAGTCATCGGCTCAGTCATATGTCCACATCATGTTATGTGAATCTGCCTAACCTATAGTCCAGTCGCTGAACTTTCGGTAAATGCACAAACATAGATGGATGTGCTTGACGTATCGTGTGTTATCGATATAAATAATTACTAAATTAGGTTCACCTATAGAGTCCGATATGGTGTGCTCACTACGCACTCCGGAACAAAGAGTATTTGATATCTTTGTTCCCTCATTGTCATGAACCTGGTCCGTATTAGAAGTTATAAGCCCTTGGGCTCGAGCTTGTGTTGGGTCTCAGCTAAGTATAATAATTAGCTATGTCTTACCCCAGCCGTAGATCTCTGCCGTCATCTTTGAGGTTACCAATGCTTCGGGAATGGCTACAAACAGAGCCGATGTCGCTCCCTGCTGTATATCCGATATTGCCGGCTGACCCTATTCGCGGACGGTTCAACTCGGAGTTTTGGAAAACTGCGAAACACCATTCAATGAATCGTTCAAACTTTTCTTCTTTCCATGGAGCGTGTTTCATGCGGAGCCGCCCAGCTGCGTCATGACGGCAACTTTAACGATCTGTAAAAAAGATCCAGTAGACTAACAAAACGTTTGGATCGGAAAATTCGTTGATCAACGCATACCCTGAAGTGACGTAGATCAGGACGGAAGCCAAGACAAGCCAGATGGCGAAGGGGTCGAATCGAATTGCCTCCCGCGATTACTGCGCTTTGAGGCGAGGTATGTGATCGATAGCAGATCTCTTACCAGCTCAGGCAAAATACAGCGCGTGGCATTGTCGCTGACGACGTATATGTGGCGTTGTGCCTGACACGAGAGCACCGATGCTGCAGAGATTGTTTGCAATTATGAATTAATGCGGGCGATTTGGCTCGAGCATTCACGTCATGGAACTCAAATAACTGGATACGAATTCGATTAGATCGAGTTGAGTTTTGGGTAAGGACCGTAAAAAATGGTTCAAGTCATCTTGTTGAAGATGAAACTGAGCGATGAGACGCCATTAAATCAAAGCATCAACGACGTCAACAGAACGGCTTTTGCGGACGGATCCCTCGGTTCTAGGATTTAAGCACTTTTTGAGATGCTGTACGGAATTGGAGGTTCCTTGCCTACGATTAGCCTCGCTTCCCCACGTTCGCGGCAGATCGGCTGTTACGGACTCCGTGATGCACCTTGATCGTTGTGAGCCGTGACTCTCTCCCTTCTCCCGCTGACCTAATGGGTGTGTGGGAACAGTTCGGGTCGGCATGCTTCGTGGGTCCGAAAGCGAAAATGTCCACTAGGAAGGTTCAGTCACAAGACAGGACAAGAAGCTTTTTCAGTTGCGGACATTTACCATGCGCAAGAGTGCACAGAATGATTTAAGAACTGTAATAAAAAATTATGTTCTGAAATGTTTTGCTTTCGGAGTGCGTGTTATTATTTCATGAAAAGCTATGTTCATTTACAGGGCAGAAAACAATGGAGTTGCATGGTACCTCGCAGAAGATGCTCATTCAGCACAAATTCTTAATCGGATTAGGAATCAAGCAGAATAGGTAGACAGAGACAGATTTGCGAGGCCCGCAGTGATAACGACACACCTGCGGGGCCTCCTTCGGCCGAGAAAATGACTGACAAAGCAGATTTAAGGGACCATCCGCTAAAAAAGCCAAATCCGGCAACGCCAAAGTCCATTAACACCGGCCTGTTCCTGACTGCCCGCCCGAGCTTGAGTCTGAGGCTAGGCAGTGCTGTAATTTGTAGCGGGCGCCAGTAAACGGCTTGTTGAAATAGAGGTGAGGAATAAGGATGAAGACAGGCCTGAGCCTTCATCCCAACAATCACATTCGCCAATCTCCGCCATTTCTAATCCTGAGACGCTGACTGTGTTGCTGGCAACCTTAACCAGACCAGCGGTCAATGGTTCGCACGAATCCGAAAGAGAGCACAGTCTGCGCTGCGCCTTGTGTGATTTACTACGTATAGCCATTGTGGCATATCATCTTGTGGCAGTTGTGTCACATCCACTTGTAAATTGTGTTACTCTTCGCGGACTTTAGCTAGTGTTAAACCCCTTCGAGTGTGTGTTACGATGCCTTCTGTGGCTTGATGAGTCAAAATACATCAAATCATTCAGACCAGGATTCACATGCAGAGAAGATGCAGCTTCCATCGGTCGAAGCCGAGATTCGTCGTGTAGAGAGCTGTTACTCAATCGTCGTGCATTGCATCCATGGCTGGAAGTTCCAGTAGAACACAAATCGAACAAAGTCCGCAACCAATGAACGACATGTCGTCCAGGGAAATGCCCGACGACTCACAAGCCATCAAAGACCCATTCACATGGTATCGATTCGAGTACCGCCGAGCTGGCCGTTCTGATTAGCGAGGTACCGTACGACCCATCGTGGAGCCTTCTCTCGGCGATGGATGCGAAAAAAAAGAACGAAAAATATTTCTAGAAAAAAGCGGAGTTTGCAGTGACTCCTTGTCAATCCCGTATTTGGACCGGCGGACAGTCACGGTGGGAATCGGTGAGCTCGGCAATGGATCAATACAGCGCGCGGGCTGCCCCGGCAATAACGTGGCTTTTGCTCAAGAGGCTCAAAGGTCGGCATCATCTTGAACCGATTGACAGGCCGTGTAGCCGAGTCGGTTGCAATGGAAGATGGAGATTGGAGACTTTGATTGAGCGAATATTGACTCCCTCACGGGTATTCGGATTTGATGTAAGACGTGTGCTGAGTTTAGACGAGAAATGTTACGCGTGTATCACAGGGGGTGAGAATTAGACATCCATATTGATGTCAAGCATGCTTTGTCAATTGATGCCTGGAAACTAGCAGTAAGAGATGCCTGATTATCGAGAATAGGCAATCGTATTAGACAAATGTCCCAGCAGCGCAATCGCAACATGATTCCTGAAACGACGCAAGCGGAATTAGGTTGACGAATAAACTACAGGCTACAGCGAAGCTGGCTTACGCGATAGACAAGCTCGCTATCGTTAAGGCTGAGGACGATGATGATGACGATTGGCGAGCTATCGGCTCTCATTGGCTCGTATACAACGTATTTCGGTGTTTAACTCCAAACCCGACATGCATGGATTATGAATGGCGGCCGACTCGAGCTCAGCCCTACAATAGGTAATCGATGCGACTGATAATCAAAAGACGTGGCCCTGGCTGTAACTGGTGTGGACACTATCAATCCCTCGGTCTCGCTTGGCCTGGGTTTTGGAATAACCTTCCGCTATAATGCCCCTTTTGTAAGGTTGGCCTGCCATTCTCCCCTTACCGCTTACTTTTAGGTTAGCAGATGACAAGCGAATGGGGGCTGAGTTGGGCCTCAGGGTACACGATGCGAAAGCGGGATACGCAATGCGCAATGCGGAGCAATTAATCGACCGCGCGGTGTGAAACTGCTAGCTGCCCTACCTTGAGGGTGAAAGAGTAAAGGGGAAGGATGCATCACGAGGTTTTGCTTTGGCGGACAAGCGCCATTCATTCTTCAGTGGTGGAGTTTGAGTATGTTAAGGTATTGATAAGCGTTATGGTTAAGCGTTGAGATGTGCCGACCGTTCTAACGTACGTGCTAGACGTGTCGGGGAGTAATTAAATTGTGAACCTTTACAGAGTATAGAGGGAGAACTTGATAACATTGAATGGGTCATCCTTATTGTCATCGTGACGGGAGCTCAACAAGGGCTTGGGGGTGGATGGCACGGGATGCAGGGCAATGTCTTGGATCAGAGGAGTTAAGGGATGCGTGGAGATGGAGATAATCAACCTCCGTGTGGTGTTGCTGAGCCAGTATCAGAGTGTCGGGAAAAGAGTCACACCTTGAGCTCTACCTTATCCCAACTAGGAAAACCATTCACGGCATCAGAAAGAGTCACAATGATCGTCGACAGGGCGCAACAGAAGATTAAGGTTCGTTGCTGTTGCTGAGAAATACAGCACCTACTGGCCCTATTAGAAACCGTGGAGGCTTTCTGGAGAGCGAACTTGCGGGCTTGGAAACCCCCGACCACGCTCGGATTTGTCGTGCTTCCTTGGAGCGGAGCTAAGCGGACATGGACAGATTAACGATGGATGCTGGTAGGCTGGACTCTGGAGCAACGCTAATAAGGCACCAGGTTTCTAATCAAGCACGCATCTCGCTGACTGACCAAGTCTGACCTTGAAACCCAGGCTGAGATTATGAATCATCTATCCATATGCAGTACGCCAGCCATGTGTGAGATTGCGAATTGATGCGTGCGCTTTGCTTATTGTACAACGCAGCATTTGTTGATTTGAGTTGATGCTGAGATGAGAAACTAGAGAAATTGCGTTATTGAATTGACTGGCTGAAGCCGTTAAACTAATCGTTGATGCTGGAGTGCCGGTGAGGTAGCTATTGGGAGATGGAACACTCGGGTAGTCACTACGACGACAACTGTGATAGCAGCAGCGACAGCAGTTAAACATCATCCATGGAAGAACCCAGGGCAAAGCAAAGTTCCGTGAGCCCCGTTCAGGTACAGATCTAGTCAGAGATACATGCTCTGACCCTGTGTTTGCGGCCTGAAAGAAAGGTACCCAGCCTCAACAATTGACATGGGCCTCTCACCTCTTTTTTATTCGGGGCCGCGGCCACGGACATGTTTCGCTACCGTGAAAGACGTGTTCAGTGCTCAGTGTTCACTTCTCACTGGCCAGTGGCCATGTGTAAATCGAGTCAATCGACATGCCGTTAGAGCCTTTTGGGCGGGTCCCTTACCTAACTACCCCCCTGGAAAGACACATTCGCTGCATCTGCATCTCTAAGCTTTCGCGGCTTCGCGGTCTCTAAGAGTCATCCGCTTGCACACACCCCATCCGACCCTTGTCAATCTCCCATCACTAAGCCACTCGCACTCGCACACACACACCCCCCTTCTCGTCGTTATGGACATTTCTCGCACTCCTCGGGTCCGCGTGCGCAAAGTCCGCCAAGTTAGTAGCGGCGTGTCGGGCATAACCCATAATCCCATGGCACACCCGGTGAGCGTAAGACAGACAACACGAAAAGTCCGTAATGGATCAACTCGAGTTAAAAGATTCGGATCCCCCCCGTTCCAAGATCCGATTCTTCACTTCCAAAACAGCTTCAATCAGATAATACAACAACAACCAACTCCTCAAGCAATCAATCAAAGCTTCTTTTACATCTGCTACATTGACTCTTTAGTCTCTTATCACACAATCTCACAAGTCATTGTCACCACCGACTATCCCTGCCGCTAATTCAAGCCTGCCGCAATCGGGATCTGCTGCCTTGACTCATCACAACATTAACCGACAATATACATATACATAGGACAAAGACCCCTACCAGTCTAGATCCTCTCTTCAACATGTCGACCACAACAACAACCATCACCTCCACTCAAAGGCCAACTGCCACCAAGACCTCTTCACTCCGCCAGTCAACTCTCAAGAAGAACATGTCTATCACACAAACTTACTACCTCGCCCACAAGGCTCGGGCTAAGCTCTCCCGCGAGGCTGCCCAGTCCGATCACGACCTCCGCCTGCTTGTCGGACACGCCAACCTCCTCGACTCTTTGATGCTTGAGCTTGCCGACGCCGAGCGAGAACAGGAGCGATGGTTCAACCAATCCGTCCGAGGAGCTACCACACCCCAGGCTGAGCGACGAGTCCAATGGGCTGATAACGTTGTCGAGGAGGAGGACGAGGAGGACGAGGAGGATTACGACTCCGACTCTTCAGCTTCTGACGACTACGATTCTGAGGATGAGGATGTTGAGATGATCAACACCCCTTCTCTTCCCGCCAAGGCCATGAGCCCCCGAATCACTCACATCGAACTCGAAGACGATATGGAGGAGGATGACCTCGAGGAGGACTACGCCCAGCTCGAGCTTGTCCGAACACCATCTCACTCCAACTCTCCTCCTGAGCTTGTCGACCACGACTCAGATTCATCTGACGACGACTCAATGCCACCATCGCCCCCTCAGTCCATCCTCGCCTTTGACGAGAAGGACGTCAAGGAACAGTCACAACAAGAACAAGAATCCAACTCTCTCTACGCTGAGGAGTATTACCTGCCAGCCCGAAACCCCGCGAGGCTGGTGTCGGCCATCTCGGTCTACTAAGCAGGACTCCTCCAAACTATTGATGAATTGTGATTTTTACTAGCGACTTGTTTCAGCGATGGGCGGCATTGCATGGCGTTTACCATTATACAAAGGGATACCACACGGGATTTTGGATACAGCAAAAAGCATTTACATTTTCTTATCATCTTACAAAGGATACGACTATTACGGATTTTCATTGTGTTACTACAGCAAAGAAAGATTTCTCTCACCACTCTTCGAAGAAACAAAGACGGAACTATATTATCAGGATATGGGAACTGGATAACAGGATGATTGGGTGCCGCTCCCGATATTGGGTTGAGTGGCAGCCTTTGACAGGCAATCCCCCAATCAAAGTAGATAGCTCACCAAAGAGGCTCAATAGGAGCCGAAAAAACAAATAACAAAACATTCAAAAACTATCATATCATTCATTCTTCTCATTGCATCTTGTGAATCATAATCATATGCCTCGGTCAGCAGCCGGCTATCTCAGTGTAGCCGGCATGTACGACAATCTCGCCGGCCGATTCCTTATCAACGGCAAAAAAAGCGTGATATCGGGAATCGGGCTTGAGGCGTGGCCGATCGGGGGGTTTCTGGACCAACAGCAACAGGCGGCGCCCGTGAGGCTCGGAGTCAAGGGCGTAAAAAGCGGTGCGGAAATCTTGGCACTTCCACTTCCCTTCTACGCCAACCCCTGCATTTCTCACACCCCCTTTCCTTTCTCTCTTTTTCTTCTTCGATTTGTTGGTGAATGATTCATCAGCGAGGCCCGCCCTTGACGTCCCACCCATCACGGTGTGGGCATGACCCAATCACGACTCGAGTACCGTACACATTCGGGGGGCGTGCCTTAACGGTCGGACTTTAGCTGTGGTGTTTTGTGGTTTTGTCAGACTCAGCGGAGACACAAGCCAAATCTTTCTTCTTATTCATGTGCGCTTGTGTCAGCGGCAAGAAAGGCACGTTTTTTGACAAATCCATCATGACATGACAACCACAATACAAAAACCTCCCAGCGCAGTTTCGGAGCTTGGTAAGCCCCGATGGCTGGGCGTCGTCAACGTCAACGTCAACGCCAGGGCGCAAAAGCATGGCTATGGACCATGACAGTGAAAAAGAAAACGCCAATGTTAGTAATTTACGAACGGCGAATCCGCACAGTCATTTCAACCCGTTCGCCCTTTCTCTCACGCCCTTGACCACAAAAAAGAGTTGGGCTTGGCAGAAGAAATAATCAGAACATCCCTGGAGGAGTCACCCAATGCTCAATTTTTGCATTTTGCAGCTTCTTTTCTGCCCTGGATCTTCCACTAGTTTTTTCTTTCTTTCTTTTCTTCTCCACCCATCGAGTCCGGCGATGGGGCCATGGATCTAAAGATTTCCAAAGTTCCACAGTTTCTTCTTTGAAGAGGCTGAAAAAATTCAAACTTGCACGTCAACAGGTCGTGAAAAAACCAGGATAGGCCCGGCTTCCATCATGACTTGACTCCGCTTTGCACCCCCTTCACTTTCTTAATATGTGCAAACTTTCCATTCTGACGGGTCGGCACTGGAATTGAATTGTCAGAGACTCCATTGTTTAGGCAGAGTCAGCGCGCCCAATATGGATGCTCCTGCGAGAAGCATCACGATGAAGTGGGATCTGATCAAGAAGGGACGTGAATTTTCTTTTCTTTTCTTTTGTTCCCTGGAAATCATTGAACACGTCTCCCGGTCGCCCCAATCCCTTCATCCACTAAGAGTTTCTTGTTGCCATCTTGGCTCTTTTTTAGCCACAGGCCTACAGGCCTTCCGGGCCCCCGTAATCTCAGGTACATGCCATTCACCATCGCCATCACCATCACCATGCAAGGGCACAGGGCGTATCCCGTTGAAAGCTGAACTGACCGCTTCCGGGTCGCTCACCGATGGCTGACCTGGCAGTCTGCAAGCCAGCGAAACAGCCAGCGTGCACAGAAGGTAAACGTTTAGTAGCTCGTTGACTATGCACCTGGGACCTAGTACAGAGTAGGCCTGTATGTAGGTGAGCCCAGGTGGGCAAAACGAGCCTCACCCCAGCTAGCCCTCCCCCTTAGATGGCTTGATAGAGGCGGTAAAGGAGAAACCATCCGCTTCATGCTTAAGCGATTATCATGCACGGTTTCTCAACAATCACAATATCCTTTTTTTGATGAAAGAGGAGTGCTGTTTTTCGTGTTCGGAAGCATAGGCCCGTTGAGCTAAAAGTAGATCTCTTGGAAGGGGTTGGAGAACTGGGGTTTGGCTAGGTGATCTCGGATCATGAGATTGATAAGGCCAGATGCACCCCTGTTCGCTGTTATCGCTTCACTACGCATACGCGTATGCCCCTTTGCATCGTATGCAGATGTAAGAATCGAACGTATGAAAGACGAGAACTCGTAACATACGCGCAAGCCCTAGGAGTACGGAGTAAATATAATACAATGCCTTATTGCCCGCGTTGTATTTTCATGGGGCTATGTTGCGCGTTCTCTGTATCAAATCTGTAACTTCTCCATATTGCGCAAGCCCTTCTCCATCAAAACCCGCTCCCTTATCGATAGAATCGGCACAAGGGGAGGACTACGGGACCCCGGCATTGTATCGGCCGGCCTTGGTCGGTCACAGGACCTGAAAATGCCCCACACTCTTCCGCAATCCCTTCCGAGCAAACCCGGCCCGGAAATCGGACACCAGGAACAGGAAACACGCACACAGGCCACCTGATCTGGTGCTTCTCATTGGCTTACTTGTTGCCGGGGTGCAAGTCGTGGGGGGAGTTGAAGATGAGTCTGGGGAAAGAGGCCTGTGTCACCGATGGCCTCGGTAGAGAGAGAGAGAGAGGTCCTACCATCGGTAGTAGACTTGTTGATAAGCCTTTTCTTAGTTCACGGTGCCGTTGATGTCGTAGTTCGTAACGCTGAGTAGACGGGGGGTCTGCTGAGCACTGTTGCACACTCTATTCTCAAGGCCCTTCACAGTGGTAATCCCCCAGGGTGAGCTGCTGACCTCGGCACACACGACTCAGACTACTCAGTGATAAGACGGCGGGCTCAGGATAAGACCTACTGGGTAGCGGGTTATCTTTCTCCTCTTTGTTATCAAGCGGCACTCATGCTATAATGCGGAGGATCGTCTAAGCATTATCTCTTGGCTGTTTCATGCGCTGATCTTGTCTTGATCTTATGCTCCTATGGCCAGAATAGTGACAGCTCCATCCTTTCAGTCGCGGACGCTGACCGCCGCTCTAAACGCGATATTGATTGTGGTGTCTATAACACACTCATTGTCCACTACATAGCCTGGTGATCCGAGGCCTGTCACGGGCTAATAAACTCGGAAATAACCAGGAATAAGCAGTAACGACTCCTTCGCCTAGTATGCGTAAGCTTCGGAGTTTTGGTGATCAGAATGCCGATCCATCTATGTCGTGCTGGTTGTTAATCCTCTCGGCTCGTAGAGTGGGAATTGCGGAAGTCCGAAGTCCGCGATAACTAGTAAACTTAGAATTCAACTGTAGCGCACGGGCCATCACGTTTCGGTACGTCATTGTGTCAGTTTTCGCACATCAATTCACCAGTCACCAGCGTATAACAAGTTGCGCTCTATAATAAAAACAGCGCATTCACCACAATGCGACTTATCCCGAGGCGAGCCCTTGCTCACGATCTTTCTTCGGGCTTCATATGCCGCAGCTTCCGGTCTCAAAGGTGCCAGTTTGCGACTTCGCTCTGTCCTCCTGCGCCGCCCGCCTCGGGACTCACCTCATTGACCTCACGACGACTCATAGCCATTGCCGGACCCGATGCGGCCAAGTTTCTGCAGGGGATTGTGACGGCCAGCGTGACCACTAAGGATGGATCGCCGAGGAGTGATGGGTTTTATGCTGCTTTCTTGACTGCGACTGGCAGAGTACTCTACGATGTCTTCGTTTATCCCAACCATAATGCGTCGGGAGCTTCGGCTGAGGAGCCGGGGTATCTGATTGAGGTCGACACGGAGCACGCGCAGACGTTGGCAAAGCACATCAAACGTTACAAGCTTAGAGCAAAGCTAACAGTGCGCTTATTGGGAGAAGATGAAGCGACCGTTTGGCATGCTTGGGATGACTCTAATACTGTCGACTGGAACTCAATCGTCAAGTCGACAAACGTAGCTCTCCAGGACCCACGAGCACCTGGCCTGGGATATCGGGTCTTGCAACTGGACCAAAAGGCTCCCCAGATCGATATTGAGCAGAGTACCGAAGATGCTTACACAATACGGCGGTATCTTAATGGTGTACCTGAAGGCCAAGATGAAATCTCCCGCGAGCACGCTCTTCCACAGGAAACAAACATGGATATCATGAACGGGATTGATTACCACAAAGGCTGCTACGTTGGCCAAGAACTTACAATCCGCACAAGACATCGCGGCGTCGTCCGCAAGCGCATTCTGCCCTGCGTCGTCTACGAAAAGGAGCACGCGCCGCCAACAGCACTACAGTACCACGCCGACGGCGCAGCTTCTTCTCTCGAGAGTGTAACGGCGGACATGATACCCCGGGACACAAGCATCGGGCGCTTTGAGAAGCGCGGCCGCAGCGCGGGCAAGTGGCTCAAGGGAGTGGGCAACATTGGACTCGGGCTGTGTCGCCTGGAGATCATGACTGATATAACGCTGCCGGGGGATGCAGCGTCGGGGGCTTTCAACCCCGAGGATGAGTTCGTGCTGGATTGGGGTGAGGAGGAGACTCGGAATAGAGTCAAAGTCAAGGCTTTTGTGCCGGATTGGTTGAGAAAAGGCTTGAATGCTGAGAACCGACGATGAGAGCGGCAGTCATGAATATACTGTAAGATATGTGTTCAACATGCCCCGGACAAGAAGAAGATATGTGAATATACCCAAACTTCTGAGTACATACCTATTATATGTACGTTACCATTGAAACCTCTGGCTCTGAGATTAAGACTCTTTGAGTCCAGGTAGCAGGCGCTTCGAGAAGAGCAACCCTCAGGATCTGGTAGTATGCCCATAGTCTCACAGCAGCAGGACCAACAGGCCTGGTACTACAATCGCCTGATATCACCGCTGTTGTAAAACACAGCCATTAAGCCCTTGTTGTAGTATCATCTTGTAGGCTGACTTCCTAGGCATCTTAACGCAGAGAATGTAGCCCTAGGACATTTGTTTAACCTTCACAAACTACAGACATGGCGCAAGCCAGCACAGCCCGTTCGCAGTTAACTGGAATTCTCGGACTGGAAGGTCGCCACACCTTCAGATATGCAGCTTATTTTTTCGTTTGTAGTCGCTGTGGCTGTGCTGTGAACATTCCGAATAGAGTTGAAGCTGAACGAACACCTCGAATTGCTGACCAACGGGAGCAAGGATCTAGACTATATCAACCATTTAGAAGGCTTGCCGTGAGCAACGGACATTAGTTAAGTTTAGTTGTCTTACATACATGAAATAACTTCAAGAGACTCTTTCAAAGGCAAGGGTCGATCGCATAGACGAATTGTAATGAAAATCTTAATAGACTCTCCTATATTAACACGAACCAGTATCGTATTTCTTGGGCAATGTCGTTCTGTCATTCATTCTCCTTACGAAATACAATACTTATATACTGTAGTGTGGAGATGTTAATTCAACCCACTCCATGCGATGTGTCGCTTAATTGGAGCTCAATACATCGCTACATTCTCCCCCATGCAGGCAGTAAGCAAAAGGCTTGTAGGAGCCTTTGTAACACGGGGCTGAGATCAACGCCGCCATTCGCGGGCTCCGAAGGCAAATTTGTTCATCTTCACGTCTCTTTTATCCAATTGACTATCGTAGAAGAAGAATTAAAGACCGCGAACGCTGTGATTGAGCCTTGGATCGTCATTCTGAAAGTGGTGTAATCTCGCAAGCCTCAGCCCTGTCGTTGAGGCCAGGGGATAGTCTTGGCTTGTCGCTTAATTTATCTTAAAGATGGCAAAGTCTTTGCGAGCTGACATTTGGCGCCTCTGAGATGCATTTGTGATCTTTAGCGTTGCTTTATCTCTCTATTGCCTATTCTTTTTGTATTTATTTTTTCTGTCCTTGATGGTTTATTAGGCTGTCATTATTGAACCTCGTGTGATAACCTTGGCATCACAAATATCACGTCTCACCCCTACTAGGCGTTCGCACGCAACCTTCAAACCCTTAATCTCTATAACAATGAGTTCAGAAAACGTCCCCAAGACAATCAAACGGTTGATCGCTTGCTGTGATGGCACCTGGATGGATAGTGACAACGGTTACGAAGAGCCTGGGCTGCTAAGAAAAGAGGGCAGTCTCCAAATACCATCCAATGTCACCCGCATTTCCCGCTGCTTTGAGAAGAGATGCAGTGATGGTAAACTTCAGGTTGTCAACTACGAGTCGGGCGTTGGGACGGGCAGTAATGTGCTGGACAGTATCACTGGTGGCGCCTTTGGTCAGGGTCTTGCAGAGGTTTGTTTAAGACAGGAGGTGAAGATGGTCGTTGTTCATTGATTAACCTTTCTGACAGAGAATGCGGGAAACATATTCTTTCCTGTGTGCAAACTATATGGATGGTGATGAAATCATTCTCGTTGGCTTCTCAAGAGGCGCCTTTACAGTCCGTTCCGTGGCTGGAATGATCGGTGCTTTGGGTCTTCTTACCCGCGAGGGCGTTGAGTTCTTCTATCCTATCTTCAAGGATATGCAGCACTGGATGGATGACGATTATGACGATCCGTTCCCTAATATCCCGTTTCCTGATAAGCCCAAAGGAAAAAACGCTGCCGAAGAGTACAGAGCTCGCTTGGAGCAGCTCGGTTTCACCCGCGTGAGACGCGAACAAGGACCGGGCGATATTATCACGATTAAAGCGGTAGGCGTATGGGATACTGTGGGCAGTCTTGGAATTCCTCGGATTGCGTGGTTGGACAAACTAGGAATTCGTGCCGACAACGATGAATAAGTCTCCCCTTTCTATATCAAAGACATCGAGTTGCTAACTAGCTTTGTACGTTCAAGTGGCATGACACAAACTTGTCAGATAGAATAGAGCATGCTTTCCAGGCGCTGGCACTGGATGAAACACGTCCGCCCTTTACGCCAGCAGTTTGGGAGAGACTCCCCGAGAACAGATACACGACGGATCTGAGGCAGGTCTGGTTCCCTGGTAACCATGGGAATTGTGGTGGTGGATGGGAGGACCAAGGAATGTCCAATATTACACTTGCCTGTGAGTTTCGACTGGTTTCATCACATCATTGCTGTATAGTCTACAACGTACTGACTTACAAAGGGATGATGGACCAACTGGCCTCCATCGGTATTGAATTCGACTTGCCTTCTCTTGAGCGATGCTTCTTCCAAAACATGAAGTTTTACCACAAAGTCCCCTCGAAACTCAGCATCAAGTCGAGAAAGAAGAACAAGGAGAAGAAATTGCGCCAATGGGCAATAAACCCGATCTACGAGAAAAACCGCCCGTTCAGACCCTGGGGACTGGGAGCTATAAGCAAAGCGCCAGGGCTTCTCTACAAACTCTCCGGTCAGACAGTTCGCACACCAGGCCTGTACAGACCAACAGACCGCAAATCAAAATGCATTAAGTCACGATTCCTTCTCGACACCAATGAGCGTATACACAGCTCGGTGCGAATTCGACTCGCGTGCAAAGGTCTCAGTCTAAACGACGAGCACGTCTGGGACTGTCCGGCCTTGACCAGCAACTGGAAACTAAAGCGCACACGGGAGAAGTACAACGATCCTGTGCCATTTCATCCTGGCTGGTGTCCAGAGGGTGGGAGAGATAGCATAGGTCATCCTAATGACTGGAGCAAGGGCAGATGGATTTGGGAATACGTGGGTAGTGAGGGTGACGGCCCTGGAGACAAGAGGCAAAGAGTCATGGTTGAGGAGCCGCTGGGACCTTATGAGCGATTTTTGCTTAACTTGTCAGCTGGGTCACCGAATGTCTATCATTTTGCGGATACGATAGGATGAAGTGCTCTGCTTGGTGGTTGGGGTTGAGATTTGGTGTCGGTTGTAATTTGAAGGCGAGCTGGTTCAAGAGCTGAAGCATAGACTCTTCATATTTAAGGAAAACATACATTAATCTAGGAATAAATACAGGACGAGTGTTATTCAATCTTGATTATGGTCTCTTAATCGTTGTAATTGGGGTTTTAAGTCGGTTAAGCTATCCAATTAGTTCTTTTATATACGGTTCCATATTATCTTCACCTTTTTCTGATTGTCATTGAGCTGAAGAAAAGTCGCGGTGATAACCCGAGCAGATCTGATATAGGCTTTGTCAATTCCTTTCTTATGTCGAACAGTATTTCCACAGTTGTTATAGAGTTTCTGTGGAATTATCTGGAGTTTTATCGCCTAGTCACGTGCGGTCGTGATGCGACAAGAAGCTCAGTGCTTTCGCCAACCGCAACCGCAACTTAGAATCTTGACTTCTTTGCTTCCACCTCCAACCGTACGCTAGTAAACTACCACGTACGGTTCTCAACATGTCCGAATCGAAAGCCGCTGACCTGCTGCAATATGCGCAGGAATATGCCTCCAAAGATGAAGACCTTTACGATCTTCTTGGCGTCGATGCCCTCACACCCAAGGAAGAAATTCACCGCGCCTGGCGAAAGCGTTCACTAAAGTACCATCCCGACAAGGCAGGCGACAAATTCGATCCGGAGATATGGCAAAAGTTTGAGCGCGCCCGCGACATCCTGTCCGATCCTGGAGCGCGCGGCGCCTACGACGGTCTCATCAAGGCTGCACTGCTAAGAAAACAAGAGCGCGAGACTATGGATAAGCAGCGCAAAGCTTTTGTCGACGATCTCGAGGCGCGCGAAAACGCTTGGAAGTTTCAGAAAGAGGAGAAGGAGCAGCGGGAGAAGGATGAAATGGACAAGGAAAGGGCTCGGTTGATCGAACAGAAGCGCATGCGCGAGGAGGAGGAAAGGCGTCAGGCTGCTGCTGCGCAGGAGGTCGAAGATCTTGCCGAGGCGAAACGACGTCTCAAAGAAAAGAAGGAGAAGAAGAAACAGGATGAGGCGAGGGAGAAGTTTCTGCGCAAGTCGCGGAAGGCAGCAGAAGCTCCTGTTCCTGAAGGCAAGCCAGCACCTGGGCCTCTCAACGGCGTCATGAACGTACCAGGTGACTACCCTGTGGATTTTGGCACAGAACAAAAGCACTACTGGGAGCTGGTTTGCGATAAGCTGCATGCGGTCCAGGAAGTCAGGAATCTACAGCAAAACAAGGAGGCTACCCCGGAAGACTATCAGCAAGCGGAGCAAGGCCTGCTGCAAGCAAAAACAAGAATATACCAGGCTGAAGTGCGGTTTGCGGAACAGGCGTCTGTATCATGATACAAGATTTCACAGGGAAAAAGGATACGGAGTTAGGTCGGTAGCATTGTCTATACGTCTGGAAGGCGTTTTTATCTTGAGCTAATACCAAGCCTTTAGAATCATGATTCACTATCAAGTCGCAGTATCTTGACGGCGTTCATTCCCATGACATTTTTGAAATCCGCTGTGTCTTCCCCCACCGCACGACCAACGGCCTCTGCGTTCAGGCTCACGCTCTCCCACTCGCCCTGCTCATCGCTTGTCAGAGGTGGGAAGAAGGGGTGATCGGTACCAAACATGAGCCTATCAGCACCGCTGGCTTGGATGGCTGCTTTGAGGCCAACCTCTGAGTAGATAACAGCGTCGAGATAGATCTGCTCCCGCAGCACTTCCCAGATTGTTCGACGGCCTTTGGCTAGCTTTCCTTCGCGGAGGAGTTGCCCATCATGCATGATGCAGCTTTCGATTCTGCCGGCGAGGAAAGGAAGGGTTCCGCCGCTGTGGGCGAGGATCATACGTAGGTCTGGGACTCTGTCAAAGACGCCTGCTAGGTACATCCTCGCCACGGCAATTGTCGTCTCCATGGGAAAGCCGAGAGCCAAGGGGAGAACATGGCCGTACTCGGCGCTCGCTCGAGGTCCCCAGACGTCATTCGGGAGACCATAGTGAGGGTGCAGGAAGATGGTCATATTTGTTTGGGCAAGGGCCTCAAAGATGGGTAGAAGATCAGGGTCGTCTAGGCCTTTGCCGAGCCCTGAGGTGCCCAGGATAACGCCCCGGCAGTACTTGAGTGTTTGGAGATGCTTTATAGAGGCGAGCACGGTTTCAAGAGCTGCTGTTAGAGGAAGCGTACCGAAGAAGAAGAGTCTTCCTGGGTGCTCCCCGCACATACGGGAGAACTCTTGATTAACAGACTCTGCTATATCGCCAGACTCGGAAGGACTCAAAAAGTCAAGCCATGGGTTCGCTAGGGAGATGACGGATATGTCAATCTTGTGCGTATCCATAAAGTGCACTTTCTGCGCAAGCGACGCATAATGCGATGTCAAAGGCCGTCCAGGTGGTTTTGCCTCAGGATTTTGTGTCGCTTCCTCCAAGGCTTTGACTTCGGCCTCGAGGAGAATGAGTCTGGGGTCGGAAGCCTGGGGGAACTTGCGAACAAGAGGGATATTGGAGCGGGATTCTAGAATGCGGATGTAAGAGGGAGGGTACATATGGGTGTGGATGTCAACCACGCGGGACGAAGAGGACGACATGGTGTTTTGGATGGGCGGTAAAGAAGCTGAATACTGTATAAGATTGAGGGTTGTAAATGGTATCTCACTAGTCCTTGGTGGACGAAGAAGCAGAACAAGGACACGACACCCTCATGTCATGTTATCAGATTATCGGACGGGACCAGCCGCAACGTAACGCAACGTTGCAGATCAACAGGTTTGTTTTCCCAAGTTGAGACAAAGACGCATCGGAAGTGCAACTTTACTTGCAGCAACGAGGAGTTGGTTGACCCCGCATGGAAGGCTGTTATCACTGCATAACCTAGTAACCTTGTGATACCGATCCGATACCTTATCAATTGAGGGGTTGGACGACGGGTAAACAGTAAACGGTAAAGGGTAAGCCTCAGTTGTGCTTGTCTAATGTCTAATCTGTGATATGTCGCCTTGTGTGTCAGCGGACTGTTCCGAGAGTTTGCAGCTATATATGTAGCTGGTAAATACCGAGGTTTTGCGTTGCTGACTTTCTCCCCATTCTGTGACCTTTACATATCCTATAACTTGATTACATTCCTTTGGGAATTGACCTCTAAATAAAGTGCCATCCTCTTAGTGTTGACGACAGTATGACTTCAGATCTAGCTGTGAGCAAAGAGGGTCTCTCTATTCCTGTAGGTAACTCTTGTGTATTGCAAGACTGCAACTCTTGGACTCACACCCACCAAGCTTATTGATTTCTCTCGCTTCCTCAACGGAACACCCTCAGAGCGCAACGACACTGCAAACGCCATTCTTCACGGCTTCAAAACCGCTGGCTTCATCTACCTCAAGAACCACCCCATATCCCCCAAAGACCTAAAACATGCCTTTGGTCTATCCGCGCGCTTCTTCAAGCAACCCGAAGAGGACAAGATGAAGGTCGTCTGGACTACTCCAGAGGCAAACAGAGGCTACTCTGCGCCTGGGCGCGAAAAGGTCAGCCAGCTCGTTGATATTAACGACGTGAAGAAAGTGCGTGAGGCGCTGCCGGACTTGAAAGAGAGTCTTGAGATTGGCCGTGAGGATGAACCGGGTCATCCAAATAGATGGCTGGAGGAAACGGGCGATCTTGTCGGATTCCGAAAGGATACGATTGGGTTCTTTGAGAAATGCCGACAGCTTCACGTGGAGGTTATGAAGGCTATTGCTGTTGGGATGGGTCTTGATGATGGGTTCTTCAACCCTTTTGTCGATATTGGAGATAATACGCTGCGACTACTGCATTATCCATCTGTGCAGTCTGACGTCTTCAAGATGAACCCGGGGACTGTCAGAGCTGGTGCTCATAGTGTAAGTCACACGCATCACAAGCGATCAAGTAGTTGACCATGCATCCTATTAGGACTACGGCTCGATCACGCTGCTCTTTCAGGATGCTCGCGGAGGACTACAAGTCCGAAGCCCAAGCGGCCAATTCGTCGACGCGACCCCCATCGAAGGCACTGTCGTTGTGAACGCGGGCGATCTTCTCGCAAGATGGAGCAACGACACGATCAAAAGCACGATTCACAGGGTCGTTGAGCCTCCACAGAAGGAAGCAGAATCATACCCGCCTCGATACAGTATTGCGTGAGTTTAACAGGTTGTGTTGAGAGATGTGGACTAACACGGGTGTAGATACTTCTGCAACCCCAACTTCACGAGCCACATTGAGGCGATTCCGGGGACGTACGAGACTGAGAAGGATAAGAAGTATGAGGGGATTAATAGTGGTGATTACTTGGTTCAGAGATTGACAGCTACGTACTGAGCTGACATTTGTTGGCCTGTTTAATCTGTGGGTGAGAGTCCGAAAATTACATGGCTATTAGTTCTTACAGGACAGACTCTAATTTGTCCTACACCCTCTCGTAACTTATACTTGTTGAGAGTGGTCAGCAACCACGAGCTTGGTATTACGAGGCATCTCCGTGTGTACAGCTCAAGCTCAAGCGTGACTAAAACCAATTGGTTAAGACCAATATAAGAATAAATAAAGAAATCAATTGGTTTATACTTGTTCAATCCCAACTTATAGCATGTGATTAATAATAAGCCGAGATAGAAACATCAAGTCAAACAAGTCCCCTGTTATCCCCACCAAAAACCACTGACAACCCGACGTTAAGCCCAATCGGGAACCCTGCATATTCAATGCTCAAGGCCTCCCCAGCGTATATCCTCCACCAGAACACCCAGTCTAAAACACAGCTTCAACTCCTTCATCCAACTCTCACTCGCTCAATTGGACTTCTCTTCAACCACTCCCCAATCTCCTTTTCTTTCTTTCCACAATCTCCCGCAACAATGGCCGATGCCGCCAACGCCGCTGCCAAGCAGCCCCTGAAGAAGAAGCAGGCTTCGACCGCCAACAAGGCCTATTTGATCTTCTACAACTTCGTCTCAACCGTCCAATGGTCCGTCGTGCTCGGCCGTACCGTCCTGCTGCTCGGCCTGTATGGGCCTGAGTATGTCTACCCTAATGCTGGCCAGTATACAAAGTGGACGCAAACCTTGGCTGGCTTGGAGGTGCTGCACTCGCTGCTCGGTATGATATCCCGATTCTCCTAGGGAATTAAAACTGTATACTAACTCTCTCTTTCGCAGGCGTCGTTCGTGCTCCCCTCCTCACCACTCTCATGCAAGTCGCCTCGCGCTTCCTCCTCGTCTGGGCCATTGTCGACGTCTTCCCCTTCCTCGCCCTCTCGCCCTTCTACTCGTCCATGCTGATCGCATGGTCCGTCACCGAGATCATCCGCTACTCCTTCTTCGCCCTCTCGCTGTCCGGTTTCCAGCCCAAGTTCCTCACCTGGCTGCGCTACAATACCTTCTTCGTGCTCTACCCTGTTGGCATCTTCAGCGAGTGCGCCCTCATCTGGCTCGCCACTGAGCCTGCGGGCCACATTAACGAGATGTACACGTGGGCTCTGTATGCCATCTTGGCTATCTATGTTCCCGGTAAGCTTTCCAAGAGTTTTGTGTTCAAGGGACTTATTACTAACTTTGGACAGGCGCTTATGTCTTGTACTCGCACATGATGAGCCAGAGGCGCAAGGTTATGCGCAACCTCAAGACCCAGGGCCAGAAGGCTCAATAAACAGAAGCTGCAGATGGAATAGAAAAAGGTGGGATAAATGTATGAATGATGGTTCGTTGAGATAAATGATTTGGTGGAATAAAATCTAGCTGGTCTCATAGAAGAAAATACCACTTTGGTGTAATAGAGCAAGGAATGGAACAATCTATTTAAAGAAATAAAAATCACAAATAGGTTAAATGAGCTCCTCAGTCTTTTCAATATCCTCGATCTTGTTATTCTTCTCGGTCTTCTCAACATTCTCACCCGCAGGAGAAGGCAAATCCTCAGACGACGGTGCCTCTTCTAATAACAGCGGATCTTTAGCACTCGTCTCATACCATTCGTTCTGCAGCCACTCGAAAATCACCCCTGTAGCATCCTGAGTTAACTGGTTGTACCCAGGATTCTCCTTGGGAGTAAACATATCTGCAAGTTGTCTGTTAGTATCCGTATATCGACCAACATCTAGCTGGCTAACTTACTCATATGCGCACTCGCCTCGTCAGTCGCCTTGTCGTTGATGGCTTCTTTCCATACCCCTCCAGGCTGCTTCTTGGGAAGATTGCAGAACGTCCTGTCCTGGCCCAACACCGTCCCAACGACGTTGATCTGCTTCGATGGTGCTGCCTTGCCAAGCCTTGTGTACAAGTTCGCAAACCCAACATCGAGCTCCTGTCGCAGCTGCAGGAGACACGCAACTCGTTTGCGCAGCTCTTCTCCCCTGGCAAGACACCCGACGAACTCAAGATGTGAGGACGCCCAGGACCAGCCTTCGGTGAGTTGGTCGCGCTTCATCCACGCCGCTGCACCGCCGGCAGCTACAGCTCCAGCGGCGCCCGCGTACATGGCCATCTTGCCCCATTTCTGCCACTGGTTGCCACCAGTGCCCGAAGGAGCCGGTAGAGCGCCAGCTGTCTTTGGAAGCGCTGGGGTCGTCGAAGGTGAGCCAGCTTGTTTGGCGCCCCAGAGCGAAGCTCCGAGCCCGCTCAGCTGCGAGATTGCGCTCGCGGCCTGCGTGGCGCTTTGATACTGGTCCTCGGCGCCGTGGGCTACCACCCCAGGAGAGATACCCAAGTAAGGCGTGTCGAAGGCGAGGACACCCTGGATGTATGGAAACATGAGAGAGTTAAAGGTTGGTGTTTCTGATTTCTGAATGCCGTCTTCTGTGTAGATGGGCTTTTCGGAAGCCAAGCTGATGAGCATCTCCGCCGCCACGATGCCGCCCATAGAGTGGCCGATGAGAATGGTGCGCACTGAAGGCTCAATCGTAGGTGAAGGTGTGCCAGCAGCCACCTCCATGTCGATGACTTTGTTCTGCAGCCTAAGAGTAGTAGAATAATCTTAGATGATGTCTCTTGCATAATATCGAAGGAAGGGAGATACACACCAGTCGCGAAAGCGACTCACGCAATTGCCCAAATCTCCACGAGTCTCATACTTGGGATATACGACGACCTCAACATTGATCTTGGGCAAAGCCTCCCTCACCAAATCACGCAAGTCCTTGGTGAACTTATAATCGATCCCAAAGGTGTCCTCGCCGCCCTAGGTCCAACATGATTAGCTCCAGGCTGACTATGATGACGCGGGGGAGGGGCAGGGAGGGAGGGAGAGAGTGTCTAGAGATAAAGGACAAACCTTGAAGCCATGAATGAAACAAAGAAGCAGAGTCTTTTTCATGGTGAAGTCTTGCCCATCCAACACGATCTAGCCGAAATCAGATGCCGTCGAGGATATATGCTTTGTCTGTGTGTCAAGATGCGTGGCGAATAAGGACAGGTCTAGGTTTGCTTTGCTATAGCTAAAACCGAGCCAGGCTGAGTAACTACTATCAAAGTCAAGACAAGACACCTGACTTAAAGTCACTTACACTATCAAGGATTACTGAGTACAAACAGAATCTTTTCGCACCAGACATTCACAGCGATTTATTTATACTCATATTGACATCACCCAGAGCTGCTGCGGTTGTGCTGAAACCAAAGTGACGGCATGTCAAACTTCTATTAAATACATCCTACTAATTTATTGAAACACTTTAATGCTACTTCGCCGTCCCTTTGCAGGCTCGACGCACTCCAAAGCCGCATACTGACAACCCTGTCAAAGAGCAGCGCCTTGGATCATGCATCTTTGTATGGTATTTGATCCCCAATATCCTTCCTTCGCTTTCCTCTGTCCTCGATCGAATGTTTACTGTATGACACCTTTCCTGCCCAACGCCATTGCATATATCATGAAACAATCGCCTCCTCGGCGGTGCAAGTTTTGAGACCCTTTCTCGAATTCATGAGTGCGCCGTTATGAAGCACGCCCTTCATTCCTCGTCGCTTTGTGCGGCCGTGCTACCGCCGTTCGCCTCTTTTGCGCTACTGGAAATCAACTTGATGCGGGTGCCGCTGGGTTGAGGTGTGCCGCCACTACCAGAGGGCGCCACTGAACCATCCTTAGCCCCTTCTTCGAGTTCTTGTAGCTCAGGGTGTGCTGACAGTTGCTCTTGGTACTTGGAGTTGAAGTATTCCTGCGTATTGTTAGAATCGAAATACCGTAAACATGTTTAGACAGAGAAGTTCGGTAACTTACGTTCATGACCTTAGCATCCTGATACAGAATGCTTCCATCCTCGTTGTAAGTTTGGCAGTTGCGGATCATCAACTCAATATCCTTTCGCAGTCCGCTCAACGAGGTGTACTCCTCTTTCTTGATTCGGGTTTGAATCTGGTTCATGCAGATGGGATTCTGAATGATGAGGTAGTAGTCCGCGTAATCACGCTTGGGAGGTAGCTTGATGAAGGGCCCAATGATGAGGCGCTTGCCGGGGTCCGACTCGTCGTCATCTGGAGGTTCGATGTCGTCCACCTCCATAGTCATCAAAGAATCGTATAGATGGCGAAGACTCTTTTGAAGCACCTCTCGCTGATGAGGTGGTAGCCTAGACTCCAAACTAACCTTGCTGGGCCGTCCTTGTGGGCCACGTCGCTTCTTGGGAGGTGGCTCGTCATTAACTTCTTCAGCCTTGCGTTTCTCGTTCTTGCTGCCGGGTTTGCGTCCTCGCTTCTTGGGGGTCTCAATCTCAATCTCGATCTCCTCGGTGCTTGCTCTACTGCCTGAAGGTGAATCGTCCACCCCTGGTTTCCTTGCCTTGCCCTCACGCCTGTCCTTACGCGCCTGCTTGCGAGCCGCAGCTGCCTCAGGAGAGTCGTCGTCGTCATCCACCGCCATAAGCCATTGCTCTTCAGTGAGGCCATCGTCGTACTTGACTTTGGTGCGTTCACGCGCACCGCGGCCCAACACGACTTCTTCAGCGTCATCTTCAATGGGATTTCCTTCGTTCAGGTAGATGTCTGGCAACTCGTCCTCACCCATAAGTCGAGGTTTGGTGCCTGGTCCGGTACCGTAAGGCGAAGTCCTCATTCTTTCTTCGTCGAGCTTTTGGAATACGGTGATTTCATCATCACTACGCGCTAACAGCATGTTCAGTTCGTCATCTTCCATCTCATCCTGTTCGCCTGACTCAGTCATCTCAGCGGTCTCCAGCAGCGTACGAAGCATAGCGTCACGATCAGTTTCCGAAGATTTGTTATCGAAACGACCAGCCTGAATAACTTTGCCATCCATATCTAGCTTGAAACGTGCGCGCTCAAGAATCTTTTCCTCGACTGAGTTGGAGCTGATAAGTCTGAGAATTCGGACTTCGTTCTTCTGACCGATACGATGGGCACGATCCTGGGCCTGCAAATCCTGATGAGGGTTCCAATCGGAATCGTAGATGATGACGGTGTCGGCTGTTTGCAAGTTGAGACCGAGACCACCAGCACGAGTAGAGAGCAAGAACATGAAGTATTTGGAATCGGGAGCGTTGAACTCCCGTAGCAAGTCTGAGCGCTCGTCGGATTTGGTCGTACCATCCAATCGAAGATACTCGAATCGCTTGTATCGCAGGTAATCCTCCATAATATCCATAATTGCAGTCATCTGGAAGAACATCAAGACTCGATGACCAGTTGCTTGGTACTTGGGCAGGACTCTGTCAAGCAGCTCAAACTTGCCTGATGTTCGCCACAAAAGATCGTTGCTGATGCTCAGGGGGTTCATGACGTTCTCCACAATGTCAAACACAAAGGGATGGTTGCAAAGCTTTCGCAGCTGCATGATCATGTTGCTAAGTCCACGAGCACCAGTCTTGCCGCCCTTGCCGTCGCTAACGACAAGCCTGTTGTGGGTGACCATCTGTTTGTACAGCTTAGACTGGAGCGCAGAGAATTTGCACTTGATGACCTTCTCTGTCTTGTCAGGAAGGTCCTTTTCGACATCCTTCTTCAGACGTCGGAGAAGGAAGGGTCGTAGGACCTTATGAAGGCGCCTAATTACCAGAATTTGCTCTTCTTCAGTGAGTTCCATCTTATCCTGACTACCAGTGTTGGCGAAAGGAGTATTGAACCATTCATCAAAAGTCGTGGAAGACTTGAAGATATTCGGCAGAACAAAGTTGAGCATGGCCCACAACTCGGAAAGGTTGTTTTGTAGAGGTGTACCGGTAAGAATGAGTCGGAAGCGAGTGTGGTAATACTGCTGGATAGTGTAACTCAATTTGGAATTCGAGTTCTTCATTCGATGACCTTCATCAATGATCATGTGGAACCACTTGATCTTGCTGAGAATAGGGCGATCCTTGATGACGTATTCATAGGTCGTAAGTAAGACCTGGAATCCGCCTTGACGAATCCTGTCTTGTTGCAGCTTCCTCGTATTAGGAGGTCCCTTGTAGACAATACGACTCACAGTAGGCGCCCAACGCTCAAACTCCAAGTTCCAGTTGGTAAGAGTACTGAGAGGTACGATGACAAGGTAGGGTCCAGCTTGCTGCTTTCGCTCGATCAGGTAAGTGATCAGACTGATTGTTTGAATGGTCTTTCCGAGACCCATCTCATCGGCCAAGATACCGTTAAGATTGTTGTTGTATAGCGAAATCATCCACTGAAGACCCTTGACTTGATACTCCTTGAGCCTGCCGCCCACAAGCATGTTGGCTTGCTCAGTGACCTCTTCTCGAACACGATGAGCCACTGCGTAGTAGTCGATCTTCTTGTTGTTCTCGTCATCCTCGTCGTAATCGCTGACCTCTTCCACAATCTGATCCTCGCCATCACCATAGCGCTCGGCGGCCAAACGCTGTTGAGCCTTGACGGATGATGCAAGTTGATGCAAAAAGCCGTCGGTTTGCTTGAGCAAATGTGTAATACGGGTATCCTTGGCCTGGTCAAGAAGCTTGAGGTATGCCTCTTCATCGTTGGCCTTGAGAGCTTGCAGACGCTGCTTGGCTGTTCTCTCAATACGCTTCTGCTCCTCTTTCTCGATGTTGAAGTGTTGGTGGAACATCAGACGAGATAGCTTATGCGACTTGGTGCGCTGCGAGGAAGCCGAATCTTGAATTTCCTGTCGGTGGTTGTAGATCGCCCGTAGGAAGTCGGTATGCTTCTTCTTCTCACGGTTCTCGCGAGCATCACGTTGCTGCTTCTCGAGCTTCTCCGTAATGCGAGCCTCCCTAACATTCTGCTTCTTCATTCGACGGTAGTTGGACCTGTTTGTGGTCATTGCGAGATTATCATAATGCATCATCTGGCGTCCGATCTTGTCGCGAAGCGCACGTTGCTTAGCATACAGAGCTATGCTCTTCATCTCAATGATTGCTTTTCGCTTGAGACTATCATCAGCCTCCAAGTTCTCTTTCGAGGAATCCCAGTGAGCCAGGTCACCGGGCAAATTCTTCAACTCGGCATATCGCTGTCTCATTCTGTTCGATACGACAACTTCTTGTTCATATCGCATATGATCAAAGTCAATACCAGTGGGAAATACGCCAGGGATGAACCACCGATTCTTTCTCTGAGAATGGTCAAAGTACTTGATATCAGAACGAATCATGCTGGTGCCATACGGAGACTTCACAGTCTTGAATGTGTGTGCTTTCGGGATCTCCGAGCTCTCATCTTCTGTTGCTGCCTCAGGTCCATTTTGTGAATCTTTGCTAGCCTCGGTATCGGGTTGGTTGGATTTCGCGGCTTGGGCTCCCTGGGCAGCCTCGGCAAGAAGCGCTTGCCTGCGTTGACGCTGGTTGAAGATGGCTTGTTGTAGTTGTAGTGAGACTCCAGCGTTCTTCCCCAGTAACTTGAACGCGTGGATCTGTTGTCGAAGAAGACCTAGCTGTTGCTGAGTAAAGTGATTCGAGGACGAGGTAGTTGATGGAGAGGTGCCAGCAGAAACCGAAGTAGAGACGGTTTGGTTAGGCATCGCGGAAGCACTAAGTGGATTAGATGGGGGCTGCGTTGCTTGGGGTGAGCCTTGCTGCATAGAACGGCCAGCCATTACACCATTAGCAGACACTCCATTGGTAGCATTTTGCATCTGTTGCTTCTGTTGCTGCTGTTGCATGAACTGCTGCTGGTTTCGTCGCATGGCATGCTGTTGTTGGAAGCTCATCAAGAACTGAGAGGCCTTGATATATTCGGGATCCGTGGGTGGAACTCCTTGCTCCTTCATCTGCTTGAGTTTCTGCAGCACAAATCAGCATCGAGTATCGAAGGCTGTCAAAATCAGTACAGCATCTGTTGAAATCATACCCGGAAAATTTCTTCCGCCTGTTGCTTGGTCACGCCAGCAGGCATTGGCGCGCCTGGGTGCTGAACAGCGGGAGACTGCTGCACCGAAGCCATGATGAATGATGCCTATAGGGCGGGGCGCTTTGGCGGTTGTGTTGATTGATTTGGTTGTTTAAGTACGGCTACCTGTGTTGCATGTCGTGGGAGGTGCAGGCGGTTGGTAGTCGTCGCGCAGCTTATGATGTACGGGTGTCGCGAAAACGAAAGTGAGGTGCAACAATAAAATAAAGGCGACAATGAACGCGTCGAAATTGAAGTAGAAAGACAATGGTTGAAAAACCTTGGATAATAGTCGTCGAGAGATTGGCGACACGTCGCAGATGGCGCGTGGGACAACCTTGGCGTGGACCGCAACCTTTAAGTTGGAAACGCGGATTAGATGGGTTGCTGGATACACGGGAGGGACACTCGAAGTTCCAAAGAAAGTCCAAGTACTGAAGGAAAAGGATGCGATGTGGCAACTGGGCGCGTTATGCACCGGTACCGGGAACTAGGGCGGCGTGCAAATCGCGTGCAACACGGATTTGGTGGTTTCTCTAGATGAGAGCCGATGGTTTCAAAGGGCCCTGGCGATTTTTTGGATGCGCGCGCTCGCCGGTTGATGATGGGGAGTGGTGAAGGCACAGCTGGACAAGATGCGGCGTGATGGTTGGTGCGGTCTTGAGTCGGCCTGCCACAGTATTTTTCAGCACGGCCCCCTGCAATAGGTGACCGCGACCAAGCAGGCTGCGCAGTCGCCTGAGGCAACTACCAAAAGTTGTATTAAGTAATCAGAATACTCATTTGGCATTGGTTGGTTTAAATTACATGCACGTGACGCCTTCCAAGCTGCTGGAAGAATAGGCTTCCTAGGAGTACTATGTAGAATGATAATGCGAGGCCAAGATATATCGCCAGACAGAAAACTGCCCATGTCAGCTCAGACAGTGGCCTCCAGTTCCGCAAACAGACGTTGAAGGCGCCATGTTTTCCCAAATCGTAGTCCTGGAGTGGCGGTAGCCCAGTACTATTATGGAATGATAGAGACACGATGAATGCTACACGAGCTAGGGGATGCTCAAATGGGCTCGCATGTTCCAGAAACCTTGTTCATCACTAGAGCATCACCCAGCATGCGTTAGTGCTCTCACCTCTTGAGTTTTTTCTTGTCAGGGCCATCTTCCTCATCACTCAGCTCTGCGTACTGAATTTCCGGTTGCGTCTTACTCCAGGCTTTGGTAAACATGGGATTTTTTTGAGCCTTGCCTTCGTATTTGAGTAGAGCTTCGCGAGGATCTTCGTGAAGCATCCGCGCAAGAGGGATATTCTCTGCAATAAGTTTCTCATCGGGCTGGTTCTTTTGGAAGGGGGTCTGTTGAGGGATGTGAGGACGTCGAGGGTCCTTGGAGCGGCCTGATGCTGTAATGCCGGATTTCTTTGAGCCTCCCGACGCACCTGGCACCACAATCGAATCGCCGGAAATACCAACAGACTGGTCCATCGTAAACTCCGGGTTGTCGTCGATATGTCGTTTCTTCGGTGCTCGCGACATGACATCTACCGCTCCCTTGTTCGACATCTGCGGGTTGTACAAGACATGCGTCTCGGCGTTAGCTGAACCTGTGATGATTTGATTAATCTTCGGGTGCCAATCCACTGTAACGAGCGGCGACCCAGGGGTTATTTCTGTAACATGCTCTGCGCGTAGATTGCCAGGATTCAGGATATGTAAATGTCCTGTTATTGAGCCCGTAATGATGCTTGTCGAGTTTGGAGCGTACTTGATGTTGCTTGTTGGGAAATGATCCGAAGTTGAGGTATGGGCGACCGTGACGAGTGGCTTCGTGAATTTGCGAATGTCCCACAGTTTGATGAGATCGTCGCCTCCTCTCGTGACTACCATGCGACCGTCGGATGATATATCGATACCACTGGTCCATGTTTGGGGTTTGTGAGCATCCCGAACTTCTCCAGCAGGTCTTGAGAAAGGACTGTTTCCGCTATACATGACTAATGAGCCATCGAGAGCCGCTGCGACCAGTATATTGCTGCTGGTCTGAGCTGACAATCCCCACGCGACAGCGGTCATCTTTGTTCGACCTGCGGAGCCAGCAGCTTTGGACTTGAAAACAACCACATCTTTCTGGGAGCGTTTGTTGTTGATGTCCCAAATTCTTAACGTGCTGTCTGTACCGGCAGTCACGCATAGGTTCTTGTCAGTAGGGTGCCACGTTCCAGTTGTGATTTCAGAAATGTGGCCCTTGGTGTTGTGCATATCACGAAGGTACATATCTCCCTTGACAAATTCCGTGACAATGTCGCCGTCTCGTGACATAATCTTTGCTTGGGGGTGCGCCGACACGCAGAGGAAGACTCCTCCCGCGTGGGGATTGAATTCGATGCGGTGGACAGGATGCGCTTCGGAGTTGGCGGATGCTTTCGTTTCGTAGGGGTCGACAGAGCGGAAAGCTCTCAGTGTTGTTGGGGTCATGGAGGCGAAATCGTGCAGCTTAACGGTGCAATCTGTAGAACCGGTTGCTAGGCGTCCTCCAGCCGGATCCAGCGAAACGGTGGTTATGGCGCGGTCGTGGGTCTTGAGGAGAAGCTCGTGTGACACAGGGAACTCGTCCTCGTCGTCGGAATCGTCGCTGTCGTCGCTATCGGAGTCATTCCTCGAATCCTGCTTCTTCTTGGGTTCCTCAGCCCGTTTGCCCTTTTCTCCGCTGGCTTCCGGGGCCTTGCTGGGCGCCGTCCTACGACTCCTGTCGATCTGGGCTGCGATGTCGGCTTCTTTCGACTTCTTGCCAAATGACGTGGGCAGAAATGCCCTCATGGGATCGTCTGCAGCCAGCTCGGGCACCTCGATCTCGTAATCATCGTCGGAGCTCATGGCGAATTGCTCGATTACCTGTCGCCCAAATGGGTAGAGAGAGTGGGAAGCAGGTTACGTGGGGGCGGTAGAAGGTGGGAAAGGTTTATAAAAGAAGTGGCAGCAGGCAGGCGGGCGGTCTGGTTGAGCGACTCGGGCGCTGGTTGGGTTTGTCCACCGCCCCGGTTCTTTTATTAGCTCGGTCAGATTGAAGCAGTCACGCGTGAATTGAACATCATCTCATCAACTGCTGTTTCCAGTATACATAGGTACTCAGTAGAGTTTCTCAATTTTTCTTAACTACAATATGATTCTTTCTGTATGAGTTCTAGTTACTGTCTTATCAGACCACAGCTTTCTTTGTGGCTCTTTAGCTGTTGTCTCAAATGCCACACATCGTGATGGTGATGGCAAACTCCGAACATGCTTCACACCGCTAGGTGGAGCTTATGATCTAGTTTAGATGTCTCTCTGCAACACAACGAGATCTCAGATGTGTTTTGTATGCCCGTTCCAAGTGACGGACAATTTTCTTCGTCCCTCCCTGCTCTCAGTTGGTCCATTCTACCTTTCTTAAGATCCTTTCCTGATACCAGCCTTACACGTCGAAGGATACGTTTATTGCGGTGCCGGGGGCTGAACACTATTTACTCACCTTTCTTTGAAACAACTACCAAGTAATAAACTTGATTTTGCTGATTCATGGGGCGAACGCATAACCTAAAAGACTAAACTTACCCTTGGCAATCATACCACGCATCATTGGAGTGATAGTCTACATATAGCCAGTGCTTGAAGCCGCCCATTACAACCGTGACTCAGCCGAAATAGTACTATATGTAACCAAGTATAGTAGGAAAGATATGCTGCTGTTCTCAACAACAATCATCATCCATATTAGAGTACTATTTATTTAATTGCCTTCTCTTGTGGTTGTTAATGTCGACTGGGGTGTATTGGGTGATATGTTTCCCGGCTGGTTGATTGGTCACTCATCGTGGCCCGTTAGCTCTCCGGATCGGCGGGTTAGTTGATTAGCAACTTTACGCGAACAGTATTTGAAGCTCAACATCAACATCATTCAGCAGTGTCGCCATAATGCCACCTGATCCTCTCTTGGAAGAGGACGAACAATACGCTTCTTCAGAAGACTCAGACTTTTCTCCAGACAATGCGCCGCAACAGACTTCTGACCATTCTGACTTGGAAGATGAAGACGACAAAACAACCAACAAACGAAGTCACCCAGTGGACGACGAAGATGCTGCCGATGCAGGGTACGACAACTCAGGCGATGAAGCAATCATAAAAAGGGGCGAAAAGCGTCGCAAGAAGACGCATGCGAAAGGAGTACACGAAGATGACGAGGGAGGTGAAGGCGGCTTGGTCAAGACCAGGAGACAGCGTGCTGCCGAGTAAGTGGTTCATCTGCAGACGAAATTTCATATAAACACCGCTGACAGTAAACCGCAGGAAAGAGGAACGCAAATATGTCACGAATAACGAGCCAGTCACCGTCGATGTCGATGCGCTTTGGGCACAAATGATATCCCAGACTCCAGTTCCCGGAAGCAAGGTTGACCAACCTGACAAAACAGATGCAGAAACCAACTCAGCAAACCAGAAGGACGAGCCAGTTTCACGAGCAATAGACATTGCTGGATCAGACGATGCATCGGCGATGATACGCATAAAACGCACCTACAACTTTGCGGGTCGGGTACACACAGAGGAGAAGCTTGTTCCGCGCGATTCGGCCGAAGCGAAGCTATATCTTGCCTCACAGAGCCAGGAAGTACCTGTAGACGGTCTTGAAAAGCAGGTCACCAGGAAAGCATTCCGGTCGGCGTTCGAGCCTCAGATGGAGCTTTTACCCCATCGATCAGATCTGAATCTTGGAATGGCCGCCCGAATAAAGGCTGGCAAGGAGGCGCAAGCCAAGAAGCTTAATGTTGTTGAGAAAAGTCGCATGGACTGGGCCGGTTATGTGGACAAGGAGGGCATCAAGGACGAGCTGGAATTGGCTGGAAAGTCCAAGGATTCCTACATGGCGCGAGAAGACTTTTTAGCAAAGAGTGAGGCACTCAGAGAAGAGGATTCCAGAAGGGCGAGACTTGCGGGAAAGGTCTGATGTGCTTTTCATTCCGGCGTTTGGGTAAAGATACCATGGGCTAAATATTCATTCAAATAGACTTGAGGCGCGGCGCGACATGATATCCAAGAGCCACCAAGAGGCATTACCTAGCAGCATACGCGTTGTAATTAAATATCAGAAGCTATCAAAGCTATGATAGGTATATGATTAATCAGAAACTTCAAAATACCTACCCAGAATCTGTGGTATTAGGTAGTTAAACCGTCTATTGATTCACGCCGGATATCATGGTGGGGCAGCCTTGCATATCCCGCTTACAAGGCTGAAAACCATGTTCCAAAAAAATCCCATCCAACATCAATCCAGCCTCTCATAACACCAACACAATCGTCAAACCATAATCCGCCCGCCATGGCTGTCTTAGGCAAACGCAAGGCAGATGCCGAGCCCACGATCTCCGAAGAAGATGCTGCTGCGATCTTCCGTCGACATTTCGAGGCGCAATTCGCACCACTGCCAGACGCAGAAGAATCAAACTCCAACTCCAAGAAGACGAAACAACAGGGAGATGCCGACGATGCCGAGAGCGACGACAGCGATAGAAATAACAACGTGGATGAGGAGGATGAGGATGACGAAGAATGGGGTGGGCTCTCTGGCGACGATTCAAGTGAAGAGGAAGAGAAAGAGGTTACTGTGGTAGAGGTTGTAGACCACTCCAGCAAGCAACCTTCCAACATAGCGACGATGTCAAAACGAGAGTTAAAGGCGTTCATGGTACGTATTACGAACCATTTAGCGATCCAAATGAACCAGCTAACATTGTCTTGTCAAGTCGTCACGCCCTCCGGACCAAACGATGCCCAAATCCGAACCGGAGTCATCAGCAACTCAATCCTCCTCTAAAGAAGTCCCCGAAGATGCGCCATCTCTGCTCGCCCAAGATTTAGAGCTCCGCCGATTACTAGCCGAATCTCATCTACTCGCTCCTAAACTTTCAGCCTCTGGCACTACGATTGCGCCCAAGGCGTTTGCCGCTGGTCGCACTCGTCAGAAGACGACAGACATGCGTGTCCAGGCCTTGGGGTCCAATGTGTCGATTCATAAGCAGGAGAAGATGCCTATGAATATGCGCAAGGGGATTGTGGCTGCGGCGGATGCACGCGAGACGAAACGTAGAAGAGAGGCCAAGGAGAATGGAGTGATTCTTGAGCGAGAAACTGGCAAGAAGAAGGGACGTAGAGACCGCGGACGAGATATTGCAGTCGACCGACCTGGAGTGGGCAGACTCAGAGGAGCAGAGTTACGCTTGAGTGACAATGACATTAGAGGCATAGAAGGAGGGCGAGATGCATTTGGCAGAAGGGGACGACGCTGAAGACAAGTTATATCAGAACATTACTGTTAGCATCATCCCATTAGCTGTTCCTTCACTTCAAAGTCACATCTTTTACCACTTTAAACCATCACGTTGGGAAGTCGAGATACAAAAACCATACAGTTTCTTCTTCTAGTTTACCATACACATGACCATTTCTGGTCACTAGAGTAGTTTTCCTTAGGTATGCTGTCTAGACATATATCCTCCACCGAAGGTATAGCAACTATATATGTACAGATGCTTCCTAAACCCCCTTCCACCTAACATCATCTTCATGAAGCTCTTAGCTTTTGCGGGGAGGTTCTCCCTAGCAATCAGAGCGAAATTCTATCAGAGCCATATATTTTAAGCACCGGTGAGCGCTTCCAACCAAATGAAAGTGTAATAGAAATATGAACAAAGGAAAAGTGAAGGACCAAGACGCGCAAATAGCCATCGCAGATATCCACCAAAATTGAAGCCATAATCCCTTTAAGTCATGATATGAGAGCAAAGCAAAGTCGTACGCTATTCAACCGTTACATCATACCACTGGCATTGATAGCAGCCGGTTGACTCATAGTCATACGCATGCTTAGGGTCTCGAGGCTGTTGAACGTTTGTGGGTGGGCGCCGCTTGGGGGAGGAGTCGAGCCATGAGCAGCAGCATTCAAAGAGCCAGTCATGTAAGGACTATCGGAGTGTGGTGAAGCCTCTTCCAATGAGCCGAGATGGTCATCGCCAGAGTAATCTTCATCTTCCTCTCCAGAAAGGTGGAGTGAGCCGTCTCCGCCGTCTTCACGACCATGAGTGCGCTTGTGTCTGAAGCTTGATGTTAGTCATGTGCGTAAAATGTATCCAAGGGGGGAACGTACTGTGCCAAGTTATCAGATCGGGAGAATGCCTTGCTGCAGTGGGGGCAGATGTAGGGTCTTTCTTGTGTATGTGTTCGAACGTGTCTAGACATCTTGTTAGTCGGACAGTTCTTGCAATGCTTCTGGAATAGCTTACCGCTTGAGATGCTCTAAACGCTTGAAGAGACGGCCACAAGTCGGGATGGGGCAAGAGTGGGACTTCTGGGGATAGGGACCGACTTCCATAACAGTGGCAGAACGAGCACGTCGAACAGCGCCGTTGGGAGCGGGGACGGATCGTCGCTGGTCGCTCATGGAGCCCTCACCATATTCCTCACTGGCAAGGTGGGGGAAATCTTGGTGGTGCATTCCCATTGAAGTGGGGGCCGGGCTGCCTTCAACTGCAGAAAGGGGGGTACCATGCCTCGACATGTTGGGGTGGTGCTGAGTGTTGACAGAAACTCCTGAGGTGCTGTAGGAGAGACCAGGAGGGGAGTTATCGGCTGACTCATCACCCTCGGCCACAGGGCCGACGGAAGCAGAGATGGATCGTCGAAGCTCCGAAGGTCGGTGGGTGTGTGTGTGGGAAGCTGTTTGGGCAGGTGCAGCAGGGTTCGCAATCGCCGACATAGATGGGGGAATGGATGAACGCCGTCTTCTCTGCTTATATGTCGGTGAACCTTCGATCACAGAGTAGACGTTGTTTGTACCGTAGGGGCGAGAGAACTGGGGTCCAGCCAAGTGGGAGGGAGGCAGCTGGACCATGCCGTTGAGACCGTTCATGCCAGCCATGTGATCAGGAATGGCGGAGTACAAGCCAGTCTCCTCGTTGGCGATGTAGGCGGGCTCAGCAGAAATACCCAAAGCCTGCTGAGGAGGCGTGATGGGCTCGAAGGAAATTCCTCGGTTGCTGTAGTCCTCATACTGAGAAGAAACAAAGGATGGGGCTGGCGAGTACTCAAGAGCATAGGCAGGCATGGAAGCGTGGCGCTGGTGTCCCTGAGTGATAGGGATACCGTTCTGGTTGTACTGAACACGGGTGTAATCAGGTTCTCTCTTCACGGGGATAGCTTGAGCCATGTGGTGAGGCATTACCATCGATCCGTAAGGTACCATTGCGTCCATCCCCTCCGCCAAAGGGGGCATGGACTGAGGCATCATTGTCGGGGGAGGGGGCATCGAGTCCATCGCCCGCATGACTGGGGATGTGGACTGGCTCTGGGAATAAGCAGACTGCTGCTGGGCGCTGAAGGACGAGGAGTTGGCTTGTTGAGCCTTGGTCAGTTGCTCGTAGAGCGACTGAGATGAGTCGTACTGAAAAGACAGAGCAGGTTCGCTGACTGCAACAGTGGTGGCTTCCTGGCCCATCTTCTCACGCTTGAGATCGCGTTCCAGCGCGTCAAGGAAGAGGCGGTCGTGGGGGACGCTGTACCAGTAGAAGACCTTCTGCTTCTTTTGTGTTCGAATGCAGTTATTTTTGTACAGGAAGTCGAGGAAAGCACTCTTGGGCTCTTCGAGAGAAGCATCGGTTCCAGACTTGAGGTTTCGCAGGTCAGAGAAGATACCCTCCTCAAACTTCTTTGAGTTCTTGACGGGTCGGCCAAAGGCCTGGAAGCGGAACGACAAGCATCTCACGATGTCTGTGCCTGAAATGTGAAAGAGGTTGTTCCTAAAGATGCATTGTGAGTAACAAAGCACATTGTCTTCTTAGCCGTTTTACACTTACCAAAGGATGCAAGAAACATATTCGCCCGTTGGCAACAAGAATCGACGGATGTACTGATCGGGTTGCCAGTCAACGGGGGCTGAGATGAGGAAGTATTTGACTAAACACCGCATCAGTACGCGCAAATGAGGCTATTTTCTCACGATGGAAACTCACGGTTGTCGACTTGCTGCAGGGCGACCTGGGCGTCATGGGGCAGAGCTTGCTGAGCCTCGGTGCTCAACATGAAGGTTTCGGGCTTCTGAGGCGCCATGGCTGAGTGTTGAGGATACATCTTGTCGTGTGTTGGGAGTGTTGTCCGGGATGACGTGACCGCGGTTGGTCAGTCGTGTTGTTGGCGCTCGACGGCCGAAAGTGATTGTCGAGGCAAGCCGGAGTTTGGTGAGTGGCAAGCAAAGAACTTTGGATAGAGCAAAAATGAAGCAATGGAGTGCGTTCAGCGAGATTTGTTGAAATAAATTGGTCGAGGCACAGCCCAGATCCAAGTGGAAATAAAGATGTTTGGAATGATGCTTGTTGACCAAAATTCGAGACCAGCCCGGAATATTGGAATCGCTGCGCAATGCGATTCAAAGACTCAGCAACCGCGTCAAGCGAATGCAGGTGAGGCGTTTAGAGTAGCAACCGTCAAGGCGTTGGCGATGGTGGGGGATCGAAGCCGAAGTTTCGCGCGAAACCAGGAAGCGAGCCAGATTAAAGCTATAAAGCAACAGTAAAAAGCAAGAATTGAAAAGAGATCAGCAGAGCCGAGGAGCAATGTTCATCAAGAGCAAGCAGCGGCTTCGTGTGAGAAAAACGAAGGACGGCTGAAAGCAAAAAAGGCGGCGCGTTTGATGAACTTGAGTCGTCGGGGGGCGCAGACGGCTTCTATTGAGATGGGAAGAGAAACGAGTTTGAGGGTGAACTCCGGAATGGGGCCGCGGAGTGTGGAGCGAGGGGAGAGCAAAATGAAGGGAAAACAAAACGACAAGAGAAAAAGGATTTCGGAAAGGGAAATCAGAGCGGGTGGGCGAGGATATACGGGGGTTTAATGAGATGTTGTGTGGACTGAAAGGGCAGCAAGTAAGGCGAAGCAAGGTATAAGCAAGTCTGTTAAGAGAGAGAGACTGTGGAAAGGAGGACAAGGTAACCTAAGGGTAAGTACCTGGCATGACCCTTTCCATGAATGGGCATGGGTGTAGTTAGGTACTAGGTAGCATGGCCTGGGCATGGCAGATGGGGTGGGGTTCCAATTAGGTTGGTATGACTTTCTAGAGCACGCGCCAGGCCTGGGAAAAAGCGAACGACGGCGTTGTAACTTGCGAGGGCGGGAGAGCAGCCACATACCACGCACGGTGCTAGAGGAGAAGCCAGCCAGCCAGCCAGCCTAGGCCAGTCAAGGATGGATGGCGGATGTGGAGGATGGAGGGTGGACTTCCATCGCAAAGGCTTTTGCTCGTCAGCAACGGGAGTAGCGGGGGCCACAGTCGAAGAAGGTGCTAGTGAGCCAATCAAGGTTAGCCAGTGGAGGTGCATTACTTTGCGTGGGCTCGAGGATGAGCGATGCACAGTGTAGCTTGCACCTGCTCTGTCTCTTCTCTTCCCCGGTTGTCGGTTGCTGCTGCCAATCCACGAAGCGACAACGGGAGTCAATGGGATCTTCAGGTCCTCTTTGATGGGGACCTGCAATAGCACTCTATTCCATGTTCTTAATCCGATGGATGTTTTCTTCGTCCACTTACACACCCAGGCACTTTCCTTCTTCCCTGCTGTTGCTACTGCCACTGCCACAAACACATCTCTTCCTTCCTTGTGTTCCAAACTAAGAGAAACAACCCCTGGACAACCAAAAACTGGACCACTCTACGGATACTCTAGCCAGGGAGGGCATCAAGACATCAAGATGGTACGCTACAGTACAGTGCCTCGCTCCACGGTATCACAGCACGAACCTGATGAAGAAGCTTGTGCGTTCGATATGGTGGTGCATTTGCAAAGAGTGCTCTGGACAATTCCCATACTAGAAGTGGGCTTGAGCTAGTCTGTGCACGCCCATACTGCCTGCTTTAATATCACCGGCTTGTTGATGACCGGAAGGCGTCGAGAAGCTCATCTACGACCGAGCGCAAATGGGGGTCTTGTGGGCGTTGGAGCCGAGAAACAAAATGACTTCTTCTTAGTGGCACGTCATGTGTGAGCAAAACGAAAATGGATGTGAATGTCAACTCGTGAACCAATGTCTTCGGTATTGGCTCTTGAATTGATTCCCTGGTATCCGTACTACGACATCGACAGCTTGTTCCACGCCCCTGCTTCAAACAACCCACGCTCCCTTCCCTTCCGCGTCGGACGAGACTGACTGAATAGGGTTGAGACCGAATTGACCGACAAGGGTTACGGAAACAAACCCAAAGTTGCATTTGCAGCTAAGCAACGTGGGTAACGGCCCTCATTCCTTGTCTTTGATTGCAGTCTCTTACCCATTATTCATAGAGACAATGACTGAGATACTGTCCCAGGATGAAAACATGATGCCCAAAAAACTGAAACATAAAACACAAGTGGTTCATTGCCTGGCCGCGTCGTGCCGCTTGTCTCAGCCTAATAATTGGATCTCAAGCCTTGTTTGAAGCCTAGCTTGAAAGCTTGTGAGCCAATCTTCAGACTGCATCGAAATCACCCAGCATCTAAGCTAGTGAGAGTCGATCACCAGCAGCATCTCAACTTCAATGGCCGGCGCAACCAAGGTATACCCTACGTCGTACTTCTATCGATGGAGAGCATTGCGTGTCGAATTCTTAACCGATCCCACCCTCATCGGTCGTGCGACAAGATTGAGGGAGTGGAGTGTCCAGAAATTGTCGAAATTGCTAGTCAGAAAAGGTCGAACCAGCGGAAACTTAGCGTCGCCGGCCAACAATACTGAGTTATCGTTTACTATAGAGCTTCGAGGTCAAGGTTTCCCTCAGATACCAGCAAGACAGTGTGGCTTTTCCCGAAGCGAGAGTCGCAATCTCATCGCATTTCAAGAGTTAATCTCGGAAATCACTCTCATATCGAATAATAGCGTCGCAGCTAAGAACCATGGGTATCATCCCGCTGCCAACCTTTTCTTTTAACAACTACCATGTCCATTATCACCAGGCAAGTCATTGTTAACGTCAACACTGCCTAATTACAACATGAGCGGGCAGTCAATGCTAAGGTCACAGTAAATACAATAACAGACTGCCTAAGACCGTCCAGAAAAGGGGTTGACGATGTCTTTGAAGAATTAAAGCCATATGCAGGTGTTTAATTACAATCTTGCATAACACGAGTAATATATCGACAGAAGCGAGATAGAGGGTCTGTTCTCCTTTAGATCCTCCCGCACGAGCACAGCTGAGGATAGTTGATGTTCATACATCAGCTCGTTCAGGATGAAGCCAGAGTACTCGAGGTACGTATAGTAGATTGCTGATTGTCGCATATGCACGACATAGCATTCATTATTCAGGTGTCTCCGAGTAACAAAACTCTATCCCTTTTTTGTGGGGAGAGCGGGCTGCAAGTACGACAGAGTGCAGAGAGCAATGGGTGCAATGTCTTGGCTATTGGATTTTTGTCCGCATTTCTCTGGAATTATCCAATGATACAAGAACATATACACGGCTCCTGAATATGGAGAATGATGGGTTTCGTTCCATACAGACACGATCTATCATACATTCAATATCGGCTGTGCTCCGTCGCGGAAATCGAAACATCAACAAGTCACTAACCATGATTGTACGGCTGACCGGCTAGAATGGACTAACAGCTAGTCAAAGCATCTTAGAGCCGACGAGTGGGGAGATGCGCTCATGGATCCCAGACCAATTCAGATTTGATAAACAATCCCCCACGAGTCTTGACGATCCCCTTAGAAACTGGTTTCCACTTTGCGCCATCTTCTTTTGAATTCTTCTTTTTCAGCACCGAGGACTTCTCCGGTTAGAGAGCAAAGACCAGTAATGCCGGCGTGTTCCGCTGATCCAGTCGGGAAATGCAGGACAAGGATATCCTCTCGACTAAACAGGATCACTTGTCCACATATCCCTGTCTGGGCTATGTCAAGACAGCGTCTTCATCGAGATGAAACGTGCCTGCAGGACTGCATCAGAGACAACATCCTCGCCTCGACGCTTGTGCTCCAATAACGCTGGATTTCTGAAACCATCACACCCCCTTCAACCACAACTCCAAGTTGTTTGGCATCCTGGGCTGTCAATCAAGATGGTGGTTGGAACTTGGGCCGCTCTGTTTTGTCAACTCGATCGAATCAATCTCACGGCTAGCCCAGGTACGTACCCGTTCTCATGTATGTTTCATCTTTCTATTGGACAGAACGGCTCTGCTTTTGTGGACCAGTGTTTGGGATCCATTTCCCTTGGAAATGGGCCAGACTGCTCCCGTTCTTGACTGACTCTCATTGCTCCCATACCAGGCAATAGTTAACAAGCCTTGGTTGACCTTCTCGAAAGAGTTTGGGTCGTTAGGATATATTTCTACTATCAGAGACCCTAACATATGCAGCTTCCACTGTAACACAACTGAAGTGATGTTGTATCCGGTGGCGCCCATGCCAATAACTGGGCTAGTAAGCATATACGCCAACTGACCATCGTTGTATACTCGATACCAAGCAGCACGCGACGACGAGGGTCTGGCTGTATACGAGGCTACGAGCAGTAGGATTTGCGTCACAGATAATACTACAGCCCCGAATTCGTCAGTTTAATATAACGCCCAACGACATATGTAATAACCCTGGCTCGCACCATGACTGATCATAAGAGATATCTCAATAGGAACCAACCATCCTATTTTGCGAGAAGTGACTTTGCTTCGTCAAGTTCTCGATCAGCATCCATGAACCTGCGATCTCATACCACTTCGCCTACGGTAATAGACAACAACCTCGAGTGGTAGGCTGGAACGCAGAATGGTAGCATTGACTTTGGTTGTCTGCATTACCCCTGAGTAATTTTAAAATTACTACTGGAAGCGCGACTGCACGTGAGAGAATTCTTATTCGCGCCGTTGCGGGCCACCTACTGTGCCATTATTGCAATCAGGATGTCATGGGTATCAGCTGTCTTTGCAGATTGGGTGCTTGTTGTTATTCTGGGTAACACGCACGAGTCGCCGACCTCGACCTCATGCTTTGGCCAGAACATGACCGTCCCAAAGCGGTCTGTCCTGTCAACATGGAGGGTTGAAGCATACGATTACAGCATCTTACTCCTCTTGGTCAGTATTCGAAAGTTGAGCGTTTAACTCACCAATGTTTGTGCTGTGGAACGGTAACAACAACTGTGCTTACAATTACTGGGCCTCATTCCATCAGACCTGCATCTGCGTCTGCGTCTACCTGCAGCACAACACAACAGCAAAAGGGAAGGCCAAGAACTGTGACCGAACGGGCCGCCACACAGAATTCAACGCTGGCGTTTCAAAAGCTGGTGTGTGCCCGAATTTAGGTTGAGCGTCTTACATCAGCCAATCACCAGATACAATAAACTTCCCTGTCGGCGGCATGCAACGTCGTGGTGAAAAAGACCCGCAAAGGGGTCCAGTTTGAGATGCGTCTCGGTTGCTCGATTGGCTGTATCAGGTTTCCACCCCAACTTCACCTTTTATGCTTCATATTGGTTCCAACCTCTCATCTTTTTTGTTGTGAGCCATAAATAGCAGCAATCCAATGGTCATCACTCAGCATCCAGGTACACAGTAGTATCGGCCGTCGATCGGGTTGTTTCCCGGCGGTGGACTAATTCTTAGGGCTTTCTTGCTCACCAGGATGTTCGAGGACCAAGGCTCAAGCTGAGTGATAGAACAAAGTCGTCAATCACCAGCGCTAAATGAAGCTCTTAGTCAAGGGTCCAGAAAGGGCCCAATTCTGCAGCACTTCACTTCCTTGGGTGCCAGTTCCCATGCATGAAAGGTTGCTTGCCTCACTGGTATTGCAGTCAATACTTGCTGTTCTTCTCAGCGGCCCGCCTTCTCAAATTATACTTCATGCGTTTCTCGAACTGATTGCTGTATTCGACTAAGAACAACAATATAGTCTGCTGCTCTAAAGAGAAGTTTCTGCATCTAGCGCCAGACCTGGCTTGCATTATCTTGACCGTAGAACAGACTAATGACCTGAAACACTACAGGGCCCTAACGAGCGATCAGACTCCGACATTGTGACCTACTTGTGGAAGCGTGCCTGTATACTATGGGAAACAAAGCCAGGGTTCGTGTTAAACCATTCGCTATAATCGAGATCATTATGGTCATCAAATTGAATAACCTGGGTTTCGGCCGACAACCACTTGAACTCGGTTATTCAGACCCTGCAACGAGATCCGCGCAAAACAGAATTCTTCTGTTTCGAGGCTTCCTCAATCACATCACACAGCAGAGATCATGAAACGGTCCCTGCTCTCTGCTTCAGATATCACATGAAACGCTGGACCCCCAGCCACCAGCTATTCCAGAATATCTCCAAGTTGAAGTGAGCACTTTGCACAATTCATCGTCAAACCTGTCACTTCAGTCTTGTATCCGGGGTGTCAGGGTATCTGCCTGCCTGTTCCTGCAGATACGACCTTCCTAAGCCCAGTCAGGCACGATGCCCTCCTTCGAGTCATGTTGCTTGTGGATTTAGGGTATCAATGGGTGCTCTTCCGAGGTCCCTGGGCGAAGTCAGCAAGGTCTGGATAGTTTCACCATGCTTGGCACGCTATTCTCGTGAGCCGAGTCTCGACATGCTTCCTCATATGGCATTGGTATCGTCGAATGCAACCTCTATATGACAAACAAAATATCTCAAACTTGATACAACCCGCTATGTTGTTTGATCGACACCTACTCCGCCTCCCATGCTCGGTCACTATCTAGATCCGAATGTCGGGCTCGAGGCGAGGCGGATGGTTCTCGAGGCGTTGCAAGCGGAGGTTTGCGCCGCTGCTACGGCTACGACACAGCACCTAGGCACCTCGAGGCATTCATTCCGCTTCTACCATGACGTTCTACAACGCCACTCTATCGTAATTCAGCCCGGTCACTCTGCCAAGGAGCTATTACTGTCGAGTTTCTCAAAGCTCTTGTCGAGTTGATATCGGATGCGAGTCTGGACCACTTGCCCCGTCAGGACCCCTAATTATGAAACAGCTCAACTATCAAAGCTCCTCAAAACGACAAGTCAGGCAGTGATGGCATAAAGCCGCTGGTGGCAAGTCCACACTCCTTCTTCCTCCCGACTGGCTATCTATCCGGCGGTCGATGCGTTGAAGGTTATCCGACTAGATTGGGTTGCCACTTGGAGGCCTTGCCCAGGACTGAGGGATTGCTAGTGTCGGTTGTTGAGGAGAGTCTTCAGCCCCTCCAGACGATTTGATTGCTCAGTCTATCTATTCGAGGTCAACCTTGCGGCCACACTGTGCGCTTGCTGAAGGCTAGCCCGTTGATGGGTATGTTTCGTGAATGCTCACCCATATCGGAGATCTCATTAGGCGACCGTTCACGAGACCATAGTATATATTCCCCGGCGCGTAGATGTATGGTGTGTGACACGAATGAAAACGATATAAATAGTAGGTCGGTGATTATAGTACTTGTTCTGTCTTCGAAACATCCTGTAATAGCATCCCGAAAACTTCTGACGGACAACTTCTGGGCCTCCAGGTTGACGGAACATCTCGAAGGCGCATGTTGAAACAGCAGGGTAAAGCACCTCGCAAGAATCGGTGTGATATGTTTGGGAACTGCATTTACGGCGTGTAGCACACCGGGTTGCACACCCATATGGGTAATTAGTAATTAAACATGAGTAAAAGTTCAGCGATTTCCGTATATCATGGTATAGGGTAGGTTCGAGATTTTTGGTGATAACTTCACGGATATCTATTTGTTAGGCACTCCCCTATTTATTGACATGATGTCTCGATTGACCAAGTACTAATGACCGGGATGGATACATGTCATTGTTAGGATTGAGTTGCTTTAGGTATGTAATATATTGATTGTCAACTAAAGTATAATCATTAATGTAAGTGGGAGCTGAGCATATCTCCTCCAACAGTATTGAAGCATGCACACGAAAACAATGCCAAGGTACTACTTGAACCCATCATGACATATCTACAAAATATAGAAATAACATTCAAATGGAACAAGCAACTGTTTCACAGATAACCAATATCGCACAATCACAATGGGCTATCAAAGCGCAATCTTTTAATACCCTATCTATGTACACATATTCGCTACAACCACCCACCTCGTCGTTTCTAACGCCAGGGAAGAGGTTCGCCGTTCACGTTCCCAAAATAAACAGTTTCGAGCACCTCTTCAAGACCTCGCCTCTTCCAGCTCGAGCTCGAGCTGTCGGATGCGCTCGCTCTGGTCCAGGGAACCGGAGCTGACCTTGCGCTTGAGCGCCTCAACTTCCGAGGTCAGAAGGCTGATCTGCTGGACCTGGGAGCTGATGAGCTTGGTCTGGCCCTCGAGAAGCGACTTGATCTCGGCAAGCGAAGAGTCGTTGTTGCTAGGGGCAGCTCGGGAGGTTGAGGATGATGCCGCGGGGCCAGAGGACACGGGAGTAGTAGGGGTCTTGACTGGCGTGGAAGGCTTTGCGGCAGCGGGAGTGGAAGAAACAGGGGCAGCCTGCGACTGAGCGGGAGCGGGCTTAGGTGCAGGAACTGCTTGACGTTGAGCAGGTCGTGAAACCTCCTCGAAGCTCGAAGCGTCGTCATCATCCTCCTCTTCCTCCTGCTTGTCCTGGTACCTGGAAGCCATAGCAGAGATAGAGCCCTTTTGCTCGTTCATGGTAGGGGGAGGAGATCGGATAGCCGGGGCTGCTGGCTTGGGCTCCTCCTTCTTGGGAGCAGGCTTCTCGGCGACAGGCGCGGGAGCCGGAGGGGCCTTGTAGTCAGAGGCAATCTCCTTGGGCGCGGTGCCGTCGTAAACACTCTCGAGATCAATCTTGTTAGGAACAGCAGTCTTGCCATCGAACCACTCCTGAGCACTTGCGGCGGGCTTGGTGCCAGTGGCAGGAGGGAAGATATCAGCCTGGAAGGTCTCGGCACGTCGTGGCACAGTGAAGGCGATGGGCTCGATGTAAGCATCGTTGACCGTCTTGTAAGCCCTCATGACTTCGTTCTCGTGAGTCTGAATCTGTTAGTAAACGTAACAATACATCGATATATTGAGAGACTTACGTTGATGCCTCGTCGGGGCATAAAGGCAATACCGCGCTGAGGCTCGCCGGACTTGTGCTCGCTAAGGAACTCGAATTTGTCGTTCTCGAACTCGAAGTATCGAATGTTACCATCGCTACATGATGTTAGAATTAAGCAATCTGCGGACTGTCGTGAGCACTCACCCCTTGCCAGCAAGGTACAGGCAGTTTGAACCATCGTCTATCACGTATCAATTAGTACAGGCGCAGCCATAATATCGCACGATTAACATACCCCAGAAAGGCATGCAGACACCAGAGATAGAGTCCAGCATGGTGAAGCCGCCAATGGGCTCTGTCCTGCCAGGCTCCCAAAGAGCTATTTGCCGCTCGCTCATACGGGAGAAGCCAGTCGTCGCAAAGCGGTTGTGCTCTCCCAGCCAGACAGCGCGAGAGTTCTTGGCACCGCCGTGACCGGGTCCCTCGTGAACGGGCTTCTCCTGTCGGACATCCCACACTCGAATCTTCTTATCTCGCGAGGTGGTGGCGAGCATGCTACCGCTAGCGTTCCATGTCAAACTCTGGACGATATCGTTGTGCTTGAGAGTAAGGGGCGACTGGCCAGTGCTGACGTCCCAGAGCTTGATGGTGAAGTCACCAGAGGCGGAGGCGAGAATGTTTTCGGCCGCGGGGTTGAAGAGAACCTGTCCAACCTTTCTGATCGGGGTATTAGTGCATTGGCCGGAAGATTATAGTGACATGTGAGACCAACCTGGGGTGGCCAGCAAGCTTGCTCACGGGTGAGACATCGGTGATCTCCTCGGCGTCGGTGTGAAGCGTGAAATTATCGGGGACCTGCCAGATGAAGACCTTTCCGTCGTCAGAAGCAGAGGCGACAATGTTGTCGTGGAAAGGGTTCCTTAAAACACCGTCAGCACCCAAGGAGCTCAGGGGCCCAACGAGGGGAATGCATACCAGTCAGTGTCGAGCACAGCAGCAGTATGTCCGCGAAACAACGGGATCTGGTCGGGAAGCTTTCCACGCTCGTTCAGAGGGATGACAGCGAATGCGCCGCCACCGGAAGCGTCCCAATTGACCGAGAGATACTCAGGGTTGACCTATTCGAACCCAACCACCCCCTAAATCAGCGCGCCGGACTCTCCAGATGATGGACTGATTGCACTACGCGCAGCGACGCAGTACGACGCACCTTGACCAAGTTTGTATCCCAAGCATTGCGACTGATATGGAGGTTATCGTAGCAAAATTCCTTTCTCGTGGACTTTCCAAAGACGTGTCCTGGCGAGCAACGTCAGCATATTGATTTGGGCGACGCAGATAGGTTTGCGCCCACGTACGGTACTTGGACGCCCGTACGAAACGGTTGGACATGATGGGCTATGGTTTATTAGGAATACGGTAGAAAGAAAAAAAGAAGTGACTGCGAACAAAGCGAGAAGGGGGGTGCTGCAGTAACAACGCGCGTGAGAATCGGTCAGGTCGTCGAGTTTGAGGACGTCAACTTGGCAACGTTGCCGTGGGTTGTAGCTAGGTAAGATGTACCAATACGGGGTGAGGTCCTGTAGCTGAAGGTATGAGCCACTATAAATTACGCTCCAGCTGCGCCTCATAAGCTCCCCGCTAAAAGGCCCAGGTTCAGTGGATCGTGCCACACTTAGTCGATATTGCTCGCATGAACGTGGATACGTGTTGTGAGTAGTATCACGTGCCATCTTCAAATCTACAGTTTCGCTTGAGATATGAGGAAGTGTTTGTAATTTTGTTATATTTTTAGACAATTCATTTAACCTCATGCTATAAACAGGAATCCCTGAACGCGCGCGCCAATTGCCCCAGAAAAAACAAGAAAAAACAACAAAAGAACCATATCCATGCCGACGCCTTGTAAGTGCATAAACGGCCAATGCTCCCAATTCCATCAATCAAGGATACACTCGCCCAACTCCAATCATATTACAACATCAAAAGTGGTATCCCGCGTCATCCATCAACCATATAAACCAATACCAGAAGAATAGAGAACAGAGACATCTATCATGGATATCCTGCTGGCCCTGAACGCCGGGTCCAGGTAGTCGTTATATGGCGCCCAGCACCTTGTCTCATGCTCACCTCCATCACAACAGCTCGAGCAAGCCGCATCGGGTCTTAGAGAAACATGCTCTTAGGTCGGGAGTTCACTCGGCGACCCGATACTCGGCGGCGTAGTTGCTCTTCTCGTCGAAGAACCAACTGACACCATTTGGCTTTCGATCGCTGGTTTGAAGAGTCTTCTTCTGGGCTGTCACGTCCAAGAATCTCAGTGAGGATCTTCATCCAGCCCTCCTTGTCCGCAGCTGTGTCTGCGTAGAAGTCGATAAGTTCGCCGTTGTTGAATCGGATACGGAATCCTTCTTCAACAAACATGTAACCCTCTTCATCTTCCGCAAATGCTGAACGACGACGTCGGCCACCCCTACCAGTGGTCTCCTTTTCTGTCAACGCCCGACGATCGTCAATCAGCCGCTTGGCGTTGGCCAGGTTGATGGTAGCTCGAGGCTGGCGAGTTGCCTCGTGGTAAGCAGTGAGCTTTGTGCCGACAAGCTTGAAATATCGGCGTCGCCAGTACTAGTTGGATGTTAGTTATTGGTAGCGATACTAGGCAAAAAGGAACTTACAGGGCAATCGCCACCTTGCTGGCTCAGATGTCCCTCCCAATTGCGGGACATCCTCTCCTCGGCCGCCTTGAGCTCTCGAATGCACGAGTTCATACTCTTGGGCATGTCTTCGTCCGTAGCGTTCTTAGGGCGAGGAACAAAAAGTAGCTGGAGCTCCAGCTTGCCGACCTTGTACGGCGCACGTCGGACGACGGCCGTGTTACCACGCTTGCTCTTGACACTGGACGCAAACCCAGCCTCTTCTGTTGCCCACTCGTTGAAGCAGGCGACCTCGGCCATGTAAGGTCGACCGAAACATCGGCTTTCATGTTCTCTAAGACAAACATAGGCACGACCAAAGCTGCCATCCTCGGCGGCTAGAGGGGAAAGAAGCTCGTACGCTGATGGAGGGGAAGTGCGCTTCTTGGTCTGAGCATCTTTTTGTAGCTGCACAGCTCTCTCCTCTTCCTCTCGCTGGCGAAGCTCGAGCTCCTTGCGTTTCTTGGGCGACGCGAACACTCTGCTGAAGGTAGACGTCTTGTGCTTGTGAACCTTGACTATAGGTGGCGGCGCCTTGATGCGCTCAATAGGCTTCTCAAGCTTCACATTGAGTGTAAGCTGGAATTCCAAGTCGTTGGGAACAACAAGCTCAAACTCCTGGCCGATGGGAGCATTGCGCGCGAGCTCAAGCCATGCTGTTGTCACGCAATGCACGCCGTTGTCAAGAGTGAGGCTGAACCATGTACGTTCATCTGCTTCGGTTAGACATGTTTTTTCTGTCATGGAAATCTGAAACTCACTTCTTGGAAGGGGAAGGTCAAGGTCCTTGACACCCATGACCTTGACAAATAGACGACCTCTTTCTCCGCTCTCCGGTGTAGCCATCTCAAGTGTTAGATCCTCATCGACAGGAGCATTGCTGACGACCGTGGCGTTGCTTTCTTGGCCTGGCATGGGAGGAACAGGGCCAATGCTGCCACCAACACGCTTTCGTACGCTTCGCTGGCGCGGTTTACCATTCCAAGGCTCGACAATGCATGACATCGGTCTATCCTCCTTGATAGGGGAGTTTCCAGCTGACCTGGCAACTCGGTACTCATCGGACGCCTTGTCACTGGCCGTGACAACCTTGGTGTTCTGTCGCATAAGATATCCGCGCTGGCGACGAGATGTTACGTTAGCATTGAGTTCTTCAGTAGTTTGTTGCTGGGTTCTTGCTGCAGACACTTGTCTACTGGGACTGGTATTGAAGGCTGGGGATTGTATAAGAAAGGGATCGTTGTAAGCCACCTTTTGTGCCTCAATGACTCGTTCAAAGTCTTGGTCGAGGCTGAGTCCCAAGTCAAGATCGAGGGTCAAACTACGGTTCTTGAAGCTGGGGTGTCGGTTCATGAATTCATCGCCGGTAAGTAGAAGTCCGTTGTTGTCTTTGGATAGTCGCTTGCTATGCCTATCCGGAATCGGTGGGACATCGGGTACCTCCATGCTCACTTGGCGACGAGCTTCTCGCATCGCGCTGAGATCGGAAGGTGTGTTTGAGAGTCGAGTCTTCAATTTTGAGCCTGGCGCCGCCTTGATGGTGGCTTTTCGCTCAGGAATGGCAGGTTGCTCAGGTTCCTCCACCTGGGCTGGGACTGGGTGATGGATGACTGAGTCTGGTGTGCTAGGGCAATCATCATCGTACTCATCTTCAGGATCGCCCCACCCTGTGCCATCGTATTCAGGCTTGGAGAGTGGTTCAGGAGTGAAAGGACGTTGGAGGTATGCATGAGCATCAGCCATCTTGGGCGCCTCTGGTTCTGGCACGGGCGCAGGCGCAGGCTCGACCTCCCTATCTTGCTTCACAGGCTCTTCTACCACCTCGGGCTTCTCAGGCTCAGCAAGCATGTAAGACTCGAAATCGCGTGAAAACGAGGCATCCTTGTCTTCTGAGGCGAGGCTTGGTAACGAAGACATGCTCCTGTTTTGTGTAGGGGTATCAGCCCTAGGGGTCGTAACATCCTCTTGGAGCTCTTCCGGCTCTTGAATCGCCTCCCGGATCTGCTCTTGGATCTCCTCATGCTTGACTTCTTGCGGTGTGGGCTCTTGTGAAGAGTAATGGCTTTCGCTATCACTGTCCACTGGCAGCTCCAGTCTCGATTCGTCCTCATCAAAGTCGAGATCTGAGTCTTCATAGAACTCAATCTCATTGTCAGGCAATCTTCTAATAATGACACTGCCTTCCTCTTCATCATCAGAGTAATCGTCCTCAGACTCTGTAAGATCGTCGGCCGAATCCTCGGTAGAAGGAATAGGCACATCAGGATCCTCAGGAACCTGTCTTTCAGGGCTCCTACTGGGGCTTCGTGAGGCAGGAGGGGACGAGAAAATGTAGTCATTCTCTTGGTCACCTGTCTTGTTGCCGTTGACCTTTCGCATGATAGAATCGCGCGAGATACGAGGAGGCAGTTGGTAATCCTCGAGAGCTGACATGTCCCCAACAACATCATCCTGCTCTTCGAGAGCATCGTTGAAGCTAATGGTTGACTCCGGCTCGGACGTCGGGCTACTCAGTCGGTCGCGGCCAACACCTCTACGAAGGCGGCGCTCGCGTTGCAGCTCCGCCGCGGTCTTGCCATCTCCCTCATCGGATAGCATCATGAGTCTCAGTCGTTCCTCAAGGGTCATCTTGGCGTTGCCGATGCTTTGGAGGTCTGACTTGCTTGTGGCAGGGGCAGCTGGAGGAGCTGGCAGGTTTCTGTTGGAACCAAGCATCCTTTCTGCGGTGGCTGAAAGGCTGGGAGAGGCAGGAGAGGAAGGCACAGAGTTGTTGCGCGAATGACTCATGAAACCAGGAAGAGGTGGCAGAGGGCGATGCTCAGAAGCAGTAGAATCTGAGCGAACATGTGCAGGACGACCAGCCGTTGGTGTAGAGGGTACGTTTTCGGGCATTGGGCTGCCTGAATACTCGCGTGGGGCAGTGCGGTTCACCATTGGGCTGTCACCTCTCCAGTCATCTGGTCCAACAACAGGAGTCTTGTCTGTGTCTTCGAGAGATGCGTCAAAGCTATCGCCTTCGAGGTCAACGTGAGCAGGGTCATAGAGCACATCGTCTTCATCTTCCTCGTACTCCATCGACTCATAGCTTCCCTCGCGAGAGTTTGTGCCGATGGATGAGAGGTCGGGAGTTGTCATCTCATATTCGTTGATCTGAGGAGGTGCAGCGTCAAAAGTCACGCTCTTTGCATGACGGCGTCCCATGGGAAGATCATCATCTTCCTCGGGTGAGCCAAACGTCCAGGTATTGGTCTCCATGTCAAAGCTGTTCTTGCAGCGCGAGTGGGAAAGGGACGACTTCGTGGGCGACACTTGATCTCGGCTTGGCGTGAGAGGACGGTTTGGTGATCCGGATGACGGTTGACCGGAAGGTTTGGTTGGACTCATGGTGGGAACGGTCATTGTGCTTTCAGTTCGGGAATGACCAAAGATCGGGCGATCCACAGTCGGGGAGCGGAAGGATCCTGTCGACCCAAAGGCGTTCCCTTGGACCTTAGCGAGGGGTCTTTCGATCTGCTGGATTCGAGTGGGATCATATTCCTGCTTTTGCTCGAGTGCCAGGATGTTGCTGTTCCTTACTCGAGAGGCTTTCTGAAGACGCTCGATCGAAGAGCGGCGGTGTGATGATGGTGATCCAGGGCCGTAGAGGTTTTCTGAATTGCGATTTTCCCAGAACAGACGAGGAGATGTGACTGATTCCAGAGGGGAAGCTTGAAATGGAGAAGAATCGGGGTTTCCTGGGGATTTCTGCATGCTGCGTCAGTACGATACACCAAATGAGAGGTGGCGGTCAGTGGACGTACCTTGGGAGAACCAGTTGACTGTCTGTGCCAGCTGGGTGAGTTTCTTCTCATCTCTGTGGGCGAGAGCTCCGACAGCGGGCGAGGGATTCCGCTCGCCATGGTGGATGGAGTTTTGTTTGCGGTTGTGGCCTTGTTGATTCGTAAGGGATGCACCTGAGAATCAGTCAGAGACATTTTGACCGAGAAGCAGGGCGAGTGGCGTGGGTCTACATACCGATTCAGTAGCCATGCTACAGCAGTGATGGGCAATTTGTCGCAAGTAAGAACAAGCGACTATCAACGCATTGGTATGCGAGTCAAGTATACACAATGAAATGAAGCCGAGGAATGTCGCGAGTTGGTGTATAGCACAGCGCGAGCTAGAGCAAGGGCAAGAGCAAGAATGAATTGAATGCAAGTAATAAATGCGACCAACGTCTGCTGATAGAAGAAAGAAATGTGCCGTGAACGGGCCAGCAAACAACAGCTCTATCAAAGGCTCGACGACTCAACACAACTTCCAACGATGTTGCTGTTATGTTATGAAAGGCGCAGGTTAGAAGCTGTTCACCGTATATGGCGAGTTGATGGGTTTAAGGGAAGCACACCAGGCAAGCCAAGGCGTGTGCCTGATTGGACGAAGGGAAAACAAACATAGAAGGCGTTGCCCGGGAGATACCTTCTGAGTGAGCGAACTAAAGCCGGACGTTGGAGGCGCTAATTATCTTGCTACAATGCAGCAGGGTGCCAGGTACTTACCCCGCCCCTGCTATGGCGGGCTCGTCTCCAAGGGACGGTCCAGAGCTGCCTCCACTGAAGTTCTGAACCTAGTTCTCCCTTACAGCGTTGCAACAGCGGGGGGCCCTGCTGGGCTACACAAGCTGGAAGCTGGAGTGTCGCCATGGCTACAGCGCAGCCAGCCGCAGCCCAAAAGCAAGCAATTGGCTGCTTAGTCCCAGCCTAATCCTTGACGATATCTGAGACGCAATGTTTACAATGAGCCCAGCGCTTGTTGTTTTTTCTATGTTTTTCCCCAACCAAGCTTGACTCCTCATGACGTTTTTCTCTTCCGATTTCGTTTCACCCCTGACGATGGAGAAAAACTAACGGGATGGGCTTTTGATGCATTCGATAGCAAGGTGGTGTAGACTTGCTGCAAGATACTGCAAAGTATGTGGATGTTCTCTACTGCAGCTACTAAAAGCGATGCTATGGTAGCTTAATTCTCGTACTCTCGTTTTTATCTATGCACATCACAACTTACACAACCTCGAGATCCCCCACCCTGAGCACATCAAGTCTCCGCTAGTCTAAGACGATGCCTTTCGCCATGTCTTGCATCTCGATCCTCCCGAGCTCCAGTTGAGGCTATTCTGGCACTAAACCCGGGCCTTGGGTGGTCCTCTTTGGAAAACATATCCACTCCCTGTCCCGTCTATCCCATGTTTGTTTCTGCTGAACGTGCTTGAATGTCGCTTGTTTACCAGTCCAAACATTCGTTACCTTGCTTTCCTTGATCGCATTGACCTTCAATCTAACCACGGGCCCAGCCTGGATCTATGTCCTCAACTTGCGATCACGATCTCGTGATCTCGAAATTTCGAATCAATATAATGAAATGATGGACCTTCCTGCATTCTAATTCCTACGCTCGATGCAATGCGACTGCAAGCGGCTCAGCTCGCTTACAGCATCTTGCCCGTAGACCATCAGATCTCTAGTCGATCTTGGCTCGCCCACTCTAACATGCTTGACAAGGGAGATAAGCGTCCTGTCGCTAACCTAAATCAATATGTAAGGATCAATGCATGGGAACTTTTGTCACATGTAGTAAAAATTGTGTCAACAGCATCTGAAGTTAGGGTTATCGTAAGAGTTTCCGAGGGCTTGTTTTGTGTCCTCAACAATATCAAACATGTTGTGATAGAATAACACTAACGCTGCCCTATGGCTTTCTCAAAGACCATTGTTGTTCTTTGACTGGCTACTCTTGCATACAATTGACTTTATAAGTTAGTGTTAGTGTCTCACTATTAACTACATGCAGTATCACCAGCCTCGCTACTGTACGTCAAAACAAGTTCAACATGTGGCTCTGTTTTCTTTCTAGTTGTCTTGCTTCCTGTTCCAGGCAACGCAATCATCAAACTTGACACCCGAACCCCCAAAGCAGTCTAAAGCACTTCCGATAGTGAGATCCACCTTGCTGTTACTGAGTTTCTTGACATTCTCCAAATCCTTGAGGTGTCTACCACCTCCTGCGTAAGTCACAGGAATCGAGCACCACTGAGAGAGTCGTTCCACAAGCTTTTCGTCAACTCCTTTTTGAAGGCCCTCGTTATCTGCGGCATGAATTAAGAACTCCGAGCAGTAGGGCTCCAGCGATTTGATAGATTCTGTTCCTGGTGAGTCATTGAATTGTACACATCTGCCAGCGCTTACCTTGGTTGACTTCCATATCCGTGAGTGTCTGCCATTTGTTCATAGCAACGAACCAGGAATCTTCTCCGCGACGACGACAGCTCAGGTCAATAACAAGCTTGTTCTTGTCGCCGCCAAGAGCCTGCAATACCGCATCTAGCCTCTCTTGACTAAACCGGCCCTCTGGGAAAAGGTAAGAAGTAATGATGACCTGTCAAACAATTAGCTTTCTCACCCACGCGAGGAGCTTCCATGTTCTACCTTCTCCGCTCCCGCATCCATCCATTCCTTTGCGTTCTTGTCATTGATGCCACCCCCAACCTGAAGGCCTCCAGGCCACGCTTGGAGGGCCTCTTTAGCAGGCCCGTCATTGCCTGGGCCTAGCATAATGACATGTGCACCAGTAAGCTCATTGTCTCGGTAGAGCTGAGCAAAGTGAGCAGGGGGGTGTTGAGAGACGTAGTTTGTTTGCAGCGCTGCTGATGTGCTGTCAAGAGTCCCGCCAACAATCTGCTTGACTTGGCCTGCGTGAAGGTCTATGCAGGGTCTGAATCGTGTCATTTTGAATGTGTTTTGTTTGTTTGACCAAGGAGGAAGAACGAACTACGTTGTTGATGTCCCACCACTTGGCAGAAAAGCATACAAGAGTGGGGTAGTGCCGCCATTGTTTGGATGGTGGTTTTTGAACTCAATCCAGACTCTCCAATTCCAGCACATACACCAACTTAAATACTTGAGGTTCTCACAGTTCGAAAACACCGTCGTCTCATTTGTGAGATCTTCTTGTTTTTAATTGCATACTTAATGAGTGTACCCCAGAGACACGTCCGTAGCCTATGAACCTTATATATTCTTAGATCAACTCATCAGCCAGGCTAAAGGTCATCATAACTAATTCTTTCTGACAGCAAATTCATATCTATCCCCCCTATCGAGAATGACTACTCGATCTTCCATTCCTGCTTCTTTCACAGCCTTCTCAAAGTCACTCCGAGGAGACAGGAAGACGTCATAGTCATCGTAATGAATAGGAATCGTAACATCCGGATTCATCATCTTGATCATCTCAATTCCTTGTTTCGCATCCATCGTGACCATGATCAGCGGCACAGATGGTCCGGGGATAGTGGTGCCTCCCAGGTGTATAAGCATGAGGTCGATGCGCTTCTCCTGGAGCCACTTAGGAATGTCTTTCAGTTCGTCCACGAGAAGAGTATCCCCAGAGATGTAGATACGATAACCGGTCTGGATTTCGTCATCTTCAGCATCTTGGTGTCCCAACTCAAGCATCCAGCCATTGGTAGGCGGAACAGCGCCGAGGAGGTCGTTCGCAACAGCCAAGGGGCCGGGAGGTACATGCTTGCCTGGCATGCCGGTAACTTTGATAACCGGACGATGATGTTCAGCTTCAGAGTCTTCAGATTTGAGGCTCAAATGATCAAAAAAGTCGAGTGCCTTGACATTGGTGAAGGGCTCATCTTTTGATGTCAAGCATTTGTACGCATGAGGTGTGCTGACAATCAAGAAATCCCTATTGAGAGAGTCCTCCACCAGGCGATCAAAGTGATCCTCATGGTAGTGCGAGAGAAGAATTCCGTCTAGGGATGGCAGCTCATGTAGATCAACCGCTGGGTTTGTTTGTCGCTGAGCAGTAACCCCAGGGCCAAGATGAACATGATCACCGGCATGAAGGAAGTTTGGGTCTGTGAGGAGACGGAAACCTTGCCATTCAATTATAGTGGTAGCGGTCCCGATGAAATATACATTTGCATTTTCATCGCCTTTGCTGCCTTTAGGATGAGTCTTGGTTGTCTTTGCGAGGATGGATTGGTTATCGCCAACGGTTGGTTTGTCTTTCAGCAAGGGCTGCCTCTTGGACAGTCCAAGTTCGACTGACCCCTTATCAGACATAATGCTTGTTGTGCGAATTTTGAGTTATGAGATGATTTCTGTGTTGTTTTGGTGATTTCTTGTCACTCCTCATATATATGGTAGGTGTTGCTAGATGACGTTTGTCTGGCGTAGGTCACTTACAACCAGAGAACATCGCTCATGTCTTTTACCGAACAGGCAATAGAACGTCATAGAATATGCGAGTAACATAGCTAGTAGCATCATGTTATTCCTTTCGAAAGGAAATTGCAGAAGTCATTGATTGGACAGCCGCATTGAACTGCTTAGTTTAATGTATTCCTGTCATTGAGTCAACTAGTAGTACACTGGCTAATACGAGATATATGCTCAGTTCCGTGCAGAAGTTCTAGCAATGAGCCAAATGTGAATATATGTAGTAAAATAGATATTAAGTATATTATTCCTAGAAGATTTTATATGTAAGTTTGTGATCGAATTCTATAATATCATATAAGCTGAATAGAGCTTGTGAGAATTTACATCATCTTGAATGAAATATAGCGCCCAACGATGAGGAAGCATATGAGCTCCCACACTGCCGCGCCAATGGGTTCCTGCAAATTAAAAATCTCCCGATATTGACATAGCGTTCTTATAGAGACGCCAAGTTCTTCACGACATGTTCGAGTATATTCTTAACGGGTTTACTTCTAGTTGGCGTCCCGAGTTTTGCCCTTGCTCGGGGAGCCACTTCAGTCGTAGGTTTCATGCTGTTCACGAAAGATCTGACAAAGATGATTGTGTTTGGTGAGAGGTATTGGAAGGAGATTTAATACCGTCCATACGTGCTCGTTCGAGTTATGATTGCGGAACTATCTATGCTATTGAAGTTCATAGACTGCCCATGCTTGGATGTGGAAGCATATGACCCGACCCATCACTGCTGTCAACAGACAGTCATTCCAAGAATCGGCACCCAGAATGAATTAGTGTCCATATTTAATCAGCGTAGGTACTTTATGAGACGCCCATGTTTACCGGTATTCTCATTAATCTTTCTTGGCATTTTTATATCCCTAAATACATAGTCTTGCAATTCTTGGGCAATTGCAGCTAAGATTTGAACTATCCAAATTGCGAGCTGCTGATTAACAATAAGACAGGTCGAATGGTGTAGTGGTTTATCACGCTCGCCTCACACGCGAGAGGTCCGGGGTTCAATCCCCCGTTCGACCTTTTTGTTCTTCTTTTCGACATCGAGAGAATTGCCTCACTGAATATCATTATTCTTACTCTTCTAGGGCCTACTTAGTTAGACCACTCTGTTTTTATAAAGGTCGTGCACGGTACTAACCAGTAGTAGAGATTCAGTCAGTTAAAAAAGGTATGAAAATTAATTTACACCGAGACAAGCCTAGCACAGAGCCTATGATATTGGTCACGTCTCACACTTGATCTCGTGAGGTGGGCATATAATACAAAATAATACATATTGTGAGATATTGCAGAAGCCAGGAAGTGCAATCACTTGGCTGAGGGTGTTGTCATAATTTCTCTCTAGATTGACGACGATTTAACTGAGCGCCAGTACTATTCTTCTTGCATTGATAATTTCGTCACTTAGACCACCAACCCCCCAACTTAATTAGCTCCGGTAGCTGTAGCTCTTCATAGCTCTTAAAGCCGTTACTAAATTGGATGACGTTGTCTGACACTTTGTTTGTGCTTAGGTATGGCGAGCCAATCATGTCGCATCGCTGTGCACCTAGGCCACGAAAGCTGAGGGGCTTTGACCGACTTCTACAGTGACGACGACTCCATTCTCGGGCATCAACATGAGATTAACCAAGTCCTAACAATTTTAATTAAATCTTTGCTCGTACGGCTGCCTTATAAGTAATATTGCGACAACCATTTTGGTATGCGCCACACCGCGACCTTTCCTGCGCACTTGCTATAGGCTCGTAGCCTTGACGTACGATGCCAGACCGCAGCCCGTCGCATAGTTCCAGCGATGGAAGCTCCCCGGAGCCAATTCTTAGTCGCGATCGACCCAAGGAGCGCGAAAGACCCCGAGAGAATGACAGAGAAAAGGACCGCGACAGGGATCGTGACAGGCCGTTGAATGAGGGGAAAGATAACCGTGAGAATGCGAGAGACAGCTATTTCGACATCGGAAGAGACAAGGAACGAGATCTAGACAGAGATCGAGACAGGGATCGTAACAGATCACCACCTGAGCCGAGAGATAATCGCGACAATGGAAGAGAAAGAGAGAAAGACCGGGACCGTGACCGGTCGCCATACGATATGAGAGATAATCGCGCCAATGGGAGAGACAAGGAGAAAGACAGGGACCGAGATGGAAACCGAGACCGCGACAGGTCACCATATGATTCGAGAGAAAATCGCGACACTGGCAGAGACAAGGAGAAAGATAGAGACCGCGATCGCGACAGCTCATTCGACGACCTGAAAGATCACCGAGACAATGGGAAAGACAGAGATTACAACAACGGGAGAGACAAAGACCGCGATAACGGTCGAGGTGCTGATCGCGATGTCGACCGCGATATTGATCGCGACCGAGACAGAGAGAAGGATAGGGATAGGGACAGGGACCGAGATCGCGACAGGTCCCTGGATGATATCAGAGACTCTCGCGACAGCGGAAGAGACAGAGAGAAAGATAGAGACCGGGATCATGATAGGTCACTAGACGATGTAAGAGACCATCGCGACAATGGACGAGACAGAGATTTCGACAATGCAAGAGACAGAGATCACACCACCAGTCGCGACAGAGACAGACTCAAAGATCGAGATGTCGATAGAGACAGGCGCCGCGACAGCCGTATACCCCCACGTGTGGCACGAGAACCCCGCGAGCATCCTCCCCCGCCTAGCAAGCGAAACAGCATCACCGGCCGCCTCCTTGGGTCCTTGAGGGCTGTGCGCGGCGACAAGGACAAAGATAAAGAGATACCCATACCAGCTGTAGCCTCTTCAATCCAGCGACGCGCCTCTACCGCTGTTACCAAAGGTGGTCCAGTTCTTCGTATCCGCGAGTGGCTTGATGCGTGTAACGGTGATCACGAACACCACTGCGCCGTCCCTTCAAAAGTTGATATAACGACATGGCGTCCTACTTGGCTCATCGACGTTGTTGAGCGCTGTCTGGTCAAATCGACACCTAAGGACCGTTACCTGGCACTGAGTTATGTCAATGGAACCCAACGGCATGGATCACAGGATTACACGCATCTGCTGCAGTCCAACGTGGAAGCGTTTCAAGATCGCTTACCAAATCAAGATATGCCTCAGACTTACTTAGACGCCATGTGGCTTGCCAAGAAACTAGGCATTCGACATATTTGGATCGATCGGATCTGCATCACTCAAGATAACCGGGAGGAGATGGAAGATCATGTCAAACACATGGCATATGTATTCTCCAATGCGTATCTTACTATCGTTGCGACCACTGGCGATGTTCACACTGGACTACCTTCTCTTGATCCAAAGCGATCGACACGCGGTATTCGAACCACCAGCCGTACTCACCAGGAGCTGGTGGCAGCTTCGCCATGGTACACCAGAGGCTGGACTCTCGTTGAGCGCATCTACGCTCGACGCTCGGTCTTCTTCTTTGAGGACGCCGTGACCTGGGAATGCCACTGCGAGACTTGGCAGGGAAGCCCGAACAGTGTCATGAAGAAGCTTAGAGGTGGTCGCCAAGACTGTACCGGTGTAATTCCTGACGCCTCGTTCGCCTTTCAGCACCCGCCGTGGCCTGACCTTGACGAATATGCCCGCTATGTCATGGAATACAGTGCCCGGAAACTCACACTTGTCGACGACACTCTGCCCGCCTTTGCTGGAATTACACATGTTCTCTCTCGCTCGTTCTCCGGCGGCTTTATCTACGGCATGCCTATAATGTTCTTGGATATTGCTCTACTGTGGCGCCCTCACGCTTCCATCCGAAGGAGAGCTCTCTCAAGGCCACCGTTTCTCCCATCGTGGTCTTGGATGGGTTGGTGGTTTGATAACATCCCAGTCGATCTCACCCTGTGGAGAGCCTCTGCAGATTACGTCGAAGAGGCTCGGACTGGGAAGCGCGGCCAAGAAACTAAGCGGTACCGATCCGCACACGCGTTCCGCATTAAGCCGATCATCACCTGGAACTTGACGGACCGGGCCGCGGCCGTGCCCGTCATGAACACCGGTCTTCAGTACCGTGATCTTCGGGGTCGGCGGAGCCCTAACTCGGACCTACCTCCGGGATGGTCCCGAAGCGGCTCACACTTTATACACGATAGTGATGAATCCGCAACCTTCAAGTATCCTATTCCTGTAGAGGATCCTCCTGAGAAAGGCGGTTACGAGCCACCTGTGGGCGAGCAAGCCTATCCTGGCCCACTACTCTCATTCCGCACAACAAGCGGTTTCTTCGAAGTAGAGTTCCTGACCACACTGGCACACCGCGAACGCACCAACCCACCTCTCGCCGTCGGCACCATCTGGAACAAGGCCAACCGCTGGGCTGGACAGTTCCGCGCCCACGACGCCTGGCTCGGCATCCAATCGTCCAACTACGACGGCGAAGAACGACTAGAGTTTATCGCCATATCAACAGCCACGGAGCGTCGCGGCTCGCACGTGTTCGACACGGAGAAATTCGAAGAGCACATGGACGCCGACGACATGATCGACTTTGTCAACGTCCTATGGATCGAGCGCATCGGGGGTATTGCGTACCGCAGGGGTGTTGGCCAGATCTTGCTCAAGACGTGGGAGGCGCAGGCCAAGGACGAGGTTAGTATTCTACTCGGTTAGGGGAATACAAGGGTTTAGCACGGTGTTGGCGTTTAGGCTGGGTTATTCAAAATGTACGTTGTAATGGAGTTGTCGGGACGAATCTTGGTCTAAGCCTTTGACGTTTTATGAATTTTGAGGTGATGATGGGGACATACACGACTATGAGTTGGGGTATTAGACAGCCTGCCATATGTATTCTTTGATCTGTAACACAGAACAAGAGCCTTTGACTTACAATATTGAACCGTTTTGAATTGATAAGATTATGACGTCTAAACGTCAGAGTATATCTATAGTGTTGGTTATTATCAGTAACCTTTCACCTCTTACAGAAGCTGACTCTGATATTCTTAAACAAACATGTCATTCCTCAATATCAGAGCCCAACAACTCAGTTCCCTTTGGTCACATCTACTCATCAACCGGAGCAAATGCACCAGCCGCCAATTAAACCCCCTCCAAACCGCTGCCACGCGGCTCAAATGACCATTTGTGCATCTTGGCATATCACCACCAGCACATGGGACCCTTGATAGCAGCAAATGCTACCCCATCCAGCAACGGTATCATGTTAACAACTCGACGTCTCTGATTGGACGACGGAATTCATCTTTACTTATCGGCCTTTTTTTTTTGTTGATGATGTCGATCTTCGGGTGTAAGCTTATTTCGTCTTCACCTCCGAAACCCCAGCCTAGCAATATCGCTTTGGAATCAATCACATTACACAAGTTCTTTTCTATGACGCGACTTCTCTTCGCTGCGGAGTCTAAAAATGATTTGTGGCCGATCAAAGAGTCACAGTGTTCCATTGAAGTCCACAATACCGCTCAATGCCTGGTAATCTTTCTCCCATGAGGCTGTGTTTGCCCAAGCTCTCGGAAGGTTTTTGGGGTTCACCATCTTTACAGGGAAACATTTTCCGAACGATCGCAAATCTCAATATTTGTCTTCTTAGAGGTTTAGAGAGGACTGCAGGGATACAATGCATCCACCTCCCGTTCATCACTTGGCGAGTCCGTGTAAATCGCGATTAACTTGAAGATCAACTGCGCTCAGGCCCCTGTATGGCCTTATGTTATCATTTCCTCCAGGGATTGGTGATCTTTTAGTTGAGAGCTCATGTCTAAAGCTGACGACATCCTGCTCGATGACTTCAGAACCATGTCCGATGGTCCCGTTTACATCACTCGCGTATCATAGGCAGTCAATGGGCCCGTTTGTTCATGCTGTAGAGTAATCCCAAATCGTTTCTAGCTTGTGAAGTCATTATAGTTTTGTGAAAGTATAAAATACTGAAGGGGCCCAGCCTCTTTGTGTGCTGGGATTTACAAAGGGAACTTTTCATTTTTCCCTGGTCGACAACGCTTGTCACTCTAAATATGGTGTCTTCCAAACTTCTTATCGCCTCTCTTGGCTTTGCTAGCTTGTCTGTCGGCCAATGCCCTTTTGCTGATCCAGGTAAACTGGCTGCTAGAGACGAGGGGAATTCTCGTGAGCATCTAGAGGACTATGAAGTCGATGATAGCAAGGGGTACATGAGTTCCGATGTTGGCGGCCCCTTCGAGGATCAAGAGAGCTTGAAGGCCGGAGAACGGGGCCCAACTCTACTGGAGGATTTTATCTTCCGCCAAAAGATCACACATTTCGATCATGAGCGTGTATGTTCCTCCTTCTGAGACGTGTAATTAGGTGGAACTGATCTCCTGTCACAGGTCCCCGAACGAGCCGTTCACGCACGAGGCGCTGGAGCGCATGGAACTTTCACAAGTTATGGCGACTACAGCAACATCACAGCAGCTTCATTCCTCGGCGAGAAGGGAAAGAAAACCCCGACGTTTGTTCGCTTCTCCACTGTTGCGGGATCAAGAGGTAGTGCCGATACTGTGAGAGACGTACACGGATTTGCTACTCGATTGTACGAACCCCTTGAACACCGAGTGATCTAATACATACTTACTGGTATAACAGCTACACAGATGAAGGCATACTTGATCTCGTAGGGAACTCTATCCCCGTGTTCTTCATCCAAGATGCCATTCAATTCCCCGATCTCATCCACGCTGTCAAGCCCTCCCCCAATAGTGAGATCCCCCAAGCTGCTACAGCACACGACTCAGCATGGGACTTTTTCAGCCAACAGACGACAACATTGCACACTCTGTTCTGGGCCATGGCCGGACACGGTATTCCCAGGAGTTACCGTCATATGGTAAATTGAAAAACCTAAGAGCCTATCTCTATACCCGCATCTAACAAACATAGGATGGTTTCGGCGTGCACACTTTCCGCCTAGTAACCGACGACGGTGACACAAAGTTCGTCAAATGGCACTGGAAGACCAAGCAAGGCAAAGCCAGTCTTGTATGGGACGAGGCGCAGCATCTTGCAGGAAAGAATGCCGACTATCACCGTGCAGACCTTTGGAACGCCATTGAGTCTGGCAACGGACCTGAGTGGGAACTCAATGCCCAGATCTTCGATGAGGACCAGGCTCTGGAGTTTGGATTTGATGTGTTGGATGCTACCAAGATCATCCCCGAGGAGTATGTTCCTCTGCAGCCGCTTGGTGTGCTGAAGCTTGATGCAAACCCCGTCAACTACTTTGCCGAGACTGAGCAAATCATGGTAGGTTATGCAGTACTATGGATAAGGGCTCGACTAACTTGTGTAGTTTCAACCTGGCCACATTGTTCGCGGCATCGATTTTACCAACGATCCTCTGCTGCAGGGACGTATCTTTTCTTACCTCGATACCCAACTCAACCGTCACGGAGGTCCTAACTTTGAGCAACTTCCCATCAACCGACCCCTATCTCACATTCACAACAACAACCGAGATGGAGCTGGTCAGAACTTCATCCACAAGAACACTGCCCCTTGTAAGTCTCTTTCCTATCTTTTCAAAAAGAAAATTGTGCGACTAACACCTTTAGATACTCCCAACACCTTGAACAAGGGCTACCCCAAGCAGGCAAACCAGACTCAGGGCAAGGGTTTCTTCACAGCCCCTGGCCGCAAAGCTTCTGGAAATCTGTCTCGCTCCAGAGCTTCTACTTTTTCTGATCACTGGAGCCAGCCGCGGCTCTTCTATAACTCTCTTACAAAGGTCGAGCAGCAGCTCCTCATCAACGCCATTCGCTTTGAGACAAGCAACCTCAAGTCTGAGACTGTGAAGAAGAATGTTCTCTTCCAGCTGAATAAAATCAGCCACGATATCGCCGTCAGAGTGGCCAAGGTGCTAGGCCTCGAAGCTCCTGAAGCTGACGATACCTATTACCACGACAACACCACGGCTGGAGTCTCAACCATGGGAAAGAAACTTCCCACCATCGCTACTCTCACTGTTGGTGTCTTGGCATCCACAAACTCCAAGAACTCAATCGAGCAGGCCAAGGCTATCAAGAAGGCTCTCGCCGAGGACAAAGTGACTGTTACGATTGTAGGCGAGTTCCTGGGAGATGACGTTGAGGTAACCTACGATGGTGCAGACGCCGCTAAGTTCGACGGTATTGTAGTCGCCAGCGGTACTGAGTCTCTTTTCAACGGCACAAGAAAGTCAACTCTCTACCCTCCCGGCCGCCCAGCACAGATCATTGTGGACGGCTACAACTGGGGGAAGCCAGTTGGATTTGTCGGAAGCGCAAAGGCAGCGGCTCAAGCAGCGAGGGTTGGTAATGGAGAGGGTGTGTATCTCTCTAAGGACGTGGATGCTGTGGTCAAGAACCTTAAGGATGGTTTGGCAATTTTCAAGTTCACTGATCGATTCCCCCTGGATGACTGAGGTAATTGTTAGAATAGTTATTAGTCAAAGCAATTTTGTCCTCCTATATAATATTAATAGATTTGGTACATTATGAACGACAGTGTCTTTGCCTAAACTTGTGTGGTTTACTGAAGCTCGTTACTAACACAAGGTTGTCTAACTAGCAAGCCTTGTAGACCTACCTAGGCTTGCAGAGACAGCTAGGCTTGCAACCCAGATTTCGTTGGTATGCACGCGGGCAGTATCATTCACCTTCAACCTTTTCTAATTCGGCATTTGAGAAGGTTCCTTGTTAATCGTATATCACAAGCATCCAACAGCAAACTACCTACCCGAGACTATATTTCTGAAACAGTATAACATAACTATCATGGCACATCATAAGAACATATGCTTCTGGTGTAACCATATACTGAGAGCCAAGTCCATAAAGTCTTCTGAATTTACACCTGACATTAATACTCAAGAGATGAGAGGCTTGTATCTAGTACTTACCTGATTTAGTTATCAATCACAGACCCAGGCACCATGATTGGACCAAGCCTAGTTCAGTCCCCTAACTCCCCGCCTGACTCGGGCACATGGTCCCCTAAACGAACCCGCCCCGTCTCCCGGGCCCCTGTTGAGATCTATCGGATCTTATCTCCCAGCGGGACCAGTCAATGTCATCATCATCTTCACTGGGCACCCCCCACAACCCGCGTCCCTCATTCATCACCACGAGTTCACTTTACTGTCTCATCGTGACCTGCGACTACAGCTTGTCAGGCGAGAAGGAAAGAAGAAAAGACCGTCACGCGATCTGGCTGTCTTGCTCGCCGGCTCTTGATAGGAGCTTGTTTCACGTCCGCATGCGCTCCCTTTCTTGACGGCTCAACAGTCCTGAGTCGAAGCTATCTATACATTCGGCAACGCTGCCACCGTCCGAAGCCACATTTACATATATCGGACGCCGCGATCTGTACAAAACTTGAGCCTATCTTATCACCAACGGTCCGAAACTTGGCGATTGTGACAACACGCGTAAATACTATGGAACGCGTTCGAAGGGCGCTGGGTCGTCAAAACTCGGCTACATCAACATCAGAATATGAGCCGTTGACTGGCAATGAGGAGGCGACCCCTCTAGAAGGATCTACAGTGCTCGAAGGCCAGCACGAGCTGCCGTTCTCATGGGTGGAATACAGCATCTTTGCCCTGTTGGGCGTTGCCATGCTCTGGGCTTGGTGAGTCTTTCTTCCATGTACACCAAATGGTGAAGCTAACGTTGATATAGGAACATGTTTCTTGCTGCGGCTCCTTATTTCACAGCTCGATTCGCAGGCGATGCTTGGATCCAGGCTAATTTCCAGTCTGCCATCTTGACTGTCTCTACTATTACTAATCTTGGTGCCATGCTTGTCCTTACGAGCATCCAGTACTCTGCATCATATCCTTTTCGAATCAATCTGGCTCTCGTTATTAACGTGGTCACATTTGGTCTGCTAACAGCTTCCACTGTCCTCGGCCTTGACGCATCACCTACAATTTATCTTGTGTTTTTGCTCGCCACTGTTGCTGCTGCCGCCTGCGCCGCTGGTCTCATCCAGAACGGCGCATTTGCCTTTGCTGCCAGTTTCGGCCGCCCAGAGTATATGCAGGCCATCATGGCAGGCCAAGGCATCGCCGGTGTCCTCCCTCCCATCGCGCAAGTCTTCACTGTCCTCGCCTTCCCTCCTGATACAGACCAAAACACCAAAAGACCGTCCCCTGAAGATGGCCAAACATCAGCCTTTGTCTACTTCCTCACCGCCGTAGTTGTCTCGGTCGCTGCGCTGGTCTCCTTTATCCCATTGGTCCGCCGCCATAATCACATTATTGAGAACCGCATGGTCGAGCAAATGAACGAGTCTATGCATAGTATCGAGGAGGCCGAACGTGCCGCTCGTAAGGTTACATCCCTCTGGCGGCTTTTCACAAAGCTTCACTGGCTTGCCATTGGTGTGGCGTTGACGTTCACCGCAACTATGTTCATGCCCGTCTTCACAGCTAAAATCCATTCTGTGAAAGAAAGCTCCGGGACTATTTACCAGCCCGCCGCCTTTATTCCCCTCAGTTTCTTCTTTTGGAATTTGGGCGACTTGAGTGGGCGTATAGCCACAATACTGCCATTCTCCCTAAGACACCGCCCATTTGCACTTTTTGTCCTATCTATCCTCCGATACGGTATTCTACCGCTGTACTTGCTTTGCAATATTGACGGCCGTGGCGCCGTTGTTTCGAGCGATTTCTTCTACCTTGCCGTTGTTCAGTTAATCTTTGGTCTCACCAACGGCTGGCTCGGGTCTAGCTTTATGATGGCGTCGGGCGAGTGGGTAGACGAAGGTGAGCGTGAGGCTGCCGGCGGCTTCATGGGATTGTGCCTCGTTGCAGGGTTGTCAATTGGGAGTGTCCTAAGTTTCACGGTGGCAGATATTTAGACTGGTTGCACATGAGTGCATTAGAATTGGGAATTTTATGGCGTTATGGCCATCAATAGTCATTTTGGAGAAACGATAGATATTGAACTTTGTGGCACCTCTATGCCTGGTATTGGATGTAACCAATCATGAATACATGTCATATATCAAACCAGAAAGTATTTATCCTTACATAACATAGTACCCAACGCCCAGCCGCCCCTTGACTGTATGCAACCAACCATGCCCCATACCCAGACCTGTACCCATGCCATGCCATGCTATGCCGTGCCGTGTCATGCAAACCCGCCGTCGATGATATGCACTGATGCAACCTTGTAATGCAAAAATAGAAAAAAGAAGACTACGGTTCCTGTCCGCAGATTTGCCCGTGACATGTCAAGGATGTCTGCTTACAGGCTTTGACAACCATTTCGGGAGATTCCTGCATCGTGTTAGCAGGGGTGAACGAGGCTGGCATCTGGGAATATGACGTGTAACACTTACGGAGGCTCGTTCCGAAATGGGCATACTTCAGTTTTTGGCTTATCCTTCCTGCCTGGCTCAAGCAGTCCCGTGAGCTTCGCGGGATGTGTTGTCATCCAGTGAACCAGGGCTTGCTTGGTCATACTCTCAATAGGGAAATGCACCGCCTTGTCGGTATGAGAGCCTTTAGCCTTGATGCCGATTATTCTCACGAGCTGATCCCGCCTGCGGGACCACTCGAGAAGACATTTTGTGGGAGGGTGGTAGTACTGATCGTTACACATGATCCAATCAGCCGTGTAGCAGCCCGAATCAATGAGATCTTTCTCGGCCGACGTCCATCGTTTAAACTTGATGTCTGTATCCTTGAGATCGAAATCACCGAGCCTGACTCGCAGTCGTTGCTCAGGGGGCACATGTGGACCTAGGTTCATCTGAACAAAGCATGTGCAGTCGCGAACTGTCATTGCCAAGCTGAACATTGGGTCATTCTTATCGGCGTGTAAAGGACCCTTGGTATCGGCGAGGTTCTGAAGCCACCTGAGATCACGGATAACTTGGTGGTCCGCTGTCTTGGCCAAAAGCTCCCGTACCATTGGGTCCTTGGCTTTGGAAGCTAGCTTGGGAGCAAAGCGGTATGGCGAGCTGATGGCGGCGGGAGCGTCGGGGTTGGCAAGTGTGAGAGGGCAAGGCTTTTGCTCTGGCGTATGTCTTGAAGGACTCGGATCCCGAAGATAATTAAAGAGTTCCATGGCGCATTGCCGACATCGTATGGCGCCCTGAGGAGCACTTGGCGATTGAATGAGCCACTTGGGCTTGAACTCAACAAGAATGCTGTGTTTTGGGTCTGATGACTGTAAGTCAGTGTTCTGATATCAAACAATATTTCGTAAATGGAAACCTACCAGATATCCGCATATCCTCAACAAGAAGACCCCAGTTAGACTCAGACACGAATGAACCCCTGAACTTCTCCTTGCGTTGATGGTCTATAGACCGGAGGAAGGCGTTTAGTTGAGGGATGATATTGGTGTGACGAAGGACGACAAGCTTCTGCTGAATGGCATGTGTCTTGAGAAATGGCGTGATTTGTTTTGCGTAGAACTCTTGCTGTTTTAGATAGTTGAACCTGGCGGGTTGACCACTAGCAGGAGCTTTGGCAACACGCAGAAGCCAGCCTGGACAAGATATCAGTACATGTTAATGATGGATGACAGTAGAAAGAGCAAACCTTTGAAGTCATTGGCCCACTTGTTTCCTTCTGGAATGTCCAGCTCAAATACCACATTGGCAGCACCTTCGCCAATTAGCTTGATTGGCCGAGTTCCCATTGGGAGTCTCTTGAGAGTTTCGCGATTCCATGACAGCGGAACGGCACTCCCATTGAGCATGATGGACATTTCGACAACATCTTGAGGAGTTGGCCAAATATGGTCGTCTGCTGAAGAAGAGAAACAAAGATCCGGGTCGGTATCGGTGGGTGTAAGCTGTCCATCGGACAGTGATGGAGTCGACATGATGGTAATTGGTGACTGGTGGCTAGTGACTGGTGACTCGAGACCAGGATTGTGCAGATACTAGGTAGCCTGCAAGGTACCTTCAAGCCACCGATGTCGCGCGTTTTGCGGTGGGGAGGAGAGGGGAAAGTTTGTGTAGAGGAGGGTTGGAGTTTATATGGGGACAAACAAGACAAGACTCGACAGGTGGTGAAATGGAGGAGTTATGAGTAAGATGAATAAGGAGAGGAGAGCAGGAGGAAGAGGAAGAGAAAGATGAGGAGGAGGAGGAGGAGGAGGAGGAGGGGCGTGTAGATATGTATAAGATATAACACCTAGAGACTAAGGAAGAAGGTAGGTAGGTAGGCACAGTAGCTCGTAGATCGATCGCTGCTGGCTGAACAAGTGGAAATGGAAAGAAACCAGGTTACAAGCACTTGCAGCTGCGCCAGCGTCGGCTTCTGTTGCTTGTCGATGGTCACGCTTCTTATAAGTGCGTCTGCGTCTGCATTTGCATCTGCGTGAGCGTGTGCACCTGTAGGCGTATGCGTAGGTGTAGGTGTATCTGCATTGACGTCTTCTGAAAGTGAAAGTCGTAATTCCCAATACTCGAGCTGTCTTGCTTTTGTATCCGTATATAAGTGTAACAAGAGACGAGGGCTCAAGACTCTTTATGATTCGATGGTGCGTCAAGCCCAAAGCCCAAAGCCCCCAAAAAGATTCCACCGAGGACAAAGCCGTAGCGGGAACCGTTCAAAAGTGACAAGCCTTATTCGAGGTTAGGTTTTGGTTAAACCTACTCAAGAGGAAGTCCAATAAGGCAACACGGGTTGTTTCTGTCGCCTTGTATACGTGCCGATGCATGAGGCCACAAGCGAGGCAGAATACAACAACGGCAGTGTGGTAGATGCAAATAAGATGTATGAGATGTGATGCCTCGGGTTACACAGCAATAGAAGCTGGGCCAAACGTCATGTAGGGGTGAGAGCAGGGGGTGTGTGGGAGGACAAGATCGAGCAGAGAAGGGTAAGGGTAAGGGTTCAATGCTGTAAGACTGGATGATGGTGAGTGTGAGGGTGATGTCTGACTGTCGTTCTTTGTTCCTATTAGAGCAACTTCAACATCACCGCTTGTCTGGGTCTGATAGCTGTGATGAAGAGTAAGGATGTAGGTAGGTCGCGGTTATTGCAGGGACAGCAAAATAAATGGAATGATACGATGAGTTGTCAACCCCATTCTCGTCTTTTTTTTGTCCTCTTGTCATAAACGAAACACTGTTGTTGGCATGATACCTCCTGTTGGCAGATGCGTCCACCGCAACAAGACAATCTACGAGCAAAGTGGATTGGACAGGATAGCTTGAGGAACCGACTCTGCCGACAATAAGCAAAGACAATGACAAAGACAGAGACAATGGATAATAAAAAAAGCAATGGACAAGAAAACCCCGCGTACAAGAAGGAAAAAGAGGCACAGAAGAGGGTCTTTTGGTCGCCAGCGGCGGTGCAGAATGCAGCCCACGATACGACTACAGGCCACAGTGGATGCTCACCCACCGTCTAACGAGCCTAAGAAGCCTAGAAAAGAAAAGTCGAAGATCCAATTTGATCTGATGGTGACGCACAGGTTACTAGGGCGTGCACCGGACCCGGACTAGACTGAGCGCCAATGCCAGTCATCGTCTCTGGCAGCAACCATAGCGAACAAGCCACTACAGGCCCCTGTGACCAATTACCGTCGAGCATATCACGACAGCCAAGCCCATTTTGATCCAGGCTCAGGCTCTGCTAGGCCGCCTGCATCTGCTTCTGCTGCATCTCCATCTACAGCATGCACCTGCAAATGCACCTGACAGAAAACAAAGGTCCATGAGCCCGGGCCACGATAATTCATCGTCTACTAGCCACCTAATCTTGAGAGCCGAGGCTTAGCTCCGTCCCCCGCGCGCCAAATTGCCCGACTTGAGGCCTGCCAGCGGGTATCAACCAGTCAATGGATGCACTTATTGCATGGCATCTGTAGACTATAGCCTTTACTCCGTACACAACAACAATACCGAGTGGACCACTTCCTATTGTCAAGGTTAAAACAAGGAAACGCATTGTCCAAGTTCTTGTCCGCTTTCGTCAAAGTGCCATCGTGCTGCCGCCGTTTTCCCTGTGCAAGCCTGCAAGCCTGCAAGGCCACTGATAATCGGTTCAGGGCCCTTGCACCCCTTGCATCCTGGGTCCCTGACCCTGGAACCCGGGCGCTATTCAACAGCCCAAGACGGGCAACCTCAACCATGGGAAACCCTGCCCGCATTTTCATTCGCGCAACACGACAGCAGTGCTGACAACGGGCTACCGACAGCTCAGAACAAATGGATGGCCACCTATGCTCAGGTTCAGGTTCAGCAGCGTGGCACGCCTGCAAAAAAACGTCGCTGAGCCGCCGCCACGAATGACTCAAAGGGAGTAAAGCCCAGCGCTATTCACAGGCCTCCGTCTTCGCAACTGGCTGATACCGATACGGTGAAAGGCCCCCCAGGCACGCGGTCAACATGATGTTCATCGGTCTCGCCGGCTGATGATGTCACCCAAGCTGGCGGTGATGCCTGTTGACCACGAAACACTGCTCTGTCGTTGGTGGTTGGGAGAAAACACAAGTCGCCAGTTTGACAGTTGACAGTCCAAACAGGACACCGCTCGTGACGATCACGGGGCCGTGAGTATGCAGAATGACTGCATTCTTCTGCTTCTTTTGCTTCTTTTGTTTCTTCTTCGCTTCTTCCTGAATCGTACTGCGAATGAGCGTTCCCCAAAGGCCATTGCCGGGTTGCGGGGATCTTACAGTATACAGCGTGGAGGTTTGCTAGCGCAGACCCTGGCAGCCTGGGAGATCGTCGGACGTTTGTGTCCATGCTGCTAAAACTCGCACGTGGAGTTTCGACTTCAGAGCTCGAGCTTTGATCTTTGTCAATGCGATCGTCATAAACAAATCTAGACCCTGGCCATAATGAGAAGAAACAATCTATTCAAGTACTCCGTATCCGAACTCCGTAGAGATCTAGAAATAGGGTTATAAGTCCGATCTCCGTAAATCCGGGATCTACTGTTTTACCAATTTCATATCGGCAAACTTACCTTACTTAACTTACAACCTCTCCCAGCGAACACAGGTAGTCATCGTCTCTTTTTTTTACTTTCCCTTCCCTGACTAGCAAGGGCAAGCGATGCACTGCACTCGAAGCGCACCGACTTGCTTAACCGCCGGTGCTTTGACACAAAAGCATGCCTTGGCGCACTGTTTCTTAAATTCATCATGCCCGCTGCTGTTCCCAATGTGTGACGCCCAATTGCTTTTGATCACCCACAGCTGAAAGAGGGGAGACACATTCGGAGATTATTTCGAATGTGGAGGAGGCTGGGGTCGCACAAAGAACCTCACACTCAGGCTTCAGCTTTGTGGAACATCAGGGATGAAGTTCCGGCAATCTCAACTCATGAGGTACGGCACCTACATGAGTGCCCGTTTAAGCTGCGTTGACATGAGGGACAACCAATATATATCCCGGTCGACCGTCAGCTGGTGGGATATGTAGTCTCACCAACACTTGTGCCTTGCATGTCGAAGGGGAGTTGAGCCGTTGTGGCCTGTTGGAGATGGTGTGGCCGGGGAGGTTGTTTCTAGATTGACTGTTGAGAATCGAATGATGGGTATGTAGCCAGGAACATAATATTGACTAGTTGTACTCTGTAGATACATGCGCCATTGCTAATTACCTCGAGCAAGTGTTGAATAAAATTGAGACATGCATTAGTATACAGCATTTTCTAATAAACATGCACCGAAAATAAGTAGGCTACCTTTCGACCGAGAGAAAGAAATAATTGAACGGGCTGTAAGTCTGAGACAATTCAATAAACCCATCCAAGTATGCTGCAAGTTGCTTGGTTTGCGAGTATCGTGGGGTAAAGTAAAGTGCGCTGCTTATCGCTGCACAGCCTTACATTGCATTGCACATGATCAAATGCCGCATATAGCAGAGAACTTATTGTGAACCATGGCCATCCCATTTCAATACGTGCCACTTCTACCTCCTCTTCCGTTCCCACCCGGTCCCCGTCACCTTTCTTTGCTGTTAGTTTCCCTATTCAGACATGGCCCCCATTGATAGAAGTGCTTGCATGAAGTGCGAGAGGTCGGCACCAAGGTCGGTATCCGATCGGAGGACTCCGGGAAGAGCCGCTGGCCCGTGTTGTCGTGTAAGATGCCTGAGCGCTAGATGGGCTTTTTAGGCGATGCCCTAATAAGGCACAGCATTGCCATACAGAGACAGCTCTTTATACTCTGTAGGGGTCTTGGCCCTCTTTGGGTCAGTAAGATGGGTTCCCTTTTCCCCAGAAAGTAGGGATGAACATCGAACCACCTGATGCAGACGTCGTCCCACGAGCCCATCTTCAGCAAAGTGCAACGTGCAGCGCAATCATCTGACAGTGACGACTCTTATTGATTAAGGATGCGATAGCATTGGGCAGAAGTAAAATTCTCTGCTGTACGTTCGCATAAAAAAGCACGGGGTTGCAGGGAGTTTGGGGGTAATCAGGAATTATACAAAGTTGGCACTTCTCCGCGTTTCTCTCGCGATGGTCGCGAATTGATGCACCCCTCAAAAAACGCATTGGAGATTTTGAAGCTAGACTTTCACTTGCCATAATTCTTCTATATTAAGCATTTCATATTTACATCAACCCACATATTGCATGAGATAACCTCGGAAGTTATGCGATCTCCCTGTGCATAGTGGACCTGAGAACTTTACAGCAGTTCTTCTTTGGTTATATTCCTCTGGTTTTCCCCCTCCGGACTCCGATTGCCCTCCGCACGGGGATACGGACGAAAGTTTTGCATCATCGGCTAAGACAGCTTGGACCAATCTGAAACTTCAACCTACAGTAGTCTCGAATTGCCGCTGCATTAACAACTCACAACCTATGCAATAGACTCCATATTATCAACCTACCACCATCTCTACACACCAAAACATCTCTCACCGCCAGAATATTTTTGTTTCACACCGGCCACATACATATATCCCATCGCCAAGTGCCTGATTTTACTGCGATTCTTTTGGGCGACTGTATTTCTCCATTCTGCCCGCTAGGCTTTTCGGGTCAAAACGGTCTTTCCATGCCAAAAATCTCCTACAGCCGATTAACGAACCAACCAGATTGCTTTCAATCAATCCTCGGTTGTTCTACCGTTTCGCTTCAGCTCTGCACCAGGGCCAGGACCAGGTGTCTCAACGTTGTCTTTCAGCGGTTTCGCTGTCGATACCCCACTAAAGACTCTCTCTTGACGCCAGTCAAAGCCGCTGCCTCAAGCCCTCGATAAAAAAAATTGCTACAGCGCAGCTCCGAGCTCTCCACTTCCGACCTAACTCCTCCCAATCATTCTTAAGCTGTTTTTTTGCCCGGGGAATCCTGTAGCGTCATCCCCACGATCCGCACTCTTGGGAAATCCTATCCTATCCAGCCGTCTTGTTTTCTTCTCTCTTTGCAATCACCACCGAATTTCCTCTAATATTTCACGTCGCCGTTGTCGAGCTCGTCACCGCCGACAACTCCTCCCACGCGTAACTATCCTTTAATCACCCCGACGTTGAAATATTCCGACCGACGAGACCCGAATCTTTCCCGCATTCGCCCATTACGTCCTCTTGTTTTTTTTGCCTCCACCGAGCTGTATCCAAGCACGCGCCTCTTCCTCGTGCTCTCCGCCCGCATTCGAGCTATCGTCATAGCTGCCAATTCGACGGCACCTCATCCATGATCGTGAAAAGGTGAACGCCATTTCAACATGGCCTTCAACTTCAACTGGTCGCCGCTCACAGCGGATGCCGACTTCTACCGTCGTGCACGCGACCTCTTGACCAAGGCCCTTAACAAGAGCCCGAAACCGCCCATCATCGTCGACGACATCCTCGTCAGCGAATTCAACCTCGGAACCGTGCCGCCCGATTTGGAAATCCTGGAAATTGGCGACCTTGCGGAGGATAGGTTTCGAGGCATCTTCAAAATGACATATTCCGGAGATGCCTTCCTGACGTTGAAAACAAGAGTTCAAGTACGTTTATATGGTATTCTCTATTTACATTTTCTCTTTTCCGCCAATATCTGGTATCTCATACCACATGATGTTTCTCAATACCCTATGAAGCTTCAACCTCAATTGCAGAACACGCATTCATGCCTTGCATTCATCTGGACCATGTCCTACTGACGCGGATCGCCATCCACCAACTCTCGAATCCTCCTTCACAACAACACTTACCACTCCCTTCAAGCTACTACTCTCATGTTGTTTCGTTCCACTGCATTGATGTAACATTGTTTGATTGCGACAATGCGCATCAAACCCCTCCTGTCCCCTGTCAGAGTACCTGCTTTTAGCGCCCTGACCTATGGTTTCTTTCATGCAAAGCTCCTAGCACAACCACTAACAGCTCACAACTATAGGCCAATCCCTTGAACACATACCTATACTCTAAACCAACATTCACATCTCCGCAACCCTTGGCCGCCGCTTCTGGCCTAACGATTCCACTCTCAATCACATTGTCCGATTTCAAACTTTCGGCGTTTATCATATTGGTCTTTTCAAAACAAAAAGGACTTACTCTCGTCTTCCGAAATGACCCACTCGAATCCCTTAAGGTATCTTCTACCTTCGACTCGATACAATTCGTGCGCGACTACCTACAAAGAACAATTGAGCAGCAATTGCGGAACTTGATGATGGATGAGTTACCGGCAATCATCCATAGATTATCCCTTCAACTGTGGTGCCCTGATCAAGCAAACAAGGGCACTGAAACTCCCACGGAGCCGCAAGATGAAGCTGGTGTTGATCCTCTGGCCAGCCCGCCGCTGGATCCTGTTGACGTCAATGGAAACTTGTTGGACCCCAATGCTATTTCCGAACTCACATTGAATGGGAGCGGTGAAGTGCAGTCTCTCTTTTCTCAGAAGAACTTATTACGCCTTGCCGCCCTAACCGATTCGCATCGCACACTGTCTCTTTTCACCCCCGGCATTCGCGATGTTGTCTTCCGTGCTTGGACAGGATATGGGGACCGATCAGAAACAGCTACGCCTTTGGCCTCGACTCCTACTCTCACCAAAACGATGTCGTTCCATGCAGGCAATTCGACAACATACACCTTCTCGGATACTGCAAGCAATGCACACGGACACCTCCCTGCTCGCCCTTCGCTTATCAGCATGAATTCAGCATCGAATGGACGAGCACTGGGTGCTGGCGGACGATCACGAGCAGGGCGCAAGAAGAAGACTCGCGTGGTGAATCTGAGACGCACCAAATCAGAGGCAGCTACTCCAGAAACGGGCAGTGAAGCCTCGGATACGGCGTCTGTTGATGTCCCTCTCACCGAGCCTGCCATCGAAGAATCCATTCCCGAGGAGTCTGAGTCGTCTATCATCGCTGAGGCATCTCCACCGAATAACAAGGTTCGCTTCAGGGGTGCGACTGAAACAGGTCATCCTCCGATCATGGCCAGTCTCCAAGATGCTCAACTGATGGGATCTCCGCTCAAGAATGCTGCCCAACCCCCAGGATCTCACGATTACGCATCCATTGCTGCTATCACTGCTGAACTCAAGGCCCAGGGCAAGGCCTCGGGTTTGGAATACCAAAGTGTCAGCTCAGAGAATTCCTCTGTGATTCTTGAACAAGCATGGATCATGAAGATGGCCGGCGAGATTGCTAAGCGTGTTTACGACGAAAAGAACAGGCAACGCAGTCCCTGGGACGAGCGTGAAGAAGCACCGCCGCCAGCATACGAAGCTGCTACCCAGTAGTAGCAGAAATCGCATAAATCGGTATACTCTACCAACAATCCCACTCTCTTTTAATTTTCTTCATTCTTTCAAGTTGGGCGCCGGAGTTTGGAGGTTTTGGGTCACGGTAACGGCCTAAAGCATATCATTTTCTATGTTTTGTGTTATTTAGCGGCGTTGGAAGAAAGGCAGGTAGGAGGTTAAAACTGTTGTGCCAGGTCGCGTGTTATGACCGGGAAGGTTTTGGAGTGCTGGTTCTGTCGTTCGGCCCTCTGTTTCTACGTCACGACACAGTTGTCTGTTTGGAGTGGTCGGTAACCCCAGGGGGGTGACTCATGACAGTGTCACAAGAGTCTTTTATCAATGTTTTATAACAAAAGGGCGGGCGAGATAGGTTGAGTTAGGGCGATCATTGGGATCGTCGAGATGTCTAGAAGATATCATGGTATTAGGATCAAGGGAGACTAGATAGGGCTACATCTGCATGGTACGCTCATAGGACTCTAGAAACAACTCCAATTCGCATATGATGAAGGAAAAAATTCAGGTATCTAAGTGATTTGATTCATTTTTAATCTTTTGGTTTCGTAATGTGTAACGACCAGCGATCTATCCGGGGGCTGTGTCCCCTGTTTCTTTCACAAGGATGTCGGCCTTTATCCTCCGTCTTTTACGTCTTGGCTCGGCGATCCCAGAGATACTTACATCGCACCATCAAGTAAGTGAGAGGTGATTAGCCGATGCTCACAGGATGTGCCCAAGCCTCGCGAAATGATCAGCGGCATCTGTGGACGCTCATGCTCATGCCTGGCCTCAGACTACCTAAGTAGACTTTGATATCCTACTGTAAGGTGACAACAAAAGATATTTAAATCTGTCCACGTCGACCTTCCGCTTTCGCTGTCGGCATCGGAATCCGGATTGGTGACGAGTTCAAGCAAGGCAGATTTCTTTCTTGCACTGGTTGGAGCACTCTCCACAGGATTTTCTTTTTCGGATCTTTGGTCATCGTTCTATGACTTAGCTGCGGCAGCAGCAGCCTGGTTCTCCCCCTTCAGCTTGGCAAGCAGCTCCTCTTTAGCCTTTAGATCAGCGAGGATCTTCTTGGCCATTTCCTCTGCTTGGGCCTGGGCCTCTGCCAGCCTGCGTATCTCCGCTGCCTCGGTCTCGAGACTGAACGGCTGTCCGGGTCGGTTATGCGCCGGTATCATCGCCGAGTGTTCCCATACTTCGTTGTTGTCCGCAGGGTAAGGCGGTGGCGCGCGAGCCTTGCCCTTGCCTTTGCCGCCGCCCGACTTCCATCCTTTGGGCACGGCGCCTTGTGTGAGGAGGTTGTAGAATACTTCGTAGGGTTCGTTGAAGAGCTGCTCTTCGTAACTCCACGACCTGATCTCACCGTTCGATGCGATCATGGCTTGCTTCTCTTCTTCGTTTCGGCCGTAGGGATGTAGTCGGAGGTAATGGTATAATGTTTGTGGTTTCTCGCCTGAATCGTTGACGTAGTATAGTTTGATGGTGATATCGAACTCGCCCCAGCCTGTCTCTTCGACCATAAAGGGCTTCCCAGGTTCGCCCTCAACCACTGTTCCCCATTAGCATCAGTCGCATCGCAATGTGTAAAATAGAGATCACCTACTTCGTACATAATTAGGGATAGACTCGTGGAGCTTAAATTGCACCCGGCGCAGCCAATATGTGATGTCTGTGTCATCGAGGCCCTTGACAAAAACCTGCCATGAGTGCGTGTGATTGTCGGGAATGCCCGCTGGTCGCGGATTCGTATCGGAGAAAGGAGTTGCTGTGCTTCCAACAATAAAAGGTCGGCGGACTTGCGTTAGCTTCACGCGCTTGCCGAGTTGATTCTGAGGCGCCATGGTATCTCAAGCGATAATGTCTTGGCGGATGAAAACAGGGTGATATTTGCATGCGATTGTGAAGGTTTAACAGAAATGCGACGATGGTCAAGCTAACTTGGACTGAGAGATCCAGCCTTGCAGGTGTGCTATTTGCGCCCCAGTGGCGTGGCCAATAATCGCGGGGCAGCCACAACACTGTCGCAGCCTCGGCGACCGATGATGATTTCATCGATTTGACTTCCTCATCGAGTGGAGGGCTTCAGTACCACGTTGGGACTTTGGCGTAAATACTCCATTGGCACGTCACAGCTTTCAGTCTTTCTTTTCTTTCATTAATTGGAATTAATTGGTCAAAGCAATAAGTCTCGATATACTCAAGCTTCAGGAATAGGCACATTTCAGCTCCAGAGCTTCCTAATATCACACCACTCCTTCACCAACACTACCATGTCGGCTTCGAAGAAACTTGTTGTCTGCGGAGGAACCGGCTTCTTGGGATCTCGTATTTGCAAACACGCTGTAGCTCGAGGGTGGGATGTCACATCCATCAGGTAAGAACTCATATATCGACCTCATGTGACCAAAAACTCATCCTGCTGTACAGCCGCTCTGGAGACCCTCGATGGGACACTATCACCTCCTCTGCTACGCCTCCACCTTGGGCACACAAAGTCAGCTGGGAGCGCGGTGATATTCTCCGCCCAGCTACGTATGCTCCGTTACTCAATGGCGCCGATTTCGTGGTGCATAGCATGGGTATTCTCCTAGAAGCCGACTACAAGGGCGTTATCTCAGGAAAGGAATCACCCATTGCCGGTCTTCAGAAGGCTTTTGCTCCCGTTCGAGATCGTGGCATGGATCCATTGGCTAAAGGACAAGGCGAGGATATTAACCCCCCGAACCCTAAGGACCAGTTCACGTATGAGATTATGAACCGCGACAGTGCAGTTGCCTTGGCCAAGCATGCCGTTGCTGCGAAGGTGAACTCCTTCTGCTACATCTCTGCTGCAGCTGGCGCTCCCGTCCTTCCTCAGCGCTACATCACAACCAAGCGAGAGGCCGAGATTACCATTGCCAACAAGTTCCCTGAACTGAGAAGTCTCTTCATCCGACCCTCTTTCTTGTTCGATAGTTCACGCCCAGTGACAATGCCCCTGGCTGCCATGGTTGGTCTCGGAACTGCCTTCAATGGCCTGACGGGCAACTACTTCAAGACCTTCATTGGCGCTGCTGGTGTTAAGCCTCTGAAGGTTGAGACTGTGGCCGAGGCCGTGGTTGAAGCATTGGGAGACCAAAGTGTCAAGGGGGCTATTGAAGTGCCGGGGATTGAGGAGCTTGCAAGCAAGGCTTGGAGAAAAACCATGCTGTAGGATGTTCCGATGTTATTCTATTAAAAGCAGAAACGCTAGACTGTATAATACCCGATTGACCCAAAATGTAATCTGACATGTTCCCCTTCTCAAATCATGGTTCCTCGTTCGAAGCTGTCCCTTATCTCCGCAGTGTATTTGTTGTAGAATCTGGACAGCTTTTGGTTGAACTGTTTGTTCTTCTCGTTGATGTATGTCACGTCTCCGTCGTCTCCGTTCTGTGCCATTCTCTCCTTTCTCTTCTTCAGTCTCTGTTCCTCTGCTCTCTGTAGGTCTGCCACCAGACGGTCGACGGATGCCTTGTCTGGTTTATTTTGTGCAAATGTGGTGGAATCAGCAGTCGAGTAGAATGAGCCATCCTTGTCAACCGCGATAAGCTCGCCGTCTTCGGTCTCGACAATGTCCAGCCCGCCCGATGCCGCTGCCTTCTCAATAAGAGCCTTCTTGTCTTTCTCGTATTGATCCAGGTTCATATCGATGTTTTTGAGTTGTCGTTTGTATATCTTGTTCGCTTCTTGTGTGTGATCGGCGAAGGCGTTGTTGTCGCGACGTGTCGACTTCTTCTTGACTCGTTTATCCCACTTCTCGCTCTCGTCAACAGTCCAGTCCCACGCGCGCTTTCGCTCGAAATCCCCTCCAGACTCCTCTACATCTGCTTTGAGTAGTTTGTGTGATGCGATGGCGTGTTTGCGATGTAGGGCGGTGAGTTGACTAGGGTCTGTGGCTAGTCTTTGTGATTCGAGAGTCGCCTCTTTCAGGTTCTTCTCCGACGAAGTCTTTGCTCGCGCCTGGAGTGCCTTGAAGCGAGCCATGCGATCTTGAGCTTTTAACCCATTATCAACGTCGGGTCTCTGTGTCTCGTCTTTCTTTTCGATGGGTGCGTCCATTATCGGGGTGTCTGAGGCCATGCGCTCCCAACAAATCAAATCTCGAATTTATTTTTCGGGAATTGACTTAACGACCTTCAGGCTTGATGTATTAGAGAAGTTGGAATGAAATTGATTTGAACGATTTGACCTGATTGGTTATGGATCGAGTCTTATCGATTGGTTATCGATATGTTATCGATAAGATCGAATTTAGAGAAAAAGGAATAAAATTGTCAAGGGTGTTAGGTTGATTGAAGTGTGGAGAGGGAATTGTAGCACTAGCAGGGGTTTTTATACCTCTGAGAAATAGAGTTACGGTGACTAATATCGTAGATAACCTTATTAAATTTGAGATATTATTGCTTTTCGATCTGTACAGAGAGACCTTTGTTACTAATATTTGTATAGATTTTACTAAAAGAGGTTAATTTTTTTTTAAAAAGGTATTACTAAACTTTATATAGGTAAGAATAAAATACTAAAAAACTATTAATTTTATTTTAAATAGTCTAATTAATATTTCAATTTATAAAGTATTTTATATAGATTGTACTCTTTTTATATTTCTTTTATTTCTTTTATAATTAATTTTTAAAAGTAATAGAGATTTTAGCGAGAAATCAGGGGAGCAGACCTTTCTTGTGGTACCCACTAGGCTAGGCAGGTAAGTATCAACAGGGGTCCTTCTTACTTTGCGGGGGAGACACAATTGCCTACGCGTGTCGCAAGAGCATCACAATCCCCTCTCTTTCCAATCTGCAACTCTCATTGCGACGTTCTCCTTTGCCTCACTCTTCACCCACGTCACGTAGCAGTGCTTGTGCACTCTGTTGAAACGATCAACTAATCCCGCTATCGTTTTCCAATACGCCCGTCTTCTACTCGCACTACGCACTACGGTGCGTTTCCTTGTCAACATGTTCCGTCCAGCAGCAGCCGCCACGCTGCAAACTGGGGAGAAAGCAAAAATGTTTTGGAAGAGGCCAAGCGAGTCGGAGGGGGTATACTATGTTGTCAACAAAAAACAACACCATCCCAAGCGGCCCAAGGAAAGCGAATACTTTCAAATCAACGACCTCCTGCTTGATCTAGACGACATGTTCAGCAAGACTGTGCGACCGGTCGAAGAAGAGGACGATATACGAGCACTCAAGAAGTGGTCGCGAGATTACAAGCGAGAGGGAATTCAAGGAGAGCTTCACAGGCTTGAGCGCACACTTGAGTGGTCAAGGCTTGAAGCTTTTAACATTCGCTCAGGATCATCAAGTTCCTGGCGACTCGGAAGTCATGACATTTTCTCCGCTGCTCTACGAGCTCCATCCGCAACTCCACTGATCGACCGCTCTGAGGGATCCACAAATATCTTGACTACTTCCAAGACACAGCCTAACACACTCCATCGCATTTGCTCCAAGAACGGCATTTCACATCAAATTGTGAACAACGATCCATTACTTTTACAGTGGTTGAAAAAGCAAACACAGTTGTCAGAATCAGAGCAAATATCCAAGAAACCTCGGTCGCTTCCGCTTCAGTTCTCAACAGCGTTGAAGAGCCAGGATTCTATCACTAGCATGCGCAGGCTAGTGTCACAATTGTTGTCATCGGACCCTAGCAGCATCAGTTGGTTATCGACGAACGATATGTCATCGGATATTCGCGATGCTTGTGAAACATTATGGAAACCAGATGTCCTACAGACTTCTTATGATCTTCTTATGTTCCTCGGCAATCTTGATCAAAGACTCTTAGCAAGAGAAAGCCACATAGGAGGGCCTTTATGTGGATTTGGGTTAAGGCTCTCAGCGGCAATCTGCAAACCCTCGGTGACTCGTAAATATATCAGTATTGGGTCTGAATCTGGTTACTGGACTGAATGTGAGCAAGGGTTACGCTACATTCATGACAGTCTCGAAACATATCTGCGCCATTTCAGCACGACTTCCTCATCAACTAGTATTGGTTTGCTGGACCGGCAGGGACTACTAAAGCTATTAATCGGCGACGCCGACCAAGGGAGCACTTCGCTCCAAGAATCATTTCGGTCTCTTATCATATCCTATCTACGGACACAGGGCGAGTCCAAACAAGGCACCATGCAAACAGCTTTGAGCGCCTACCGAACTTACATAGTCTTACTCGGCCATTTGGGTGCGAGAGCTTTGCTCCTGTACGAAAAGCGAGCATCAGCCACAATCAAAAACTTACTCAACGAAAAGCAGGGGGAGGTGGGAGGCCAAGCAGAGGCAATCGTTACCGAAGCCCTGCAAACTGCAGATAACATCTCAGTTGTGGCTCCGAGCCACGACGCAGTTTCGACGAATCTCAACCTGGCTGACTGCGCCATACTAGACCTGGAGGCCATCGAAAAGCAGGGGCACCCTCAACGATGAGAGGTGGATGGTAGGATGGCAAGACCCGTCCAGCCATGGAAATTCTTAGTTTTTAGCGTGGATGAACACGGTCCGGCGGCTTGTGCCTCGTTCTGACGAAATCGACACCGGTGACTCGGGTGAGACGGGGCGAGGGGAAAGATCCAGAGTTCCAGACCAATAGGAGATTATAGTGGAACCCTGTAATGACTACCGAGCTGACGGTTGGGCTGCGATATGCATATTGTCAGCCCAGAAATGCCCCCACAAAGAGCGAAGCTCACATTGACAAAGTTTGAAGATGTCAGGACGATCGATCACTGTCTCGTCCGGTCCTCAATCTGGGTGAATTTGAAACGTATGGAGCTTTAGGGAAGTGGATGCCACCCCGTTCAGCCCTGTGAACCCTCCCTGACTTTAGCATTGAGTTTATCCCACAGTCCGCTGAGCTGAGAAAAGAGCCCGTAACGCGATTGGAGATTTGAGTTGCTCCGGCTTCCCTAGCTGCATCCAGCTTCCCGGTATGTGCGAATCACGATCAGCGCCGGCTGGGCTAATAACGCCCGCTGATACCACCAGCAGGTTGGGTGCATCCGTCGTCTCACCACAACCCACCAGCTGCTGAAGCCTGACTGGTGCTTGCGCGCCTCCATCCCGCAGAGGAGAGTCCTAGGTACTTTCTCTGGCGGTCCTTGACGCTGTGGATGGGTTTGGGGCGTTGAGCTGGAGAGTCTCGACCTTGTTATAAGGTCAGCCCCGGATGTGGTCTAAGCCACTCTCATCTGCCGTTACGCTTATTTTGGTAGTGGAAAGAAAAACAGGAGATTGGATGGGCGGTCCATGCAGTGTTCGCGTGTCCGTGTATTTCTGGCCGCTCCAGGGGGTTGCTCCCGGCCCCTTGCTCATGATCAGCATTGAGTTGCTGTCTGCCTCGTCCGTGGAGAGATCTGGGTTCTGCCGACTTTTCTCTCCTCTTTTTTATCCCACACGCGATTGTTCATCTTTCAACGACGATCATCTGGGCCGTAAAACTTCGTTCATCCCTCACGGCCTGTAACTAACGATTAGGCTGGGAGAGCATGTATGCAGCGTGGCAGCCATGATGTGGATCTCAATTTCTCCAGCCAGCCAACTTCACAACGGTCTGGTGGCTCTATGCGTGTTGCTTTTTGGCGTCAATCTCACAGTCCAGCAACGGGATCCAATATCTAATTTCTGCCGACGATGGGGTCATCAAAGTGCTGTAGTCGACGACAAGCTTTACATTGGTGGAGGATTGGTTACCTATGATGGCAGTTCAGGAACACCACAGAATGTCTCCAGTATGCGAACCCTACCCAACGCGCAACGATCGAGTGACGAGACGTCATCAAGGCGATATCGCTAAAACATTTATTGACTATGTCACCTCTAGACCCTTACTTCATTTATCATGACCTAAGTCATGCGGCTGGTACAGGTATGCCTCAGCCATATGCGAATCTCAGCAAGAACTCAACGATTCCTGATGTGAGCGGAGGAGTATTTTGGCCCGATACCGTCAACAAAAAGATATATCTCTTTGGGGGCGAATATAACGGTGTTACTCCTTGGGATTTCGACCTTTACGCCTACGATATTATCAAAGATGAGTGGGATAATCTTGGGGTCTCCAGAACCGACGACATTATTGGACTCAGTTACGGCGCTGGCGTGTCCATTTCCGATCGTGGAGAGGCTTACTACTATGGTGGTTGGATGAACAATGCGACCGACGCAAATTGGGGAGATGCTCCTCAAGTGCCCACGTCAAACTTGCTACGATACGAGATGGATACGAACAAATGGTCCAACGACACCGGACCTGATGATACGGGTCGCGCAGAAGGTGTAATGGTTCACATCCCTGCTGGAGATGGCGGTATGCTGGTCTACTTCGGCGGAATACGTGCCACTGATGACGGAAGCTGGGAGGGCCAACCGATGGATCAGATCATCCTATATGATGTACTGAGTGGTAAGAGTTACTTTCAAAATGCAACAGGCAATGTCCCAAAACCACGAAGACGGTTTTGCGCCGGTGCTACGTGGGTGAAGGATCAGTCCTCGTACAATATGTGAGTTCATTGATCCGAATTGAGATATCTATTCTGACAATAGTGTTGTCAGTTACCTCTATGGAGGAGCTGGCGAAGAGGAAGGAAGCGTTGGATTCGATGATATCTACATCCTGACACTGCCTTCGTTCACCTGGATCAAAATGTATCCCGATGGCAACGGAATTGGAGATTATCCCCATCATAGCTTTACCTGCAACGTGGTGAACGAAGCTCAAATGCTGATCCATGGCGGATTCTTCCCCCTCAACGACGATTGCGATGTACCTGATCAATGGGGTCTGCACGACATGTCCTTGGGTAGGCAGAACAAGGACAAGGCACCTTGGATGCTCTACGACCCCAACTTGACCAAATACGCTGTCCCGACCGATGTTATCTCAGTTATCGGAGGAAAATCCACCGGCGGGGCAACCAAAACAGCGCCATCTGGTGGCTTCGACCATCAAGACCTCAAGGCCCTCATGACACGGACGGCATCAGCAGGGACACGGACAGCAACCCGAAGTTTCCCGGACGCGAGCGCAACTGAAACAGGGGATCCAAGATCTGGAGGCAAGTTGTCAACTGGAGCCATTGCTGGTATCGCGGTCGGTGGTGCCGCTGTCCTTATCGGCCTACTTGTGGCATGTTTCTGTCTTATTAGAAGGCATCGTCGTCAACGTGACCGAGTTGGATCTCAACAACCAATGACCCAATCCTACGATTACCATCACCCTACTCATCCATCTATTGCTTCGAACCAGTACTCGCCTGGTCCTTGGAGCCCACAGTCATCAACCTTCTCCCCCGCGAGTGCATCGGCTTTCCCTGTTCCTCAGCATGCTCAGTCATATACAGGACCGCCAGTGGAACTACCGTCCGGAAATCCAGAGGAAAATTCACGTGTTTCGCCGCATACAGAACCAGCTACAGTGGTGGAGCCCAAGTATGATGCACATGGAAACTTATGGGTTCCTCAGGTGAGCATGATGCAAATCCCGGACCAAAGCCCTTCACCTGGGAGTCCGCCTTATTATGAAGGCACGATGGGGTCTAACGCATCCAAGAACGGACCAGGATACTTCCCAGCTGGTAGGGCGCAGGAACTGCCGGCAGAAAGACGCACCTCAATTGTGCCCGGCCAGCCAGTTCACCAGACATATTACCATCCATGAGTGGTTTGGCACGAAAGAAAAAGAAGAAGAAGAAAATAAGCACATATTTCTCTCATTTTTGCCTGCGGCTGCAGGCCTGACGTTTTAACTTTGCTTAATGGTATGATTATGAAAGAAGGGGTTCATGGAGTATAAGGGAAAGGAACACACACACACATAATTAAACAAGCGGGATCTTGAGGGTATACCAACTTCTGTATTAAAGGCTCATATTCACTCCCTTTCTGAGTTGTTTTGTCATATATGCAATCTGCCGAGCATATAGTTTTATCTTGCATTGACTGTCCATAGCGGCTTGAGCATCAGGTGGTAACTAAGACTAGGGGTGGATAAAACATAAAAGAACTTGATTTTAAACAATCTGACAATACTTTTCGACGTGATGAGGTATGACCCAGGGTTACTTGCTCGCCTGTGTATAACTCGCAGAAGTTAAGGTAAAAATATACGTGACTCGATGTCTGCACTTGGGAGTATATATTGCTTTATCTTCCAATATTCGCGGCATGTGTTTAGTGCACTCAACCATGATAGATCCTGATTATGTTTCAGAGATGGATATGTCTGCACTCTCAGACAACAGTAAATCTCAGTTCTCAAACCTTGGAACAAGAAAACAGCGGTGTGATAGCATGACCGATCATCTTTGAATCGGCATATGCCAATTTCACATCCCCTCGAAAAGAGATGGCCATATCCAACTTTCATGGGACAAGAAACTCTCACTCTCACCAACTCCCACACCCTTAGGGTAGCCATCGCTACATCGACTGTACCATATAGCGCCTCAGAACGAGCCTTTACAGTGAAGGAGCACTAGTTAAAGTTATTTATTTACCACAAACCTGTTCTGGAGAGTTAGCTCTAGTTCACCGCTTCGTTAACAGATGCTGACACCACAGGTAGTCTGTTGTTGCGCCCAACCAATCCCATCTTTTAGGATGGTTAGTGCATTGATCAAATGAGCACTGCGGAGAGGACTATTGACATCCAAAGTGTTCAAGACTTGACCGAAAAGTTCGATCCTCTCGAGCCTCGATTGAAGGATATACAAATGGTGGACTTGGTACAATAGGGTAAGCACATATTTGCTAGCCTGGCGCCTTGAATGCCTTGGATGTGATCACTAAATACATGTTTTAGGCAAATACCCCCTGGTGGACTAATTTGATACTCATTACAGAGTACGAGAGACGTTACTTACATGCCGTAGTACGTGATATATAGCTCGTAAAGGCAAAGATCTGTCTAGTGTCTGCTAGCAACACGAATGCCGAGCGAAGTCTCCGGTCCAACGGCAGATTTTGGGACATGACCCTATTGAATGCTGGAATTACTCGCTCGAGTCCCATTTACATTGGTTGATCATAATCCGGGGTGAAATACATATTCAAGACGCCATCGTGTTGGGAACTGATCTAATCAACTCTCCTCAGACAAGCGGTAAACATTGTGCAATGGTATTGTCCTCTGACGCCAGGAATGATACCATTGTGCTGGCCCTGTTCTAGACACGGTTGACGCAGGGGGTATGTAGCCGTGCAGGCATAGGACATCTGCCTACGCATACGTACGTACTCATTGAGGCTGAAGTGACCGAATGCAGAGAGAGGGTGATGACGTGCCAGGACGGCGCGTATTAAGGGTCCGTGATGATGCCATTTAGTTCCACAGATCAGATAGATATCTTTGAGTGCCGAGACTTTGCCAGTTCCAAGGGAATAACGCCTCGGTCGCACGCCGAAATGACATAGAGCATGACGATCTTAGTTGGTATGGTGTATATGTATGGGGACCTCCATCATAGCAGCCTATCCTTACCACACACGCCTTTATAACGCAAGAGAAGGGCTAGGGAAGAAGACAGTGGGAGAGATGTTATCTATTGGCTGCATGCCTTTGAGTCTCTATGGCGCGTGCTCACATTTTGGTCCCTTGATCGCCGAGCCCAAGAGCGTGGGGTAACGTTAAGTGACGGGAAGATAAGTGCATAATGGCACATGGTGTCTGTGTGTGTGGCTGCGGAGGATCAACGTCAAACACTTCGAACACGCCCATCACTGTTTCTTTTTGGCTGTGAGGGAGATAAGCGATCACGAGGATACTCACATGGAGGGGTCATTATGTAGCAGATGGAGATTCATGATGGGAGCGGAGGGTTGGGGGTGGCTGGATGAGTGAGGATAAGATAAGGAAGGATAAGGACAAGGACTCGAACTTGTATATAGAAGCAGAGATAGGGATTCTTCCAGGCATCTATTCCTAAAGAACCCGTGATGGCGAAATGTACGGAGTAGCCGTTGCTCAATAAGTAGAGTTCTATACATATTCATCTCAACTCATTATGGTTATCCCAAGAAGTAGATACCTTACTATCGTGTTTACTGATAAGCCCAGCCAACCCTTCAACGCCACACACAAGTCAGTAGAATACGATGATGTGTGCCAACAGGGTGTCTCATCTCAGGGCAGGCAACAGGAAGGGTCGCATTTGGTGGGGAAGAAGCAGTTGAATGATGCGTGACGTGCATACGATGATGAAAGGGTCCAACATGGGACGAGAAATGCTACATTTGTATGTCATCGGAGTATGATATTAGGGGACATCTGATACATGTTGGCTCACGCTAGCATCCTGATTCACAAGACGCCATGACTTAGGAATGACTAGATATCGGCTATGAGATGCTGATCTTGGTTCCCGAGACAATTCTCGGCGGATAAAGCGCCTCAGTTGAACATGTTCTGAACCTTGTCAACCTCCCTCTATCCGTACTATCCTGTACAGTAGCAACCGTAATCTGAGATGGCCCTGATAAACAGTGCAGTTGGTCGCAATTAGCCTATACTGCTTCGTTCAAGATAACTAACTACCCCGATATCTCTCCATACTTGGACTAAGCTGGAGGAAGAGCCTTGACCAGCGTCAAAATCTAGTCCAAAGCTATACCCCAACCCCAACCTCAGTGTCTCTCAGCTCCGGGCTCATCGTCGTGCTTCTAACTTGAGATGGTAGGCGATCTCCGTTAGCTGAAAGCACGAATCGTCAAATCCCACCTATCTGTACGGCTACTTAACTTCGCACGTGGTAGAGGAATACCTAATACTAGCCTAATCCTTTTCCTTCGTCCATGAGCACTTTGTTTCGACAAACTCCCGCTTGCGCCGAAGTTACCCGATCTCATCCTTAACTCTTAAGCGAATGAGTTCAGCGTGCAAGAACGACTGGCCCGTGGGCTCGAATGATTTTGAACCTTGATATCAAGCCTAGACCATGAGAGCCAGGATCATGGATCCAAACCCTGATAGGTTGAGAGGGATGGAGAGCCGCAGCAGCTTAGGTTATTTCGAGAACAACAAAGCACAACAGAAAAAATACGAAAAACCTTTCATCCTTTTCCTTTCTTTTCCCTTCTTAGCTCCCGTGGTTCAGCGGTCTATTCAAATTTGACACTAGAGGCTTGACAACAACGCAATGGGGGGCCGGCTCCGCAACAACTTTCAAGGGTCGCGGGTACCGTTGCGAGCCTCAAGTGGAGTTTTGTCTTTGGTCTTGACCTTCAAGGTGAGAGAGAACCCCAAGAGGGAGGGGAGAGGGGCAAAGGGACAGCGGAAGAGTTAACCGAGGTGCCCTTTAGCTTAGCTACTGCACAGGCAGATAGGTGAGAAGCCCCGGATGGGGACTGGAGTTGATAATTGGGTCTTTGCAGCACGCTTCGACCTTTATGGGCTGTCAAATGTAACCCTAAAGGCCATATGGTATCAGAGCTCCAAGGGACAAACATGTCGTTATCGTTGTAGTTGGCGGCAGTCTGTCGAATCAGATGTGACTGCGATAGCAAACATGCATATATCTGTGTTATAGAACGCAATAGGAAATAGGAAATACTAAAGATATACCGAATATTGACGGGCCTCAAATCATCGTGACTGTTGCATTCAAGTCCTCCTTATCAGACCATTGGAGCCACAACCCCCCCCCCCCCCCCCAGATTGTTACTTAGTGGGAAAAGTGCCAGAAAGATGCCGGTCAACGGAAGCTGTTCCTAGGTCAAGACGAAACGCACGATGCGAGGTCAATGGAGCCTGGGCCTGAAGTTCCCTGAAGTTCCCCCCCGGACGAGGTCCAGCAGCTGGGTCTTGGCCCATTGACCACCGACCACTGACCACTGATGCCCCCCACATGATAGGTACCGTACTCCAGTACTGTCCGTTCAGTGCATCCCACGCGTCTCTGATCACCATATCGTGGGCGGCGGTCAAGAGTCAATACGCAAGCAAAGCAATGCAATGCAATGTAACAAGGTGCGTATTTGGTGTCGGTGCCGAATTTAAGCCATTTTATTATAGTGAAATAGCTAATGGCAAACAACACCCAACATCCATCTCATAAACTACCTACTCAGTTGGCCGATGTTAAAGGAGTAGCTCAGTCCAACACGATAAGTCATGTTAGCTTGGAAGAGGTCCACAGCCTGACCTAGATTTTGCCCGTGCCTCGGGTTAAACCCACCAGATAGACTAGATAGTTGTCCTGATATGCCCAGACCCCACAGACTAATTAAAAGCCCAAGCCCTCCAGACCCGGGGGAACCAGCTTATTACGATATTAATGCACTTTACCAAAGATAGCTGGTGGAAAAAAGCTGGGCAAGGTCGACAGTCGACTAATTAGAGTCACTAGACAGACTAAGCAGCGCGATCAGCCGATAGCGGATGATCAAGGGGAGGAGGGGGACATTGACAAGAGTCAAGACCCTTGCGGACAAAGCAAGCAAGAAGAGGAGTCGACGACGATTGCAACTTAACTCTTGATGTATCGGATCCGTCTAACTTCACTAAGACTCTCATGTCTATCAATCAAATTGAGCGGGGCTCCGGCCTCCGACTCGGTATTGAGGATGTCCTTTCGATGTGATACTGTACTTATTGTACGTGTTACAGCAGAGTACAACTCCATTGTCGCATTTCTGGTATAGCAAGTTTATGCGTTTCGGAGTTGGACGTGCAATAATGTAATGATAGTGCAATCGATAGAAGAAATGGAACAAATCGACACTGGTTCTGGAAACTTTACTCCTGAACAGCCCAGTTTGGTGGTGCTTTTTCTGGTGAACGAATAGGTACTCCGTACCTACCTACTAATTAGTGGGGTTGAGCGTTGACACTTGGAGCGGTGGGCTAGTGTACGAGTACCTAGCGCTGTGATCATGGCCTACCTAACTACTAGGTACAATGGATGACTACAACTCTAGAGCAACACAACACAGACACTACCTTGCGGGCTCTAACCTTGTCCGCATGGACACAAAGGTTCATCATCACACATCGCTGAGCTACGTTACGTAGTCTGCTATTTTGTGTGTCAGTTCTTCACCAGGTGAGCCAGGTGTGTGTAAGTACTAATTACCACATCGAACAATTGAACAATCAAATCAAGTTCCGCGCCATGCGACATCTCTCACCGAACAAAAATAAAAAAGTATATCGTAGCCAGTAGCCACATGGCAAGTCTGATAGGTCGTCTCGTTAGGACTCTTTGTTTGCTTCTTCTCGGGACTTTTTCCATTCGCGTGCAACGCTTCATTGGATGTTGAGGGTTGCAGTTGCAAGAAAGATGCACATCATCAGGGCAGAAGGGAAACTCGAGCCCCCCCCCTCCCTCCTTGGTTTAGCGGCCTTCTTCCCGCACGTACAAGTACAAAGATGTGCCGGCCCGCGAAAGCTTTTCGGGATAATCAATCATGAAAGGGCCATACAGGGTGTGTGCAATACCTGAATAACTTGACGTAGTGGTTATGGAATTTATTAAAACAGGGTAGAACCGTAGAAAGCTACTGTCAGTTTCGAAACGTAATTGTGGTAGCGTACGGAGTAGTGAGAACGTAATACGTAGCCCATTTCTTTTGTTTTGCAAGTCAGCAATACACACTCTGGCACGTCGAAACGTGCTTGTACGGGTGGATGAGATGATTACCTATGCCCTGAGCTCTCAAGGTTATCTCATTTTCCAGTGAGGTTTAGTGGCCTATCGTGGCCCGCTGTTCCTGATGCTGCGCTGCAACAAGCGGGGAGAGCCTCCCAACTGACGGGCTTGGTGCTTGATGCTTCTATCGCAGACTATCGTAAGCAACCCCTGCTCCTTCCTTCTGGCGAGCTGGTTCCCTCAACTTCTCCTTAAGGTAAGGAAGGCAGGCGCCGACCAATATTGTGCCATAGCAGCGCGTCCCATCGTCACATGCCCACCCTCATGACATCCAATTTAAACCGGGCACCATAACTATGACCATGACCATGACTCTCAGACCAAAACTCGCCTTTTTGCTAAATTATGAGGGAACCCACTGTTGTCCCGACAAAGTTGAACCCTTGAAAAAGAAACAGATGCGATTCATACATTGACACCCCACACTTCTTTGACGAAACATCCACGGCCCATCCTCAGTACCCACCCCCGGCCGCCTTCACTCATCCAGTGCAGAGCGACTCTCTGGAAGCGTGCCTGGCATTCGTTATTCCGTGATGCTACATAGCGTCTACTGGAATGAACCGACCGAAGAGGGGAAACATACATCATCTGTATAAGCAGCTTTCCGTTTGCTCTTCAGCAGCTCCTCCTTCTTAAGGTTCGTTGCTCACCTACGCCATCGTGCGGCGCAGCAGGATTCCAGGACCCTTCAGCTTCTTTATTTAGGATGTTGAGCTTGCGGCATGGCTCACTCACAAAGGTGGTGATTTTCTCTTACAGACAACGAACGCCATCGTTGGCCATGCTCGCGCTAGATGCGCTACGTACTGTGCAGCGTCAATCCGTACCGTGGTCTATCCTGTCGGTTCATTGAGGTGCTAATGTACATCGATGTGTCCCTGGTTCACACCTGATAATGCAACCCTAATGCCGTTCCCGCATCAGATGGTCAATGTTGCCGTCCAAGCAAAGGGATCAGATACAAGAGGACCTGCTTTCCCCAGACCTGGGTTGTTAAAGTGGCTGGTCCGTGGTTACCTACCTCACCTCACCTTACTTCATCTGCTCAGCTCCCAACACTTTTTGTTGACCTCGAATGTTGTCTATCTACCTATAGTCTGACCATCACTGTCTGGTCAGCACCAATCCATCTATATATACACAATACTGAGCTTTCTTCTCTCTTACGCCGTCTTACTCGTTGTTTCCGGTCATAGTTATCACGCCTGCTGATAGCGTGACAACGTCTGCGGATATATTGCATCAGTCAGCCTGAGACACTCTACTGTGCACGCGTCTCCATACCAAACCAAACCACCTATACCGGCCGTTCTATATTGCACCGAAACGGATACAGGGCTTAGGCCACCGGGTCCCCGACGAATCCATAATTATAGAATTCTTCTGATTTCACCTTTTTGGGTGTAAACTTGAGCTGGAACTGGAACTGTCACCCGTTGGTGTCGGTCAGTCCCTGTCCCTTGTCACTTTTAGTCAGTAGCCGACGGGGTACGGAGTACCCTGAGAGGATCCTCTGCACAAACACCTTATCCCAGCTGTCTATCGCGCAATCCGATAGTCGCAGCTCGCAGTATCGATTGTGGGTGGGTTATTGGTTGACTATTTGCGGGCGCTACCTCTCCGTTTTCGGCTCCTCGCTCACTCGCTCACTCACACATTCGATCACGATAACCTAAGCCCGAGTCACCAGGTGCCTCCAACTCTTGTAGTATTTAAGACTGGCGTGCGGTCCTGACTTCGCACTTTCCCAACTTCTCAACAACTGTTGGGTCAGATTGATTAGTTTCTGAGCAAGAAGCACTTCAACACGGGAAGCAACACAACTGCTACATACCACACTATCTTTCTCCATCACTTGTACCTCGACCCTGTATCTCTCAGAGGCTTTTGGGTTCCTCAACGAACCAGCCAGCGAACGCTAACAAAGCGGCTCTTTCTGGCCACGCTACCTATCAATTTACAAGCTGCAGTATCCGCTCGGCTAAAATTTGACTTACACGACACTTACACTTATAAGACTTTGCGAGTCGAACCCTCGATTTGTTCATACCGCCTTCTTTCCGGGGGCCTATCAACGATATAGCACTGCATCGTCCCCACGCTGCGGATCGCTGGTCACTGTTCCGGTCCCTGAGCGGTAACGCATAGAGCCTACCTCTGATCAGTGGGTTCTTCTATTTGAAGGAATTTTCCATCTCATCGAGATCCGAAAATAAAATTGCCTGTGGTTTGCCCAACTCGATTTCGAGTCAAGAGGAAATCACCACGTCGACTTGTTGGACAGTCAATCTCCCTAGACGATTTTAATCGATATTATTAGCCTTACGCTACTTTCGCCCTTGCTGGCTAGAAAGTACTGTAGTCGGACACAGTTCAAGTTCAGTTGGAGTCGGTCACAGTTTTGTTCAACCACTGTTTCGTCTTCCGTCTCCATTTGCAACACTACTCGGGGAATTTGTCGACCTCTCGTCTCTGCACATGCCCACGCCCAGGCCCATGCTTATGCCCATGCGCTCTTCCTACCACAATTTGCCACTCTGTTATACCCTGCTATCACACAATTCTCGAATTGCTCCAGACGCGGTCAAGCCTGAGAAGAAAATTTTGCAACCGTTTTCCGTCCCTGGACCCCCTTGTTAGTCGAATCAGGAAGTAAGGGGATCTTTGGAGTCTAGTCCCTTAGCCCCTAGCGTCTCGATAAGGCCCCCCGCAGTCGAACCACACTGAAAGGGGACCTACTGGAAGTGCAGGTGCTCTAAATATCTGTACTCTCCACTGATTTACAGGTACTGCTAGAGTACGTACAGCCCTGTACTTGCGCTTGCACTTGTACTGGCGCACCCTGTCGTCGACCTCATATCATACATATCTATCACCTGGCCCCCCCTTCTCCCAGACAAATTCTACAAGTCTATCTCTTGGTCAATCTTTTATCCTTGATCCCACATCGGATTTTTCCTCTCGTTTCACTTCACAAACAATGCATCACAGCCGGAGAAAGTCTGGCCACGGCCTGCCCAACACTTCTTCAACCGACGTGCGAAAAGCTGCTGTTACTGCGACCGAATCTTCCAAGTACAAGCGACCCGTCATGACTCGGAAGCAGACACCACAAAGACTCGGTCGCAGTCAGCGCGAACGTGAGCGGGAAAAGACAGAGTCTTGGGAAGATGAAAGGGAGAGTTTCCCGCAGTTTTGGTAAGTCTCACGTCATCTCATGCCATAATGCTTCTATTGTATTTCTATTGGTATCATGAACCTTCCCTGCACCGGCCATGCCGTCATGTTCAGGTACCATGTAACTGAAGGCTGAAGCCTGCAACAAGCCGTGGCTTCTTTCAGACGGATTGCGCAACAGAAGGATTTTTGCTAACACAATTTACTAGCATGACGTGCGAGAAGCAGTTTATTCCTCATGACGACATGTTTCTTTACTGTTCCGACAAGTAAGTATTAATTCAATCCAGTTATTAGTGGAGGACCTTGCCCTTGCTTCAATCACAGTGTCGAATGTCCCAGGGTGATGCTAATAATAAATCGCAGCTGCCGAAGAGTTGACCAGACCGCATCACCGCAGCCGGCCTCCTCGGTCCATTACGCGTCTTCAAACTATCCATTCTACTCTGCGGGAAACCCGGAACCTAGAGACATCATCCCGCGAGCATCTCCTTCTCGACCCAGCTCGATACTTTTGACTTCTCCACCAGCCACTCCGGGAACCGGAGCGCCGACTTACCAACACACTTCGGCCATCTCGGCCCTCCGTTCCCTCAATGTCCGGCCCCCGAGTCCTCCGTCGCCCACAGGCAGCTCCAGCAACCTGTGGCCCTTTAGTCGCAGCGCTGCTACCAGCCCGTACAACTCGTACAGTCGACCTTCTGCGCCGTACCTCTCATCGACGTATGACGGAGGTTACTACAGCGCTGGCGGAGGTGGCTACAATTACGAGGTGAACTCGGGTGGAATGGATCGGCCGCTCCCATCTCGCAATCCCAGCGCCTACTCTCGCCCTAGAAGTATTGAGCTTGTAACACCTATGGTCGGCAGATAACATGGATGTACTCCGTACTCAGCTCTCTTGACGGCAAGCGACAGCTGTCCTGCGAGTTTGGACGAACGCCAGTCAATTGCGAAACCGACAGGTTTTGGCGGACTAGGCGAAGGGCCATGTCAGACTCGGTGCTCTCCCGGACAGCGGTGTTACAAACCCCGCTGCATGGCTAAGATCGGTCTACCAGATTGATCACAAACTCACGGTTTTGCGGGGTTCGCGTTGCAGGGGTCATCCAATGCCCTTGCGCTACTGCAGAGGCCTGTTCTGGTGAGAATCAAACAGAACTCCGCGCCCTGTAACCAAGTTTTCTGATCTTTGTTCTGATTTGGCACTGGAGGAAGCACAGCGAAGCACGCGTCTTCGTGAGCTTGTTACCACATTATCGGAGTTTTATCGTCTTCCCCTGTCTCACATTGCATCTTGGGAGACGTTGCCCATCGGCAGTCTTCCTGGCGCTTAAAAGTTTTTATTTTATTTTACAGCATTTTCATCGACCTCAGACTGGGGCGGAGCATATTTTTGGTTTTTCATATTACACTTTCTACACTATTTGATTATGCCTTTTTCTGGGGTTATCGGTTTGACGATCCCTGGCGTCTTCATTTCCTCCTGGAATCAACCATCCCTGGCAACATGGCCTGTCAGCCCCCAACTTGACTTTGTAGTGGGACACGGGGTTGATACCCGGATGTCTGCACCAAATTCAATGGGACTCAATGGCTGCTAGGCTTAGTGTTGCTTGAGGTTCCTTTCACATGGACATGTCTTGCTCAGAAGCTGGTTTCAGGCCCTGTTCTGGCAAAGCATGACACGACATCACGCAGCATGGCAATGACACTATTAGCATGAGCAATGGCTCTCTGGACAGGACAGATGTACAATTTTGACACTTTTCTTTTTATTGGCAGACATTTTGATTGGTGGCGAGCATTTTTGGTTAACGAGGGATGCATAAGTACCTAATTTCATATGACACGCACACATGTATTAAAGCCATATCATCATTTATATCTCTATTACGCGGAAACCGGGAGTTGGAGTAATGGAAGGGCCTGTCTCGACACGAGCCAGTACGTTTGCATATTTTCACTACATATACATCTAGACATAACGAATAACTACCTAATGAGACATCAACTGCGATGCGCATTCTCTCGATCCTTGCCTATAACGAAATTAGCCTGCCACGGTCCTTGAAGCCGAGGCCGTCCCAACCCCGGATTGTCCTTCTCCACGCTTTGATCCCCGGATTTTCATTCCCCACCCCACGCCAATGTCGTTATAGTTCCGTGAGTCGGGCCCAGCTCCCATGGGGGGATTTGTCAAGGTCTTGCGTAACAAGGAACATGCCTTGATGTATGGCGCGGGCGCGGACGCAAAGGGGGCGTCATGTGAAGGTTCATGGGGGAATGCTTTGGGGTCCAATGAATTGAGGAGGGTCGAGAGAGGCAGCGAATCATGAGTGGCAAGAAATCCCCAGTCCAAATATCTGAAGGCATAAGGAGGCATCAAGGTAGTTAGTTACTTGACACTGCTATCGATGCCCTCTACCCACGCATCATCACCATCACCATCACCATCACCATCACCATCACCATCACCACTAACCTATTCCTATTCCTACCTCAACAATTTCAGTTTGATCATATTCGTTCCCATATCCCACAAGGATTTTCCTCACCGGTCTAGTGTTCCCATGTTTCATCCTCTGCAGTCCATCACCTCTCACTTCCTCCCTCCCATTGGCCTCATGTCACCTAAAGTGGCTTGGAGCTAGTCGATCATTCTACCATCCCTCTGGGACATTTTTTCTTTCGACAACGCATCAAGCCCCCCAAGAACAGAAAGGAAAACAGTACGTAGTGACTTCTTTTTTGCGGAGGGTAGATCGCTGCACAGCTTGTGTCTTAGATCCTGGACCTGCGTGTATATCTCAATGTGATCGTCACATCACATTTCCTCGTCTTGCAGTAGCTTGCAGAGCGTGGTTGGGTGCTTGCTTCGACCGTCTATGTCACATTTTGATAAACTTGGTCGTAATGGGCTTGGGAAGTATGTTCTTGGATGCATGTCAAGCTTGGTGTTCATCAGCCAAGGCGGACCAGAATATCGGGATGCCCATTCTTTGGGGAGAAAGATGGCTTGGGAGTATGTGGTCATATGCTACTTCTCCTGCAGCCACATCAATGTTCCAGCTCAAGAACGAACAAGTATTCGTAGGACTGATTTCATGTCAACGATAGTCATTCGGGGCCCCGATTGACAATTGTGTACGCACGGGGGAAAGACTATTTTGATAAAGCAACTCTTGCAAGAAGATGGGGCACTGATGTATCAAAGGCCATATTTCACTTCAAAATATCAATGATATACAACTTCTTGCAAACGCAAGAACAGGTATCCCCCAATCATAATAAACAGCACCTCTCCCATACAATGCATAATACAAAACATACCAATCCCATTTCGCAATTGCATGGCCAAGATCTCATTTCATGTCCTCATTCTCACTTGATCCTATCTAATGAAGGACATCCGCCCTCCTCGACATGGCCAAGGAGGGCAGAAGTATCGTTCGAACAAGAGCGTCATCAAATAATCTCAATCTATCGAACCGGATGATGCGCAGCTCTCGGCATCGATGATGGATAGTACATGAAGATAAACGAAGTAGAAGTGGCCGCAGCTTGAGATAAATGACATCCAACTCCTGATTTAAAACCCCCCAATCTTTTGTATTCATGACGCAGTAACCACACGGGTATTCTCAAAACACCCGCATATAATCCATCTACCTCTCTGCCGGTTACCTGCCCGCTGGTCTTGAACTGGCCATCTCACCATATCGTCCACGATGCTTGGTAGTGTCGTATGCTTGGAGCACACGCGTTTGACTCTCGTCTGCTTGCGAGAAGGCATATCCACGTTGCTTGCGCATACGTTGCACTTGTCGCACCTTTCGGATAGCCTTTTGGAATTGCTCCATTCTGGAACATGTTAGCTAAGCAATATGACTATGCAGGAGGGAGTAAAACTTACCTGGGTCGATAATCTTGGATATTGTACTTTTGGATCTCCTGAATGTGATGGTATGTTTGGGGTCGGTACATACGCTTCACATATTTCCAGACAAAATCACGTAGCAAGCACATGATGGCGAGGCAGACCGTCTGTAGCCAGAAGACAGGACTTTCGTAGATCCTAGGGATGGTGCCCCGATACTCCATAGACACACCAGCCATGGGGGCGACGATGCCATAGACGGCAGTAAGCACGTACCAAATGGCCATGCTGCCAGGAATAGCGAGCACGTGGTACTTGGTCCAGTTGTTGGTGACCAGGGCTGCCTTACCAAGAACTGTAAGGAGAGTAGCACCATAGAGCGCGGTGCCCCAAACCCAATGGCCAGCAATCTTGCCATCTCCTTGAATAAGATCGCCATACCAGAAGAGTTGTCCCCAAATGTAAAGCACGATGGAGTGGTAGATTGCGTTGGCGATCCACTGCAAGAAGACTTTGAGCCTGAAGAAGTAGTTTTGCTGGCCCATCATGTAAAGCTGCGGATAACGATCCAGAAGGCGGGCTGAGATAAACTGGTCCAAGATACCAAGAGCTAGAGGGGGCAAGACAGTGTAGAAGACGTTGTAGAAGGACAGCGTCCATGATTCGTAAATAACTTGTCCAGAAAAGACGTTTTGGAACGTATACTGCGATCAAAATTAGCGACGGTTGTTCAAACACACATGCTACTCATATCTGACTTACCCAGAACTGTGTCATATACAGCGCAATGTTCTTGTAGAAGGAGTACAAGATTGTCTTGGTGACACGCTGATAACTCCAAGCGCCATGGACCAGCAGTAGCTTTCGAAGAAACCTGAACTGGGCAATGGCTACATCGGCACTTCGCGCTGCCTGTAGACCTTCTTCACCACTAATACCGATACCAATATGAGCTGCCTGAATCATCGAGACGTCATTTGCTCCGTCGCCAATAGCGAGAAGGATAGACTCTTTCTGGTACTTCTTGACCAGTTTGACAACAAGGGCCTTTTGCAGGGGAGAAACACGACAGCAGATGACAGCTTTGCACATAATGGCCAAATCAAGGAATAGCTTTTCCAAGTCCTTTTCAAGCGCGAATGTCAAGGACTTTCCATCAATGATCAGGGCCAAGGTTTCCGTCTCTATCGTGCCGTCCCCCTGAGTCCTAATGGCGTCCGTTTTCTTTTGTATATTGTCCCGTGTGGCGGCAGCCGTTTCCTCGTTGATGATCAGAAGCATCATGTCCTCGCTGAGAAGCTTGCAACTCATACCGATGTTGATGGCGGTCTCTTGTCGATCTCCAGTCAAAACCCAGACCTTGATGTTAGCTTGCTGTAGAGTATGAATCGTCTCTGGGACACCGTCTTGTAGACGATCCTCAATGGCGGTTGCACCAAGCAGAAAGAAGTCCTTCTCGATAATTTCCGAAGCCTTGTCTACTTCATCTGCACGGTTACCACCAACCGTCATCTGAGCAGCATCATAGATCTTGTACCATTCCTTGAACTCTTGTTCCGGAACTTCTCGCATAGCCAAGCATAGAGTTCGTAGACCTTCAGAAGCGTACTCTTCGAGATGTCGGAGTGTGACTTCGGTATGAGGGTTCATATCGTTGAGACGTTCCAGAATGACGGTATCGGCACCCTTACAATAACATCGGATCTTGCCATCAGGACATCGATAGATAGTTGACATTCGCTTTCGGGTCGAGTTGAACTCACAAACGGCGAGGAGTTCGTACTCGAGTTCTTTACCATTAGCTTCGATGATGACCGACCTGGGCTTTCGAGCAGTAAACTTGAAACCAAGATCCAAAGCGCCAGAGACCAAAGCGCCTTCGTCGGGGGAGGCAGCTTGGTATCTAATACCACCCTTTTCGTCCATTTCCGGGATGACAGTATGGCAAGTTGCAAGTAGGGACAAAAAGTGATCAATAGCAGGGGCGGTCTCGTGTCCGTTGGCGAGATTACCTCTAAGGGCTTTGTAGTCAAAAAGTCCAACTTCCACACCATCAATCATGGTTGGGCGACGATCTTCCGGTACGTCTTCAGAGTATTGGATTCCAGCAATCGAACACTGCTTGAACTCCATCTGATTACAGGTGAGGGTTCCAGTCTTGTCCGAGAAGACGTATTCAACCATTCCTAATTCTTCCACCAAGCTTGAGGTCCTGCAGGTGGCAGGCGTGTCGTTTTTGTCGTAGTACATGTCGAGGTCATCGTTGATTAGAATTCCGTGCCAGTACTTCACCAGCTCCACAGTGACGAAGAGAGAGATAGGAACCAAAGCCGAAAACAAAACCCAGTATGTGACCATATCCTTGAGGAATGTTTGAGTGATTTGTCCTGCGGTGTTCGTGGGGTCCAGATAAAGATATGAGAGAGCTTCTCCTTCGACTTTTCGCTGGATCAGATCTCCAACCGTACACACAATACTCAGAATCAGCAAGATGCCCACCAGTAGAAGGACGAGCATGTTGAGCTTTCTTTCAACCTTAGTTCGCTTGATAGGGGCGGCAGTGGCGTTTCGCATGAGTTTGGTTTCGTGGCCAGTAAACACTACGACACCGTGAACCCACGGCGTGTTTCGTAGCGTAGCACCTCTGAGAAGCAGTTGTTCTGGGTTGAGTGCAAACTCCTTTTCTCCGCCTCCGGACTGCATTGTCAAGGTTGCTTCATATGTATAGAGACTACTGTTGGGCTGTTCCGACTTAATGCGGCCCCCTAGTCTGCTAAGCTCGTTTGGCGAAACCATAGACGAAGTTTCGGGTATGGCTTGTTTGATCTTGAGGTTTGTCTCGCCGTCCAAGTTTGCAGTTTCGATATAACACAGACCTTCGGGTTCAGAACTAGCCAAAAGAACCAAATCAGCAGGGAAAGGTTCCTCTGACTCTACTCTTATGATGTCTCCGACAGCCACGTTGATCCATTTGTTTTCCTCGAAAGAAGAGCCTCTGAGGACCCGCGCTTTAGAGGTATTGAGAGCATTGTCGGCTTGCTTTCTGCGGTAATCTTCAACCAACTCCTTCACCGCAGAGATAATAAGCACTACAATGAGGGGCGCAATGGTCGTATATGGGTTTGTAGGTGACAGGTTAGGAATTTGCTGAAGCGCTGCAGTGAATAAGAAGAAGATATTGGCGAACTTTGAAAACTGTTCGTAAAGGAACTTCGGCAGGAAACTTGCGACGTTGTACTTGGCCGTTGAAATATGGTTGTCGACATACTTGTTGGCGGCATTGGCGGGCGGGTTGTTGAGGAAGATAATTCTTGGACCGAGGGTCGATGGATCTGGCTTTGATCGCCCGAATCCAAATTTGAAATTGCCCATATCGAATTTGCCCTTCTGGGCCTGCTGCGGCGGTTGCTGGGAGTTCCCTCCAACAGAATCTCCTCGCGCATGGCCAGGCTCCGTTAAAGGCAAATCCATTTCTGAGTATCCTTGTCCCATGCCCAACTTATTCTTCACTTTACCTAGAAAACCCAAGCCCATAACGCTGTTTCGGTTTCGCGAAGCGTTCCTGCCCAGGCCCGGGGTGGTTTCGTCGACTCTTGAGCTTCCGTCGTTGTGGTAATATGAATCACCATCAACAGGATAATCATCAAAGTCATCGGCATAGCGTTGGTAGTTGCCAAGTTCGGAAGTCTGGCTGTATTGTCTTGTTAGGTAAGGATTCGAACCGGGGGCAGATCCAGGTACACCTAACCCGTTGGCAGGCTGTGAGGCTGAAGCACGATTCGCATCCCGAGCGCCAACGAAGTCATCATAGGACACGGAGGTCCGCCCTGGCGGGGGATCTTGGTTCTGTTCGTGAAAGCGCATCAAATCGTCATCGTTAAGGTTGGAGCGCTGGCCATTGTTGTAGATGGGCTGCTCATTGTCAAGGTCGAGTAGGAGATCGTCGCGATTATTCGAGTGTCCCGTATCGAAACCTCCTCCAGGCGGTCGCCCAGCCATGGCGGCGGACAGTTCAAGGTCAGACTATCGACTCGTGAAGGCGGCTGCCAGCATGCGGATTGAATTTGTCGACGTTTCGCGATGGGCGATTCGATCGGACAGGTAAGAAGAGAGATAGTTGGTGATGTCGATTATAGGCAATGCGGATTGCGATGAGGTCGGACGGTGCGGGAGGATGCCAAGCAACAAGCTGACGGCAGTAGAGATGGAGGCGTGTCGTTGAGTCGTTAACTGTTAACGTTTAAGCGGCCGTGTCAGGACAGGGCAGTGGAGGGTGTCAGGTAAAGTCAGTAAGCACTGTAAGCTTTGTGACTTTGCTCCGTAGGTCGAATGTCTTTGGGATCCTTCCTGTGGCTGGGCCGGGGATCAATCAACGCCGCGACGACCGGATTGCGGATTGCGGGTTGCACGTACATGCACAGCCTCCTTTTACCATGCGCAAGCTTTCGATTTAGACGAGTCGATTGGAGACCGTGCGGTGGGACGTTGGACGAGGCTCAAGGAATGGCTGTGGCCAGCTTGCAGTCACTGATTGGTTAATTGGAGGTTTGATGGGTAGGTTTCAACGTATAACTGAAGCTGTAGCAGGTGGAAATGCAGCAGGAAAACTGCAGTTCAAGTTGAATGATCAGAAGAAAGCGTAGAGACCGAGACCAATACCGAGCCCAAAATCAGGATAACAAGAAAGATGTAGATTTTTGGAATGAGACAATGCGGGCTGGGTAACGAAACGAACAGGTTTATCGCAGGATCAGTAGGCTTGGGGGCTGGCGCCTGAGACTGCTGAGTGAGATCCTGCTATTGGATCCAGGGCAAGCTCACAGTGCTAAAGACTGGGAACCTCAGGGGACGTGGAAAGGAGTTTTATGAAGCACCCTGTCAGTTAACAGCGCTAGAACGGCCACTTCAACTGCTGCTGCAACTTTCCCACTTGTGCTTCTTCAACGTTTATCGTTTATTCGGCTGCGTCAACAGCCACTATACGAATTCCGTAATGCATCTTAAATTTCCAACCATCCTGGCTTAGAGATCAAAGCGTCTTTTTCGGCTACAGAACTCTGTCTCTCAGGGCAAAATACTGCTCCGCTCGCCTGTTCGTATCCTTTGTTGCTATTCATGGCCATGGATGTCAGCAGCAAATGGGGCTCCAAGCTTCCAAACACCTGCCAGCCACAAGCCGGGGCCGGGGCACGTAATTGCGTAGGAGACAGGAAGTACGTAGTACTTTTACCTCAATAGAGTTTTTCAATTGCCTGTATATTTCCAGCAATTTAATACCGTATACCTAGTACTTCTACCGGGCTTCAAGGTACATCCACAGGCTAGGTAGTTATCACCCAGCCAAGCCCCTTAGACGTCGTCACCTCGACGGATCCCGTAAGGACAACCCCACGTACTTAAACACACGCGTGTTCATTCGTTTCAATTCTTGCTGTCGTCGCTGCTCTTGTTTTATTTGTCGATGCTGTCGAATGTGCGCAGGGTAATTTCCATAATTGCTGTCTGTGTTGCAGCGCCCCATCTTTCCTGTCTTACCTGATGCTACTACACGGATAATGCGGAATACTTGATGCGAGGCTAATTTCAAATGCAACTCATTCGCGACCAGACATAAACCAGTTGAATGGAAGTAGAATGCATTTATCTCGCTAAAGACATAAAAACACGGGCTGCCCTGTGTCTCCTTCACCAGGTCTAATTTCCACATAATAAGGATAGAATCAAGAACAGTATACTTGAGCTTCCACATACCCATACTTACATGAGTTACTAGGCATATATTTGTCTTAAGCTATTTGGTTATTGGGCTTTTGATATCTCATTTTACATACAATAATTCAATAAACCAACCCATCCTCATAGGGACGCCTTAGACTTGAGCACTCCGCCCAGCACTCCATCAACCCATTTCGTGATATCCTGGTTCACAGCATCAGCCGCCTGCCAAAGCGCCCAGTGCGATGCCTTGACCTCGCCCCGGGTCAAGTTCGTGAAGCTGGTGTCCATTCCCTGGGACATGGCTGGAGGCAAAGCTGCGTCGTCGGTCGCTGTGATGAACAAGGCCGGCATCTCAAACTTATATCCCTTCTTGGCTATCTCCACGTCGTCACGCTGGTTGAGCTCCTGCATGCGGTAGTAGTTCAGAGGTCCGCGCAGCTCGGGGGCCTTCTGCGAAGCGTACTCCTTGGCGTAGAAGTCAAGCTCGTCCTTGCTGACGAGTGGTGAGTGTTTGAGCTCTGGCAGCTTGTCGAAAAAGACGCCCTCCTTCGTGGAGAATCCGAGCTCGCCGTCAGGTGTGCGGCCGCCGTACAGCGCATTGAGGAACTGTCGAATCTTCTCCTCTCCCTGGAGGCGGGATTCAACGTCAGGACCCTTGAACTGCAGTTGGTACTGAAAGTTGAGCAGGTGACCCATTTCAATGAGCTTCTCGAGAGGAATAAAGGTCTCTCGAGGCTGAACGTAGGGTGTGCAGACGCTGAAGACGCCCTTGATCAACTCGGGATACCAGCTGGCGACCTTCCAGACGATCATGCCACCCCAGTCGTGTCCACCAAGAATGATCTGGCCATCATTGCCAACGTACTTTCGAGCCAGCTCGTTGATATCCGCTGATAGGCTCTTGTATGTGTAGTGTTCAAGCGACTCCGGGGCCTCGCTACCGCCATAACCCAGCATGTCTGGGACAATGACGCGGAATCCCAGTGACATGAAGTAGGGAACCTGGTAGCGCCAGCCAAATCCAAGATCGGGGAAGCCATGGATAAGAACCATGGTTTCCAGAGGCGTACCTTCGGGTTCACCGACAATGTACTTGTAGGTTTTGCCCCGAAGCTGAGCAGTCTCGGTTTTGACCCGAGAGTCATTTGGCGCGAGCTTATCGGGAGCCATATTGCAAAAACTTAAGGTCTATGGCCTCTTCGTCTTATGATCTTGTGAAAGCGTTAATGGCAGATTCTCAAACGGACTTTCATGATGTAGAGTTTCAAGCTCAATAGTGGGGTTAGATATATGATGCATTACATCATATTGGCCAACTTACATTTATCGATTCAATAGATTGTAGACCTGGATGATGAGTTTCGGCGGCTCACCAGGAACTCGCAAGATATAAATACCTCGGACTGTAAAAGCAAGGATCTATAAAGTCCGTCTGAGCGGCACGGAGTATTCATATATACTTGTTTCATGCCAGCTTCGAATCGTGTAGGGTGGGTACTGGAGCAGACCGAGGCGGCCGAGGCACAAGCGGAATGATTTCCTAATTCAGGATACTTTTCATACGTCAATGGCGGCTAAGAAATAGTCTATGATATAGAACTGCTGCCGTGTCACACCGATCAAAAATATTGCGCTGGTCCCCGGCTCGTTACATAAAAATTGTAGATTGATAGTGGAGGCAATGAGGCGGTCTACCAGAAAGATAGGGACATACAGTCTATTGATAATATCATCTTTTGTACAGCCTGTGAGGTAATGGTCATAGGGTATCGAATAGGGTTTATGCTCAAGCAGCTAAGATAAAAAAACAAAAGCTCTTGCATAAGGATCCTCCATAAACTAAGCCGTCTGCTTCGCCAATTATGCAGTAACATATTGGTCCAGCGATCGAACGCTGTATGCTGCGGTGAAGCCGAATAACGAGAAGCAGCAGTCAATGCACGCCATCCCTACTGATAAGCATGGTCGGAGGTAGTGCTCAGTAAATCACCGTATCTTCCTCAGCTTCCTCCAGTACATCTGCCGATTCATCATTGTGGTGGTCATGGTGCTCTTGATCGTCCATCACTTGATTTCGTAACGGCTGCTCAGGGGCACTCATGACCTTTGGTTCAGAAGCCGAGTCATCATTCAAAGGCACCGTCGCCTCTACATGTACTGGTGATTTCCTGCCTCGATTCGTTTGTCGCTCCTTTCTTGCATCGAATGCGCCAACTTCACGCTCTATTGTGGCCTTAGCTTGTTGTATTTGGGTGTCTATCGCATCCTCTTGTTCTTCTGTGAGTTTCCAAGGTAAATAATACTATATGCTGTTAATAAGAAGCGCACGGATGGGGGTTCCATATCACTTACGATCTGCGGTCGTGACTTTGTCCGCAGGTATTGAGCCATCGCAAGCATTTTGGTATGCTTATTCCGCATCTACAAAGTACTGTCAGCCATGTACATCGAGGCGCATTATGCGATAGCTTGGGCCGACTTACAACTTCCTCGTCGAACACAATCTGCTCGCCCTTTCGAATCTCTGTAATTCGCGCCCTCTTTTCCTCCCGCACCTTGCCATCCTCAATGCTCTGTTTGTGAATTCGTTCTTGTTGTCTTCGTTCTATCTCCAGACGGCGCTTATGTTGCGTGTTTCCAGCCGTCTGGCTCAAAGTGTTGAGCAGTCCACCGAACAACCGTTTGCCGCGCTTCTTCTCTTCCTGGGTCGCAAGTTTACGGCGATCAACATCAACTCCTGCTGAGTCTCCATGGGAATCGCGACGGCTCTGTAGTGAGTCTCTCCTCGGTGGTTCGTTCGTGGCTTCGCGGAAATGGTCATCGTGTTTTATGCGTTTCGGAGAAAGCTGGTCTTCGCTTGCTGAAGCCTTTCTTTTCACAGGTTCCCTATCTGAAACATCTGGAGATAATGTGTTGTCGTGGCTCTCCAGCCTTGCCTGGGTATCATCCATTGGAAGGAGCCTACCATCTAGTTAATAAAATGTAAACGAGAAGGAAGAAGCTCTACACGTACTCGTTTTCTGTCGACATGTTTGATAGGAGATTTGTGAGGCGACTCTATGAAGACCATCAGGTATAGAATTAGATTCCCATAGTTGTGTAAGATAACATAAAATATAAACGTGGGATGAAGGTTGATGATGTCCCTTGTCGAGGCTGAGGAAGGTGGGGACTGCGACGTAGGTCGTGACTGACAACAGCTATTGCGCCCCACCTCTCTGATTGGCTCGTGACTCTGTCGCCCCTCGAAGCTGTCAGAACGCCGCGGCAAGGCTGAGAAATCTCCAATGCTAAAGTCTCCAACATTCATCTTCACATCTCTCTCACCTTATATCTCTCTCAACTCGTTCCTTCGCTTGATCGCACAACTCGCAAAGCCATTTATTCTTCTAGAAGTTTGCTCTCGTCACAGCCATGTCTCGCCATCATCCGTATGTACTGCCTTATTTCTACATTTCATGACACATCTTAACTAACCTTATTCCAGCGATCTTGTTATGTGTCGCAAGCAGGCCGGCATCGCCATCGGTCGTCTCTGCGACAAGTGCGACGGCAAATGCCCAGTCTGCGACTCTTACGTGCGGCCTACTACGCTTGTCCGCATTTGCGACGAGTGCAGCTTCGGCAACTACCAGAACAAGTGCGTTGTATGCGGCGGTGAAGGTATCTCCGACGCCTTCTACTGCTTCGAATGCACGCGCCTCGAGAAGGATCGTGATGGATGCCCCAAGATTATAAACCTGGGTAGTTCAAGGACAGATGTGAGTAATCTGATCACTTCCTTCCTTTCGCCCGCATATGCTAACCCTTTTCTCCCTCTCAGTTATTCTACCAGAAAAAAACGAATCGTACAACGCAATACTAGCGAAATCGAGGCCTGGGCTGGGCCGTGGAGTGGTGTTTCGTGGATTGCATTCAATATTTGAATCTGGCATCACAGGTGTTTTAGGCGTAACATGGAATGTAAAAAGTGTGCTTTTTGGATCGAGCGACAGCTATCTAGTAATTACAATATTGACCAGCTTGTTCCTTATTCAACTTTAACAGAACTTGCTTGTGATCGCCACATCTCATCTGAATGTCAAAAACAGGACAAAGCAAAAAAGGCCTACCCAAAGACTCCTCGTAACGCATGAAATACTAAATAATACATATGAAAACACCAATCATATATAGCTGACCTTGACACCCATTCCTGCTGTGCCCTTAACCTTGGACCAAAAGGCCGCAAGTATTCGCTTCACTCGCTCACGGATATTTGTATTGCCCAACATAAGAACCAAACCCATGATAAACGCCATAAATTTGAACAGGAGCATGGGGTTCGCATTGAGAGACGACCCCAGCTGCTGGATAACGCTCCGGAGATGTGTAATTGCCATGGAGGCGCGTGATGTAAGAGTTGGGGCGCGTGAGACAGCTTTGCCATTTGCCTTGGGTGCTGCTTGGCCTGTGGTGCCTTGTGGTCTGGATTGTCTTGAAGACGAAGACGACGGAGTTCTAGCTTTCCGGGGTCGAGTCGATCCAGCGTGACTGGCAGTATCGTCAACCCCGTAATCAACCTCGCTCCCTTCACGTTTCACGCGCTCTTCTTCTATTCGCTTTCTCTCTCTTTCCTCGTTTTCAGCGCGCAGTCTCTTTGCCTCCTCAATCTCTTTTCGTAGCTCATCTTCTTGTCGCTCACGCTCCTCGTTCTCCTGTCTTTCCTGCTCTTGCTGCTCATCGTGAAGGCTCTGCAAGGCTTGTAGAAAAGCTTCGCGGCGCTCCTCGTCCAGGACCGAACTGACGCTGATAAATTCACGAGCATAGTCCCATTCGTTGTTGCGCAAAAGCACGTGTAACGTGTACAACTCGAGAATCTTGACTCGGGCATTCAGATCTCGAGGCGTATTTGCGCCACTTGCTCCTTTGGCTGGAGACCTATAACGATTTGAAGTGGGCGAGCTCGCTGATTCAGTAAGTCGCCCAGCAACATCAAGATGAGGAGTGTTAGAGGCGGCCAAATAGGCCTCAAGTTTGTGCTGGTTTAGCTTTTGGTCACGAGCATGTGCCAATAGTATTGTTGCGCTGCCCGAGTTAGTATAGATTCAAAAGCGACACAGCCAAAGAGACTTACAGATTGATAACCACGTCTGAATCGACGTCACCCTCAACACCGTGGTAACCATTCGTAACAACCTCGTCCCATATTTCTCCTTCGCGGACCTTGGTACACAACGCTCTCCATTCCTGGTTCCCGAAAGCTTCCTTGCCATCCTCGGGCTCCAATTCAACAATGCCATTCAGAATCGTAAGATATAGGCTCCAGACTTTGATTCGGGTCGTTCTTGAAGCTCGCGCGACGGGCGCAGGCTCGCCATCGTCAACATGTTCGGGAGATTTAATCAGAGGGAGCAAGGTTGTCAGAGCTTCCGGAAGTCGACGCGTGAGGAACAAGGTGGAAGCTTGACGATAGGTCTTTGAGATTTGAGAAGGGTGCCGTGTTGATGGAGAAGACGACAGAGATGATATGGATGCCGAAAGGAGGTTGTTGGACAGACCGACGGGTACTGTTGATGACATAGTGGTCGAGTTGTAGGCGGCGCGATGCCCGTTGAAGGACATGTTCACGGTCGGACGTAAGAGATAAGATCAATGTTTCTAGCAGATAAGCCTCCGAGGTTATTGCTGTCCCGACATAAACTGCGACGAGGTTTACTGGAGGTGGTTGGTTGCTTAAAAAGCAAGTTCGGATCGTCAAATCGACAGGCGGTATGTGACGGATGGAGTTGGGGAATGGAAACGGGACAGGGCGGACGAGAGATGAACAGGGCAGATCAGATCAAATCACCCCCAGATTCATGATCCAGGTCTCTTTCAATTGAGCATTGGGGTAATAAAAGAAATACGGGGACCAAGAGGCAGAGACAAGAGAACAAAACCCAAGCTCGGAACTCACGCGTCAGGGCCGAATTCAGTTAAGAAGGCCGTGACATGTGGTTTGTAGTGCAGGTAGTGGTAGCAACATGGAATAACAATTGAAAGAGAGAGAGCTGAGCCAACCACGTTAAACAGAGGCAAAAACATGCAGTATTTTAGCCTCGGTACCTCAGGTGGACCGTGCTTCATCCCCCCAAGTTCCAGGGCCGACAGCGGAAGCAAGGCCGAGGTTGACAGCTAGTACCTCCACCGGTACTCCGTACCTGAGCTGTTCACTCCGTCTCTCCACTACTAATGTCATATTCAGGTACGGATATATATTTGATCTCTCTTTGACGTGCATAAACAGTCAATTCATAGTTGTAAAGTAGGTGCAAAAACAAATGGTCTCTTGTAGTAGAACAAATCATATGTCAACTTCCGCATTCGTCATACCGTTTGTTGCATGTTATTATCCAAACTGGGTGTCTTCATTTCCCGTTGATCCAATGACCCAAGTAGGCTCGGCAGGATATCCATATCAGTCATAAGCATATGCTTCATTACGACTCCTTAGCCCGCCTGACCAATAAACATTATAAACAAAGTAAATAAGCCATCAACAAGCACAAGAACTACCTATTAATACAGTGACCATTCCAGACCATTAATAATAACTGATTTATAGCGTGCAATCCAGTTCATTTCATGGGCTATACACACACGTGATCGGTCTTTTGCCGTCTTCTTACCTATCGACAACTTAGAACCATCTATCTCGGTACTAAGGTTCTCTTAATTGAGGTATTCTAAAATGTCTTACACAATATTAAAAATGCCGTAGACTCACGAGGCAAGAAAAAGAAAACAAGAAAGAGAAAGAGGGGTGGTAAAGGTTCGTTTAGTTGGTGTTGTTCTATTCGTTACCTACCGAGTCAACACCATACCTGTTAAAAGAGTGTCCAATGGGTCACGGTACAACAACAAGCTCTAAACAAGAAACACAAAACTGAATTTGCTATCCAAAGCAAAGTCCAAGCTAGCCAGAAGCTATATCTTGCCTCCAAATAAATCCATGGTATCATAAACGCCGCCCCCAGATCAACCGTAAAGAACACCGTCCGGCCTATTGTACAGCCCACCCAACATACCGTCCTGATCTATCGCCTACGGGTCGACCTTCTGATCGGTGTTCTCTCGCAGCTTACTTCCTCGGTCTCCTCTCGGATGCCAATGATGCTATCTTCTCGCTCAAGAAGTGACTCTTCAGCCCCGTTCAACTGCTCCTGGCGGATCCATCCAGCCTCAACGGCGAAGCACACTACGTCTGCAGCACAACCGAAGCAGGGTACTTCCTCTCCCGCATCTGGGTCTAGATACTTCCACATTTCTCGCGTCTCCTTCTTGAATCGTGCAAGCTCCTTCTTCTCGCCCTTGTAGTGGCTTATGATGTATTCGTAGAGGTATGCTAGCCAAAGCACATTCGTATATGGTGCATATGCATCCCACGAGAGGGGCCCGTCAATACCCTTGGCATAAGGGGTGTCGTGGGCTCCTGGTGCTAAACATGTGCGGTCTGCCCGGAGGAGGAATGATCTCATCTGGCGGTAGACTTTGCATTGTGCTGCGTGTGTGCTGGTGAAAAGACTGAGATCTCTTTCGAGATCAAACGCTACGGGCTTTGCGTCGTCGATAGAAAGGTCTTCTCCGCGAGACAGGCCATAGTCTAGAATAGTGATGTCCAAGCCTGAGAAGCCAAAGAAGCCTTCCGAGCGGGGGTCCATCTCCCGAGCTGGTTGGACTTGACGGATACATAGGTTGCCCTCGTGAAGGTCACGATGCTAGATGAGTTAGTGACTGACTAAGCGTGAGCGAGTTGCAACTTGATTTACCTCGAACATAACAAGATCCTCGGCTCTTGCCAAAGCGATAGCTTGTAAGAAAAATATATCCCATAGTTGACTTTCGCTGGTCAACTTCCAATCTTCTAGCGACGTCCCAGCGTCACCCAGCTCAACCACCAAGAATTGCGTGTCATCCAGGTATCGACTTGGTGAAGGATAAAACTGAGCTCGATCCGGATCCTGACGCTTCATCTTCTTCTGAAATGATTGATGTGTCTCCAGAAGCTCCTTCGTTGTCTTGCCTTGAACAACATATCGTTCTTTGTAGACAACGAATCCTGGGATGTCGGCCAGCCATTCTGAAATCTGCAGCTCGCCTTTGATGTCCTCTTCAGGATGCGGCTCCTCGTCGACTAGACCAGAACGAACCTGGGCTTTGGTCTGCGGCTTTATGGGCGAGGGAAGTCGAATAACTTTGATGATGCTTGTTCCACGATTATTCGTAACGCGGTATACTTCTGCGTAAGAAGCTTCGGCGATTTTGATGATCTGATCTCCAGGGGGGCAAACATCGTCCCATGTTAGGGTTCGTAGCGGTGCTTCTTGAGCGGCCTCTTCTGCTTCTGAGGCAACCTGAGCTTTCACTAATCTTGAAAGTTCGTCTTCATCCAATGATGGTTCCGAGACAGCTTCTTCGACTTTTGCGACGTCCTCGTCTTCGAATATTTTCAGGCTTACGTCTTCCTTGACATGGGCGATCTCAGTTGTTGCCTTTTTGATAGAATCTGTAGCCTTTTCCAATGGTCGTGTTCTTGACTTGGTAGTTGGCTTTTCATCGATTGTTATCGACGACACTTTCTCTGTTACAAGAGACACCGAGTCTTCCTTAGCATCTGGTTCCCTTTTTGGCCGTACTGGGCTTTGGGGCAGCTCGGCAAACAGGCGTTCGGCTTTTGACCGCTTTGCCTGTTTGCCGTATTTCTTTACTGCAGTAGTTCTTGCCATTATGAGTTTTGAGGTAGAATTGTTAAATGTCAATTCTCCTGAAGCGTTTTTGGGTGTCATGAAGACCATTTGTATTCAGGGACTGGTTGGTACAGCAACGGGTCCGCTTTGGTCACCCTACGGCTATGTCTGGTTCTCCAGTGGGCTGCTGGGCTTCTGGAACTATTCTTAGAACCATGAGAACAAGGCTGTTTTATGATAAAGAAGGGGCCCATCGATGTATAAATATCCGCAACATTGTTTCTTAGTTGACATTAGCTAGGCATATGTCTCATAATTGTGTGGACGGCTCGATTTTGGCTAGAGCTATCCATGAGAGACTGTAAACAATGGACTTTTAGGATTGGTCTATCTTGATTGATAATTTCAGTCACCGTCCATTTTGTTCTGCCAGGCTCATCCTCATATAGTGATGCATTATTTGGCAATTGGCCCACATACCAAGACTACCGCTGATACAAACTCTTGAAAGCAGACTTGCTGGTCTGTGATGGCATATGTCCGCTGTTCCCTGTTCACATACACCATTGGCTTGCTCTACAAAATCAATACTGTTTTGTATTACACAAGTAAGCTATGAAGCAGAAAACCGAGACAACCCATCAAATAGCAATTGCTTGTCATCTATTTACACTTTGAACTTGTTCATAGCGAGTTGATGGCGTGACATGGGAGTTCCCCCCGCGCATTACCTCATTGGCCGTCGTGACGATCGTGTTTAACAGCCACTGAGACATTGGAATACTACCATCTGAGTTAATTCAGCAAAACAATAGAAAGAAAGAAGAACAACACAAACCCCAATCGTTATCTGCAACTCCTCCAACAGCAAAACCACCTACCATCAACCTTAGAACACCATCATATAAGCTAATGAGCAACTGGACTCAGATGCCCTTTACAGCTTAGCTGACAGCTTTCTCCACCTTGCCAAGCTACCTAAGCTCTCTCCGCAACCCCATCCCATTTCTTTGGGGCCCTTTCCCCTACGCTCGTGGCCTTTTCGCTTCCTTGCCTCTCTTTTTAAACCCTCCTCCCACCCGCCGTCTCAAATTGTTCGCCATTGAACACGCCCCCCACGAAAATGGCCTCTTTCTTCAAGAACGCCTTTGGTGGTGAAAAGGCCCCCGCGGCTGCCAATCCAGACTCTGGTAAGTTATCTTCCGGTTCACGTTGCCAATTGCGCAATATTGCGACGCGCAAAGAGGGGGGAACCTGTAGCTGCAATGTGGTTTGAGGTATCATGACTGACACGCGACACTCTCCATCTAGACTTTGCCGACTTCGCCGAAGCTCCTAGTCCTGCTCCTGAGGTCGTCGCCCAGGATGCGACAACTGGAAGTGCTGCCGCCGCTGCTACCACGGTCCCCTTCACCAAGTGGTACAATGTCCACGAGCGTCATTCCATCTCCGAGTTCAAGATGGAGGGCGTCATCCTCCTCATCTCGAGTGTCGTCTTCCTGCTTCATATGATCGGTGCTCGTCGCAATCGCTCCCGAGCCAAGGCCTGGATCCGCGCCCACGCCCCCGTCTTCCACAAGGAGTACGCTCTCGTGGGCTTCAGTGGCGTCCCCACCGCGGACAACGAGGATGTCAACCCGGAAACCCTCATCAAGGAGAAGTCCCTCTTTGAGTTTGCGACCTACGCTACCGGCCGACAGAACACGGCTTTCACCGATGTCAAGCTTACTCTCACCAAGAAGTTCAACCCTATCGTCAACGGCTTTGAGCACCTCGCCAGCTTCTTCATCGAGTCTTTTGATACACCCACGGATGCCGTTGAGGTGATCACCTACCCGTTCGACGGCAAGGAGAACCTCACTGTCCCTTCCCTCCCTGGAGCTTCCGAGATTCGCGCCAAGGATGCTAAGAGCACCTACGATGGCTTCGTCTGGGGTGTTGTTCACAAGGATGTCATGCGCCGAGTCCGCGACGAGCGATACGACGTGTCTCTTACTTTCACCAAGGATAACCCCAAGCTTCCTGCCTGGCTCACCGTCATGAGCGAGAGCGCCGAGATCACTGATACCCTGCTTTACCCCGAGCTCATTGCTGCCATCAAGGCTGCCGGCGACCTGTTTGAGTACATAATCATCTCCGACCAGCCCGTCGACAAGCCTCTTACCCTCGAGGAGACCTTCCCCCGCAAGCGTCTGTTCCTCAAGTACGCCCTGCCTTCCAGCGGCAACTACGACACCCTCCTGCCTCTCTTCTCGCACTTCCTCCAGTTCCCCGATGTCCTCGTCAAGGTTGCCCACTTCCGCCCTGAGGTCTCCAAGAAGGTCCGCACCATCCGCGAGAACGCCATCAGCGAGCTCAAAAAGAGCGCCGAGAGCCAGCGCCAAGAGGAGCTTCTCGTCGAGAAGGAGAAGGCTCGCAAGGCCAAGCGTGATGCCGAGCTCAAGGGCCTCGATGCCAAGGCTCAAAAGCGATACCTCGAGAAGGAGAAGGAGAAGGAGATGCGAAAAGCCCAGAGGCGACAGACACAGCGCGCTTAAAGCAGCTGTTTGGTTTATGTGTATGGATACGTGATGGGAGCAAAGAATGGGAGGTGTATATTGGCATAACTGTATTGTGTGGAAGCATTATCTGTAACAGTAGTTTATTCAACAGCCTAATCAATGATGATGCTTGTTTCGATGCCTATGTTTGTTTCTGATCGTCTTCATCTCGCTCACAGTGGTCATTTTCTGAGAGGTAAGCTTGTCCCGTAGTTGAATAATGTCATTGCTTTGATCTCAATGTTTACAGTGGTATTAAAATACTTTCAAACTATCCAAATGTGTCGTGCCGACTTTTGATCCTGGTATATTCCCCTTCTTTTTAGCCTGTAACAATGCAGAATGTCATACAACATCATTAAGCTTTGTTGTACTCTTATAACAAGGCCTGTAGCCTCCAATAGGCTCAAAATCAATTGCAGATTTTTCGAGAGACGAGAAAGGAAATGCAAACTCGTACATTCTCATGCTTTTGAAGCAGCCAGACATCATTACGTCCACTGTACCTCCTTTGCCCCTAGCTGATTCAATGAGAACTCATTACGAGTAAACATAGACCATGGCGTATCAAAAGTTCAGGTGTCGGAGCCTCATGTACACCAGGCCCGATGCCCAGAGTCAATGCTTAGACTTGCATACCATTGTGAACATGATGATCTTGCCAACAGCATATCTAGACAACGTCCCCACAGTCTCCATGTTCAGGCTCTCTAGAGGGCCTCACAATTCGGCGTGGAATCGTAACGGCCCAGGAACTCCGGAAGTCATACTTTCTCGGCGTCTCAGCCGAATGGTGACTTCGTTGGAGCGCGCCTGGCCAGCTAGTAATGCCTCCCATCTCCTTCAGGCATGTGAAGTGACGGAATTGAGAGATTCACTTGCGGTCTCTCAGGGTCCCATCCACATACCCCCATTAGCTGTACCACCCATGGCTTCAGGGCTTGGGCCGAAGCCGTATCCAAAAAGTGTTGAAAACTCATCCATAACTTGGGGTACGGACGGGAAGTTGGCATCCATACCCACAAAGGGGCTTGGGGCATGCATCACTGGCATACCAGGTCGAGCAGTTGTGCCTGTGCTCCCCCGCCAAAATGTATTTGGGTTTTGAGGCATAGGCATTGAGGCCTCGGGCGATTCGTCTTGCCTGAAGTCCTGAATAGGCACGTCGTTCTTCCACAACAATTCCCACTTTTTGAAACGTGAGTAATCGGTCTCCCGACCTGAAGGATCGCCAGTGGCATCTAGTCGTGAGATAGCACGTTCAAAAACTTCAATAAGGGAGGCTTCTGAGCGAGCTGATTCTCCACCTGCTGACATCTCCTTGATCATGGACATCCCCATACGTAGAGCGTCACGTAGTCTGTCTGTTTTCCTTTGCAAGCATTGTGTAATGATAACGAGTAGAGCTGCACGACAAGAACTGAATTCTGTGTACGATGCGCGTGCGAGGCCGATGGTGCTCTGGAGTAGATGACAAGTATCAACGATGGTCAAAGCAGCCTCAACACAGTCGGCAACTAGAATCGAACGAGGATTCGACTTGTGTGGGGTGTTGGGGCGCTGGCTGTTAGAATCGGCGGGCGAACTGGACGAACTTGCATTGCCGCGAACAACCTCGCGAGGCAGGATGAAGGGCCGTCCAGCATACATCCGCAGAAGACAGTACTCTAATTTGAGATGTGTGTCCGCTCGTGAAATCGGATTCTGAGGATTAACTTCTTCGTGGAACGCAGTTTCAGGGAGTGCGTCCCACCATCTTCGAAGCTCTTCCTTCATATCGATAACTCGCTGCAAACCTTCGTTCATTTCGTGCTTTTGTGAGGTTCGAAGCACCGAGCTGCCGACTGGAGTTAGCTTTGAACTTCCAAGAGAAACGGTTATCATAGCGCAGATGCATACAACTCATGTGCGATTTTACCAAGAGCCTGGTTCAATCGTAGTGTTGCGAGCATGTGCGCAATACTGGTAGCATTTGAGGGCATGATGTCTGGCCGATCGACAGGCATCTCTGCATCCACGTCCTTACTCTGGATGGACAGCGGCCGTCCATGGTAGATACCGACTCGCCTGTTAAATGGTTAGCCGCCGAATTTCAACCAACACACCGAATGGACATACTTCTCTGTCGTGTAAGCTGTCCACCAAACACGATTCCTCGTTTCACGGACATATGGATCAAGTCCTCCAGCAGGCCATCTCCTGTGCATACCATTCTGAATGGCGAGCTTGACTGCAAGGTTGAGGTAGATGTATGACAACCCCGAAGCATCAAGTGGCAGTGTGTAGATGCCGATAAGGAGAATAGCCTGGACGCTCTCAAGCGACGCAACAGTGATAGCGTCAGGAACAAGTTTGCAGGCCTCCTGGTAGAACTTCACACCGATTGCATCCTCAGAGAACGGGCTTGTGTCAGCAGACTTCCCATACGCATCTCTTCCCGAGATAGAGTCCAAATATGCGTATTGAGTTCCAATAGCCATGATGATCCAAATCATGCATAGTGTCCCGACTTCGCGGCGAGACAAGGCACCGGGATTTTGATAGATCAGTTCAATCTGATCAGTGAGCCATCCGCGCTCAACATAAAAGTAGTTGGTCTCAGCATGTTTATAGAATGCTTGAATGAGAAACTCGGCAACATATCGAGGGGGCAACTCAGAAAGAGACTTCCGTGTGTTATCAGCTGACTGGAGTTCCTCAGCTCGGTAATACTCTTTGAAACTGAGGGGCCCTGGTGCATCCTAAGGAAAAGTTAGTTTGGATAGTTGTAGCAAAACGGAATGACACATACGCGACGTTCTGGTACACACTGCTCGATCCACTGCTTAATTCGCATTGAGAAGTTCCAATGAGAGAACTCGCCTGAGTAATCTGTGAGGAGAGATTAGCCATTAATTTTGCGCTTCGGTTTGAGAAGACGAGTCTTACGAGTAGTGTTGTTATCCAAGGGCTGGACGGTGTAGTTCTCATCATCTGCGCCCAGGAATTCAGACCCTGGAGAGTCCATGATCGGCGCTTGTCGCTGAACCTGGGTGGCATCTATGTTTTTGTTGTCGATTGATTCGGCCATGACTTTCAGCGATTCCGTGTCTAAGGGAACATTGCCTGCATAGTGAGTGATGATCTTCTCCATGTACGAGACCCGCTGAAGGAGCTCAGCGCTGCCTGCACCAGACCGATTCCTACAGATGATTTATGCGTCAGCAACCTTGATGGTATTTCAAGATATGAATTTGAAGCATTTTGATTTACCTTGCAGCGCCATCAGCGCCGTCGGCGTCTCTAGCAGTCGGACCCAAGAACTCGCATTGGCGATGCAGGCGCGTGCACCTCCGGCATGGCACACCACCATCACATTTCTCCTTCTGACGTCGGCAACCGTCGCAGCTACAACACGACGTCAATTAGTGTTTTGCAATCGGAAAAGTAATTGAATGCGAGGAAGTAGGCAACAGGTAATAGGCTGGGTTCGCACGGCCGCAATTCGAGGAGAAGATTAAAGCAGCACATGCTGCTGTATCGTGACTCTTCCAAGGATTCCGGCGCGCAATGGGGTAGGTAACTGCGCAGGTGTATTGGGGGACGTAGACGTACGCTCGGAGTGCTCGTTTGCGCTCTCTCTCGGCTTCGCGGCGCTGCTTGTTCTTGTGCAAGTTCTGCTGTTGCTTGTCCATTTCCTTTTCCTTTTCCCGTCACGATGATGCGCGAGGTAGCGCGGGGCCGTTGGCGGGCGGAGCGGAAGGTCTCCTGGGACCTCGAGCGACGGGAAGCCCGTAGATCCCAGCGAAAGACGTGAGAAGCCGCGAAGTACGGCGAGGCGACAGTGGGCGACTTCTGGCTGAGCTTTAGGAGTTGGCGACAATTGGGTCTGATAGTTGAAGTCGAATAGATCGAAGTGGTTTTGCGGCCAAGTAGATCGAGGCTTGAGAAGCGAATGGCTCCATCCAGGACCCTGCGGGTGGATGCAAAGGAACAGCAGCGACTAGTAGGCGTCGGCCATCAACAGTCAGCTTTCCAGAAGCAACTGTGACAGCATGCAAGGGTCTGGATTTAGGTGTATAAAGATTCAGCAGCTAGCTTTTGTCTTTTGTTTTCCAGCACGACAGAGGATGGGCCGTGAATGCGTATTAAGATATGATGGCTGAAGCTTTTCGTCGTCTTGAATAAGTAAGAAGCCAGGGCTGATAATCGATAGAAAGACAGGAGACAAAAGAAGATCAGACGCGGGGAGCGAAGCTAGCGTCAGTTTTTAGTGCAGTTAAGTTAGTGGGCGGAACCGCAGAATGATTGACTTCGTTAATTGGGTTGAGAACAATCCAATACGTTGCGCAGTTTCGAATTCAACAAATTGAGCCTAATGATTGAAGATGCAATCGTGAATCTTACGATAAAAAATAAAACTGGGGGTTCGGAGTTGGGAGATAACCTTGATAAAGATATCGTCTAACCTTAACCTAGCAGCAACTACTACACCATCCACGCACGGCCTGAGAGCTTCTAGATTCCGTTCCGAGTTTGATCTTCGTGTGTTTAGGACAGGCGCTAATAAAAACATTCAAGGTCATGCTGACCCCGACCCTGCAGTTGCAGTTTTGCAGCTGTTATATTGCTGCAGGCTTGCGTGGTTGGCGCGCAACGCCAATTGGTTGCAGCGAGCAAAGGTATATCACTTTGCTTTTGCTGTACGGTATGAGGCGGTCTCTGCCGGCTTTGTTGACTGTCAGGACTGTGCAGCAGGCAGGTGCCTTGTTGTGAAGTTCGATGCGGTTGGTGGTCGATCCCGATTAATTGATGTAGTACTGGAGTGGGATGGTTGCATAGCATCCAGACAACAAGCTCTTCAGCTGAGGGGACCAGATAGTAATTACTAATATTGACCTCAACTGAGGCAACAGAACATACTGTATTGCTGGTTAGATGCTGATTATCCCCTTGTCACTTGGTTGGTTCACCCCGTAGGCTCATGTGGATACCTATAAAGCAGATGTCATGAAGAGGCCTCTGAATCTGTGTAAGTGGATCTTCTTCATGATGCAGCCAGTAGATGCATTGGATCCGATAGGGTTCCTAGACAATATTGTCCAATTTATTGGAAGACTTCAGGAACTGGAGAGTTGACTGAGACGAGATGTGATGAGAGTGCATATGCATATGCCCCCCGCGAGTTGTCTTTACGGCGGAGCGGAGCGGGGCGGAACACGGCACCCCCAGCATCGTCACTTTGATGTGAGAATACTATAAGGGAGCAAGGCAAAATAATACTCGGCAATGTTTAATATCGTGAGATAACTTCTCTAAAAAGATCTAAAGAACTCGGCTATCAAACTGTGACCAACACAGACTGTCCTGGTCAGCAGATGCAGGGTGATCAAAGACCGCCCACCCAGCCAACCGCTTCCCCAGCATAGACGAATGATGTTGCACGCTCTGACAATGGGGGAAGATGTCACTTGGAACAAACAGGGGTAGAGATATGGGGAAATCATTATACTAGTTCATTTAATACAGTAGCTGGCTTTGAACTCAGAATATCCAGTTACTAATGTTGACGATACCGTGGGGCGAATAGTGTCGCCGTGTAAGCCGTGTACCTACTCCGTATATCCTTGACTTAAAACTCAGCATAGATGTTATGCAGACCTCGCTTTATGAGATCAATACAGCCGTAGTCCCATAGCTCACTGCTTTCCTCCTATCACATAAATATATACATTACCTATATTCATAGACTACTTACCAACTTCATGTGTCAGAAGCTCTGTCGGTTCCGAGCAAGAATGCCGACGGTGCAACCCTTGACTTCATCCCGTGTATCAACAGCATGCCCCAAAAGCCGCATTCACCCCAGACTCGATCTAACCAGTACCCTGCTCGAGTAGACCGAGATCTCAACCCCTCTCATGAGATCTCCTGCTTCTCAATGGCTCGCATAACTCTGCTTCTGCACTTCCATAGCATCGCTGTTGGTGGCTGCCTCAAACCCTTCACAATCCTTTACAACAGGACGGAAAAAGAAAAGAAAAGAAACCCCTTGCAACCAGTAAGATCTTCTAAGCCTCCCCAGATGGAGCAACAGGCAGGATGAGGAAAAAGAAATTTGGATCTTGAGATTGCATCGCATCTCGCCAACCTCTTCCCAAATCCCCAACCAACACTCGTTCGGAGCTTTCACTCAGCCGACCAAACCCGACATAAGCTCTCTTCTGATTGCATATCACTGGCCCATCCAGATGTGTTCCGATCCTTCGCCATTTCTGCTGTGCAGCCGCCCTGACGAATGCGACGAATGCTTCTACCTGCTACTGCAAGCCACCGCAGGCATCTCGGCTCCGTCCATCCCTGGTTCAGTGGCACACTGCAATAACACACCTGGCTCACAAGCCGCGTGTATTCATTATCAGACTGCAGGCGAGCTTCGATGATATACATTCGTCTTGGAGTGTCTGACAGGTAAGATCTCACCTGGCATAAGTTGTCCTGCTCAGACGTCCCAAATTGGCTGCAGACTTACAACACACCAAGAACGAGAGTATTGCCGAGCGACGCGCGGAATCGGTAAGGACCGGTGGAGATTTGGGAAACAGCATACAACAGGTGACAGATTATGTATTAGGGGCCAATGGCTCGGATCTTCCATGACGGAGTTGTGTAATCAAAGCCGATGTCGCCATTGCTACCATGAGTTACCAAATAGTCGCGCAATTCACATAAAGTACACTTGAAGAAGTCGAAAGCAATGTGATGGAAGTAATGGTAATTCTTATAATTTTCAGTATCCTAAAGTACGCCTTGTGTAGAACCGGTTTCGTCTGAATCGACGCCTTCCATTCCCACTGATCGTAGTGTATTACCAGTTAATCGGCATCCAGACCATTTTCTTTTCCCTAGATATCCCCCGTAAAAGACCATTTATAAATCGACAAAAAACAATGCAACGCTAGTAGTAGACATAATGCATATAAACCCAATCCCTTTTTGATACTCGAGCGTATGGCGAATTTACAGAGCACCAATGACCTTGTCAAAGGAGTTGATAAGGATGGGGATGTGCTCCTCCTGGAAGATGAGCATAGGGCGGAGGCGGACGGTGTTCTTGCCGCAGGTACCGATGTTGACACCGATGTGGCGCATGGATCGGACGAGGCCTGCAGGGTCCTTGGTGTCGAAGGCGATGAAGGTGCCTTGGTCCTTTCCACGCAGGTTCTGGATGTGGTCGGGGTACTTGGCAGCAAGACGGGCGAGCTCGGCGTACAGGTGAGTGCCGACGCGAGCAGTCTGCTCAACCAGCTTCTTGTCAAGGATCTCCTGAATGACAGCCTTGCACATGATGACACGGGCAGGGTCACCGATCCAGGTGTTGAACTGGCGGTAGGCCTTGTCGGGGATGAGCATCTCGTTACCGAAGAAGTATCCGGCAGTCTGAGCCTTCTTGGAGAAGGTGACCATGTCAGGAGGGGAGGTCAGGTTCCAGTGGTCGTGTCCCCAGAAGGAACCGGTGGCACCGAAGCCGGTCTGGACCTCATCAGCGATGAGAACACAGCCGTGCTTCTTGGTGATGTCACGGAGACCCTGGAAGAAGGAGGGGGAAGCGTGGTTGTCACCACCCTCGGACTGAATAGGCTCAACGATGAGACCGGCAACGGGGCAGTGCCATGTGGTCATGATGCGCTCAACCTCCTCAAGGCATCGCTTCTCCTCAGCGGCGTTGTCCTCGACATGCTCCTCGAGAGGGTACTTAAGAGCAGGGAAGGGAGCCTGGGGCCAGTTGAAGCTGGGGATGTCGAGCTTGTGAACGGCCTTGGAGCGGGTGGTGGAAAGAGAACCGAAACCACGGCCGTGGAAGGAGTTCTGGAAGCTCATGATGGCGAGCTCGGGGGAGCCGGGCTTGGAGTTCTCAAGGCAAGAGCTGATCTCCTCCTCGTTCCACTCGGCGTTGCCACGCTTTCGGCGGCTGTAGAGCATGAAGGCGGCCTTGTAGGCCAGCTCGTTGGCCTCTGAGCCGGACTGAGCAGTGAAGATGTAGCTGAGGCCCTTGGGGGCGACCTTCATGAGGCCGTTGCGGAGGATGTCGACCCACTGGTCGGAGGGGAAGTTTCCAATGGCGGGTCGGTTGACGAGGGCGGAGATCATCTCGGGAGACTTGGCGGCCTCGATCAGAGTCTGGTTGTTGTAGCCAACGGGGATGGAGGCGATCTGGGCGTAGACATCGAGGTACTTGTTGCCATCAACATCGACGATGCTTGAAGGTGTGAGTTAATGGAGTCTCGTATATGGTTCAGTTGGTAGAAACTTACTAGTTGTCTTGAGACTTGTCATAGTCGACGACGAAGTGGACAGCACGGGCATCGAAGATAGCATCGAGACGCTTGGTGCTGGCCTTGGAGACCGGGCCAGGAATCTCCGTGCGAACGGGAGTCTCAACGAAGGAAGGCATCGTGAAGGTAGTGAAGATGTCTAGAAATAGAATAGATGTGTTCCTCTGGGTATCCCAAGTGTGTATGTGAGGAAAGATGATCAAGATGTCCTGAGGAGAAACAAAGCCGATGTCAAAAGCTGGGGAGAGAGAAGCTATTATAGCAATTGGCAACGGCATCGGAGGTGCCACTAAGTCTAGCAGCCCATACTAACTAACTAGCCCATGGTTCAAAGAAAAAAGATAATGGAGGGCCTCGATGTCGTCCCGCCACTTGCCTGCCAATTGGGATTGCATTTTGCCTGCGGCTCATGGAGAACGGTTTGCTGCAGTTGGGGGAGACATCGTGGGGCCGGAGTCGAGAGACCGGCCGGCTCAGAGCCGGAGCGCGAGGGGCAGATCTCACGGGACCTCTTGGCTCGGTCGGTACGTGTCTTTCAGTGGGAGGGGGACCCGGCGTTTAGTGTGGAATTGGCGTGGCGAACTAGGTAGGTTGTTTCTTTGGATAAGGGGATGTTGCCATACTGTTCAAGACTGTTGGAATTGGATCTTATAGGATTGAGAAGGGAGAGCTGTAGTGACTGGTAATCGTGTTCTTGTGTCATAGCAGATAGAAAGCATCGACTCCGTATCTATCATGCCCTGCTATAACTATCTTTCTGTTAAGTCTATTCACTTAACGCCCATAATGGAATATGGAAATATCGGTACTTCAGCCATCCCTACCCAAGGCCTGTAAGTGTCTGTGCACTCAGCGATCAAAGCGCCTGAAGCTTCCCGTTCTTCACTGGTCTCGTGCCTCAATCTGGGGTTGGGTCTAGTCTGAAGCTGTCGGCTCCCATCGCCCCCGCCGGCTCTCACAGTTCCATTACTGAGTGTCGGTTCCGAAGGAACCCCGTGGGCAACTATTCTCCACTAAACCTCAACTGCTGTTAGCAATTAGGCGATTAAAACTTCAGAATTTGGGCATGACCTCCCCCCACATCCTCCTTCTCCGATACGGACCTAGCACTTACACCTCCATATCCGGATCCTAATAATCCCACTCCCACTTTCTCTCCTCCTCTTCTTCCCCTCATAAACACCCTTTGCCTCATCATACACACCCCTCACCGGCCCGGCTCCCAATCGGTGCCGGGGTCGAAAAAATGTAACGGTTCGCACAGAGATGCGCTGCACCGTCATCACTGATTGCATTGCGGCGTCCACTCAGAGATGTCGCCAACAGGCCGGTTGCCGCTGTGCTCTCGGCCAAACCGCGCTGTCATACCCAGTGACCATTGTAGCAAGATGCTACCTGTACTTATCGGAAGCGACAAAGAGGTCCGATGGATTGAATTGTAAGCAAGAATGTCTCCAAGTGAAATTGTCAAGATATATGGATAAATTATCATCTCCCATATTGTATTATATACTGCTGCCTACCATCCAAAGTCTCAGCCGTGTTTTACATCATATCTTCCAACCTTGATAGCAAAGTAAATAGGCAAGCATCATGGCAGCTCCAAAGGTGTGTAGCATTCCCTCATGTCGCCTTTGACTGTGACAGCTTTCTTGCATCTCAACAATTGGCAAAATCGACCTCAACTGACAACTTATACTATTACTAGTCTTTGCAGCTTAGAGATCCCACGCTTCTCAAGAACGCATGTTATGTCAATGGTCAATGGGTTCCTGCAAAGTCCAACAAGGTCTTTGATGTCGAGAGTAAGCACCCAACCAACTACACTTCTATCAGTAGTCGCATGCCCAGATATTCTAACCTTGCTCTCCTGCAGACCCTTCCACCCTCGAAAAGCTCGGAAGCTGTCCTGAATTCGATGTCAACGATACAGAAGCCGCCATCGCCGCAGCAGATGAAGCATACAAGACATACCGCAAGACCCCCGCACGCCAGCGGTCCCGGCTCCTCCGCCGCTGGTATGATCTCATGACAGAGAACGGGGAAGACATTGCGCGACTCATCACACTCGAGAACGGAAAGCCCTTGACCGACGCCAGAACCGAGACCAAATACGCCGCGTCCTTTTTCGAGTGGTTTTCAGAGGAGGCCCCTCGCATTTACGGAGAGACCATCGAGGCTTCAAACCCATCATGCCGTCTCTCCACCATCAAGCAGCCCGTGGGCGTCTGCGGTCTCATTGCGCCATGGAACTTCCCCGCTGCTATGATCACCCGCAAGGCTGGACCAGCCCTCGCGGCTGGCTGTACTGTTGTTATCAAGGCTCCCGCTGAAGCTCCTCTAACAGCTCTTGCTCTCGCAGAACTGGCGCATCGTGCTGGAATTCCTGCTGGTGTCGTTAATGTTATCACAGCTCTTGGTAACACAGCTGAAGTTGGTCAGGTCATGACTACACATCCCAAGGTCAAGAAGGTCTCCTTCACCGGTTCGACAGGCGTAGGTCGTCTACTTATGAGCCAGTCTTCGTCAACGATCAAGAAATTATCCTTCGAATTGGGTGGAAATGCCCCCTTCATTGTTTTCGAAGATGCAGACCTAAACAAGGCTGTACAGGGCCTACTCGCTTCCAAGTTCCGTAACTCAGGTCAGACCTGCGTTTGCGCCAACCGCATCCTGGTGCACCGCAGTATCTACGACAAGTTTGTCCAACTAGTCCTCGAGAATGTCAAGGGCTTTGTTGTTGGCGATGGCCTGGATGAGAAGACAACACACGGTCCTCTTATCCACGGCCGTGCTGTAGCCAAGGCTGCCGAGCATGTGGAAGATGCTGTTTCCAAAGGAGCCAAGCTGCTACACGGCGGAAAGCGTCTGCCGGATCTTGGACCTAACTTCTTCGATCTCACAATGTTGACTGATATGAAGCCTGGCATGAAGATCTGCGACGAAGAGACTTTCGGTCCCGTGGCTGCTTTCTTTTCTTTTGATACCGAAGAGGAGGCCATCGAGCTTGCAAACGACAGCGATGTTGGTCTCGGAGGCTACTTTTTCAGCAACAACGTGAACCGGTGTTACCGAGTGGCCGAGGCTCTGGAAGTTGGTATGGTTGGTGTCAACTGTGGTGAGTTTTGCCCAATTTTGGCATGATGGTTCAAAGTGACTGACGTGAAATATCTAGGTATACTCAGTGATCCTGCTGCGCCGTTCGGTGGTATCAAGCAGAGCGGATTTGGAAGAGAGGGAAGCAAGTATGGCATTGACGAGTTTGTGACCACCAAGATGGTTATGACAAATATCGATCCATGAGTGGTAATTAGACAGGATTATGAGTGGACAAAGGTGAATAAAAAAAATACCCAGAGGACTGCTATAGAGTGAAAGAAGCTTCGAATGAATAAACAGGTTATTCTTATTTCCATATTGATATAGGCTGGGTGTAAGTCAAAATACCCTAACTCGAGAACCTGGGTCCAAGCTTACGAAGCGGAACTTTCTTAACCGGATATAGAACGTATGGGTGCAGAGCTTCCATTGGACGAAGAGCTGGTACTTCAACACCAAAATTGCTGTAATCTGGTATCAAGATGGTGGTATATAGAAGGCTAGATTAGAGATGTGTAGAATCACTTGAAACTGGGAGTAAGAGGTGTGCCACTTTTGGTAGGCAAACATGCTTCATGAAAGTTCAGTGCATTTAATATGCTGGGTTCAAAGCAGTTCAAATGCTACTAGAAGGCCGTGTTGCGATCTTAGAATAGTCTAAAAGACTCTCCAGTCAAATTCATACGGCACTAGGTTTCTACTGTTGCATCACAAAGAATCCCCAATAACCCTCTCCCGAGAAATGAAGCCATCGCCATAACAAAACTCACACTCCAACTCCCAACCCGTGGTGTTCTGCACAGTTCCCTGCCAGTCTCCACCCACTCAACTGCAAGTCAAGGTTTCCCATCCCAGATCTTGCTTGGATCGAGAGTTCGCGTTCGGCATTTACATGGCCAAACACAAGGACAAGGGGCCGGGGATGTTTAAATTTCTGAACCTGTCTCCGGTCCGGTCCGGGCTTTATCTTGTCGTCACTGGGAAAGTTTGTTAGAGAGATAGTGAGATACAATGTAGTTATCGCCAGAATGTGGGGGAATATCGAAGACGTGTGTCGACCGGGAACAATTGCCGGTCCCGCAGGAGCTGCACACTACATAATAGTGAGTTGGTGTACGGATATATATCTAAGGTGCAATAATTAGAATGTTCTCGTTCATAACTAGCGATTCTGTTATCATGGCAGCATGGCTTCTCATTTCTTGTATAACGTTAGTCTAAACTCGGATCAGCTTGTAGAGATGTCTTTCTTGATCCATCATCTGGTAGTAAATACTCGTTATCTCGACAAACGCTAAACACAACTGCACTGCACCATGTGACTGAATTTGTGTAGCACTATCAAACATGGAGAATCATATCCGGTAAGATATTACCAAAGGGACTTGCATGGCAACCAACTCAGAATATGGGACACATAAGGCCCTGATCTGTACGATACGTTCGTACACATTTGACAAGCGGATGTGGGGTAAAAGGGACTTTGCATATTTTGGTAGGTATCTCCCTTGTGGCCGCTTGTGAAATTGAACGGATGTGGTAGGGAGCCCGCTTGCGGCACCCAAAAGATTGACAAACGAACGGGCATTTTGACAAGTTATTATGGGGATTTGGTGTACGGATGTTAAGGCGCCTTGCCCCTACGGGTTTAGCCAAGACGGTGGCAGAAAAGATACAAATTTCGAGTTTGCATAAAAATCAGGGTACTTCTGACCGATGGAATGACCTAATAAGGTGAGCCCGATGTGTGCACGGATGTCAAATGTGTACGGACGTATCGAACAGATCAGGGCCTAAACTGTGCAAAGCCAAAAAGAGTAACAGGAACGGACCACACCTTGATATCGATGGTTCAGCGACTATTTCCAAACATGGTCAATACAACGTCAAATTCGAAGTTACCCCAACGCTATCTATACGTACCTAATTCACTCTCGTCGCCGGAACCGACGTCCATATCGGCTCCATATTCGGGAGCCGAAATGTGCAAAATACCTGCACTCACCTACAAAATCAAACTCCGGGCCAATAGTAAACGCGCCGAAATAGTAATAGTATCATTATACTCTGGACTGTTCCACTTATCTATCAAACACAATATGCATCATCGAGATGGCATCGGTTTCCCGCCCGGAGGCAATGGGCTCCGTGGTGGAGAGAAACAGGGGCCCTCTACCAACTCCGGCCGGCGATTCGGTTTGGGCAAGCCGGCTTGCGGGATTTGTCAAAATACGTGATAATTACTCCCGCTGTTCTTCAGGTCTGTGGAGTAAACTGATACTTGAATATTTTATATTTGGGGATTCGGTCCAGTTGGCATGAGATCAACGGAGTGGCCGGCACAGAGCAGGGGTCTATAGATGGCGATACTCTCAAGTCGCGATTAAAGTCAGACACTTCGCTACTATAGATGAGTTGTAGAATCATGCGTTTGCTTGCTACAAAGTACATCAAAGCACAGAATGCCTAGCGTCATGCTTATGTCTACATGCAAGTTGAAACTATGCCATGTCTCTACTTAGACTCGTCCTTGGCCAGAATATTCTCAACTCTCTGGACCTTGCTCTCAGCAGTCTGTTTCTTATCCGTTCTTAACACATTCCTAATTAGCATCTACTCTTAAAAGGAATCCATAGGTATTAAAAACAAAGCAAAGTCTGGGAACTTACCGGCTACCAACTCTCATGGATGACTGAACCCTCACCACGCCGCGACGGTGAACAACAGCATGTGCCTTTCCCACAGCTGCCATGACCTCGTCCCAGGAACCCTCTAAAGCATCACTATGTTAGCATATCTAAACCTCTTGTCCGTGCCATGCGCGCTTAAGAGACGAGGCGCGCGAAACAGGGCGGAAATGACGCACCGACTGTTGTTCCAGCAGAGTGAAGCGTATACTTCAAGCCGCTTGCCTTGAGGACTCTTTGCACCTCAGCAATATCCTCTGCGACGGAGGCGTTTCCTGTTCCGATCTATTCGGTGTTAGTATCAATCCATGTATGATGTTTCTCTCACGCTATAAGAACGTGGATGATTGTTACTAACGGGAAGAAGACAAAAGTCGGCATAGCACGACTCTGGCGTGGCGATACTTGCGTAGTCCATTTTGAAGGTTTCTGAAGGTGGTTTGAGAAGGTGATGTGATATTTAGGTAGTGAGTGAAGGTGGAATGGGATGATAGTTGAAGACTACATAGGTACCTACATATGGGTCGTAAGATGGAGAGAAGCCAGAACTTGCTGCCAATTGGTCGAGAAACCCTCACAGCCTGAACGACCACGCCCGGCTTCATGATATCAAAATTAATGACAACATTACTGACATTGACTAATTCTTATAATTTAATCACTGTTTACGAATGAAATCGAAATATTTGGAGCAGTACAATGACTTAATGTGGCATCTATGCCATCTCTTTTGGGTCTATTTAAAGATGAGGTTATTTCATCTATCTAATGGGGCTAATCCTTTTCCAAGTCTATGCATCTATGCAGCCCAAACCGATGATTCTATCGATTGATGACCCTGTGACTATCCTGAAATACAATTTATCAAAAGGAGTTTTGCTATCCCAAACGCCGCGCTATATGCTAATGTGACCAGACCGGATTAAACGGCAGGTCGTTTCGAAAACCTTGTGTAAGAAAATTGGGGATGCATATCGAAGAGTGAAAACAAAGGAATAGGGTTGAATGCTTAAGCGCATTCTGAAATTCGTGGTGTTGTTTTACACCAACAGCACGGCGGCAGCGACAAAGGCTGTCAGGGCTACCATGCCAACTTGTCTATCGGTGACGCTGCCCATGGACTCATCTGTGAACTCCTCACGTCCAGTGGCGCCAGAGACTCCGTTCATCTTATCGGCAGCAGCGAGAACCTCACCCTTGTCGAAGAAATCGACCAGGACAAAGTTGGGGGCGGCACCCCACTCCTTCTGGCACTGCTGAAGATGCTTGCCCAGCGAGCCATCCTCAGTAGTGCCGTTGCTGTTGACGGTGTCGATGTTCTCCGTGTCAGGGAGGAACAAGCTGCTACCCTCTGAGAGGGTCTGGTACTTGAAGTGGTTGACAAGACTCATGAAGTTCTCGGACAAACCTGAGACGCCATCGTCGATCTTGGAAGGACGAGTCACGGTGCAGTTAAACCCGGTCATGGTGGGAACCTCGAAGGCTGTCTCGAAGACGTAGTCGAACTCGGGCATCAGGTAGGGATATTCAGTTGTGGCATCAATGTTGGTGACAAATGTGACCAGGCGTGTGCTCTTATCAATCATAGACTTGAGGGTAGGCCACTCGCTGGTGGCGTTCTGCCCAGATGGTGCATAGGCCAGTTCAGCAATACCGGAACCGTTGATAGCCTTGCCAAACTCAGTGGGTTTGGCATCATCAGAGTTGACAAGTAGAAGAGTGACGACCTCGTTGGTGTTGGCCTTCATCCAGTCGTTGATGATGCTTAACCAGTCCTCCAGCGGGCCAGCATCGAGAAGATCACACGATGTGTGACACAAGCGGAGGGTGTTGTTTTCCTTGTGCACTTGAGCTTGAAGCAGACGAATGCCAGCGTCGAGGGCGTCTGTGGCGTTGAAGTTTTGGTTGCCTGCGGCCGCGAGTCCGTTGTTGCCATCTCGAAGAAAGGAGCTTCCGTGGGCACCCATGTGTGTCATGTTGTTGTAGCCGCGGTCGCAGAGGTCGGGAGAGTTGTTGCATGCTGTTGAAGAGCCAGAGCCCGATCCTGAGCCTGAGTTTGATTGTGGGAGCGCGTAGACTGAGGAAGTGGCTGCGAGGACTCCGGCCACGATGGAGCGAAGTGAAGAGTGAAGCATCTTGGCGGTTCGTTTTTTGCTGTGTATATGTCCGGTATATCGATGATCTATGTATTGAGATGCAATGAAAGAGGATAAGAAAATACGAGATAGATACAGGAGATACAGGAGAAATAATAGATAGGAAACAAATCTGAAGAAGGAACAAAGGGATTTAATAAACTATGAAACAAAGAGAAAAAGAGATAGAAGACTGTAGATGATGAGGTAGGTACCTAGGTACGTAACATAACTAATGCAAACTCCATAGGGGGATCAAGATGCACATGTCGTCCGTGCTTCCGTGCTTCTCTGGAGCTGACGTTGCCCCCGGTCCAATTTTTGGAGGTTGGAACTGACAGACAGCGAACCAAACAAGAGCCAAGCTGGCCTAGGCCCTGGAAGACCCTGGAGAGATCGTCAAACACGCCAAAAAGCAGGACCAGGGGCTGAGCTGCTGCGAGGTTGCCGATGCTGCGCCCCTTGAGACGTCAGCAGTGTGCCCGATTAGTGAGTGCTCGGTTCCATGGCTGCTAGGCTTCAAACGTCAACGAGACCAGGCTAAAACAACATCCTTTTAAGCTTGTTGTGATTGCAAACTGAGTCTCGTTTGGGATACAGTTTGAGATTGCTCGGTTGTTAAAGTGTATTCGTTATAATAAAAATACCAAAAGCATAGTTTAAGTTCGTCTTGATTGTCCATCATGCTCTACTGCCGCGCGTTATGCATTAAGTTGGCTGGCCAGCATTAACAGATCGACAGAGAATCTTTAGCCCAGCCGCCTCTATTTACAACTTTGAAACAATGCATGCACTACCACTATGTTCTGCAATACGGTCTCAGCTGCAGATACTGAGTACTCAGACCAAGATAAATATAAAATAATAGTTAAACATGCGGGAGCCGAACCACGTCTCGGTAGACGCCATGTGCCTCCACATTCCGGCGCCTTCAAAGAAAAAAAACGCCTCGTCACAGCGAGATTGGATCCGATTTCGTTTCTCTGCTTCCCTTGTACTCAATCTCCGGGCCCCTTGATTCTTCAAATGAGTTTCTTGAAGTATCATTACAGATTTTGGTAGATATTCTATATGTACAATTATCGTCATAATCAACATAAAAAATCAAAATCCAACCTCCTGGTTCCGTGCTCGTGGCGATCTCCCAGCCCATGCATGCAAGATGCACGGTAGTTACGTAGTTAATGGTGGTGGCGGCCGGGGAGGCTGAGCATAAAACGTTTTGGAAGGGTCCACTTCTATTTTTATCCCTTGTTATGCCACCATCACTTGGCGGCTCAAAATCATCTAATCATGACCACAATAGGTAAATAAAATAGTGTCACAGCTTGTGCCAACACGAGATTTAACAAATACGGGTTTGCCACGAATTCACATGTTCTTTTCTCTTCTTTTCTTAGCTAAACTCGGAAAATACGCTGTCTGATGCTGATGCAGCCATAACAGCACGCAGCGTGTCTTTAATCCATGACCATCCAAGTTATATGTTACTCTTCGTCGTACGTTCCACAGTGATATCATATGCGTGCAGAGTTCACTCTCTACGGAGTATCCATACCTTACTCAGGGTCCGCGTACTCTTCCTTCTTGTCCGCAGATGCCGCGGCCTCAATATCCTTCAACTGCTTCTTTCCCGCCTCAGTTGTGGCATCGATAATTTGCTCCTCCAAGCTTAGGATATTGGCCTGTTGATCGAGTCAGTCAGTGCACACCTTGCCTGCAATCTTTAGAAACTTACCTCGCCAAATAGACCCACGAGTTCCTCAGCCTCGTCAATCTCCATCTCACCCAGCACCTTGTTCACCTCGTCCAAGTTACCAGTCTCCAGGGCCTTGCGCATCTCGGGCGCGAAACTCTCAAAGATCTCCCGTGCTTCCTGCTCCTCAGGGTCTTGGCTGTCTGCCGCAGGCACCTTAATCTGGATAACCGTGCCAGGCTCCACAGCATGCAACTGGATTTGCTCGACTCCTTCGCTCTGGCCTTCCTTGGCTCGTTCGGCTACGATCTCCCGAGAACGGGTTCTGATCTTCATCCAAGTCTCTTGCACATCCTTGTAGAATACATCTTGTGCTTGGTGTCCCTTGGTGGTGATGCGCTTAAAGAAAAGCCCCACTCCATCTTTGCCAAGGGCTCGGCAGTACTGCAGAAGCAGTGCCTGGTGCACCAACTGTCGCGACAGCTCATCCTTGTTCTCGAGAGCAGCATCAAAGGCCTGCACGAGAAGTCCATCAGTCTCCTTCTCAACCAGAAGCTGAGGGTTCTGTGACAGGAATTGAAGACTAGCGCCGTAGTCATTTGCCCGGATAGTGCCAAACTTCTTTCCGGCCGGTGAAGCGTCGATATCGCTGTCATCGTCCACCTTGATTTCTTGCTTTTCGGCCCCCGAGCTTGACGAAGCTCCTGCAGAGCCGGGGTTCAGTAGTTCAACCTCTGTAGATGACTTCTTGGCTTCAGGCTCTGACTTTGAAACATGGGAGCTGTCGAAGCCGGTATGTATTCCCTCACTGGTGATCTTTCGGCCTTCCTCTTTCTCTAGTTCAGCCAGCTTGATTTCCAACTCTTTCTGCAAATCTGTGACCTTGTCCTCATGTGTCTGGATCTCTGCAATCATAGCCTCGTATCTGTTGTCTGGCTTCTTCTCGTCCAGAACCTTGTTGACTTGGTCCAGGAGGGTGGCCATCATCTTGGTATACGAAGGTTGCTCCTTCTCATGAGTATGAACACCCTCAGGTGGTGGTGGTGGCTTATCATCCTTAGGATTTCCAGCCGACTCCATGACAGCTTGGAAAGCAACTTCTGCTGGGTTTCGGGTGGTAGCCTCAGAGGCATGGGCTCGCAGCGATGCCAAGAGGCCCGAGATGCGCTTGATCAAGCCATCATTGACCACACGCTCGTACTTGTAAGTTTCGATCTGTAGCTTCCGGTGATGTCTCTCTTGATGGATCTGATTCTGTTTCGCACGGATGAATGATCGTTTGTCGACATTCGGATGTACCTCAATATCAGAGTCGTCACTGAGCTCCAGCGCATCCTAGCAGTAGTGTCAGCGATGTGGTAAGTTTGAAGGTCTAAACCACTCACCCATTTACTGTAATCGACAGGCATATTTGATACTTTTACTATGCCTCGAATATGGGAATAACTAGAATGTGGTAAGAAGGTGTAGAAAGAGTAAAAGACCAAGGCCTGTACGTATGGAAGTTTCTGGACCTTCCCTGACAGCTTGACCATGATGGCGGGGTGATTCACGCACCCCACCACTGAGAGGTGTGGCTGAATGTGGCTGAATTGACTTAACAAGGTAGGTAAGTAGCCACAATATCAACGCCTGCCACCAAGTCTCTCTACCTAAGTAGGTATACATTGGGCATATCATAAGTACCACGAGAACGACAGAATAATAGAGATTTAAATGGCACACACATCACGTCGAATTTCAATTTTAGGTCTCTGTGGTCGCACCACTCCTTCATAGTTATTCCATAAGCATAAGTGCGCCTTCGCTAAATGTACGATCTAGGCTATTGTACACAAGGTTATTGACGGGATCCCAAAACACCATATTCTAGCAAGTTCCACCGTCTCGTCCAAAAGTCATAATTCAAGTATTTCCCCATGGGTTTTCAGCAAGCCTCTAGCCACCATCCCAGCAACTTATGCCACCAAACTTACGACATCGTCTTCATGAAGTCGTCCAGATCGAAACTCTCCTCATACTGCTTGTTATCCCATAGCTCTCCCAAATCATCGAGCCATGCCTTCTTTCCAGGCGCACGCACATCGCCAGTTTCAATATCAACCATATCCTCTTCTCTTCCTTCGATAGTATTCTTTTCCTTGTCGGCCAACAGGTTAGGAGCGGCGTCTCCAACGTTGAAAAGATCCAAAATCTGATCTGTGTCCATGGTCGAGAGGCCGGCGTTCTGTTGGTTTACAACAGTAGATGCGACATCTATCTTGAAACGCTGGAGATTCAGAATCTTCTCCTCGAGAGTTCCGCGCGTAATTAGTCGGTAAACATTCACCACCTTCTTCTGACCAATACGATGGGCTCGATCCATAGCCTGGAGATCTTTCTGTGGGTTCCAATCGTGTTCCACGAAGATGACCGTGTCAGCTCCTGTCAAGTTCAATCCAAGACCTCCAACACTTGTCGTCAACAAGAGCACGTCATACGACGGGTCACTGTTGAACTTGTTGACAATGTCTTGTCTCTTGTTGGCTTCCACAGATCCATCAAGTCGGAGATGCGAAACCGAAGGCAATAACTCCTTCAGAACCTTGTTTTGCACCATGTCAAGCATCTCCTTCATTTGACAGAAGATGAGCGCGCGATGAGGTTTAATGGGTTGGTAAAGAGGATCGTTTGAATCAGTGCCTTCAACACCGATACCACAGTCAACTAGTAAGTCTCGTAGAGCAGTAAGCTTCGGCGCGTGCTGCGGATCTTCGATCGACGTTCCTCGCTTGGCAAGAATTTTCTGCGTATCATCGTAGAGACTGCTACCCGGTTTCATCACCATCGCAGGCGAATTGCAGAGCTTTCGCATGTACTGTAGCGCTTGGAAGATGTGTTGTTTGGCTTCTTTGTCTTCCCGGCCCGCTTCCGCTTGGATCTTCTTGCCCTGTTTCTTCGTGAAATCCTCAAAGAGTTTCTGTTGTAGGTCGCTCAGATCGCAATAGTAGTTCTGCAAGATCTTAGGTGGAAGATCGTCCAAGACTTCTTCCTTGAGACGACGGAGCAAGAACGGAAGCACCTGTTTGTGAAGTGCCTCGATCGCCAGGGCTCCTGCTTCCTGTTCTTTGGATGATGCCTTGCTAAATCGACTTGCAGCAATAGGCTTTGCAAAGCGGTCCAAAAAGACTCTCTCGGCACCTAAGAAGCCAGGCATCAAAAAGTCAAACAGAGACCATAGTTCCAAAACGTTGTTCTGGATGGGGGTGCCCGTAAGGATAAGACGATGATTACTGGCCAGCCTCTTGACTGCCTGTGTAATCTTGGCCTTGGGGTTCTTGATCAGATGACCTTCGTCTAACACGACGTAGTTCCAACTATGTTTGTCGAGGATCTCAGAATCATTACGGCAAACATCGTAAGAGGTAATTACGATATCTGTCTCGCCGAGTCTGTCTTTCAAGGCCTTCCTCTCCACTGGAGGTCCGACATATGCAGTCACACTCAAGAACGGCGCATACGTCTTGATTTCTTGCTGCCAATGTCCTGAAAGAGTTGGTGGACAAACAATGAGAGACGGCATTTTTCGTACGTCTGGTGCCTGTGTCTTGGCGAACTCTTCAGCGCGCTGATGGTGATCGCTTGCCACGATGCAAAGCGTCTGCAAAGTCTTGCCCAAGCCCATATCGTCACAAAGGATACCATGAAGGTGATACTTGTTGAGGAAATTGAGCCAGTTAACACCTTCCTGTTGGTACGATCGTAGCTCGGCCTTGATGGCGACAGGAATTTGGAACTGTTCCACCTTCTTGGGGTCCAGCAACTGGGCAATGAATGTTCTCTCGCGATCTCTTCCCTTCAACAGCTCCTCGGACAAGCCAGGTGGATCCGGAATTCCTGCTTCGAGAGGAACAAGCTTGACTAGTGTAGCAAAAGATGTAGTTGCGATCAGTCGGATTTCGTTGTCGGAGTCGCTCATTCGTCCCAGGACCGGGACAATCAGGAAGATGACATATGGAAGGATAGAATCACCCATCACAGCGATGAGGTGATAAATCGCCTCGATTGCACCCTGTCGGAAGGTGAGATCAACGGGATTGTTGATCGATGGAAGAACCCTCTCAACAAGCGCAGTCATACCTTCAACTGTCATAACACTGCAGATTGTGGCCAAACATTTAGCAGCCATATACCGGAAAACTGAGAGTTCCGAGTGAAGAGCCTTGATAACTAGAGGCATCATTTGCATGATGAAAGGTTGTAGTGCCTTATCAAGTGTCGGGGCCATTGTGCGGATGACGGACATGGCATCAACAATCTCCTGCCCAAAGCTTTGCTCGGGATCTTTAGCTTCTCCGGGCAAGGTGTCAGAGAACGCTCTGACAAGAGGCTCTTCCATAAATGTTCGGAGGCTGGGTACGGTTTCGAGCAGCTTAGCACCATAGGTTCTGGAAAGAATCTCGAGTGCCTCTTTTGCGCCTCTTCTGGTAATGCGGGCAGCCTTAGCTTCACGTGCCCATTTGGCAGCATCTGGATGATCAATACGATCTTCCTCCTTCTGCATAGAGAGCACGCAATCAGTCTTGCTGGCATGGACAGGGAATTCAGGAGTTTCTGCGACTTCGACACAAGAGAACTTGACAAGATTGGACACCACTTTGTCGGCTGGTCCCTTCCGGCCCTTCTCGGTGAACAACTGCACAAGCCTTGCGATAGTATCGGCTGACCGGGTTTGAAGCAGCTGGTTCTCTTCTGTTTTGACAGAGTCCATGATACCCTTGATCAGTGGGCTTGGCTTCTTCGGAAGCACTCTCATACCAACAATGGCACATGCCGCTGCTGCCTTGACGCGGATATCGCGGGCCGCCTTGATTATCTTAGCTTCTTCAATGGCCAAGATGGTCATATCGCGGGCATCGGATAGCTGTTGGCTCGCGATTAGACGTTGACCAGGTGGCATTGCCTTCTTAAGCTTTTCGTAATCATCGCCTATACATTTCTCCGCAGTCGCAATCGAAAAAGCATTCGGACCAGCCTCGGCTTCTCCTTGTACCACAACGGGCAACGTTGGAAGTTTGCTATGTGACACTTTACCATGGTCTCGGAAGAGGTGGATTAGCTGTTGACACTGTGTTCTAACTCGCTGGATAAAGTTTACGAGATCGCGATAGGCGGCTGGTCGTTCTGAGTCGATGATACGCTGAAGATTCTCCAGATAGCGAGGAGTGTCGTTTAGGTTTTGACTGTTCATGGCGTACTCGTCAATGATTACGCATGCCGTCATCTGGCTAGAGGAGAATGCCGATCCTAGACCAGGAATCAACAATGCATCGTAATCATCAAGGTTGGTGACAGGGACTTGAGACATGATGAAACCCATTGCTTTGGCTGCTGAAACGCGAGAACGGATTAAAATATCCATGCCGACTAGATCCACGTCGCCTTGCATCATATGGCCATCAACATCGTGGGTGAGGCTAGTTGTAGGAGTGTCGTCAACCTTGGTGGACTTCCGGCGGCGCTTCGGGGCACGGTCAGAGCCATCAGGTGACGATGGTTTGCGAGGCGTGTGTTGGATGACTCCAGGCATTGCATACATGCCGCCTGATGGTTTTTGGAAAAGAGAGGCATTCATGGGGATCGGGTTCCTCGAAACTCCAATCGGGTGCAGAGTCAGCTGCATCATAGGATCGATATGAGCGGCAAACTCATCTGCTAGTACTGCGGGCTTGATCGCGAGACTTTCAACCAAAGACTTCCACAAGTCGAGAGACATGTTGAGGGCATCTCTGTCTCTTTCGACAAGGATGTTCTGGAATATCAAGCGCAGTATTCTACCATTGAGCCAGCCCTGCGAAGTCTCTGCGTCAAGTTTGGCAAAGGTGGACAACGCCTTCAAGACAGCCACGCGAACCGATGTAATGGTATGGCGCAGGAAGGGGTAGAGTCTAGGAACGAGGAGTGTGAAAGATCGTTCCTCATCTTGAGCGGCCGATGCCTTCATTGCTTCAAGCACCTCAGGGAAACCACAGAGGGTAGCAAGAAGATCCATGATGCGTCCAGTACTGGCACTAAGGTCATCTCCAAGATTCGAGAGACTCTCCCATATGATATTGACAAGTCCCTCAAGCTGTGCAGGTCGTAATGTGACAAACTCCTTGGCCATAGGAATTAACGTAGCGGCACTAACGGAACGAACATCATCGTCCATGTCGCCCAAGCCCTTCATCACGGTCTTGATAATACCGTCAATCATATCGCTATCCTGGAGAAGGAGGTCTTTCCTGACAGCAACGACATATCTCAAGCCAATCATGCCTCCATGGCATACAGACCAAACTGGGCGATCGAGCTTGAGATCTTCCTGCATCACCATTCTGTAGAGGATCTTGAAGGTGCTGTAAACCGATGGTGAAGGTAGGTGCTTCAGGACAGATCCAAGGGACTGGCCAATCGTTTCTCGGATTGGAGCCACAGAGGTGTCGGAACTATAATCTGTGAAGCGATCAAGCATAAGAACACAGCACAAACGGCAGGCCATATCGTCAAGCCATTTCCGATTGAGAGCGTCGTTCTCTTCCCGGGATTTATTGGGCAATCTACCGGCACCACCACCATGAACTCGAATGACTTCGCGCAGGCCCATGGCAGCTCCGTGTCGGGTTTCCCAGGAAGAGTCGAAAAGGTCAATCTTAAGAAAATCGCATAGTCGTTCGTATGGCCACTCAGCGCCCTCCATCGTCTCCTCGGCTTCCAATTCGGATTTGATGGGGATGACGGGTCCTTTGAACTCACTCACAACTTTAGTGTCCTCGTCAACGTCGGCAGGTCGCTCAAGATTAAAATATTCGTTTACTTTGCTGTTCTTTTTGGCTTCCCCGTCGGGTGCCGTGGCGTCGTCTCCAATGTTTTCGGACCCTGATGTCATTGAACGTCTGACAGAAAGATCTCCGAATCCACCCTTGCCCTGAGATGCTTTCATTGCCTCTCTTTTGCGTTTTCGTTTTAACACATTAAGTTGTCTCGAACTCAACTGTGATTCCTCGGGTGCGTGGGTGTGTGTACCAGCTCCATCAGTGCGATTGTTTCCATGACCGTTTGTGGTCTCCATTGGAGTCGGTGGCGCGCCATGGTTGTCACCAGCTGTGTAGGCAATCTCCTCATCCTCGTACTTCCTTCCGAGCAAACCTAATCGTCCATTGAGCGTCTTTTTCTGGTGTGTAAGTCGCGCTTGCGGGTCAAGCGCTGCTAGCCCATACTCAATACCACCACCTCGTAGGAGTTCCTTTCCGTATTGAAGAATCATCTCAACATTCAGGGACTCCAGCTTAAAGAAGCCATCATCTGACGGTATCGTTTTGGTGTCATCATCCTCTTCCTTCTTGATATGTCCATTTTCTGGTACAGGCTCCTCCTTCTTCGGCTCCGAAGGGGCATCTTCAGAATTCGGATCATAAATCGGTGCATACTCTGCAATCTTACCGATAGCAGATGCAGAGGTTCTTCTTGTCTCCCAATCTTTGTGTCTTAGATAGGGCACAACACGGGAGAGAAGGTTAAACAATTCGTCAGGGTGTTGTTTTTGCCAATCAGCAAGCTGATTTACAGCGGTGTCACGGATCAGTCTCGTACTCCCCGTCTCGAGGATACTGTAAATGGGTCAGTATTGGCGTTCCAAAAGGGTGCAGTCTTTGAAAGGCATGACAATATGTCTAACAATGAGGCGGTACACTGAGGCTTGATGCATCAGGACCTTTGCGCCAGTCTGCAGTGAAGAGCAAGGTGTCAGGTAAACTTACGTGACTAATCTATCGAGTCTACAAAGAACATTAGCATACTTGGACAGTATATTATGACAACAGGGGAACTTACCTCGAAGCCATTGTGCGTATTAGTTGAGTATATTATTATGAGCGCGTATCATGACATCTCGATCGCTGCACCATAAATATTAGTTTCGAACTAGCCAACCAGCGATGATGTGTATCTTTGATGACATGAAAGTTGTATCAGTGATGGCATCCAGGGCTGCGGGATCGTGTAGCGCGATGCGGCGGGATGGAGTGGGTCGTCGGGAGTGAGATGCATGCATCCGGAAATCAAGCCGAAGATACAGTAGAGCGAGTAAACGTTGGGAAATCCTCTTGAGGAGACGCCACTTCTGGTAGAGTATGGGGAAAATGAAGATGTTGTAGTATGACGAGGGGATGGATGTTGAAAAGTGAGGAAGGATTAAATAATAATAAAGAGGCAGTGAATCATGCATGCACGAAGCAGCGTAATGGACTGTGGGGGGCAGGTGTATCAAGGGATCATCAAATTCAAAAGGGGCAGAGTATAAATGAAAGCCGGGGTGTAATATGAAGTGCATCCATTCACTTACAGATTGAGCTGGTGATAAGGAATAGAGCGGCGTCAAGCCTTCAAAGTCAATGCTCGCCTCTTCAGTTGAGTTTGCGAGGCTCAGTGAAGCTGTTCAACTACAAAGGTTGCTTGCCTGGCCTTGCCGAAGGTCCCGGCCTAATTAGAAACGGTGAAAGAAATCCCCCTGTCTAAAAATGCATGCAGCACCGGCACTTGAAGTCGAGTTAGGGTGGATGTCGTGATGTTGTGCAGAGAGGATGCGCTGCAATGAGACGTTGCTGATCAGTTGCGAAGTATGGTCAATTCCTTAAGCAATTCTGGTTGGCCGGGTTGCAGGATGTTCGGGGATTATGCTGGGGCCGCGGATTAGGCTGTTGAAATGTAAATGTGTAGACGACTTGGATTGGATGAGATGGCCAAGCGTCCGTTTTGCTGTATATAAGCAGCGACGATAGGGGCAGAGCGACCAGGGATAAAAAAGAGAAATAACAATAAAAGTGGGTGCAGCTCAAGTTTGTTGCGTTGTCGTACAGAGAGTATGGAGTACGAAGTACTGAAAGTGAAAGCTTGCTCCTTCCTGCCTGGATAGGTGGGAGTGGTGCTTTTCCTTGGTTGCTCCTGCCGCTTGCGCACCTAAGCTTGCGGTGGTGCTGCTACTGCTGTGGTTCCGGGTGACCAACTGGGAAAATCGGGGTGGAGGGCAGGCCGGGTCTTCTATAAGTGAGAGCTTGTATTTTTATACACGCGGCGCGGCTTTGTAGAGCACGGCCAACGGTTTCTTTCGTTGCGCTCGCTTAATTTCCCACTTTGCCTGTTAGCGTCATTAACCCGCCCCTGCTCTTTTTCTTTCTTCTTTTTTGCTGCCTTGCCTTTGGTCGACTCCAGATGGGCTTATCCACTTGGAGCTCGACTTGTCCTGCAAGGGCCCACTTAAGGTGTGGTCCAGCCGCGCTGAGGACAGAAAGACACAACCACCAGCACCAGCCTCGCGGCGATCTTTGCTGATGACAGCAACAAGGCATCTGGAGGTAAGCAGCCGGATCATTACTTGATCCGGCTCCTGGGGTAGCTTAGCGGTGTTCTGGTTGGCAGATAGCTATCCTAACCTACCTACCCTGCGTTGATATTGATTGAACCTACTACTGTATGTAATTGAGGATATCATTCGTCTGGTTTACTTTATAACATTTACAAAGTATTTATCTTTTGCGTGTTTTTTGGGCTACCGAAGCATCCAGTTTCGGCTCTGCAGTGTTACCAGCGAACCTCTCCCGTCATTGGCTTTAAATCGTCAAAGTATTTCTCTCTATGCCTAGGCAACATTCATTAAACTATTGTTCCGTATTAATTACACACCACCTAGGACGGGAACATGGAAAGTATGTTTATATACCCAAGTATATTTCAACTTAAAAAAGGTAATACATGGCCAATTGTCAAAGCACACTTCCCCATTGTCACGACCACCTTGTCCATTTCAAAGTCAACGTCATAGTTTCGATGACGAGAGATGTAATAGGCAGCCACAAAAACTGTAGCTGGAGCTGAGAGACCATTAGATCGGGAGGTTGCACCACTTGGGCTCAATTATATTAACAACACAGAGCAATTAGTAACAATATACTGGTACCACAACTTAAGAGACTAAGCATTGATGACAAGTTAGTACTAATGTGTGAAAGAAGCTTGGATCGCTGACCAGGATGGTGGGACAGAATGACAGGCTTCCCAGGGAAAGAAGGTCGAAGCACAGACCACCTGAAAGAACGCAACTTGGTGCCTATAACTTCAGGCAGAACTACAAGCACCTACCTACCGACGCGCCTAGGTATGCCCACCACTTTGATCGCGGTACCCAAGCCGACGCGTCAATCGCATCAGGTCGCATCAAATAGGTGAAGCTCGCATACTCAGTTGAGACTGCGCAGCCTCTTGCAGGTCAATCATTACATCTCCCCGCATTTTGTGCAAGAGCGCCGGCGTAGTTCACCATGTATATCAAGCAGATTATCATCCAAGGCTTCAAAAGGTACGTTTGGTGGCATTATTATAACGTCTGCTTTCCCGTCACCAAACATTAATTTCTAACACCACGACAGCTACAAGGATCAGACTGTCATCGAACCTTTTTCTTCAAAGACCAATGTAATTGTCGGTCGCAATGGTTCAGGAAAAAGTAACTTCTTCGCAGCCATCCGCTTCGTTCTGAGCGATGCGTACACACAGATGAGTCGCGAAGAGCGACAAGGTCTCCTCCACGAGGGCTCCGGCTCTGCTGTCATGTCGGCATACGTTGAGATCATATTCGACAACAGCGACGACCGATTCCCGACCGGCGGAAAAGAAGTCATCCTACGCCGTACTATCGGCTTGAAGAAGGATGAATATTCAGTTGACCGCAAGGTTGTCACCAAGGCCGACGTCATGAATCTGCTCGAAGCTGCGGGCTTTTCGCGATCGAATCCCTACTACATCGTACCGCAAGGACGAGTGACTGCCCTTACCAACATGAAGGAGTCTGACAGACTCAACCTACTAAAGGAGGTAGCGGGAACACAGGTGTACGAAACACGTCGCGCCGAATCACTTAAAATCATGACCGAGACAAACAACAAGAGGGAAAAGATCGACGAGCTCCTGGTGTACATTAAGGAAAGACTCAGCGAGCTCGAGGAAGAAAAGGAAGAGCTCCGAGGCTTCCAAGACAAGGACAGAGAAAGACGATGCCTCGAATACGCCTATTACCACAACATACAGATTGGAGTACAAGAAGCACTGGAGGAGCTGGATAATGCTCGACAGGATGGCATTGACAGTTCCGATACCAACCGAGCTGAGTTTTCCGACGGTGAAAGGGCGATTTCCAGACTCGACGCGGAAATACACAAGCTGCAAAGGGAAATGGAGTTGCTACAGATCGATCGGCGACAACTTGAGGAGGACAGACGTGATGGTGCAAAGACCATGGCCAAGGCGGAGATGAAGACAAAGAACGTGAAAGAGGGTCACTCTGCTCAGGAACAAGCTCGAGCTCAGCATGCCGCTGATCTCGAATCTGTGCAGAACGACATAGCCTCCAAAGAGCAGCAACTTTCAAGGATCATACCAGCATACAACGAAAAGAAACAACAAGAAGATGAAATTCGGCGACAACTCGATCATGCCGAAGCCACACGCAATCGTCTGTTCGCCAAGCAGAGCCGCGGTTCCCAATTTAGAACCAAGTCGGAACGCGATGCATGGTTGAGGAAAGAGATCCAAGAACTTGAAATCAACATCAGCACTCAAAAAGCGAACAAAATTGATGCAGACGAGGAAGTTGAGAGGGTCCACGAATCAATCGCTCAGGCGGAACAAGAGGTTGCTGAGTTGCGAAATCGCTTGGCAAACTTCAGTGATGAAAGAGGAGCTCTCGAAGATGAGGTCGCAAAGGCAACGGACGTTCTGGACAAGCTCAACGACGAACGTAAACTTGTCAGACGCGAGGATGACAAGCTCAACTCAGTTATCACCAATGCTCGCCAAGAAAAAGAGACGGCTGAACGCGAATTGTCACACACGATGGATGGAGCTACTGCACGAGGTCTAGCGACAATTCGACGATTGAAGCAAGAGCGCGATGTCCCAGGAGCTTACGGAACACTAGCCGAACTGCTTGAAGTTAGTGACGCCTACAGACTTCCCGTAGAGCAGATTGCTGGTGCCAGTCTCTTCCATTATATCGTCGACAATGCAGACACTGCCACACAACTTGCAGACACTCTCTATAGACAACAAGGTGGTCGAGTTACATTCATGCCTCTTGCTCAATTACGACCCCGACAGATCAATCTTCCTAGGTCGAACGATGCGGTGCCTCTTCTTAGTAAGATCTCATTTGACGAGGAGTACGAGAAGGCTTTCCAGCAAGTCTTTGGAAAGGTTGTTGTCTGCCCGAACCTGACAGTGGCAAGTCAATATGCCAGGAGTCATGGCGTGGACGGTATCACCGCAGAAGGTGACACAACCAACAAGAGGGGTGCTATGACTGGTGGATATATCGACCCTCGGAAATCACGCCTGCAAGCCGTCCAGGCTGTAAATAAATGGCGGGACGAATATGAGAGGCTATTGTCCCAGTCTCGGGACATCCGACAACAGATAGAGTTCAAGGACCAGGAGATTACGGCCGCCATGTCGGAACTACAGAAGGCTAAAGAGAGACTACGACAATCTGTTGATGGTTTTGAGCCTCTGCGACATGAACTGGCCAACAAGTCGACACATCTGGAGAATGAGCGAGGCCATCTCGATGCAGCCACCAGACGTCGTGATGCGGTCGAGAACAACATGAACAGTTTCTTGGAAGACCTCGCTGCACATGAGACTGAACTCAGGTCTGATTTTAAGAAGAACTTAACAGCCGCTGAGGAACGCCAATTGGAAGAAATTGGAAACAGCATCCAAGAACTTCAAAAGCAGTGGAACGAGCTCAGCAGAGCTCGACGTGATTTGGAACGACAGAAGTCACTTCTCGAGGTGGATCTCCGTCAAAACTTGCAGATGAAGCTTGATCAGCTCAACAGTCAGGCCTTTGAGAACTCAACATCTGGATCTTCAGCTGGAGGATTGAAGGAGGCACAAAGAGAACTGAAGAAGGCACAAAAGGCACAGGAAGCCATCGAGGCAAGTCTCCAAGAGGTAGAGGCCAAGATGGATGATGCCCAGGCTAGTCTGGAGCAGCTGGACAACGATAAAGCCCAGCGAGAGCAAGCGCAGCAAGAAATTTCTGTAAGAATCGAGAAGCAGCAGAAGAGGATGGACAAGAGTCTTCGAAGAAAGGCTGTTTTGACCACACAAGCTGCGGAGTGTGCGCAGACCATTCGTGATCTGGGTGTCCTCCCTGAGGAAGCCTTCGACAAGTACGAGAACATGGACCCCAAGACAGTAAGTATTGCCCACACTCACCCAAGTGAAAAGTGACTAACGCGCTCAGGTGTCCTCCAAGATCAAGCGAGTCAACGACGCACTGAAGAAGTACAAGCATGTGAACAAGAAAGCTTTTGAGCAATACAATAACTTCACAACACAACAAGACCAGTTGATGAAGCGACGCGAAGAGCTTGACACCTCTCAGGGGTCGATCGAGGAACTGGTCGAGCATCTTGATCGCCGAAAGGACGAGGCTATTGAGCGTACGTTCAAGCAAGTCTCTAGAGAGTTCACAACCATCTTCGGCAAGCTGGTGCCCGCTGGCCATGGTCGTCTGCTCATCCAGCGACGTGCAGATCGCCGCCAAGAACCTGCCGACGAGTCAGACGGAGAGGCGCGAGGGGCCGTTGAAAACTACACTGGTGTTGGAATCAGTGTGTCATTCAACTCAAAGCACCTTGACGAACAACAGAAGATTCAACAGCTCAGTGGTGGTCAGAAGAGTAAGTTTTACCAAACCCCTTTTTGACTATCTGATAACTAACATGAACAGGTTTATGTGCTCTCTGCCTCATCTTCGCTCTGCAAGCGACTGAGAGCAGTCCCATGGTTATCTTTGACGAGGTGGACGCCAACCTGGATGCTCAATACCGCACAGCTGTTGCAGCTCTCCTCGACTCCATCTCGAACGAGATTGGCACTCAGTTTATCTGCACCACTTTCCGTCCTGAGATCGTACATGTTGCTGATAGATGTTACGGTGTGACGTTCCGCAACAAGACCAGTTCAATCGACTGTGTCAGCACGGAGCAGGCTCTCGACTTCGTCGAAGGCCAAGCAAAGCCTGCTTAGACGGAATCAAGCGGATGGGATGTAATTACCTGGGTTGTATGTAAAACTTGTGCATGGAGATGGGTGGACTGGCGTTGGGTGGTTCGAAGACCAATCCCTTATGCGATTATGAATATTTTTGGGTGCCTACTCTGTGCTGTATTTCTTTGGGTGAGACGGAAGTTGAACATGATGCTTTAAGCGGCCTTAGTGATCCTATGAAGACATATATCTATTTGCACCTGCGGATGCGGACATTGAAACCTATGATACTGTGAGGTTCATGACCCTTCATTTCGCTTATACCTGGCGTGGCATTTTAATATCGGAAGTTGGAAGAAGCTCTTGAAATCATGTATTCATCCAAATAATATGTTTTGACGTCTTAATTGTTCTGTACAGCAAGTATACACGGTAATTATACACGCAGCACCCACACTGCCAAATCTACCTTTCTTTACCCAACTCTATATTTACCTATCAGTCATCATGTTGCGCACGCCCTTCCAGTACGCCTTGGGCAACTCCTTCTCCAGCTCCTCACGGGTCAACCACTTGAACTCGGTGTAGCCGAAGGGGTTGTCCTTCAGATCAGCCTGGCCTGCCATTATCCTGCCCTTGACGAAGAAAGTCTTCTCGCCCTTCTTCTCGACGACGCCCTCGGCGCTGATCTTGGGTCTGGAGACAACGTGGGCTACTGGCACGCGGCTCACTAGCCAGGTGTTCATGTTTACACCGGCAGCCTGGTCGAGGACACGCTTGGCAGACTATGGAGTGTTAGCATGAGTTGGGGAGCTGTTTATTATGGCAGATCTTACCTCGTGAAGGTTCTCGTCTTTGGGAATCACATCCGCGGGGAAACCCCACCCATCCTTGCCCTTGACCACGAGATACAGGGTTCGATCGAGTTGGCGATCCAGCCTTTGAACATCACCCTTGCGATCAGCCTCAGTTACACGGTCCGTAGGGGGTTCAACGGGGACAACGTCCTCAGGAGCGATAACCTCAGCATCGTCACTGACACGCGCCTCAGCATCCTTCAGCAAGGACTTGACAATAGTCTCATGGTTGCTCAGCTCGTCACCAACCTTGAGCTCATCTTCCCACGCCTTGGAGCTCTTGCCGTTGTACACACCCAGCTCCTTGGCAACCGTGCCTTGACGGTCCTGGACCTTGATGTTCCAGTCTAAGCGACGGGCCGTGTCGGGCTTGAAGTAGATACCGGTGATGAAGGGGGTGTTGAGACGCTCCTCGAGACGCTTTTGGTAGAAGAAGAAGGCGTTCTCGAAAGGGTGTAGATTCCGTGTCACCAGCGGTGGTCGAGTGAGGATCATGCCCGAGCGAACATCGTAGGGCGGCGAGTTAGAGGCATCGGTGGGGGTTTTGGCTACGGCTGCGGCGATGGAAGAGTAGAGTCGAGCTGGGAATCTAGGCAAGACTGAAGAGGAGGCGCATCGTGCGCAAAGGTTGGGAGAAGCTACAGCGGGTTCTCACGGTCAGTTACATGAGCTTCTGCGAGGGTATCAAAGGTAGCTAAATTGACGGCCCCATACGAGCGCCAATTGAGACTGATGGGGAGGGCAAATGGACTCACAGGATAGCATGTTTTGAGCGGCTCGTCCACCCCGACTTGAAGCTGTCATTCTGGCTATCTTCGCTCCGTTGGGTTGCTCCCGACGTTACGATTGGGTGACAAGAAGTGGGATGGTGATATTCAGCAATGGCCTCTCACTCGCGGTTCTCGAACTTTTTCCTTCCCGGTCACAGAAGCTGGGTATGAGAGGTACGTACCGATGAAGTCCCATGGCCGGGGCAGAGAGCGGGATGGCCAGCCCCGGGGTCCGTAGGCTATTAGCGCCTCAGGCCACCAGGCTGAATTTACAGATTCCATATATTGCGGATGAAATTTCCCGCTTCTTCTCCTCTTCTTTTCTTTTCCTCTCAAGGCACCATTTCCTTATCGTCAAGACCTGTTCCGCCTCCAGAACGTCTCGACCATTAACGTGTGCCCAGAGAGATTATCACAGTCTTTTTCGCTAGCGGGGCCTGCAAGAAATTCTTATCCTACCGGGTTCTGTTAGATAGATACTGTTGACATTGCTTCGCCTTGACGTAATATTTAATGATTGTTGAAGTTATGGAATGCTCCTCGTAGTTATAAAGGAGATTTTGGCAGGATGCTGTTCGAGTATCCGTCTCATAAGAACATATGCAACTGTCAGCAGTTGGATTTGATTCATCACTGCTGTTGTCTCTTTGCACGAACATCGTGCGAGTCAATACTGTCACAATTTTGAGGCACGAATATTGAGTGATCCAATCGACTGCTCAGCGGCGTTCGCCAATGAGAGGATAATACTTAAACACGAGACTAGGTAACTACTTAGATACATGACCAGAGCTGGAAACAAGTATGGCCCAAACACATGATATCTGCCTGTACATATGCCGAAACTTGCGTTATTTGCCCGACTCGACTCAACTCCATTGTGACACCGCGCTATCAATATCAAAATGCAAAGAAAGATTCATGCCCGCCTCTCAAATGATGTTGGGTATCATACCACATGGGACCCCGTGATGATGCCTGAACGCCTGCTTAACTCTGTTCCCGCCTTGATTCATTCTATCATTAAGCTAAGCAGACAATTCTGCAACTGCTTGAGCTACCTCTTTGGTTGCTCTATTTTCCCATTCCCGGCGGGCTTCGGCGTTTAACGATGCCGCGCCTTTGACCTCGTCATAAAGCTTTCTCGAGATGTCTCTGTTGATGGCTGAGTACTGTTCCGTTGTCAATTTTCGAGATCGCCAATGGGGTCGCAATGCACCCTTGACTATTTCGTTTATGCTGATCTTGTCTTCTTGAGTGAGGTTGCATTCTGTTGGCGGCTGCTCTTTTACTTGTGCTAGTATCTCACTTGGGCGGCGTGGTCGAGGTTGTCGTAGTTCTAATGGTCGGCTCTCTTGGGGTTTAGCTGGTCGTATGTCGGAATCACCGCGGTCACGACTTATACTGGTAGGTGAATGGTCACGGTTGATTCTTGTAGGCGAATGATCATGATTCGTTCGTGTGGGCGAACGATCATGTCTGACACGCGTAGGTGAATAGTTTGCGGGCGCATATCGGGGTTGAATAGTGCTGCTAAGCAAAAGTGTTGGCGAGGTTGGCCGTCCGTTTAGATTTGCCATTGGAGGAGGAGTGAGAGAAAGAGCCCGAGGACTACTAAAAGCAGAGGGGGATGGGGAGATGGCTGGAGAGAGAGCTGGCGAAGAGGCCTCTGGTGGATGCCGCCACCCATTGGTCGTTATTGTCTCGTCGTCGGACATGAGGCTAGGTTCGAGCTCTTTCAGCAAGGATGAAACCAAGGGAGGGTCAGCGTTGTCATGGTTGACAATACCGTTTCTGGAGGACGATCCATTGGTAGTAGCCCTTGCTGTCGAGGGACCAGCAGGTGCTGGGGAAGATACGGAGCTTGAACCCTCGCCATTTTGAGTCGGTAGGCGACGTGTTCGGGGACGTTTGAGCTTCCTTTCGGGTTCTTGTGCGGGTTCGCGAGGCGATGCGGTTACAGACCGCCCTTTGCGCTTGCGAGGATTGGTAACAGGTTCTTCAGCTTCCCGAGCACGATCCAGAGCGCCCCAAGCTCGTCTCTCATCAGCTGTTTCTTGCACAGGCTCGGGTGCTATCTGGAGCCGTTCGCTAATAGCTGAGGGGATAGTGGTCGCAAATACATCACGGGCACCCAAGCGACGGGCGATGTCCATCCGTTGCTGCCAACGCTCGAGTTCGCGTCGGCCAGCCTCCTGAAACCGTCTGTATTGCTCGAGCTCCTCGTCCTCATCATCATGGTTATCCAAGTCCAAGTCGCTCATTTCGTAGAATCGGCCAGAGAACTGACCCCAAGCGCCTTGCCACTCAACAGTTCGAGCTTGGCGACGGGCTCGCCTTAGCCGCTCTCGAGTTCGTACATGATAACCGCGCACGTTTCGAGGATTTGGACGGCGCACGTGTGTAGGGCGAGGGGATTGCTCCTCAGACTCGGTAGGTGCTGGGTCTTGGACAAGTTGGAAAAGGTGAGAACACTCCATGCAGTACCAGTCACCGTCAGGTATAGCTTCGAGACCTATGCAATGGGTATGGTAGGCCGCGTCGCAGCTATCGCACAGAAGAAGAACATCTTCCCTCTCTGCAGAATCGCAAATAGGGCATGGGTTGCCTTGTTCTTCTTCGTCTTCTTCGGGGTTTTCGCCAAGCCACTGTCTTACATCGAACTCAGCAACTTGCTTCTTATCTTGAACATCGTACTTGGATATGGCGGTTCCTGGAAGAAGAACGAAGTCAGTAAAGTTAAGCAAAGGGAAGAAGATAAAGTTCGGAGGTTGAAACGTACCGTCCACACCGTTATAGACCCGGACTGAGTGAAAGGGATTACGGCAAATGGGGCATGTGTTTGTCTTTTGCGCCCAGGAGCGAATACATAAATCGTGAATAATATGATTACACCCGTCAAGTGCAGCAGCTATATTCAAATGATTCGAATCGTCTTGGACAAGATCGGAGGCTGTGGTGGTTGTGGCAGCTGGGGGGATAGGCGCGGACCCGGATGCTGGTTCGCCGCCAACACCAGCAACGCCAGCATCACTCGCAGCTATAGTGAGGGCAGCTGGAGCTTGGAGGGCAGCCGAGGGTCGGGGCAACGGTTCCAGGCATATGATGCACTGATCCGCTTCAGACATGATGTTGATGTCGGATTTGATAGCACAGGCGGTATTTTGATGGAAACATGTAAGTTAGGATTGGATCGAGTAGAGTAAAGTCGTGTCGTGTCGGTTGGTGATGATGGGGTTGGCACAGTTAAAACGGGAGAGGTCGTGATCGATGGATTAGGGAATTAGGCGGGATGGCTCGGTTTTGGTTTTGGTTTTGGGGGGGCAAAGTAGCAGTAGCAGGCTGGCTCTGACACCCGGAGTGGTGATGCATTAGTGGACAGGAGCCCTGCAAAAGAAAATAAGAGGAAGAGTTCCAGCTCTAATGGATGTTTTCCACGGCGCCTTGTAGGTAAAGTAGGGACGTGACCGGGGCCAATGAGGGCGCTTATCCGTGCTGGATGCTGGACGGTGGAAGGATCAGCGCCTCGCCCTTACAGCGAGCGATGGAGGACCTGCAAGCAAATGCATGCACACCTCACCTTAGGTTAGGTAGTCTAACTTTAGAGAGTCACAGTGGAGAGCACTGAAAAGACCCTGATGACGGATGATTCTTGATCAGGGTGAGTCGCGTAGATTTGTAGATCTTTAGTTAAATAAGTATAAATTTATAGCAGGTGCCTAGGCAGACGTTGCAGGTACAGTACCTATTATATGCCCAATCGTTCAAGATTTATACCTCCTGCCCTCCTTTCGGATGCACGCTGCCCGTTTCCCGAGTCTCGGACCTCGATACCGTGAACACAACTGGTGCCTTTATTATGGCAAGCTGGCGCGACTGGCAGGGTCCTAACTTAGTTCTATTTACAGCGACAGGGGTGCGAAATATCGCAGTCGGTCAATACATTTTGAATTATTTATCTTGTGCGTTGTATAAGACCAAGAGAGGAAGATATCATAAGTTACCACTGAGACTGACCCTTTGAGTTGTTCCCTGTTTAGCAGAACTATTAAATCTTAGCTAGATGAGTTTTGGGTGCATGGTATGTACGACTTACCTCTCAAGGTACTGGATATGCATAAAGGTTGCCGAATAAGATTCACTCTATCAAGACACAAGGAAATTAACAACTTAACGCCATGAGAAGCCTTGCGTTACAACATAATTTGATCTCACTCAATGCGGTTTATAGAATGCGTACATCTCAAACAGAAGGCCTCATGAAGCTGGACTAAGTGGTCCCTCACGAGCCTTACCAGCTGTTTCAAGACAAACAATCCGAACCAAGGTGAGATCTTCGATACTCAATTCTGAATATTACTTTTACGAATAAGCCCGCTTACGTAGAGCAACGGCGGTCCCGAGAGCCAACTGATTTAGTTGAGTGCATGCCGGTTTTGAAGACGGATGAACCAGATGCCTTTTGTTCCTAGTCACATTTCAATACCAGCAACAATACAGCATAATGGAATTCCTTTACAATATCAATGTGCGCCCTGGAAGAGCCTATACAACATGAACTGTTTCTTTGACGTAAGGCATCAGAATATGGAAGAGGCATCCGGGCTCCAGTCTGCCCTGCCCTGGACTAGCTCTCCTCCCACGGACCGGATGACCCAGCCTCGTGACGATACCGCCTCGAAGTTGGTTACCGCCTTACTTACCGTCATACTGACCTCCATAGCATGCCTCTGATGCCCCGATCAGGCCGCAGCAGCGAAAGAGACTATTCTTCCGGGCCGGTGAGATATATGTATGCCCCCTCAATGACGAGGCAACTTCTGTAAGTCACCACCATGATGCTGTTATTCGCAAACACCTTATGACTACTAAGGGAAAGCGACGGCTGCTATCAACATCATGGCTTGTGCGCTATGGCCCTGAAGTACACCAGGCTTAAGGATCTAACGTTAGGGCAGCAAAAACATGACTTACATAACCAGTGTAGAAGTTAAGATCAATCAGACGCCTTGGACTTATATTCGTCGAACATGACTGGATCTTGTTGAAGCCAACCTTGCTGTGACATAATCTTGCCATATTCGAGACCCATAGAAAAAAGAGAAACGAACATCATAGCGCATACAACGATGAGACAGACCATGTCTGGTTGGCAAGTCTCACCCGTGAGGAAAATTGAAAGTGTCCGGGTATCCGAAGCTTCATTACATCCAGTTCCATCACGATGCCTTGGGCAGAACTTCATTAGTGATCGAATCCCACTCATCAGCGATAGACAATGTTGCTTGGATTGTTCTACCATGACTTCACGTGCGTGTATCAATATCGCGCTGGTACAATAACTGGCGAGTCGTTGAATGGGTCCGAAACCATGCAATTCTTTTTGTGTTCATTGCTAATCGATCGGTCTCTATGTGACCGAAGATCGGGTGTCGACGTCCAAATCGTCATCTCGTAGTGTAGGCACGAAATCCATGTTCCCCCCCGTACACCATACCGAAAAGCAAAGCCGTTTTCTCCTCACGCTAAAGTTCACCCTTTAAACCTCAGCAATCTCTCGGAGACGTCGCAGAGTCGATCGCATAGCGGCGGCAGCAGGGGTGCTATAGATTGGTCAGTTTTCTGTCGTCGTGTAGACTGCTGTCTGAAAGATGGGAAGACGCACGCAACGGTGTAAGCACCACCAGCAACAGTTCGCTTGCAAGACTTGCAGTCCCAGATACCGGTAGCTTGTCGCTTGACGGTAGTCTTTCCGCAGAAGGTGCAAGTGTACTTGGCGTGCTGGGTGATTTCCATCTTCTTGACCTGCTTTCGCAGGGAAGCACCGTAGCTAGAGGCAGTGTGTTAGTTTCCGTGGTATCGTGAGTCAACCCAGTCGCAGCATCTTCTGTTGTTCTGTCTCTTTCTGCCTGCAGTGTACTGTGATCGTATTGTCCAATTCCTGTCTCTGGTCCAGTTGATCGAATTGATGATGGGTCGCTTGCTCGCTGAACAGTCGCCGACACCGAAAACAGGCCCCAGGGCAGTAGAGAAGTCGCAACAGATTTGGAGTGGAAGGTAATTCGTTCTCGAGATGCTTCGGACTTGGGAGGTTCTTCGTCGTAACTTACCGGACACCGTATTTACCGCTGGATAGATGTTAGCTCTTGCGCTTCGTTATCACGTCTCAAAGGGCAATACATACGTAACACCGACCTTCTTTGTTCGCTTGGTCATCTTGAAGGTTATGTGTGGGACGTCTTGGGAGGGATGAAGACGAAGAGATGGTCGGGCGGAGGTGAATGTTGCTCGACTGCGGTTGGGGGGCTGACACCGAAAATGTTGCAGAGGAAAGAGCGACTTGTGGTCCTTAGGGCAAGCCCATCCAGGGAAGCGAGTGGGTCCCACTTTCTCGAATTTTGAGATTCTGCGGAAAAACCTCGGCCGAAGACGACGAAGGAAGCTCTCGAAGATTGAATGTGCTGACTCGGGAGATTTGCGTTCTTTAGGTACAACCTCTTTGTGCATGAATCGTGAATATTTCGCAATGGGTTGTCACTGTGGCATCAATGTGATTGATGATATTCGTTGAGCCATAGCTGATAATGCTGACACTGATGCGGTAATAGTGTTATCATGTGTGTAGAATATTCTTTTTATTTTCAAAGTCACTCTGAGTCGTTTCCTGCATTGGTCTAACATTCTCTCTGGTTGAATTCACCTGCTGAAGCTATCCATGCGTTCATTTGTTCATCGAGTCCTGAGCACCTTAGTATATAAATGTTGACAAAATTTATGGGTCGCTCTTTTGCAGAATTTAGACTAAATCTTTCTGTCTGCCTTGCTTGGTGTGCTGGTTACATCTCAACCCACCTGGGAGCACATGAAAATAAGATGCTGATGCCAGGGGCGGGATAGAAGCGCCAATCTGCAAGGGTCCCTGTACGTAGCTGGATGCTCCCGAGCCTCATGCTGTAAAAGACAGGATACCTCGGCATATCATGCTCGACCGCCACAGCTATTTTCAAGGGACCAAATTAACCTCCTAGCAATTGAGTTGTCACCACTTGATCAATTGACCTCGTACCTCATATTTCTGACCATTCTTGAACTCAAAATGCCTTCCATCAAAGATCATGGCCGCCAGTACGACATCATTGTCTTTGGAGCCACTGGTGAGTTCCATTCATTCAAGGCTGGTCTTCAGACTAACGCTTTGCAAGGCTATACAGGAAAACTGACAGCTGAACACATCACGACACACCTTTCAACCGATCTAAAGTGGGCGGTCGCAGGCCGTAACGAGTCCAAGTTGAAAGCTGTCGTCGAAAAGTGTAAAGAGATCAACTCTGACCGACTTCCACCAGGTACGGGAAGCTATATGTATACCATCCGAAACATCATGGACTGACAGAACTACCATCACCTAGCAATTGAGATTGCGAGCCTAAGTGACAATGATTTGAGTGCTCTCGCAAAGAAGACTTGTGTGCTCCTCACCACTGTCGGCCCATATTGTTTGTATGGTGAGCATGCTTATAAGGCATGTGCCGAAGCCGGTACTCACTACGTGGATGTTACCGGCGAGACTCCTTGGGTTCACAAGATGATCAAGAAGTACGAAGCAACTGCCAAAAAGACAGGGGCCATCCTGATTCCTCAAGCCGGACTCGAGTCTGCTCCTGCTGATCTCTATACATGGATCTTGGCTAAGGCACTTCGAACTGAGTTGGGGATGAAGACAAAAGACGTGACTATCTCCCTCCACAATCTCAGGTTAGTCAGGACATAACGAGATTATTACACGAGCAGTCAGCTCACCAATTCACAGCTCGAAGCCTTCCGGTGGCACTCTTGCTACTGTACTAGGCATCTGGGATGTTTTCTCACTCAAGGAACTACAAGCGGCCAGCAGTCCGTATGCTCAGTCTCCTGTCCCGCATAAGGAGCCTACAAGACCCAAGAGCACCATTCTCCAAATGATTTCCGGTGTTCGGACTGTACCAAACCTTGGACTCTTGACTACGTCTGTTATGGGTTCGACCAATGTTGCAGTTGTTGAACGCACCTGGGGTCTGTTGTCCGAGACGCCATCATGCAAAGAAGAGTTCTACGGCCCCAACTTTGTCTGGGCAGAGCATATGAAAGCTCGCAACTGGCTTCACGGAATATTCATCCACTGGGTTCTGATTATCGGAGGCGCATTGCTTGTGTCAGTTGCTCCACTGAGAAGCTTTCTCAAGAAGTTCGTCTATCAGCCTGGAGACGGTGCCCAAATCGAAGACACAGCGAAGGACGAAGTCGAGTATCGTGGCATCGCGTATCCTGACTCTGACAAACCCGTCGGTAAAGCGGCTTTCGGCCGCATGTGGCATAGCGGCGGTATTTACCTTTGTAAGTCGAACTCGCTGTCTGAGAATTTGTTGGTTCCTTTCTGACCCAGTTGTTATAGTGACAGGTACGCTTCTTGCTGAGATTGCAGCCACGCTTCTTGAAGACGACGTCCAACTCGGCGGAGGATCGTATACACCAGCTTGCTTAGGCCAAGGTCTAGTTGACCGCTTGGAAAAGTCTGGACTCAAGTCGGATGTCAAGATTATTGATGTTTAAATGCCTTGTGGGTATAATATGGACTATTTACATGTGATTCAATGATGTAATGAGCTGCATTGTGTTGTGGAGGAATTCCTATTATAGTAGAGGGTATGAGATAGAATGCCATAGGAACGGGTTTCCTAGCTTTATGAAAAGTTTGAGTTCGTCCCAAGTAGGTACTACCTAGTTTAAAGCATTGGTCTTTATGTACTGCCAGCCCTGCTCAGTTCTTCCTTTCAAGCATGATCCAAGTTGGGATAGTTATGTTCCTGCCAAGCCTACGAGTTTTATTCAGTTGACTGACTTTTCAATCCAGGACTGTTTAAATAATCAATCATATGTTCAATTGGTAGAAATACTTGAATTCAGAGCATTCATCCAGAGCATTGATTCCCAATTCTGCCAATTATCACCTCCCTGAAGTCTATGTCGCTGTAGTTGTTTCCCTCCGCTGGCTTCGGAAGAGCTCGTAGACACCTGAGTGGGTTTTCAGTGGAGCATTGCTTTTTCGCGTCGCAAATTGGGCAAAACCTTTGGCAGACGTCATTCGTACAGGACCAGTAATCCAGCAACCTCGAAAGGTTCTTCATCTCTACAACACGATCGCAATTAACCTTTGTTTACCATCCTCAGCCAATTTTGTGGTGTAATTCTCGATCAGACGCCCCGTGCTCTTCAAAGGGTGATGCGCACGACTACTCCTCCATTACGCGCGCTCTAATAACATCAACTCGTCTTCCTGGCCTCATCACCTCCTACAAGCTTCGCCGGCTTAAACCGAAATGGATTCCCATACCACCTCGTCGGACGCTGCACCGAATGAGTCATCGCCTTTGCTTCCAACGACAGAGAACCGCCCCAAAGGAACACGATCTGTTACTTTTAGCGAAAACCCCGTTACAAAAACTTTTGAACCTGGTCGCCAGCCATCCCAACATCGTGGCCATGGACATCACGCTGTTGGTTCCGCTAGCGGCGCCGCTGGTGGCCCTCCCATGCTCACAGCTCTCAACAACAAGCTGAGGAGACGAAACAGCCAAGGCACTGTACCTGCGGTCGCCCATCTGGCTTTTGGACCCAAGCTTGGCCCCCAGCGCAGTACGAAAAAGACGGAAAAGCTTAAGCTGCTTCCCAATACGGACCTGGACGACCCCGAGGACGAAGAGAGTGGAAGAGATGTCTACTCTCAGTACACGCGCATCAAGGATCCCGCCGCGCGAAGGGACGCAGCAAAACTAGGTAAAGCGGACCGAGACCGCCTCCCGCGTGTCACGGCGTACTGCACTGCGAACCGATACGAGATGGAGGCACTCATGAGGTTTTTGAAAGGACGAGGAAAGACCCGCGGCGCCAACCCAAAGCTCATCGATGAGTGCATATACACACCGTACAACTACACTTCAAAGAACGAGCGTAGTCGTGATCCTGTTCAAACATACGAACGACGACATTCAACGGGAGGCGACGCCATTGATGTCGCGCAGCAAAGAAGCGATTTGGCTGATCAACATGCGGCGCAACAAAACAGTGACTTGGCTGATCAACATGGAGAGGAACATAATGGCCATCACAATAGTGCTAATGGCAGCGGCAATGGCTCTCGCATTGACAGTTCGGATTTGATAGGCTCAGCGGTGGACGATCACGACTCAACAGGCGAGCCCAACCCCGATTTCGACACACAGGTGCATACACCCGAGGTGTTCTTGTTCGACTACGGAGTGGTAGTTATCTGGGGGATGACCGAGATTCAAGAGGCTCGGTTCCTCAAGGAGATCGCCAAGTTTGAGACTGAGAAACTCGCACCAGATGACGTTGAGACGGAGAAGTTCAACTTTTACTACACCAAGGACTACCAGGCTCGCATCTACAATGATTTTATCACACTTCGCGATAAGAACAACTATATGACCAAGCTCGCTATTTCTCATGCATTGGCGCAGAGTGTCAAGGTTGGTTAATTGTCTAACGAGCAACACATGGCGTTTACTAACAATTCTTAGACCTCGCTCTTCGAGGAGCTTATAGCATCTACAGTTGACACCTGTAAAGATATTCCCACACAAATAGCCACGACTGGAAAGATTGCACTTAGACGGTCGCAAATCAACATGCAGATTGGAGAGCTATTCATTCTTCGCATCAACATTCACCTCAACGGCTCGGTCCTCGACACGCCCGAACTATTCTGGGTGGAACCACAGCTCGAACCCGTTTACCAAGCCGTCAGGAGTTATCTGGAGATGGATCAGCGAGTCGGCCTTCTGACAGAACGTCTCGACGTCATAGCAGACTTATTGGCTGTTCTCAAGGGAGAACTCAGTCATGGTCACGATGAGAAGCTTGAATGGATCGGTATGATACTCATCGTCCTCAAATACCAAGTAACAACCTGCTAACTTTACTTGCTAGTGATCGTTCTCATTGCAGCTGAGATTCTTGTGGCGGCTGTCAACATTGTGGTGGACTTATACGTTGGCGAATAGGCTCCTACTTGAGCATGTCGATTCTTTTACTTTTTTTGTCGCCTTTTGATTCAGCGTAGTTTGACAATGTTAAGCTCATGTATTTTCGGCTTGATTTGGGAGAACCAGGAAATCAGACACAACTTGAGGATCGGGAGTTCCGGTGTGAAAGACTCAAATATTAGATAAACGGCTTCGCGGCGATGCTTAAGATGATGCGCGCGAAGGAACAGGGTTTTAATCTATGTTGCTTGATCCTTTCTCAAAACCGCCTTCCTTGACATGAAAACAATCAAATGGTAAGTAGTACACTGGCCAATGTCATGACCTGATAAACCGTAACCCGCCAAAACGCCGTCCGATAATACAGCTCATGCTGTTCACTCTTCTGCCTTCTCGCCCGGCTGTGTATCCTGATCCTCTGTGTCGTCACCCATCTCGACATCCTCGTCCTGAGTTGCCGGCTTGGATTCGGCGGGCTTGTCATCCCTCTTGTCAGATTCGGGGCTCTTCTTCCTCTCCGAGCTCTTGGCTATAGCGAGTTCAAACTTCGCCTCAAAGTCATCCTTTTCGCCTTCTGGAAGTTCTTTCCAGGCACGAGCCAGCTCATCCTCAATGTTCAAGTCCAAATCGCCGTCCTTGTCCTTATTTTCAAGGCCCGGCCGTGTCTCTTGACAGAAAAGATCGAAAGCACTAGTAGGCTTCTGGGTATCATTCGTGGACACACCATTGGCATGTCCTGACTTGGAGAGGCTCTCTGGTGGGTGCGAGAAGGTGTCGGATGTAGGGGAACCAGCAGCGTTGAAGGATGTACCAGCGGCTCCTTTAGAATCGGCATCTGGCATCATGGACTTGCGGTGGCCTCGTTTCGTTCGCAGAGGCTTATCCTTTGGCTTCTGGTGGTTAGCAACTAACTCACTGGGTGTGGTGAATTGATAGTCCTAATCCAAGCGCAAACGCATCAACATTGAACCGGGGGCCGGGAAGAGCAGAGGCGCGGCAGGCCGGAGAGAAAGGATTGCCAGGCGAGTAGGGGAAGGGGAGGAAGGAAATGGGAGCATACTGTTGGGGGTGGACTCGGGCTGCCGTCCGAGTCCTCGACGTTTGCGCTCGTGCGCTTTGCGAGTTGTTCGAGCAAGAAAGCGCGTTCTATCCGCAACTTTTCGACTTGGCGCTTGATACGAGCGAGGCGAAGACGGGCGGCGTCGTTGGCGTCTTCGACCTCATTTGTGCGGTTCTTGAGTTGGACGCATTTTCGTCGATAGGCTTCCTCGACGGAAGGAGGTAGAGTTGAAGGGATTGCTGTTGGGCGAGGAGGCGGGTCAGCTTCAGGTGCTTTGCGCTTGATGGTTATAGGCATGCTGGGCGGCGATTGAGGCAATGACAGTGATAAAAGGGGAGCGCGCAACAAGGCAAACAGTGGAAGATTGTAAGTGCAGCGCAAATGCGGATCGTGTGGTTGATGGTGCAAGGGATGTGCTCTAGAGCCGTGGGCTTCTAGGTCGGAGCTGGCCTAACAAAGCAAGCCAGCAGAACCCACTACATTGATCATTAATTCAAAGATAGCATGACTTACCGGGCATGATGAGATGCGTATCACAATGAGTGACACTGAATCACAGCAAGATTTCTCTGTTACGTTCCTAGGTCGAGAACTGAGAACTGGTTTAGCTCGGTCGTCACGGTGCCTGTAGTTTCGGGCGCAATTGTTGACGCGTAGCAACAAAGATCAATGGAAGTCCTTAGAGAGCGTTGCTCATACGTCGATGGATCGAGCTCGATTTATAGTTATTCAGTTAATGTAATTGATGAAGATTGATTCTCGCCGAAAAGTAATCGAATGGTAGCGAAAAGCAGCAGAATGTTTATGACATAAGGAGATAACGTGGCTGGTTGCCGACGATGATGTTTGAGTGTGTGTGAGTGCTAATCAGCCATCGCGAGCCGCAGGCCCGTCACTGCCCAGGGGAGGCACAGGAGGTTCTAGGTTCTGGCTAGTAACGATCGATGGTGTCGCCAAAGTTTCGCGGGTCGTGCTTTCAGCCACAACAGGATGCAAGGCTGACATAAATGCTCAGGGGTGTGTGGCGTCAACTAACGATTGGGCAAGAGGACCCTTGAATATGCCCCTCAAAAGTTATTGAGTAAGGCTACGTGAAACTTCTATAGTACTTAAGCTGTTCGCTGACTTGCACTCATACTCGATTTAAGAATCTGGGGAGTTAAAGTGCCTGTTTACTTGTTCTAGCTCACGCCTGAACATAATACTTCTGTTTTATGGGCACTTACCACTCACCTTCTCAGAAACTACCCCAGGCAGCCAGAGAGCTTCCAGGTTGAGGCGGTCCAGGCAGCTAGGTACGTACCTACCCACTAAATCGACCGCCCACGACACCTGTGGAAGTTTTTCTGACTTGCGGTGGTGGGACACTGAAGCTAGTGGGCGAAATCTATCCATTGTCAGGAGCATCACCTCAACTTCTAACCTCGACACCTACTCCGGCGATAACTTCATCCAGCCACAATCAAACTTGACGCTTTCATAGCGCTGTGGCAGTAAATATGTCGCTCAATATCCCCAACGCCCCTAACGCGGGTCTTTTCAAGGGCGGTTACAATAAGTGAGTTGCTATTGCTCCCCTCCTTACGCTGGCAGCTCCCCGCCTCTTCATGTGTCTCCTTCCATATCCCGCCTTCATGATCTCAACCATCTTTATATCGACTCTGCTGATAACTCTCTCCCCTCTCTAAAGCTACGACTCTGAAGATGGTGCCGTCCTCCGCAACATCGACGCCTGCAGGGCCATTGCCTCTACCGTCCAGACCTCACTCGGTCCCTATGGCCGTAACAAGATCGTTATCAACCATCTGCAAAAGATGATCCTAACCTCTGACGCTGCCACAATCCTCCGCGAACTCGATGTCGTCCACCCCGCCGCTAAGCTCCTCGTCATGGCCAGTCAGCAGCAGGAAGCCGAGATGGGTGATGCCACCAACCTGGTCATCGTCCTTGCTGGAGAGCTGCTCCGAAAAGCTGAGGATCTGTTGCGCATGGGTCTTAAGACATCAGATATCGTCATTGGTTACGAGAAGGCCCAGAAGTTTGCTCTTGAGACCCTCGAGCAGCTCACTGTTGATAAGGTGGAAGATATGCGCAACCAGGAGGAGCTCAGCAAGGCCATCAGCACTGTTATCGCCAGCAAGCAAAACGGAAACGAGGCCTTCCTTGCCGATCTTGTTGCCGAGGCTGTCCTTGCCGTTCTCCCCAAGAACCCCGCCAACTTCAACGTGGACAACATCCGTGTCGTCAAGATCATGGGTGGCAGTCTTGAGCAGAGCAGGGTTGTTAAGGGTATGGTCTTCCCTAAGGAGCCTGATGGTTCGGTCAAGAAGGCCAGCCACGCCAAGGTCGGTGTTTTCACCTGCCCGATCGATGCTGGACAGACCGAGACAAAGGGAACTGTTCTCCTGCACAACGCCAAGGAGATGATGGATTTCACAAAGGGCGAGGAGTCTCAGCTTGAGACCTCCATCAAGGAGCTTTACGATTCCGGTCTCCGTGTCGTTGTTTGCGGTGAGCGAGTGGGTGATTTGGCCATGCATTACCTGAACCGTTTTGGCATCCTGTGCATTCGAATTCTCAGCAAGTTCGAACTTCGAAGAGTCTGCCGTGTGGTTGGTGCCACCCCCTTGGCACGGTTAGGTGCCCCCATGCCCGACGAGATGGGCAGCATCGACGTTGTTGAGACCCTCGAGATTGGCGGCGACCGAGTTACAGTATTCCGCCAGGAAGATGAGACTACCCGAACAGCCACCCTCGTCCTCCGAGGTGCTACCCAGAACCACCTCGACGACGTCGAGCGTGCTGTCGATGACGGTGTCAATGTTGTTAAGGCTATCACCCGCGACCCTCGGTTGGTGCCTGGTGCCGGTGCTACAGAGGTTGAGCTGGTCGAGAGGATACAGGCCCATGGTGAGAAGACTCCTGGTCTTAGCCAGTACGCCATCAAGAAGTACGGTGAGGCCTTTGAGGTTGTGCCTCGCACTATTGCGGAGAGTGCTGGACTCGACGCCACTGAGGTTCTGAGCCGGCTGTACGCTGCTCACGCCAACAGTGAAGAGTGGGATATTGGTGTCGATATTGAGGTTGGTCTAGATCTTGGGAAACTCGTGCATTGTCGACACATCTCTAACACTGAATATAGAACGACGATAACACTGGCACCCTTGATGCCAAGGATGAGGGTATCCTCGATCTCCTCATCTCCAAGCAATGGGCTATCAAGCTTGCCACTGAGGCTGCCCGCACAGTCCTGTCTGTTGACCAGATCATCGTGGCACGACAAGCTGGTGGACCAAAGCCCCCAGGACCCAACCCTGTATGTTACTCCTACCACTGTTACAGCAGACCTCGACTAACCATATTTCACAGAACTGGGACGAGGACTAAATGGATAGCGCTGCGTTCAAAAGGGATAAAGTGGGCAATGAGTATGATATGTGAGATGGTCACCTGGTGTCATGATTGGTTAGATACCCTCTCAGAAAAGAGAGTCAAAACTTATGCACATGATAATTACACGAGCCCAACGGGTTCGTCCAGATTCTACTATGCCCTCTACTTAGATCACTCAATCCAGTAAAGGTTGGCATTCCAATTGAGGAGTCATGCATGATACTATGAACAAGTTGAGGCAAAATAAAGTCTTCACATATCTGCAGTCCATACACAAGAAAGCACACATACGACCTACCAATCGTCATTCTTATCAACAGTGGACATTGGGGCAAGATTAAGTAGATTCATGCATTGAAATCGTAAAGTTCTATCTCGTGTGCAGTTATGTGCATCAGCGGAAACCTATATTCCCAAAAAGAAATTGCAGTACATGAAAGCCAGTGAAACCTGTCTAGCGCATAAGACTCAAGTCATACAAAGGTGCCTATATACAAGTCTAATCGACAAACATAAAGCGCCAGTATTTTAGGTCGTTTTCCATTCCCAACCCCCAAAGCAACCGAACAGCACGGGACGGTCGTCAAGCAATATCGCTGAGACTAGTCCCAGCTGAGTTTGCTCGGTAGTAATGAGCCACAAGAGGCCCTGATAAGGCAAGACAATGCAAAGTAAGTAAATACACGGAGTGTAAAAGTCGAATGTGCGCCAGACAGTTGGTAAGGGGTATCGAACAATTCCAGAGGCAAGCCAAGAAAGTCATGGTTGGTATAACTTTGTCGACTAAAGAAAGCAAACGGTGAAAACAAGAGTGGCAACAAGTGCACTTGTAAATAACGTGGGGAACATTCAGATTGGGTCGTGATGGGTCATGAGTAAAGCCGATAATACAAGCCAATGGCTATTCTCGCCGTAAAGGCAAAATGGAAGAAGAAATGGCGGAAAGGAAGTAGAAGCCTAAGACTCCTCGGTGATTCCGCCCTCACCACCACCGTCTTCACGCCACTCTCTGCTCCTCTCTGTAAGGTTCTTTACACCGGTCACACGGCCGGCCCATAGTCCCTCGATAGGGGTGCGGTAGGTGAATGCACGCTGGGAGCTGATCACACCAATGGCCTGCAAAACGGCTTTACGGCTGTCACGGCTGAATACAGCAGGGTGGTTGATCCACTCCAAACTGCTCTCAAGTTCAGCATCGAGGGCCGCCACAGTGTTAGCGTCGATTCCAACACCGAGCCCAAGGCCATCGTTGGAACGGCTGCGACCCAGTTGCCCGGATTGAAAGCCGTTGGCACCAGAGATTGCCGAGGCAGGTGGTGAGGGGCTGCGTTTACCATCAGGTGTCGCGGCTTGGCCTGGTGAGGCGTCGTTTGCAGTATGGGGAGTAGAGGGAGCTGAAGGCAAAGACTTGGTAGGAGGAGGCACCGGTGGAAGCCCGCCCTTTCCAAGACCTTTCAGAATGGATCTAGTCTCATTCAAGAGAGTATGAGCACGATCATGCTGGCCGCGGCTTACCAAAGTAAGAGCACGGGTAAGCATATCAGAGGTAAGTAGCTCCATACGGCGCTGAACAATGCTAGGGTGTGGCGGGATAGCAGGCGAGTTTTGCCAGGGCTTCTTAGATCCTCCAGTCATGGGAAGCATCGTGATGGCCAGAAGCGACGGTCGAGGCATATGTGTGATTGTGCCCTCTCGCAGAATATCTCCCCAGCTGAGGTCTGCTTGGATCAAGGGCACTTCTTCAACAGAAAGCGTTCTGTCGTTGTCGTTGTCCATAGGACCGCCCAGTGCTTCGAGACCCGATACGATATTGTCCCATGGGTCTTGGGGAAGCTGCTCCTGGGAACTGTTGTCAGGAAGAATGACAAGTTGAACGAGAACATCTCGCTTGTCTCCGAATCGCAAGTCGCCGAGGGATGCTTCTGCATCTCTGCCAGTGGCTCGCTTGGTTATTTGCAATGCGCCACTAATCTTGTGGAACTTGGCAGGGGAACCCTCAGGGAGCTTGAGCTTGAGCTTGACATTCTGATGAGACAATGTCTGCATGCTTCCTAAACATCCTGCAAGGCATTCTCGAAGCATCATCCAGTCCTTGACATAGGTATAGGATGCCTTTGTTCTTGTCGATAACTCGATCATGGTATCGGGCTTGTGAGTCATTCCCAGGCCAAAGGAGTGGACAGCAATTTTGGCTGCTTCAGCTCGGGAGACAACAAAGTCGACACTGTCAGCATCCGAGGTAGAGGCATCGCTGATTAGCATAATGGACGCGATCGGGTTGTTGTACTTTCGCTGCATAAGGAGATCCATTGCAACATTGGCGCCCTCAACGACATCAGCGCGGTGGCTCTTCTGACCAACAGGCTTAATGGAGGTCAAGACGTTGCTCCAACCGGGCCATGCCTTGGTAGTCATGCCAACAATAGGCACGCCGCCAGAGCCAGAGCCGAATGTAACCAAACCCATACGATCGCGCTCGCCAAGGGTATTGACCATGAACTTGAGGGCATCCCGAACCAGGTTGATCTTAACACCCTGCATGGAAGAGGAGATAGGCACAACTACAACAACGTCGATAGGTACATGGACCGACTTGGCCATAGCTGGGCTTCTGGGGAAGTTGGTGTACTCAGTGGGCGCGGTTGTAGTAGACCTCGCACCGCCCCAGGAGGATGCGGCCGAAGAGACTCTCTGTGGGCGCGAACGCTGCCACTCAAGCTCCTCGTCGGTTTCAGACTCGCCGCGATCGTACTCGGGGCTGCGAACAGGAGACGTCTCGACGGCGTTAAGGTCGAGAAGTGCTTGCTGCCACAACTTGAGTTGGTTTCGGTTCTCGAAACGAAGGTGAAATTGAGGTAACTCGGCGACCGAGAGGCTGAGAGTCAAGATGTTTTCGTCGATGTTGCCTGTCTCCGACACTTCATTCAAATGCTTCTTAATAAGAATTGAGCCCTTGAGAGTGCATCGAGTCGTCTTGCGTGAGGCGCCATTATCGTCCCACTGTTGTGCCTGGGGAATCTTCTTCTCTTTGACACAGATGAGCATCTCGGCGAAGAGGAAACATTCCAGTTCCTGCCATGATACCTTATCCTTACCCACTCGGAGGGTACCGTAGAGCCTCAATTTTCCGAATCTGTCAAACAATTAGCTTCATCGTTCATACTAACTATCGACAGCCCACTAGCAAAAGTACGACGCCACCACTAACCTGCTAAAATCCAAACCGTGCCAGTTATCAACGCGGTTGCGCAGACTGTCTGTCATATCCTCCAAAACTTCTGTCGATTCGTAAGGGTAGAAGCGAGGAGCGCTGCGAGCAGGCGAAGGCGGGCGGCCGTAAGCCTCCTCAGCGCGGTTGGCAATAGAGGGTGGCTGCGGAGCCGGCGCACCCAAATCCTCGGGATCCGGCCTCCACTTATTATCGGGCACCTCCACAGTAACCAAGCATGTGAGTGTTTGCTGTTGACGCGAACGGCTGAGTGTGGGAAACTCTGAGCGGACAGTGACGATCGGTGCCGGAATAGGGTTGCGTGTGATAGGCCGTGGACTGGTAGGTGTCGTCTCCATCGCCTGGACATCATAGTCGTGGCGTCTGGCGGGTCCACTCTGTGTAGTCTCGGGATATCCTCCAGATGATGCGACTCCTGTAGCCTCGCTATCACTGCGAGCATGTCGTGATGGTCCATATCGATCTGATAGTGGTGCTTCACGGCTGTCTCTCATGCTACCGCGGGCCATGCTGTCACGACCTCCAGCGTATTGTTGTTGTTGCTGCTGCTGTTGTTGCTGCTGTTGCTGTTGCTGCATAGGCCGTCTCTGGTTACTGTCAACACTAGGGGCTCGAGATGGCTGGTTATCCCACGGCGTTGCCGTAGGTGTTGGTGTCATGGCAGACCTAGAGTCAGTGCCTACTGATCGCACCATGTTGCTGATTTTCTCTGCCATTGTGTTAGCATATTACTTTGATTGTCTAAGGAAGAATCACAAACCAATGTCAATCACGTTGCCTCCTCGGCTGGTATCCAGATGGAGGGGCGCATCGCATGTTGGGCAATATTGTGACTCAAACTCGCGAATGAACTCGTAAAAGCAAGCCTCGTGGGAGACATGTGTGCAGGAAAATTGCAGGATGCGTTCACCTCGCAGAGTATGCTCGAGGGGTTCTTCACACACTGCACACTCGCTACCCACAAAGGTGCGCTCTCGTCGTGAACGACTGCGGTCAGCGTTGGTGGCCATGACGTTGTTATCAATGCTACCAACTCGACGCGAAGCGTTGCTATTACCCGACCTTACTGAGCCGGCGGAGGAAACTGAATCTTGCCCTTGGAGGGACTTGGTGCTAACGGAATGTCCTCCGGTGTAGGGTTTTGAGTCGTTACCAGTTCGGGGTCTTCGACTGCTCGATTTGGATGCGCGTGAGCCAGCCAAGCCTAGTTCTCGAAGGTTTGAGGCAATAACCTTGTCGTCGTCTCGCGATTTGCTGTCGTGATCCTGGTTTTTGCGTAATCGGCGAAACATTTAATTACGACACCTTTTCTGCAGGGTGTCTTGTGATTATAGTGGTGCGAATTGAGCACTTGTCGAATAGTTTGAAGGGATTCAACAACCAGGAGTTGCTGGTCAGGGTGGCTGAATTTAAAGTGAGCGTGGCGGGGAATCCATGCGATATCCAGCGGTTTCAGTAAAGCAAATCGAGGTGAAGATTCGGTCGTTGTGAAACTGAGGATGAGATGTGATCAAGCGTCGTTGGTGGTCCAGTGGATGCCAAGCGAAAGGAGGAGGAAAGAGGATTCTATGCGAAAAGGGTGAAGAGATATTATTCGATAGTGGTTGTGTGACGAGATTGGCGTAATAATTGTTCCTGTATGTGTACTCGCTTGGAACGAAATGCTATTTGCGACACGTCGGGTTCGAATGTTTCTGCTATTGCTTTTTTAGCAACGCGCGATGTGATGCTGGCCCTGGATCACCACTCACTTTTGGGAACGCCCAGAAGTTCTTATCCACTGATAGAAACGAAATGCCACAATCGTTTCACCGGAAGACGTATCAAGCAGTGGAATTGCTTTTTTGCCTTTTGTGGGCTCGTAAGATCAAAAGGTTCCGTGGAGGGTGGGAAGAGCGCTGATTCGGGTGAAGGCGATGAGACTCGTCGATTTGCGCTGGCTCGCTGACGGGCAGACAGATATGGTTTTATTGGAACAATCGGGTCCCACAGCCTGCTTCGCAAAGTACGACTCCGGGGTGATGAGAGGAGAAAAAGCAGGAGGAAGAAAAGGCAAAGAGTTGAAGCGAGAAAAGAAACGAAATTACGACAGCGTCAAGAGCAAAAGCAGGAGCCAAACTGGAAGGAAGTATGGGCGAGGTGGGCTATAAGAGAAATATGAACGTTAATAACGTTAGTTTGATTTGCACCGCACCGCACCGTACGACCGGGCCATCTACTACTACCACTACTACAATCGTTTGTACTAGGCTCCCTTCCCTTTTTTACCTTACCTTACTTAAACCTTGTGGCACCAGTCCAAGCCTGCGGTGCCGCCTGGGTGCGTACTAAGATGTTTGGTGCCAGGTACGGAGGACCTCCCTTTCAGAGCTTGGCCTGCTCATTCCATTTGGTATTAGCATTAGGGACTTGCAGTCGCGCACCGGTACGCTACGCTACAGCACGCTACGCTATCGCTACGATCCCAATCAGCTTCCGTTCTCTACCCCTTCTCCCGGGGGCTAGTCTCGCGGTGGCCGGAGTGGATCGCCAGCTCCCATTAAGCGTGCAGGGGATATGGGCCCCTGTCCGACATGAAAAAGGCCCGGGCTTTTCTGCCAGGGTGTGGTGGCCAGGGCATCCCAGGAGCCAGGGCTGCGCTCAGAGCCGAGCAGACAACCTAAGGTACCTACCTCCCGCAACAGTCAAGCGGAAGCCTCACAGGCATTGCAGCGCTGCTGCGCTACAGCGGTCCCCTGGTGGCCTCCTCCAGCTGGGTTTCCTCCCCCAGGTGTCCTCCCCGCTTGCTGCTGCTGCTGCCCCCCTGGTATCTTCCAGCTGTCGGGTCTCGTCCATCCCCTCCACTCCCTTTAATTCCCAGCTGCCTGGCCACTTGCCATGAGAAAGAAATGGACGACAATCTACTGCTGAGATGGGTCAAACTACTCGGCTGTCAGATACAGTACCTTCTCTATCAAGTGTAGGCGAATACTCGGGGAATTGGCTTTCTAGACTTGTTGGTAGGTGAACAATGTTGCGTACGTATCCGTACTCCGTACCCAACTACCGCCACTCCATATCCATAGGTCAACTCCACTACCACTTTCTCTTGACTCGAGTCGTCAAGGTAGTCTATGTCACTACAGTCACTTATTACTTCGAAAACCACCTTAAACCCTTCCTCAAAAGTGCACCCACAGCTGGGCCAGTTGGGGCTTAACCTCAGGTCGCCCAAGCTAACGAGAGGCTTGCCCTGTCCAGCGAAGCGAGCCTTTTTTGCCATGGAAGATCATCGATGTGCCTATCCGTCTTGCTCTTGGTGTTCATACCTCGTGCCACAGCGCAGTCAGTGCGCCGTCTATCTGCCTGATGGGGTTTGGCGGAACCCTCTTGGACGTGCTCGACGTGAGCAGCCAATGTCTGGGGATGGTGGTCTCAAGCCGTTTTGATCTAAAGAAAAGGGACCTTCCACCAAAGCTTCCAGGGTAATTCAGGGGTTTCTTAGAGTCAACTCGGCCGGTACCTGATTCACGTGGCTTGCGGTAGCTCTGACGGCGATCATCGTCAGCAAAGACACCGGTTGGCTTCCCAGATATCAGGTCTATGTACTAATAATATCATGATGATGAAAGTCAGGCGGACACACGCAAGAGGTGCAGGCATGGTAAGACACCAAGTTGCATGCTGTCTCACATACTTCTCCACATTCACTACAAACGTCTTCACAGACCTGGTAGACAAACGTACTACAGAACGGTGAATCTGCACGCTTTGTCTACAGGAACAGTCTGCTGGACAGTAATTACCTCCGCTTCAAACCGCTTCACCAGGCCAGGCCGTGCGAGCCAGGCCACAAGTGATGCGGCCTGGTGATTATCAGTGTTCATTGGCAACGTGAGGTTCTATATCTCGAGGTATCTATTACACCGCAGAAACCCGTTCGTTACACATACGATAAAATTGCAACGCGGTGGTTTCTGCTGTTCGATTCGAAACTGTGCGCAAACGTTCGGATCTGATTTTGACCACAGATAGCTCAACACGGCGTTGCAATAGCTGGGTGCTACAGAGTTAGGGTATCGGAACCGCAGCTCTCCGTTTCCACATCATGACTCACGTCGAAACTTGATAATTGATAATTGATTTCCATGATGGCAGTGCAGTTTGAAACTTTCGATAAGTGCCGTGCTGTGACATACAGGGCATACATTACATGGCCATATTGTTTTGCTACCTAGAAGGACTGGGGCTGAGGCTGGCCTATCCACCCATCCTTAACAGTCCATACCAGTCTTGAGCATATAGCACAATGATACTTGTCTTAAAGACAAAGGTCGCAGGAAAATGAAACAAAGGTTAAAAGTCAATGAAGAAATGATCCACCGTACAACGCAGCATGGATATTCGTAGTCACTGTCACTGTCGCTGTAGGTAAACAAACCCCTCAGGTTCGTCTTATCCCTGCAAAGACGATAGCATCGCATCTGAGACAGGGTAGGCAGGAAACCGGCTGTGACGAAATCTGATTTTGGTGCATTGGACAAACATGACGGGGCTAACAAGAAAACGAGTTCCTGCAGAGTGACGGTGGTTTCAGGGGGTATTTTTCTTCTTCTTCTTTCTTGGTAAACTGGACAGCCAGCTTTGTTTCCATTCTGAAACGCACCTATTCCGAGACGCACAAGAAACTGGCTGGCTGCAACTTTGTGATCACAACGGTCTCTAGTTGGTAAAGTAGCCCCCTTCACCCCCCAGAGGTCACATCACCGCCACAAACGTCACTTTGAAGGGGTAAGAAAAGTCTGGGCTTTTGGGGCTGATCTCGTAACGATCGTAGCGCTGGCGTTGACTTTGGGGCGAGCATCGCCCGTCCTGAACTCTCTTTCGTATTGTTAAAGCTCGATAAACCCCCTGGTCGTTGTGGTCAGTGTGTCTCTGGTTGAGGGTCTTGATGTGAATGCAATGATTGGATGAGGATTGTCCGGCAGCCATCCGCGACGGATAAGTGCCTGCAGGATTGTTGCCCTGGATCATGCTGGTATTCAAGGCACAAGGTACAAGATGCCCAGTTAGCTAGTCTTGGCTCCCCTCGAATTAGGTGTGTGGCAATTTTTGTGTGTGCGCTGGTGCTTGCATAGGGTAACCCAAGACGTCAGAAGTCCAAAAAGAGTCTCTCAATGAATGATCTTGGTAATATATCGACAGGTTCAGAATTGGAACAACGTAACTCGGCCAATTGACGGTGGTGATGGAGTATCCCCTGCTGTAGGCTGTAAGCATATCAGAGTCAACCCCAGCCATGATCCGCGGAGGTCATGGCGCCATCAAGACCTTCTCCATTCGATTTTCCAGGGGAAAGAAAGTGTTACCTTAGTAGGTAATTGCGGTTATTTTTATTGTATTAGCTGGGTAGCACAGTATCCGTATAGGTGGCAGATTGGCAAGACGCGGCAAACATTCAATCTCATTCATTGACTGCCAAGCTCATAATACCCGAAAATGGCGTTGATCTCGCCAACAGTCTTAAACAGACAGGCAAATGGATCACCAACAGGGGGTTGCAACTTGCAACCGCAGACGCCATAACTATGATCCAGCCAAGCTTGTCTGTTGCTGTCCGTGTTTGCTTGAATCAACCATGTGATGGATTCTATCGACAAACCCTTCTATTATTGGTATCTTCCATGATGCAGACATTTACAGTAGCGGTCAAGTTCAATATCGAGGTGGGACGAAAAGCGTCATGGCGAGGTGCTGTACGTTTTGGCTTGCATACCACGGCCTAGCGCGCTTCCATATTTTCCATGGTGCTTCCGACGAACATTCTATGCCACACACACAATCAAACAAACTCTTGCTTTGGGGTTATCAGAAGATGGATGGACGGAGGATGGGAGGTGGTAAACTGGACCCTGGGCGGGCCGCTGCATCTTCTTGGCGCTGTAGTCGAGTCAGCACAATCGCCTCCAGAGTCAACGACCAGACTCGATGAGTTATACACGGATACGAGAGGAAGAGTAGCATTCAAAGACTACCTGACAAATGTCCATCTCGAGTGAAAACACAAATCTAGAACATAATTCTGGTACATCGGATGCCTCGTACGCGATAACTTTCTTATAGATTTACAGTTGTTCTACGTACGTAGCAGCTTCATGACAACAAGTATGATGCTCTTCAGGGACCGTCCGAGCGCAGGCGGAGTCACTTTCAAGCTGCGAGAACCATGCTAGCCCAGAATTACCTGGCCTGAGTTATAACATGATAACAGCGTACCAGTTAATATGAGATAAACTCTGGATAGCACTGAGAGGCTATAGCTATAGGCTATCAAATACGGCTGCAATGAGAAGAGCCTGGCTGTATGGTAATCGCATCACACAATAGACGTCGATCATCCCACAACGAGACCATCGCGCCGGACTTGGCTTTATGATTTGTTTACAGTGCTCACAGCCTCGTAGGACCCCTTCCTTCATCAACTTTCATATCTGGAGACAGAGTTTACACTTCGGGCAAGCATTTCGTGGCTGCAAAGAAAACCCAAACGCCACCAGAACCCGCCCAGATCGGTTCTAACGACTCGTGATTTCAATTGCTTGGCGCGGGAAACCCTCGAGCTTTTTTAGCACAGACCTTTTCTCTTTTTCTATTCCGCTGGGCGTAGCGGCCCTGCCGGTTTCTCTTTTTGGGTGGCTCAAAAACATCGACGTGCTTCAGCTAGCTCGAAATAGGGCAAATCGTGTCTCAGAATGGGGAGGGAGAACACACACACTTTCTGGGCTTCTCTTTGAGCCCTGATTTTATGTGTGTGACTCCCGCGGCTGTCGACTCGCGGGTAGCCTTTGCTTTTGCCGTCCCACAGACAATCGTTGCCGGGAGTATGGGCTGTGACCAGATCCAGACTACCAGACAGACGGGTCAAGTTGATGAGAAACAGACACAATGACGATTTCTCCACATATGTCTCTAGTCATGTTTGTCCATCTTGACTTGGGTTCTTCTTCTTGTTGGGTTTGAGTGATTGATTAAACGTCATTTATATGATCAAATTGTCCCCCCCCCCCCCAAAGCTTCAGCCATTTCATTTCTAACGTTAGTCTTGTCTTGAGTTTTACTAGCTCAGGCGTGTTGGTCCTGCGGACAGTTTCTGTCACGTTATTCCCACGTGGTTAAACTGCCTGCATTGCTCCCTTGCCTTATTTGAGAAGCTATTCCACAAGTATATTAGTCCCATTAGTTCAACCTCTGAGTGGCCCAGAATGTTCATTGGCTTCCCATTCTGTTCATCCTGATTGTCCAGCCATGGAAGAGTACGAGATACAAGATTTGAGCTGGCGCGAGTCATGACTTTGGAATTCTTCACGTCGATCTCCCGAAAATCAACATTGCTGATAGACACACAAAAGTCCCGGCAAATCAATCTCGATTATTCACCTTACTTAATTCCTTAGCTGCTAATCAATCATAAATATGTATGTGTCTTCGACCTGGATGGACCCTGTGGCTGCTGCATAAATTAAGACTGGTGGCCTCTTTGTGAAACATAAAAAAGTATCATGCTTCACACATATCTCCTTTTATTCTCATACGGTTAACAAACTAAGCCAAGAGTAGAGAATATGTACTCCGTAAATGTTCTATGTTACACCCAACGTTGCTTCGTCTCGGAAAAAACTGTCAGGATTAGCAGGTGCCGCAGACGGCTGTTCGTACCTATATGTGACATATTATATGCTTATTGCAGGGTCCTTGAAACTATCGCACTGGACCCATCAGATGTTTCTTCTCCGTACCTGAGTACTATCCGTAAATTACCACTCGTTACCGTCAGGGTGTCTCTCTGCAAGCGAATGACCCAAGCATATCCATCCATACGCGCATGCAGCTCGCAAATGAGGCTTTCCCGGTGAGTTATATGATCCCATATCGTGCATCAAAAGCAATTGAATCACACTGCATGTAGTATTTATATCAAACGTATATTTCCTTTCTTCTTTATGGCCCGATGGTCTCATCGTCTACTGTCGAAACCCGAGGCTGGCATACGCCATATGTGTCTGACTTTTGACGTTTCATTCCTTCTTCCCCGGCAGGGCCGCTACTCGGAAGCCGGTATCTTTTTTCTGAATGCGAGAGGATCCAGACACCAAAGATCAGACAAGGATCTAGGGCCCTGTAAACAAGGTCTCGCAGTGTTTTTCGGTCGGACGACGTTGGTTCCCACTCTCAGAGTACCACTGAAGATATCCACCTTGACGCGGGGAGGTCGAACACACTCGTAAATCATCGAATACGTCTGCTGCTTCATTCCCCTCACGGTGGATGTACTTTCCTCATTCTGCCATCACGTCTTTTTGATAAGCCTTTTAGAGCAGTTGCAGTCGGCGCAGTCTGGAGCTTAAGTGCTCAATGGGGGTTTAACCGCTGGCTGCTCATAATATTTCGTCCGTTATTGCAGGTGGATATGTTGACGTTTATGTAGTATCACGGGGCCTAGGAATGTCGCATACGTCGCAAATCCCTTGATCTCGCTTGCTGATCGAAATACTAGACGCCCGTACCTGAACACGGGCCCTGGGCGATAGTCGACAGTGGGGATGAAGAGAGAGACAGTAAGACAGTTCGTTCACTTTGTTCCCACCCAGTGTCGATTTGACGCGTAGCATGAATGCCCAATACCGGCCTGGCTGGGTCAAACCGTGAAGCTTGGACTGAGCGTTAGAGTTTAATGGGAGATATGGGCTCCTCTCCATACGGTCCCTATGGTCCCAGCTTCGTCCTGCCATCGCTGTCTCGCATGTGGTCTAGGTACAGGGTATCGGGTTTTCAGGGCAAGAAGCAATTCACTTGACTGATTGGTCTGGAATTTGTTACAAAGGCCATTAGTGTTGCCTCGGATCTCAGCAATACGGAAGAACTGCCTGTCAAGAAGGTGGTTGTTACGTTATAGGTATCCGATTGACTATACAGTACTAGCGAAACAAGGCTCTCAACTAGGTAAGTAGCCTGTATTGTGAATTCTTTCTATATGCAGTGTGTTGTGAACCTTGCCCACCGGAGTAGCTAGTGGTATTCGCTGAATGGTTGTGATGCTGTTATGGACATCACGGCCTGTAGGTATTAACTGACATTAACATAGTATCGACAGATACTCAAACACCCCTCTCATTCCCTACTTGACGAAGAAACCAGAGCGTGGCTTTGCGGCACCCCGATTCCTCTTGAGGAGCAGGTCCTTGGAGCTCTTTGTGTGCTTCTTCAACTTGGGTGTCATCCTCTCATCCGCCGTCTTGGCCACGCGGTACACCGTCGAGCCCACAAGCTCATCTCTTGGTCCCCGATCTTGACGAGCAAGACTTCTCTCCACCGTGGCGACTCGGCGTTTCCTTGGGCGCTCATCCATGCGGTCGTTGTCCTGGTCTTCTTCGTCCTCGCTTGACGAGTCTGTCAAGAACTCGGCCGGCAACAGGTTGGGTGCTCTTTCTGTCCTTGAGCGTTGAATGAGTGACTCGGCAGGCTCCTCATCCTCAGAAGAAGCCTCTTGCTCAGCCTTCTCTTGCTCCTCCAGCTTCTTGCGCTCTTCAGCTTGCTGCTTGAAGAAATCATCCTTCTCCCGACGCTTGCGCTTCTGTGCAGCGGCTTGCCTGTTCGCACATTAGAAATGATACCGATAGATAAAGAGAAAGGTACACATGGGACTCACTCTTGGGCAGCTTTCTGGGCAGCTTGTTTGGACTTCTTGATGTCAGACGCCACCTTGGAAGTTGACACTGCCTCGGGCGCCTCATCGTCACTGTCTTCATCACTCTCCTCCTCCTTCACAGGTGCAGCAGGTTTTGAGGCTGCCACGGGCGCGGGCGCTACAGCCTCATCGTCGTCGTCTCCAAAAACCACTTTCGTGCCCTGTGGCTCTGCTGACGGCTTCACGTTTTCAGATTCGCCATCCTTGGCCCTCACGGGCAGCTTGCGCTTGTCTTCTGATGTTGATGTCCCTGAGATGTTCTGATCAGACTTTCTCTTGCGTGTCTTTGGTGGCGCCATTATGAAGTATTGTGCTGGCAAGCAGCGTTGTGAGTGTGTTGAAGAATGCGCCAAAGAAGGTTCACTATGCCGATGGTTTGTCTTTGTCGGGTGTCGCAACACAGATTAGAAAGTATGAATATGGAGCTGATATATCAGTCTCAAGTCCAGTGGCTTTGAATTAGCTGCTCGAGCTGAATTTTGGTGTGAATAGTGGTTGATGAAGTTCTTAAAGTGTATGAAAATTTCAGACTGAGACTGGTTTTTTTGACGAGCCATGTTCACCTCTAAAGTTCAAGGGACATGATTGGTGCAGTGGCCAACCTATGGCTCCACATATAGTGGCTAGACCTATCTAGTGCCTCGATGTTCTACCACGACGGGATTGAGAACACAACATCTATAAACCAAAAGGTTAATGTCCATCTTCTGTTATTATTGGGACATAAATCACGTAAATCAACATGAAGTCTTTTACTCGTCATGCGAAGCTGGGTAGCTTTCATCAATTACTGCGCATCGGAACTTCATCACCACTCACAACCATCACACAAAGATCTACTCAGCATGTCATAAACACCACAAGAACAGTCAATTCATGGAACCAAACTCGCTCATATCCTGGCACACGGTCACCTGTGAGAGGCCCTCCTAGAGCACCGAAAGTACTCCCATCCAAGAAGCTTGATCGCTATAAGATCAGTCAGCTTTCACCAAGGGACTTTGAGCAGGCTATGCGAGCTACTGGGGGTGAAGTCGGCACCCTTACACCAGAAGAATATTACGAATGGGCGAAGAAGTTTGCAGATGCTATCCATAGGGGACCTCGTGGTGTCAGCCTCGCCGGTGAGTTTCTACGGTAGAGATTGCATGGGCAAACTGACAGGTTGTGACCAGCGAACGGTATCCCCGCCAAGATTGCACATGAGATGGCATGCTTGCTACGAATAGTCGCAAGCTCCAGTGCGCAACGTCAACTCGCGACTTCATTGTGGAAATCTGCATCGGAGGCAAACTACAATCCATCTACCGTCTCCCTAGCGAGAGACATTCTGTTGCATGGAAATTGGGGAGAGTCGGAAGTGTGGAAAGATATTGAGAACCGCTTCGTGAAACTTGTAGCTGAAGGCAAAGACTGCAATGCCCTCACCGCCTATGGGGAGAGTCTGTTCAATGCTGGAAAATACGATGAGGCCGTAGAAACGTTGAAGCAGGCCGTCAGTGTCGACGATGGAATTTTTGGGTGGAAGCGTACGTGCCTGACATGCCTGGCAAAGTCATATGCCATGATTGGCAAAGTGAGCGAGGCGAAGGAGACACTCAAGACGTTGGGCGATACGGATGCAGATGCTGAGATTGATCAGTTTCTTAATACTAGTGACGCGGAGCGGGCACGGCAACAGATGTACTCCGCCGCGCTCATGGGCAGAACGGATATGTATCGACAGCTTGCTGAGTTCGAGTTCGAGAGAGCGGCTAATGAGACGGATAAGGAGTCGAAGAAGAACCAACATCTTTGGGGTATGGAGTGGTCGAGATTGGCAGATCCTGGTGCCAAGTTCTGATGCTGGTAGATGTCCATGTATAGTACGCGTAGACAGTTTGGCTGCAATATGATATGTATTATCAGATATATCTAGCCCAAGAAAAACACAAATCGCTAAGTCTTGCGCTTCTTAGTAGTCGTCTCAGTGCTATGCCGTCTATCACTCCGCTTGCCAGTCGCCGCATCCTCGCTCTTCGCAACAGACGCCATGCCCTCACCTTCCTCTTTGGCCTCATTATCAACTCGATCTCCATCATCTGCATGATCAACAGGCTCTTCGTAGTCAATATCTATATCACCCTGGACTTCTCCACGGTCAGTCGGGAACAGCTTCCGCCACGTCCCATCAAGAGCCTGGCCATCGTTCCCATGAAGACCAACCTGATATGCAGTCTTCATAGCAGCGATGCAAATATCACGTCTTTTGGCAAAGTCAAACATTGGCTTTGGATATGTGCCCTCCTCGACATTATTCAATCCATCTCCCTTCACACGAACACCTGCCTTCTTCTGGTCCAGCAGAGGGGCTTTCCAAGGCTCGTAGATGTACTTTGAGTTCATGTTCTTCAACTCGGGAACATATCGACGGATAAAGTTTCCTTCCTTATCCCATTTCTGCCCAAATGCTACTGGACTGTAACAGCGGAAGTACTGGGAGAAGAAGGCTGAGCAGGACAGCCACTGCCAATTCCCTGCGTTGCAAGCTGGTTCGTGGTCGATGAGCCACTCTTCAAAGACTTCGCAGCCTCGTTCCCAATCGATATAGCAACCACCTCTTGTGAGAAAGCACGCTACTGCATGACGGCCAAGGTGGTGAATCCAGCCCTCGTCCTTGAGCTGTCGCATCAGGGCATCGATCCAAGGAAACCCAGTCATGCCGACTCTCCACCTCTTGAACCAAATATCCGCCTCCTCAGAGTCTACATGATATTCCCCCGTGACGAGTCCCGTCTCTGGATCTCTTTTGGAAGGCAAGTGCCAGGGGATGAAGCGACAGTAGGGGTTATTGGCCGTCTGGCTGAAGACGTAGCCCAAGGATGCCTGAGCTGCGAAATACATGTCTCTAAAGAGTAACTGGCCTATGAGACTTTCAGGAGGCGATGAAGCACCCTTGTATGAATCCACTACCTCTTTAACACGCCAGTAGAATTCTCGTACAGACAATGCACCAAAGTGCAGAAAGGGTGACAGGAGAGTTGTTGCTTGTGGCTCAAACTGGGCCGGGCTCGTCTTGGGCTTTTGGAACGTAGCTGTGTATTTCTTGTCTGCGATCAGCTTGTCCAGTTCCTCCAAAGCTAGTGTTTCTCCTCCACGGTGAGGAGTAGTTGCGGGCGGAAAGCCAAGTTCCTCCATTGTTTCAATAGCGAAATCACCATTTGGACCTGCTATGTTGCTATACGCCTTGTCTCCCTCTGTCCTGAACTCGGAGTTGAAATCTGGTTTCGTCTCTGGCTCGTCTTGGTCGAAGTTGACAGGCATATCCCCAGGGTCTGGAAGATGTTTAGGAGCAGGTATAGGTTTCCGGACTTGGCCAATCTTGCTTCCGGCGGTTTGAAGCTGGGTGATAGACATGGTAGGTTTCCCGCCGTGTTTCTCGACTATCTGATCGCTGTCCCACAATGTCCTGCCGGAGCGCATGATGACTTCAACGCCAGCATCTTTGGCTGCTTGGGAGATTACGCTATCTCGTTCACGAGCATAGCTGTCGGTGTCCTTCTCGAATACAATATGGGTGACTTTCCATGCTTTGAAGAGCTTTGGAAACAAAGTCTGAGGTGCCTCTCTAAGAACAAAGAGTTTTGACTTGGGGTTCACACTTGTGATGGACTTGGAGAGGTCATTTTGACAATCCAGGCTGCGTGTCGTTAGAGCAGCCACACATAAACGGTTTGCGTGGGAACTTACAGAAATTGCCATCTATTGAGACCTCCTCTCGCACGATAGACATAATGCGGATCCCACGTGAAGATAGGCCAAAGGACAGCCGGGTCAAGGTCTAAAGCAGCCTTGAGAGCGGGTGAATCATGGAGTCGTAGGTCGGTACGGAACCAGTAAATGACACGAGGCTTTCCCATTTTTCGGGAAAGTTGATGTAATACTGTCGTAATCGTAGTGCGAGATTTAACTCGGAGGGAAGATTGGCCATCTACTCTGTATTTTGAAAGTAATTCTTCACCTGAAAAGTCATGATGTCAACACTTGTTGCTCCCAGCCACCTGACTTTAGCTGAGGTCTTAGACATTCAGTCAACAGCGTCCTAATCGAACATGACTTCTGCTTCTATTCTAATTGGCTCGACAACATGTCCGAATTCAATTCATCATATGTAAAGTTGTATGGTATATTTCTAGGTGCATTCAATGGAGTAACCTATTAGCTAACGCTATATCAAAGTTCACCAGAGGCCTTCCAACTACATCGATTATTTACCACATCAACCCACTCATAATTCCTCTTACCTGTCAACTGCTCGGCCAGTCTAGAGGTTCTGAACTAAAGGAAAGAGCTATAGCAAGACCGAAGACCTGGTAGCAAGGGATGAGACTTGGTAACTTCAACATCTACGCACCAGGCCTAATTAAATCACTTTTTCGTAAAACGACCGAATTGGAAGAGTTCTTGTTACTCAATTGCCTGACTGTCTGACCCAGAAAGAGGATTTCGAGACTCGAGCTCATAGTTATCTTCTAAAATCGTGAGTCATGTTTACAATAGTATGTTCGATAGTCTGACTACCTCTTCTCCATATCTCAGACCTGCCCCAGGTGGAACATGCAGTTCTAGATCATGCATGTGGCGATGGGTATCTGTTTGTTGAACCACGAGTTACTCGGACTTCTCAAGGGAGTCGTCATGACAGCAGCAACTCGATATGACCCGGTTCTGGTGTTTTTATTCCGCAGCATTTGGCCTAGCTCGTATTTATAGCCGAGACATAATTGTCTTACGCTCAATCCCCGACATCTCACTGATGCCGTGTCTTACAACTACTGCCACGTTAGGGTCAATAGTCTGTCTACATTGTCCTTACGTTATGACTTGGAGTTGACAGACCCATCGCCACTAGCCGATTGACAGAGAGTCTAGTTTGTAAGTTTGACTGGTGGGTAGAAGATCGAATGAGCAGCGATTTTTGCTCATCAGAGTAATTGAAACGTCTGGTTCATTGAACAGTTATGAGTCTCATGTTTAATCCAAAGTGAAATATGAGACAATGTCATGTATTTAATATGTACTTCTAACATTTATACTGCTTGTGTCACGGAATAATTATCTAAACTTGATGCCGGTTCTGATTTTTTGGTCGATGGTATAGGGTACGCCAAATACAACCTGGCTTAGATGTTCGATTTCATCATCATCTCACCAGTCTCAACACGAGATTGCTCTATTGGAAACAAGTTCATTGGGCCTGGTTTATTCTCGTCCTTGGGAGTTTAATGAAATACAATCACCACGAAACATTGGCCCACAGTTCTCTACTTAGCAGCAATGGATCGAGGAGTGTACATGATTTAGTCTCGAACATGCATTGCGTGCCCAAAGAAATCATACCACAGATGCGGCTCAAATTGTGGTATTACTGTATTTGAAGACAGCCCCAGTCACTATTGGAAGACGGCGTCGATGGGCCATGCAGCCACACACAAGCGAAATCACCTCATGCGGGCGGATGTCATCATTTATCTAGATGGTTAACTTTCATCTCCAGACCCTTCCCCGCATCTGCAGGGTGGCGATTGTATAAGTAAACAAAATGGACACGAAATAAACAAAAACAAACACGTAAGTAAACAAATAAGTAAACACCACTCCCTGGCGAGATTTTGGGTCTTTAGCTGGACTTGACTTGTGAGGGCTGATTTGAACGGGCAATGGATTACTGGCCGGAACAGCGGGAGGTTGACGCCATCGTAATTTCCACAGAGTGCTATCCGTACAGAGCTTTTATAACGGGCGCTTGAGCCTCAAAGCTGATGAAGCAGAGGTAGAACCTAAAGCTTTGACCGCTGATACGAAGCTTGATGGGTTTATACCGGCTTAATGATACCCGTATTACAAGATAAAGCCGATCGATCAGTGTTGACAACCAACCCCTGCAAGTAGAAATAAACGGCGTTCGTGAAGCTCCATCGGAAAGGGTTCAGCTAGCATCGAGCTCAGCATAGGATATCCCTGGACGAACAGATTCAAGAGACGCCACAGTGAGAAACATTACCCGTGCGTGCAAGGCGGGCGGCATGAACTCGATATATGATGGCAAACTATACTCGGTTGATAATGACGTTGGCTGCGCGAGCTCCCGATGCATAGATGTGTTGGTGGCCCAGGCGAGACTGAGCAGATGGTCGCCATAGTGGTATTCAATGGGATGATGAATGCAGCTATGGAGCCAGAGACAGGGCTGTAGTGATTGTCTTATTGAGTAAAGATCTATATGATCTGCGGAACAATTGAGACCTACGTATATCGAATTCCACAAAGTACGTGCGTGCAGTAACTGGACAGCTGGAGTAGTTGAACACGTACACTCACTCATAGAAAGGCCCGACCGAGACAGTTCAGTTCGTACAAAGTAACTAGCAGCTAATACAGCCTCAGTAGTATCATCCGTAGCAGTCATCTCATAGGGCGAGCTACGTGGATTTGAATAAGCCACCGTCAGAACTGGGCCGTCGATGCAGGACTAGAGCTCAACCTACGGGCGTGGCATTTCCAGCACTTGCTGGAAACTAAAGATAGCGGCATGGAGTATACCTATAGCGTGGGCGTAGAGGAACTGGACGACTGAAGGCCGGCCAAAGGTGCATACGTAGCGTGTAGGCGGTGTTCGCAAATGAGGCTCTTCAATCTGGTGAGCTTAGTGGGTTTCATTGGGTGCTGGGAGTTTGTTCTTCACGAAGCACGATACGGGATGGAGATTGAAGCGATATTCGTGGCTGCAGTCCCCCATGCCCATTGCCTGGATTTCAGCACATCATCCAGGTCTAGCATAATGGCTTGAGGTGCTGGACGAGGATGCAACGTGTCTGATCACCTATTATTAGAGTATTTTCTTCTTCTTCTGGTTCTCTGACGCAATGCGGGGCTTGGAGGAGCAAGCGAATGATCGACGACCATTTCACGGACCTGCAGCACGCTCTGCAGCCTGTGGCCTTTCCACTAAAGGCCTTTAAATTATCTAGCAAAGGGTTCTAATGCAAGACATGTTTACCTCCAATTTTGACATTCGCCACCGCAAAACTGGACCACAGGGAGTCATTGGAAGAGGGCTGAACTTTGATAAATGAGCATGTCGATTAAACAAAAAGATATACATGATCAGCATTCGCCAATCAGACGTCGCATTGAACACCCTACCAACGATCTCTACCCCCGGAAATACCGCGACAGGGGTAGCCCTGCGTTTAGATTTACTTCTCACAACGAGAGTCATAGAGATGAACAAGGGATGCCTTCTCCTGTTTCGAGAGCACGCACCGTCGCCAGTTTGCTCACAAAATGGTCCGTTCGAGGGAACAGACGAAAGGCTCGTCATGCTCACGTTTTACTCGAGCTCAGGAAACAGGTCAAAGCGACAGAGGGTCTCTCGGTAAGCCCGCTTGATAAAAATCCAATGTAATGCCTTGGCCGCTTACAGCAGAGTCAAGGCTGGGGAAACACAAAGACTTCGCCGGACGCGTAGGTTAGTAATTAGTTATTTGTATGGATACTCTGTAGCACAGCCGGAAAATTCAGGGCAGGGGGGCCACAGGCGCTTAGATTGGACGTTTGGGTAATGTTGCTTTTTGAATAATCTCGACTGAAACTCCTTTATTTCTTCTGTCAAGTCTATTATCGAACGGTTCGACGTCGTGAATAAATCACGGAGTATAGCTCTGAACAAGGCCAACATAGCCAAGCTCTAAGAAAAGCAATAGAGCCGAAACGAATTCGATACCACTAAGACAAGGAGCAGAGTTAATAGACTTTGCGAAAAACAGCCTAGCTCTGGGGTTTGAGTTCAAGGCTGCGTGCGACGTATAACGTATGGCTGTTAATGTCTGTGTCCGAACAATAACAACGCGGAGAACAAAGCCATGTAGAGCCAAGCGCTAATTTAACAAAGAGGTCGTGATGACCTCAGGGTGTCCTTTTCGTGTTAATTATCTTCAGGGTCTGTCTGGCAAAGCTTGGTCCTGAAGAGCCAGGGACTTTTTATGAAGCAAGGGATGCTTAGTAGAACAAAACTCGGGGGGTCAATGTGTCTCATCATATGGTTGCTCAGAGAACAGGTAGACCACGAGTCGTACTATGTACAGCATCTCGTGGTTTGGACCATTTGATTCTGAGAGCCCGTGCTGGTTTTGAGGTTGAGCTCTTTGTTTTGTGGTTCATGTGGTTCGTCTGGTTCATTTTTCTTTTGCTTCTTTTTTAAACATCAGATTTCTCTACAGCGAGCGTCATTTTCTTTCTGCTGACAGGATTGTGTCAGCCACAATGCGACTTAATATTCCATGCAATAAGGGCTGTGCATTATGAGGACGCCTTAGCCAACTCTGCCTTGCAACCCCCGAATATTCTGTATACCAGGCTCTGAGTTATAGAACGAAGCCTCATTGTGTCTCCAATCATCATATTTTCTTCCTCGATCGAGAGAAGCCTCTCCTCCAAAGTCTTAGTCAAAAGTTTGACATGGGCTTGACCGGATGATGGGGAACCATAATAGAATAGGGAAGGATGTGAAACAAAGAACCAGGGTTCTCAATGGCCGTGCGTTTGTGGCATGGATCCGTTGTCGGTATTTGCTGCGACTTCCAAGATATTTTCTAGCAGGGTACGGGTATCTTGTATCCTGTATTTTGTATCTTGTTGTACTCATTGTTCAGCTGCTGACTGCTTACGGATAATCTTCCATAATCAGCTCGGACGGGCCAATCTCATCTGATTATGACATTTCATGTGCAAATTCGACAGCCACTGCATCGCTGAAGGAATTTCCCACTGACAAGGGAACCCCTCGTAGCTGTAATTTTTCTGCGCTGGAAGCATGGCCTGTGTTTTCTCTCCATCCACTGTTAGTCAAGTAGTTAGCATCGATGCTACAGGGCATTTCTCGATGATCAAGACCAAATTGCAACACTGGGGTTCCCAAGTTTGCCATCATGTTCTTAACCCGAAAGTGATAGCGCCCGTTGCTATTTACTGTTAACTACTTATGACAAGCTCATGATTTGCGATGCAACGTCATGTCAACAAATAACAAACCTGGTCTAACAAGTTTAAAAATTAGGGCATTGAGGGAAAGAAAAAAAATATGATTGTTGGCATTAGATCGATGCATCTAACGTCAACCAGGCTAGAGTCAGGTACCCGAGGAGCGGTATTCAGAGGTTCCTCCAATGGGGTCGTCGGGAGTGAGATGAAAAGAGGGGACTTTTGCTCGGCTGTTGGAGATGGCGCAACCCTCTTACCAAGGCAGTCTCTTACAAGGCAACTCGGTTGCGTGGTTGTAGGCGGGGAAGAGTGGAAAGACAGAGCAGAGGCTGCAGAGGCTGCAGAGGCTTCAATTCAATTCAACCTCGCTAGGCCTCTCCCATACTAGCCATGAAGGATGTAGGGCTTGAGGGCTTGCCTTTGCCATTTTGGGAGTTTGAGTTTGGGGAGCCGTTGTAGACTAAGAAGCCGTTGGGCTGGATGTTGGAAAAAAGAGATGAGAAGATGATGGCCAATCAAGCCTTGTTGTCAACATCTACTCGGTACATGTCGTGCATACAGAAGACGACACCCTTTTTTCCGATACGAAGGTCATTGAGTAGGGTAGCTCAGTTGTCAATTCAAATTGCCAGCAATGAACCAACCAGTCAATCGAGTTTATTCACACTTTCAACGTCAACCGAAGCCGTTGATTCACCCTACCCACAGTGTCTACGTATTCTCCACTTGATCGGTTGTCACTCGGCTCAGGGCTATTTGAACTTTGAATAATAGAACGATAGAAGCCTAAGGAAGAGCTTGTAGCAAGGTCAGACCCGGTCGCCATGACCTGCACGAGAAGAGACATCAGCCAGTTGACCGGTTTCCCAACAGCCTCTTTTCATGTCCCCCAAGAAAATCAACCAAGGAGAAGGAAGGGATCCTTGTCTACCAAGGCATACACACTCTCTTCTGTCCCTATTCCTCAGGCTCCCTCTTAATCACAAGCAAAGCAAGGCAGGACAGGGATGGGAAAGTAAAATAGCTGTGCGATGCAGTTCGATGAGATGCGCCTTTCGCCGTGTCTGAGAGTTGCAAGAGAGTCGACCGGGGGTGTGTACATGTGTACATACTTGCAGGGGTGTCCATAACACCCTTGTCTAGTACCGGACCTGGGTTTATTCTGCTAACAACGACACGCAACGCAACACAAGCCCCGGAGCTGTAGCCCGCAGCCGTAGTTGTACTGTACTGTTGTATCCTAGGCGTAGACCCAAAACTCAAACCCAAATCCACATCCCCTCGGAGGAATAACGCACGTACACAGTCAAGGGACCGTTAGGATCACTCGGGGCTTTGCTTTTTCCCCTTCCCAGTCTACCAGTCTCACTCGGTCTGTGCCATTGGACTCCTCTTTAGCGGTATATTGTCAGGCTTGTGTTTGTGTGGTCATCGTAGTTGGTTGGTGCTTGGTGTGCTTAGATGCTTGGATGCTTGGTCCACAAGCTCGTTTTACACTTTCTTTACTTTTATTCATAGGCCTCTGCCTCGCTTCTTCTTCTCTTCTTGTCCCTCGCTTCTTTACTCCCCCTCCTCAAGGTCTTCAGTCTTCACCCACACGCTCGTTTCTACTATATCGCTTTATCCTGGACTCATACCCGAAGCCTTGCTTCAGTTTACTTGACCTGTTCTCTCGCCAATACATTGCGTGACCTGAAACAACTACAACATCTGCTCCAGAATACCACATTCTTTTTTCCAAGATCCATTTTTATACCACTTACACTCCTTCGTCGACCTGCTTGTGTCGGCCCCGTGTTTTGGATCGACTTATACCGCCCAGCCACAAGCTAAATATCAACAACAGAAGATCAACAATATATATTCGACGACTAACTACTATCGACGGAGTATTTGGGATATTTACTACTGGTTAACAACTTTGGTTCTGTCAACTTCGTATCGCCTACTATCTAAACACCCCATATTGTCGACTCTCACCGCATCTCTCACTGCTTGTCAACGGTCAACGAAACACAGCCAGACCGGATTATGCACTTTTACTCAACATTACAAACTATTCATCAAAAACAAAATCATTCTGGCCTCGAGTTACGACGACCGACGAACGTTTGTTAGAGGCTAGCCTCCTGCCAGCCATCATACTGGGGCTTTGCAAGACAACCACACCACATAGTCTTCCTCGCCAAGAAAATCAGTCACAATGCGACGCACCATATCGATCCTCATGGGCTCTTTGGCCCTACTGGCAACAGTGACCGTCATGGCAGTTCTCATTGTACTCACGAACCATACCCCCAAGGATTCAAGTGGCCGAACTCTGTCCCAAGTTTCCGTCACGCTCGAGTCCGTTACACTTGTTACCCTCGGGTGGTTCCTCTCCACATATGCTTCAACTCACTTCCGCCGCTGGTCGACACGCTGTCTAGGTGTCGACTTTGGTGCCTGCCTTTTGGCCATTCTCTTTGCTACTGTTGCAACAGTAGCCACTCTCATTCAATCTAGCAAATCTACCCTCGACAGGGAGGATAAACTTGTGCAGGCGAGCAAGCACAGCTTACTTATTGGCTTATCTGTTGCTCTTGGACTTTGCTTCGTTTCCCAAACCGGATTCCTGGCCCTTCATTTCTTCTTCACCCGAAAGAGTGATCATATTCACAGCATGGATGAGGAGCGAGGCCTGCCTTCATTCCGATCCAAGACATCGCTGAAGACGCTCCGATATAGCCAAACCATTTCAGACCATGAGACAACTCCCCGAAAGATGGGCTATATGGGTTATCAAACACCTGCTTCGTCTATTGGCGGTCGCTCCAGGTCTGGCACAGTCACTTCTATTAAACTTCAGCTTTCAAACGTCGTGCGGTCTGCAACCACCAAGAGCGCCTCTTCCAGCGACTCTCGTCGACCTATCTCTGTCGGCTCGGACACATACCGCTCTAGTGATGATGCCTTTGATACCTGGGACACGTCTTCTGTCGATACAAACAACCGCCAGGTGGTCATGGAAGCCACCACTCCTCCTCCAAGGTCTCAAGGCCACTTTCTCGAGACCATCCCCGGCAGTCCTACGCCAAGCAGGGGATCAGACCCTGGTCACGAAATGCCCCTCGAACCCCCCAGGATCCGTAGGCGAAGTCGCAGCTTCAGCCCAGTGTCTTTAAGGCGCGAGCAACTGCACTCACAAGCGTTGATGAACGACCTCCCAGAGCCATCACTGAGTGAGTCGCACATTCACCCGCTATTCCGATCTGACTCGCCCGAACCACCCCCAATGGCTACACCTGGCACTGTTGTCGTGGCATCGCCCATCGCCGGCCAGGTCATCACACACCGCCAGAGTGTGCGCTCTCTGCGCTCGGTCTCCACGTTCGTGGGTCCAAGCCCCCTGGGCCACCGCGAGGAGCATGAGAGTATTTTAGAGGAGCAGGAGTCCGAGACAGCCTCACAAAACTCGTCTGAGCGACCCCTGACCCCTCCTATTCCAGAGTGGGTGATGGGTGCTGGCGCTCGGGCGAGCTGGTCTGATTATAACAGTCGCAAGTCAAGAATCGACGGCGACGGAGAAGCCAAGGAAGAGCAGAAGAAATGAAACAGAAATCTTCACTCATAACCGTTGGCGATATTTTAATGATAGTAACGAGTAGGAGGATGTAAAAACAAACACAGCGCGCGACCATGATATGGACAGGGCAGTCGCCGAACTCCATTTTCTTTTATCTTTTTATTTTTCTTGATTTCTTCCCAGACACACACACACTACCGAACGGTACACGAGATTTGGGTTCCATGTAAATGGATATATATGGTATATGGTGAACGAGCTGGGTGGGATTGCATGTATACCAAAGGGAAAAACAGCGAGGCGCCTTTTATGACTTGAAAATCCCCTCTACGCCTGAGGCGCGAGGATGAACGACAGAGATGAATGATGGGGTAGAGCAGAATTAGAAAAGCAAAAGAAGCAATATCAAATGAACTGAACTGAACTGCACTCCTACCGCGAGTGATGATCTTGGGAACTTTGGTCATGGATCTACACATCAATAAACATGTGAGTCACAAGTTAATTATTGACTTGTTGGCGCCGTAACTTGATAACTGGAGTAGAATTTATCTCCGAATTGCTTCAAAATTGTATTGTATCTGACTAAAGCCCAGAGAATAGATAATCTTTCCCACGTGGTGGCCTTAGTACCATATGATTTTCCCCGAGACAGTTGTGCATTGTATGAGTGTGGATTGAGTCTTTGAGTGGTGTTTCTGTTCCACAAAAGACTGAGACTCATTATGTGTGTAAGTCTTTAGAACACATCTTTTATGAAATTCTGCAATAGCACATCGTTCTGATCCGTTTAAATGACATTTTACTTGAATTAGTAGAAATGTCTTTTAAGGATATACGTCCATTTTATTTATGCGAGAAGTCTGTGACAATTAGTGATGTCATAGAGATGTTGCTTCATCTCGACCACTTTGGCACATTGAAGCTTTCGTCCAACTTTTAAGATGTTGATGATGTATCTTAAAAATATCATTAATCCGGCCTCTCTCATTCACAGCTCTCTGTAGCGATTCAAGCATAAGGACCCTGGACACTACGGATAATCACATGCATATATCACATGCTACGAATACTGCCAGCAAATGAAGCATCGCGGTTAAATAAATAACTTAGTACCTATTCTCAGGCAGAAGTACGCGCGCCTCCCAGTCATTTGGTAGCCTGGAGTGGCTGAATAATCCTCGCTAAACCATTTCTGGGCGCTGGTGCGCTTGCCCCACCATCTCCCTCAGTTAACCACTGGAACTGACTGGGACTGGGCTGCAACGTCAACGCTTCGTTCAGGTTGTAGACTAGAGTTAGCTTTCCTCTCTTCCACTTGCAGACGCAGACGTTGACAGATTTGATATCTTGCACTCCTCTTTCTTCTTTCTCTCTTCATCGCCTCTCGTCTCTCTCGACAAACCTTCACGAATTTGTCGCCGTCAACTCCATTTTTGGCTCGAGCCCGCACCGAACGAGACGCATCAGTTTAAATCTAGGTCGCTGTTCGCCTCCCACCTCCCCACCTCACTCAAGCAGCGGCAGACTCTTCGCCCATCATGAAGGTCACATTCAAAGTACGTCTCGAACGCAAGCGGCTACCGACAAGAACCAATCCCATGATCACCGGCTCGCTGCATCCATCATCTCCCAGGAACTAACGAAATGCGTTCTAGGATCTCAAGCAGCAAAAGTTTACGCTCGATGTCGAGCCCTCCGAGCTGGTATGCCCCGCGTTGACGCCTCAAGCTGTTCGCGCAAACTGTTCAGCCAGCTGACAGACTTCTAGATTTCAGCTGTCAAGGAAAAGATTTCAGCCGAGAAGGGATGGGATCCCAAGTTGCAGAAGCTCATCTATTCGGGTATTTATTTTCACCTCCAGTACCGCACTAGACAGCTCGCTGACGCCACCACAAGGCAAGATCCTGAAAGATGAAGAAACCGTCGGCTCCTACAATATCGAAGAGAAGGGTTTTGTAGTCTGCATGGTGAACAAGGTTTGCAATATCCGCTGTCTGTGAAGAGCACATATACTGACAGCTCGTGATAGCCCAAGCCTAAGCCCGCCGCCGAATCCAGCGCCGCCCCTCCTGCTACACCCGCCGCACCTGTTGCTAGCACACCTGCTGTCCCAGCTGCCCCCGCGCAATCGTCATCAAACCGATCTGCTGTGCCTGCGACACCTACCCCCCAGCGCTCTGCCGATGTTGGAGCCGGTGCTCAGTCCGAGGAGCCCTCGGGCCTTGCCATGGGATCTCAGCGCACCGAAGCTATTGCAAATATGGAGGCCATGGGCTTTGAGAGAAGCCAGATCGAGGCCGCCATGCGCGCTGCATTCAACAACCCCGACCGCGCTGTCGAGTATCTTCTTACTGTTTGTTTTACGGCTCTGCACCGTCATGGGCTTCATTTGTTTACTTACTTCATTGCAGGGTATTCCCGACAACATCCGACAAGAACAGCAGCAGCGTGAAGCCGCCCCTGCGGCCCCTGCTGCTCAACCAGCTCAACCCGCTGCCGCCGCTCCTCAAGGTGCTTCCGATGACGGTGGCGTGAACCTGTTCGATCTTGCTGCTCAACGCGGAGGCTCTGGTGGTGGTGCTGCCCGAGGAGGAAGTGGCGGAAACCCAGCGGCTGCTGCAGCCGCCGCCGCCGCAGTAGCTGCTGGACAAGGTGGTGATCTGGGTAACCTCGACTTTCTACGACACAACGCCCAATTTCAGCAACTCCGCCAGGTTGTCCAGCAACAACCACAGATGTTGGAGCCAATCCTTCAGCAGCTCGGTGCCGGTAACCCCCAACTCGCCGAGTTGATTGCCTCAAATCCCGACCAATTCCTTCAGCTCCTCGGCGAATACGCCGATGACGACGTTCCTTTGCCTCCTGGTGCTCAGGCTATCTCAGTTACCGAGGAGGAACGTGATGCTATCGAGAGGGTAAGTTTTCGATTCGATATTAAATGCCCATGTAGCTGACACGTTCTAGTTGTGCCGCCTCGGATTCGATAGAGATCAGGCTATCCAGGCTTACTTTGCCTGTGATAAGAACGAAGAACTTGCTGCCAACTTTCTCTTTGACCAGCCGGAGGATGACGAGCCTGCGCCCAACAACTAAGCGGGCTAGGGAACTGTGCGAGACAATGCGTTACGATTATGAGTCGAAGGGAACGGAACAAAACTAGGCATTCCCAGAATAATATGGGTATTCATAAGGCGTTCAGTCCGGAACCGCCAAGGTAAGGTCCTGGCGCCGCCTCGCAAGTCGCGATGGCATCATGAGATGCGCCGACGTTGGTTGTGGGTAATTCTGCTCGGCCTCTATACTTGCAAAGGCAGGGTAGCACAGGTAGCTGACGAAATTGACGAATTTTAAAACTCGAGCATTGTTATGGGTTGAAGTAAACCGAGCTGTAACTGTTAGACGTTGGATGTTAACCGCTGTTCTAAATTCAGACTTGCACATCAAAATGTCTTAGAAGTCAATAGCTTGGTTATGCAGCATGTTATTCTTGCATATAAGTCATACCATTTGTCTCCAGTTTCATTCGCCAGGACATTTGATAAAGACTATATGTACTTGCACCACGTTTAGTATATGTACGAATTTGTTGTATTTCAGAGTATTTCCCCTAACATAGGCATACTGCTATTCTGTAGAGACTGCTCTCAAAGCTGATTCCGTGTAAACCATTTGAATCATAAGCAAATACCAAAAAACCCTGTGGATATCATGCCTGTTCCTTTTGCGCCGCCTGAATCGGTTCCCCCAGTTCCCGACTTGACCTTGATCTTGGTCTGGTATATCCCCTGACCTATTCCCTTATTCCTCCTGGACGATCGGCTCGCCGTTCAGTCCGTAGATGATGGTTTGCTTCTTCTTCTTTTTGCGTTTCTTGGCATCTCCCTCGTCATCATCCTTGAACAGCTCTTCTCGCTTCTTGCGCATGGCCTCGGCCTGCTCGTCGGCACGGCGCTTCTCCTCGGCCTCGTACTCTTCCTGTATTTTGCGCTGCTCGGCTTCGATGTTTTCGACTGGCTCGAACTCGCTGCCGGTAAAGGCCTTGTACTCGTCGATGTCTATCTTGACTGTCTTTTCACCTACGACAGCAGCGGTGATGCGACTAGGGCAGTGACGCTCCTCACGGTTATACTTGAGCTTGACATGGCGCCTCTGCTTGCCAGGGAACATTTTGGAGATCATCTCGAAGTCAGTACCAAACATTGAAAGACCGCGATAGAAAAGTTCCGTCTCAGCATCGGTCCAGATGTTAGGACCTTTGAGCTTCGAGGTGTTCATGAACGAGTTGCTTGTAATGAGGCGCGTGAAGTCGTTTTCTTCGACTGTTTCCATATCTCCTGCAGCGGCAGCAGCTCGGGCATGTCGATCTACAGCCAGCGAGCTCTGATCGATCACGATCTGCCCATCGACGATACGGAATTGAGGTCCCGAAGGCGCAGTTGGAGCTGGAACCGAGGCAGGAACCGACGGCGCTGGTGATGACGCAGCTGGACTACCTGTCTTTTCACCTTGACCACTGACCTCGGGTGTTGCTGAGCTATCTCTTTCACCATCGGATCCAAGTTTTGCTTTCATCCTGGCCCGTCGTTCTCGCTCTCGTAGCTCGTCATGTCTGCTGAATTTCTTTCCAATGTGAAGATCTTTAGTTAGATCAGCCATCTTCAACTTCTGCAGATCCACCAGTTGAGCTTCCGAGTCTTCTGGTGTCATTGAACGTGCCCGTCTAGTCCTGGGCGTGCTCGAGCCGCTCTGAGTAGGCGCCTTGCGTTTCCTTGGTTGCTTTGGTGTTGCGCCCTCTTCAGTGGGTTTCCTCTGGCGCTTCTTAGGTCGTGCGCTTTCTTCCGTACCTGCCTCATCTTGAGTTGTTTGCGCAGCTTGTCTCTTGGCTCGTGTTTTTCGCACTGGCTTCGCAATAGTCTGTACCTCTGCCGAAGGCTCTGTTTGTGACTCATTCTGATCGGCGGCCTGGGGTGGTGGTGTAGTTGAGAGATCAGTCCCGCTTGGCCCTTCCGAGTCATCTGGAGTAGGAGTTTGCAGTACAGGAGAGGGCGCATCTTCTATACTAGATTGACTTTCTCCGGGTTGTAAATGAGACTCTTCAGCGACAGGCAGCTGGCTCTGTTCTCGCTCCTCTGTAGGTTTCGTTTGTGTGGCTGGCTCTGTAACTACTTCGGTCGTGGTTGAGACAGTACTTTGTTCAATTGTTGTCACGGCATCATTGGTTTCAGTTTGGCGATGAGCCCCCTCCGATAACTTTTCTTGAGGCAGTTCTTGACTTAAGGCGCTGTCATCTGGTTTTGCAGGCTCTGGGATGGTCGATGGTGGGGTAAAAGGCTGTTGTCCATGTTCACGAGAATCTTGAGATTGTGGATCGATAGGTACGGCTACGGGTTCTTTCGGTGAGGATTCCTGGGAAGATTCTTGAGGCGACAGCTGGGGCTCTGGTTCATTGGCGATCTCTGGGAGGGAAGCAGATGGTGGTGGTTTAGGTGGTTGTGAAGGCGCTGGTGCCGCGGGGCGTCGAGCAGCGGGGATCTTGGGCTTGAAGGCAGGCCCTCCCTTCTTCTTGAACATAGAGCTCATTGTGAATAGAAATTATCATGCATGTATCGTATGCGACTTGATATCTGGTAGAAGTGTTGACATTTCCGGCTTGAAACTACAGAGTTCAGAAGTAAAAGATTCAGAGGCAGAAAATTATGCGCGGCGAGCGACCCAAAAAAAGGTAGAGGGAAAATAAAATGCGGGATGGTGGAGAGGCCGAACGAGGATTAGGTAACCGCCCTTGCAATCGATAAGAGACTCCGCTGGCCGACTGGCAGACAGGCCAAATACGGCTAGGCTACCACTAAGCCCCTTTGAGGTGGAGACGCCGCGCTTCTTGGTCTGCGACTCAACTTCGAAATTTCAACTCCTGGCCCAAAGGAAACGTTCCATCATCACAACACACTTCCCCACGCCATCGCTTGATGAACGCTCGCACGTCTTGGTTCGCGACGGGACTTGGTTTCAGAGCGCTCTCACGACCGACCCGTCGCTCTTCTTTGGCATCGCGTCCGACTTTCTCTTCTGCACCACGCGACTTCTGATGCCTCTCACCACCTCTGCGTCGCCTCGTCCATCCACACTCACAAAGATGGAGGACAGGAAGCGGCCTGCCATCAGCAGTGCCGATGATATCGCTCCTCCCAGCAAGAGAGTTGCTGTCAATGGTTCCAAGGCTAAAGATGACCCCCTTGATACAAAGGAGGAAAGCTGGGTTGAGGTAAGTCACACGACACCGTCTTCTATTGCGAATGTTTGGGTATCCGACAATATGTTTTTCTTTTGCACTCTCCTTCTCATGTCGGCGTGTGCCCTCAGGCTTCATGCCATTCTCAACAGGATGGTCTTGGACGGACGGCAGTGCTCACCAAGTCAGTGATGATGGTCGTCCGCCCCCTGCGACCGCAGTAGTCGGCTCGGGTGTGCATTCGCAATGCACTCACTGAGAAGCGCCCCCGCTCAACCCAAAAATATCATATCACGCAAACTGCTCGACCTATTGAAGCGAGATGTCGCTGACTCGATTACCAGGCCTACACAAAGGGCGCTATATACCGACAAATGCAAGAGTACAGTCGCAAGGCTGCAACATACGAATCACGTCTCGAAGAACTTCACAAGCGATCGGTCCACCACGATGATCACCTAAGGATTATTGATGCTTGGTGGCGACAGGTTTGTCCCACCCAGAACCCCACCATTTGCGACGTAACTAAACATTGGCACAGGTCCTTGAAGAGATGGAACTTCTGACAGAATCGGACGTCACCTCGTCAAACCCTCCAGGTATGGACGCCCTTATCGGTCGCTGTGCGCCTGCTGATTATTAGTAGAACCCCCGTATCTGAGTGGTGTGAGTTTCAAAGATCTTCATGATTTTCAAAAGCATCTGTCAGAAAAGGGCAAAGCGATCAAATCGAGAGCTGAAGCGCTGCTTACACGTCTAGCTTCTTCACGAGGCAAAATCGACCCAGACGCTTCCAAGTTGGAGAACAAGGTCGCGAGTCTCTTGGTCACCCAGAAGGAGTATTTGCTCAAACTGGACCGATTGAAAAGCGAGAAGGACCAACTCTCCGAACAACTCAACGCCGCTACTTTACGCTATTTTAAAGCCGAGAAGAAATTGGACCGTGCCAAGAGTTCCCAAGTCCAGAAGCTGGAGCAACAAGCATTCGCCAATGCCACTCGACCTTCGGCGTCTGGTGATGCGAGTGCAGAAGCTGGCGAGACTAACGGAAATGCGAGCGAGTTGCTGCTCAAGTACGAAGAAGCAACTGCAGCTGCTACCAAGCAAAAGGAACAGCTCGATGTGATTCTGGCCGAGATCAAGACCCTTCAGGACGAAAACTCGACACTCAAAGCGAAGAGAGATTCACTGACCGACGAAGATTTCATTCGCACCGATGTTTTCAAACAATTCAAGAACCAGAACGAAGATCTCATTAAGCGTATCAACATGCTTGAAGCGACAAACAAGCAGTTGCGAGAAGAAGCCGAAAGATTACAGGCAGAACGAACGATATTCAGATGTTCGCTCGAGGCCGATGCGAATCAAGTGACACAGGAGTTGGAAGCTGAGATCATATCTAGGGATCAAGACCTTGCCCGAGTGCGATCAGCTCGAGACGAGCTGTTGGCCGAAACTACACAACACAAAGCCAGATTCGAACAAGAGCGAGCCTCGATTGAACAGGCGAAGGCTTTGGCATCTGCAAAGGAGGACAGAATCACAGCCCTCGAGTCGCAGCTCGCACGTCTTCAGTCGGACGAAGATCAACAAGCTGTTGAGCCGGATATCGAAGCGTTGACGATTGACGAGCTCCGTCTCAAGTACATGAAGCTGCAGCAAGATTTCAATTCTATCAACATGGAACTACCGGCTATAGAGAAGGCATACAAGAAGATGAAGGAACTTGCCCAGAAGAAAGCATTGGATTTCAGCGCCACAGAAGAGCGCATGTCAATCCTGATTGCCGAGAAGAGCAAGGCCGACCAGAAATACTTCGCCGCCCGAAAGGATGCTGATACACGAAACAACGAGATACGATCACTGCGACACCAGAACAGCAAGAGCTCGGAGATTATTGCGCAACTCAAGGACCTGGAGTCGCAGAACCGCACACTGCTGAGCAACTTGGAGAAGCAGCTTACGGATCTGAAACAAGCTAATGCCAACTTGATGCTGGAGAACAAGAAGATGGAAACGACGAGTCTCGATGCCCTCCGCCGCACTGAATCACTGAACAAACAAGTCAGTGATTTGACGAATCTGGTCAAGTCCAAGGACGCAGCGTCTGCCGTCGTTCGTGAGCGCAACACAATGCAAGAAACCGAGGTGGAGAAGATGAAGGTCCGCCTTGAACATGCACAGAAAGATCGCGACACCTGGAAGAACAAAGCGTTAAGCAACTCTTCGGAGGAAGAGGAGATGCTTCGAGTAAGTGATGAAAGCAGGAACATGATGGTGAACCTCATTACTAACTGGGAATTAGACCTTCGCTTTATGCACGATCTGTCGCAACAATTTCAAGAACACAGCTTTGAAGACGTGCGGCCACTTGTTTTGCAATCAATGTGTTGATGATCGCATCAGCAATCGTATGCGCAAATGCCCTACGTGTTCTCGTGCATTTGATAAGATGGACGTTATGCCCGTGCATCATTGAATGGATTGAGTGTGCCACGGACCCGACCCGATCTACCCCTTACTTCTCTCCCACACCTTCTGCGATACCTCTTTTTTTCGTTAATTGCTTGCGTCAAGCGTTGCTCATCCATACTGTACTTTGCTGGCTGTTGGGGCGGCTTATTCTGTCTCTTTTCTCTGGCAGACTGCATTAGCTGCATGGTCTGGACAGCACATCTTGACGCTTTTCTTCTTCTCTGGGCTAGATGGCTACTCTTGGAAAGTCATTCGTGTACTTTTAAAGTGCGCAGCGGAACCTATACCACCCGCTGCATGCATGTATATACTCTTTGTAGGCAAAGGGGGATCACTGGAAGATGGCTGAGAACCGATGTATGAAGTAGCAGGATAAATGGAAAGCGTCAATTATGCTTACAGTAACAATTGTGATAAACTATGTATACCATGCTATCTTATGAGTATCTACCTACGGCTGGTTGAGCCAAAGCCGGTGCTCTCGTGACGGTTAGAATTGTTGTTGGAACTAGAAGAGGATCCTGATCGACCCCATCCTGAACCCCCTCGTCCGACGCTGCCATACCCGTTATTGTGATTATTGTTTTGTTGATTGCGATTGCCAGCCCAATACCCCGCTGCAGCACCTCCTGCAGCGCCGCTCCAGAAACCAGGCCTCCAGGTATCAGCTTGGGAAGAGGGCTTGGAGCCTGGGTATGGGGGTGGAGGATCGTCACCGTCAGGACCCCATCCAGGAGCCCATCCGCCAGAAGACCAGCCGTCGCGACGGCGCCGCGTTCGATTAGTGTTGCTCCCGGCCTCCTGTGCCTTGTAGTATGCTGAGTAGATGATCCAGCCAAGGACACCAACGAAGATAATGGTAAAAATAACAGCTCCCCAGTCTGTGCCGCCCCGACCGTCACCAAACCAGCCGCCGTTGGCGATGTTGGGATAACGACGCTCGCCTTTCTTGGTCAAGGCAACTCGATATTCGACACCGCAACTACCCTTGAGGACGTAGGGATCGTCGGGGGAGTTGTAGCCCTCGCAGATAACATCGGTATTGCTAAGCTTGAGCTCCTCGGGAAGCGAAGCAGTACAACTCCACTGGATATCCTCGTCGCCCCAGCCGGCGCCGTCGTTGGTGCAGCGCATCACGTCGATGTCGTATAGTTCGCAGAGCGCCTTCTTGGAAACGCAGTTCAGCTGGGGAATGGCGCCGACGCGGCGGTGGTTCGTCATGGCGCCATTGCCGCGGAGAGTGAGAGACTGCACGTCGGAAAGCTTGATGGCATCCTTGGGGCGAGCGGCCAGCGCGAGAGCCGGGAGTGCGAGAACGCAAGCGAAAGAGCTCGGTATCATGATGGTTTTGGGGGCTATGACGTTATGTCACGGATTATACAAAAAACTCTGGGTATGAGTAGAACGAGCCCAGGCCCGTATGCGTATCTGTATGTGAAGTTCCAAAGGTCGGTAGTTAGTGAGAGATAGGTACGGTGGTGCCAGGATTTAAGTTGGGCTCAGAGCGTTGCGAGGTTGAACACGTGCCGTGGCGATAAGCAAAGTGTTGAAGATGATGATGTGGCGACCCGGTTAGTTGTGCTGGTGTGATTGAACGTGCGACGGCGTCCAATGAGATGGCGAAACATGTGAAATTGTTGCCTAAGGCTTGAAGCTTCTGGTGAGTTTGAGTAGCCCAACTCTTGGGTCTTGAGGTTAGGTTTATGGCAGTTCTAGCTGTTGAACAGTCTATTTGGGAATTAATTCTGAATTTGAGCATTTGATCATGATGTGTGTATTCCGTGTACAGATTGAATTGCCATGACACATGACACTCATAGCACCCCTTGTAAAGTGTCTAGTGTCTATCACTGGGGTAGTTGTTCTAGATCACTTATCGAAGCTTCCAGCGGCCTGGGCATACGTAGTAGAAGATTCCGTATAAATAAATACTAGAGCACTTGAGGCAATGGGCATCGTAAGCCCCCTTCACTTTTCATTACAATAAGTAAGTGTTGAATACTTATCGACAATGTCTGTTTCACTTATCATCAGTCTTGACATGTGTAGTATTCTGGAGTAGGTATACTTATGACAGATAACCGTTACGATGAATGCCAATGCTGGGTATTACTATCAATCCTAAAATCCAATACAGAGTATCACAGCAGTATATCTCATGCCTCAAGGATATCTAGAACATAAGATAGCATTAACCTTTTAAGCATAGCCGCGCTGAGCCTTCGCATATACCTCACTGTAGCTAGCTATGCCATGCCATTTTGATCCCTCTCAGCGCCAAGCTCCCAGCACATCGTTTCGTTTTCGCAAGGAACATCCTCGATGGTGATTCCAACTCTGAAACAGGACTTTATGCGAAACAACGGGACCACAGTCGCAAAGACAGACAGATATAGTAGTACACGTATCATCAACCTGACACTCACCTACACTCAACCTGATGCAGCCCAAGTACCAACTGCTGTGTTTTGTCTTATACAGCGCGTTGTCCTTCGAGCTCCTCGATCCTATCGAGCTGCTATGGCCTCAATCCTAGCACAGCGTTTATTCACAGACTCATAGTATACATAGCTACGCATTTGACCGGCTTCCAAACTAGAGCTTGGACCAAATAGAGGCTCAGCTGCAGTTTATGTGTTGCACAAGTGTTACTTGGGCGTTGGTTTTGATCAAGCACTGCCCAGCCAAGAATGATCCTTTTGCCTATAGACAAGGTGACCCTAGATGTACGTAGTAAGAATGCTGGGTGGATTAGGTTCAAGGTGATCGGCGGCATATGCGATTTTGATGATTTGAAGGATCACTGCACCGGCTTACAAAGTACAAGAATAGAAGCCCACCACCGAGATCGATTGTGGTCACTCCACTTCTTGTGTCATCGACTTGTGGCTTGTTTTCAGTGTCGTGTCTAAGATGTAAGATGTATGATGGTATTGTCGTAGAAGATGGCAATCGACAGTGCTGGTTTGAATAGCAGGTGTGGATCATAAAACAGGGAATCTCAGAGCAATCTCAGAGCAATCTTGTCAATCTTGTTGGACTCATCGATTTTCTGGTGGATACGAAAATGAGTTTGGCCATCGGAATTCGGATTCGGGAGCTCCCGACTTGTACTAAGCACTAAGCCTAAAGGGGTTACAGAAGCTATGATCGCTAGCGTGAAAATGACCGGATAATCGGCAACCGGGGGGATAATACCACCGACCTCCGTTGATTGTTGGTGAAGACGTTTTCTTTACGGTTTACGATTAACCCGACTTACTTTGAGGGATGGACAAACACAAGCCTAGTCATCCATTGATCCATTGGGATTGATCATCTAGTTAGCAGCGATTTGTGACTCGTGATTTGTGCAATCTGATCTGTGAACCAGAAGTACAGTACGACTTGGCTCGATACTCGAACCTCATCGAGGTGACATGGAACGGACACACAACGGTTTGTGGGATGGGCGATGCCAGCCCCCTGTCATACAGCGCTGGGTCAGGGTCAGTCAAGGGAAGTCAGAGCTGGAACGTGCTGCCAGCTGCTTCTTTACAGCGTATCTGTAAGCTCAGATGTGATTGAAGTGGGTGAAGTGGGTGAAGTGGGTTGAAAAGGGCGCAGTGCATGGTGGTGTTTAGTTTATCGCGTTGTAAGAAGTGAGCCTCTATGATGCATAACTAATCAGTAGGTGCCTGAAGACTCGGACTGGTTATTTGTGCCGATCAAAAGTACTCATACGCGGATGGTAGCCATACACGCGTACATACGGGGTAGTAAATTCTCGATAGCTCGGCTGCCTTGTAAACAGAAACGAGAGCGAACGCGAGGTAGGTGAGATTTGTTGCAGCTTGCGGTTCGGACTATCCGCATGGAGATAACGAATCGGAGATGTCCAGGCTAAAAGCAGTAACCGTTTCGACGGACAATACTAGATAGTATCCACTATCCACAGGGCTCGGCCGAAGAGATTGAAGTCTGGCTGAGTCTGGCAGGAGGGAAAATGAGAGTGGAGAGACAGAAGAGGGCATGTCAGCATGATAGAGTCGATGCTCCTTGAAGGATTGCCCGCTACGGGCTGTCGGACTGCTACATAACTCCGGGGGACAAGAATCCAACGATTAAGACATTGGTCGTACGTAACTCGTCGTCGTACAATAATAATACGCACACGGACAAACTGCAAGATGACTCAAACAGCCGCTTACTAGTTCTTCTCTTTTCTCTCATACTGGAAAAACATTTGGAGTCATCACATCACCACGGGCGATCCCTTTTCTTATGTGACAGCTCACCAAACAAAGACATGCATGCATCTTAGACATGGACATGGGGACCGACATGGGGGACCAACTCGGGACCGGCGAGCAGAGTTCCATAGCCCCGTGCTCCGTTCTCCGCCTCCATCAGGGATAATTCTAATACGCTGACTGGAGGATCAGGGGACCTTTTGGAGGCTCTTCCTGCTTCTCGCATCTTCAACAGAAGCCCAATAAGCGATAGGGGGCATCCAATTTAATCTAGAAAGAGTAAAGGCAAATCTGGGGCCTAAGACCCCAGGTCGCTTAGATATTCCCGGTACTCTTTTTGTATCCCGTCCGACAGCAAGGTACGCTAAAGCAGTCCGACATTCGCTAGGTTGCCCAAGCTATTTAAATAAATTGTTCCATATAATAGGAACCCGTTGCCCGCTTCTGTTGGTTGTTGGTTGTTGGCTGTTGACTATTGACTGTTTGCTGTTGGTTCTTCAAAGTGCCCATCTACCTCTACCTACTACTAATACAGCGTGTCTCGTTCACCCAACATTGCTTTCATTCTGCAGTGTCATCGACTTCGATCTCCATTCTACCACCTGCCATCCGAAAGTATACTGCACAAATGAGCCGCTGATAGCATCGACCTCCATCTCGACTTTGCACCTGCTGGCGTAGCACACCCACCACTGGGTGTTTAACACCCCCATCAAACCGGAGTTTTCCTCGACTGCTCCCTATTTCTCTCTCAAACAGAATCACACCATGGCCGACATGTCTGAAAAAGGCGCTCCGGCGACCAGCAGCAGCGATCCTTCGCGACCATCATCACTAACCCACAGCGGTTCGACCGAACGAGTTGAAGCTCACCCAACCAAACACACATCGAGCGACCCCGACAGTGAGAAGCTGGACCTCCAAAAAGCAGATTCAGCAGTTGTTGTACCACCCAAAGCAACAAGCCTCGAGGACCATTTCCAACACTTGCCACCTGACGAAGCAGAGGTGTTGCGACGCCAAGTCGTTAGCCCAGAAGTCAAGCAGGGTATCGCTGTACTGTACCGATATGCTTCACGGAACGACATCATCATCATTATAATCTCGAGCTTCTGCGCTATTGCTGGCGGTGCTGCGCTCCCTCTCATGACCGTTGTCTTTGGTAGCCTGCAGGGTGTTTTCCAGGACTTTTTTGTGAACCAGACCCTGACCTCAAGCGAATTCAATGACAAATTGGCGCAATTCGTTTTGTACTTTGTGTACTTAGGTATCGGCGAGTTCGTCGTGGTGTACATCTCAACTTGCGGTTTCATCTACACCGGAGAGCACATCTCCGCCAAGATTCGCGAACATTATCTCGAGAGCTGTCTGCGCCAGAATATTGGCTTCTTCGATAAACTTGGCGCCGGTGAGGTTACGACCCGCATCACCTCCGATACCAACCTCATCCAGGATGGAATTTCCGAAAAGGCTTCTCTCACTCTCGCTGCCATCGCAACCTTTGTGTCGGCCTTTGTCATCGGCTTTATCAAGTACTGGAAGTTGACTTTGATTCTGTTCTCCACTGTTGTTGCTCTTCTCCTCAACATGGGCGGTGGTTCAACCTTCATTCTCAAGTATAACAAACAGAGCTTGGAAGCTTATGCCCAGGGAGGTAGTCTTGCGGATGAGGTAATCAGCTCTATCCGAAACGCCGTAGCCTTTGGCACACAAGAGCGTCTTGCTCGACGATACGACGGTCATCTCAAGAATGCCGAGTACTTTGGCTTCCGTGTCAAGAGTGCCGTCGCCTGTATGATTGCGGGAATGATGCTGGTGCTGTATCTCAACTATGGCCTGGCTTTCTGGCAGGGTAGCAAGATGATTGTCAACAATGAGACCAGTCTCTCTAACATTCTCACTATTCTCATGGCTGTTATGATTGGTGCTTTCAATCTCGGAAACGTTGCCCCCAACGTTCAAGCCTTCACCAACGCTATTGCCGCTGCCGCCAAAATCTTCAACACCATTGACCGTATCTCGCCACTCGACTCCTCCAGCGATGCGGGCGAGAACATTGAGAACATTGAAGGCGCTATCCGACTGTCTAACATCAAGCACATTTACCCCTCCCGACCTGAGGTTACTGTTATGCAGGATGTGAGCCTTGAGATCCCCGCCGGTAAAGTCACTGCCCTTGTTGGCGCATCTGGCTCTGGTAAGAGTACCATTGTTGGATTGGTCGAACGCTTCTACGACCCTGTTCAGGGTTCTGTTTACTTGGACGGACACGATATTTCTAAGCTTAATCTCCGATGGTTGCGTCAGCAAATGGCTCTCGTCAGCCAAGAACCCACCCTTTTCGGAACAACCATCTACAACAACATTCGTCATGGATTGATCGGCACTAAGCACCAAGATGCAAGCGAAGAGAAGCAGCGTGAGTTGGTTATCGAGGCAGCCAAGAAGGCCAACGCCCACGATTTCGTGTCTGCTCTTCCTGAAGGTTATGAGACCAATGTTGGAGAACGAGGATTCCTTCTATCTGGTGGCCAAAAACAACGAATTGCTATTGCCCGTGCTGTCGTCTCTGATCCTAAGAGTAAGATTGTTGCTATCCAAAACTAACCAAGCACCTGCTAATACCCTCTTAGTTCTCCTACTTGATGAAGCTACCTCTGCTCTGGACACCAAATCCGAGGGCGTTGTTCAGGCTGCCTTGGAAAATGCTTCCGAGGGCCGTACTACCATCACCATCGCTCACCGTCTGTCAACTATCAGGGATGCTCATAATATTGTTGTTATGTCCGAAGGTCGAATTGTGGAACAAGGTACTCACAACGAGCTTCTCGAGAGGAAGGGCGCATACTTCAAATTAGTGTCAGCTCAGAACATTGCTGCCACTGAGGAAATGACTGCCGAAGAACAAGCTGCTATCGATGAGGAGGAATTGTCGCTCATGCGCAAGATAACAACCGAGAAGCAGGCCGGAATTATTGCCGACCCCAACGATGATATCGCAGCCAAGTTGAACCGCACTCAGACCTCGAAATCAGTATCCAGCCTGGCTAATCAAGGTCGCAAATCTGAAGTCGAGCATAAATATGGAATGTGGACCCTCATCAAGCTTGTTGCTTCGTTCAACAACACGGAGTGGAAACTCATGGTTATTGGTCTTTTCTTCTCTGCCATCTGTGGTGGTGGCAACCCTACCCAAGCTGGTAAGTGAATTTGAATGATCCATTGAACATGTTCAATGTTAAATTGCTAACTCTTCTTCAGTCTTTTTCGCAAAGCAGATTGTGACTCTGTCTGAACCTGTCACCGATGCAAGCCGTCACCGAATCAAGAAAGACTCGGACTTTTGGAGCGCAATGTATCTAATGCTCGCATTTGTCCAGTTTATTGCATTCGTCATTCAGGGTGTCGTGTTTGCTAAATGTTCCGAGCGACTGGTCCACCGGGTGCGAGACCGAGCTTTCCGCACCATGCTTCGCCAGGACGTTGCTTTCTTTGACAAAGATGAGAACACTGCAGGTGCCCTCACTACATTCTTATCGACCGAAACTACTCATGTTGCAGGCCTAAGTGGTGTGACTCTGGGAACGCTGTTGATGATTACCACGACACTTGTCTCTGCTATTGTTCTGGCCCTAGCCGTCGGCTGGAAGCTTTCGCTCGTGTGCATCTCATGTGTTCCTATCCTGCTAGGATGCGGATTCTTCCGTTTTTGGATGCTAGCTCATTTTCAACGCCGTTCCAAGGCTGCCTATGACTCCTCCGCCAGTTACGCTTCTGAGGCCATCTCCGCCATCCGAACAGTCGCTGCCCTCACACGAGAAGAAGACGTCTTGAACCAATATAAGAACTCATTGGCTATTCAACAACGCAAGAGTTTAATCTCTGTCCTCAAGTCGTCCCTGCTTTATGCCGCCTCGCAATCGCTGTTGTTCGCCTGTTTCGCCCTCGGCTTCTGGTATGGCGGCACCCTCATCGGACGACGCGAATACACCATGTTCCAGTTCTTCCTCTGCTTCCAAAGTATTATTTTTTCTTCACAGAGCGCCGGTACTGTATTCAGTTTCGCGCCTGACATGGGGAAAGCACATCATTCCGCGGGCCAAATGAAGAATTTGTTTGACCGTCAACCAAGCATAGATACCTGGAGAGAGGATGGAGACCGTCTGCAGACAGTGGAAGGCACGTTGGAGTTTCGAGAGGTTCACTTTCGCTATCCTACAAGACCTGAACAACCTGTTCTGCGTGGTCTCAATCTGCGAGTTTTTCCTGGACAATATATCGCCCTTGTTGGAGCATCTGGCTGTGGCAAGAGTACAACAATTGCACTCCTGGAGAGATTCTACGACCCTCTTTCTGGGGGAGTCTTCATTGACGGTCGCGAGATCAGCACGCTTAACATCAACGACTATCGATCACATATTGCGCTCGTCAGCCAGGAGCCCACACTCTACCAAGGAACTATCAGGGAGAACATCCTTCTGGGCACGCCGCGTGAAAATGTTCCTGACGCAGATATTGAGTTTGCTTGTCGTGAAGCCAACATTTATGATTTCATCGTGTCATTGCCTGAGGGTTTCAACACCATGGTTGGTAGCAAGGGTGCGCTGTTGTCTGGTGGTCAAAAGCAGCGTATTGCTATTGCACGAGCTTTGATCCGTGACCCCAAGGTCTTGCTTCTTGATGAAGCAACATCAGCGCTGGACTCTGAGTCTGAGCATGTGGTGCAGGCTGCATTGGACAAGGCGGCTAAGGGCCGAACAACCATTGCTGTTGCACATCGTCTGAGCACCATTCAAAAAGCTGATATCATCTACGTGTTCGATCAAGGTCGCATCACCGAGCAAGGAACACACAGTGAGCTGATGAAGAAAAATGGTCGTTACGCAGAGCTGGTCAACTTGCAGAGTCTCGAGAAGCAGAGGTAGAGACTTGGTTGAAGTAACGATATTAAGGGGATGGAAAACTGGTGATCACACGGGAGTGACTTTTGAGATTTAGCATTGTATTGGCGTTGAGGCGAAGGTAGCACTGCTGTGAAATGGAACAGCCCCCCTTCCTGAAGCATGAAGGACATTTGTTATTGGTTGATTATTGTTTATAATATCTCTGATGTATACCATCTGATAAATCAACTCTCTTCAATATTACTACTTCTATGCATACGTGACTGGCTATGCTGAGAGTACAGCTTGCAAGTGTGCGAAACGTATAAAATTGGTCTTAATTGAGTTGAGGTAAGATATCCTGAAATTTAGAAAAACTTAGAAAAGTTGAGTAAAGCTTGATAAGATTATGCTATCTTAGAGGATCTTTAGGAATAGATTCAAAAGATCACTAAGTTTATATACGATTTATACGGTAGAGTGGCAGACATGAAAGTGACCTGATCATAAGCGTGGATCCATTGTTCAGCTGGTTCAATTGAGATGCGAGCCTTCTTCCTTGGCTGATCTAAACTCTCAGCCTTTGGAGATTCGTTCTCCACCTCCTCCTCCTCCTCCTCCTCCTCCTCCTCCTCTTCAAGAACGAAGTCTTCATCATCGTAGTCATTGTCATTGTCGTAGTCTTCACCCCATTCTTCATGGGCTTCTTAAGCTTGCTTCTCCAAGCTCCTCCAGAGACGTCTCCCTACCAACTCCCTTCGGCGTCTTTGCGAGAAGCGCCAGTGTATCTGCATCACCCGATTGGCGAGAGGCAAGTCTTCCAGATCGTCGAGGCATCTTGATTTGAGTAGTGAGGCTCTTGTTAGAATAACGGTCTTGGATTTTCAGTATGGTCACAGTTGTATTTTGTCAAAGTCGTCTTGTGGACTGGACAAGTATGTGATCAAAAGTCGTTTGGTCTGATATCGTGCTTTCTCAACCTGTCGTGGGCTACTCATGTTAGGAAGAAACTCCCAGATAGAAGTTAGGATGAAAACTCATAAATCGTGAAGGACCTACCCGCCCACGATGATTAACAAAGGAGATGGCAATGAGGGAAAGAACTATGGAAATCTACCACACAAGTACTTTTTGCACCCAGTTATTCCACTACAGAAGATTTGTTCCATTTCGTTAAGTGATAGCATGGGAATTGGTAAAAACGTGCCGGTATACATCAGACACGCAGTGTTTTGCAACTAGTCAACCAATGGAATATCTTTCGCCTGTCATGGATTTCACTAACATGATCATCTTATTGTGAGAAAGGATACAAGCTTCTGGTCCAGCATAACGCCATACTTAACGCTTGTGGCCTGGTCCGCTCCCACCTAATGTTGGTTATACACCAGGAGAACACTCTATCAATACTTTATGTCAGATATAACATATACATTATAATGCCGTCCATCATTCACCGTGATTACTGACCCGGGTAGGTAGGTAGGTAATTTGTGCGAGAATCGACCGGCACAGCTATTTGAATACTGTACGTCTAAGCTTATTGATCTGGGCGTGTTGGACTTTCGTGTCCCATAGGTTGATTTTATCGAAATCTCCTTCCTTAAAACTGTCTGGCATGTGCAGATTGTTTTTTCGTGTATTAGATACTTACCAAACTACCTAACTACTAAGGCTATCATATCCATCAGTTCCTGGGTCTGTCACCGACTCCTTTCACCACCTTACCTATTCTAAATGGCGGAGGCGACGTATCGGAAACAGAGCCATAACCTGTGATATTGAGAGCTCACAATTGCAATTAATTGATTGAACTTACACTCGACCTACGTTTGGGAAATGATCAAAAAGCGACTGGGGAGTCAGGGCATTGCTGTGCATTATCGTAGTAGCCATGAGTCAGAGTTCGCCTTCACGTAGCTGACTTTGAATTCAACATCTCAGAACATGATGTGATACACATCTTGAAGCCTTATGATTCATTCAGCTTATTGCAAAATGTGCTTAGGTTTCAACTTCGCCAGATAGTGTTTGTGAAACTCGCCTTCAATGCTTCCCCTGCTCGCCTTGAACCGCTAGCAAGGCTGGCCGTTCCCCATTTAAAGCTACTGGACATTGCATAGGGCACTTGAAGTACATATAAATCTTGTGACACGGCGAACCATGGCAGTGATGAGACATTCACATCCCAGAGACCTAAGATAGAGTGACTGGGAAGTATCAAGATCCTGATCATAACTAAAAAGAACAGGAACAGTGTACAAGATTCATTAACGCCATGGGGCTGCACTGTCTAAGTTGGGTGAAATTCAAAGGTACAAAGTATACTCTTTATAGAGCTTGAAGCAACCCCTCCTTCATCCTTCGTATGGAAATCCAAACCGATGGTCGAAGTTTCTGTTCGAAAGCCTGCAAACCATACATACAAGCTTCTCGCATGCATACAACTGCTGAACTTCGATAATTTAAGATACCCTAAATCGTTGTCTGGATATCGACGACGACGACCCATGATTCAAAGCATAGCCTCCGCAAGGATCTGTAATCTACCGGCCTGAACGATGGAAAGGCCAGGTTCATCAAAAACATTGTCGGCCATGACCTGAGCGACTATTGTCCAGGATGATTGTTCTCTGACTCCTTGATAATGATGGTTGCGGTCATTGTCTTTGCCACTGCCTTCGCCGCCACCTTTACGAATGCCTTGGTAATTGGTATAGTTCTTGTTGGAACCTTGAAAGCCCCTGCATGAAACACTCCCGCTTTGACAGCCTTCTGTGAGTATCGTCCGGTCGAGGGTGTTGGGTTGTTTCTGGGAGGTCTATTGGTCGCGTTTGACAATACCTGACCTTGCTATGGTGTCGTTGGAATTTGCTGTGCAAATCCGGATCTCAGGTCGTTGGCCGATTGCTCCGTCTTTCACATACTTAGTAGCCTGATTAGTTTATGGCTCATATATGTGGCTGAAAGACCTCTCTTCTTGATATACTATGTAAATGCAAGCAAATGGCCCTAGTACAACTCAACCAACTTCTATAAGTTTGCTGAGAGGATGAGGTATTCCTCCAAACCACATCTGCATACCCAAAGATAGAAGGCATTCCTCATCTAATCTAGTAACACTCTCCAATTCATCGCGTTCAACTTGGTGAATACAATTTGGGACAGCCCACAGAGGGATATGGTCACTTTCCGCACTTTTCGCCGCCTTATTGCGACAACGAAAGTGCAACGATTCGTGGTGCTCAATGCTCAATGCCAATAACATCTCTTCAGAGTTTATTCCCCAAACATGGCCAATTGTGATGCTGTAACTTTCTTTTGATGCAGGTACCCGTTCATATAACGGTGTGAGTGCGATCCACTTTCAACGACATTCATGCGGCAGATGAACTTGGAAGCAAGAGTCTGAATATTGGAATTTCAATTTGATTATTAATACAGGTATTATATACCTTGTTCAGTAAGAAACAGAGAATGCATTTACGGCATTGATGCCCCGTTGGTTAACAACTTCGTTTGTCAAAACTTGAAACTCTTGGCGTGAGTTAGCCCCTTTTCAGAAGAAGTCTAGATATACACGATATCTGGTCGTAAGACAGTTGTTGTACCGCCTCACCATAAGTTCATTGGACCATATCTATCGCTTGAAGTGATCTATCATAATCGGTACTGTTATTATCAGTGACTGCTGGTGACTGCCGGTGCCTGTCACTGCCAGTGCCGGTTACTGCCAACCGGTTTGCAAGAAACCTCGCCGCTCCAAACGTAAGTTACTTGCCTGCTGCCTATTGAATGCCTGTTTCTGCCTATTCTTGCCTTACAGGCATGATTTGAGGGTATTCCTGTTGAATCACGTGGCCCACAAGCATCACCACTACCAAAACACCAACACCACCAACTACCACTACCACTACCGCCACCGCCACCGCCTACATCTCACATCAAGACGAATACTGCTGGGTCCCTTGTGCCTGGTAAACCTTTATCAGTGAAGATGTACTATCTCGAGGAGCCAACTCCGCATTGGCCTTCTGCTGCTTTGCACACCGTAAAGCACATCAGCGACAACATGCCTCCGGGGGATATCCTCCTTTTTGTTCCCACTGTCAAATACGTGGAGCAGTTGTGCGTTCTGCTGAATGAGGAACTCGGTGACAAGCTGCAGGCTTTACCTCTGTATGCTGAAATCGCCGAAGATCAACAACAGAAGGCCATGTCCAGGAACACCGGCCCCCTTCGCAAGTGTGTTGTCTCGACCAACGTTGCCGAAACCAGTTTGAACATCAAAGGCATTATTTATGTCGTCGGTAAGTAAGGGTCAACAGCATCGTCACACCATGATTCGATGTTAGCTGTTTGTATAGAGGTAAGCTGACTTGAATATAGATACCGGTATTGAGACGGCGTCCGGGTACAATCCTAGGGGAAACATGGAAACCCTAACATCCTCAGACATCTCAAAAGACTCTGCCAGACAGCGAGCTGGCCGAGCACGCACCTGCTTCCGCTTGTATACTAAGAAGACACACGATGAGGATTTTGTCCCCATCACACCGGCGGAAATTCAGTCTTCCTCAATCACGCAAGAGGTCCTTCAAGTGATGGCAATGGACTCCAACGCCACCAAATTCAACTTCGTTATTCCTCCCGATACTGAGGTCTTCTTCCGCGCTCTTACAGACCTGACATCGCTGTAAGTTGGTTCTACAATTAGTAAATGGCGTATACTAACAGGTGGATAAGAGAATACATTGTAAAGAGCACTGGGGCAATTACCCCCAAAGGTCGCAATGCTGCTCGTCTCCTCGCTCACCCTATGTGGTGGAACGTCATCATTGAAGGGGAGAAGCTTGGTTGCGGCTCTGATGTAACGACACTTGCAGCGATTGCGAGTGTATCGGGGCCAATTTTCTTGCGCCCGTGGAGTGCGAGGTATGCAGCAGACCAAGCTAAAAAGTAGTTCTCTTGCCCGATATCCGATCATGCTGCACAACTCAATGCCCTTCATGCGTATGCTCGCACACAATTCCAGGGTGTAATCGATATGGATCAGTGGTGTTTTGATGCTTTCATCAACCGCAAAGTGATGGAAGAGATCATCGACGTTCGCAAGCAGCTCGTTTACATGGTTGAGTCTCTCCTTGGCAAAAAGCTTTCCATCGGATTGTTCGACGATCAATACGAAACAAACATCGGCAAGGCTCTGGCGCGGGGTTTGCCTCACAAGATTGCTATCCACAAGTCCGATGACATGTATGTGACTATTAACGACAACGTTCCAGTCATGCTCTCTGCTGATAGCGGCATGGTGGGAATGAAACACAAATGGGTTGTGTTCAACGACATCATCTATGTTGGCTCATGTTATCTGGGTACCGCTACAGCTGTCAAGTCAGAATGGTTCGCCGTAAGTCATACGCCTTCATTTCATATAACATACGTTGTACTAATCGCCTTCGTGTAGGATCTTCCTTTCTTCCAGGATGATAGACTCGCGATCAGGGGCGATGGCACTCCCCGTCAACCTCAGGTAAAGGAAGCTTTACAGTCAATTAATTCGCCTTCTTCTCTGTTCCCTTCTTCTATGGCCTCCTCAACCCCTGATAGCTCAGCACCTCTTTCCACCTCCGATGCCGCCAGAGCTTTCCTCGCGTCCAGGAAACTCTCTGCATTCCCGCAGTCATGGCGCTTTAACATTGAGGACCCCAACACTGCACCCGCTGCATACACGTCTTACCGGAACGACCTATTCGACGCGTACACTGAAGCTGGCGTCCTTAGCCGGGGTTTTGTCAAAGACCTTGATGGCAAGCAAGTTCTGCGGTCTACTTCCCTCCCATCTCCCGCCCCCAAAAACAATGCACTCGTCAGGCCTTGGAGCTGGGTTCAGAAAGACGATAGCTCAGCCAGGGTTTTCCAAAAGGTTGCCCTGGAGTCGATTCCCCTGTATGAAGCCGTCGGTTAGTGTGAGTGGCATCAGGAGGAAAGACCTACAAGTATGGATTCCAAATACAAAGACCAGCGCAGTCGCATGAAGCACCGGGATATGTTTTCGATGGATGCTCCCTGGGAAGACACTCGGAGGATTTTCGCCTCTGCCATCGACATCTACAAGGCCATGACTGGTAACGATTGGCAACCCGGTATGCTGGTCTTCCGAGATCCTGAGACGCGTTCAACTATGTCTCAGTCTTCTGACTTCATCTGTCCGTCTGAGGTGCCCGTCAGCGAATCTTCGGCAACCTTCCGCGCCCATACCCTTATATATCCGACACCTTCTGGAGTTGGATGTGGCTGGGGTGACTTCAGCCATTTTCGACCGTGGCAATTATATGGTCGCCTTATCAAGCCAAGTATGGTGCCCGACAAGACTTGGTCATCCTCATCTCAAAGTCTTGTGTTCGTTGAAGACGCGAAAGATGCACCTGGTGGCGGTGAAAAGATCACAGTGAATGTTGAGCACAAGGCTTTCCAAATCGGACACGGCGAGGAAATCCAGAGTCTCCGTGACAGAATCGTCAAGAAGAAATCCTACGAACTAGCACCTCGCAACACTCGATACCAGCGACGGGTCCAGGGTCAGTCAGTCCAAAACAAGTCGAGTCAGCCATCGAGATCGACCCCGGATTGGTAGAGAACTCAACTGCCACGCCCATTCATTCTTCGGTGACTCTTCACGACAATAGCCCGGCTACTTGCTTCTTCTTTCTTTTCTGGCATACGCCTTCCGACCTCCCTCTTCTTTCTCTTTCGGCATAAGCCTTTCGACTCCCCTCTTCTTTCTCGTTTGGCGCAAGCCTTTCGACAACTTTCGGGACTTTTTCCTCTCTTGTCGCAAAGCCTTTCGACATCCCTCTTCTTTTCTCTTTTGGCGCAAGCCATTTAACCTCTTCTTTTTTCCTCTTTTGGCGCAAGCCATTTGTTCTTGTCCTTAAGATCTGGAAACTTGAAGATGCCTGAGAAGCCCATGGTCTCGCGACCCAGGTGGAGGCACCATAACGATGACTGGCACCTTCACGCGGTGTTATGGGTTAGTACAGGTGGCATTCGTAAGTCTCCTGGAAGCTAAGACCAGTCAAATCTATTACAACCTGTTGGTAAAATAAAGGCAATGGCGGAGGACTCTATTGCATGGTATTGTTTAGCACTCAGGGGTCTTGGCCCAACCTTTATGCAATGCTATTGTAATTGCAAAATACTCTCTATATTGACAAACATCGCCAGGTTCTCAAGTCATGAATTTCCGGCTTTCGTGCACATATAACTTTTGGCACAGGTGATGTCTGGTCTGGTACGTGAAGGGACCTCTATTGTTGACATTTCTGTGGAATTTATCAGGACAGCTGGATCTCTTTTGCAAAAGTGCTACGAAACTCAACATTGACAATACAGTATGTACTACGTATTACTCACTCACTACCTACTAAGTCTATCAATAAAACGGGGTCTTCAGCAGGATCAGGCTCGTTGACCACCTCAACTAAGTGACAAATGCCACCCCTCATGCTGTAAATTGACCCTGCACATATGCGAATGAACTTTACTCCTGTACAGAATGCACCATCACCGTCTTTGAACGAAGTCAACATATCCCGGACGGGGTTAATATCATCATGTTTAATATGCATGGGCAGAATTGCTTACATTGAAGGTGCTTGTAAGAAAAAACACATACAGGCAGTGTCAGAGCCATGAAACGTAGCGATTTCCTGGTCAACCACATCAAGTAACCGTAGTTTTCGTATTCCGTACGCGATCCCGAGGCACATAGTACGAAGTTACCAATGCGAGCGAGTTCATCTATGGAAGTATCACGGATTAAGGAAAGACAATGACGAGGTTACATTCCCGTGTAAAAGCTCCGACAACGGCCTAACTAGGAGTATATATCAATATAACTATATATTCAATAATTATAGTAGAGGAAACTGTCAAAACTTTTACTAATCTTGGGTCCTGATCTGCTGACGAGATTGGCTGAACAAGACATCATCAATCCAGATGGCCCTTGCAGGACAACCTCATGCTCGGATCCAGTCGAAATCCAACTAAGTCGACAACTTCCAACAACTGATATCTTCCTCGTCCCTCTTTTACCTCGTTTGGCGAAAACCATTCGACCTCTTTCCCCCCCCTCTTTCGGCGCAAGCCTCTCGACCTTTTCTCTCTCATTCTTTTAGCGCAAGCTATTCGACATTCTTCAAGTCTCGCTCTTGGCGAAAGTCTCTCAACCACTTCTCTCTTTTGGCGTAAGCCGTAAAAGCCTGAGAAGCCTGAGGTATTGTGCCCTAGGTGGAGGCACCCAGGTCGATAGGCTGGCACTTTCACGTAGTGTTCTGGGTCAGTACAGACGGCATGCCGTCTGGAAGCTAAGACCAGCCTGACATTTTCTCAACGAGCCCTTGAGGGGGCGGTTACGATTGTGATACCCTGCTGCCTTATTGCATGCTACATGCTAGGGTTGATTTCTAAGAAGACCTGATGCTGAGTCGTTTCGGCAGATGCAACGGTCGACAACGTGGCAGGTTTAAACAACACAGGTCGTTCCTTGGGGCCAAGCTGATTTGCTTTCTCTGTGCAAGAAAGTCGTTCACCTGTGACGCCGAAAAAGAAAAGGATCGAGGGGGCTTTTCCGACATCCAAGTCAGTGGTTGGGAAGAACATATGTCGGTTCTTCATAATATTAATGCGTAGATCAATAAATCTCCGTTTACTATGGTGTTTAGCCCAATAGGTTTATGTACGCACATTTTCTGCAAGACTCTCGTCGGTGAAATCCCCCTCAGCCAAGGACCTTTGACCCAATCGCATGATTCCAGGGTAGATGTAGGGTTAGGGCAGCGAATGCGTCAAATTCCTTCAGTATTTGCACTTGCAGGAGAACGATTTCCAAATGATAGCTAGAAAGACGACGTGTTTCAATATGACTACGGTAAGGACATTCAGGAGCATGTGTTGACTTGGCGCCGAATCGCCACGAGGGATGGACTAGATATTCAGACACCGGGGCATCGGAGCGCCACATGGCTATCGCGTGCGATAGTTGATCGAGGTCTGCGAGGACAGGGAGGTTTTGAAGCAGATGAAGCCAGAAGGAGTATTGATCGACATGACAGGGAATGAAGAAAGGTCTCGACCATGACAGCTGAGAGACTCGATAAAGTTGGAGGTAGGACAAGTTGTGGAAATGAACGATACAACACTTGAGGTTCTAGAAGCTGGAGGTGGTGATGGTTTACGGTACGGGTACGTACAGAGGACGGGTACAGGCAACGGATAGTGGCATTAACTTTCGGAACGTGGGCGGTAGACGGGACTAAAGGAACTGAACGGTTCAGGCGGCGGCGGCGGCGACGACGACGGTGGATGTGGTAACGTTAATTGATGGGTCCTCGATTGTTTTAGACAATGTCTTTCTCTACTTATTTTAGGCAAGACATGGCCAAGAGGCTGAAAATGAGGGGTTTCTCAGTTGGTATTTGCACGAAGCGTCTATTGTTGGAGATTGTCTCTGCACAAATCGACAGTTGAACGTGTATCCGTACTCTGTATCCGTATTGAGTTGTTGAATGATTGACAATCGCGTGGTGATTCACGCGATCGGTAACTATCGCATCAGAGTGCGTGCTAGGGTGGCTAGCCCAAGGCCGGGATCTCTTGGCAGGGGAGCAGAGCTTGTCATTGGATAGAGTAGACCCAAGGAAATTGCCTTTCGGAAGCCATGTCAGGTACGCGAGCAATGAGGAGTTCACCAAGTGGAGTGCTAGATAGAGGTGGCAGCGCTGAAGATGATGATTCGAGTGGATTTACGGCTTGTAAAATAGACTATTGAAACTCCAAGATTTGGTGTTGGGTTAGTGGAGGTTTGGAGGACTGAATGGGGGAGTCGACTCTCACCTGAATGACCGTCGAACTGGTGGATACTGACACTATCTCCAGGTGTGGCCTGAAGCTGAGGGGACTACTACGTATGAGCTGAGTAAACGAAACATGGCGGATCGAAACGAAACGGTGAGATTGACGGTCGACAGAAGACTCTTTTTATCAATTGGTGTGTGTGCATGAACTGATCCCGCGTATAGATAGGATAGGTAGTCTCTCCGCAGCTACAGATACCCTTGTGTCACACAACCAAGGTAGCCTGGAATGAGGTGATAGTGTGGCCTTGGGGAGCGATGCTACGCTGGTAGATGCTATTTATTGCCCCGGGCCACTGAACAATAGTGGCTGGTCCGTTATGGGGAAGCGAAATTTGATGCTCCCCTTTTTTCTTCGCTGCCCGGGTTGTGTCGCTGTGAGGCAGTGCCGTGTGAATACCACTATGGTCTCCTAGACCTGCGGTTCGATTGACTCTGTTCGGGTTGAACGGCCGACGATCATGTGAGTGAGTGAGTAGATATTGTGCCTGCAGATAATTGTTTTGTGCGACCCGGAGAAAATGAAGGGAGCTATGCATGCAATGCCGTTCGGAGAATGAGGATTTGTTCCCCCTGAGATCTAACATGGTTTCTCCTTGGGCGGTAGACGGGCCGGCATGAAACATAATGGTAAACCTTGGCCAAGAATAGGGAAAGAATGTGTCGACGCGTAAGTGACGAATATCTTATTATTGCGCTCTCTGGTGGTTGATAATTGCCAGTATCAAGTGGCCGTTACAACGCAGCGTAGCTAACCCATCACTCAATAACCGTATATCACCTAACAACTTGTGACATCCAATTCATTACATCCACCATAACTAAAGCCACTGTAGGTAACGGTAACAGCAACAGTTGCACAGGTGCCACCCCAATAACCTGCAGACCCAGTCAATAAACCGTCACGCTAACAGCCGCTACTGCAAGCCTCGGGGGAGGGTTTAATTAATCCTTGTCCTGCAGTCGTGCACTGCACCAACTCCCATGTTTTTCAACCTCAAGCCTCTTTTTTGGTGCTCGAAATTGAAAATTAATGCCTGCCTCCGACCTCGATCCTGGTCATGATGCGTCCAAAAAGCAAGGCCCCCTGCACCCTAGACTACGGTCCAGCTAACCTCTGACCCTCTAACTTGGCTCGCTAAAGGACCTAAAGTCGGAGGACCAGGCAGGCCAGGACACTGACTCCCAGTTTCCCGCTCTACCCGCTTAATGCTCAATCCACTCACCACTTTTCAATCTTAATCTCTCTCTCATCAAGTGGTGTGCGCCCTCTCTCTTTACTCTTGCTTACCTACCCTTTGCTCTCTTTTTTTCTCTTTGCTTGTTTGGCCGTTGAGTTACAGTTGCATACAGTCGCCGACGATCACTCGTTTCTAGTCCCCTACCGTTACCAACTCAAAACACTCCTTTCATCGATTAACTCACGACGATCATTTCAGCTTCAGCTTCAATTTCAGGTCCAACTACCAACGACCAGTCACTCGTTTTTTGTTCCAGCATTAATCAACCGTCTCTTCCCATAATTGACCTCGGCAATTTTTTGGCATAACTCTCTCTTTTTCGGCTGCATTAAACACTACCCAATTTTTGTGTAAGCATCGACCAGCTACAGCAGCTTTACGACCACCTCATCTCATCTCCCCCCTGGCAACCAATCCCATCTCGCAATTGGTATATCACGCACCGCATCACACTCGTTCTCGACCGCAATAAACATCGACACCCCCGCAAAGGATTCCCATTTATCCATTTGAGTTCCCCATCTTCGGGACTGTCATCCGACTTGCAATCCTCTAGGAGTCTGATAGGACGCCATGCAGCGACGACAATAAAAACACTTCCACCACGAAATCGTTAAATATTGACACCCCGTCGCCGATCAATTTTCTCACTACGACCGCAGCTGCATTTGTTACTTCAGTGTATCGAGTCAAGTTTTGGACTACCGCCACTTCCTTGCCGTGGTGAAACACTTTGGTCTGTGTTGCCAATCCCCTTGACGGTTGTACAGCACACACCAACACCAACATCAACAATTGATTGCACATATTTAAATCCGATTAAACCCCCCCTTGGCGTCTATCGCCCTGTCGCTCGTTACCATGGCCTCATCATCTTGGCCAGCCTCAAAGACTCAAAGTCGATCCAAATCAACAAGTTCCCGCGCGCCTCGCTTACGGATAGCCCTGTCGTTTCTCCTGCTCCTGGCATGTCTTACTTCTACAGTCCTAGCGAGCACTGAGACATCATCATCTTCACTCCAATACAGACGACACCATGCGTCCTCGATCAACCGATATGAAGTACACCGACGGAAGGAATCAACAAAAGATGACGATGAAGACGAGGATGAGAAGGATGAGATTGTCAACACTGCCGTCCCTTCGAAGACTGGAAGCAAATCGAAACCCACAACTGTCACTATCCAACGAGCTGCAAAGACTGCTGCCGCAACAAACTCGCCTTTGCCTGAAGCTTTCGATGGAAACCTGGCAGCTGAGATCTCAACGACAGCCGAAAGCAACTGTCCTGCGTTCCTCGATGGCATCCTCTCTGATCCTTCTTACGAAACCTGCTACCCACTCTCCATGATGCTACAGGTAAGTTGATGGCTGACTCACGCTGAAGACTACGAGTATTAATACTATCCTGCAGACATCCCGTGGCTTCTTTGAATCCCAGAAGCAACTCTTGAGCATCGTTCGTGTTCTTGATGCGACATGTGCCGCCAACGTCACATACTGCACCGACTTCTTCGAGGCCGCGTCACGTAACCTTACTGCATCCGAGAACTGTAAGCAAGAGATGGAATCTGGCAACAACGTCGTCAAGCAGTTCCTCTACGGCATGCAGGCGTATGAGATGATGTACAAGGCTACATGCCTCCAAACGCCCGGGGACGATATGTACTGCTACGCTAATGCCGTCACAAACACTACGACCGCTGCCAACGCTTACTTCTATTACTTACCCTACAACCTCACACTTCCGGGAAGCACCAACCCTTCATGCAGCTGGTGCATACAAGAAACCATGAACATTTTCCATGCCGCAGCCGAAGATCGTTCTCAACCCGTTGCACTCACATACGAGAGTGCCGCTCGACAGGTCAACACCCTCTGCGGCATCGACTTTGTCAACAGCACTCTACCTCCAGAAGAAACCAACGCTGCACACACCTTTGCCCCATCATGGACCGGCCTGCTGCTCATTCTTGCCAGCACGGCATTGTTCAACGCTGTGTTATAGAACAGCAGCTTTGAACGGTACTGCCATGCTCGCATTACTTGAACCTTTTCGATTTTGAACATTATTAGTTTTAATACGTTACGACTGCAGATCCACATGTCGGGGATCTGCACCTTTTATTTTGATACGACCGCCTTGGCATATCTTTATGACTTGATACCCTCGACATCTTCCTTCCTTTTTTTTTTTTCAGCATGACTCGATATTTCGGGCTAGCAATTACAGAAGCAGACTCTTTCTGCGAAACCAGAACTTATAATACCATCTGAGGAGGGTTCGCCCTTACTCTCTTTGCCATTTTCGACTTGGCACTTTTCACTTGATTTAATTAGAAGGGGTTGATTTTATACAAAGCGAGCAAAGCCAGGAGTTTCTTCATAGCGGCAATTTGGTTGGGCTGGGTTGGATATAGTGGTTCGTTGGTCCTATAAACATGGAATGCACTCGGGACATTGATAGATAGGGGGCATCAAAAAGCATGGCCAGTGTCAAATGGGAATGTGTGGGATAGAGTAACGATTGATCGTCGTTGCTGGGAAGAATATGATGGATGACGAGCCATCTCAATGTGGGCTGTCTTTAGTGAGCAGGATTGTTATAAATGTAGCTCAGTCAAGGTTTCTGCCAGAGAACATAAGCAATCAAATAGAAAGAATCACTTCAAGTCTTACATTGATGAGTACCAGTGCCACTATCACTATTGTTAGGTGCCGTCCAGGCTTTTGAACAGATGAGGTCAACAGAAACGGTAATCCATGGACATTTGACCCAAGCTCATTGTTAGATAACTAATGTCGTTATATCCGTACTTGAGCCCTTTATGATGACATCTGATACTTATTTCGGGGTTTTATGTATGCTCACTAAATCAAGTGCCACCTGTCATGCCTCTCATGTGCCCCAACTTCAAAACTCTACCAATTGTATCAACTCTTTCCTGTGTGACTGCTATCGACGATATGTAGGCCATCTCAAATTATCTTCTTACACACATCATAATGCATCGCGGCGAACAAGGTGACTTTTTATCTTATGATAACTGGTTGAGCTAACTCATCAAGTGGACGATTTGAGGGCCAACCTACGCTCCGGGATATCACAGGAATTGGCATGGATCGACTCCGTACAGTACATCAGCTAGCATTCAAGCTCTTTCTCTTTTGAGATCTTCACTCCTAGCTAGGAATTGAGTTTTAGAGTTTAGGTCATCTGGATATGAAAGTTACCCGGCCTTTACCACTAGTATAAGGCTGTGTAGCGCTTAACATCTCCATTGACCAACGGTGCTTTTCTCTTCATGTTAGCTCTCCCTACTTTGTTTCAGTCTTGTGATGGTGAATCTTAAACAAGCTCAAGATCATTTAGATATCTTAGATGATTGAGTGTTAGTGCGGGCGTCGAAGTAATTTGGCTTGCAGACAGAGAGCTAGCCATGCGCAAGAATAGCCGCCGTGTGTTGGCCGCTGAGAAAGCCTCAGCATGCACCTGCAGGCAGATGATACACCGACAAAGCTGACACCCAATCTGTCGTGAAACGTAGCCAAGCTCAGTGTAGAGTCACAATGGGAAGATGGCGTTCCCCAAGACCATGGCACTGGAAGTGTGTGTACATGAGGAGGCTTTTCAAGAACAAATAATATCTTCTTGCAGAAAGTGCAGGCGCCATTTCCGGGCGTCCACATGAAGCTCTCAAAATGTTTTCAGTGCCTAAAACATTTGGTCTAACCTTTTAGTCAACGCCATGTATCAAGAACCTCGATATTAGATAAACTCGACGCAGATCTCTCAGCGGGTCGTGGAAAAGTCTAATGTATTCTTCCATACGATGAGCATGTCATGCCGACAGTTGCAATTGCAGTTTGTAGTATCGAACACCACCGTTCTCTTGTATGCTAGCGCTGACTGAGATCTGCAGGGTGATCAATTGAGCTTTCAACAACTTCCTAGCCCATCGAGCGCATTCTTGTACGACTCTGATCGGGTGTTTCTAGGCTTCGACTCTATGGTGTGTCATAGACTTGATCAAAAGCCTGACTATTTTTTTTTTATCGAACTAGAGTATCGAAATGGTGGCTTATCTGGCGTATGTGGACGAATAGCAATGTGTAGTGCTTGATATGTCAGACATGTTCATAGCGTTGCTGGAGGCTGAGCGGCACGAAACTGACGAGTACTCAACCATATTATTTAGCTTCATCGATTGTTCAACCAGTGTAGCCACGCTCCCGGTCCATGGACCACCATCTCGATGGATCTAGGAAACGAATACCACACCGCTGCGTGTCACCCATGTAGTTTTCAGAGGTGCTGCCCAAAGTATAGAATTTATGACAGAAGCGTTGGATGGGTGACGAGAACGGCATGTTGGCGTCTGGGTTGATTGAATTCTTGGAACAACACCATAACCTTCACAGAATTGACAATCGGGCGAATGGGGTAAAGCCCGATATGGATACCTGATTGGGGAAGTGCCTAATAGTCTGATATCAGCAATGGTAAAGGGTCTAGGGTTCACTCCTAGACTTGAGGTTTCACGGCGTAAAAACTTGCATACTTGTATGCACGAATACACCATGTTGACGGATTCAAGCTGCTATGTACCCATTTCGGTAACATGTCAGCCTCCAAGGTGCATGTGGTGCATACCAGAAGCTGAGCTCCATGCAACGAATCAAATCGCATCGGGAACACTCCTTCTCAAGACTAGCCAATCAACGGTGTTCCCGTTTAAAGCAACGGCACAGAACGTGACACCTTGTGTCTTTTTTTCGTGTCCCTAAGGGCGTCAACAGAAAGCGGTGGCGCTGTACTCGACAACCAAGGCGAAATTTGTGATAAGTTGCAAGTCGATCAGATGACACCGACGATTATCGCAAAGTCATCTTTTGCTTTGTTGGCCACCGGTCTGTCGCTACAGAGCAAGGATGGATATTTGTTGGGCGGAACCAGGAGCCCTCGGCCCTGTCAAGGTCCCTTGCTCAGCTGGGAAGAAAGTTGCGAGCATGAGCTCCACAGATATCGAAGTCGAGTCAAGCAAAACCTCGGATCCCTTAGTTTGGGTGGTGTGAAGGCTGGAGGTTAGAGATGTGACAGGTGACAGATGACAGATGGCAGGCGAGATACGCGGAACTGACACGCCTTAGTTCACGATGGCTGAGATTGAGCGCAGAGGCCATGTGCCTTAATTAGACACGAATGATCCTATCGAGTTAGTCGATACGTTAGAAGGCCGAAGTTTAACGGGTAGCATCAGCGATCAACATCAGGATCGAGGCGATGGAGATGGAGATGGAGATGGAGATGCTGATGCTAAGATGGAAGATGCAGGTTGTCGATCTCCCTAGGCTAACCTGGCTAAGCAGCCGGGGAAGCAGGTAGAGAGCAACTAGTTTAGTAGCGACCTGGAAGGGAGGAGCTACTGACTGGACTTTTCCTTTTTAAGGAAAGAACAGATCTGAACTGATCATATCGATTACCCTCCTTTTCATGGCTTTTCTATCCTTACCAACTTCATCTGCTAACTGTGGCCTTAGCTTAGACAATGCTAATGCATTATTACACGATAGGTACCTAGGTATGTTAATGGATATTCCCGTTTATCACCGTCACTCACCTCCTCAGGATGTCGATGCCCCAGGACACTTCGATGATCGGCCCACAGATACCCATGCATCAACGAGCTGGCGCCTAACGTTAGGTACCGCCTGCGCCGCTCGCTCACTGGCCGAGTAAAAGATCTAGAGTCAAGATCCTTGATTGATGATCGTTAGCGTGGGCTCTAGTTGGTTGTGGTTCGATTAACGGCTGGCCTCGGACAGCTTTGGATGGTGAGTAATGAGACAATCAACAATGAATACACTCGATGTGTCTACAGAGCATAGACCAGTCAACTATGTGGCCTGTATGAAGCATGAATCTGTTGTTGAACTCAAGGCATGTTTCTTATGAGGGGTAAATACCAATGCCTGCCTTGCCTACATCGGGAGGCAAGACGGGCTGATGCTGGCCAGTGGAGGTTCTACTTACAGCATTGTACTGCCTTTTAGTGCTTGTGGTCCCCTGCTGCGCATCCCTTCGTTGACGCCTGGGCATTATTGGATCGGTACTCAACTCACATACATATATTGTCTTATTGTGGTCACTATCCAACTCACTTCAACATGGATGGATGGTCTTGCAGAGTCGTATACGCTTGGCATTGGTCGTGATCCGAGATGAGGCAAAGAAAGACCACAAGTTGAGGTAAGTGGTACTTATATTTCATGCCCAAGCCTCTTCCCTCTCAGTCGCAGGCCGGACGATGGGAACTGGTTATAGCCCAACATCCCCAGCATGAAAACTCATAAACTCAAGATTCTCCTACCATCCTCTTCCTTTCAGGACCCAAGGTTAATTAGACTCAACAACTCTCCGCATTTTTACGTCTCGAAGCCTGCATTCGGAAACCATCAACCGGCGGTTTTGGACTTGAACCGGACATAACACATCGCTGATCCTTATCAACTATCTCTGGTTCCCCATCGGCGACAAAAGCAACGGGTTCTTCTTCATCGTCAATCACCCGAGAACAAGTCTACAAGTGACGGGTACCGTTGTGGAACGAACTACTCAACATATAAAGTTTGCTTCTTTTCGGCTTTCGCCTCAGCGCTCTGAACCCCTTGGAATCGTACCATTCTGTTCTCGATCGTCCAAGAAGCTTATTCGCTGCATACGTCGCGCCAGCTGCCTCGCCCATCTTATCATCGTGTATCGTGTATCGTGTCCCGCTGTCCCGCTTCAGGATTGTTTGCATTGAGACGTTGGGGCTGTACGGACTCTACGGAGTTCTTGCGTACCGTTTTATTTCATACAAGGTGCCCCCGTTCTCTGGAGCTGCCATAGCTCCGCTGTAAGCTCGGCATAACTTAGACCAAATCCGGCTCTCATGCTTTGTGGTCTGGGTGCAGCTGCAGTCGCGAACTCATTTGGCGGCAAAACACACGGTTACGGTTACGGTTGCCTACGGCAATCTCAGTCCTGCATCCTCATTATACGGAGTACAGAGTAGTGCATATCTCATTTTTTTTCCGCCTCATTTTTTCTTCCCTTTTCTTTTTCCCCATCATTCAGACATCGTTGTGGGCCTGCCAGGGTTCTCTCACCCCCCGGCATTGGCAGATGTGCTTGTCTCAAAGACGTTCTTCGATCTGAGTCAGTACATAGCGTCTCTTTAGCCACCTGGGATCACATTTCAAAGCTACACGCCTGCTGGCTTTACTGTGACAGCCATCATCCACTCCCCTAAGCATCTCCTCAGTGGAGCCATCCGCATTCCAGCTTACAGCCTGCTCCTTGGACTGGTGGACTGCTGGGTACTCCCGTCTTTTTCTTCCCTTCGGCTTGGACGATCCCTCTCCCTCATTGGATGCCATTGAAGGGTCGGTACGGGGTACCTGGGCTATGTAAGTTCGCTATCGACGCAACCAATCTGAACCGCCACTGATCCTCTACAAAGCTACTTAGCTCGACGTTTGACGTTCGTTCTCCCATGCATACATCTTCATGGTAGTCCTCCATGACTCAACCCAGACGTTACACAGCGTCCATGTCTTTCACATTTACTGAGACCGCCACCGAGTCCTCGGAGCAGCTGGCTACAATGCCACAGATCATGTCGGAAACTATGCCGCGCCCGTATGTGACAGCGGGCCCAAGCTGGACTCTCGATAATTACCACCACTCTTCTCGAGGCCCAGCTCCTGTCCATCACCAACACCAGATGTCTTCTCCAGCTAACTTTGCTCCTGTTAATCCTGGACACCTTCGATCTTCACAACCGCACCATCCGCAGGGACAACCGAGTGGTAATTTTTACCAATACACCGATATGTCAAGTTCTATGCCGCAGAATTTGCATCATCCACCTTCGCAAGGGCTGCATTCTCACTACTCTGTTGGTAACATGGTTGGCCATGGTGATATGGTTGGCCAACAAGGATATTCATCTCGGGCCCAATCCTTTTCTTCACAGGCTGGCGAAAGATTGGACAATATTCAAGGCCGTCAAGTGACACATCCTACACGGCTCTTCTCAGTACCAGACGATCAACCAACCTTTTTACATGACCAGCGCAGGCCTTCGATTGATGTGTCAACCGTTCCGAGAATCACGGAGTGTCACTTCAACCCAACTGCTACGGCCAATGGTGGACTGCTTGATCCAAATAGTCCAATGGTGTCTCCTACTGAACCGAGGCCTGATCCCATGAGGATATCTGATATTCTTAGTACCGGCGAAGGCAACAACATGCCTACGAGTAGCGAAAACCGTGCGGGAGATATCCATCATATATTGAAGATCCGCCAGCAGCCAACTGCCGCTCGATCGTGCGGATTTGGAGAACGGGACCGAAGAGTAATCGACCCACCGCCAATTGTTCAGCTCTCAATTGAAAGTCCTCGTCTTTCCAGAGAAGAAATATCTAAGGAAATTCGCTATCCTCATTATGTCATGAGTTGCTCGATTTTGGACGAAACAGGGTCTCACGATGCGTCGTTTATGCCTGAGGAGTATCGGCACCAACGCCGACTCATGGGCTTACTGGTTAGCTCTCCTTTTGTGGGCAAGGATGAACACGGCGAAGAGGGATGTTTCTTCTGCTTTCCAGACCTGTCCTGTAGAACCCCCGGATCGTTTCGCCTCAAATTCAGCTTAGTCAGGATTGACCCCCTACGCGCAAGAGAGATCAAGAATTTCCCAGCGCTTGTTACAGCTCGGAGCGATACTTTTACTGTTTATACGGCGAAGGACTTTCCAGGGATGCAGGCAAGTACGCAGCTGACGAAACGCTTGAAGGAGCAAGGTTGCATAATCTCCATAAAGAAAGGCAACGACCGTTCCAAGAATGCAAGAGGGCATGACGATTCCAGCGATGGCGATCAAGAGGATGGCGATGCTGCTACGCAAGGCAAGAGGCGACGGCGTTCAACGCGGCAATGAATTCGAAGACGAATAAAAAAGAGGAGCACGGCGTTTCTCCTAAAGGCAGGCATATCTTGGGTATACACGAATAAGGTTGGGACTATACGGCGATATATTGATTTGTTATATTACCTGAGTGGTTATTCCGTATCAGGATGACAGTTCTGGTGCTCGGCTCATTATACCACGGTTTCACTTTGTTTCAGCAAGGCATTTCTCGTTTAAACATTATCGGTATACATTCAGGGCGCTTATGGGCATCTGGTGAATCCCGCATCTTATGGAGCAAAAATACACGATCAAGCCCCTGGGCTACCTCCTATGTTATTGGTCTTCTACTTCGTTTCGATGAGACTCATCGACAGACTTCCAGGGCTGTTCGGTGATCGATAATTTGATCATTGTGGGATGCAGTGATGTGTTGCCCTTGCGTGTGAAAAGCGGAACACTCGTCATCTCTTCCGGCATTGATGCATGCATCTGCTCATGGATTCCTTTCGGCCAAATAAGACTGTAGCCATTCAGAAACTAATCTACCTATGACTGGTAGTTTTGCCTTTGGCAATTTGGCCCAGGTGGGTACTAATAGGTAGATTCGACTCTGAAAGGACCAGTTACGATCAAGAAGCTAGTGGCATTTGCATGAGGATATAACAGACACACGAAGCATGTGCTATCGCTTGAGCTCTATTGCAAGTTCACGCCGATCGAAAGGGAGGGAATACGCAGTCTGCAAAGAACGTTAGGTCGTCGATGGGTGGGCCATAGGTCGTAAGGGCATCCCGACCAGACCCCATCAACTTCGTGAAGCATGGACTATTCCGGATACTTTCATGGAGAAGTTGTAGTCTCCTCATTGACATCCGATATGCGAACGCTGGCTTTGCGCAGACAAATGAGACTAACCTAACGACACACCTGTCCGAGTCTGTCCCTGGCAAGTTCAACTATGGTGGTGAAAAATCCGGCAGTGTTCTTTGCAACCAATATCTAACTGAAAGCAAATATTTGACCCCTCTCCGCAGAAAATGTAGCACGGAGCTCATCTCCGGGGATGTTGTGGACTGGGGCCGTCCGCCCTCGGAGTGTATGGACCATGGAACGGGTACTCGCTGGTAGGTCAATCATTAGCCGGGATTTTGGTATTGCTCTCATGGTCTAATGCCTTCGGGGCTTCTCGTCCCTCACGAAAAGCTGGTGGTTGATCGGCACGTTCCTGGAACAAAGCTCCGTGATCTTCGACTGAGACTTCATTCAACGACACGCCCTGTCTTGGCAACGATTCTTCAAAACCTAGAAATAAGAATAAGAGCGTCTTGTATCCACTTCAGCCGGAGGCGGTCATTTGAGGCGAATTATGAGGGATCATGATGCGGAATCCATATGAGTGTAAGTCATTAACAAGATGTTACTGACAAGGCTATGTTTGAACCAGGCCCAGAATCGATCTTGCTGAGACTTAGAGAGACGGCAAAGCTTTGAGATGTTTGCTCAGCTACCTTGTGCCACAACTATGGTTGATCTTCTACCGTGTACAAGGCTAAGCCCAGTATGGCATCACTTTTTCGTAATGCCCTCATCAATGCTCTCCAATCCTCTACTTGTGCCAAGTTTGGAGCCGACTTACAGCATCTGTGCTAGCAGTAACGGTTTGGCTGCAGAACCCGGTTCGTGTTACTCACTGTGGCTGTTACTGCATTTGCGCCTTTGCAGCTTCGCTCCATTCTTATAATGTGGGAAATGGGTTGCGAGACACGGCATGTGTTGAGACGAATCGGGTATAAAGAAAGCTTCATGATTGCCAAAGCCAATCAAAGTCTAAAGGCATGAAGTGACCCGGAAGTTTAAGGCGCAAGGTCCTCAACGTGCCGTCCGCCTGGTTTGGTTCAGCTTGTTGACAAGTCAGAAATGTGATTTGACATGTAAGGAAAAGTTGGTTCTACGCCGCTACAAGGCGACGCTGCATATACATACGCAGTTTCTCCGAACCAATGGAGATTTGAACTCTGTAGCAAAGATGCAGTGTCAGTCCTTCAACTGCTCCATTGCGATTATCATAATGGCAATTGTCTTAATCCAACGACAGTCAATTGCTCTTCGCAGTTTACGAAAATTTGGTATCAAAATGCCTAGCCGTGCATAGAATTGCTCTAGAGGTCGTTAAACTGAGACATTTCTTATGAGATACTTTGTACTTGCTGCTGCACGGCGATCTCCCATGGCTGCACATAACCTATTGCAAAAGAAAGCTCTCATCCGAGACGGGGCTGACTGTTGAAGGGAGCAGGTACATGCATATCTGCAGAGACCGGAGTGTTTCCTCCCAACATGGGAGGATCAACAGATCATGACTAGTGCCATGTCCACCTGCATATATATTTTTCTGTGGCACATTGCATTGTGATGCAAGCCATGGTCTGTTGGTGGCGTATTCTCTCTTATCCCATGCCGAGGAAATACTTTTCGCGCGGGTCAGATCATTATACCCGTTGACTCGAGCCGAGGGGTATTGTTTTTATGTTTCTTGCTACATGACGCAAGAATGAGGAATTAGAAACTGAGGGTTTGTATTTACGTCGTCAATGTTTCTAACATGCAGTGTTGGACTATTTGTCACGGCACAGAGTTGTCTCTTGGCACCTGACCAGCTCAGTTATGGTGATTGAGAGAACTTCCCAAAGGGACTCCGCTTGCATGCACGATCTTGGTAGAAGTACAATCATCAAAGCCATTCTTCCCGTTGTCTCTCTTTGACTACTAGCTCAGACTGCATATGCATAGTACGAAATTGAAGCTGACAGTACCACAGAAGTAGCAGAGTCACATGGGAGCTGGATACAATAGCTCAAATCATAGGTTTCGTTAATTACATACTACAATTTGTTCATAATATCACACTTGAGCTACTATCTGATGAAGACGGGATGTATGCATCTCGTCGAGCATCAAGAGCTGATTGGTTATTTGAATTTAACATATCAAGATTTTGAAACTCAGGAATGACTTGACAAAGAGCTGTATGCTGGTCTCTTTGGACTTGAATTAATGGACTGTTGTACTTTTATTCAGAAGCGGCATCATCTGCCGTCCTAGAGAGCGAGTTAGTTCACGAAGTACATACCATTCATGAGCATACGTGGCCCGACTATTGCCATATTTGTCAAGATTTAATGTTGAAGCCCGTCAAGGAATTGCTAGACTGAGAGCGGCTACGTGCATGTCACGAACTGGCTCGTATAACGTTTGTATAACACAAGTCTCGTACAAAATAACGGTGAGCCTGCGGCTACAGTTGCCCTTTGGATATTAGGTTCATGGAATGGCCCTTTGCGTTGTATCCATAAGGCTATAGCATAGGTCTATGCGGTACATAGGGTCCTGGTCACTTTGAACGTGTAGAAGTAATCAATCGGAGGGAGATGCACTTTGCCGATGTCATGGGGTGCGGGTGACTGCTTCATCGAAACGCTTGTTACTCAAGGGCTAGTAGTGATAAACACTTTTAGGATGATGATTGTTGAGTGAAGTTGAGCTTGTCGAGTTACAAATTCACCGTACGTCGCGTATGAATATCAGTTAGGATGTATACAGGTCAGATATTCAACCTCAGAGATACCTCAGGTCCAAGAGTACTTTTTCTTAACTCAACGATTGGGAGATTTGTGTCACTTCGTACTGGGTAGAAGTGGTAAGTTAGAAACTGTCAGCAAGTCCCACAGGAAAACTACGATTACTTAGATAAGATTACTGGTGGGCTATTCTCATTCTCTTTCCTTTTGATGAAGGAGACTTAATGAGTTCAGAACAGCATGTATATAGTCATCCGTATCATATACCTCATCTAGCCTATTAAAAGATACTTTCTGTAGGATACTAAGCATCCTATCAGCGTGAAAAGATGATTTTTATAAGGATGAACGGGCCGAAAAACGTCGATTGGACCGAGGGACCTGATCTGGTGACGTCGGTTCTAGCTATAGCTGCGTAGCATCAGGTTCATCCGATGTCTGATGATGGTTGTTGAAGTGGCCCGGGTACAACATCGAGGGATTAGTTCCTTTAGTCAGATGGAGAAGTCTCTCTTTAGATAGCATGCTAACAATAGTATAGTTGGTAGTTATAATTTCTTAACATTTCTGTCTTTCATTCAGCATGGCCGAGTGCTCTGCAATCACATGAGATTTTGACTTGCATAAGATTGTTAATATGATAACGTCAGTACGTACTCCGCACATATGTTGGAATCTACCAGCATAAAAAACAACTGCCAAGATGAGTTGTCGTTCCCCTGAGTCGGTCTAGGGTTTGCCGCTGACGCAGGGTATATCCTAGCAGTAGGATCTGTAGGCTGGTTCCTGAGACTTGGTTGGGCCTATGGAATAGATTCAGCTGGCTAAGATCACTTCTTCGAATAGAGCCTCAAGCGACTCGGCCTGCCAAGGTCCATTTGTTGTCAAGTGCTGTTGGGAGAGGGGCTCTAGAGCGTTGATAAGGCTCGATAAGATGGAAGTATACGGATACACCTAACATGGAATAGACAACGGGCGGGAGACCCGACGGTTGGGCGGATGTGACCCAGGCAGGAGGAAGAATTCTAGTGCGTTTCAGGCGCTCTTCAGTGGATCTTGAGTTATTAATCAATTCAAAACCGTCAAAAGTAAAAAAGGTAAAAGCCACGCGAGGTTGTCTTTGATTACCTGCGTCAATTTAACGGCCTTTTTGCCCCTGGCTAACGGGTTAGTTGAGAGACAGTTCTACGTCGATTTCGTGATATTGTCCTTTTGTGCTACGTACAGATTAAGCTCAGGAGAGAGGCGTTTGGGAAGGGGATCACTCGAGTGCCGGCGGGGGATGAGTTGTTTGTTTGTTTGTTTCCTTGGCTCCAGCTCCAGCCGCCAACACAATCCCAAATCCCAAGTAGAGTCGTCCAGGGGGTTGAAACACGCGCCCCGTTTTATAGCCACAGGTAGGTCTAGGACAAGGGTGCAAGGGTCAGGCTGACGTTTTCTTTCGTGATGGATATTGGGGATGCAGACTTGACAGTATTCGGTAGTTGAGTGTGTGAGTTGGCACTGGCATTCTGGTAGACACTCTACAGCAAGATTCGACGTACCCGTAGATCTAGTCTGCTAGTCTGATTCTGGTGGTAATTGATCGCCAAACCCTTCTCGATCGTTCAGATTAAGCCCATGCCTCTTGGCCGTACCCCTGCCACACAGCAAGACCCCTGTTGTTTCAGGCTATGTCACAATCTGCAGGCACTTTAGGACGTGGCTCTGTACTGCAATCTCCAACATCTTCGTTCTCAGTACGTATTAGGTTTTTCTCTTTGTTTCTTTTTTCTGTATTGCCTCTTCAGCTCATGCAATACTTGTAAGGACGGGCTGTACAACCTCTGCTGTGGTCTGTAGACACAGGCTTCTCTGGCGCATGATCAGCCTGAGCAAAGATGGTTAACGATCGGAGTGGCACAAGGAGAGAGGTCTTGTGCGTCTGTATCAGGTCGTGAGGTGCTTGACTGTACAGAGTATTGCACCAATCAACACTGAATGTGTTCCAACAGTCACACTGAATGCCAGCGCATTTCTGCTGTGCACTGTGAATTGTCAACTGCAAAGTCATCACCATCAGCTCCCCCCTCCCCCTGTCCATCTCGTCATTCAGTGGCTTGGGCGCCAACGGTTTTCGATGCAGGTACGCAAAGCGCCCCCCTTTTGTTAGAAAAGAAAACATTCAACCAATCGTGTCTCTTGAATCTTACCGCTTACTGTCAAAAACTCACGATACGCTGGGCCTGGGTCTCGGCCATTCACTGTGTCAGTGACCAGTCCAATGTCCAATAGTTTCTTTCCTTCTCATCCATAGGTAACCCCTTATAAACCAAAAGTGAGGTCTAATTTGACCATTCGCAACCGCCCCGATGTGGCGTGCGTAGTCGGGGGATCCTCCAGGGGCTGTAGCCAATCCTCTTTCATAGTCTTGCTACACTAGAAAACTCCGAAAAACGTCTGGCGGCTTGGAGAAACCCCTGAATGGGCTTACCTTGGCCCCAGCACTTGGGACTTGGGACCGTTTTGGCTCCATCGCAATTGTCCTTTGATCAAAGGAGTTGGCCTCGAGCCAAGAAATAGTCGTGAACGTGCACGCGCTTAGCAGGCGGGGGTCGCAAGGCGGCCACAGAACGGGCATCAAGATCCTAATTTCAGATTATACGGATAGCAAAGAAAGCCTTATGTGTTGCCAGTGCTGGGCCAGTGCTGGGCCAGTGATGGTGTAGGTAGGTACCTAGCGAATGAGAATAATCGGAGCCTCAAAAATGGTCTAGGTACCCCCGGTTTACACAAAGGCCTTCACCTCCAAACTTGGTCCAACTTATACTTCTACTTCTTCTTCTTTATCCTTCCACACGCTCTTTGCTTCTTTTTTTTCTTCCCTCGTACACTGCAACTGCTGGGCACGTCCTCTCTTTTTTTCGGTTCCATCCCCACTTACTCACTCATTCATTATCAACAGCTTCAGGCCTTTCGCTTCTTCTGAACTGTTTGTTCCCCTCCTTTTACTCTCTCTCTCTCCCTCTGCTGCTGAATTACTCACTGAGAGTGACTGGACGGTTGCGAAACATTCATTCTTCTCACAGGTGCTCTGGTATCACCTGCGTATTCCCCCGCTTTACGGATACACTGTCTCTTCTCGCCTGCTTCGTCTCCAAGAATCAACAGGTTTCATTCTCCGTGCTCAGAGTCCTAGAGACCTTCACGCCAGCATTTACACCACTTTCTTTCCAATATCCTTTTCGAAACAGCTCTCCGCCTCGTTCAACCTCGAAACTCGATTCTCAAAGCCAAATTTGAAACAGGATTCAGAAACTTTCAATCATCATGAAGTCCTCTTTCGCTACCGCCGCCGCGCTTCTCGCCGGTGCTGCTACCGCTGCTCACGAGGAGGGTACCTTTGCCGTCTTGCGCTTCACCAACGATAAGCTCACCAGAGGTCGCATGGACCCTATCCTCTTCCCTGGCCAGACCGCCACTCACGTCCATCACATCATGGGCGGAAGTGGCTTCAGCACAAGTGCGACTGGAGAGGATCTCGTCAAGTCAAAGTGCAGCAATGCGCTCATCAAGGGTGACAACAGTAACTACTGGTTTCCCACCGTTTACTTTCATGACCCCAAGTCCGGCGAGTTTGAAGATGTTGAGTTCGACTACTTCAACGCCTACTACTTGTAAGAGCTTACCCAACTTTCACTAAACCGCAGCCCCCTCACTTTCATATACATCCCACTGCCCGAGCATATTACTGACTACAATGCCAGTTTCGAGAAGACACACGACGACATCAAGCCTTTCCCCGTTGGTCTTCAGATTGTTGCTGGTGATGCCATGACCCGCACCATGCCCAAGGCTGGTGGCAAGCCCAACCTGGACCCTTCCAAGGGTCCTGTCAACCCCTCTAGAATGACTTGCCCCCGCTTGAACAACGACTACACACTCCCATCTTGGAACGCTGCTTCCGATGGTACCGAGGCTGGAGTCGGCGACCCTATCAACAAGGGCGAGGGTGTCGGCTTTCCTGACCGAACTTGTGACGGCAAATACTCTCCTCTCCGAGCTGATGTTCACTTCCCCTCTTGCTACAACCCCAAGGCTGGCCTTACCGACTTCAAGAACAACATGGCCTACCCCGAGGACAACGACGGTTACCTGGACTGCCCCAAGGGCTGGATTCACGTTCCCCACCTCTTCTACGAGGCTTACTGGCGCACTGACAAGTTCGCTGGCCGTTGGACTGAGGGTGAGGGCAAGCAGCCTTTTGTCTTCTCCAACGGTGATGTCACTGGTTACAGCAGCCACGCTGACTTCATGGCCGGCTGGGACGTAGACGTCCTTCAGCACATTATCGACACATGTGACGCCGGTACCGCCGGTATGGACAACTGCCCTGGCCTCCCCTACGGTCTGAACAAGGGTGACTGCACTATCGAGTCTGAGGTCGACGAGAAGGTTGAGGGTACTTTGAGCAAGCTGCCCGGAAACAACCCTCTCAGTGGTTTCTCTTACGGTGATAAGGTTCCCTCGCGCCCCTCGGCCGGTGGTGACAAGCCTTCTACTCCCAAGCCTTCCGCTTCTGAGCCTTCCGCTTCTAAGCCCGCCCCTGAGAAGACCACAGCTGCTGAGGCCCCCAGCTACACAAAGCCCACTTACTCTGCCCCTAGCAAGGAGGTTGGTGACAAGCCAACTGTCGTTTCTGAGGAGCCCCTCATTCCCGAGCCTACTCTTCCTGCTGTTTCCGAGGCCGCTGCCGAGGCAACTGGAGCCCTCACCAGTGCCCCTAAGCCAACAGACATCTTGAACAAGCCCAAGAAGTGCAAGACCAGAGTTCACACCGTCTGGAACACCGTCACTGTTACCCAGACAGCCAGCGTGCCTGCTCAGACTGAGGCCGCTGCCCCTGCCTACAAGAGGGATCATGTGCGACGACACGCACACCAGCACGGCAGTGGCCACAACCACTTCCGCCGCCGCAGCCACCACAACTAGACTCAGCTCTCAGGCTGGTGTATCTGACTGCTCATACCACGACATGTAAAAGCAGCCCAGGTGGCCAAATCTTTTTTATGACATTTCGTGCAATGATGCATCTAAGGCATCTTGTATACGAGGGGTTCCTTTGACCCCCTTTGCTTGGACTGGAGAATATAGGGATGGCGATTTCACGGAATGGCATTTTGATCGTTTACTGGTGCAATGCAATTGAAATACGGGGAGAAGAAAACTGGTTGGATTATTCGCTTCTTAACATGTACATTTATGGAGGACATACCTTGCTTGCCAAGAGACCAAACGCGCTTGAACGCACATCTTTTGCCCATTATGAATCCAGGGCGCATTAAATATTTGTTCTTTGATAGGTTGGCTTATAGAAGTGATACTCCTAATCTCGACGGTGATGGCGATGGAAGTATCTTACACTTCATGTTCTCAGTGAGTATCATACTGTTTATACATTTACCTACACATTGTTTCATTAGAGCTGTAATATTGTATTGTTTAAATATGCATCTTAAAAAGCTCAAAAATTGGTGCAGGTTGGAGGTTAGTTAGCCGGAACTCGTAGGGTAACCACGACCGTGAGCACTTACACGAGCGTCGCGCCGGGTGAACTCTGGATAAATCAAAAGTCTACCAACTTCCCCTTCACTTTCTCGGTGCAATTTTCTTCTTCACCAGCCAAACTCGGTCAATCAACCTCCAATCATCACATTAATCATGTCTCTTTACCATGAGGCAGCAGAGATTTTAACTGGGTCTTCATCTGAAGGAGGAAGTCTCAAGTCCCGTGTGTTCAAGAAGAAAAATCTCAAATCTGCACCCAATCAGATTTACGCTCTGGTACTAGAAAGCTGCAAATGGAGCCCTATCCTAAAAGAGGTTATTGAGAAATCAGAACTTCTGAAGCTCGAGCGAAAAGTAAGTAACAAGGTCTCATCTTTTGAAAAGGAGCTTTCGTGCTAATTATTGAATCAAGCTCACTCCAACATTGTCATTACTTCTCGTTCATGACCTCCTGCTAGCCAAAAAGGGAATTGCCCTTCCCCAAACTCATGGACTTCGCGCATCTGTTGAAAGACACAAAGGACGTATCAGCTCGGAATTCAAACTTGCGCGGCTTCGTAGAAAGGTACCCTCGCTTAAAGCTTTGAAAGAACAAGTTGAGAGGGATTGTGCTGGCGAGGAAGCAAACTATCCCCGTTGGGTTCGTGTCAATGCTGTCAAAGGCACTCTTGAAGAACAGCTCGAGACGACATTTTCAAGATATTCCAGAGCTACTTCTATCAAGGAGGTCGTCACTAATGCTGGAAGACATATCTACATTGACCCGCATGTGCCAAATCTACTGGCAATCACTGCGGGAATCGACCTTACGAAAACAGAGGCCTACACGTCTGGTAAAATCATTCTTCAAGATAAAGCATCTTGTTTCCCGGCCTATCTCTTGGACCCTAAGTCTGAAGATGGAGACCTTATTGACGCATGCTCCGCCCCTGGCAACAAGACAACTCATCTAGCAGCTATTCTCAAGGAACACAGACCTGAATTTGATACACCAGAGCAGACAATCTATGCATTCGAGAAAGATTCCAGACGAGCGCAGACTCTTGATAAGATGGTCACGATAGCAGGTTCAAAGCCGGTAACCAAGATTGGATTCGGTCAAGACTTTCTACAGGTGAACCCTACAGCGGACAAGTACAAATCAGTTGGGGCCTTGCTCCTAGATCCTAGTTGCTCAGGGAGTGGTATTGTCGGGCGAGATTCGATGCCAGAGCTTCATCTCCCAGAAGGGCCTAGTAGCGCAGCGAAGGGGCCAACACCCAAGCCGAACAACCGCAAACGAAAACACGAGCAGGTTGAGACACAGAGCGACAGGGTCATGATAGACGATGATGGCAATGAAACAGCCATCAAGTCAGAGAAGGACCTAGAAGCTCGACTGGAGGCTCTGTCCTCTTTCCAACTCGTTCTTCTCTTGCACGCCTTCCGATTCCCTTCAGCGAAAAAAATCACATACTCGACTTGCTCTATTCATATGCAAGAGAACGAGCGTGTTGTCATGAGAGCTCTCGAATCGGACATTGCCAAAGAAAGAGGCTGGCGCATTCTTGCACGAAAAGATCAAGTTTCTGGTATGAGAGAGTGGCCCGTTCGGGGGCTCCAGGAAGCGTGTGAGGGCGATAAAGAGATTTTAGAAGGCTGTATTCGATCTTACAAAGATGATGGACAGGGTGTAATGGGATTCTTTGTCGCTGGTTTTGTGAGGACTGGTGAAGGAAATCCCGACACTGCCGATGATGAGGGTCCCTACATGCGGGATGATAGTGGCGCCATCATTCGTGATGTACTCGGCATGCCCGTCCTGAAGTCAACTGGCGAACCTGTCTCGTTAACTTCAAGAGATGAAGATGATGTTATGGAGGGCAAGGGGTCCGGAGAAGAAGAGGAGGATGTTTCAGAAAGTGAGAGTGATTCTTCAGATCAAGATTCGGAGGAGGATGAATGGGATGGTCTTGGAGATTGATCCGCCATATCAGTGAAGCCAAGACGATGACTTCCGATGGAAGGATGGGAACATACCTGCGTCACAGGCCACTAAAGAGCCTCTTTCAAAAGAAGGGCGATCTCCGACATCCTGCAGTTCCATCCTGTTGGAAGTCTTGGTCAGGAATGAGGCAAGTGTGGATAAAGGCAGTGTCGTATCGGGTGACATCTGCCATCTTACGTGATCGATAAGGTACCATTCGAGTGATCGGTAGCCGGCTCTTCAAATGCAGCCGAACCCCGTCACGTCTAATTCGTTCATATGTCAGAAGGGAAGGATCGTGCATGGGATGGGTAGGGTATCATGTGCAACGTTCTCAGCAGCAATTGGGGGAGATAAAACATAAGAGGGAAGATCCGACTTATACACGACCTGGTTAAATGGAAACAAAAGACGACACCACGCGGAATTCCGTCTGACTTGCTTATCCGGTGCAAAAAAAATTAACAGGTTGAGCCAGTCAAGTTTGTTTCAAGAACACGACACACTCAAAAGATGAGCAGATGTTTGTTTTAGTGTGCAAACCCAACGTGTTGTGGTGTAAATCAACGGCCCGAGCCTTCGGATCCGAATCATGAACGAGAACGAGCAATGTCGGTCTTTCTATGCCGATCACCGTCCAAAAGCTTTTCATGAGCTTTCAGGATCAAGAATGCTGGCGGGACCCTCGGAACAGTTCAAACCAATCTGTTCTATGATTATTATAATCAATCTGCTATTCTCCGTCGGAATCAAGTTGTGCTTGGAGGTGTGGTCTTGCTTACGGGGTACATCCTTTGGAGTTGATATCTCTGTATCCCAGATAGGAATAATCTCCGACGGATATTCGCTTGTTGTCCGTCTGGGGGCCTTATGCGGCTCTGTTCCGTGCTCCAAGTTATCAGCTCAGAGGTCGTCTTATAGGGCAGATGAGCATGCGAGATGTGTGAGTACAACGGAAGGGAGGATAGCAAAGGACGGGATTCAGGCGGAATTCGGGCCATTTGTAGGCCCAGTGCTTCCCCATATTGGATCTTCCCCAGTAGGACTCTGGGCCTTGTGCCCATGAACAAACTTACAGAAAGATGTGTTGGTCCGCGTCACATCGTCCAATGTCTTATACGGTCCACTCGGTTCCTAGCTCCCATTTTCTCGAATGTTGTGATAACGGGCCGTGGATCTTTCTACTAGGATGGGTTAAATCTCGAATGTGAAGTTTGAGGGTATATAATACCTTGGTGTACCCCAGGCTTGGCTTGTTGTTGTCTTGGCCCTTTCGGCAGATAGCAATACACCATACTTTGGGCATACATATCTCTACCGGATAGTTGTACTAGAATATTCGTTCCACTCCGGACTACTGTCCAAGATCATAGCTTATATAGCTACAAAGGACTACCAGCATCCACTTTATAAGTCGCCATCATGACTGTTACTACACAACCACAACCGGCGTCTTCGGCCTCTTCAACAACCGCCAACGGGACCGATCTCGAGTCTCAGCAGAACAAATCCAAGTCCTCTCATTTCAGTCTTATCCTCGACCAAGCAGGTATCACTGATGCTGTCCTCAACTACAAATATGCAGGCGAAGGTACAACGGAATCGCCATATCTCGTCGAGTTCCTCCCAAACGACCCTCGCAATGCCTTGAACTTCTCTCAGTCTAAGAAGTGGTTGATCACCATCCTCCAGGCCATAGCAACACTCGCAGTTGCATTCGCTAGTACGGCATACAGTGGGGGTCTGACTTCTATCCTCATGGAGTTCCATGTATCGACTGAGGTTGTTATTCTTGGTATCTCCATGTTCGTTCTCGGCTTCGCTATTGGACCGCTTTTCTGGGCACCTCTTTCAGAGCTCTATGGTCGTCAAATCCCATTCTTCATCTCTTACTTGGCATTGACAGCGTTTAATGCTGGTGCTGCTGGCGCTCCGACGATGGCGGCCCTGATAGTCCTCCGGTTCTTTGCTGGTGCCTTCGGATCATCGCCGTTGACTAATGCAGGCGGTATTATCGCCGACATGTTTGAGGCTCGCGAGCGTGGACTTGCTACGGCTTTCTTTGCTATGGCTCCTTTCCTTGGTCCTACTATTGGTAGGTTATTTGACCAAAAGGCTGACATGCTAGCTCATATACCTCGAGAAATAAGGTGCTGACTGTTACGATAGGTCCCATTGCCGGTGGTTTCTTGGGTGAGCAGGCAGGCTGGCGCTGGGTAGAGGGCATGATGGCCATCTTCACTGGAATCGTGTGGATTGTCGTCTCATTAGTTATCCCCGAGACCTATGCGCCGTATCTCTTACGCCACAGAGCAGCAGTTCTCTCCAAGGAAACTGGGAAGGTTTATATCTCCAAGGTTGATGTTGGCCGCCCTCATCACACTGTCGCCATGCAATTCAAGATCGCCCTACTTCGCCCATGGGTCCTGCTCTTCAAGGAGCCCATTGTCCTACTCACCTCTATCTACATGGCTATTATCTATGGTACACTGTACCTCTGCTTTGCCGCTTTCCCGATTGTTTTCCAGCAGGGTCGCGGATGGAGCCCAGGAGTCGGAGGACTTGCCTTCGTTGGTATAGCCGTGGGGATGATATTTGCGGTTGTTGGCACTATTATGGACCAAAAGAGGTATATGCGTGCTGCCGAAGCCGCAGGCGGCCATGCTCCTCCTGAGGCAAGACTACCCCCTACACTGGTTGGCTCGATACTTATCCCGGTCGGTTTGTTTTGGTTTGCTTGGACCAACGGGCCTGATGTTCATTGGATTGTGTGCATTATTGGCTCGGCTGTATTCTCTACTGGTCTGGTTTTAGTGTTCCTCTCCTTGTTGAACTACCTGGTTGACTCATGTAAGTCCAGCCTTGATTCTCTCTCTGCTTTCAAGCAGCAGCTAACACGGTCAGATGTTATCTTCGCTGCTTCTGTATTGGCAGCAAATTCGGTCCTCCGCTCCCTTTTCGGCGCCGCATTCCCGCTCTTCACGACGTACATGTACCACGATCTCGGCATCCACTGGGCCAGCTCCATCCCGGCGTTCTTAGCCGTTGCTTGCGTGCCCTTCCCGTTCCTGTTCTACAAATATGGCGAGACCATCCGCATGAAGTGTGAGTTTGCCGCCGAAGCTGCCAACGTGCTGCAGCGCATGCGCACCAAGCACGAGGTTATCAGCGAGGACCAGGCCGCTGAAGAGGCGCACGAGGCCGAGCTGGAGCGCCGCGTGAGCAATGCACTTCGGCGTAGCTTGACAAAGACACGCACGAACACGTCTACTAGCTGAGCAGTCCCAAAGCTGGACTTGCGATGGGTTATTATCGCCCATCTGGCGGCCATAGCAGTGCAAGTAACACAAAGTATGGTGTGAATGGTTGGGGAAATGTTCCATAATAAGGGCTAAGGCGTACATGTTTGGATAAATCTGCAGGTGGGTTTGGACATAAATCGATCGAATAAGAGTTCGTATCTGCCAAACGATCAGACTATTGTATGGTCGATGGATATCTCGGTGAGATGCATTTTCAAAATCTATACTGGCTTATTCAGTACCAATGAAAGCTTAAAATGAAGGAAAGGCATAATAAATATGATGAAATGTCAAGTCTTGGTATCTTTCAGTATTTGCTTATATACAACAGTCATGATGATATCGCCTCATTACTCGTTAACCCCGTCTATCATCAAGACACCTCTTTTAATCGACCAAACGAACCTTTTCACGCTACGCTACCCACATTAAGCTCCATTTCTGTACACTTGTGCACCTTGGTTTCTGAACATGATTGTATCTCTCCGTTGGAGAACCATCAACGCCCGGTTGAGCGCCTGTTCACTGTATCCCTTGCCTTCGACCATCTCCTTCTTTAGTGTAGACAAGCTAGTACTCCAGCCGATAGGCAGACGGCGCTTGAGCTCTGTCTCAAGGCGGTTGACTTCGTCATTCAACTCACGACTACCCTGGTTGCTGCCTTGATTGACGGCATCCATGGTGGAGCACAGGAAAAGACGAATGGCCTCATCGACATGCGTCTCTGTAGCGATAGGAGAGAGGGTAAGCTTAGCAAGAGACTCGGTAATACGAACAATAGCCTCGAGCTGACGGACGGTAATGGGAATAGAAGAACGAGAGTTTGCCTCAATCTCAGCAGCGTGAACCTGGCGACGGATGGAGACAAAGTGAGAAGAAAGCTTCTCAGCGGCTTCAGGACTAAGTCTGGGAGCACAACGGCTGTAAGGGGTTAGCATAAGAACGAAGCGAGGTGGAGTCTGTAACTTACGTCTTGCAGTAGGTGATGTATCTTCGCATCTTGTCGATAGGAATTTCAGACTCAGCCATATCCTCGGCTCCTCGACCGTTCATTTGGATACTGAGAACGTGCTTGGCCATTGTCTCATCCTTTTCACGACTGTGCTCATCCTTGACAATGTAAATCATGTCGAAACGTGACAGAATGGTTGTCTGGAAGTCAATGTTCTCTCCAGGGGTCTTCATGTCATCATATCGACCAAAGATAGGGTTGGCAGCAGCCAAAACTGATGTCCGTGCGTTGAGAATGGTAGTGATACCCGCCTTGGCGATGGAAATAGTTTGCTGTTCCATAGCTTCGTGGATGGCCACTCGATCTTCGTCTCTCATCTTATCAAACTCATCGATACACACTACACCACCATCGGCCAGGACCATAGCACCACCTTCGAGATAAAACTCGCGAGTAGAATGATCACGCTGAACGGAGGCTGTCAAACCTGCGGCGGAAGAACCCTTTCCTGAGGTGTAGATGGAGATGGGAGCTGCTTTCTCGACGAACTTAAGAAGCTGAGACTTGGCTGTACCAGGGTCACCAAGAAGCAATACGTTGATATCACCTCTTAGCTTCATGCCGTCGGGAAGGATCTTCTTTGAGCCACCTAATAGTAGGCAAAGAATTGACTTCTTAATATCGCGGTTTCCGTAAATAGAGGGGGCGATGCAATCGGTCATAACGTCGTAGATATCAGGCCGTCTGCTGAGCTCCAAGAATTCCTGTTCTTCTTCTTCGGAGAAAGTGGCGTTTCCCTTGGCTGCTTGGTCAATATCTGTTTGGATTCCGACCGCCCTCAGATAAGGGGTACGAATGGCCACAGCACCGCCATTGGACGAGTTCTTAGAGGCCTTGTTCTGGTAGATCGAGAAGATGCCCATAACAGTGCATCTCGATCCGGGAACAACTCTATTTGTAAGGTATCTATCAGCGGAAATAAGAACGTGTCGAGGCAGTTCTCCGACAGGAACCTGGTCGGGCGCTTCTTGAAGTTTGATAATTTGCTGGTCGACAAAGCCAGACTTCTCGTGGACCACGAAGTAGGGGTCCATAGGACATTTTGGTGTCGGGTCGTTTGGAACTCGGCTACGTGCGCATTGTCGGGGCAAGGTGACACCGGTGAAGCCACCCAGGATAGGAAGGTTTTGTGTGTGCCCGCAGTTACGGCATTGAATATGGAGTGCGGTCGCTTTTGAGGACATGACAGAGGCACCAATAACAATACCTGGTACCCGTACCAGTTTCGCGATAGTCATGGAATCGAGATTGCGGATCGAGACGTCGTCGGCATTTGAGTGAAGGAGGAGCTGGTGGTCAGGAATCTCGACCTTGGGCTCGTGAGGGAAGACAATGCGGTGAGTACATTTTTTCAGTGCATTCTCGAACTGTTGCTAGTTAGTAGCATGCTTTGTAGGAGTTTACGTAGTTCTTACCAGAGGGATGATCTCAGCTGGCTCAGATGCCAGCAGATGTGCCAGTTCCTCGTTGAAGCTGATCAAATCGTTGATGTTGACATCACAGAAGTACCGCTTAAGAAGAGCATTCTCTCGTAGCTGATCTCTGTAGCCCTGTTAGTCGGTGCACAGAGGCGTCAAACGTACGAGGACTCGTGCATACCTGTAGACAAAGTTGTTGTCAAGTCTGAAGTCAAGGATGAATGTTTCGAGCTGCGTTTGAAGCTGCAGTCGAGTATCACCATTCTCACCAAAGCTTGGCTCGTACACGTGAGTGGAGTAGATTGATCCGCGATCCATTGTGAGGTTGATGATATGTGAATAGTATGGTGTATCTCTCTGTTTTTCTCTGCTGCCCAGGAGTTGACAGGGAGTTGGAGATCTTGTTTGTGGAGCAATGGAGGGGCTACTCCGCAAGTTGGAAGGGTAACCTCAGATACAATTTACGTGAGAACGCGGACCCTCAACCCCCTGAAACGCGACGCGTAACTATAGTGGTTGCAGTGCTGTAGTCAGCAGCCGTTGGCGCTTATCATCACGTGTTGGCGCCAAGAAGATAATCGGTTTAGGGGGAAGCTGTGTGTAACTTACAAGGTGTCTAGTCTGACAAGGTACTCCGTCCGTACTGACCCAAGGTCATAATAACCAAGACCCTTTTTGGTGATGACGGCGCATTCTTGATTCTTGATTCCTTCTTTTATCATTACTTAATTGTCCTTTGACGTCTTGTCTATTGACCTCACTCGACGGCGTGTATTTCCTGTTCAGTTCTTTCAGCGATGATACCCTAATAATACACGACCTGACATCACTCTCACCCACCTATCGAGCTGCCCTGGCCCATCCGGAGCTCCATTAGCCATGTTCTCTTCCAGCTCTCCCAACGCTACCAAGTCTGCGGACAATCTTACAGCTCTGTCGCCTACAGGCCGTGGGGAACTCCCTTTCCATAGGTATTGATATATAAGTTAGCCTTTGCTTGGAACTGGATCTAACTTCGGACGTAGCAACAGCAATCGACATGCTCAAATGCATCCCCACCCGACTTCGCGACGTGGCTCTACGGCGAGCTCCATCCATTCAGTAGGAGGCATGCTTGACAGTGCTCCTACCAACTTGGCTGCTTCATTGTATGAGTCAAGCCAGAATGGTTGGTTTTTCTCTAAAGACCTTCTATCGCATCGCTAATTCTTGGAAGCTATTTCAACCCTTCTTCAGCCCCCAATTGTCCGAACCGGCCTTCAGCCTTACACCTCGGTACCAGCTTCGACGGCGCACAAACCCCCGACGGCTCGAGATATCCCGCCAGTAACATTGACGAACATCACAAAGGTCAATGTGGAAGAATTCAACCCATACTTGTCGCAGATTGGAACACTATACGAGCAACTGCAGCGGTTAAAAGAGAGTGAGGAGGAGGCCAACAGGGAGCAGCGCTCCAGTCAACAGGATACCCCGACAGAACCAAGCAGTGATGCATACTTACGCCCCGGCCCAAAGTCTCGTCCAACTCGCAAGGGCTCGACTGCGTCCCTCTCGTCGATGAATTCCAATGATGGACAACCCCCAGCCAGAAGACCAAGTGCAGCCTTTATTCGAAGGTCTACTCAAGGGCCGCCCCCTCTATCGACGATCCCAACGGTGTACTTTGACGAAGAATTTCATCTCGAAAACCCCAGAACATTTGATATTGTGAGCGAACGATCCGAGGTTATCCGGCCCAGTAATGCCGAGGATGGTAAAGGCGCACCGAACGGAAGTGCCGCAGCACCACGGAAAGCTCTAGCAACCAACGCAATTCTGCAAGAAAAGTTGTCCTGGTACATGGACACCATCGAAGTCCACCTCATCAACTCCATCTCCGCTGCGTCAACGACGTTTTTTACCGCATTGGGATCATTGAAGGAGTTGCATTCGGAGGCTGCGGATTCTGTTGGGCGTATCAAGACACTGAGACAAGAGCTTGAAGCGTTAGATGAGGAGATTGTAACCAAGGGGTTGCAGATCGTCCACAAGCGAAGACGTCAAGAAAATCTGCGTCAGCTTAATGATGCTGTGCTCCAACTTAAGCAAATTGCAGACGGGGTTGCGAAGTGCGAGACACTAGTAGACGAGGGTGAAATCGATAAAGCACTTGAAAGCATTGATTCGCTTGAAATGCTTATTGCTGGTGAAAGGGACGCTGCCATCGAGGATGAATCAGAAATCCAGCTACGAGACTTGCGATCAGCTTCAGCTTTGCAAGGAGTCAATGCCGATCTTACCATTTTGCGCTCGCGAATCGGAAAGGCATACGAAACTAACTTCCAGAATATCCTGATCCGCGACTTGCGACGACATGTTGAAACTGTATCTTCTCCTGAGATCCTCCTCAGATGGAGCAACGCAGCAAGCCGATCGAAGGGTAGCCATGCCAGGTCTCCTTCGGTCTTCCCAACCTACCTAACGAGCACTAATGAGTTGAAGGCCGAATTGTTACCCAATATGGTCGGCTTGCACCGGGCGCAACATATCGCCGCTGCAACCGTTGCTTATCGAGAGGCTGTCTTGCGCGAGATCCGAAATTTGATTCGACGACCCTTACCCAGCTCCACGGATGACGACAACGAATCAATGATGTCTGTCTCTACCGCAAGCGGTGGCCGGCATCTATCAAATTCAGAGAAATCATCTATTCTGGCAAGGAATCTTCGAGCTTTAGACCCTGAGGATGGCGAAGACCTGCTAGGAAAGATATACATTGGCGTAACAGAGACTCTCAGGAGGCTTACGACACAGGTCAAGGTTTTGTTGGAGATCACAAGCTCTCTCACCGATGACCCATTGGGCGAGGGCTTGTTATCACCTACAGTAAGATCGCCCATTTCCAGCCCAAGGCCCGACAGATTCCCGAGTAACCCCATGAACCATTTGACGTTTGAAGTTCAAGAGGAGCTACACAAGAATCTTGATATCACAAACCTCCTAGGTCAGGCCGTCGATGTGGCGATCGAGAAGATTGTCAAAGTACTGAAGGTCCGGGCAGAGCAGACATCGCAGTTGCCCATGACTATGTTCCTCCGTTACTTCACCCTCAATCTCTATTTCGCCAACGAATGCGAATCGATATCTGGCCGAAGTGGCACATCCCTTAAGAATGTGGTCAATGGACACATCAAGGATTTTGTGCAAAGAAACCGCGATGTCGAGATGCAGAAATTGGCCCAGGGGATGGAATCTGATCAGTGGAATGCCAGAGACTTCAACGATAAGAATACTGAATTGTTGAATATCATGCTAGGGAGCAGCACCCGTGATCCTGACGAGTGGACCAATAGCACCAAGATCTGGATACCTAGCTCCGAACTGGAGCCTGAGATCGAGGAAGAGGCTATCGAGGCAAATGGCACAGGCAAAGAAAAGACGAGGACCGCCACTATCGATTCGGAGACTTTCATGTTGCCCAAATCAGCAATTCTGTGCCTGGAAGGAATTGCCAAATTCTCCCACCTAATTAATGGAATACCATCCATGACGGCGGATATCGCAACATCCTTGATTGCCTACCTCCAGCTTTTCAACTCCAGGTGCACACAGCTCATCCTCGGTGCTGGAGCGACACGGTCGGCTGGTCTCAAGAACATTACGACAAAGCATCTGGCATTGGCCTCTCAAGCGCTCTCTTTCACAGCAACTCTGATCCCACATGTTAGAGAATTTGTGCGACGTCATGCTGGATCCGGAGCGAGTGTGTCGAACCTCATGGGTGAGTTTGACAAGATCAGGCGATTATTACAAGAGCACCAGGACAGCATCTACCAGAAACTGGTTGAGATTATGAGTGGCCGAGCAGCCATCCATTCGCGAACAATGAAGGCGATCGATTGGGAGGCAGATGGTGCCAAGGGTGTGCATTCATACATGGAGACTTTGGCAAAAGAGACAACAACTTTGCATCGTGTTTTGACTAAGCATCTCCCCGAGACATCGATCCAGATGATCATGCTTCCTGTGTTTTCCAGCTACAGGGATCAGCTTGGGTCAAGCTTTAGAGAAGCTGACCCCAAAACAGAAGCTGGTCTGAAGAGGTACATATCACTGAGCAATTTATCTTGAGCAATGACTAACCACTCTCTTAGTATGAGTAACGATGTAGACTTTCTTACAACAAAACTCGGGAAGCTGGAAGGATTTGGAGATACGGGAGAGTATCTGCAAAAGATCATCAAGTCTAAGCAGGTCAAAACAGTGGAACCGGCCATAGAGAAGCCTGCAGCTGAAAAGAAGGACGATGAACCGAAGGAGAGTGAGCCGACTCCTGCAGAAGACGTCGCTAAGGAGAAGGAAGAGAACTAGATGTTACGACCACTTGAATAAGACTGCCACATCTCGGGCTGGTAGAGTCCAGACCGAGGGCGATATTACGAAAACTCACGCAAAGTGCCCATTTCTTGCTGCACGAACACAGAACATGGTCTGTGTTGTTGATTTCTGATGGCTTATCTTGGTCACCAGAAACACGGCACTTCGTATTCCGGGCTAGTCACAAGTCTGCCCATCCACGTCAAACAATGAGTTTGATGAACAATATTGACTGCATATGTCCCAGATGTCGGTTAGAACTACCTCCACAGTTCGGAGTTATTATATAAAAGACAGCTTGACTAGCCTCCGGCAGCTGGCGTTAAAGTTATCGTATATATCCCGCAACCCGCATTCCAGAGCAAGTTGCATTCCAGGACACAGCCTCAACCGCACGCCTGCTGTGTCGTATCTGCTAATCAACTGCACTTTCTTTCGAGGGGCGTGCAGAGTACTCCGTACACGGGCAGGAATATGTCAAGTCTTAGCGAGAACCGCTTGATTGGATTTTAGAGATCTTGACAGGGTCCTTATTGGCGCTACGCCTCTCCGGCAGCGGCGTTTTTGGTCATTCGAGAAGTCAATTGCTGTCTGTAAATTGCATTTATGAAGTTTATTGTTCACAATTATTTTTTCGCTTGACTTGATAACTTCCGAGCACTGTTTTATAGCCCCGGATAATGTATCAATCCTTCGAAACTTGAACCATATGCGGCTCTTGCTTGACACTCATTCAATCGATCAACAACTGCCAAATCCTTCCCGAGAGCACGGACCTGGACAGGTGGGTGATCCGAAACGCCAAGGTATCAACAACGACCCCATTTTCTCGGGATATGCACATGTTATTCACATGCTCTTAAAGACGTCACCCCGGAGTTGCACAAAACAATGGCGCGGGAGGAATGACAACTCCCGCGTGAGGAGTTGGGTTGTACAGAGAGAGCTCGGTCAAGAGTAGAGTCAGAGGGTTCAAAAGGTGGGATAAAAATAGCTGAGAGCATCAGAGAGTGATCTGCAGTCAAAGCCGATCAATCGTTACAATGATCGATCGACCATAACTCGGTTCAAATGTTCTTTATCATCTATTTGCATTATTCGTAGCATTTTCTGGCATGTTTTAAATACATCCAGAGTTCAACTAACAGCTCCTTCACTCATCCTACAACATTCCAGTCAAAACTTGCTTTGGTTGTCCTATATTGTACTCCGTACCTACATTAGATCAGGGACTTGCAGTCGACCATGTTGCATCCCGACCAGGGGTACAACCTTGTTTTCTCCTGCAGACACGACATCAGGCCGTGATGCCGTAACTATCTGACGTGTCTCTTTTCTCCTCTCAGCGACAAAACGATAAGGCGATTGTCATGGCAAATGGTGGGGCGTTCAATAAGCGGGAGGTTGGTTTTGAACATGAGAAAACAATACAATTGAAGGCGCCGGGTGCTGGAAAAAGAAATATCGACTGCGCAGCAAGAAAGAGGAGGGTTTGGTTTTCAGCGTGCATATGCGTGGCTTACCCTTTGTCGTGTCATTGAGTACACAAAAGTACCAAGTCATCTCGCTTTGGTCTTTTTCTTTCACTTGTTGGGATGGTCTGATATGGTACGTTTGTAAGATTCAAGGTCAAAGGTTCTATGTCAAGGTCTATGTCCGAGTCTATGTCCGAGTCTAAAGTCTAAGAAGCTTTTTGTCCAAAAAGGGGGAAATCCCATGTTTTGTAAAGGGCTTTTGCGCCCGAGTAAAGTATGTACAAGAAGTATATGTAAAAAGGTCTTTGATCTAGACATGAGATCCAGATTCCAGCGAGTGTGAGAAGATGTTCATAGAATGTAGAACGAGTGCCAGCCTCAACCCTCTTGCTGATACAAGAGGCATCAAGCCTGTGATGTTGCGGGAACGCGAAAAGAAATATCGCTACTCGGCATAGTGGAGACTCAGTAATATGAGACTCATGTCCTGTTTTGTCCTTGTTTTGTTTGGTAGTCCATCCATCCATAAGCGCCACCTGCTCCAGCCAAGAGGTCTATAAAGAAAGGCCTCGGTTTTTGCAACACGCGAGGGGTATCTTTCGGGGTATGTAAACGAGATTCGTATAGTGAAGTGTAGAAGGGGTCGTGTAATCGTCAATGCGGTGTTCAACTCCGCAGCGTGAAAGGTAAAAGGGGGGTGATCGAAGTGAAAGTGAAGACCGTCCGAGCAATAATGATAGGGCGTTTAAGCCTTGGCTTTGTAAGGGCTGGCACCAGAGCCAAGGGTGGTGATGAGGTCAACCTCCTCAGTAACCTTGGTCTGGACGTCGTCGGGGAGCCAGTAGCAGTTGTCACAAGGGAAGGTCTCGCAACCAGACATGGGGGTGTTGCCGGCCTTGGGCCACATCTGCTTGACATTGTCCTTGTCGTTGGGGTCAACGATGGCAGAGACGTCGAAGTAGGTCTTGCCGTTCCAGCCACCGAAAGTGACCTCGCCGAGCATACCGGGCTTGTCCTCGGCACCCTTCTGGACGGCGTAGAAGTTACCAATGTACTTGTCAGGGAAGTTAACGGTAACCTCCTTAGCACTGCTCACGGTAACGGACTCAGGGCCCTCGAAACCAGGATCAGGAGTGAAGATGATGGTACGCTCCTTGTCATCGAGAGTGACAAAGGTGACGGTGCCAGCAGCAGCATAGGCAGCAGAGGCAACGAGGCCAGTGAAAGCAGTAGCGAACTTCATATTGGCGGTGTTTTTGATGTTTTTTGAAATGGGGATGGGTTGGAAAGGTTTCTCGATTGTCGTCAAGACAAGAGGATTTTTGTTATGCAGCGGCTGATAAAAGGACTGAATCAGGACGTGATAATCAATGTTACTCCAAGTTGAAGGAGTATAATGTGTTGGTGATCGAGAACTAGCTCGATGAATTGGTTCAGGGATTGTGATAGACTGGGCCTCCAAAAAGAATGAGAAGCTTGATGTCAAATGAATGATCGTCCGAAGACAAAAGATTTAATCTGGAACGGAAGGACTGTGTTGTGTTGATCAGAGTGAACATCTGGAGAAGGGGGAGGGAGGCCCGTTTTATAAACAACATCTGAACAAACCATCCCGTCGTCTAAGCTGCAGCAACGGAACAGAGCTTGGTACGGATAACCAAGATCAGATTTGTCAAGGTCAACGCTCCGGCGCCTCAGTGGAGTCGACAATTAAGGTGGGTGTATTAAGACGCCGGGCCACAAAAGACTTCCCGGTGGTGTTGTGGGGGGTGGATGAATGTGATGAGGACCACTTCATGGGTCAACACAACATCGGCACAGCATCAGCACAAAGTGCAGCACTGTGCTATGCTCACAATGGTTGTCAAGTTCTGTGTACCACAAAGCTCTCTTCTCTTGGCTTCTTCTCAAATCCCCCACACTAACACTTGCTGCAGTGGTTCCAAGTTCCAACCTCATCCCAAGCCCTTCCCTTCTCACACTGAACACTCACAATGTGTCGTGGTGGTGTGGACTCGTTTGACCGCTTCTAACTGGTCCGTGAGAAGCGTGCTGGCCGCGGCCCGTCTCTACAAGCTTTCGAGGAACAAAGGGATAGTAGACCGTTGTTTCAACACTTGTCTTCGTGGTCTCATTCATTTCGTCTTCTCTTTGTGGAAAGCCGCTTCGTTTCTCTCATTCGTTGCTTCGAAATGAAACAATCTGTGTCAGTGTGAGTCTCATCTGAAAGATCATTTCGCACCCTGGGAAGCGCCTAGAGTATTCGTAAGCGCGCGACAACAAAGGAAACGTTTGAAAGAACTGTTAACCTGCGCACAATATGAGCCAGAGCCAATACGTACACCCAGGCCCCCAGGCCTTGAACTCGAAAATACAAGCTTCTCCGGCCCCTCTTCACACGGAAGCAGGGCTTACGAGGCAACGCTGTCCCTGCCAACTCAGGGCAACAAGCCCGGGACCGTCAGAGTCACGGGCAGTCACAATCACAGTACGTACAGGAGGAGGAGGAGGCCTGGAGGCGTCTGTCAGCGATTCAGCGTGGCCGCTCCCAGTCCCGCGGCTGCGTACCGGCAGAGACAAAGCCTGCAAGGGTATGGCTAAGCGGGTGACTACCGCAAGGGGCGGCCCACAAAATCGCTCTATTTTTTCTTCTAGCTGCAGCTTGGCTCACTTCTGCTAGCCATTTCTCGTCTCTCATTGGCTCAGTGTTTACCCTCAGTGCCTGGTACCTGACAGGTGTCCATGTGGTCGGACTGGAAAGGCTTGTTTCGAAATCTGCTCGACGCCGGGAGGGTGTGATGAGGCCCGAGGGCTTCACTAATCGGATAGTGGGAGAGAACCTGAAGCGTTGAAAAGCGCAAGGGTCTACTCAGCACCAACAGGGTCAATTGCAGTCCAACGGCGGTGCATGTCAGCAATGGCAGAGTCTGATAACTTGGAAATGCACAACAAACTTTTCTCCCGCTTTTGCTCTTTGGCCGGGAATAGTCCCGTCCCATGCGAGCACTCTGGCATTTAGCGTACGACGCTTGCTGGCATCATCAACGACCTGAGACTTGGACTTGGGTGAAAACTCTGAGCAGGGCCACTGACGCCAATGTGGCTGTCTTTCTCAACCTCAGAGTTACGTATCTATCAGTGACACGTGGAGAATGAATCAATGAGCCAGAGCCACTGCGTCTTTTCTGAATAATCCAGAATCGAACAGAGTTTTTCGCTGTGCGGGCACTAATAACCATTCGCGCATTCCTAACTACGGCCCCGTTTGAAAGATGCCTCGTTGATTTAGCTATATCCACCAGAAAGTCAAAAAGGCACGCGACAAGCGTATTATTTTGGTTGTTATGTCAGGCTTCCCGAAGCCCATTGCACATGGCGAAGAGCCTAAAGCTCATGATTCAGACATCGTCACTTGACCAACTTTTGGGTATTAACGAGCGACTCGGTCTGTATGCCACGTTGCGATGCCACTTAAGCATACATACGTAGCCGAACGAGTTTTTGCCAGACCGTTTGCTGTAGCAGCTGTACCTGGCGATCAATCGCCCCCAGCTCAATGGGAAGCAGGGTACAGCAGCCGCGTCACCAATCAGCAGCTAAAAGGTAACTGCTCATAAAATCACATCCCTGCAATACGCGATCAAGATGCTGGGTCGTTGATTCATCAAAGATGGTAAGGTGGGGGCAGGGTAGTTGGCCCGAAAACAATGTTGGCGTCTCCAGTGTTTGCTGGGCAATCGTGAGTGTTGGCCTGTTGACAACTGCGCCTTTTCGATTGCGTTTACTTGTTGGCCGAGAAGAGACTGAACGAGTCGGTTTTCCTGCCTGAGGCAGCTACACTAGAGGAGCAGGGAACTTTGACGGATTCAAACGGAGTGGAAACAAAAGAAAAAATGGTTTCTTGGTGCGTTAAAAACGTCGCGGACCTTATTCCATCTTGGTCTACGCCGACCGACACAGTATGAAACTGTTACGAACGGTGCGTAATCTGGTTACGCCGCGCGGCTATGGCCTTGATCTCGAGTTGTCGGCCTAGCCGGGAGAGTGCTCCGTTCTGAGCATTCTGAGCATTATGCAGCCAAGAGTCGACTGTCCAAGACTGTGTGAGTATGGATGACTGTGTTAGAATGTTGCTAGTATCAATCTCCTCTCCTCTCCTCTCCAAAAGCAATTGGCTGGCACAAGTCCTGTTTAAGTTCTGCTATGAAGTCAGACGTCCGCATCGTCAACTGCCTTGTTGTTGATATGTCGATCACCTGTGCTTGACAAGGATTGTTTCAGAGCTTCCGCGATACTGACATCAATTCGATCTTTTTATATCGGCCAGACTCGATGGATTGCATGTTGCCTCACACTGCATGATTAATGAGCATGGCCGCCAAAGTTGAACCAAGCCGCCTAGTTTGTGACCAACGATGTTTATCATAATGCCCGTAGTTGCGAGTCATCGCAATCACCAGTGTAGGAACAGTTTTGCAGCCGCTTTGATGCAGGCGAGGGCCAGACTCTGCATTGTTGTCGTCTAGTGTTTTCATCAACTCATGTCGAAGGTTCTCTGCAGCATCGTGCCAAAACTTGTATAGTGCGGCAGCCTAAAGCCCGTCGTCGGAAGAGCTTAGGTTAATTGTGGCGGACAATATGAGGCAGATTTTTCTCTCGGGCCGTACTGGTCGCCAACGGGTCGTTCGTAACTGGCAGAAGACAACTAAAAGGCAATGCAGAGAGTTCCACTGTTGAATAGTCGGTTTATTATCGTGTGCCCTAGCTTCTGTGCGCTACTCTTGCCAGAAGTCGATTGCAAAAGGTGTTAATGACCAGGATCCAATGATAGGCTGCAGGGAGCAAGTGGAAAGGCCCACAACTTCGGACACCGGCCGGGGTAGTCTTGGAGTGACACCGGACGCGCTGGTTCTGATCCGACACCGAGGAGAAAACCCCCGCCCGTGGCCAAGTTGTGTCCGCACACGTCGGCGAACGTCTTCCGTGTGTTGTCGACCTCGACTACCAGAAGTTCCAGAACAAGGTTCATGACCAAGGCAGGTAGGAAGAATGTGACGAGAAATTCCCTCATTTGAGGCACAGTAAAACAGTTTCAATCACACTAGGCGTTTTAACTTGGAGTTGAGAACGTAGATGTAATCTGGGCATATCGTATACCATGCCATATTAGCTCGTTTCGACGTGAGGACACATGCAGCTTGTGATAATTTGTCGAGTCTGGAGTTGATTTGGTATTGGAATCTCCAAAACCATAGTCGTAGTGTGACAGTGCTCTGAGTTGGAAGGTGAACACATCAAGGCTAGAGGATTTTTCTTGTCACATCCGGACAAATGGCTGGGCACAGTATGGGAGTACCCAGAAGGGAGCATCTAGGTATAGCAGCGTCAATAGTCAGAACATGGTAGCTCAACTTGCGTAGACTTTCCGCCCTGCACTAGGTTGCTGTAGCCCGCTTGCGATGGTGTGCAAATCAATGACCGGCGTGGTAGAATGTTCAAGGACGGGAACATGCTTCCATGGTCTGTTTCAGGCATCGTCACTTGACGTTCACTTTGAGTATACGGGCTGATAGCCGAATGAAAGGTTTCTGGGCCGGAAGATAGAGAGGCAGTAGGTCAGGCATGACAAGAGCAGAGATATTCCCCTCCATCCTGAGTCGGTAAGTGGAAAACCGACATACTGAGCTGGAAGCGAAGATATTTGCCGCAAGTCTCCCTTTACGTTCCGCAGTCGGTGTGTGGCTTGTTAGTAAAAGGGTTTATTATTTTCCGGTGATATCTTTGTCAGAGGAAAATGATTGCGAAAGTCGTTGGCGCTGAGAGCGATGATGTTGAGGTTGAGTTGAGGGAGTCACGAGGCGGGGCGTCAATCGATCGTGTGATCATGACTTCCGCCTTCCCTTCTGTCCACCAACACGTGACCATCCATGACCGAACCTCATCTGAATGCATATGCAACATCCAACAGAGGTAGTGAGTAATGGTGAGGATTTGCAAAGGGAAATTCAAATTCAATACAATGGCGGGCTGGTGAATTTCTTCACTATTCGTGCGGCCTATTCGCAGTTGCCATGGCTAGTAATCGACCTGGTAGTGCTGCGTAGTCGCCTACCCTATTGCGCCAACGTACGAACAACATCACGATATAAAACAACAAACACATATTGGTGTTGCAAGCCCATGAACTCTAAGACTTACCAGTTTAATATCGATTTCTGGTTCTAAAATACTCATATTCTCAACGCTCTACCAATATTACAAGTGTTCACTCGATAGATCCTCAACGTGACTTCAATCGACATGTCTCGTATTTTCAGGACGACGATGAGACGCAGTCATCCTCTTTTTCGATTCTTCTTACATCACTATCCACAACACTACTAACTCGCATGGGAGATCTCAATACTGACGAGAGTGGACGAAGGATTTGACAGTCCAGTTACATTTCATCATGTGAGAGCACCGTGAAGGGCGTTACCCGACTCCTCATCAATCCCGCCCATTCTTCTCAAATCGATGACTTTACGGGCAATAAACCAGTAAACGACATAACGCAGTCACCTGAGTTTGGCCCTGGTCAAAGCAAATATCTCCTTGCCTGGAATGCGTAATCGACTAAGGACTTGCAAGGTCCCGACCAGATATCTCACTTGAGTTCCGCCAATATGTGTTTGCACGAGCTCGATACGAACATCTACCTCGATCTTCCACCAGCCTCTTTTCATTCACCCAATCAACCTGATTATACCGAGTGAAGCATCTCATCGTGCTGTAGCGAGATGCATGAAAAAGCCCTATGAGGCAAGAATTGATATTGTAGGCGTCTCTTGTCCACTCGTCGCCAGCAGAAAGGTTCATAACTCGTGAAAACCATGCCGGATCTATGCTGGGAGATCGGATCTTGCCGTCAAACTGAGATTTGTAGGGGATCATATGATGACCAAGGCTTCATGTGAGGCAGTGTTTATATGGCTTGCAGCCTCCTCTCACGATTTCGGTATAAGAACCCTCGAGTCCCTCTGCAACATCGAAAGTGTCCTGTCTCACCCCAACATTCTCATACTTCTCTCGGGAACCATCTCACTACCCAAAGCTTCGATTGTACCGTCCTTGAAGATGAAGTCCACTCAGAACCTCGCAGCAGCAATGCTGTTTAACGGCGTTGCTGCTGGCATTGTGAAGCCAGCCATCGGGAACGAGACAGAGCCCAACACGGCAAAGACATTTGTTGCTACGGTCACGTCCGACCACTCCTTCTATTGCCCGGTGAGTTGAGATATACTCCAAGACCAAGGTAAGACTTGACTAATATCGGCCCAGGAGCCCACCGCCTTCTCTCACGGGGGAGTCACCTATACGGTCACTGAGCCAATGTATGTGACCATCACTAGTGAGTCTCTTATGCCTGTCTCTTTATAATCTATCGCGATGTAGCTGACAACCCTGCTAGACTGTCCTTGCGAGGTTACCTTGACGCAGAATCCAAAGTCTCCTGAGGTATCGATTGTGCCTCCAGGACCGCCTGCACCACCGCCTCAGGTTACAGCTCCTAAGCCAGGTCCTCCTCCTCCTGCCCCTGAACAACCAGCTACCGGACCTCCACCACCCCAAGTCCCCCCAACCGGCACCGCCATATCTGCGGTACCTTCTGCTGCAGCTAATAAGGCCAATGGCAACCTGGGTGCCCTTCTAGTGGCTGGTGTTGCTGCTCTTGCCATCTTAACTGATATCTGAGCAAGAAACTACGTCGAGGGCTGATGTTACGGGCTGGTCTTGCCACGTGGGGAACCGTATGTCAAGACCATATATGGTTGGGAATTCGATTGCAGCACAATGTAAATACTTCGGGATACAAGTCTAGGTAGACCGCTGGTGCATGCTAGTAACCATAGTAGACGAATGACACATCAGTTCTTGATATAGATAGGTATGCATAATAACAACCAGGCCAATAAAGTGATTTGTGGCTATCGATGTACAATTGCTGTATTATTTAAGAGATGCATTGCCGGGTATACACCATCTATCCTTCCATGACATGCAAGCCACTCCGTATAATATGCCAGTGTTGAGGTCGGTGCATATAGTTCGATCGTCGGGCCGATCCCATCTTTCCTCTTGGGAAACCATCTGCAATTTGCCCTTCAACGAATCACGAATCATCCATGACGCGATCGGCGGCATCTGTAGATCTGGGGAAGTTGTCGATCATGCCCGATACTAACTGAAATTGATGAACCTTAATTGGAGGCTCTGCTCTTTTCTGAGATAGTTTCCGGGTCGCGTACAGTGGTGGACGCCCTCTACCCCGTAAAACTACAAAAAAACAGATCTGAGCTAGTTATACTCATACAGTTCGTTGCTGCGTAATGCATATTCTCGTATATCAAGAGACTTCCCCCATAAGGATCTTTTGATTTTCAATGTTGGGCGTTTACTCGTCTCTGCCGATACTCCTAGCTCAGCGGGTCTAGCATTCCCGTCGCCTCCATGCGTGAGCGAACTTCTCGCACGAGGGCCTTTGCTTCCTCCACTTCAACACCGTCCTGGCATAACTCGGACGCAAGACGAGAAGCCGTCATATAGTCTCCGGTGCGCATGGAGAACTTGGCGAGCCACATGCGCGCCTTGCTAGTCGCCGCTGTGACTCCTGTGCCTTCGTTGCTTGCGTTCTCATTGCCCTCAGCACCATTGTCAGACCCGGGTGGTGAGTCATTGTGAATAGCAATCGACTCAGCAGGGTCAACTTCTGCGGCCCCACCACCATCTTCTTGAGCCACACATAGCTCCATGTAGGATCTGGCTTCTTCCTCCTCGCCTAGTTGATCGTACATAGCTGCAATCTGTAGGAGGATGTCGGGATCCATATGGCCTGTGGCACTGCGACTTCCCAGAAGATCTCCGCTACCAAAGCTGCTGCCCACGTCATAATATGCATCCGCGAGCAAGGCTCGTTTCAGTGCCTTGATACCGTCGCGTTCTCGGCCCATTTTCTGTAGGCATGAACCTACGGCCATCCACATCTTTCCATCCCACGGCCGCAGACCAGCCGCCTTCTTGTAGTACCATAATGAATATGTGTGCATTTCCAGCATCTCGTATGTCTGACCTAGACCATACCAGGCCCGATAGTCCCGGCGGTTCACGTCGACAGCACGACGGTACGACTCGATCGCTGCATGAGTATTCTTGAGCTCAACATACTCATGGCCCATCAACGTCCATGCTGAAAGGCATGATCGATCCAGTGTCAAAGCACGTCGAAAGTACTGCACAGCCTTCTCATGCATAGATAGTAAGGAGTAATAATTTCCGATCACAACACAAGACTCCGGTCTAAACTTGTCGACACTAGAGCAAAGATGCGCGAGGAACGCTAGCTTTGGTCGGAGGTTGAGGACGTAGAGAATGTTAGAATAATGGTCGAGTGAATCTAGCCGATGAGGATGGAGTGCCAGCAATCGAGTAAAATGCTGTTCAGCAGCCATAAGATCCTTGGCGTGATACGCTAATAATGCATTGCATGTGAGGAGGAATGAGGATGTGGGGAATATTGAAAGAAGCTGTTCGAGGGAGTTGGCCAGACCAGGGCCTTGTTGGTAGAGTTCCAGAGAAGTGTGCAGGTGGAACATGTAAGAGACAATGTTTTGGGGACAATGTCTGGATATTCGGTTCAACTAAAAAGTTATTAATAAATTGGAGTTTCGCCAGGCAATTGCGTGTAAGACTTACGTCCTCGACTCGAGATATTAGCGACGTCATTTCCAACCAGCACCCCCAATTCATGGTGTACTTGTGCACACTTCGGATGAAGTATTCCAATGCCTTATCATCGTTCTTCTCTTTAGCGAGCACCATTCCATATCTAACTTTGGTTAGCTGAGTCATTGCAGAGACAATGGCCATAGCACTTACAGATATTCAAGCCATCCCTGACTACCTAGGACTTCATCGTCTTCTGTCGTTCTCTCCTCGAACCAAGTGGCCAAGAAACGACCTATAACAAGCAACTGCTTGTTGGCTACCGTTCCAAGATCTTGAGGGCCCATAACCATTTCTGAATCTTCATTTCTACGCTTCTCCCCAGAGATGAACTTGGCATAAAGGGCCAGGAAGAGACTTTTCTGACTGAGCTTAGGCAGCGGTATCACACCCGATGCTTCCACTGCCTTTCCTTTCCCCTTTCCTTTAGCCGCTGCAGAAGATGCTGAAGAATTGTGGACACGTGAGGCAAGGACGCTGGAAAGAAGCGAATCAGGCAGGAAAACGGCAGCGCAGCGATCGTACTCTCGACAGTCGAAGAGAGATTTGGCCAAGAGGTATTTGCTAAGTTCCCTGGTCTCGAGTATCGCTTCTTCAGGATCGGTATTCGCAGCGAATATGGGAGAAACGTGGCCGGGATCCGCAGGATTGATGTTTTCTTCGTCATCGTCGGTTTCGGGGAGCGCATTGAGTAGTTCGGCAGCCCTACATTTGTGTCAGTTTCAGTTCATTACCGAGAGATAGGATGGCCATATACCATTTTGACGACTGGTATAAACATCTTTCTGAGCACTTGACTACGGCGTCCTGTAGAGCAGCGCGCAACTGTGAGATCTCGTGGGCGCTGAGAACCATGGTTTGTTGTTTTGAAGGTTGGTGGGGGTTAGTTAAGGTATTGTAGGAGAGAGCAACAGCTCGAAAACGCAGACGCGGGTGCGCTGTGCCTCTAGAACCCGACCAAACAGTGGCTTGAGCTGTAAGGAAACCCAAGTGATTTGAGGTACACTTTTTAGGTGTTGTTTGGTGCACTCAATATGAGCTTTGGAGGTGTCATGAGCATGACCGCCTAGTGCTTGACAATCATCATATCAACAACCCAGGCGCGCATCACAGATCCGTGCGTAACACCATGTACACTGTAAGCTTTCACTGTGTGCACGTTAAGAGGAATATCGTTGTGAACCAGAGCCGTTGAACCTGAGATCCGTCATTTGTGATACGGCAATTTCAACAGCCAGCACCTAAAATTACTGTTATTAATCTTTATTGAAGAAGGTTTATTTTTGACCATGATCTGTCAGACCAATACTACAGCCACCTAACTTCAATTCACTTACACTCATTTCTAACGTTATATGCTGTACCACAACGGCGCCAGTAGAAAGTCAAATCACCCAATACTCCGAAAGGCTGGTGAAACAGTTACCGAATACTACTAGTTAGTATTTATATGGATACAGAGTTTTATTCGTATCAGTTCAGAATTCGCGTCTGGGACACTTATTGCAGAGATGATATAGCAGACATGGGTGTCAAGCTGAGGAATAAAGGCCAGCCTCGCCCTCTCGTGCTCGAGTTCAGCGCTTGTATCGTACAGTTTCTATAACTATAATGCTTCAATAAGTCTTCTTTACGCAGGAAACTTTGCTTAGTAGCTACCATAGCTCTGGAAATCCTTCTTCTTATCACAACCAACTCTATTGCAAGGCCTCTATCCTAGTTGCGTAGACGAGCATTATGAACGCCAATAGAGCTGTCCGGATATTTCCTTGCATCCTGTGCTGGACACCAGAAGTCAAGTGTCCTAACTATGTGTTTCTCAAGCAAAGCATATGCATCGACTGCGAGGTAAAGTAAACCTATTCACAGCCAATTCCTCCAGCACGCCCCTGATCAAGTTTCACACTCTGACACAACTCTTAGAGAATGCGTAGGCAGTTTGGCGAAAATGAGCTGATTGCATCAAGAGTCCACGAGACCTTTGTGCGATACCTGCTCGATAAGTATCCGGAGAGGGACGGTATCACGTACGAAAAGATCAACGCATACATCATGAGCGCCAAGGAAGTTAACGTGGACAATCTTCTTACAGTTGCACTGGACTACATCTTTCGCAACTTCAGTGAACTTTATCATTCGGTTTGCGATGCGGTTGAGGCAGCGCGAGATAGGGGTCCCATGAGATGGACGCCCGATCATTTGGTTGAACGACTCGAGAGGGTGAGTGCAGAGCAGGAATGGGAGCAAAGGAGAAAGTAAGTTGTTGCGTTGTTACTACAAAGATAACATGGTATTGGGCGTCTTTCACATACTCAGTTAAGACACACTCTGTTAGGTAGATTAGAATTATAGGCGTCAGTCAGTCACCTCATGAAACCCGGGTCAGTTGTCTAGTAACTGGTAACTAAATGTTATCGCAAGTGGTGTTCTATCTTATAGGAGACTACAAGCACCCTTACTGCCATATCTCTGTATACTCCCAGCTTTAAGAAAAGGCACAGATACAGCACTTGGATTTATTTGGCGAGTGAATTGGAGCGTTTACCCAACCAACAGACATGTATCACAGCATTCGAGTGGTTGTGAATCTCAGCAACGTCTCACAAAACAATCAACCGTTACAGTATCGTACAATCCGCTGCAGCACGTGCGATTAGGACTTTCACAGTGTCAAGCTCCCTCACCGAATGAGACTTGATATAAGAGAGAGCGCACAAGACTCCATTTGACCATTTGACATGCGATTTGAACCTCTGGTTGAGCATGCATCAAGAGAGTAGCAACTTGGTGAGCGATATCCCCGTGCCAAACCATTCCAACGAGATACAAAACAACTGCCTTTCGCGCAAAAGCATGCGTTGGCCTTGTAGCCATTACTGTGGTAGTAGGAGGTGTAACAGCTATGTCGATATCTTGGGAGCGATATGCCAGGACTGCAAGGTATGTACATGTGCATATCGGTATTCCTGTGAGCAGCCGTCATCGATGAGACGTTATTGACAGCAGATTCCACCAATCCAGAACCGTAAAGACATGGACAGTACGCCGACGCATACTCGACTCGCGCATATGTACGATGTGGAAGCATTTGTCGAAGGGTTCCGCAACGCAGAGCTCAATGTTGCGTGCGTTGTGGACATGATGAAGGACGGTGCTGCAGAAAGAGCACTGCTTGATGCATTGGATGTGATTCGGGAGAATGATACTGATTGGTATGATCGAGTCAAGTACATTATCCCACAAGGGATCCGTCAGTATAAAGAAGAGGTAAAGAATTAGTTGGTTAGGTTATATCAACTTCGGAGTTTGGGGTTCAGGATATGGAGTTTGAACACATAATCAATAAAACAGTTTCATATAACTAATACAGTTGAATTCTCATGTAACGAAAAAGCCTTGAAATACAAAAACATATCAAACTCGTTGTTAACAACAGCGATATGTAGTAGGTGTCAAAAATACCTAGTACTTATCTTCACTAACAACTTGGAAGGTTGTTGTGCATCCGTAGTTCTCACCGTTGAGTAGGTCGTTTCCCTAGTCCTCTCCAACTGCCACTAATTTTACCTTTTACCTACCCTCACCGCCCACTAAGGTTACCCCTCCACTCCTTTGGTCCCTTAAACTGGGGGCTTTCCCGTCTTTATCCTCACCGAGCAAATCAAGCGTCGAGGCCCCTCCACTACAAATTCGCGAATGAGGAAAGAGGGGCATCAAGCACAACCCCCTGCTTAAAAAGACATTACCTCCATACTAATACCTAGGAGCCGTACCTACCTGTTGGTACATAGACGTCTGGTGCATTCAGGTTAGGCTGGCTTGTATTGATCAATTCCGACTTCTTTTCTTCCTCTTCTCAAAAGGCGGTCGATCAACCTCTGTCCTCTTCTTTACACGTTCCAGCAACTTCTCTTCACGCAAACTCAGTAACAATGGCTAAGCAGACTACCCTCGAGGAGTTCAACTCCGTTTACCCCAAGCTTGAGGAGACTCTTCTCGACCATGCCCGCTCCTACAAGCTCCCTCAGGAGCAGCTTGACTGGTACAAGAAGGTAATTTTGAATCTGAAGCTATTCATAACTTCCCAACTTCCTAATTTCTCAGCCCCAAGTCAATCACCTTTCCACAGCAAGCTAATATGTCGCCGTCGTCCTCTAGTCTCTCGAGGCCAACCCTCTTGGTGGAAAATGCAACCGCGGCATGTCCGTTCCCGACTCGGTCTCCCTCCTTCTCGAGAAGCCTCTCACTGAGGAGCAGTACTTCCAGGCCGCGACTCTCGGCTGGATGACAGAGCTTCTCCAGGCTTTCTTCCTTGTTTCCGACGATATCATGGACTCCAGCATTACTCGACGTGGTGCTCCCTGCTGGTACCGCCAGGAGGGCGTTGGCATGATCGCTATCAACGACGCCTTCATGCTCGAGGCCGCCATCTACACCCTTCTCAAGAAGTACTTCCGCTCTCACCCTGCCTACGTCGATCTTATCGAGCTTTTCCACGAGACCACCTTCCAGACCGAGCTCGGCCAGCTGTGTGACTTGCTCACCGCCCCCGAGGAGCGCGTCGACCTCGACAACTTCTCAATGGAGAAGTACAGCTTCATTGTCATCTACAAGACTGCTTACTACTCCTTCTACCTCCCTGTCGCCCTCGCCCTCCACCAACTCAACCTCGCCACCCCTGAGAACCTCAAGCAAGCCGAGGACATCCTTATTCCCCTTGGAGAGTACTTCCAGATCCAAGACGACTACCTTGACAACTTCGGCAAGCCCGAGCACATTGGAAAGATTGGTACCGATATCAAGGACAACAAGTGCTCTTGGCTCGTCAACCAGGCCCTTGCCATTGCTACCCCCGAGCAGCGCCAGGTTCTCGAGGAGAACTACGGCCGCAAGGACGATGACAAGGAGAAGGCCGTCAAGAACCTATATGACGATCTCAAGCTCGAGCAGCGCTACCTCGACTACGAGGAGAAGGTCGTTGGCCAGATCCGTGAGCGTATTGCCAACATCGATGAGGCCGGAGGTCTTAAGAAGACTGTGTTCGAGGCTTTCCTTGCCAAGATCTACAAGCGCAGCAAGTAAACCAGAACTGTCGAATAGGGGACACAAAAGTAATCGGGGGAGAAGGGAGCGTACGATTTTAAGTCGTAGTGCAAAAGTTGCGCTTACAGCGAAGCGGACTCAGAGATGTGTCGCGATCATATAGACCAAAGATACCTCAAATAAATCAAGATAATGAAAGACATCATAAATGATTTTGTTTTTCAGAAGACAAAACACAGCATAAACTTTGCATTTCCAAAGGGGCAGATGGATCCCGTCCTGATCAAACCCAGCCAGCATCGAGGGTGAACCTCCGCTGCAACCACAGATAAACAAGATAAACAGAATATCCCAAGCAAACAGAACTCAAAGAGAAATCAAACATAAGAAATGAATAAGACTGGAACTGGGCGCAACGTGCCCGTTTTCTTTAAATGACACCCTACGTTAAGTGCTCTATTCATCACTTCTTCCATTTGATCCAAGTCTGTACTATAATGTATCGCCACAACTTGTAGTCCAACCTCATGATATACAAACAGGCTATGAAATCATGACCAAGGAATATCCTCTGGTTTTGACATAACGGGCATTATTGCATAAACTCTTAACAGCATCCAACAAAGTGATTCTGGAAAGAAAGGGTATCGACACTCTACTCAGTTCCTTGACGCATGACCCAGGGTCCCAGCCCGGTTAATCAAAGGTTCCCGCGGGCGAGGATCACGGCCGCGAGACTGATCAAGCGGCCCTGTGTTTTCCCGGCGTAAGGAACGAATTGGCAATGGAGGCACAGGAGGGGCGTGACTCAGCGGTTGCTGTGTTCCTGCGGTAGACCGGCTCCGAGGGCGACCGCCGACGTTCATGGAAGAGGAGGGTGTAACGCGAGACTGGCCGACAAGACCAGAGGCACTACGGGTGTTGAACATGCTATTGTTCTGGCCACCTGTGGCGAGGCTGATCAGGGGGCCGCCCGCCGGAGCCTCAACGCCATGACCCTTATTCTTACGCCATTGAGGTGGCTCAGGGAAACTGCTGGTCAGATTGAGCAGCGGCTGTGGCATTTCAGGAACCTTTTCAGAGGTGGTAGGCCGCCTAGAAGGGTCCCGAACAGATCGACTGCGGTAGCGTGGCTGGGAAGACTGTTCTGTACCTAGAGGGAACCAAGATTTCGAATCTGTCATGTTTCCCTTGGGGGATGTAGGTGAGAGCACACCGCCATTGAGCAATGAAGGACCATTCGTAAAAGCTGAGTCTGTTGAAGGGACATTGTTGTTGACTGGTGTACGTTCCGAAACCTTTCGTTTTTGTTCGTAGCCCTGGCCCAATAGCGATGGTCCTTTAGTAAAGGCTGTATTTGTGGTGGCAGGACTGAGGACAGGCGCTTGCTCAGCCATTCTGCGCTTCTCTTCGTAGCCTTGACCCAGGAGCCCACTAGGGGAGAATTGTATTTCGTCCTGAGGCATTGGCGGCGGCCTATGCTTATGATGCACCGACCTAGACTTTGACAATGTGCTTGGCTGTTTGCAAGTGGCCTTGCGCACAAGTCCAGTCTTGAACTCGGGATCGGAATCTTGGTCACGTCTATCCTTGGGCTGCTCCAAATCTTTGCCAAACTCCTCCAAAGGCTTGTCGAAACGGTCCATATCAAGAAGTGGCTGGAAAGCACCAATTGTGTAAGGGGTTTCATTGACGGAAACCTTGGCACTATGTCCCTTGTTGGCAGCAGTACTCTTCGATCGAGACATGGTTTTAGGAGACGTTTTACTGTCGAAGAACTGGGGTGATTTGTCCTTCTTTTCGAAATCCACCTGCTTGTTAACCAAATACCAACTTCGCCAACGCTGCACAAGTTCCAGGAAACGCCGAGCAATTTGTCCGTCTTCGGCACAAAAGAAGTGGACGAAGTTTTCCCCATTAGGAAACACGAATGTCTTCTGCTGGCTCTTTACAGCATAGCAGAAACGGCGTGGTGCTTTAAGATGACGCCTGGCCTCGCTTTCCCTCGGTGTATAAATATCAAAGTCTGACAAATGGCATAGGACGGTGCTGTCCTTGTCTGTGACCTTGGAATCGGGCTTTTTAGAAGCAAACATTTGTCCGGATTCCAGAAGCGTGATGCACCGTTTGTTCCATTTTCCCGGCCTTGAAGAATGATACATCTGTAGACTGAAACCGGGAGGAGGAGTCGGTGTCCGTGGCACTGACTTGATATCAAGATCAGGGTCGTCTTTTTGAGAGATGTCATTTGTAACAACAAGAAGCGAGTTTTGCTGGTCGCGATCCCAAGAGTTCATAACATCACGAATTCGTTCATAGCGGCGAAGACGTCGCTCAAGGCCTAGCTCGACATAGCATTCAATTAATACGCTGGCCTCCGGGTCAATGTTATGGCTTGTCAAATTTGCAGTCGAGTAGAGAATGTCTACGGGCGAAGTTTCGGTATTGACAGGGAGATTGATAACGGAAGAAAGGCATCGTACGCACACGCGCTGAAGTGGGAGCATCTCGTTAGATATCTTAATGGCAATTTTTAGAATAGGGTATAAAGCTCACTCTTTCACCTCCGTTGATGGCGGAAGTAGGCGCATCGATACCCGGCACGATGCCTTTGCCGCCCTGTTCTATAAAGCTCATTTTGTCTGGTGAAGCAGAGTTCTCTAGACTGTTAGGGCGGCTGGAATCAAGAGAAAAGACGGTCGGTGTTTCAGGACTTGGCGTGCCGACCTGGCTTGTCACAACATTCGATCGCCTGCTGCGATACAAGAAGGGCAGTTTATCAAGGACAAGGAATCGTGGGAACTTGGGCGACGGAGTCGGAAGTTGCGTGCGAATGCGAGCAAGGTCGCGCTTCTTTTGCTCGGCGAGGATGCGATCAGTCTCAGCCTCAAGGCGGGCAACTTCCTCCGCCAAGCGTTCTTCTTCTTCTTGCTGACTTTCGAAGGTTTCTCGTTCGAGTTTTGCAGCGCGCTCTGCGGCTTCAGTATTGATACGTAAAGCTCGAAGGTTGCGGCTCTTAAATCGGGCGATGTCACTCGCTGATGGCACAGTTCGAAGAATAGGCGAGTCTGGCGGTGGAAGATCGAATGCAGATATCGGCGGAAGCTGTTTAAATAAGTCTGGGGTACGAGGAAGACTGCGGCTGCGACTGCGACTGCGACTACGGCTGCGATCACGACTGGCGAGGCGCGCACGAGTGTAGGCGTAATCTTGGTTTAAAGTTGGCGACCGTAGAGGTAGAGGTTTGGAAGCTAAGGTTGAAAGTGATGGTGGGATGTTTGTAGTTTTAGGCGTTAAGACGTATAACGGACTGGCCAGGGGGCTGCTGGGGCCAGACGGGACAGCGGGCGACGGCGCGGTTTGAAATTCAGACGCTAAATTTAAATTACTTGATGCGCCAGCAAAGCTTTGAGCACATGGTGACACCAAGAGAGACGGAACTGGGGAGCGAATAAATGAAGGCCTGGACGATAGACCGCCATGACCGTGTCTCACGACTCCATTGTCAGTATTACCAGTGCCCACCGCAAGTCGTGGGGATAGACTGCCAATAATCCCCGTAACACTTTCCGCTAGACCTTTGAAGAACTCTACTCCGCGATTCCCAACTGAACCTGAGACTACTGGAGATGGTGACGCTGGGAGCGCGGGCAACGGGGGATGTGGTTCTCGTGTCGATGTTATCGTTGAGACCACACTTCTTGATCGTCGTCGAGCAATTCGTGTCATCAATGTCGGCGAGTCGAGTCGTGGGTAACAATCCCCCTCAGCCAGATGGCTTCCGTCTGATGGAGGGTCGGCATACACCTCGAAGGTTTTGATATTATCGGATGAAACTCTCTTTCCGCGTAGAGCTCGATATTTCGATATACTTGGTATTGGTGGTTTTCTATCGTCAATTGGATACTGCAAGTAATCGTGAAATTGCAACGGGGCGGCCGCAACCGCCACTGGCGACGCCATTTCCAAGACGTTGCCGCTAAAGATCTTGTTCCTGCAGTGGTGGATGGACCCTTAGGTAGCGCTGATGCAGCCCTATCGGAGCACCCACGGCCCTGAGGCGGACAAGGTTTTCGGATCGATCCACCGTTGTAAAAGACCAGATTGGGCAATTTACCAATCGCTTAGGATCTTCGACAGGGTTGATTTTCGGTAAGTGTTATCGTAACTGATCTGATCCGTCTGCTCCACGGGAAGTGATAAAGGCCTCAATGTTGAATAGAAAAGAAAGTTGACAGCCTCCATATATAGAGGCTTCTTTCAAGCTGAACGTCGAATGGAAAAGGGGAGCCAATATGGCTATTGTGAATCGGACAGCTTCCACGCCAGGTGAACTGTTCTAATGCTCAACAGTAAAACAAACAATGCATCAAGAAAAGAAAGCCAAAAGAGTGATCTCTACCTACCTAAGTAAGTACCTAGGTAGTTATCGCTCTTTGCTTGTCTCGAAAGGCAGTTGACGGGAAATGGAACTGAAGGCGGTAGATAAGGGGCTCCCTTCCATAATAACAAAAACTACCAGCTTCGGCAGGCAGTACTTGAGTATCGATATGCCGAAATCTTGTCCATCCCTCGAAAGACTTTTCAGCTCTTACTCCTCAAGAATGAGCGTGGTAATGCATTTTGTATACAATAGTAGCAACGGTATGTGGTCAGGGGGCATTAATTGAGGCTCTGGTATGAAGCCAGATTTGAGCTTTGAGTTTGGAGGGCCCAGGTCAAGTCATCCATCCCTTGAAACCCTGAAGATACATTCCAGTGCGAAAAACGGCAAACAAACGTCCTAGACTAGAACCTGGCAATGTTGAAAAGGTAAGAATGATTTTGGTACGTCTTTAAGGGTGCAGTTATGTTCATCAGCATTGGGTTTTGCGATCGATCATGGACCATCTGGGTCCATATACCCAACTACTTTCAGCCAACACATGAGAAATACCGACAATAACAAGAGACATGTTCGAGGTATTTTAAACTCGCAAAAAAGGCTTCCTTGCGAGTAGAACATGGGAGCTAGTCAATGTTCAACGACATGTAGGTATTAAACTTACATCAATTAACCACTGACCGGTTGGTTGTTTGCTGATGCCGACACGACAAGAATCAGGTCCCAATCGCTGACATTATATCATTCTCCCATTTGAGCGAGCGAAAGAAGGAAGACAGTGGTGCAGGTTGTAAGGGCTGCGGCCCTTGTACATGGCCAAAGCTAGCATACAAGACATATCCCCCTTTTCAATACGAAGCAGTGCAACCACGACTCAATGAGACATTTCGTCTCGTCTGAAACCTGGCACTTTAGAACACATATGCCATAGATGAATTCAACAGTTTTTACTGGTAGACCGGAAGATGTGCGTCCTTATTTGCGAAACGCACGAACCTCACGCCTCCACCAGCCTGTAAAGTCGCATGTCGAAACATCAATTCCCAAGTCCTTTAGTGTCTTTGTGCTCAGGTGGCAGTCGTAAGGCCGTTGTACGCTGGCATTCGGGTCATTCCCTTCTGTATTGGGTTTGATCCCTTCTGTTGACAGGCCCATAATCTCACCAAACAGTGCGACTATCTCGTACTTTGTCATCCGGTCTTCAGAAGAAAACTGGAGGATGTGAGGAAGAGAAGCACGGTCATTGCTGGGAGTATCGAGGTATTTGACAGAGATATCTTACCTTGCTATTAGCGAATTTCTTTTTCATACGTGTGTATTCTCAACAGATCATGACAAACGAAAATCAGAGCATGTCGCCACTTTTGTCGAAACATGGTGGCTGAAAGGGAAAGTGAGACATACCGTGACAGACTCGACCGATATCTTCTGTGTTGGTGGGATAACGAATCGCCCAATGGTCCATGCTGATTTGGGCCCCTTCTGTCTGGGCCTTCCACAACGCGTCCATCAGAACGTTGACCGCACTCTCGGCCGGTATCTCAGCATTTCCGTACAGGACAGGAACGCGAAGTACAACGCCTAGGCCATCTTTACCTGCCTCCTTTAGGGCATCTAAGACGGCATGCTCGCCATCTAGTTTGGTTTGGCCGTAGAGATTGGTTGGTCGAGGTTCGGCATCGGCCTCATATGGAGCGTCTCCGGGCACACCGGGAAATACGTAGTCAGTTGAGATGTAGATGATAAAGATGTCTCTGTCCGCCGCCAGCTTGGCAAGTGTCTTGCTTGCTACGACGTTGAGCGCCCGGGCGCCCTCAGGATCTTTGTCGACCTTATCGGGGAAACGCTGGGCAGCGCCTTGTGTGATGCATGTTAGATTCCGTAGAAATTGGTGATATGAGACAGCTTACAGTGAACTATAACCTGTGGTCTAAGTACATCAAGCCATTGAGGTTAGCTTGCGAACTCGCCGCGGCATTGGAAGGGAGGGTTCGAACTTAGTCTCATCGAGAAAACTGGCCACTTCGGCCTCGTTTCCAAGATCAACTTTGAATGTATTGACTCCATCCGCGCGCGAATAGCCTGTCCCTTTCACAGTCCAGTTCTGGAGACCAAAAGCGGCGGAAACCTCACGGCCGAGTAGGCCAGTGGCACCAGTAACGAGGACAGTACGTTCAGACATGGTCCGTTGAAGTGAAGAATAAATTACCAAGGCTGCAAGGGAGCGATGTGCTCGTTGAAGGTCTTAGGAGAGTGTAAGTGAGAGTAGGAAAAGAGGTAAGTAGAGGTTGAAACGTCATCGCCTTCAAATGTGCAATGTGGGGATTGTCATGAGGGGCAAGAAGCAACATCAAAGTCACGCGAGCCCTGTGCTTCCTAAATTTTTATTTAAAAGTAAAGAATTTGAGAATGGCGTCTTCGTTATTCTTAATCAAATATTATCGGCATGTTCTCTGCTATTTGTGAAATCTATGGTAGTCATCTGACAATTTAGCACTAGCACCGAGTGGTTTCATGTTGAGCGGGTTTTCTCTTTACCTTCATCGAGCATTGCCAACAAGATAAAAAAGAACATCCCAAAGAGGATACAGTCCCCCTATTTCCCTATTATTCGCGAGCAATTGTAGATATTCAAGATGAACAGCGGGATTACAGCCTTCAGCTACCTGCATAACAGCTTCCGCTTTCTGGTGGTCCTGTTTAGGGTAAGACTAGAAACCTTCCTAAGCGTCCACTTTGGATCAACATCACCTCTTGTAGCTCCTTGACTACCTAGGTACTAGGTGATATAACCAAGCTAGCTAGATACCTACATAGGTAGGTATGCTTTTAACACAAGAATACCGTTGCACAAGCTTTTGAAGAACGTTCTTGAGGAAACAGAAACTTGCAAAACTCATTGGATTCCTTTACCACTCAGCACCAACAAATCACTCCCCTACTAAAATAAACTGTAAACGATACTGGGATTTGGAACACTCGCTTCTCGGCCATCGATCTTGAATCATAAATGATAGATTCATATCGATATTGTACCTTATAGAACTGATACATCATATTGCTTAGGGCCATGATATGCAATTGAGTGGGTTCGCGCCAAAGACATCCATTCTTAGCCGCCTTGCGCATTTTAAAGGCGCGGCATAGCTTAAGACCAACACCTATGGCCAAAAACCTAGTGAAGACGCTTATGTAGGCTAAGACTCATGCATGTGTCCTGTGGTAATCAAGCGATTGAAGTCAGGCCGATGAAGTAATGTGCAACTTGATGCCCCAAAGGCAGCCGAATTCAACACCGCGTGGCTATGCACGTATGTGTATCCCTGAGTTGCAGGCGAATGAGGTGCATAATCTGATCTCAGATGACCTCAGCAGTATACCTATCGACCAAATGGAGTATTCGCCGCGGGCCGGTGCAGTTGTAGCCAGGCGCTTCCAGGGGTACTACTTGGTGACTTTGGATGTACAAGAGACAATAGATTCAAGATGCAGATGTGAAATCTTCAATAATTGGATAAAACCCTCGGAGATACCGTGAGGGTGTGGGTTGGGTGACGAGAAATTGTATCTTCATCTGTTCTGAGCCTTTTTCGCCATTGAACCAGGTCTTGCAGGCCTATCAGGAAACGAATAACTTCAAGAAAGATGCGGATGAGTTATCCCAAGAGACAGAACCAACAGCTTACGGGTTCACCGCCCATTGTGATTGAGATTTAGGCCTCCACGAGGCTGCTTGGTAATGGTTGAGCCGCCTGTGGAGTGGTGTTTAGGATGGCCTCAAAGCGTCATCAGAATTTCCTAATCGAGGTAAATTTCCTGGTTCATCTCTCACTCGTAGTTAAGTGATTTCGCTCGAGGGTGGACGACTTTGTAGACTGGTGACGTGCACCTTATGGTAGTCAGAAGATGCGTGTCTAACAGCCGAGTTCGTGGAGACTGTTGGTTCATCAGCAGGGGCCTTGGAAGTGGCAAGTCTTATCGAGAAGACCATTTTTGAGAGTCAAGTTGATTTGGATCCACTGGGGCTGATACTTATGCCCAAGAAAGCAAATATTCTATCATTGTTAGACGGTAGACAGATAATCCAAACTAGGTCGACGATGCGGAAATAGAAGCGTTGTAATGTGGATGTACTATTGATAAGGAATTGACGATTTGCACCACCAACAGTATCATACTACCTTCGTAACGACCCAACTTCACCTGACTCAGATCACGGTGAAGGCCATGGAACGAGACAGGCTTTTTCTGCTAAGCTGCAATCAAGCAGCACAGGGTTTGCTTCTCCCACATGTGATAATCCATTGCCCAAAAGCTTTAGCACTGTTGGTGTGGGTGTTGAGACCAAATGGAAAAATGTATTTGACAAATTGAGCTTCTGTAATGATCGCCAAGGCCATGCATGTATCAGGCTCGGTTAAGTTCACATCGACTTCGATGCAACGACGCAAATATTGCCAAGGCGATATCATGTCACATGTAAATGTCTCTTCTATTGAAAGAATGGAAACAATCCTGTACTTGTGGCATTATTGGCAGTATTCATGACAGCACGTCGAACTTGTTTTTGTTTGGAGCTGAGTGGGTTCTGGCATATTTGTTAGCATTTGTCCCTTTATAAAAATGACGATTACCTCTAGACCTGCCTCTTCCTGAACTTGCTACTAGTCAACGCGTATAAGTCTTTTCTCTATACATTCGGTATAGCCAACTGTATTTGCGTTGCGATCCTCATTTCTCACGACATATGCCGGATATGTCTTTATCGTAGAGAGGTGCCGGCCGATGCCACCTGGAATCTCAAATCCTGAACGCCTGTGATGTTCTCTATTCTCAACATGGGCATTGTTAACCATTGGGTAGCTATGCAGAGTGAGATAACTGTGTCGATGAAGCCCTTGTCCAACAACTAAATAGATATTCGGGGCTAGGTATCAGGAATCATGTGCATTTAGCTAAACACGTATCTTATCGATTAAACTGGAGTGATATTGGACTTACTGCTCTTCCCAGTTACAAAAAGGGAGTTGCCGGAAACAAGAAAGGGAAAATAATATTTCAAAATATTCAAAGAAGAACAAACTACTAGATACTATAGGTAAGTTTCGTCCGCGTCCTTGGACGTATGGGTGGCACGCGTACTTACTTATACCAGCCAGCATGATCAGAAACAAGTAGCTTGTCATTGCTACCCATGAAATTCACCTCAACTATTCCGATACTTGGTTCTGTCTTCAACTATTTGTTTTTGAGAAACCCAGGCTCTATGCGCTCCTGCATCTCTATCGACAAGGTACCTGTTATTTCTCAAGTGGTATAAGAGTGTGTACTTGGGTGTTGACTTGGCCTCAGGTAGAAAGCGATTTCTCAGTGACCTTGCTGATCAATATTGCTGACGACAGGAATTAACTGATGGGCATCTTCGGACTTTCCATCTCGCTGGTGGGTGATCTTTATGGCTAGCAATACTGCATAGCAAGTCGAAATTTGACAACGAGACGACCAAACTTGAGATAGAACACGCAAGGCAAACCAAGACCAAGCATGCTTGGGTTCTGTCAGGAAGTTAATTGGCCGACTCTCACTACTATAGGTAGGTAGGTACCTTAGTTAATAATTACATGCATCGGCCTTGTTTCACCTTGGACGGGAGTTCACCTATGGTTCGCAAAAAAGTCCAGCTAGGTAGTTGCCTTACGATGGCTCCTTGAGCCAGTGGTTGGCTCATTAACCATGCTAAACCAACCCATCGATATGAGCATTAGCGAAGACCTCAAACCTAAACATGATGTTTAATAAACAAATAACTGCAAGGCAGGGTGAGATGATTCTTGTTGACTGGCGCTTAGGCCGTGGATACAGCTGCCTCTACTGGCCCAAGGTCGATTAACGTGTAATGGATGGCACTAACCAGGATGGAAAAGCTACCTTTAACGTCATCACATCTGATTATCTAGGTAGGTACCTAGTTACGCAGATTCATATAGAAGCTGGCGGTAAGAGATTCGGTGCTCCGCACAGCTTATGACAATATCACCATAGCACTATGGTTTGTGACGGTCGATCCAGCAACGCAACTGCAGTCATATAATCCCGATACCCCTGACCCTTGACCAGCCCAGCCACCTCCATTCCCTGCGGATTCCATAGTATTCCATTTCTGTCTGACGCTGAGTCAAGGGTTGAAAAGGACTTTATTTTGAAGTCTCGCATCGACATAGATATTCCATTTCCTACCCAATGCAGTCTTCATGGCCATGTCGTATCGGAGCCTTGGACCATGTAATGAAGACATCTTGCAAGACTAAGGTTATGATGAAAGGGGAGGAGCGATATGTAGCGAGGTAGTGTTCAAATGTAAGATGATACCTACTCATTACGAGGAAGTTGTCATGTACCTAAGGGATAACATACATCGTTGTTGCCTCAGATCCTTATCAAGATACCCGTCTCTTAAGTTTCGAGGCAAGTGTTTTATGGTGCGCCCATGCCTAGCTGCAATATACCTACCTACCCTTCACAGAGCCGCACTGCCTTGTATCATCTGGTGCGCCTGCCTGGCTAGCAATTTCCCCGCCAAGTCTCTTTTACTGTCTCTCAATTTCTCTCCTTGCTGTAGCTCTTCCCTACCAACAGCTTATTGACACTACCAAGACTCTCTGCAAACATTCGACTTTATCTTTCCAAAATCAGGAGACTGAAAACTTGAAACTTATTCGATCTTACTTGATTGCAACGCAACTGTCTGCGCTTCCATTTCAACTTTTGCTTCCACATGAAAACCCTCTTCACTTCGATCAACCGAGCCTTCTTACAATATGAGAAACAATTCTCACCACAAGTATTGCACTTTGCCTATCAATAAAGAGAGTAATAATATGCTAAGATGTTTACAGTTTTGTACTAAAATACGAACGCTTGCGGCACCGAACGAAGGATTTCCCCAGCTTCCCTTTTGCTTCGAGCAATCTCTGTTGTGGCCGCATCATTCCTTCAACCTCAACACTGCTGCCATTACGCTGGCGTACGCCAGATAAACTAGGAGCTGCCTAGTAAAACCCTTTACGAGAGACTGGATAAAGAATCCAGCTACCAACACAAACGCCAAATACGTTGCGACCATCCCCACCGGAGACATCAAGTTGAGCGTCATGATAGCAACGGGTGCAGAGACAAGAACGCTAACAAAACAGTTGAACAGCCCGACTAAGGCAAACCGAACAAACCCCCCTGGAATAAATGTCAGTTGCATCTCCTCTTTCTCATGCCTGGGGCTAAATGCTCTCTACCGAAACGTCAGGCCTATGTTTCAAAGGGAAATACAGAGGCGAAGAAAGAACTTACCATTAAACGGCGAGTGAAGGAATGATGAAACACAAAAAGGATCAGCTGGTCCAGTCTGTCCATCTCATAAAGTGGTGCCCAGTCTTCTTTCTCTGCATTGAGATGGCCTCCTTGTCCCTCACCCCACTTCTCTCTTGCGAGGCATAGCACATTGTTCAGAAGAGCTCCGCTTGGCTCGTCAAACTCAAGAATCTTACTGAACTGGCGTCCAAACTGATCTTCGATGTGTAAGCAGGAGAAAAATTAACCGCAGAAAATGGCAGGCCTTACAATATCGACCCAGTCTAGTCATATACTTTTCATGATACTCTTCGAGGCTATGGTCGCCCGACTCTACCATCTGTCTTAGAACCATTGCATCTCTCTCGAGAAAGTTTGCTTCAAGATCAAGACAGAGCACTCCATCATACACGCAGCGGCGTAGTAAGATGTGTGTTGGGTCTTTTTCTCTCAGTGCAGCAAGCTCTAACAGCTTACCCCCGTCTGTGTTGGAGTGTTACTCCCTGACATTGCGGTAAAGTATCCGATCGGTGGACGACTTACCAAGTTGACCAGCTTCATGATTCTGAGATGGTTCTGTGAGAACAAACGGATCAGATCAAAGTGACATGTCCCTTGCTAACAAACCACATACCTAGAGTGGCGTTACTGTTTCCCTGCGGAGCAACATTAGCCGCCTGACCTGTCAAGTCGTTGGAGGCGCATGGAGTAGTTGGAGATATTGGGCTTAAAACATTGACAGGGGACATCGTTGAAGAGTACTTCGCAGTTACTTGCTAACAATGCTAGATAAATATCCACGAATGTCGCCAACGCAGATATTTATATAGCCTTCCGCAAGGAGAGAGAAGTGTCTCAACAACCCGACGTCATTGCCAACTTCTGTTTGATACCTATGAGCCAGCTATACTGAATTGAAACGTCAGTGCACACCGACACAGAGACTCTGAGCACAACTGGCCTGATGAGATGAAAAGTGACAACCTTCAAGAAAAATGCTCTCAATCAGATGGTCCAAATTCCAAGTTGGTGCCAATAATCTACAAAGATTATGAGGCTCTGTTGTTTGCCTTGCGATGCCTTGCAGCTCCTGGGGGCCGGTGAGTGGTAGCACAACCATGATGCGGGTAGCTACTTTGTACCGTCAAGGTACCGGTATTGCCCTGTTCATTGATCTGATTTATTATGCAGCCATGAGCATCTGTCAGAATTAATAACCCGCGTCAAATTCAGCAAATAGAATCGACTTTATAGATGCGAAGCGCTGACAGGGGTTCGTTGACTACATGCGAGCATAATGGGGATTTATCTGCATATAGGAAAACAGGAGCAATCTATGAAGTTTTACGGACATCAAGAACACGAAACAAAGTTGACATGTATTGATCGGTCTGAGCAACTGCCTACATTCATAGACTATGCATATCCTTCTGGTCCTTATTATCTAACTAAGTACCTAAGGTAGTCATGGAAGGCCAATTGAACCACCAAACAACATCGCGATTTCATTCATAATTCCACAAAGGACAACAACTCTGGAGTTACACAGTATATTTCAAGATTTGAAACACAACCTATTCCAGCCTGATTAGCTCTTTTCTCGACCAATGATACGTCACTGTCGATTAGCACATAGCCCTGGACTTACTCTATAAACTATCCAGGTACCCGGAAGAGCCGAATATGTAGGGAAATTAGAGTCGAATTCAGGTTGAGGTAGATGCGTTGGATCCATCTGCCTCTTGCGGTTTATCGGATTGCTTGTCTTTGGGGGGCGGACGTGGATGGGGGATGATTATCTCCCTCTTGCGCAGAGCAGGTTCGGAACTCATTATGCAAATATTGAAGATAGAGAGAACAAATATTCAGGTGAGAATGCTATAAAGATGAAGGCGATGGGGTTTTAGATGAATGCTTTAATGAAGGATTCTGACATGCTCTTATACTGTTGTCCTCAGCAACTCTTGCACGTAGCATCTTCCAACTCTGGCCAACAATTGCAGGGCGAGCAAGCGTCGTTTTCTCTTGAGACGAGCTGCATGACTGCATGAGAGAAAAAAGTAAAGACTGGAAATGACAGGAACTACAATGGAGATAAAATCGAGCTAGGGTCGAGTATAATGAAGCATGGTTGATTCGAGAGTCCAGAGAGAAAACAAGAACTTCCCGAGTCAACACAGCGAGATGTCAATATGAGCAAGGGTAAGAAAAACCCCAACTGTTGAAATATGATAGCCCTTAGTCTAAAGGGCCGGACCGCGAGCTGGGATAGGCGGGCGACAACATGAAAGATACGCTGACAGGGGACCCTGTTTCATATGGACCGTTACTGATTTCGCCATATGGATAGGTCTGGGAGACTTCGACTAGTCATAACACTCATATTGAATTGTCAGGAGGACTCTTCAGAATGGAGATGGTATGTATACTAGAGGAGTTGTTCCCTCCTGTACCACAAGAAAGGGAACAGTCGACCCGATGACTGAACCACTGGGGATAACAAGCCTACTCATGAATAGTCACCGCCCAAGTACGGCTGAGGCTTCAGGCTCATCATAATCTTAATGGCAGACTTCACGATGGTATGTGACAACAAGACGCAGCCCTGGTCGTAAGCAGGCCTAGACTTCGCTTGCATCTCAGAGCCTGTAACGCCACAAATGTAGCTGAGTGGGGATCAGGTGCAGTAAATTCTCTTCTCTTCTCTTCTCTTCTCTCTCTGTTCCCATCGCGTAAAGAACAAAGTCGTAGCAAGTCCTGCATGTTATTTCCGAAGTGGGAGGTCGGTTCTGCAATGACCCGGAACGACTACCCGAGTCATGGGGGACTAGGCCATGAAGATGTGAACAACCTGGGGAAATGATGTCTTCAGCCTCATAACCCACAATCAGACAACAGCCAGACCTGGGGCCAGGGTTATCATAGTAATTAGCCACGCCAGGATCGACTGGGGCCGTCTGACTAGGTAGCTAGTGAGACAAGGATCCAAAGTCGACATGAAAGCCAGGTCAACATTGTTCATCTATTCATGGAGCCAGACCTTTCTTGGCATTGTCTGGTCTCAGAAATGACCGGTTCTCGGGGTTTGATCTGCTCCGACCATTCATCTTGCACCTATGAGTGGCGCTCACATGAATCCATTTCTCTTGCCCCAAGCCTGACCCTGGGCATTTAGCTTGAACGCACACTCCAACCGGCTATCATACTAGTCGAAGTGCACTGCACGGTGAAAAACTTGTCCGACGATATATCACAATCACTTCGTCCAACCGGAGGAGGAATAGATAGTCCCTAGACAGCGGGCGTAACCTATAAACCGAATATGCTGATCCACCAAGGTCGTAACGTAGACACTGGTGCAAAGATGGTTGCCCCGTCTTCTGCAAACAACGGACAGGGTTGCTCCAGTCTATGTCAAAGTTACATTGAATGAACAGCCACTTGCATCTGGTCCTTTCCTTCCCGTAAGTGATGTTTGGCCAAGACAGACGGATGGCGCTGACACTAGGTCTGGTAAGGATCCCCTAATCCCGGGATGAGACCACCTCTTGAAAGTGAATGAAATGACTTCTAACCATGCTCAAACTTATGCACTTCCAAAACGGGCCATAGGCTCAACTCCCATCATCTGTCCACTCTTCTCTTCTCTCTTGCTCTTCCTCTTCAGTTTCACGCCATTCCTCAGGGGTAGTGTGTAGAACAGTGGCAACAGCTGTGAATGCAGCCCAGATTTCGCCACACAAAGCCAGATGCAATACCTGAGTCCCGAGAAAATTAATAGCAAACGTGAGATTAAGCTGACTTAGCAAATTGATACCACATATATCATGGGATGGGAGGCCAAGCCGTTGACGGAAAGTGTGCGCTACCAGGCGGAGAGCAGTCGCTTCCCACGGCGCAGTGACTAGCCTCAATACAGCGTCGGCAAAGATGTGTGAGGCTATGAGAGGAGGGAGTTGTGTTAACATAGTATCGCAGTAAGAGGTTGCAGGTATCAGCGCCCCCCTTGCATCAACACTCGGCCTCAACTCAGCACTCCAGAGACCAGGAGGCGCTTCGCTTGATTCTGCAGTAGCTTCAACATCGAAGCTGATTAGGGTAGCGCTGACTCCTTCATTGTCCTCCTCGTCACTTGCGTAGTCGTCGCCTCGTGCGGAGAAAGTGCTTGGTCGTCGGACAGCTTCCACCGGACCAGTGTCACTGGGCATTTGTCCGTCTATAGGTCTTATAGGTGACACATCATCAACAGCGCTACGGTTGCGTCGATGCTCTGGCCTCTCGCGGGGTCTTTCGGCTGGGATCCATCCGGCGATTATCCCTGGAGGGGAGCCGGTGTTTGGCAATTGCCTGAAAATCCTAGCCCATATCTGTGGTCTCCAATCTCGAATCAATCTTTGAGTCATAACCCAAACGAGGAAAGGTGTCGAGGACACACACAAGCCCCCGATCCACTCAAGTATAGACTGGAAAGAAAGACCGTTAAGTGGCGGAGGGGCCGGGATGGGCGAATCCTGAGTGAAGGGAACGAAGAAAGACAGGCTGGGAAGCCAGTTGGTGCTTGAGGCTAGGCCAAGCCTCTGCAGAGCAACATAGAGCTCTAGGTGAACCCGCACGTACGACCATACTTCATGGACTCTGTGACTAGTTAGCCAATGTTATCATTGTTGACTGGCTCATGGTTTGGGCTCACAATCGGCGCGCAAAAAACCTGTCGGCACGGTCACGCCAGAGCAGAGCCACTTGTCGGTCTGCATAAATACTAAGAAGATTAACTGATGCGCCGGGTAAGAGATCTCTGGAGATGGAAAAAGTGTTTCGTGATTGCGCATAGAGATCCCAGAACGGGACATGGGAATATCGCCTGTAAATCTGCCACGGTTAGTATTTAAAACAGGTAAGATTTTCGTCTACGAACTCACCAGTATTCGTTGCCGGAAACCGTCCAGCCCGAATGCGCCAGCAGCATCCACACAACGAAGAGCTGAGAAGGCAAGGTTTACTCCAACGTCATCCTCGTACATTGCATGTCGTTTATCAGATTCGGCTTCTGGGTTTGAAGTTGGGTTTTCCTGCTCAGCAACTCCAATTACCAACATAACTTCATTATGTGATCGAATAATATCTCTGTTAATCTTTTTCGTTTCACGATTGATAGGACGACCTCGATGATCGAACTGTTGGGCAGAGCCATCATCATCCTGCAGGTCGTCATGATCATCATCCCATTCAACGACATCGTCGTATGGAGACCGCCCCTGGGGATATCAGCACTTCTATTGTGAAACCTGAGCGACTGGAGCTAGAAGGGCTTCTCACAAGTGCCTGGGCGGTCAAAGGGCCTTGCATTCCCATGATGAGGGCGTTTAGAGATCTATCAATGGCGGGTGTCCATTTATGTTGGTATGTAATTTTGCGCCAATATTGTTCTGTATGGGAGTCAAGATACTAGAATTTGTAAGTCCTGCGGACGAATCTACTATTGAGTGGATAGAAATCTCTATTGGCGCAATAAGGGATAAATCAAGATGAAGTCGTTTTGGGTCGCTTTTGGGATGTCATGATAGGAAAGCGCAAGAATGGGAACGTGGCTGGTGCTGTGGCTGATATGGCTGAGCTAATGCAGCTGTTGGAAGTTGGGGCCTGAGGCACATACTTCCCTCTTGGTAGCCTCCCCTTCAGACCTAGCTTTCTCATAACACACAATACACACACATCTCTTCTTTCCTCAGTGCCACACCCCATCACCTTCCAATAGCAGCTTTCGTCCAATCAGGGGCAGCTTTGCCACGGACGCCAAAAAAAAAATCTAGGAAATCTCCAGGCGCGGACCCATGATAGTTTCTTTGCATCGAATATCTATCAACTCACAACCACAACAAGACAATGGCAAATAAGCAGCCGTTGAAGACGTCGTTCGACGTTGATCACGTCATTCGTCCTATTTTCACCGGGGGATCAGTAGCTATCGACAATGGCGCACGAATTCTAGCGACAGTCCTTGGTGAGGATGCGGTTCTAACAGATCCTACTAACGGCAAGCATCTTGCTCAAATTGAGGGTGTAAGCAATATTTCCCTATTACGATGAGCCACAGCTAACATAGTACAGGATGGAGAGCTCATTTCCACATTGACTTGTTAGTCTCTTAATATTCTCTGTGAAAAGGTCAATGAAACTAACTTTCACAGTGACACCCTCCGGGTCGCATCTCATCATCTGCTCTCGCTCCTTGTCTTTGAGAATCTACGCTTTGAAGCAGTCTGAAGAAGATGGAACAATTGAAGCTATTCACACAAGGACAGTCAAGGCTCACTCTACTCCAGTTGTTGTGCTTGCAGTCGATCGGACCAGCACATTGCTGGCCACTGGAGGAACTGACGGTGCCGTCAAAGTTTGGGATATTGTCGGCGGCTATGTCACTCACACTTTCCGCGGATCTTCTGTTCTAGTATCGGCCCTTCGATTCTTTGAGGCTACCGCTCGCTCCAACGATGCACCATTACGAAAGGGAAAGAAGTCCAAGCGGCAAGAAGAGTCTGATGACGAAGAAGAGAACTCAACCACCGTCAACTTTCGCTTAGCATGCGGTCAACAAGATGGCAAGGTCCGCGTCTGGGATCTGCACAAGCGCAACTGTGTTGCGAATTTGGATTCTCACGTATCAGATGTGCAAGGACTTGACTATTCGCCCGAACAACACGCGCTAGTGACCGCAGGCAGGGACAAGACCATTACCTGGTGGGACGCCAAATCTTGGAAGATTCGCAAAGTCGTACCTTGCCTGGAGTTGGTGGAGGCGGCTGGCTTTATCGGTGATGGAAGCCTGACCTATTCAGCAGGTGCCAATGGCACTCTTCGTATTTGGGACACCGATACGGGCAAGGAAATCACACCTCACCAGCCTGAAAAGAGTGAGGAAGAGGGTATTGTCTCTGGTATTTACCGACCTGGATTGCCTTTCATTCTCCTCGTTCAGGTAGATCACACTCTGGCACTTTACAAACCACCTCAAAAGGCAGACGCTGCTTCCTTATTAGCACCCGAACCCTTCCGAAGAATATCTGGCACACACGACGACATTATTGATCTCGGGTACCTGCTTCCCGACCGCTCCATGGTGGCCTTGGCAACAAACTCAGAGGACGTCAGAATCGTGTCTGTTTCGGAGGCACAGAACGAGGATGTTGAAGGTGACTGGGAATCGGGCTCTAGCCCCTACTTTGGCCAAGATGTTGCTCTCTTGAAGGGTCATGACGAGATTGTCATCTCACTGGATATTGACTGGTCGGGCCACTGGATCGCGACAGGAGCCAAGGATAATACCGCCAGACTCTGGCGCGTTGACCCTGCAAACAACTCTTACACTTGCTGGGCTGTTTTCTCTGGCCATGCCGAATCTTTGGGTGCAGTTGCGCTGCCTAAAAGCATACCTGCCGAGTCTTCAGCAGCTCGCTCTGATCCCCTTAGTCACCCCCCTCCTTTCCTCATCACAGGATCTCAGGATCAGACCGTGAAGAAATGGGAAATCCCCCGTACACCCCAGCAGAAAGGTCACAAGAGTGGTTCTCGAGCACTCTACACCCGAAAGGCCCACGACAAGGACATCAACGCCATCAATGTTCACCACTCAGGCCAGCTCTTCGCATCTGCATCACAAGACAAAACAGTCAAAATTTGGTCGGCCGAGGAGGGTGAGGTCCAAGGGATTCTGCGTGGCCACAAGCGTGGTGTTTGGACGGTGCAGTTCTCTCCTGCCCAATTACCTGCCATTCAAGGCGAAGATGGCCCTGTTACTGGAAAAGGTGTTGTCCTTACCGGCAGTGGTGACAAGACGATCAAGCTTTGGAACCTTGCCAGTTATACATGTGTGCGGACTTTTGAGGGCCATTCCAACAGTGTCTTGAAGGTCGCATGGTTAAAAATGCCTAGCAACCAAGAGCAGTCCAAAAAGCGAGTTCAGTTCACTAGCGCTGGCGGTGATGGTCTCGTGAAAGTTTGGGATGCTAACTCGGGAGAGGCCGAGTGCACGCTTGACAACCATGAGGATCGCGTTTGGGCCGTGGGTGTGCACCCTGAAAACAACACCATCATATCTGGTAGTGGTGATTCAACTGTCACTTTCTGGAAAGATACGTCCTCTGAGACTCAAGCTGCTGCGACTGAAGCTGCGCTCAAGATGATTGAGCAAGAGCAGGAGCTCGAGAACCACATTCATGCTGGTTCGTTCCGCGAGGCCATTACGCTCGCACTGCAGCTCAACCACCCTGGAAGACTCCTTAGCTTATTCACTTCGGTCATCACATCAAACAACCCCGACAAGGGCAGCTTGAGCGGCAAGAGAGCTGTGGATGAGGTACTGGGCAGCCTATCTGATGAGCAGATCTTTTTGCTTCTTTTGAGACTGCGTGACTGGAACACCAACGCGCGCACAGCCCCTATAGCGCAGAGGATTCTGTGGACACTAATTCGAAGCTATCCTGCATCCAAATTCTCGAACTTGTCAGTCAGGGGAGCTAAGGGGCAGAAGAGCTTGAAAGACGTGCTGCACGCTATCCGCGTGTACACTGAGAGGCACTACAAGCGGACTGAGGAACTGGTCGACGAGAGTTATCTGGTGGAATATACCCTGCAGGAGATGGATGACCTCGCGCCTATGTTGGAGGAGGAAGATACCATGATTAAAAATGCGAGTGAAGATGTTGTCATGGCTGGCTAGAGGAGGGATGAACCCTACAATTTTTTAAGGCTTTGTCATTTTGTTGACTACGTATATTCTCTCTCGCATAGTCTTTGGAGTACCAGGGTTATAGATAAAATATTTGACTTTTTTTTCTTGATCTTGCTACTAAATTGATAACTTGGAGTCATAAAGACTACCTACGTACCTACCTATGAATATTACCTACCTAGGTACTATACCTACTTAGGTACCTACCTACTGTTGAGCCTGCGCATTGAGGTTTAAACCAAACAGCGGGGCTGTACCTGAGCTTCAAGGCTCCACCCATAACCGTAATCATGCCTGCGCCTTCAATCTTTCATCCACGACATCAAATCTTAGTCAAGCTCTTCCAAACGCGAACCCAACCACTTTCGCGAAGAGTGACCTCGGGAAACAAGCCAGAGAGACCAAATCATTGTACCACTACGATTAGCGACCGACAATGGCCAAGCGCCAGGCCTCAGAGGCTCTCGACGATCTCATTGGCGTTGCCTCGCCAGCTTCCAAAAGATCTCGACTGGACGATATTGACTCGCCTAGAGAGACCGGCACTTTGAATGACTTTGGGGATGAGACAAACACCAACGGAAACGCACAAGAAGATGACGACGACGATTTCGACGACCTAGAACCCGCTGTCGCCGCACCCATACGACAATCAGCTCCAACAGACGGTTACGATGACTTGTACCTCGATACTATCGATCGCAACGTACTCGACTTTGACTTTGAGAAGCTCTGCTCCGTATCTCTCTCCAATATCAACGTCTACGCCTGTTTAGTCTGCGGAAAATACTTCCAGGGTCGCGGTCCCAAGTCACACGCATACTTCCACTCACTCGACGAGGATCACCACGTCTACATCAACCTCGAAACTCAGTGCGTTTATGTCCTTCCCGAGGGCTACGAGGTCAAGAGTCGCGCGCTCGATGATATCAAATATGTGTCGGATCCGCGATACACTAAGAAGGAGGTTATTGAAATGGATCGCTTGCGCCGCACAAGCTACACCCTGGACGGAAAGGAGTATATCCCTGGTTTTGTGGGAATGAACAATATCAAAGACAACGATTACCTCAACGTCGTGGTACAGGCCCTTGCGCATGTAGCCCCTCTGCGGAACTTTCTTCTTCTCGAGGACTTTTCCAATAAGACAGAGCTTGTCAAGCGATGCAGTATTCTCGTTCGCAAAATCTGGAATCCCAGGGCTTTCAAGGCCCACGTCTCTCCACACGAGCTTCTTCAGGAGATCTCACTTCGTTCGAACAAGCGCTTCACTCTCACGGCGCAATCAGATCCTGTCGACTTTTTGTCCTGGTTCCTGAACAACCTTCATCTCGGTCTCGGTGGCAGCAAGACGAAGCCAGGCAGTTCCATGATCCAGCGTACGTTCCAAGGCAAGATGAAGGTCGAGTCACAGGCCATCACTGCGCGCGCCGACGCTACTGATCGACTACGGTTCGAGGATGCCGATGTAAAGGTTGACATTGTGCGCTTCCTTCTTCTAACGCTTGACCTTCCTTCGGCGCCCCTTTTCCAGGACGAGCTTGAGAAGAACATCATCCCCCAAGTTCCTCTAACAAGCATCCTCACAAAATATGACGGTCAGAAGGCTCAAGAACACCACGCTCAGCGCAAGCGCTACAGGCTCATGCATCCTCTCCCCCCCTATCTTGCATTCCACGTCAAGCGTTTCTCTCAGAACAAGTTTGTCTCTGAGCGCAACCCCACAATCGTCACTTTCGACGCACGCAGCCTCGATATGTCGCCCTATGTCGAACCAAACCCCAAGGAGTGGCCTCCGGGTGAGCCTATCTGGTACGATCTGGTTGCGAATGTCATCCACGAGGCCGTGCGGGTACGGGAAGACGTTGTTGATAGTGGCGAGGAGCGCAAGACCTGGAAAGTCCAGCTGAGGAACAAGGCAACAGGCGAATGGGTCGTCTGTCAGGATCTGTATGTTGACAAGGTGCAAAGCGAGCTTTTGTATCTCGGTGAAGCATACCTGCAAATTTGGGAGCGTAGAAGGGAGATAAAGGGCAAGGGCAAGGCTTCATGACCATAAATGTCACTAATAGTACCCTTCAGCATAAAACATACAATGTAATATCACGGTTTCATGATCAGATGCCTTGTTCTTCACTGAGAAATCTCAGCCTGCTGAATTGTAGTCCTTTGAACTGTAGCCCTCGCTGAATCCCGCTGTTGGGCAGGCCACACCTGGTCACACGCTGCTAGTAATACATTTAAAAAAAAACATGACCATCACAGTGACTTCACCCTTCGCACCCAGTCCTTGCCCGCGCCCAAATCCTCATAAACACGTTATCACAGCTCCATCCAGAAGATATCTCCAACTCCGTCAAGTCAAGAGTGATTGTGAAGGAACAAGAATAGATCAGGTAAGAAAAGAGCGAGCTCATCAACATCGGGAGTCGTAAGCCCTCAAGGAATGCTATATCAAACAACGTAATACAGGGGCCACACTAGGGTGATTCATACGGGAGGATCCTCAAAACTAGGATTCTCCTCCTGTCTGCTTTGAAGTCCCAGCAGTGTGACGCTTCTCGTGGTGATGGTGTTGGCTAGCTTTTTCACGGCGCTGCTCTTCGATAGCTGTCCGTTGCTGGATACTGGAATCGTGACTTTTAAATTCGACGCGCGTGTTGGGTGGGAAATTGAGGACATGCTTCATGGTGTCACTAGTCATGATTAGTTTCAGTCGCAGCGGACGCTTTGTAAAGAGCAGGCAAACTTACCGGATCTTAATCACTCGACCACCATCGGTGCGAGTCCAGATACTGAGAATGTCCTCGCCATTACGCACACTCAACACGGCACCACAAACGTCCTCGCCAGCCTCGCCAAATTGGTCACCGATAAGGTTGAGAACAAGATCTTCCCAGTATCTGTCGGCCACACCCTTCTTCATCCGCACCACCCATTTACCGCCCTTCTTGTTCACGTCATCCTCCCATATTGGGCGGATGCCCTTCTTGAACAGGTGGAAGTCCGAAACGACGGGAAGTGTGGAAGGGCGCTTCAAGTGAGAATAGATGCGCCAGAAGTCCTCCGCCGTCCGTGCAGTACCGATTTCGTGTAATGTCTGCTCGTACTCGATGAAGCCGTGTGCCTTGGAGATCGGAGGTCGGTACCAGAATGTCCACGAATCTATCAGTGCGTGTGTGAGGTTCCCAGACTGGTTGTTCTCGGAAATCGCGGCCATGCCAGAAACCTTGCCAGCAGCCTTGGAAGGGTCTTTGGTGCCTGACTTGGCAACTGCCGATGCCATGGCCGTATCGAAGGGATTCGCCGAGGTCTTTGGGGTCTTGGCCGACCCAAACGACGCAAAGGCTCCGGAACCTAGGCCAAAGGCACTGGATGCACCTGCAGTGGGTGATACTAGACCTCCAGGTGTGGTGGTGAACGGGTTCGGTTTGATCGACGACGGAGTTTCGCCGCCCTGGCGCTTGGAGAAAGAAGCATTGCGACTAAAGGAATCACCACTGGACCCTTGACCCGGGGTTGAGAGAGAAAGCTTGCCACCGGTACTGGTGCTGCGAAAAGGTGTTGGTTAGAGCTTCCACACAATTACTAAAGGTGTAACTTACTTTGTGCGGCGGTTCCAGAGGTTGCCAGTATCCATCAAGGCTGAATGGAACAAGTCTTTCTAGAAATAAGGTAGGGCGGGGAAGGCCTGTTGAGGATGCCTTTGGATAGATGCGGAGAGGAGGGGTCGGAGAATGCGTGTACGACGTCGATAGGTTCGTAGGAGTATGCTTGGTAGTGTGGGTGTCTGTTTGTTGTGAAAGTCGAGCTGAGGTTGGTGATGTGTGCTGTTGGTGGTTACACGGTCTCAAGGTCGAGTGAGGGGGGGGGATGATCAGTAGGTTCAAAGCGAGACTGGGATTGATCGGAAGATATTGTGGAACGATGTGATTAAGAACGAATTCAGGGTATCAAAATCTTTTTGGGTGTGTCGAGTTTGTGGGGATTGCGTAGAAAGCTGTAAGAGAATTTCGGAGCTGAAGAGATGAAGTTGTTTGCTAGATGCTTGGGTAATTTTGGTCTGGAGTTGCAAGAGGAAAGATAGTGGAGGCTAAAGTAGAGAAATTCTGGCAGCCCACCTACTGGAACCTGTGCTAAAAAAAAATCAGGACACTCCGCAACAAACGAGAGGTGCTATTAGGTAGCTTGCATGTAACTTCCATGCACCTTGTAGGCCAATCTATACCCTCATTCTACCTCTACTGACGCCTTGGTTTGAGCAAAAGCCCTGGAAACAATAACCCGGCTCACTGGAAACCCTCTCTTTCCACCATTCCCAGGCGCCTGCCAGGGCCTCACTGTAGTAGGTAGCTACCTAGACTAACCCCAACCCCAGCCCCAGCCCCGGGCCTTCCAGGGACCCATGAATGAGAGCGTGTCGTGACTGACCCTGCGTCTGCGTCAGAGACTGGAAAAAATAACAGTCATCACGGAAGTGTAAGCTTCTAGAAGGTTTTAATACCCTACACGATATCCCAATCGGGAATGGAGAGTAATAACATCGAATGCACGGGGAGATTTGTACTGTCAATAGAAAACAGTATAGTAATTATACAAAAGGTTGCGGACAATGCTACGGATCAGACTTATATACCCCGCGCGAAACTCATATGTCATTTTTCTCCTGGCGTCCATCATACCTAGTACTGGGGATATGATATCTTTGAGTGCTTAGAGTAAGTACCTAAGGAGGTAGGTATACCTAGAGGCCAGCTGTAACTAACCTCACTTCAGATCTACCCACCCACCTTAACAATGCTGATCTATCTTTCAGCCGATATATGCTATGCTATCTTGAAGGGACGCTTGTTTGACTGGTTGGCTCAGTTATGACGAACTCAAGGTTCGGGTCTGGATACAGCAATCTTGTGAGACAGTATCAAGACTCTACATGAGACCCTGCCATAAGAAATGGATCATCATGAGTTCTGTCACCACCATTATGAATCTCGTCTCTTGATTAGATCCCCTCCTCTGTTTTTTCTTCTTCTCGGACATCTCAATTGTACCGTCTAGTTCAATTCGACACAGCCACCTGAAGAGGGAGATCCAATGATACAATAGGGTGCACAATACGTTGGTAATTTAATTATTTTCATACCATTGAGATGATAGAACCGACATGATCATCGTTCTAGGTGGTTTCAATAGCCCTCCTCACACAGGCACGCTCCAGCTAACATGCATGAAACTTAGGCTTGAGATCGGCGGCTATGGCAGCATTGGAAGCTTTCTTATTGGCCGTTGCTCTTCAGGTCGGCATAGAGTTGAGCAAAGAATATAGAAAGGCATTTTTGATTGTGTGTTATCAAGTATTTAAAAGACTTCTCTGCGGTCTCACTCTCTCATGGTACAATAATATTGAAAACTGTTCCAGTCAATTCACAGCTCGTGTGATTGCAGTGGTTGGCTACCTACTGTAGGTTGCAGGCTATAGCTGAAGCTGAGCCAGCCACTCGGCCCCACTTAGAAATTCTTATCGCATCTAAACTTCTTATCAACTAGAAAAAATTCTTGGGCGCAGCTTCAACACTCTCATCAAGCTGCTGAGGGACCAAACGAAAAACTTACGCGCTTCACCTCACCACCGTCGCAATGGGTGTCACACGAACAAAGACCATTAAGAACAAGCACGCCGGTCCCCCCGGTGGCGCAAAGTCTTCCAAACGCTCCTCTGGCCCCGAAGGAAGCGGCTTCAGCAAGCCCAAGTCCAAGAAGCCTAATGGCACCCCTCCGTCCAAGCAGGTCAAGGATAAGGGTCGCGAGGCGCTCCTGCAGAAGTTCAAGAACCCCAAGAAGAAGAAGTATACCGATGAGCAGCTGGGAATTCCTGAGCTCAATACAGTCACCCCTGTTGGTGTTGTGAAGCCCCGGGGCAAGAAGAAGGGCAAGGTTTTTGCCGATGATCAGGTACGGTGCTACAATTCCTGAATGATTACATACAATTCTAACTTGATGTTTCTTCTAGGAGAGCATGACCACTATCATGGCTCTTGTCCAAGCTGAGAAGGACGGCCAAATCGAGTCCAAGATGATCAAGCAACGCCAGATGGAGGAGATTCGCGAAGCGCGCAAGGTCGAGGCCGAGAAGAAGGACCAAGAGAGGAAGACCAAGCTTGAGGACACCAAGAACTCCCTCCGAAAGACGAGAAAGCGCAAGAGCTTCGGTGACGAGGAGGAGAACATCAAGGACTTCACCACGGGGGGCACCAAGGGAGCCAAGGGCAAGGGCAAGAAGAGGGTGTCATTTGCTTAAGCCCCGACCAATGGAAAATCAGTGGAAAATCTTTCGGAGTTGCTGCATTGTTTGGCGCATGGAGTTTGGTAGATGGGCTGAGGTTATGCCCTCTCTCTGGCTGTCTCTGGAGATTCGGCGGTACAAAAGCACAAGACAGCATTTGAATAATGGCTGCTCCTACGGGTGCAGACTCAGTCAATTGACAGAAACGATCGAGCATATACTGAATCTTGGTCGTTTGAAAATCTATTGTGTCTATGAACATGGGATGTCTATTTCTAATCATGGGTATTAACAACTGAGATAGGTTCTCTTAAGCAATGTCTCTATCAATGGTTGGCCTGACCTATCCCACGTAGTCTGGTCTTTCTAATCTTCAAGGATGACCAGCTTACGTCGCATGGGGACATAGCCATGCCCGTCAGCCAAATCACTATTGTTGGGGTTGGCTTGAGGCTTGAGGCTCTCAGGGTCGGTCTTGAAGGCCAAGTGATTGAAGAAGTTCGCAACCTAGAATTGTCAGCATCGATTGCCTCTCATGACCGCAATTGAAAACTTACAGGCTTTGTGAACCAGCGACCTCCCGATGACTCAAACCAACACAAATGCCCTCCAAGACTAGAGGTGAGAAGGACTGTGTTGGGGTTCTGCTTGAACTCCTCGTAGGGAATGGCTTCCTTGACAGCAATCTTTGAAAAGGTTAGAAATAGTTCAAGAAACACAACCCGTAACAGAAACAAGAAGTCTGAAAACAGTTGAAGGCGTGACTCTTACAGGATCGTCAGTCGAGTGGATAGCCAAGAAAGGAATCTCAATGGATAAGATGGCGTCGGCTGATGACGCATCACGGTAGTAAGCGGATTCGGTGGGATATCCCCAAGAAGGACATCTAATTAAGTCAGTCTTGAGCTCGAGCTCTCACATTCACAAAGTGAGGTGGTGACTTACTGGATCAACCGATCAAACTCATGGAGATAAGTAATCTTCATCACAGCATCAACATCAATCTTGCTGAACTTCCTCAGTTCCTCTTCATGCAAAGCGGCAAGCTCCTTTAGAGCAGCTTCAGGGTGTCAGTAGTATGTCCAAAATTTAACGAGGTATGTGGAGGACTTACTGCCCATTACTCGCAGGTACACCTCCCTGCCGATATAGCTGCCCTGGAGAATCTTGCTGGAAACATCGAGATTGAAAGGATTGGAGCAGACAACAGCACCCTTCAGAACGCAGTTGGGACCCTCCTCGCCACAGTAGTTTGTGAGCATGTTTGCACCCAGAGAAAACCCCAGACCAAAAAGGGGTCGGTTGGGGAACTTTTTCTGCAGCCATTTTATTGTCTTGGCTCCATGTCAGCAAAGTTGCTCCTTTTGGAGTCCCAAGGCAAGTACTTACCTGACGGATATCCCATGTTGCTCGCGCGTTGTATAGCACTCCTAGATATTATTAGCATTTATGCCTTTATTGAACTATTGTCGGGTACTCACCGCTCGTGATTTTGCTGCGCGCACATCCTCGCGAGTTAACAACACAAGCCTCCCAGCCGCCCTCACCAATCATGGGCGCAATAGTGTGTCGCAGGTAAATCTCGTGAGAACCTCCGGAAAGGCCATGCAGGACAACGAGCATAGGTTTGGTGTCATCCGATCCGATATTCTCAAACTCCTCATCGGTGTAGTAGGCTGTCCGTCGTGACAGAGTAGGATCTTCTGGGGCCTTGAAAGGCTCAACAGCGAAATCCACAGCGAAAGTTCCATGGTAGATCTTGTGGTCTGCGTCAAAAATCTTGCGCTTGTAGTAAATCTTGGGTCCAGCAGGCTTGGTCGCAGTCCACATTGTCTGCAAGTGGCCATTGAAGAGTAAAGGGTTCAGATGGCATGGGGGTGTCGCGTTTTCACAGATGGACAAGAGGTCGGTCTCATTGCCATCCTTTTCTTGCACCGTTCGTGGTGAAGGTGCATGAGTGAAGTTGAGTTCTGCGTGTCCAAGCCACTCCATGATGAGAAAGGCTTTGCCGGGGTGTGAAATATGAGACACAAGTAACTACCAGAATCGAGAGTCGCGACAAGTTGAGATCCAGGCTGTCGGGATGGTTTAACAGAGGCAAAAGGTGACCAAGCCTCAAGAAGAAGGAATAGGGATGAAACGTATTTATATATTTTCCTTATTTAGCCAGTAAACCGCCCCTCCAAAAAGACGGAATAGGATCCAGGTTGATACTAGGATACCTACTACGGTGGATCCTCTTCCGGTGGCCGAAGCCACCCTCACCAACGTTTATCATTGTAGGTGTAAGGCCATAAATGGCACGGTTAACGTCATCTAAGTCTACAGTGCTACAAGTTGCTGGTCAATCTGTTCATAACCAGGTCTCAATTCGGCATGTATACCTCCTTCCAGACTAGTTATCCTACTGTACAAGTAAAAAGGTATCAAGTTAGTTCGAGTCAGATCTTTCTTTTACACTTTTATTAGCCTTCACACGGACATTTGAATATTTTTAACTCCCATCGGACTTTGCATTCGGTAAGTGGGGTCATGTTAACTGCATGAGCCGAGGCACGATTTAGCTCAACCATGTACGATTGACAAGAGTTTTTAGGTGGGAGTAGTTATCATGAGGACATTTAATCTTAGTAGAGTATTCTGCATGAGATAAAAATATCCTCTCTGTCTCCTACGATCAACAGTGTCCTCACAGCCTGGCTAGGTAGGCCTAGGGACCGAGAAGTCTTGATGTTCTTTCATTGCTCATAAGACAAACCCCTCTATGTTGGTTTCCATATAAGCCTCATCACATAACGATACAGGTTGCTTTTTTTTGGATATAAAACAGACATTGCCTATTCTTCAGCGTACCTTACCTGCTTGGGTCTGTTACATAGGTAGGTACCCAGGTATTCCTCATGAGTTCAAGTTCGTGTTATTGGCTGTTCCGTTCTCCCCACATGCACCAATGCACGTGACTGAGATGCTTGATTTTCTGGAACCTTGATTCGCACAACAAGGATCTCATCCAGCAACGTCCTACAAAGCTACAACCACCAGGAAATGACTCCAGCAGAATGCCCTGACACGGCCATGCACGCCGTCCAGGCGGAAAATATCCCATGATGCGATAACAATACTTGCAGTTCTTCATAATTGAATTCACAAAACTCTATAAGGGAATGCTTCGTCCTTTCTATGGGCAATGTGCACCGATCCTTTTCCGACGATCCGAACTACCGGTACCATAAGCCGAACGATCAACATCATCAGCTTTGTGCGCCTAAATCTAACATCGACGAACAGTCTCATACATGATGATGTAGACCTCGAGGGCTTTACTCCCATGTCGAACTTCAAAAAGTGACGTGCGAGAGTGTTGGAATTTACGCTCATTCGCGGGGTCTGTCTACTGCAAATGCGTGTTCAGTCGCCCAAAACCTCTAGTTCATCCTATGTCAAATATTGGATGAATGGAGCGATCACCTCCTTGCACTTGTTTTTGTGAGCGTGCTTCACTACACTTTGCGAGGCGTGAAGCTTGTTAGCACTGGGCTTTCTGCCACGCATCCTCTTCATGTGCCATAAAGGCATCGATGGATTTCATCTCACAGCTGATGCAAGAACAGTCATGCAGCAAGTTGACAAGGAAGAATATTCTAATTGCCAATGGAGTTATGCAAGCACCTGCGCACATCATCCTTACATATTCTATGATGAATGAGCAGTAGATGCTACCAATGTTCTCATGGGTCGCCATTGAGTGGGCTTGACGCTCTCGTTAACCCATGATCGCACAACTCTGGCACAAAGGAGAGTTTTACCAGAATATTTACTGCAAGCTTTCGGTGGGAGACTTTCTTATTTCGTTTACGGAATCTGGGATCTGGACCACCAGGGGGTATCTCCCATCGCTTATGCGGAATGGTGTCGTGCTGGACAAATATTCACAGTTTGGGGGGAGTTTCCAGTCATTACCAGGACTGTCGTAAATGGTCCATATGGATCCGTATGTAGTACTCTGCTCTCCGGGGAGCACGATCAGATCGTCCTGGTTTTCACTTGGTGGAACCATTGGGGTTTTAACCCAAGCGATCTGACTTTGGACAACAGCTAACTCTAAAGCATTTGACCTTTGCAAACATCCCTGGGTTGGAGGAAGCACAAAAATCAGTGTATTGCAAGGCGAAAACTGAGAGACCCTATAGAGGAAAGCGCTTGCAAGTGCACGCACAAGGCTGAAGGCTCTCGCCAGGCTCACCAGAACCTGAGCCACCATTGCTCATTTCGGTCGTTCACGCGCCTATCACCACAAGTCCACAACCTACCTGGAGCTGGAGTTTCTTTGGGGGCATGAACTCATCTCATTCACAGCTGAGTAACCAACAAGCGTGGGAGAAAGAGACTCTTGTGCCGAACTACACCAATTTGGCCTCTGATTCGTCACTCTTTGGGTTTCATTATTCTTGTTTCCTTTTCCTCCTTTCTTTTGCGATGATCTCGCAGTGGACACGAAATCCGTCAACCTGCATCTTCCTACAGTACGTACGTCTTATTCCCCGCAGTGGTCGTGCCCATACACTGCACGGTCGCCCATAGCGGGTCAACCAACGTTGGAGGTACCTCCTGATCACCCATCGGCTAAATTACGGGCGATCCAAGGTGCGAGTAACCACTGAAAACTTGACGCCAGTTGCACTCATGGAGTACTCATCCAAGCCTCTAAGTCGACCTCGAAATGCTGCCATGAGAGACGACCAGGAACGTGATGACCAAGGAGAACGGGCTCGAGACGAGCGAGGAGTGAAACCCTTACAAAAAAACGGATCTCCCCGTCAAGACCGTAATCCCCACCGCGCTCCCGACGCTCGTCGCGAGCGTCCATCCACAAGACCAGACCCCCGTTCATCCCGCCGTCGCCGCCATTCGCACGACCGCAGCCGTGATCGCGCTACACGCCCATCGCCCGAACCGTCGCGTCGAGGCCCGGAGGTTGACGATCTTATTCCTCGTTTTCGAGCCGAGAGGGAACGCCACCGCGAAACAGAAGAGAAGCCACGCCGCCGGAGTAGAAGTCGGAGTCGCGATCAGGCCAGCAGGGCTTCTCCGTCAGCTTCTAAACGACATCGAAGCCGAAGTCCCTCTCTGACCGGTTCGAATCGAAAAAGATCTAGAAGAGACAGGAGTCCTCGGCCAAGAACACGGGACTACAGCCCTGGATCTACTACCAGGAAGCACGTCAGACACTCCTCACGCGATAGGCGTAAACCATCACCTCGCCGTTACGCACGGTCGTCCAAATCGCCAGCCAAATCACGTCCTATATCACCAGGAAGGTCGGATTCAGGCTCACGGCGTGTGGACCGAGAGGCTCGATCCCGAACAGACCATCCCCAACAACGTTCCCGAAGTCCTTCGCCATCATCAGAACATCCGCCACCCTTATCTCGAAGAGCCCGTCCGTCATCTGTTGAAAACCAGCGTGTATCGGATCTTGAGCAACAGGCCTCGCGGCGACAGCCTCAGCCAAGATCACCTTACGCGAATAGGGAGCGGAGATCTCGAGAAGGATCGCCCGGCTGGCGCCATTCCTCAAGATCTGATATTGACGAAGACATGACTTCACGAGGCAACCCGCGAGGGAGTTACAACCCAATGTATCCACAAAAGTCACACATCAGTAACGACCCTTATTCCCAATCACCTCAACACGGCTCATACCACAACTCGCCATCACGGTCACCATATGGTTCGTCGCGTGGCGGCGGATGGAATGACCAACAGTAAGTGAACATTCATCTAATCAGGCTGTATGACTTAACTAATACCAATTCAGATCCTATCCGCCTCAATACTCACAGGGAGGCAATCAAGGCCCTCCAAGTGGCCCCTCAAGCCATTATCATTCAAACCCAACCCGTTCCCCACCATATGACGCTCCCACAGGTCCCATGCAGCAGTATCCTCAAGGAGGAAGCTACCGTGGAGGCTATCGGGGAGGCGGCTTCCGCGGTGGCCCTTTTGCCGGTCGTGGAAGAGGTGGTTTTAAGAATTCTCATTGGAATCAAGGTCCTCCTCCACGAGGCCATCACGACGACTTGGGCAATGGCCGGTTCAGCAATGTCGACGAACCCAACAACGCAGATGTTGATCCAATGGATGTCGAGGAAGAGCATTTCCGTGCCCACGATCGATTAAACGAAGATTCCGGCCGGGATGTTGACGGCTTACAAGATCCATTGACTACCCCTAACAGACCACCCCCAACGGGCCCAGGCTCGTCTGGTAGCAAGTTCAGTTTTGCCTTTAAGCCGTCGTCAAAACCAGCAGTCACAGCACCCAAACCTGAGATATCACAGAAGCTGAATGCTGCCCCTCGAAGGGAACCTCAGAAGGATAGCCAGGATCGAGAACACAACCGAGACAGAGACAGAGAGAGAGAAAGAGAGAAGGAAAGAGAAAGGGAAAGAGATAGGGATAAAAACAGAGCCAGGGACAGGGACAGAGAACCTCCACGAAGTGCACCGACAGAACCTGCATCAGCCCGACTACGACATGATCGTCGACAACCTCCCGAGGGGCCCAAGGTAGCTCCTCGCATGCGAAAGGTGAAGAAAACGATGAAGCGACCAAAGGCAAGGCCGACACTCTCGGCCGATCTTGTGGACTCGGAATCTGTCTTCTTCAGAAAGCCTGGGAATGAGTCAGTTGTTGGTTCGGGTACTTACGGCAAAGTTTTCAAGGGTCTAAATGTCTACACCAAGGGAATGGTTGCCCTCAAACGAATCCGAATGGAGGGCGAGCGCGATGGTTTCCCTGTCACAGCTGTCCGTGAGATCAAGCTTCTTCAGTCACTCAGACACATCAACATCGTTAACCTTCAAGAGGTTATGGTTGAGAAGAATGATTGCTTCATGGTATTTGAGTATCTATCGCATGATCTCACAGGACTCTTGAATCACCCGACCTTTAAGTTGGAGGCAGCTCAGAAAAAGGACCTCGCCAAACAGATGTTCGAAGGACTGGACTATCTTCACACTAGGGGAGTCCTTCATCGTGACATCAAGGCTGCAAACATTCTGGTGAGTAACGAGGGAGTCCTAAAGATCGCCGATTTCGGCCTTGCGCGCTTCTACGCCAAACGTCACCAGCTTGACTACACCAATCGAGTCATAACTATCTGGTATCGCTCACCAGAACTATTACTTGGCGAGACCAAGTATACCGCTGCTGTCGATGTCTGGAGTGCAGCGTGCGTTATGGTCGAGATCTTCGATCGCATTGCCATCTTCCCTGGCGATGGCACCGAACTGAGCCAGTTGGAGAAGATATACAACGTCATGGGAACGCCCAACTTGAAAGACTGGCCCAATCTCGTCGATATGTCCTGGTTTGAGCTCTTGCGCCCGACTGTGAAGAAAAGAAATGTCTTTGCAGAGAGGTACCGTGATAAGATGTCAACAGCCGCATTCGACTTGTTATCCTCCATGTTCCATTACGATCCTGCCAAACGACCCAGTGCTGCCGAAGTACTTCGACACTCCTACTTTACTGAGGAGGCACCACCAGCTCGACAGGCCACAGAGTAAGTTGATCAGGCTATTACAGATATGAAGATACACTCGCTAACTATCGTGTAGACTTTCAACACACAATGACTGGCACGAATTCGAGTCCAAAGCTCTACGAAAGGAGAATGACCGACGCGAGAGAGAGGCTAGAAAACTGGCCAAAGAAGGTGCCAGCCGAGACAAGGACAAGGACAAAAAGCGTGTCAATGAAGGAGCCGAACAGCGAGACGTCAAACGGTTGCAGTTTGACAAGAATGGTTCAAACAAGCCTGCGCCACCAGCAACCTCGTCCAAAACGACCACTGATGCATAATGTTCGCCACTTATTGGTTTGAAGCGATTATTATTCGGTTATGCGCACCGATTTTCGAGTCATAGACGGCGTTATGTCGCTTACAGGAGTCTTCTCAACAAACCCGACATCTACGAGCTGTTCGTCAGAAGTTTTCAAGGCCTAAGGGGGGCTATTGACCGGCGTTTCTTTCTTCTTGTTTTTATATATTGCCCGCTCTTTCGGCTAGGGCTTGGGTCTTTATGTTATGTTGGAACATTGGGCGTGAGATTTTTCTGCAGGAGCGTAGGCATGTGTGTCCTGCCGGCGCCCGTGTCTGTAGGTTTTCATATGCTATTCGTATTGGCGCGCAATGGGTGGTGATCCAAAAGAGCACAAGGTTTTCTGGTGCCGAAAACATGGCATTGTAATGTTGATTATAGACATGACCGAGGCAGTGACGAAGATACTCAAATCAAAACTCAAGTGTAATTGTAATGACCCGTTAATATATGTGTAATAATTTTTGAAAGCGTGAGAATGCCCCTGGCCTAATATCCTATGCAAAGGGAGTGACTCCCTCCCTCCCTCGTTGTGTGTTCTGACACTCCTCGCGAACTGACGTCCAATGTGATGCCAAGCAGTCGAGCTCCTGTCTCGTCTGTCCAGCTAGCTATTATAGACATGATTTTTGCTTTGTTACTACTTTCGTGTTTCGTTTTGTAAGATACTCCCGTTCTTTTAAACCATATCGTCTCAAACTTTTAACTTTTTTATTCCTCTCTGGCCCTTAATCGTATGTCGTGGTTGTTTTCATAAAATCGTGAATAATTCGTTAGTTCATTGCAAACCGTCGCATTTTGGTTGACTTGATGCGGACTACTCCTCTCGAGCTTGATTGGTTATGCTTCTGAATGAGAGTGCTGTATCCCTCTCTTGTAAATGTTGTTCCAGGGACTACTGGTAAGCCATAGCCTCAACTCCTTTGCCTTTGATGTCTCTAGATTTAAGAAGCTCACGTAGGCTACCCTCCGCACGACCCTTAGGCGCTGGTGAGGAGTCAGCAGAACGCCAGTTCATCCAGCCACTGAGCGTGGAAATAAGATTGTTCCTTGGGTTAGGCGTCTCGATGGAAGACATGGCGCCATGTACAACTGGCTGGTTGGATCCTTCCGTTGCAGCAGGCTTCTTCTTTTTAGGTAGACCAGGAAGATGTTCCTTATTCGTTATTTCCGGAGCTGTTCGGATTTCGAGTTGACTGCTCGATTTCTGGGGCAAAGCAGGCTCGCTGACCAGGCCAGCAGCTGAGCTTCGACTTACATCCATATCATTCAGGTGCATGCTCAATCGGGTGCCATCAATAAGGGCCAGTGAGCCGGACCTTCTTGGTCGAGGTGTCCTCTGTGTAAATTCCTCCTGCACGACCACATTCTCCGTAACCCCGTCCTCAGAGGGTGACAGCGACCCGTGTCTGCTGGACCCTTTTTGTGCAGCCCTGCCACGGACGTCTTCAGCTATTTCCGCAGCAGACTTATTCTTGGACTTATCCTCATCCGATGACCTACTTGAAGACATGATGGTCTCCAAGGTTCCCATTGCCCTGCTATTTCTCCTCACTCCCATAGGACGTTTTCTGTATTGTTTGATATTCCTCTCGTCATCCGACGACACAACTTGAAGGGTGGGTCCTTGGGCCTCTTGGCTGTCAACACCCCCAGGCACAAATGCCGAACCTGAGCCATGAGGGGCATAATGGACCTCATACTGGTTACTTAGGGAATACCGCGACTTTGCACAAATTTCGGCAATGCGGTCGAGGTCAGCATTGATGTCTGTGCCACCAGTTTGGTCTTCCAAGTTGGCCATAAAGCTCTTGAAGCGGAATGCTTCGACCGATGGAAGTTTCGGTTCCTCGGGTTCATTCTCAAATCGCTTCTTTGTTCGTCTTGCCATGGTACCCAACATTCCATTCCTAGATGGTGCTGAACTTGTGCCAAAAGGCAGAACACGCCGAACGAGGGCAGACGGGCCACTACTCTCAGACAGCGCCGGTCGATGTCTACGGCCGTTGACAACAATGACACCCCGGTCGGCAGGTTGAGCCGATACAGGTGCGTAGTAGCTTCTGACAATGACAGGCTGCGAGTAGGTACTACTCTGTGCGCCAGTAGATTGTGTGTATCGGTGGCGGGTCGGAAAATTGGAGTTGAGCTCTCGAAGAGCTGAGGTTCGATGTTCCGCGGTGGAATTGTCCACGGGAATAGGTTTGCCCTCGGCAGTTGAAGGCACAAGACTTGTCGATGAGGTGTCGGATTGAAAGAGAGGTGGGAAAGAGAATTGGAGAGAGTGTCGACGAGATTTGCTGGGGATTGGGGCTGAGGAAGTAGATGTGGATAGGGCGGCGTGAGGTCGAGATTGTCTATGCTGCTGCTGAGTTTGAGGCTGTTGATGAGGCTCCTGGGAGGTAGGAGACAACATGATTGAGAGTCGGAACCTGGGTTCCGCAGTTTTATAGTATGCGAGTGTGTGTTGTGCTCGTTTTTGCAGATGGGGGATGGTACCGTACTTTCAGACGATAGCAAGGTGTAGACTCTGACTTGGATCAAGAGGAAATGTCACCCCAGGTGTGCATCAGTGGGGCGGCATTGGAAGCTCCGAAACAGCAGGTCGATAGCTTTGCAGGTCGATCTGTAAACAGAATACGTACAGACGTGTAGGCTTGAGGGTGGCAAGCGAATGGTGAGATAGGCAAATCGTTGGGATGATGATTGTCGTGGTCGACGGTCGGTCTAGGGCATGCAAGGTATGCCAGGGATACGCTGCAGAGAGGCAGCGGTAAAGAGTAAAGAAGCAAGCCGCAAGTGAGGTGGTAACGTTAGTGTGTGGTGTGGTGTGGTATGGTATGGTACAGTATGTACAAATAGCGCGTGTAAGCTAACGCATGAATGAATTCGACAGTTGGGAAGACATGCACATGGCTGGCTAAGCTATGCTAAGCAGGCCGGTAACGTATTGTACAGCACAGTTTGTTGGTAGAGGTGAGCGGCAAGTGGTGAGAGACACACGGCAAGACAAGCACAGATGTTGACGTCTGATCTTGTCTTGTATTGTCTTGGCTGACAGACTAATAGCGGTTGATGCAGAACAATGCGTCGCCACGACTCTGTGGGGTCGATGGATGGGGGATGCAGGCGGGATAGTACTTGGTGAAGAAAGTGCTATAGCGGTGGATAGCGTTGTGCTTCGGTTACGGGTATGGATACGGCGTAGCAGGACAGGGTTTGTTTCTGTTCTTCACTACCCAAGGTAGGTATCCTGGAGGAACGGGATGGAAAGTTGACAGATGATAGAGTTCGTGAGAAGAGAGTGGAGGGGAGAGAGCCTGGCTAAAGAGAGAAGAACTATGTATGTACTTAAGTGGGCGGGTTAGTGGTGGATATACGCAATTGCAGGCTAAGAGCTACCTACCTACAAAACTAAACTGGGAACGACAACACCAAGAGCAAGAGCAAGAGCAAGAGCAAGAGCAAGAGCAAGAGCAAGAGCAAGAGCAAGAGCAAGAGCAAGAGCAAGAGCAAGAGCAAGAGCAAGAGCAAGAGCAAGAGCAAGAGCAAGAGCAAGAGCAAGAGCAATCCTGTATTGTGGAAGGAAGAAAAGAGAAGGAGGACTTCCAGCTTGTTCTTCCTTTTCCCCTCACAGGGAAGGTGTTTGCTATTTCGCTACCTGCGGTGGTAAGTAAGAGTACCTGTAGGTAATTGGCTTCGATATGTGAAGTTGATAACAACCAACAGAAAACCAATCGGGCCAAACCTGAGCTGGCCTTTTTTATGCATGAGTGTCGTGGCTGTCGATAAAAGGTTCAGTCTCGTCTCGGCCAACATCCCCGCATTGTATCTCATTGGCCAGCATTCATCAGCTAAGCTACAAGTCTCTCGTCTCGTCTCCCGTCTACGGCTCTACCCTGCAGGTCTGCACAACCTCCTACATAACCGACAAACTGAACAACATGTATCGAGGAGGTTTTCTTGTTGTTTATTCAACCGGGTATCATGACACTCCGATGCTGCTCCGATGAACTCATGCTTGTCAATTGATCAATGCTGTCTCATATTCTTGCATTGAACCAATTACTGCACACAATAAGCGTTTACTGGAGTTCCTCAGGCGCATCAGCATACCACTACACATGCACCTCATGAACTAGGCAAAATGACAACTCATCCTCAGTTACACCAAGGTGAAGTACATTCATTCCCAGTGTAAATTTGCCAATTTGCATTTTACCATATACCAACGTGCGGCTGTTGACATGTGCTGTGCTGTTCACCAAGTAATGATTGGAGCTTTCAAACCATTATTGCAAGCATTGAATTACTGTAATACAAACCGCCTCACTGTTATACCCCATCTCACTTACCCGTGCATCGGATCTACATCTTGATCATGGAACTTAAGACCTTGCTTAGGTAGTGGACGACCTTCCTCCTGGGCGTACCAGTATCGTACTCACAGACGAGTAAGGGACAAAAAAATCAGCACACCATATCTCTTCTGTCGTTTATTGGTCATTCATTCTTCCCATCAGGTATCTAAAATATGCATATCATTACCGATCCGATGTCGGCAGCCCGGCAACTTTCAGTGATGCGAATGACTTCTCTCTGTTAACAATAGTAATTGCGAACGAGCTGAATGTTCATACCGGCCAACTCCTTCAGCATCCCTATTAAGCTGTATGTCCAATCGTTCCGTAGCCCTGTCCTCCAGTCTGCACATTATCAGAGTACACGCCAGGGGCAGGTCCTGTCGCAAGGCGGCCCTCGCGCGCCTGCTCTCGGCGGTCGTAGTAGACGTACTCGAGGTAGAAGGCATGGATGTGACCCGGGATGAAGCCCAGCAGGGTTAGGCAGATGTTGATGAATAGATCTGGTAAACATTAGCATGTTGGTTAGCCAAAGAAGCTATGCTGTCTTACCCATTCCACATCCTGAGACAGCCCATACACCGACGGGGGGAACTGTGAGCGCGTTAGTTGCTGTCGCTTATTCTGCAATCGCGAGGCGGTAGTGACGTACAGAAAATGGTGATGAGGACAAGAAAGACGGCTGAGATGGCGCTCATGGTTGCGGTTGGTCGTGTAAGTTCTGAATCGGTCTTTGTGGTTGAGATAGAGATTTGTTGCGGTTGTTGTTGTTGTTATCGTAACAGTTGATGCAGTTGAGAGGAGAGAATGTTGAAGCTACAAGTGAAGTTGTAACGAGAAGTGTTTTAAAAAGTTTGCGCGCCGCGTAACCAATGCTAAAATCAGGAACGTGAGGCCTTCTTCCAGAAAGTCTGCCTTACTCGTGACGTCTAGCAAGGATATGACGTAGGCCACGTCGGCATAACATGTGCCGTGATACACAGCCCAAGAACTAATTCATGGCGACGCTGTCAAAATATCAGGAAACGAGGTGGTGAATGCAAATGATCCAGAAAATTAGTCAATTAACTTGTTACTCGCGATCCCAAAGAACTCAATAGAACGAATCAGTAGGCCATTGCTTCCAGCCAAGAAGCGCGCGCGAATACACACCTAACTATCGGGTATTTCAACACTTATTTTGTACCAGTTACCAGCGGTACTCTGTACAAGAAGGCTTTGACTCCCGTCTTGGCCATCCATGGATGTTACCTGCACCACGTTACTCATATCACAGCGGTTCCTGTCGTGGCACGAGTAATGCATTCCCAGTGCGACATTAGCTGTGCAACGCCGCTTATGTGTCAATGTCTCTTTAGCCGTTACTGCTTGTCACGACACCATGTTCGTTGTCTTGGATGAAGGATGGATCGTGGATGATATGGTGCCTCAGCTGCATTGATGTGCGAGCATGTGATGAGCCATGCCCAGGCAGTTTTGGTTCATCAAGCTTCAACTTCGGAACACTGAGTCTGTACTGAACGGATCGAACTGAAAGGTAGACTCGCTTTTGGCTTAGCCGCTCTTCATATTGGTGAGCAACTCAATCAAATTGTCTCACTGAATACCGAGATTCACTGCCCTCAGCTCTGCTCAGGAATAACCACACCTTCCGAAAGTATGCTGAGGTTTGGACGGAGCATAGAGCCTTTTATGGCTTCATGCGCAACATCTGCAATTACTTTCTTGACGGCCGAAGTTCTCAAGGTGGTCTCAACAGCCAAAAGGGTCATTGTTGCCCAGACCGTTGGGCGGGGGTGACACCTCTTTCACTTCCACGACTATAACGGTCAGATACAGGAAGGCTTGAGGCTTCGAGCAGGGGGAGGCAGGGTAGGATATGAGCCGTGAACAAAGGGTCCGAGACGCTGATCTGAGGAGTCAACAGCTGTTATGTGGTGTAATCCGTAAGTTCATCTGTGCAATCTCATGGCCAGAGGCGAAGAGGCCTGTTGCTTTATGTGAATGTTTGGCTTCATCTCGTATCAGCCAACAAAGTCATATATAATCTCGCTACTTTCAGTACCAACTGTTTGGATATGAGCTCCCTCCCATCTATCCGCGAAACCCGAAGCCGGAACCATATTTCGGAGCTTGTCTCAAACAGAAGGAGAGTTTGGATGGGACCCCTGGACTTTACGGACTCTGCAGTTCGCTCGAGGCGGCCGAACGTTGTTTATCCGGCCAAACAGCCTCATCATCCTTTTATTTGAAAGGCAACAATCTTTCAGCCGAATGATATTGATATATGAAAGAAAAAAGGTTGCTACTCGTAGAGTAGTCCTCGGTAAAAACAAACAACCTTACTGAATGAGGCTGTTTCAGCAACCGCTGGCGATCAAAACACTGCACTGAGAGCCAAAGGCAAAGATGGGGGGACCTACATCATTGTGGACTGATGTTGTTGGAGCGAGATTGACCGATGACGCCTCACCCAAGGCGGTAATTCACGTCTTCGCGCGCAGGTGGAACTTTGGACATATGCAAGGTCATCCTCTCCCTCATCATCGATGTCTGTTATGGTCGCGATCATACTTCTGAGGAGCCTCATTCGGTGACATGTGCAGCAGATAGTCAAGAGTGCCGTATTCTGGAAACCAGCTGCATGTTCTTTTGCACCACGATTGGATTCGGATCAAGCTCCGACAACGAGGCTGCTACTACTAACTGTTTTATGTACCTTGTCTCATGTAATTATTGCCATGTTGTGGAAACCGTTAACAGAGTCTCCGTATCTGCCTGGGCGATCATCAAAGGCTTGAGCTCAAACCCCAGCCTTGACCGGGAATTTGAGTTATTCTTCCGCTGCAACTCCTCCAGAAAGATCCTGTCCCTTGCTTCAGTTGACGCTGAAATGTGATCGGTAATCGTACGCGCGGACGGTGCGATAGATCAGCTGGTTGGACGAAAGAATGCCCTGCTGTTAGATGTAGAAGGGCGAATTAGGAACTTTTAAAAAACGTGGAGTATGGGCGGTAGGGTTAGTTGTGGTCTTGGCAAATGACTGTAGGTCGCATATAACGGGTCTCTTGGAAGAGAATGACAAGTTTCACGTCGCCGAGGAGGGTTTGAACTTCGATATGGTAGGGCTCGGAGGCATCGGAAAGAGAAAGTACCTCAAGCTAGGAGCTATCGCATGTGAATGTAGGTACCAATGAGAAGAGTTGGAGAAGCAAAAGCTCCCTTTGTTACGTTCATGTTGACGGGAGTCGGGGAGAGGCGTATGAAACCAACCCCATATTTTCTGCAGAAGCAACGCAGAAACGGCGGCGGGATATAGTGTGTTAACTACCTTATCACCTACGTTAGTACGATTTGCCTATTGTTGTTGATATTGTCATTACTGCTGTTGTAACGTTCGATATGGCATCTTATACGGATAAGCTATCACAGCTTCTTAGCTGTAAAAACCCAATTAAACCTAGAAGCTGATAATAGAGTTCAGAGCTGCTCAGCCGGGCCCGAGCCGTTGAGGATCCGGGTTACCATGCCCGTCGAAGGAACGGCTGCCTCCAAAGCTCGTTAAAACACACCCGGTAACTTAGGAGGTCGCTCCCCCCTGCAGGATGGCCAAGGTGGTATCAGCTCAGGAGAGGCGGGCAGTTGTGAACTCAGGTGGGTGGTTGAAAAAGCAAACGCACTGATGACTGATGAATATGCCCTTTACAGATAAGTTATGAGAGGCTGTTGAACTGGACGATTCAGATCGATGCCTTCGACGTCAGGCATTAGCAATTGGGTTGGTTAGAACACATCAAAAGGAACTCAATTTAAAAATAGAGAGTTATAAATCATCTGAAATTGCTTCATATCATGAACCTGTTTGTTCATATCCGATGGGACTTCTTTAAATAACCTGATAGCGTGTGCTGACACCCGACGTTTTCCCCACTGCCCTTCCTAGTAGGTGTAGAAAGTAGAAAGCGCCTGAGGCCCTTTTTGTATTTGGCACCATCCTCCCCTGGAGCTTTCTTTTACTGGCCACATCCACATCCGCTTCCCGTCTGTCAACTTACCGTCCGTCACTCACCTCACGTATTCTCTTGTACCTCTTTCATCGCGACCTGGCCGGGCCACGGGCTAGTTGCAACTTAATACTCTTGTACTTTTCGAGTGTAATCATCACCAAGAATCTGAAAGAACTTCAGAGAATCACCTCTGCCGCTCCGCCTGCGCCACCGAGAAAGCAAACTCTCTTTCCTCTCTGCTATATTCTATATTTGCACTTCCAACCGATTCCGCCGCCAATATGTCTTCACAACAACTTAACATCGATCGCTATGTCGTGATCCATGTTGCGACTACCTGCGATGAGCACGGCGTTTATGTAACGAAGGACTCGGCCGAGGTTATTGAGCTTGGTTGGATCTTGGTTGACGCAACCACACTTGAGGAGGTGAGAAATACCATGTTGCCTTTGCCAAGCCCCTTTAGGGGCTCATGCACTCTTCGAGGGGACCTGAATGCCCTCAATATAACCCTCAGATCGCTGACTTGCCCTCAAACCCCCAGATTACCCACGAGAGCGTCCTTGTTAAGCCTGTTAACACCCCCATTACTCCCCTCTGCAGTAAGTTTTCTACGCTCCGCCCCGAAATCTCTCCATCTGCATTTTCTCCACGTTGTTCGATTCCGCCAACCACGCGCCTGGATAACAGACTGCTGGCAATTTTTTGTTAAATTCGGACATTCTGGCTAACCTAACACCTTTTCAGCGAGTCTGACAACTTTGACTTGGGAACATGTTCGAAACGCTGGTACCTTTAGAGACGCTATCACCCGATTCGATACATTCGCTACCGAGTACTTGACCTCCAAGAACCTCGATTTCGTCTTCGTTACTCTCGATGCCTGGGATCTCCGTGTTCAGCTTCCTCGTGAAGCTCGCGACAAGGCCGTCGTCCTCCCTCCTTACCTGCAGCATTCGCGCACTTTCGATCTCCGCACCGAATACCAGCGCTGGCAGCAGCACCACCCTGAGTCTCTACCATTCGGACCTTCGATGCTCTCCAACATTTGCGCCGCTCTTGAGGTCGAGCCCGTTCAGTCAAGTGCTCCCATCAAGCACAACCTCCCATTCCATCTGCAGGCTCTTGCCCCCGCGTCTCCACGACGTGCGATGGAGGAGGCTATTACTCTTGCCCGGGTTCTCCAGGGTTTGATCCGAAAGTCGCAGCCTTCTCAGGAGCACCCCGATGTTTTAACCCGACCCATGGATGCCCGAGCCGATGTTAGAGCTTTCCTCTCCGAGAGAAGCAAGGTGCTTCACATGTCAGGCCTCCCCCATGATACTACTCAGTCCGAACTTGAGAGCTGGTTCACCCAGTTTGGTGGCCGCCCCATCGCGTTCTGGACTCTTCGAACCCCTGAGCAGCACAAGCCTACCGGTACTGGATTTGCTGTATTTTCTTCCCACGAGGAGGTAAGTTGACAAGATTTCCCCGTCACTCTTCATTTGACATCATCCCATCTATATCTCAGAAACACTACATCAACCACAATACTAATTGATTACAGGCTGCCGAGAGTCTTTGTATGAATGGCCGTGCCCTTAATGAGAAGGCCATTGAAGTCTCGCCTTCGTCCAGCCGTGTTCTCGACCGTGCCCAAGACATCCTGACTCCTTTCCCTCCCAGCAAGAACCGCCCTCGACCCGGTGATTGGACCTGTCCTTCTTGCGGTTTCTCCAACTTCCAGCGTCGAACTGCCTGCTTCCGATGTTCCTTCCCTGCTGTCGGCGCCGGTCCCTCGAACGATATGAGCGGTAACAACAACAACTATGGAGGTGGTGGATATGGTTACGGACCCCCTGCTATGATGCCCCCTCCCCCTCATGGCGGCCATCACGGCCCTATGGGTCATGGCGGTGGCGGTCGCATGGGCGGTAGTGGTGTGGTGCCGTTCCGAGCTGGTGACTGGAAATGCGGTAACGAGGTATGCGGTTACCACAACTTCGCGAAGAACGTTTGTTGTCTTCGCTGTGGAGCGAGCCGCGCAGGCGCTGCTGTCGTTGCAGACTCTGGATACCCTTCCCCCATGGACAATGCCAATGCCTCTCAATACGGCATGAACCAGGGGTCTATGGGTGGCGCCCCTGGATCTGGACCCTTCGGCGGCTCTGGTAGCTCGTTTGGTGGCTCTGGCGGTGGCTACAACCAACAGCAGCACTTTGGTGGCCCTCCCAGTCACTATCTTCCCTCTGGTCTCGGCGGAGGTGCCGCAGCCTACCCCAGCTCGCTGAACACACACGGCAGCTTCGGATCTGGCCCGGCGCACCCTGTTGGCCCCTTTGATAGCCGAGCTGCTGAGGCTGCTTTCCAGTCGGCCACCAACGGACCTGCATCCGGCGGCCCCTCCAACAATTTCTACAACAACAATGGCAACAACAACAACAACGGCGGCAATGGCGAGAACGATCCTTTCGCCTTCCTGTCCAGCGGTATGGGCGGATTGTCGGTTAGCGGTGACGGCCGCCAGAACGGTGGCCCTGCTCCCCCCAACAAGTCGCCTGCTTAAATGGCGACAGAATAGTTACAGCCCACTTGCTGCGTGTACACGATTGTTTCTAACCTCCATCTCTTCTACACGAGAATGGACGGTTCCGCGGCACTACTCTTTGCATGAACATTGTCTTTGATTGGAGATAGAACGAACATTTGTTTGTACCAAATATGTGATGGATTTGGTTCTCAACGGAAAGGGGGGAACGGTATGTATTGGGTCGGAGTGACGGATATTGATTCTAAGGTGGACTGTGTTACAAAATTTCAAGGGTTGGAAGACAAAAGTGACTTGATTACCTCACCAACGCCAGGGCCTTGCTTTCTCCGGTGTTGACGGACGGATCTTTATGGTACAGGATCTTGCTTGCTGGGGCCGCTGTCTGTTTTATATTTACAAGCTCTGAGTCGGTCACGTCTCTGGCTCTCGGCGCTTCCACGAGTACTTGAATAAGGAAAAGGAAGACGTGAGAGCTGTTGACGACATTGTCTGCGGACTTCATGGGACGGTGGCGGTATTGCTGGAAAATCGGTTACGGGGTTGGGTGCATAGCGAAGGGGAGTGTAAGGATATATCTGGCCTTTGTGTGTGACTCAATTATCCAGTTTCGGCATTGTCGGTGGTATATCAACCGACAAACTAACTGCTTTTTCTATTGCTTCCCTATCTCTCTGCCCTTATCCTCGTTCATGTTGCCGTTGCCCGTTCTTTCATCACTTGTATGAGTCTGGCATTGTCTTCCTCATGTTGTTTATTTGTCTTGATAATCTCTGCATCTCTTTACCTTCATTCTGATTTTGCTTGGGATGCGCAGGAGCTGAGGAGCTGGATGGAGTGACCGAAAACATTCAACTTTGTGTCACGGTTGGGAGGAGTCGAGGTGTCAAAAGGGATGTTATGTCCCAACGGCTGGCTAAAGCTGCATCTTTGTTAGCTGATGGTATTGGGGACTGTTCTCGCCATGTTGATTCACTCTCTTGAGCCCATCTTTCCAAGGTCCTACTAGGGATTGTTGCATTCGTACGTATGCAGGAGGGGATCAGAGGGCAGTTTTGGCGAGACAGAATAGGCTGGACGGTTGGGCTGTTGGAGGTTATCATCTATTTCATTTCTGCACATTGTATTTTCTTTACTTTCCTCTCCTTTAACCACCACCGCTTTTTCATGATCCATAGGTAACCCTTAGACATGAACTCTCGTCACGTCTTTGCATACTAGATATTGGATAGGATGTATAAAGAAAGTGTTTCGTTTTATCTTTGATCCTCCATCGAGACCCTGGCTTATCATAAAGGAAGCAAGCCTAGAAGGGTGTGTGTAGATTCTCTGTTTATTCTGCCGACCTGCCCAAACTGTAGGTACAATGTGTTTGTTAAAATAGCATTTGCAGTTTCACATGTTCCCCGTTTTAATCATCGACTGATACTATCTAGTACATTGCTAGGTAGTTGAGCAACTCACTGTCTCCTAAGTTGCCAATTTTACTGGTAATCACCACTCAGTTGCCATACCAATCATTGCCCCAACCGTACCAAAGGCCTTCAGCGCCCTCAACGCCCTCATCCTCGTCACCATCCTCGTCACCCTCGTCATCCTCGTCATCCTCATCATCTTCATCACCCTCATCACCCTCATCGCCGTTCACCACGGCTTGGAATTGGTCAGCCAAGCTTTCAGCACCCGCGGCACCTGGCTCTGGATTGTTGGATGAACTTTCGTGGGGTGGAGTGCCAACTCTTCCACTAGACAACCAGTTCGTCCAAGCTTTGGCTCGCTGGACTTCTTCTGGAGTCACTTCGGGGAAAGAGTTTCGAGCGAAAGTCGTGTACAGAGTCTGCCAGGCTTCTGTATCCTCTTCATAGAGATCCTCACCATAGAGGCCCGGGATGCTATCGGCATCCATACTGACATCACTCGTGTTGTTGTTGTTGTTGTTGTTGTTGTTGTTGTTGTTGCTGTCCACTATGTTGGCAGCGGTAGACTTTTTCTTGGGCGCAGCAGGCATGCGATATCCACGATCGATCTCGGCATTGAGGTCGTATTCGCCTTCGCTCTCGGCCTCAGACTCACTTTCCCATTCTCCACGAAAGTTGTAGTTGTCGGCTGACGACCAAGCCATGGCGCGTAGATGTTCGTCATTGTCATCATCTTTGATCTCCTGCTGCTGCTCAGGTGTGAGCTCAGCCCAACGCTTCTTGAGAGCGTGCTTGCGCTGCCAATAATGGGTCCTGTCAGTATTGCCCAGCTTTTCCTCTTCGTCTGAGATATAGATGTCCTCTTCGGTAGGCACAATGTTCTCTCCTGTCTCGAAGTCGATGTATCCCCAGACCATCATCTGAGTGATATGATCATCGAGGTAGAGGCCACGCACGACGGCTTCAACAGGAATGAGCTCATCAGGGCGTCCAAGATGACGCAAGCCTTTACCCCAACCTTCACGGTGGCCTAGGGCAATCTCTCTGATAGGGACACCATAAGCTGTGGTCCATTTGTTTTTCTGGATTCCACGCCAGACTGTTCGGGAGAGTCGTAAATCGTAGCGGGCCTTGAGTGTCATGATTTCCGAGATGGTCGTGTACTTTTGTCGCATGAGCAACTGCCAGAGAGGAAACAATCCCTTCTGGCCCATCATGAGCCGGACCATGTCGATGTTGTGAGGGTGGAAGTAAGGGTGTGTGAACGCCATGCTGAGTTTGACAAGAAAGAACTGCACGTTGTAGAGGTGATCATCGGTCCAGTAATCCTGGTTGCGCAGGAAGAGCTGCCTCTGGCGACTGGTGGAGATCTCGAGGAGAAGCCAGAGTCGCAGCAAGGTGCTGTACATTGTTTTGGGCATAAGAAAGCCCATACGGGCCATCATGGCTAGGATCTCGCGGCAATATTGATCACGGCCGAGGACGAGTTGAAGATATTTGAAGCCAGGGATGAGGCGGATCTTGTCTGGGTTAGTTTTCGCAGTCTCCCAGCGGCCCTCGAGGTTGCGGGCATCATCCGCGTCGGACGTGCGACCGATGGGATCTCTCATCAGCACCGTGCCATAGAGTTTCCAGTGGAAGACCTCTCCGGCATCGGGTGCTTTGTTGTCAACCCACGCACGGATGCATGAGAGCATGTGGCCTTTGACTGCTTTGCGAAACGCAGCGCTGGCTATGTAGAGATTGACAATGTCCTTGGGAGGGAGATGCTTGCCGATCTCAATAGCAAGTTCGAGGTTGCGACAGAGAGCTGTGATGATGTCAAAGTTTGTGTGCTTGAGACTGAGAACAAGTTGATCCATCTCGTCATTGGGTTTGTAAAGATCTTTACCCCCGAACTTGGCACTGGCATAGGCTGGGCCGAGCTTGACTCTCTTCTTTCTGCCAGAGCGATCTTCAACCTCATCGAGAGCGGTTTCTGGACCTGACCAGATGCCGACGAGCAGGTTCTCATCTATCTCATAGTCCTCAGGCTTGACGCCTAAACCCTCGAGGCTGGTATCTGTGCGAACATGATTTGCAACCGCCGCTTCAAGGCGTCGCAGCATAGGATCTGTCAGGAGTTCAACTTTCTCCTCAGACTTAGCGGCAGATGGGGCCTTGGTTTTGCGTTGGCCCTGAGGAGCAGATTGCGGGTTGGCAGCAGCCCTAGAGGTGTTGCTGGCGGCTGTCTGTACGTTGCTGGCACCAGGGGGAGCGCTGTTCGTTGTAGGTGGCGGACCACCCAAAGGGAGCGTATTAGAAGCCATGTTGAGACTTAATTAAGGGGAAGCAGAGAGGTAGGCGAAGTCTTGATATTGTGTAGCGGTTCGATATTCTGGTGAGATTCGTAATGACAGAGCCACAGAGAAAACCCCATGAGGTTGTTCGAGGTGGAGAAGAGAAGATTGTCGAGCCTCGAGCCTCGAGAGTCGGCAGTAAATATTACCTATCTCACCCAGGCATCCACTCGAAGACCGGACGAACGAACAATAGGGAGCAAACACGGCTAACGGGCCAAACAAACAAAGATTCACTAGGTCAACCGAGTGCAGGGTCAATACTGTCGGGCTCGCCAGGTGTCTGGCAGTGCCTCGCACTTGCGAGAAGCTTAGGTCAGTGAATAGTAAAAAATAGAAAACATCTTTTTAATTAAGCTGGGGGGACATGCACGAGATAAAAAAAAAATCATCTTTTAGGGGCCCGGAAAACCTTCCAACAAACTTATAAGTCTTCATACTAGGATATATCGCTTCTCATCGCTGATGGCATATTCTTCTCTTGCCACCACTCCCAGAGCTGCTGCGTCTCCTCATCCTATGAAGACCGGAACTTCTCCACGAACTTCCACCTCACCTATCGGTCGAGCTCATCGACAGGCAAGTCGCCATCGTCCTTACCCACGATGGACTCGGCTACCTTCCAGATCTGCAGCAGGTTGTCTTCCGCAGCACTTGCTACAAGCCAAGGTTCATTGGGGTTCCAGCTGAAATCAGCGAGATGGTTTGTGTGACCGCCATGCATGAACAGTCTATATAGTGTTAGCTTTCGTCCGAAGAAGTTCTTTGTTATATGGAGACCTACAATTCAGGGGGGCCGTCATCCTGGTCATCGGGCAATTGCTCCTCGCCCACTCGTGAGAGATCCCAGAAGATGATTCTTCGATCATAACTGCCACTTCCCAAAATACCGGCCTCAGTAGGGTGCCAGGCTAGGGATGTCACAGCGTCGTTGTGGCCCTCCAAGGTGTGTACCTTCTCCTTCACATTTCGAAGATCCCAGATGCCGATTGTCTTGTCCGCAGAAGCTGTGGCCACGAGCACCTCCGAGTTGGGGTTGAACGCCAGGGCATTGATTGCGTCAAGATGGCCGCGTCTAGCGACCACTGCTGCCTTCGCTGTCTCGCTGTGTCGCACATCCACAATCTGAAGGGTTTGATCGTCCGACACGGAACCGATGAAGTTCTTTGAGATAGGATGATATTGGACGTCGTTGACAATCTGGGTATGATGAGTGTACTTGCGAGAAGGGTTGATAATTCTCGAATCGGCCTTGAGAGTCTTCAGGTCCCTGGAGTGACATGTAAGCATGCTGTTTTGGGAACGTGAATTTGTTGAAAGCACTTACCATAGACACATGGTGGTATCCTCGCTACCAGAAGCCAAACACCCCGCCTCATGAGGGTTCCAGTTCAGGCCAAAACCCTCGGCCTTGTGTCCGACGAGCTCAATCTGAGCATTAACCTTTCCAAGGGTAGTAGGGTGGAGAGGGTGCTTCGTTCGGTCAAAGATAAGGATCTTGCCGTCCACGCACAGTGTCGCGAGAATATCAGGATTCTGGGGCTGGTATCGAGCCTTGTTCACTTCTCCAGGATGCTCGATCTTCTGAACAATATCGCACTTGATAGCAGGGACATCGCCAGACTTTCCATAGCCACCGATCTCGCCTCGTTCCTCATCGTAGTCGTCGGGGTTGGGCGCGACAGTCTTGGGAATCTGTACATCGGCGATCTGAAGATAGTTGGGGCTTTCATCCGAGGTATGAGTGCCAAGCAGGAGGCGGTGAATTTTGTAGTTCTTGCCCTCGGGCTCCTTGACATCGGGGAACCACTGGACTGTGAGGGTAGGCCAAGTTAGGGCCGTTCTAGAGTGATAAATATTAGATTAAGGGACAGCGGCTGCAAAAAAGAGGGTTTTAACTTACCCTAGAATCATATCGTACAAGAAAGGGCTATTCTTCTTCCATGTCTTGTACTCTTTCGAGTGTTAGTATGTAAAGCATTTCCCATGTGTTCTCTAGTTTCTTCTTACCTTCGTTAATCAGACGCTCTCCTTGATCATCATCTTCTTCGTGAGTCATGTCGACTATGTTTGCGTAAGTAAATCACCTCTCAAATATGAACGTGGCCTTGATTGGGTTGTGTCGCATGCAAGGCTGGGCGCAAACTCACTGTCTACATCGCGCTCCGTAGATTGAGCTGGCGCCATGATGGGTTTTCTTTATTCAATGTGTTGGCTTTGTCGTTTTATGCAGGCGTTAATATTGAGTTTTTGGAATGTGCGCAAAGTTCGCAATGAACAAATTGTTGGTGGAGGAAATTCGAAATGCACGGCTGAAGATGACAATAGCGTCGTTGCACGGGAAGGCTGAAAAGTAAGGTAGAGGTTGTAACGCGTCGCGCGTAAAGTGACAATAGGTTTCTGTATGTCCTAAGCAACGAGCTTCAGCCACGTCGAGGTGGGAGATCCTGTGGCGCAAGTACCCCACAGTTTGACACCTCCCTGGTCATTGACTCACAGGAAGGGGGCCTGAGCATTGAGCACACCCGCCTGAGCTCACGGAGGGTACATGCGCTATACCTCAGTGTCACCCTGAAAGATTCGACTTTTGCTATACTACTGTTGTACTTCGCCGAACCCCTCCATCGCAGGCTGAGAGCCCCACCCTGCTAACGCACCTGTTCAATGACCTGGACTTGTATTGTCACCATAACACGATTCGTCGCAACCATCACCCTTCTTCCTTCAAATTCTCCCAGAACACGACCGCTCTCCTGCAACATCGCTCATTCATTCGGATCCTCTTAGAGTACGCTTCTCTGCGAATTCTTCGTTCCATTGTAGCGATATTTGCCTTTGGCTTGCCACGCCACGCCGAGTCATTGCCTTGTCTTTTTGATCCTGTTGCCACAGGATTTTCTACGTTTTGCGCCCAGATATAGGGGCGAATCGGAGTTCAAGTCCGATAAAAGAACACTTTCCAAATCTCTAGATATTTGCTTGGACTGATAATTGTCCATTGCCTGCCAAGATGGGGTATGTACCTGTTCTCGCGGCTCTCCCCAAGCTTCTGAAGCTGACTCTTTTCATCGCAGTGTCCCCAAGTTCTTTAGATGGCTCTCCGAGCGATATCCCGCCATCTCCCAGCTCATCGCAGAGAACCGAATACCCGAGTTCGACTGCCTTTACGTTCGTCACTTCAAGCCTCATGCTGCCACTTCACACTGACCGTCAGCTAGCTCGATATGAATGGTATCATTCATAACTGTACCCACAAGGATGCAGGCGAGGATGTGTCCTTCCGGCTGAGCGAAGAAGAAATGTTTATTCGTATATTCAATTACATCGAACATTTATTCGGGAAGATTAAGCCCAAACAGCTGTTCTTCATGGCCATCGATGGTGTTGCGCCTCGAGCTAAGATGAACCAGCAACGTTCTCGACGTTTCCGGACGGCTCTCGACGCTGAAAAGGCTCGTGACAAAGCCATCAAAGACGGCATCGAGATGCCCAAAGAGGAACCCTTCGATAGCAATTGCATTACACCAGGTTTGCTCATAATTCTTACAAAGCCCAATCGCAACTCTAACACAGGCAGGTACCGCTTTTATGGCAAAGCTATCCCAACAGTTGAGATACTTTGTCAACAAGAAGGTGTCTGAAGACACTGACTGGCAAGGATGCGAAATTGTGCTGTCCGGCCACGAGGTCCCCGGTGAGGGAGAACACAAAATCATGGAGTACATTCGAAACGCCAAGGCTCAGCCTAACTACAACCACAACGTGAGACATTGTCTTTATGGTCTCGATGCAGATTTGATCATGCTTGGCCTGCTCAGCCATGATCCCCATTTTTGTCTTCTTCGAGAGGAGGTTACCTTTGGGCGGGCTTCCAAAACCAAGTCCAAAGAGCTTGAGCACCAAAACTTTTATCTGCTTCATCTCTGTATCGTCAGAGAGTATCTTGAGATGGAGTTTCAGGAGCTTCAAGAAGAAGGAACTCTCAGCTTCCCATTTGATCTTGAAAGAGTCATTGATGACTTCATTTTGATGGCGTTCTTTGTCGGAAACGATTTCTTACCTAATTTGCCCAGCTTGCACATCAATGAGGGTGCGCTAGCCAACATGTTCAGGATTTACAAATCCATCCTTCCTAAGTGCGATGGATATATCAACGAGAATGGAGTTATCAACATGGAGCGACTCCAGCGCCTTCTTGGCGAACTTTCCAATACAGAAATCAGCGCCTTCGAGAACGATGTATCGGATGAAAAATGGTTCGCGTCGAAACAGATGGAAAAAACCCTTGAAAGCAGAAATGCCGAAGCAAAGGCGCCCAAAGGAGGTCAACTTGTACTCACTCCAGCCCAACGCGATTTGTGGAAGCAAAAAATCAAGCCCTACATCTCAAAGCGCTCCAAACAACCTTTGGACCTCGGCACTGGTCTCAAGGCTACGGACCGCAAGTTTGTTCAGGATTTGGCCGATTCTATGCACCTTCAATGGTCCACCAAGGAGGATGATGAGGGTCACCGCCATCTGATTGTCTCGTTCCCACCTAAGGATAACGACGAGGACGACGATGATGAGGAAGAGGAAGGCAACCTAGCTGCCTATCGAGTAATGAAAACTTACGACAAGGCCCTGGTGATCGACCTGACCGCTGAGGATGCCCAGAAAAACTATGAGAAGCTCTACCAAGACAAATACCAGGGTTGGAAGACAAAGTACTACCTGCAGAAATTTGAGGAGTGGGCTCCCGACAATTACGACAAGGAACTTACATCATTGTGTGAGAACTACGTTCAAGGTCTACAATGGGTCTTGTACTACTACTATCGAGGAATTGCGTCGTGGCCCTGGTTCTACGGATACCACTACGCGCCTCTTATTTCAGGTAAGCGCAATATGCGTACGTTCGGGGCGCTCAACTAACATGCTTCAGATGTTGTCAAGGGTGTTGGTGCAGATCTCAACTTCAAGAAGGGTCAGCCTTTCTTGCCATACGAACAGCTTATGGGTGTTTTGCCAGACCGAAGTAAGAAGATCGTGCCCACGGTTTACCATGACCTCATGACGAATCCGGATTCTCCTATCATCGATTTCTACCCTCGAGATTTCGAGCTAGATATGAACGGGAAGAAGATGGACTGGGAAGCAGTCATCAAAATTCCTTTCATCGACGAGAAGCGCTTGTTGACAGCTATGGCACCCAAGAACGAGCTATTGGAACCCGAGGAAAAGGCTCGCAACGGCTTTGGTGTCCCTCTCAAGTTCACATTCTCGCCAGAGGTCGATTTCGTTTACCCTTCACCCCTGCCCGGTGTTTTCCCTGAAATTCAGAACTGTCGCTGTATTGAAAACATCTTCGACCTACCTGATGTGGAGGGACTTGATTTCTTGTCCGGTTTGACTAGTGGTGCCTTATTGAACGGTGATGCTCTGGCGGGCTTTCCCACACTTCATACTCTGCCGTATACTGCCCAGCTTGTTGAAGGTTATGGCGTTAATGTGTTCCAGACAGACAGTAGGAACCCGAGTATCTGTGTTACCTTGACTGGAACAGAAAACCGTACCAAGATGGAAACTTGGAAGGCGAAACTCGGCCAGCGATGCTATGTCGGATATCCCTTCCTTCAGGAGGCCAAGGTTATCAAAGTCCAGGACGAACTCTTCAGTTATGAACTGGCGGACAACGGCAAAGACATCGTGACGAGGGACCACAACAACAGAGAGGCTGCTGACTGGGCCAGAGAGGCCGACCACCTTGAGAACTGGCATGCTAAACGTTTGGCAATTACTATCGGCCAGGTTGAGTGCTTGGTATATGTCCATATGCTCAAGGGCCTCAACCGTACGGAGGAGGGGGCCTTGATCAAGGAGTATGCCGAAAACCCTAGCCTTAGGAGCACGTATGCTGCGCAAACCATCGTCGACGAGGTTGTCAACGAGGACGAGCGATTCATTGAGAAAGAAGCGTTGCCTATCGAGGAAGAATTTCCTCGTGGCACTCGTGCTTTCTTCCTTGGCGAGTATGCTTTTGGTCGGCCCCTAGAGGTTGCTGCCCATACCGGCAACAAGGCTGAAATTGTTGTCTCAATGCTCAAGAACAAGGAGCCGGACTTCGCCAAGCAGATCATCTACCAGGCAGAACGCTCCAATCCCTATACTCCTTCTTTTGCTGTCGCCAAGCAGTTAGGCATTCACCCTCTTGTACTAAGCAAGATCACTTCCTCATACCAGATAATCAATTCTGCCGGGCTCAGACTGAACTTGGGTCTAAATTTGAAGTTTGAAGGACGAAAGCTGAAGGTTCTGGGTTATTCGAGGAAGTCTCATACTGGTTGGGAATTCAGCGGCATGGCAATCAAGTTGATTGCTGACTACATGGTCGCCTTCCCTGACTTCTTCGCGGCCATTCAGAGGGAGCCGCAGAAGAGTGAGGTTCTCGAAACAGACCTGTGGAAGGACCCCAGTGTTGCTTCTCAACGGGTCAAGGAGATTGTGGCCTGGCTCAAGAAACAGGAGACGAGCAAGTTCGAGCGTGTTCCTTTGGAGGCTGAGCAGCTTGACTCCGAGGTTGTCAAGGCCCTGGCTACTGTTGGTGAGCAAGTACATGCTGCTTCTCAAGACGTTGACATCAAGAAGCTACGTGGTGTTCCTCGTTCAGCGCTTCTCAAACCTTCGGATGCAGAGATGGTGCTCGGCAGCCAGAACTTCAACCTTGGGGATCGAGTCACTTATGTTTCTGCTGCTGGAAAGGTTCCCATCGCGACTCGCGGAACCGTTGCTGGTATTAGCCGCACAGCTACTGCGCTGCTTCTGGATGTTGTCTGGGATACATCTTTCATGAGCGGTACCACTCTAAATGAGAGAGCGCCTATGTTCCGTGGCCAGACCGTAGCATCTTCTTCTGTTCTGAACACCTCAAACAAGCAAGTCATCTCCACCACAAGCAAGGGGCAACAGCGACGTCCCGTCATTGCGGCGCAGGGTGGGTATGCGAATGTTGGTGTTCCCCAGTACAAGGACGCGCCCGCTCCTGGTCCCCTTCGTGGTGGATGGCGCGGAGCGCTAAACGGCAACAACTCAGGTGGACGTGGTCGAGGTAACGGCGCTCGCGGAGGTGCCCCTAACCTCGTTCACAGCACCTTGGTCTACCGAAACGGCCCCCCTGAAGGTGCTGATGCTAACGGAAATGGTGGACGTGGCAGAGGAGGCCGTGGTCGTGGACGTGGCAGTTACCACGGTTCCCAGGGCCCAGATGGTGAGCAAGGAGCAGGCGCCCCACAGGAACAAATGTACGGTAACGTTCCGCCACCCGCTAGCCTTGATCAACCCAGGGGCAGAGGCCGAGGTCGTGGACGTGGTGGAAGAGGCCGTGGCGGCCCCAACCGCGGTCGAGGTAATGGAGGAGCTGGTAATGGAACTCAAGGCTAGATGCCTCGCGGCTATGTACCTTGCCGGATCTGATGGATAGATTATCCGTGATACCATGTCTTACAACATGATATTTGAATGCTCGGGTTGTTGATAGAATAGCCGGCGTTGTGATGAAAGTTGTGGATATGAAATGTATGATAGATAAAAGCTAGATATACCTGTATCACGAAGTCACGAATACGAATAGATCTGTCTGTCTAAACAAAATCATAACTAGAGAGCGTGTGAAATATTAAATCACCAAGTGAATTGAACGCCATAACACTATGTATATATGCTTAAGGTCGACAGGCTAATTTGTCTAGTAGCTCCTCTTGGGTGTATCCTTCTTCTTGGTCTTGATAGCAGGAAGTTGAAAGCTGGATGACTCGCCACCAACCAACCCCTTCCAATGACCAAGATCACGGGTCTGATCCCAAGTGAGGAGGCCGACCCAGGGCTGTACATTGTAATGTAGCTTTAGCTGCACGTCTTCTGTCTGGGCGACCTTGCCGCTGGGGTGAGTGATCTGATACTTGGGCTTCTGGTTCTTGAGGCCGATCATGCCACTATAGTAGTCGTTAGCTTCTACAACTAACCTTATAAAATCGCAAACTTACCGGTCAGGGTCAATAGCCTTGCCCTCAGCGCTACGCTTGAGCTTCTTCATGGCAACGGGTCCGATGTTCTGGAGGTGGTCGGCACTAGGGCTTGTAATGATCTTGTCCCAAATGACGGCCTCGTTGGTGGAGTTGTTGGGACCGGGCCACTCAGCAGTGACATAGACGAAGACTTGTTTAGTGTTCCATGTGAAAAGAGACTTCAAGTCGGCTTCCAGGTTGAATCGAATGATGGCGTACTCCTCCTTCTTAGAACTGTAGTAGTGCGGTCGGCCCTTAACACTGCAGGGTGGAAAACGATTAATACATGGCAATATATGATTTCAGGTAAATAGACATACACTTGGGTGCTTGAAACACCAAGTTTGCCAGCGCCAGGAGCACGCGGGCTCAGGAGATCCGAAGCGGCGATGAAAGCTGCGACAACGAATGCGACGGTGGTGAAGAATCCGAAGGCATTCTGGCCACGAGTGAGGGTGTTGTACATGATGGGCAATTGGGGTAGCTGCCAGTGCAGCTTTTACCCTCCGAGTGTTTTATGGAGGAAGAAAGAGGTTATGAGAAGAGAATGGATGTGAAGTTTGAAAGACGGACGTTTGACTATATCGCGTCTTGGTCTTGGAGGTTCAAGCTACTGGCCACGTTTTGGGAGCTGTCTTTAGGTGGTCAGCGCTGCAACTGTGGCGTTTCAGCCTTGTGATTGGGTCACTGTGGGGTTGGCTTCTTTGGACTTGGATTGAACTGGAAATAATTTTATGAAGCAAAAGAGCTTCAAATTGCGGAGAAATGGGTACTAAAATAGTCTGCTCATTCTTTAAAAATGAAGGTCTTGATGTTTTTACTCATCAGATATAAAATTCGGTTTTGTAAATACCAACTTAAAGTCCCTCCGTTCCTGCAAACCCCAATTGCTTGGACCCTGCGAGGCTGACATTTCTACAATCCATCCAGCAATTAGTTACAGTATGGAACCTGGTCATTTCATCTCCACAGCCTCCATGTCTCTGCCGACGTCGCACTAAATTTTGTAGTGAACCCCCCACTAGAAGCCGGCCTTTGAATGGTCTCGTTAGGGCAGTCCAAACTCCCATTGAGCAAAGGCCGAGCGAGTCACAGCGCCCACGAAGATATTGTTTGACGACCTAGCAGTGTTTGATTTTTTGCGCATGGGAACTTGTTCATTCTCCTATACTCGGCGATTTGGGCTGTACTGAGGGACTTCCCAGCTTCCTGCTCCAGGCTGCATCAACTGCTGGCAGTGACGATCACCGCCTCTTAGCCTAACGCATCGTGAACTGTCAAGGCGAAAAACTGGAGGCCCACGCCCAGTCTTCGTCAACTGGTGACCAGAGGAGGAAAAAGGCTCGATGGGAGTGCGCACCGCTCTTCTCTTCTTCCTATATTCTCTCTGTACATTGCGCCGAGCTTTGCTCTAATACACTCTAGTCCTCTCGCACGTTATCATTCCAACGCCAACTCTTTCCCAGACTATGGGTAGGCCTCTTGTCCAATCGCGCAAAAGGTTACGATATTCCCGCTGACACGTTGTAAAGAGCTCCGGGTGACGAGGCGAACATGAATAAATTACGGCTGGTCAGTTTGTTGTTGGGCTCAGCGCAGCCTCAGGATGGTTACTGATTTCAAGAGCAGAGAGCGATCAACGACCAGAGGCCGCGAAGCTCTCTGAACTCTGGGCAATTTGCTGAGACAAGGGACCACCACGATGATTCTCAGAACGATCGACCGAATAAGCGCATCAAAAAAGCAGATCTAAATCGACCACACAGCACGATATCCAACTTCTTCGCTCCCAAATCACGATCAAAACCCTTGGAACAGATCGAAGACGACGGGCTGGTTGGAGTAAAGCATCCATGGTCGCACGACCTGGTCAGAGATGGCTCACAGGCTGAAACTATCGAGGGTTCGAGCGTTACCAGCAACGGCAAGGGTGCAGCAGCTACGAGCAGTCTGCATGAATACCGCAGCGTTAGTAGTCGCAATAATGTCAAGCCAAGCCGACGAAGACGAAGACCGCACGAAAGCAAAACATCTACATCACCCATCACGATCGACGACGACGACACGAATGCTATCGCACATCGAAACCTCCCTCCCCCGCCTCAGCATGTTCCGAATAGTCCGGATTGCTTAGTTACTGAACCGCCACCGGCCAATATCATTTCCGATGTTGTTCAGTCAAAGAGGCCAGCCGCAGAGTACACGCAGAACGCACCGAAACGATTCAAGCCCTTGAATGAGTCTGACGATGAGCTTTCGAGGCCCGGAACTTCTTCCGGTCGAGACGCTGCCAAGAGGTCCACTGCTGGGAAGCTAATATCTCGATCTCCTCAGTCACGGTCTCAAAGAGGCGATATTCAGCCCACAGCCTTCAAATCGGTAAAACCTGTTGCGAGTCATCAAAGTCTCGCATCAAAAGGGCCACCGCAAGATGATTTGACTGTGGATGCTGCCGTTTGTGGGCAATTATTGTTCCCATCCAAAGATAGACTGGGTAGCGTTAGGCTTCATCTCGATGCAGATGTAGCATGCCCCGTTCATGAGACTGGACTCGATCTTGCATGGCTCAACATTTCGAAGAAAAAGATCAACCACGTGGAGCACGGCAACTCCCATAGTCCTATTGTTGCCATCAAACGAGCAGCTAATGGACAGGTCAATGGCACCTTGGTGTTGAAATTCGCCCATGCCATTAATGCCACTTTATTCATCAAATGGCTGCTCGGGTCGTCAAGAGTCATTGAAAAGTCTCCGTAAGTGCTGCTTGAAGTGCTATGTCTATCAGAACTAAGCTAACGATTCGTAGGGAGTACTTGACTAAAGTTTTTGATCATGCCATGGGAATCGCTCAAGATTACAAAAACCATTCTATCGAACAGCCTGGCCCAACTACACCAAACAACGTAGTCAAAGCGAATGATTGGAGACCACAGTCTCATTCTACTCACAGAGACCCTTTTCTAGGATCGCCCATCTCACCCAGGCGTGTTAAGCTTAAGGATAAGATGCAGGGTCTTCCTCCGCCGAAAGAAAAGGACACACAAAAGGAGCTGGTGGACATTGGAGATGTGTATGCAGGGTTGACTCGCAGCCATGGACCTAACACTCGACGCACAAGGCAGTCAACTCCACCGACACGCCGCGAAAGGACTCCCGATAGATGGACAGCTCAAAATCCAGACTGGGACAAGGACTGGCATAGATCCTTGGTATACCCCCCAACTGGAAAGAACCGTGCAACTGTCGACAAGGATGATATCCAACGGCTGGACGAAGGAGAGTTTCTCAACGACAACCTTATCAGCTTCTACCTTCGTTATCTGCAAGTCCAGCTCGAAAAGGAACGGCCCGAAATTTTGGAAAAGGTGTATATTTTTAACACATTCTTTTTCGAAAAACTGAGGTCGAATCGCACCAAGATCAATTATGAAGGTGTGAAAGCCTGGACTGCCAGGGTTGATCTTCTCTCTTATGAATACATTGTGGTTCCAGTCAACGAGAACGCCCACTGGTACCTGGCTATTATATATAATGCGCCCTGTCTTCTCCCTCAAGAAGTGAAAGCAGAGACGGCCACGAAACACGAACCCTCAAATTCACAAGAGGCGATAGTCGTTGAGGATAACGACCAGGTAGCTGACGATTCAAAGAGCCCCCCTGCTGGCCAGACACCACCTGCTGCGGATCTTGATGTCGAGGTTTCTCGATCAACCAGAAGCCGGGCAACAATTGACAACAAGGTTATCTTATTGAACGATGAGAACGTGACAAATCCAGAACCCGCTGCCAAGTCCACCAAGCGAAAGTCGACTGGAGGAAACCAGAAGTTCAGCACTGATGAGCCGAGGATTCTTACTCTTGACTCGCTAGGTTCACCACACCCGCCAACCTGCAGGTGTTTGCGAGACTACCTAGTCGAGGAGGCGAAACACAAAAAAGGGCTCGAAATCATCAACACCCCAGGAGGTATGACTGCTCGAGGGATCCCACAACAGGACAACTATTGTGACTGTGGTGTGTATGTATTGGGTTACATGGAAAACTTCCTTAAGAACCCAGACGAAGCCGTTCGAAGACTGCTCCACAAAGAGGATACTCAGTGGATTGTTAAGCCCCAAGAAATCCGCGCCAAGGTGAGAAATCTTCTCTTTGGGTTTCAGAAGGAGCAACATTTGCGGCTGGAGAAGGAAAAGGAGCTGAAGAGACTACGGAGGGCAACGAAGGGTCCCGTCTCATCGCCACAGGTGGCCCCATCCTCCCCTCAGGTGCCCCTGGGGGAGCCACAGACGCCGCAAGTCAAGCGTGCACAGGAAAGCCCTATAGAGACCGGTGCTGGTCGTGCGACACCGGGAACGCCTCGACAGACAGCCACTACTTCGGCATACTTTGCAGTTGCTCCAGAGAATCCGATCCAACCCCAAACTCCTAAAAGGGATGAGGAGCCATCCTTCGTCCAACCTTTAAGGGACGACTCGAGCAACGAGTCTAAGGCCTCTAGCTCTGGAGATGCCTATCATTCAGCACGTTCCTCACCTGCGGATAATGTGCCGCAGGTGCTTTCTGAGCTAAACAGAGAAGTGCCTCCATATCGCGGCGAGCGAGTGGCGATCAAGCAGCCGTCAACGCCCCATTTTGTACAGAGATTATCAGAATCGCCTAGTGAGGTTCGTCCAACAGCCAGCTCATCAACTGTTAAGAAGATCAGTTCGCCGCCGTTGACTTTGGCTACGAGACGACGCCCCTCGCCATCAGTTGCCCAAGGTCGTCGGGATGTCATTGATCTTGAGTCACATGTTATTGAAAGTATAGAAGATGACAGACCTCCTCCTAAAGGACCGCAGTACGATGGGATTGATCGATCTATCGATTTGACTTCATGATATGCACTGGCTTCATGGGGGGCAACACATTGAGTGGGCTTCAGAAAAAAAGGAAAGACTGGTATCACAGGTTTGGTCCTGATCATGGTTAAGACAGTTGCAGCATTATATCATGTCAGGTTAGGGATTCGAGTGCTTGGAACTAAGCATGAAACGGAGAAGGAGTTAAGACGACGAAAAGAGACATTAGAGAGGCCATCTCGAGTAGAAAGATATTAAAGTTTATACCCATCAACAAAGTTTTTCCTATTTAACACCCGACTCCCAAGTGATCACCAACAGATGCTAGATCTGATCTTCCCCGATATGCTAACGGCATATAACATGTGATGCGAGCTGCAGTCTCCACCACGTCTATTGAGTGGTTGATAGTCAAGTATCTATTACGCTTTTTTATTCCTCTTGCTCGTCGTCTGAGCTCTCTTTCGTGCCATTCACCGCCGGCCGTTGTATCCTTGGAATCTCAAAAACAAACCCTCCGTTGCGTCCAGCCTTTGCTGGCGGATCCCATCTGCCTAACCGGTGTTCACTTCCAACAGCCACAACCACGCAGAGGCCGTCTTTGCCTCTGTCACCACGCTCAAAAACATCGATGTCGTTGACGACGCCATGCACTGGGCCTAGGGCATTGTCCTCGGTAGATTGGTTTTCTTCGTCTCCGGGGTTGGAAAGAACACCACGGAACTCAATCTTGCGCTTGTCCTCACTGAGCTGCCAAACTCGAATGTGGCCATCCCAGCTGCCAGTGAGAATAACGTCGGAGTAGGGAATGGTTCGGATGGCGGTGATCCAACGGGGTGTAGGAGGGGGCACGATCTCAGGTCCTGGGTTCACTTCGGCGGATGCCTCTGTGGGATCCAAAGCAGGATCAATGCCGTGCGCAATAGGCTCAATGTACACAGGCTTCTTCTTCTGCACACTCCACAAGGCAAGGGCCCCGTTATCGCTACCAGTAACAAAGAGATCTTCATCAATCATAGCGACGCGGTCCATGCTGCCCTCATGAAGGAGAGATCGTTGTTGAACACCGCTTGGTCGGGACTTCTTATCCACGGCACCACCACGAAAGACGAGCTGTGTCTCTTCAGCGACCTTCCAGAGACGCGCAGTACGGTCTCGCGCGCCAACACTAACACAGCGCTCTTGCGCAAGAGCATCAACGTCAAGAATTTCGTCCTGGTGACCAAAGAGAGTCTCAACGTACGCCATCTCGTCCAAGCTCCAGACCTTGACTGTGCGGTCCTTGGAGCATGAGTACAGCTGGTTCGTTCCTCTTCGAAAGACCAATCCGGTGACGGCGTCTCGGTGGTGTGTGAAAACCTTGATGGGCTTGAGCGCATGTGCGTCGTAGATGATGAGCTTCCGGTCTGCACCACCAGTGGCTACGAATTTACCGTCAGGAGATGCGGCGACGGCGAGAATGCGGCCGGTGTGACGTTGGTAGTCCTTATCCTGCGACTTCTTCGTATTTCCCCTAATCCAAGACTCCAGCACTGGCTGCTTCTTTGGAGGCGCCGGGGGCTTCTTGGGTTTTCGTCGTGTTGTCTGGGGGTATTGATGTTGAGGGAGATCTTGGGTCTTCCATTTCTGTAGGTATAGGTCTTTGGTGGTTGTGTAAATGTAAGGGGCGCATACGGCGATGGAGGTAACGGTATTAGTGTTGCTTCGGAAAAAGGTGCGCGAGACGTCGTCAAAGCCCAGCTCTGAGGCTAATTGACGATATACTCGGCCCTTCCCCTCTGCTACGTCCTCTTGAAGTCGCTCGGCGATCAGATCCCGGTCAATGTCGGCGGCGTCGAAACCAACTTCGTCCACCTGCTCCTTGATATTCTCGAGGTATCGCTCTGCTAGACGTCGTCTCCGTTCCGCAGCAGTCTCGCCCTCCTCATCTTCCGACTCCATGTCTTCCATTTCCACATCGCTCGCGACCGAGGCGCTATCGTAGCTCTCGTCATTGTCTGAGTCGCTTCCAGAGATAGACTCGTCGTCTCGCTCGACTCGCTTTTTGGTGGGGCCGGCATTCTTCGAAGGTGCCTTTCCAGCGGATTTTGAGGCAGCAACTCTTTTCTTGGGCTGTTCTGAAGGCTCAGTACGCTTGCGCTTCTTCTGCGCACCAGGGGCTGTGAAAAAGGACGACATTGTGGCGACGCCGTAAACTTGGCTGTCTACTGACGACTTTCAATCCCGCCTTGAAGATAAATTTCTGGACTAAGAAAAAAAAAGTTGAGCGACAGTGGACCACGGAAAATCCACTTGCTGCACTGACGTTGAGCTGGCGAATCAGAAGCCGGAGACTGGGGCCAGGTTTTTCCGACAAAGGCGGTAGAGAGAGGCACAAATCTGCCAGGCGTGGGAAGCTCCCGGGCAAGCGTTGACGCGCAGCACTACAGCCTAACGGGAGAGCTTGCTTGGTTGATGCTGGACCTTGAGGCTGAACAACTATATCAAACAACTCCTCCACAACAACACATCCAAACTTCCCCACCACAAACCATACTACCGCCAACATGTAAGCTCTACCGAAGCTACAGCTATAGCTACAGCTACAGGACATACTAACACCGCTCAATAGGGAGATTCTTCTGGGAATCACCGGAAAGGACTTCACCATCATTGCAGCTTCCAAGGCTGCGATGCGAGGTGCCACTATTCTGAAGACATCCGACGACAAGACCAGAGCCCTCAACAAGCACACCCTGCTCGCATTCTCTGGAGAGGCCGGTGACACAGGTACTTGAACCTAGCTCACCATCAATGGCCTGTCAACTGGCCCCGCGATGACGACAGCTAACACTCGCTTTGTAGTGCAATTCGCCGAATACATTGAACGAAATGCCCAGCTCTACTCGATGCGAAATGAGTCCGACCTATCTCCCTCTGGTCTCGCCCACTTTGTCCGTGGCGAGTTGGCCACAAGCCTGCGATCTCGAAAGCCCTACAATGTCAACCTCCTCATGGGTGGTGTTGACCCCATTACTGGCAAGCCATCGCTCTACTGGCTCGACTACCTAGCGTCGCTTGCAGATGTCCCCTACGCGGCGCATGGATACGCACAGTATGTTTTTTTTGTCTGAAACGCATTATCCAGAGAGATAAACGATGCGAAGCGAATACTACGAACGGAGACTAATTTCTACCCTACAGATACTACTGTCTGTCTATTCTTGACAAGCACCACCACCCCGATATCACCCTCCACCAGGGTATTAAGCTTCTGACAATGTGCACCGACGAACTCAAGCGCAGATTACCGATTGACTTCAAGGGCATGGTTGTGAAGGCGGTCAAGGCAGATGGAATTATCGATATAGAGTTCGACGACGACAAGGTGGTCAAGTGTGCGTAAGGGATAGGCGACGGATAGAAGGAAACATGAACTTGTACTACTAGATGGGTCTTGGAAGCTAATGCCTACATCAAGATGGTTTCCTCCATGTCATTATCTATGGGACTGCATGCATGCCTGTCATTTGACACAACGTGAGGTTGTAGTTTGGGCTATGAAATAGGTACTATGTTATCTGGTTTCATTGTCTTTGGTATGTAATGTGACGATTGTCGATAAAACAGGTTGTGGATGGATAGATCTTTGTTCGTGCTTCAAACATGCTGTCATTGAGTGGCAGGCTTTGGGAATTTGAAGATTTACTACGGAGTACATCGAGTGTGTATATCAAAAGTCAACAGTTAAGAGTCTAGACTTTTTTTCACCAGAAGTTATTCGGTGCCCGTACCACGGCATTGTCAGGTTTTTAATACTTCATTTCTTTTCGTAGTACCTAGCCTAGTATAGAGGACATCCACCTATACCTAGCCTAGTATAGAGGACATCCACCTATACCTAGGCAGTGAGAGGTAGTTCAATGCTCTCATACTATCGCTGTCGGTAGTGCCATCCATGAAGTCAGCTTCGACTTCGACTCTTTTGCTAATTATATAGGTATCATCTCTCTCGTATAGAATGCGCATAACAGAGATCACCAGCGTGTAGCTGAGGTGTATTCAACCCCCAAACAAACTAAAGAGGTACAGAACAAGAAGATCCTAATATCGATGGTACCAGCTCATACTTTAGGGAAATGTTGTTCTATTTCTTGACTTAGTTGGTGTTCTTGACCGGCATACTCATAGCTAGGAAATAGGGGCTCTCGGTCCTGCAATACAGATTCAAGAACCCTAGGGCTTGAGTACGTAGAGAATTGTACGTCCATGTGTCTCGTCAAGGATCAAACATGTCTTTGTCCATGTTGCACGAATACGATATAAATCTCATCAACAGACATGAGAAACCCTTTCCAAAGAGATATCCCTGCTATGCCAAGCAACCTTAATCGTCAGCGCCGTGCCAGACGAGGTCAACCACCGAAATCGTCATCAAGGGCGACATCCCGTCAACCACGAGTTTAACGGACAAGTGCATTTGGCAATCACGTTTTGGCTTTTCAACAGCTGATTCTCTATTGGATGCTAGAACCGATCAGCAGATTCTAGATCTTCTCGATGGTAAACCCAGGCTGCTGAGTCGTGGGTGCCTGGGGGATTCGTATGGGTGGTCTTGTGTACTACCTTGTACACCGCGCCTCGTATGCTTGTGCAAGCTGTGTATGGCTAGGCATGTGAAAAAGTTCGCCTTGTGTCAAAGATGTGAGAATCAGAGTCAGTATTGGGAGAATTTGGAATATCAAATTGATATCTAAATAAGACGCCTGAATATCGTTTGACAAGAAGGTCTGTGATATCGTTGTGGGTAGTTCTCAGATCTGCCCATTTCCCGCTTATCGGAGATTTACCTTACCACTACGTAGTAGCTGGGCAAACTCAGGGTCCTCATACATCCCTGTATGTATCCGTACCGTACAAACTAGGTAACTGTATGTATGTGTGTTTTGCGGATGCTTCCAGCCGGGCTGCGGTCTCGAATTCATTAGAGGAAACTGATACACTCATTGTTCGCAATTGTTTGAGCCGTCCCGTAAATATATTTGTCGAGACAAGCCGAGTCGCAAGCATTGTGTGTTTGATATCCCGGCTCCCGTCTCGCCCGTATCCGATATTGCTAGAAACATGCCAGTCATTGCAATCCAGCTGCCCTTCGGAAGATTGAGTTGTCTCATGTTCCGGTTTAGCTGATCAAAGACTTTTTATGCCATTTTTGGGTAGTTTGTTTCACTTCGCTGTTGCTCTCGACTGCTGTTGTCTCAACAATCATAAGTGAAATTTATCAAGATAAGCCCATTATTCGAGCCAAAATCGTCATAACCCAACAACCTACGGCTGCTGAGTCCCTAACAGTATCCACCAGGTAGGTAATCACCCCAGTCCCAGATGCTAGCCCGCCCCGGAATCTGGTTTTCAGTTGAGGTACTGCTCAAGTACTCTGCGGTTCCAAGCTTTCTAAAAGTCGCCCCTTGCCTCTTCTCGCCGAAAGTGAATTCTCACCAGGGTTCTCCGCCCTTCTCTGCCTCTGTTGTTCTCTCCATCTCTGTGCTCTCTCTCTCCCTCGGTGCCCTGGCCCACGTCCGCCTTTTTAAACTTTCACAAGCTTGCTGGAGATCAAAATCAACTAGCGTCTGCCAATTTGACTCAACTTCGCAACAAGCATAGTGTCTTCGAGATTCTGACGTCTTCATAACCAACAACGATTCAGGAAACAAATCTTTCGTCCAGTTAGAACAGTTTCCATCCTGCCTAGTGTCATCTTCGTCATAAGTACAGGGTCGGTTTCTCTCTATTTTTCTGCCCCAGCCACGTCAAGTCTTTCGACAGGCATCTTCGCTGCTCTCACTGGTCTCTCCGCCAAAATCTCAGCTCCCACTGGCTACATCTGCTGTGAGCGGTGGCCAAAAGATACTTCAGAGATACTTTAAAGCTTGCCTTCAGTGCCCCTTCACCCACTCACGGCCTTCCCTGGCCCACTCTTACTCTAAAATCCTCCCACCCGCCCTCACCGCAGAGCGTAACCCCCTCCAAAAATCTTCGAACCCGATCATATGCCCGCACTAAGCCTAATTGGCCACGACTCCAACCAATTTTTTTTTCCCTCTCTTCTTTCGCCTCTGAATTCTGTCCCTTTTCTACTCTCTTCCTCCCACAACCAAACCCTTTCATCTCACAAACCTCCTCCATCCCCCTCCATCCACGTCATTTCTCAAGACTTAGTCTTTCCCTCGTCCCTCCTTTGAAGATTCTGTTTGTTCTTCGAAGGATATTTGCACTGACATTTGTTCGTGCCCAAAAGTAATATCGGGAAATTATTGGAAGCGTCGGTCTTCCCTTTCTTTCTCTTAACGCTTTTTTCTGTCTTTTCTTTCGACGGGAATTCCATCACACAACCAGCCACTCTCGTTGACATTTGAGAGTGTTTACGCGTCTTTACGACCCGACTATCTTTCTATTACGACTTCCTCGATCCGAAACACGACTATCATCATGGCTGATCAAATCAACATGGGTGGTCTCTCACTCAACGAAGGCGGCCAGCAGGGCGGTCCTCAGCAGGGTGGTCGATCTTACATCCCTCCTCACATGCGCCGCCAGGGTGGTGGTCCTCCCGCTGGCCCTCCCCCTGCCGGTCCTACTCCAGGTGGTCCTCCCGACATGAACGGCGGTCCTCCCGCTGCCAACGGCATCGGCAACAGCGCCTGGGCTAAGTAAGTCATGATTCTGCTTGATGCTTTACAAAACCAAATAGTTTCTAACAAATCTTGAACAGCCAAAACTACGGAGCCCGTCAGTCCAACTGGGGTAACGATGTCCCCACCTACCAAAACACCAACGGCGCCGGTAACAACCGTCGCGGCGGCTGGGGCGGTCGAGGTGGTGGTTACAGCGGCGGCGGCGGCGACGGTCACTCTGCCGGCGGCGGCGGTGGTGGTGCTTCTGCTCGAGGTTCTGGCGATGGCCAGTGGCGAGACGGAAAGCACATCGCTGGCCCTGCCAACCCTCGCATTGAACGGGAGCTCTTCGGCGTCGTCGATGATCCCACCAAGCAGCAAACTGGTATCAACTTCGAGAAGTACGACGACATCCCTGTCGAGGCTTCCGGTACAGATGTGCCTGAGGCTGTTCACCAGTTCTCTACTCCTCCTCTGGACGAGCACCTGTGTCGCAACATCGAGCTTGCTCACTACAAGGTCCCCACTCCTGTTCAAAAATATTCGATCCCCATTGTCATGGGTGGTCGTGATCTGATGGCTTGTGCCCAGACTGGTTCCGGAAAGACTGGTGGTTTCCTCTTCCCCATTCTTTCTCAGGCTTTTATCAACGGTCCTTCTGCTGTGCCTGCTAATGCCGCCAGTCAGTTCGGCCGTCAGCGAAAGGCCTACCCCACTTCTTTGATTCTTGCTCCCACCCGTGAGCTTGTCTCTCAGATCTTTGAGGAGTCCCGAAAGTTTGCCTACCGATCTTGGGTCCGACCTTGTGTTGTTTACGGTGGTGCAGACATTGGTTCCCAGCTCCGCCAGATCGAGCGTGGCTGTGATTTGCTTGTTGCTACTCCTGGTCGATTGGTCGATCTCATAGAGCGAGGTCGTATCTCTCTGCAGAACATCAAGTACCTTGTTCTCGATGAGGCTGATCGCATGCTGGACATGGGTTTCGAGCCCCAGATTCGTCGTATCGTTGAGGGTGAAGATATGCCCTCGGTCCAGGACCGTCAAACTCTGATGTTCTCAGCCACTTTCCCCCGAGACATTCAGATGCTTGCCCGCGATTTCCTTAAGGACTACATCTTCCTTTCTGTTGGCCGTGTTGGTTCTACTTCTGAGAACATCACCCAGAAGGTTGAGTACGTCGAGGATGTTGACAAGCGCTCCGTTCTCCTGGACATCCTCCACTCTAACGCCAACGGTCTGACTTTGATCTTCGTCGAGACCAAGCGCATGGCCGACTCGCTCTCCGACTTCCTCATCAACCAGAACTTCCCCGCCACATCCATTCACGGTGACCGTACCCAGCGCGAGCGTGAGCGCGCTCTCGAGTTTTTCCGTAACGGACGTTGCCCCATTCTGGTTGCTACCGCTGTTGCTGCTCGAGGTAAATTTGAGATTCATGCTCCATTCGTTTAATAGAAACTAACAGCTTCTCAGGTTTGGACATTCCCAACGTTTTGCATGTTATCAACTACGATCTTCCTACCGATGTTGACGACTATGTTCACCGAATTGGTCGTACTGGTCGTGCCGGAAACACCGGTATTGCGACCGCATTCTTCAACCGAGGCAACCGCGGAATCGTCCGTGAGCTCATGGACTTGCTCAAGGAAGCTAACCAGGAGGTCCCGGCATTCCTCGAGACCATCGCTCGTGAGTCTTCGTTCGGCGGAGGTGGCCGTGGTGGCCGTTCTCGCGGTGGTGGTGGTCGTGGTGGCAATGCCAACCGTGACTTCCGAAAGTTCGGCGGCGGCGGTTTCGGCGGCAACAGCGGTGGTGGAGGCGGCTTCAACGCTCCTTCCCAGGGTGCCGGCTACGGCGGCGGCGGTGGCGGTGGCTTCAGTGGCTCCGGAGGCTACGGAGGTGGTGGCTACAGCGGCGGCGGCGGCGGTGCTGGTTACGGTGGTGGTGGCTACGGCAACCCCAGCGGCCCTGGTGCCCAGTCTTCTTGGTGGTAAACATCTCAACCCCATGGAGATACACGCACTCATAGGTGCGACATGATGCCAGCAGACCTCATCAGCTCTGCCGCATCACCCACATTTGTGATTTTATGTTTTGCTTTTTTCTCAACGTTATCTGGTTTCACGACTTGCATTTGGACGATACGGCGGCACCATGACCCGCGAAGACGAATGCCTCTTTGCTGCAAGCGACAGGCAGCATTCGGTCTCAGGCCTTCACGAAGCATCTGATAGATTGCGTTTCTTTGATTTCGGCATACTCCTCGCTTGATACCCTTAGACCGAGATGTGGGGAGCTGGAAGACGTTGGCAGCACGCTGTGATGCAGATATGGATCTAGGCTCTGTTTTTATGAGCCAATAGATCTGACGCAGCATTACGAAGTTTATGTTTCCGCCGTCTACCTGGGGTCAGGTCATTATCCCCTTCACCCCAAAGGCATTTTTCACGCATTCACGATAGAAAGGTCATGTTATCGCCGTGCACATAGACAAAAGTGGATTTCTCGGTTCTCTAGTGACGAATTGCTCGCTGGCCCCTGTTGGGAATGGGGGCCGGAGGGAGAGCAATGAGCGCACCCGGAGGGAACAAATGATAATGGTCAACAGGACGGTTATGTCTGTTTTTATTAAGCAGATCGGAGAGCACGAGCGTTGCCGCGCGATGCCCATAGGTTATGAATTTTGGTTTGGGCGGCACGGCAAGGAAAGGAAAATAAAAGCTCTTGCTCTTTGCAAGTCAGGAACATGGAAACGACGAAGGCTTTGACTCATGGAAAACACGGATGGGTCACGAGGCTTCTGAAGACGGGGACCATGATGCTACAATAGAGTAGTAAGGCATGGACTCGGTTCCCGTAGTAGAACAGATAACCAGACTGGACTGAGGAGTCCTGATTAAAAAAACGCCTTGTTTTACATTGATTCCACTGCGTGTGATGTACCGTGCACAACATATCAAAACACCACAAGATGTAAGCCCACCTTCTGCTTGTCGTTTTTCTCTTAGGGGCGAACAGCTTTTTGCACGATGCATTCGAGGGCCAGTATCAACGGTGCGGCGAAGGCATGGTGCGGAACGGATGGGAACGGCAGCGTGTCGGACCGTCCCAGGTTCAGGGCTCCATCAGCCGGAAAGATGTTGTAAAGGCGGGTGGACAGGCACGGCTTTCTTCCAAGACAATGGTCTAAAATAGTCTGAGGTTGACGGTTTATTCAAGGATCTTACAAAAGGCAGAGTATCTCAACCTTAACCATTCCGTACTCAAACGGGAGATCACTTTAGCTTAAATCATCAAAGTTTCTATAAACTCAGACGAGGTAGTTTAGTGGCCTTCGGATCATTCCGAAGATTTCGTGTTGAACGAAGGTAGATAAAATACGCTGTGAGGGTATTGCGAAAATAGGCCATTCAAGTCGGTTAAGAAACCAACTAATAAATACAATTCAAGAGGCAACCAGTGCCAAGGTGAGGTGACGTGAAGCTGCTCAGCTCAGCCCCGAGCTTTCCCCACATCCATCCATTTCCCTGGACATGGATAGATGCCGCCTCATTCTGGTCCTGTTCCCCGCCCAAAACCTGAGACCTTGTATAATATTTCAAGTTCAGCCTTTGATGAGGACTTTTGCCTTTGTATGGCTCTAATTACCTCAAGCTCAACCAACACGAAACCCCGAATCATCCGCCGAAGCGCTCACTCGATACTCCGATAGGCGTGATAGCTATCTTTGACAATGGGCGTCTTTGACAGCCTCGACGCAGGCGTTACAAGCCTGTTTGGTCAGTGGAACGGCTACTCAACCGGTCTGATAACGCTATTGCTTCTCGTTGTCTCATACCGTATCATTTCCACCCGCGACCCCGATGTGCACCCGATGCTCTTAGCCCGCCAGGCTGTCCCATCTTCAGTCCGAAACGAGGGAGAGAGTCCCATCTACAGATCTCAGGCTGCTCCTCATGGCATGCCGCTCAACACCGGTCTCAATGTGAAGGATGCCGGAGCTTCAAAGTGGTCTCGCGGCCGAAATGGAGACTTGAGGGATGTCTGGAGAAAGGCGGCTGAAGGTGGTGAGAACGGTGCCAAGGGACAGATCTTGACTGTCCTAGGCTCCCGAAACGTGGTTGACCACAAGCTCGGTGCGTATTTTACCCTTTAACAGAAACTTTGGCCTGACTAACAAACCAAGATGACATCACTCGCCAGATCAACCTCATCGGTCAGCACGTTGTGGAAGCTGGTGGTAGCAGAGTTGCCATCTACTTATCAAACTCGATCGAGCTTCTGGTGACACTTTTCGCTTGCAGCTTTTACCCCAACCTCACAGCTATCTTGATTCCTTTCGATGTCTCCAACGATGAACTCGTTTCGATGCTGCGTCGCTCCACTGCCGATACCTTAGTCACGGCTCCTGGCGCATTCCCCTTCGACGCTGTAATCCAAGCATACCCATCTCTTCGACAGCTTATCTGGGTTACGGATGAAGGAAGTAACCACATGGACTGGAATGAGGTGCCTGAAGGCTCCGGGGGCAACATGAACGTCGCTACTTGGCAGGATATCCTCCGTGACTCTCCAGCACATGCTGCCACCGATCTACCAGCTGTTGACCTTGAGAAGACTCCTTCCGATGTTGTAACTTTCTGGCAAAATGGGCCTGGAGAAGTCGAGGAGATGGTCAGTTTCAGCCAGGCCAACCTCGTCTCTGCCATTTCCGCCCAACTTGCAGCCGTCCCGACCAAGGAGCGCATCAACCCGTCCGATCTATTCTTGCCTGCTGATTCTCTCACCAATGTTTATACCTTGGTACTCACATTAGGTGCTCTTTTCTCAAATGCCTCTCTTGCGCTGAACTCGGTTGCCGGTAAGTCACCGGACCTGGTTCTTGCAACTCAGGGGGTTGCTCCCACGGTTTTGGTAGCCAGTCCTGAGACACTTGTCAAGACACACGAGGAGTCCACATCTAAGCTGGGCTCTGCATTGGCCAATGCTTCGCATGTCATGTCCACACGCTCTCTGGCTTTGGAGGGGGTTCACTCCACATCTAACTTCCTTTCTGGCTTCTCCTCCAGCGCATCCCCGTCATTTGGCACGTCTCCAGGAAAGCTACGTCTGGTATTCGTTGCCGAGCGCGCTGGTTCTGACAGCCCTCTCTTGTCCGCGAACGTCCTGTCGGATCTGCGCATTTTCACAAGGGCGAGAGTTGTGTATGCTTTAACAGCGGCTAAGGTTGCTGGAGCCATCAGCCAAACTGCTTTCTACGACTATCGACTCCCAACCGATGCCAAAACACACTTTGGCCCACCGCTGACCAGCGTTGAGTTGTTCTTAAAGGACGCTGGTGCCCACAAGACTACCGATAACAAGATCGAGGGTCAGGTACGTGGAACTTTACAATGTTGTATACAGGAACTTGATACTAACACTGAATTTGTAGATTATGGTCAGAGGACCTTGTGTGGCAGGGGGAGAGGTCAGTGTCGGAATACCTGGAAAGATTCGACATGACAACACGCTTGCTTATGTCTGATTTCACACGTCTGTCTATGGGATAATGTAACAATGATGGCGAAAATTAGCAGAAACAGGGTACGGCCGAGTATATAGACTGACTATTGTTGTGTATGGGTGGATGCATGGCCTTAAGCGCCTCTGTCGTTCAGTCTCTTTCTGGTTCGGTATTCTAAAACGTTACCAGAGTTTATGAGATTATTCTCTAATTTCAGTGTGAAATTAAGCTATTTCCCCACGATTTTAACGGCAGCGAAACTTTGTGATGCCACACCCACAGTTAAGCTCTACCTTCCCTGATTGACTATAAACCTTGCCAAGCTCGATTTTATAGTATGCCACTCTCCAAATCTCCTTATAAACCTAGAAGTTTAGTTAGATTGTTGCGATACTAGCCATGCTAGCAGGGATGTATTTATTTTGTATACATGTCTCCTAATAGAGTCACACATATAACACATCATCCAATTTGTTGGTGTGCTGGGGACTTAACTACCCTAGACAAACACAGCTGGACGGGATTTTCGGTGGCGAATCAAGGGCCCTTTTCGAAATGACGTTGGTAGGCACGGGCTTGGGCTGAGTTGACAGCTGCACCGCTGTGACGGTAGCAGATCGCAATTATATCGCTGATCACGACGTAGTTCATCAAGGGATAGATCGAAATAGCAGATCACGGGGTTCAAGCAGGTGGGTAAATGTGATTCGCAAGAATAGGGTGAGTTTTACACTGGGTGTGTAAAAGTTTCGACAACTTCCTTTCTTGTATGATTTACATGTTTTAGAAGCTGGGTCAGTACGAGCATTTCGATCAGGGAATATAGATAAGAAGCTTTGTCTCATACTACGTATGCTCACAGCCTTCATCGTCACTAAGATTTTTATCAAGGAAATCGTGGCCGAGAAAATCTTCCACTTGTGGATGTCTGGATGTCTCGGGTGCAGAAGTTCCACGTGGAAATGGCCGAGATGGTTGCACTAAGTACAATCTAGCGTCAAAGATGATGCCCATGGATATCAATGTCCGTGCGATAGTTAAATAATGTAGTTTGAGGCTTCTCCGAAGAACTTGGGGCTTTGGCTTCTCTCAGTTGCTGCATTTAAATTTTGAGGCTGCATTTGACTATCGCCAAAGAAGCCTTTGGGGAAGTTAAATCAAGTCAAAAGGAGTCTAGCATGTATCGACGGAAAAAGAAAAGAAAAGCAAAAACTGCAGGGCATACAATGTCATGCTCCCCAAAACTGAAAAGCCCCTGTCCCAAGATACCATACAGTACGGCGTAGACACTTAATACCCCTGGCCCCTGCAGTCAGTTTTATCCCTACCCAAGTCAGCCCCGTTTGTTTATTTCCGGGGACGACTCATTGGTTCGTGTTCAAACTTCAAGGGTCTAGACACAAGATAGATCTTTAAGGAATAGATGCGATTTTTCTCTCGGTTCAAAGGACAGCTCAAAAGACTAATAAAATTGAGTAAAAATTATAAACAACTCGGGATGAACAAGCCACAGTAGCCAGCATCTTAGGTAGTCTAGACGGCAGTCGTGGAGTAGTGTTCAGTTAGCTTGTTCATCCGGAGCCGATATCCCCATCAGAGTCTAGACTTGGAACTAATCTTAGGGGTCCATTAATGACATTATGACCCAAGCACCAAGCTTTTCCCGCTCCTCCTGTGCTTGACAAATTGGTAGGTAGATGTGTGACATATCGAGGAGCAATACGAACAAGGAGAGCAATGTCCACATGGCCAATATGTTACCAACCTAGGTAGTGTAGTGGAATAGGAGATCGCCACTATATTATATTGAGGCTGAAATGGATGAGTGAGTACTAGGTGCTGGAGCTACCTATAATTTATAATTCAGGTACTTAATTGACTTTGACTGGGTTTGCGCTCCTGCTTCGCGGTACATTTGCCTCGGGGTCTTCGGTCCTGGCAAGCGCGACCATTAACCACACCACTTCCTTTCCGAATTAAAGAATTATCATGTCCCACCCCCTTCTCTCCTCCATCTTCTCTTACATTATCCACCCAAACACCACCTACTCAACTGCGGTATCATGAAACTCAACTGAGAAAAGGGAGAAGCAAGATCGATTTCCTTCACTTCTTATTCCCCCACTACTCTCCTCCCGGCCCCTTTCGGCAACGCCCTCCTTCCTTTTTAGCCCCGCGTGTGCGCTAAGGTACAAAGGTCAAGTCAAGTTAGTCAACTAAACCACTAAACCACCAGACGCTCGCTTCGAAATCTCCTATACTACTATATATACCTACCTGAACACCATCATCATCGCCACTACAACGACCTCGCATGTCACAAGCCGCCGTCACTGTCGCGTCGCCACACGCAACGGAATCTCGCACACGTTCCAGCAGTCCAATGAGCCAGAATGGCAGTACGGCGGCAGCCAAACCTCCTGCGGGTCAAAATGCGGCTGCCCGCACAGGAATAAAGAAGATATCTAGGCTTTTTGCCTTTACACGACTCGGTCGCGGCCGCCCGGAGAGCGCCAGCGCGCACGTACAGCCAGAGGACCTTGCGTCTACGAGAGAGAGCTCGCCTGATGTTCACCAACTTACATCTCGACGTCGCCGTGTCGCAGGATCAGAGCAGAGGAAGCCCGCAAGAAACGGTCTGAGTCGCTTGATCGCAAACGACCAGAATCAGCCCTGCGCTATTTGTGCGACAATTGATTTTCCCTCCCTACTCAACTGGCGCCCGGGCCAGCCTCGGCCTTGGATTCCGCTCGCTCATACCCTCGCTGAGCTGTCTGCCTGCCCATACTGTATTTTCTTCCAAGCCCTTGTGGGGATTGAGCCGGATACGACGCGCAAATTCACACCGTATCTACGAATTCGACAGGCTTTTGAGCGACTTGGAGTCGGGGAGAAGCACGAGCTTGGAGGCGCTGTGATATTTGAGGTTACCACAAAGAGCAAGGTACTACCCTGGGGTTATATCGTCCGAATTGCCGAGGGGGAGGATGACATAACTGGTTACAAAGAGTCGACGCCAATTATTCGAGGCCGTGTGATACCACCCAAGCTTGATTTTGCGTTACCTCGGACTTGGATGGAGTTTTGCATGGCCAATCATACACACACGGCATGCACTTCGAAAGAAACACCGATCCGAGGTCTTAAGCTTGTGGACTGCCGGGAGAATCAGGTGGTATTTGTGGACGACCTCAACGTGGACACGATCGAGTATGTCACGCTAAGCTATGTGCGAGGCAGCCCTACCGACGAAGAATGGGACCACAAAGGACTACCCGAGGTACTACCTCCGCTACTCACAGATGCTATAGCTGTGACCAAGTCTCTTGGTTTCCGTTATCTTTGGATCGATCGCTTCTGTTTCCCCCAGTATAACGCCAGCGAGAGAAGTCGACAATTGGACAAAATGGGAGAGATATATGCACGCTCCGCGCTGACAATTATCGTTGCAGCTGGTAAAGGTGTACAAGATGGAATTCCAGGCGTAAGCGTAGCACGGGAAGAGCAACTGTCACTGCAAACTGAGGCTGGCTGTTTCACGACGTCACTTACACGGCCTGATGTTGAAGTTACCAACTCTAAGTGGGCATCTCGTGGTTGGACATACCAAGAAGGACTCCTATCACGACGTCGACTGGTCTTTACGCCGTCGCAGATCTACTTTCAGTGTCAGACTTTTCACTGTCACGAATCCATTTCCTTCCCTCTGAAAACAAAACCTGCTCTCAATCTTGGCCGTGTCTTTCCCGAAAAGGGGGCCGGAAAACGGACGGGCGATTACAAGAGTGTCGTCAGTGGCTACCTTAGCCGCGAGTTCACACTTCCAGATGACCGTCTGGAAGCTTTCAGGGGTATATTGGAGAAATACACCCAAATGGACCATCCCATGGAAACTGTCCTCGGTCTTCCCATCTTCCACGCCAAGGAATTCAAGAGCAAACCTAGTCCTACTCGGACAGATCGCCTCGTTGTCGGTCTCGGATGGCTATACGACCCTCCAGGGGACACTGACATATCAACACATCCTATGCAGCTCCAAGGCCCGTTTCCCTCCTGGAGTTGGCTCGGCTGGAAGACGCGTCCTGAGTATACGGGAACTGGCCCCAATTTGAATATATATCAAGTTAGCGAGGAAAGCCCCGTCATCGACAATATCTCGACTGTGCCCAACTTGACCATATCTATTGGCTTTAAAGATGAAAAGGTTCTCTGCTGGGAAACAGAGGGGGATGAGATTGCCGCTCGCTCAACACCTATCTCCTTCCTACGTCTTCATACCTACTGTTTCGAAATATGTATTACAATATCCCCTTCTACCGCATCGTCTGCTTCCGCCTCTTCTACAAGCACCAAGATCACACTCACGTCGCCCGACCTCCTCGACGCTTTCCGTCCTTCTGTCGCAGCTCTACTCTTCCGCGCCGCGCAATCATCCTCCGACTCCTCTTCTGAACCCCCGCCCGGCGAGCATATACTCATTGGTGCCTTCATTTCTGGCCGGGACTGGAAGGTCGATGAGTCCTATGAGTCTGCCAATGTTATCATTTGCGGCCGGCGTAATTGGAACGCCGAAGATGTCCTCGTCCGCCTCGGCACACTCGAGCTTGGTCCCGGGGGGTTGCTAGGCGTTGATGAGGACACAGCCGTCGTCAAGGGGGCTATGAACAACGAGAGGAGGTTGGATGTTCAGCTGAGGGAGCTGGACATATACTGATACCACCTCTACTTACGCATGCTACTGTATAAAATGTTTGTATACTTTTTACGGTTTCGGAAAAGAAATATACTTTGAGTCACGAGACAAGCAAAGATATACAGCATACAACTGGTAAATGTTTGAACATACTTAGAAGGGGGAATTTACGGGCAAATATTGTACGAAAGGCTGCACATTTGGCATGGGGTGTTTGTCGGAGGTCTGTTTATTTAGATACCATCTCACATGTAAAATAGGACAACATGGCGTGGAGTAATTTATGATTAATACCTTATATGGCTTGCGGATGAGTAAAACATGACCAAACTTAGCAAATATACGGATTAGTTTAGACTAAAATGTAGTAAAGGTTAGATGAATATATATAGCGGGTAGGGTATATGAATGTTCTAGTAACCTCCTCTCTTCTAAAGTTTATATGAGATAATATAAATTATAATAAACTCTTTTGTTTTATACAATCTTATTTTACATAGTCTTATACAATTTTAGGATAAGATTGTGTTTCCCCTTAACCTTTAACCTTATTAAGCCCAGGCTTTCTAATCCTCTTGGTATTATTAATAATAAAATTATGGTCTTCCGGGGCAAACCCCAATAGATCAGGAGAATAGAAGTCACAGACTGTTCAGAAGTGTCATTAGGATGCAGTGGCCAGGGGCTCACTTCTTATTGCCCATGGGCCGGGTGTATTTCTGAGTTCCTATTATGTATCCATAGGCAGTTTAAGTTGTCCAACGTTCACATGCCCATATCCTGAATTGCCCTCTTGGTTAGGTCGTCTTGCACCCATCCCATGATCCGATTACCAACATCGCCGACCAACCGTTCATAATGTGGCCCTGAGAAGAAGAGGCCGCAGTGTGCGCCGACCTCGTCGACGTCTGCCATGTAGATATCGACCCATGTTGGATCTGTCATCTGACCACCTTGGGTAGGCAAATTGCAGAACTTGCGCAATTTTCGAGGTTTTGTTGATTTGAGCTCACGAGCTTCGGTGATGACTTCAGCCTCTGCTGCTCTCTGACTTTCCTCTTCTGCTTCTTTGAACTGTTGGTAATCCCCATTGTTTTCATGCTCCTCGTCCTGTTTCTTTTGAGCTTCTGCTTCGCGCTCGGCTGTCTCTCTCGCTATACGCTGCTCCTCTTTCTGAGCTTCTTTCTCCTTTTTTTGAGTCTCCTTCAACGCGTCCTTCTCCTGACGAGCAGCATCCTTGAGTGCCTTTTCTGACTCCTTCTGCGCACGCTTTTGGCGCTTTTCGACGAGTTTCTCACGTTCTCGCACTGCCTTGGTATGGTCTTTCAGGGCGTGTTCATGAACACGCCGGAGACGCTTAGCCTCGCGTTCGACTTGCTTGCGCTCGTCTTTGTCGGTATATAAACTAGGGTCGGGGATCTCTGGAGCTGTAGGGGGTTCAGGAAGAGTGGGTAGATCAGCATCTGTTTTCTCCGGTATTACATTGCCCGTGTCCACGGGAGTAAGAGGGTTTTCATTCTGAGATGTAGAGGGAACAGTATCTTGAGCTGCAGGAGGAGGAATGTCATCCTCAATAGGTGTGGGATCAATACTGTGCATAGATAGCCTCTTCATGTCCGGGGCAATGGACCCATCGTCACCAAAAGACTCGCGTTTGATAGTAGTGTTGGATGCCCGATCGTTCAAAGTTATAGCATCTGCATCCAGTAGCGTTTGTTGGTTTCTAGAGACACCCATAGTGTCTCGATGTTCCAAAGTGATGCTCGGCATAGGACTGCCGAGGCCAGGACGGAGATCGTTTCCATCACCTGTGTCTGTTTTGTGTGGTGAGAAGTCCAGCTCCACAGAAGACGAAGATGCCGAATTATTTGACATGTCGAGGCTGGCCTTGGTGGATACTGTGCTTTGATTTTCTGGTTGGGGGCTTCCAACCTTGGAGCTTGGCTTTGGAGATTTCGGGCGGCCCGTACTGAGAGTGTAGTAGTTAACGAAGCGCACCCTCGCCAGGGGATGAACTGAGCTATGTTTCATATCTCCTGTTTGGAACTCATCAACATCCTCGAGAGCACGAATTTTGCGATATCGTGATTCAAGCCCGGCTGGATCAGCAAGACAACTGCCAAATTCGAGATAGGAGAAGATGTGTTTGGCAGCGGCCTGGATTAAACCTTCTGAGCGATACTTGTTGGCAAAATGGAACATTCGTTGGACAAAGGGACGTTCTTGTAAGCCAGAGTCGTTGAAGAAGGGTTGATTGAAAAAGGGCTGGTTTGAGAAAGGATCACGTTGGGGGCGAGATGAGGACGCAATTGAAGGAATACTCGTAGATGATCCTGGATCGGTACTTTGTGAATTGGCAAGATACAGGGACGATGTACTAGGGTCTGCGAAGCTCGAAGTATCTGGGCTGCCAGGAGCCGTGCCCCCAGCACTGCCTTGATTGCCATCTTGAGGGGGTGTAGGTGCGGGTTTGAATAGGCTGGATAGACCAGACACAACGATACCAGGATGAAGACCGATAAATGGACAATCCAAGGATACGTGACCAATAATACGATGTTTGAAAGGGTAAGAGCCATATGGACTTGGGTTGGGCTATTGCAGAGATTAGCAACTGTTCATGTGCACAGAAAAGCAAGCGTTGTCATACCATGAGCACAATATCTGCAGCCAAGATACCACCCATAGAGTGGCCAACAAGAACGACATCTGTAGTAGGGGACTCGTGAGGTCGAAGCCATTCGCTGAAATTATCTCGGGCAACGTCTACAGAGCGATAGGTCTTGTATCGTGGATATATCTTGGAATGAATGACATGAGAGTCGGCCAAGAGGTTGGCGAGAAGAGCATGAACATGAGCAGGGAATGATCGAAAAGACTGATCATTGCCCAGAAACCCATGAATATAGACAATGAGTAATTTGCGCCGACCTAGATAATCGCCAGCGGATGTGGAATGGCCGCCGTCTGGACCGTTTAACGATGTATCCGGGAGTAGAGACTGCGTAGAGGAAGAACGCGGGTCAGGGCCAAGCCATGGACCAGATGATCGTGGCATATACGGTCCAGGGGTAGAAGAAGGTGAGGAAGGCGGTTGAATTTTAGTATCCAGTATAGAAGAGTTGACTGGCTTCCGTGGTGGTAGTGGTGGTAATGGAGGCTTTTCTGTGTAGGCCGGCGGCGGCGAAGAGGGGTCCATGATTGTTGAGCGATGACGCGGCGCTGAATTTCGCAGGAATTACAAGAATTGTAGAAAGGCTCAGATACGAGGCATTTCTGGCGTGCTTTGATTAGTTTTCGGGTCCTTTAATCATTGAATCTTTTGGCATCTGATGTGGCGTGTTGGTGTTGGTGTTGGTGTTAATGTAGAGTGAGGTGACAAGAAGTTGACGGTAGCGATAGTGAGCGATAGTGGGGTAGCCGTTGGACCCTGTAAGTGGAAGTGCAGGTGGCTGTGCCTCAATGTTGAAGACAAGAACCCATCGAATCAGGCCAAATTGCGGCTGGCGTGTGCCACGGTGAACTTCTGAAACGCCCAAGTTGTTGGTTGTGCCAAGTTTGACAGTGATAGTCATGTAATGTACCAAGTTCCAGGTTCCAACTTTCAAGTGGTTACATCTTTAGTTCTAAAAGCGTGCGTTGATGTTGGGACTGATCGGCAATAGTGGGGGGCACTACTACGTTAGCAAATACGCGTATAACAACATACGGAAGAAGTACATAAAAATTAGAACTTTCCAACATTTCCCATAATAAATAATTCTGAGACTTAATATGCGTATTATAAAATTAATAAACTTATCCTAATCATTATAAACCTCTTTATGAAGTCCTTTAAAATTGCAATCACTCTCTATAGGCTTTAGGAATTAATAATGAAACGGAGTACAAGACGTGGGCCGTACAGCATCAACTGGAAGTATTGTACTGCGCATGCTCTAAGCCGAGAATAGATCGTTTAAACTCAGTATGCCTAAATTTAGGTAAGTATATAGAGGTTCAGACGATTTTATTTAAATTATGTTCTACTTAATCCCAAGACATATTTCCTTTATATAATCTATGTCTAAATATACGGCTAAATACGAAAGTTTAGAAGATTTATAATGCATTTAGTGTAATTTATCCTAAACCCCCTTTCTTTCGTGATTCAAGTGTTGCCTTGTAACATCATTCCATGAAGGCCATCATGATACAGTCCTCAAGCTCTGGATGTGCGTAGTTGTTCGGTTGGACCTTGGTCCTCATGCCGATATCTTTTGCACAGCGAAGGAGCGGGTTGGCAGCCTCAACTTGTGCACTCCTCAGGAGCGCTATCCCAAACCCCAAACCGCTCTTGTTGCCTTGACGTCTAGACCTGTTTATCGCGATTTGGGCCTTTCTGACCCAGTTGTCGATCTTGAGTTGTGAGTAGCGATGCTTGCTGAAGTAGACTGACTGGTGATGTGTCTAAAATGGAGGAATATTGAGTTGGGACTTGGGACGCACTATAGTCAAGGCCGCCAGCAGGTTGTTGAGTAGTAATCGACGATGACCTCCTGGACCGTCCACGTGTACCATTTCTTCTTCACCTTCCCAAGCAGGTCGACCCAGTCGAATAAGCTCAGTAAGGTGGTCCAGGTTTTCGAATGCCCCCCTTCCCCCTGGCAGTAGCATGAGCTGGCCAGCCAGATCTCGGCAGGTGTTGAATACCGGCGTCCCAGTTAGAAGCAAAGCCACGCCGTACTCAAGGGGACGGATGGTCATATTGAGCAGCGTTGTCTGCTTCTTGGCAAGGTGGGACTCGTCGACGATGATGACCGAGAACTAAAGGTCATGCTCATTGTAGAATTCCGAATACGAGGGAGTATGAGGACGCTCCCTTAGCACACCAAACACATAGTTGGACACTGCGCAGATGGCTCAAGTGAAAGTGTTGTCTCGCGGTATGCCAGTCTCGAAAGCGACTGTGGAGAAAGCCATGACTACAAATCACGACGTCAAACCTCGCAATCTCGAAACCTAGCATTTTCTTATCCATTAGGATTAGCATAGATGGTGGCTTTCCCTGCCCAGTGCTCATGTTAGACCTTGACAGTAGTGTGAAATGTTCAACTTTGAGCTCACCTCCAAGAAATGCTTACGAATTTCTTAGTGGCACTAAGAATGCATCCCTTTGGTGCTGTTACCAAAGTAGGACCGCAATATCGAATGTTTGGAATGAGCTCTCGTCTTGATATGTTTTCTCGTCTCACTTCTAGTGCAGCCAGCAGGGCTTGGGGCGACTTCCCAAGCCCGACTGCATCGCAGAGAAACCCTCCACCAAATTCCGACCTGGCAAGTAGGCCCAGTCGTACTACACCTATCTTTTACTGAGGTTTTAGAGTCGTAACTAGGCCGTGTCTTTCTTGAGTACCCTTGGTCGGGATCTCTGTGCTCGTGAAGCGCTTCTGCAAATGAGTTGATTAGAAACGGTTTCCAAGAAACCGTGTGGGAACTCACAATATATAGCACGATTTTCCAAAGGAAATATTCGATTCGAGAAAGGATAAGGATTCGAGAATGCCCGGTTAAATCGACGGCATTTATATATTTATAGTGGTACAATTATAGGCGTATTGCCAATATCGATGTTAAAGAAGGAGATGAAGGAGAAGAGGAGGAAGAGATGAAGAAAGAATTGAAGATAGGAGGAGGGGATTTATACCTGAGGTTTCATAAGAGGAGACTGCATTCCTTAAGGTAGGTACTCAGGCAGGCTTACGAGCAAGCAAATACGGATGGATGCCTGCCTACTATGTCTGTTTGTCCGCAGGCACTGCCCCCCTTTCTCTAGCAAAACATAGGTAACTAACATTAACAATCAAACTGCAATCTCTCAGTGATCTATCTACCTTAGTAACGACCTTGGATAAAGGACTCTTATCAGTAAGGGAGTCAGTCGCGGTTAGTATTACCAGAAATTCCTTAATCGAGTAGGTAAAATAAACTAATCATAAATTACTCTAAGGCATCCTAAGTTATCAAAAATGTCCTCTAATATCATCCTAACTTTGTCCTGAACTTCTATTATAATTCTAGGGTTGAGCCTCTAGATGAAAGTGGCACTGGCACTGCACATTATTGTTCGTAAACCTGATGATTCACTATCTCTGTAGCTTGACTCGCGCCGTTTTGTAGATACTGCAAAGGGATTGTCCGTCCCCGCGAGACCCTGAATTTGTTCGCTAAGATCACGATCGAATCTTCCGGTTAGTTAGAGCCCGAAATAACTGGCTAATATCGCCACTGTATATATAAATTCGATAGAGGTCCTTCCTCCTCCTTCTCCTTCTCCTTCTCCTTCTCCTTCTCCTTCTCCTTCTCCTTCTCCTTCTCCTTCTCCTTCTCCTTCTCCTTCTCCTTCTCCTTCTCCTTCTCCTTCTCCTTCTCCTTCTCCTTCTCCTTCTCCTTCTCCTTCTCCTTCTCCTTCTCCTTCTTTTCAGCCATATCTACAAGGCTTTCGAAATAATATCAGCGAGAGACCTCGCCGAATAATACCTGCTATGATCGGAACATGTAACATGGGAGAATATGTTTTCCCATGGCGATACGGAATATTAAAACCGAATAAGACAAATCAACAACGAAGAATACAAAGCGCTACCAAAGTTACACAAACGGAACCCAAGAACACATTGACGAAGCGTTGAGAGATTGCCTATCTTACCTACCTTTGAGCGAGATCACCAAGCTAGTGGTGGATAAGGGTCTCGTGCGGGCCCAACAACAATAAGACCAGACTTTGGCCGAGCATCGATAGAAGTGCGAAATTCATATGCTTACATTCACATCTGGAGCCAAGGAGCGTGAGCATCTAGCAACTGGCCTTCACGCACTGAAAGCTGCCAGTGCTGCTAGCAAAGCACAAGCAGGCCCTGTGCAGTTTGGTTTGTGGTGTGCAGTATGCAAATAGGAGGCTCCAAACACATCAATCACGCTTCAAACTGCATACGAAAAACCCCAGGTATGTCAAGAATGAAAGCACGACCGACCCAGGTTGCATAAGAAGAAAGTTCAATAAACTTCATGTTACTTAAACCACGTTTTACTCAATCTCTATGCTAAAAAGATCATAAATTCTTCATCTGATTTTTCGCTCACTATATGATCGATCCTGGGACTTGAGTGAGTGGACAACCGTGCTACGAAGTTCTACACTTGTCGGTGTGAGAATATGTTTCACTCATAACTTAGGCAGTAGTAATGTTGTACTTAAGTGAAGCGGTTCATGCTAAGTAGCTGCTCGAGTTAGACTTAACCAAACACATGATAAATCAGTGTCAATATCTCAAGTGACAACCCAAGCGGTCTCTTGCCCTTGTTGCCTGGACTTACTACAAACTTTTGGAATTTGAGGGCGTCTCCTTGTCCTTTCCTTTCTTTCTTTCTCCTTCCCATTTTTAGGCTGGGCGAGAGCTCTCAAGTCAGGCGATGGCCTTCAGACGTCTCCACGCTCCTTACCCTTTACACGAGGGAAGCTGGAATATCTATACCTTACTGCTGGAATAGTTTTGGTTATTTTTGTTGTATTAACTTCACACTATTCTTTTCTTTCCATATATCTTGATCATGTAGTATTTACCAAGTCAGCAGGTCATTGATCGGTATGCGACAGAGTATTTTAGTTTGCCTTAGGGTAGGTAGTTTACGTAGTAGTGTGTGAGTATATTAGGAACGACTAAAACAATCAAGCAATAAATAGTTTTGAGCTTACTTGAGCAATCCCTCAAACGTTCCACTGGCTTTGACCTTTTATTTCAGGTTAAGTGTTTAGCCAACATGTATTGCTTGGTGGTGTACTGGTTCAGATGCAACTAACACAATATCTCAGTGTGTGGAGTAGTTACATTAGTCCTGATGGGAAATAGCAAGTCCCTTAATTGTAGGTACCTTTAGAAAATGGAGGAGTTTCCCTGGAATGATGCATTTCAACCACGTTCTGGACCTGAACCCGAAAACTTGGTAGGAATGCGACGGAATGTGGGATCCTGGTGTAAGCGCATGTTCGTCAGCTGTATCTGCGACAACCAAGCACAGATGCCGAGTTTGCCCACTTGCCCGCGAGACATAATTTTAACAACTACGAGAAACCAGCTAGTTTAGACACCATCTTTAAAGTCTCGGGCCATGAGCTTGTTTGTATTCGTGGCTCGCCAGGCTATAGCTCGATCGATGGTCGATGAGAAGTAGCAAGGCCACCATAGCTGGGGCAACCTCCAATTATGTTGCCTGTGTCAGAGCATTGGCCGAGTTCAAGTTCAAGGCTTAACATTGAGAGAGCTGGAGAATAAGCGAGAGCATAAGTAAAGAAAAGACCCGCAGCCGCAGGGTGCTCAGGTCGTCACGGGCCAGGGTCTAGTCCATCCATATCCCATATCCATGTCCCATGTCCATGGAATGGGGCGGGCTGGGCCTTTGTCTGTGTATGTATTTTTGGCATCTTTTCAGGTCGTCCGTTGGTCTTGAATACCGACCCGTTATTGGCTAGTTGAGAATGCAGTGACAGACTGAAGACAAAAGGCATAAAATAAAGGAGAAGTACTGCATAGAGAGTCCAGAGTGCATGTTGTTGAGGCTCAGTATACTGTATCATGTAACGTGGATAAACAGGTAACCTAGAGATAAAGGTTTAGTTAGCGCTGTTCGAAAATGCCCGGTGGCATCCAATGTCGATCTTGTTTATCCTGTCATTGTTGATCATGAACATTCTTCTTTGCTCCGGATTGGTTGATTGTCTTTAGATGGATTATTCATTCTACTACGTAGTAGAAGCACTGTTGAAGATGAGCAATCAATTAAATCCGGATTTTTAATTATGCCTCCCATTTGCAACCAGGATGTCCCATCAACAACGATAAAGAACACATGAAAAACAAAGATGAAGCGTCAACTGCTCAATGCCAAGATTTCGGATCGAACCTCCAATTATTTAGCCCCGATTCGTCAAGTATTCCGTGACACGCGCGTGCTCAAAAGAACCCTGGCCTGATCTAATTTCCCCGACTGCTTCTTCGACCGACTGGATGTCATACGCATTGGATCGCACCCTTGTAAGAGCCACCGTTTTCCCCTACCAAAACCCCACCATTTTGGGTCTCCGTACTCTGTAAACAATAGCTTAATATCATAGTACGTAAGACCATATAAGTATAGAAACCAGGAACATGGATTCGTCAATGCGTCTCATCTCAGTGGGTTTGACTATTGAATGAGCTGGAGTTGAAGGAGAACCTCCTGTTCTCAGGGGTTCTTGGTTTACAGCAGTAACAGTAACGGAACTGGACTTTTTGGTCGATAGCCACCGAAAGAGCGTTGTCCTTGAGTTCGCAGCTAACGAAACCCAGTCCAGGGGAAAAAAGCAAAGAGAATGAATGGGTCGGGGTACACAGAGACCCTGGCATTCTATCTTGTGCTACACGCAGTTGTGGCTCCTGTAGCCTGAGCCTGTAGCACAAGAGTCGAATGTTTCCCCCTGTTGACCCCATTAGTTTGCTTTTTGTTATTTAAACGCAATTGTTTTTATGCGACTTTGACATGCAAAGCAAGTTAAAGTACGGAGGTTTATGGTTTTGTCTGTGTGTGCGCATCAAAGTAAGCGCTGCAGTTGAAGAATGCTTTTAAGAGAGGCTGTTGGTTGGACATCGAATTCGAACTGCACCAACCACAGCGCGACTCAGCTATGAAAGCCCCAAAGGCACCAAGTACTCTCTCGAATCATGTTTCTTGTCGTATTCCGTGGATACTGGCTAACAAATCGATGGCCCTACTGATGACACCCATGTCGTTATGTCGTACGGCTGCCCCGCGCTGATTGGTCTCTCTGTCGACCTTCATCTCAAGCGAGATTATCTCCATCTCGCGGCGTCAGGTCCACGACCGTTAGTCCCATCCATAACCGCGCATCGTCCAGTTTAACCCGGGTGTGATCACCGAATAGAGACAGGGGAAGAGAGAGTCCAAAAGAAGGGGAGTGACCAGAGAAGGAAAAGGGAAGAAAAAAACGCTCAAGGGCAAAGAGTGATAGCTCAGGTACCGGATGCCAAAATCCCCGTCGATCCATGCACACGCACAACAGACTCAAAGAGGGTTCGTTCGTGTTCTGTGCTCTCCCGCATCAATTTGGTTTTAGTATAGGCGCCTCCCGCTGTGTCTTGTTTCTCTTGGTTTCCCGTCTGTTCTGCTTCGTTATTGCTTGGGCCTTCTCACCTTGCTCTCGTCCGTCACCGACCGTAATACTCTCTTTTTATCTTGATTGTCTGCTTTTTCTAGTCACTCTTTTTTCACTCGTTTTTGACGACGTCGCTCTTTTTCAGTCATTCATTTTTTTTTTGAGACGAACCTGGACGAACAACAATCTACACGACTTTGACGACGACCAACTAGCGCTCCTTTTTGTGTTTGTCGCCATACCATCGTCGATAATAGTAATTGGAAACTTGGGCATCGAAGGAAGAGGAAAGAAAAACAAATTCGAAGAAAAAGAAGGACAAAACAGCGTACTCGAGGAAAAGCTGGAGCAGAGACGAGAAAGCATAGTCCGTTCCCAGTCCAGCAAACACCACGCACGCAATACTCCATTCACCAACCACGATAACCCTGTCGCTCGTTAATTTTTGGACTCGAGTCAACCAACACCACCGGACCAACTCTGCGACCCAAGGACTCAGTCATTCATTGTTATCGTGCATCGATCGAACAAAGAGAACGATCAAAGAGTGCAAGAGGCGAAACATCTTCTAGCATCTCATCTTGGACCCGTCCTTTGTTGTCTCCCCGCCTGAGCACGTCCACACCAGACCAACTCTTTGTCTATTTGTGAGCGCTGACCAGTGCTTGTGTGTGATATCGATATCTGGTCTATTTTTGTTTTTATCGGGTCATGTGCTTCTGTTGAATCAGCAGTTGGCATTTGATCCTGTTAAAGAGTTTTTCGTTTCAAACTGGAAACATCGCACAAAGCAACCAACGAATTGCGTCAATTGGACCCGATTACGGACCCTTTTACCCATCGACACAAAGGGCAAAACACATTTCTCTCTCCAAAAACCGCAAAAACGCTCCACGCTAGCAAATACGATCGCCTTATCGAGTTCCGCTTCGGGACCACTTTCGTCTCTCTTTGCCCCTTCTGGCTCCAATTCAAGTCGTGTTGTTATTTCGGGCACCCGTTACTGAAACCGGCTGGCGCACGTCCCCTGCGTTAGTTAGTTCGCCAGAGGCTAGTGGGCTGTACCGTAGGTCTTCCCTACCCCCTTACGCAACACGTTTTTAGGGCCACATCCACTAAAAGCACAGCGAAGTGAGCATCGGTATCGACACGAGCTCTCATTTCATCGCCACGCTCCCAAGTCCAAAGGGCCACGCCCGCGGCCACGACGCATCCATATTATCCAATCCAATGACATATTCGTCCAGCGGGCCTTCACTCGCTCAGGCCCTGGACATGAATATGGATCAGTATCAGGATCAGCATCGCAGCAGGAAAAGCCATGTTTATGTCGATCCTTCGCCATCAACCTTGGCTCCCTCAAATTCGGATCTGTCCGAGCTACATGACTCTCGTTCAAACAACCCTCGCTTACTTTCGCATCCTCATTATATCCGCAACAACGAAATCAAGGTCGAAAAGGACGTCACCCGCAATCACCTTCACTACGCTCATCTCCAATTGCGTCAAATCGAAAGTTTTGATGACAAGACCGTCGACCAATCCGCCGAAAAGAGCCATCTCCAGCTACACAAGACCGGCCACCATTCCCATTCTCATTCCCACCACTCTCACCAACGTCTGCACAGAAGCAAATCGCCGGCCAGCCTCCATCTTCGCGCTGCCGAGCCCGAGAACGCTGACGCCAATGCACTAAAACCTCGTGCTGAGCAGAATCTTTTTACCCAAGTTGTTCAGACTGTGTCGGTTGTCCAAATTGTCGATTCAGCTGGTTCACCTATCGAAGTTCAAACTCATTACGCAGCACCTGCTACCGTCGTCGTGGATTCTGCCACGGGCATCACCGTCGCCGCCATTTCTGACCCGGAACCCAAGCTGTCTGTGGCGGCCGCGGCGTCGGTTCCGGTTGCAAGCTACAATGCCCCGTCACAACAACCACCCGCTGCCGCCCCGACCGTTGTGGAAGCCCCCAGTCTGACAGATCCATCACCTTCTGCAACCATCTCAGATGTGACCGTATCCGATTCAGTGCCCGAGCCTGTTAACGACACAACGCTGCTACCTACCGCGGACGTGCAATCCGACACAGTAACCCCAACGCTCGAAGAGACTTCTATTCCAGTCACATCAACCAATCCCGATACTGCGAGTCAGGAAACAACGTCACCAGCCATTCCCACGACCTCGATTGACACGACAGCCTCGGAAGCTAGTGGGTCGGAAACCTCATTCGTAACCACCGGTACGAATATTTGCCCCCTCTATTTATAGTTTAAGTTCGTAACCATGTGCTGACTGACACCGCCTGCTCTAGACGACCTAAGCGCGACGACTACCGAAGCAACTCTAATAGAGACTACATCCGACTTCACTTCAGAAGCGACCCAAGAAGTCACATCCGAGGCAACATCAGAAGAGACTTCAAAAGCCACTTTGGACGCGACCCAGACGAAGTCTGACCCAGCTACGACGAACACAGTACCGACGACAACAGGCACTAGCTCACGGGCAAGAAGCACCTCCACTGTTATCGTCGTATCATCCACCTTTATCACTTCTTCCATCAACCCCAGCGACACAGACTCGGCATACAGCTACTCCGACTCGGTTTACTCAAGTATCTCGGCGGAACAAACTTGGTCTTCAGGGTGGTGGACAGACGAAGATAGTCCAAACGGAGGAGCCGGCGGCGCAACAGCTGATATTCAGCCACCAGCAGCAACAACCACTTCTAGTTCCAACGGTACCGATACCAGCACACTCTCACCTCAGCAGAAGCAAGTCATTGGTGGTGTTGTAGGCAGCGTTGCGGGAGTTGCGTTCCTGGCGTTTTTCGTCTTGTTTGCCCTCAGGTACAAGAAGAAGCATCCCGGAGGTGGACTACTGGGAGGTCACGAGACCGGCACGCGGTCAATAGGTGGTCCTATGTCTGGACCCGATGGAGGAAATGGATCAATGGCAGAGCGCTCCGGCGCATCTTCTGTTATGGCTGCAGCAATCGCAGGGTTGATGGGTAAAAAGCAACGACAAACACTCGAGCCCGCCCCCGCTGCCGAGAGGGGATTCTATCGAGTGTCAGGAAAAAAGTTACCTTCGGTCCTTCAAGTCGGTGGTGATGGATACTCTGATCCTCGGGACGGACCTCCTCTTGCAGGGCCTCCTCTCACAGGACCTCCCCCCAGCGGTCGGGCAGTTCGAGAAAGTGTCATGAGCGGTCACTCTGACTACTGGCGAGGCTCCATGGCGTTCGATCCTGCTGACCGAGACTCACATCATCTTGCGCTCGGGTCACCGATGCGACCTATCAGTGGTGTGCCTGTTATCCGATCTGGTCCAGCACGAACGCCTATCACAGAGTCAAATCCCTTCACGGATCCACGGCCAAGGCCTGACTCTGATGCTCTTGGAGGCTCAATAGGTGGTGCATCCATTACCTCACACGAGTCACCGTCGCGGTTCCAAGAGCGGATATGATGCAGGATATAGCCTGCCTTCGCGTTTTGCTTTTGTCATTTCCTGATACCTGAGCGTTCTATACATAGTTGTTGCATCACGAACAATCCCGATATACCTCGGTAGCTGCTGTTGCCGCTGCACACATCATCTATATACGACTGTCAACCCACGGTTACTGCGTTTCCATTTCACATTTATCATGCAAGGTCGCTGCCACGTTGGAGTGGTTCGCGAAGCATCTTCGGCGTTCAAATGTGGCCACTGCGCCGCTACTGGGATCTTTTTCAAAGTACAAAACCTGAAGATATTGGGACACTAGAAATGGAGGTGGAAAGAATAAAGAGGGGAATTTCTTGCCACCCAAAAAGGAGGAAGCTGGGCTAATTGAACCGGAAAACATTTACTTTGAGACGCTTGACGGACCATTCTCTTCTTGACTCTCATTAACGAACATTTTTTTGCTATGCTTTTTCTTTCTACACTTCACTTCCGACTTTACGACCTCTACTGGGAAGGGGATACATATATATCTGGGTGGGATTTTGCACTATGCAGGCCAGGCATTGCAAGAGGACGGAGGAGAGGTGAGATGTATATATAATACAAGCTTGCTACCCACGATTTGAACAAGATACCAATGCCTAGAAGGCTGTACTACTGAGCGCCTCTATTTCCGTTGCATTCGTGAAAATCTCGTGCTAGGTAAAGCAAGCAGCAGGTTGGAATACATCCGCACACTGCCGGATAAGAATGTACACCCGGAAAATTACAAAGTATAAATCAAGACTTCGCTACCCAATTTTTATACTGCAATAAGGATAACAGACAGGATGCATTCCCACAAGCCAACCCAACCCTCTGTAAAGGTAAAATATCACAATAACATGTGCTTTATATATGATATAGGAGCCGTCAAATAAGTAAGTAACTTCGCATATAGTATAACGAATAGTACACCGTGGAGGAGGCAGGGGGAAGTTAAATCAGAGAATAAGCAGCTCCTTCGATTAGCGAAAATGATACCAACCTCGCCCGAGATTGGCCCTCTTCCGTACTGATATCGCGGTAGGTACCGGATGCTTGGCCTTTAAGATGATCATAATCCAGGTAGGTAGTTAGCTGTATATGCTATACAATTCCGTGTAAAAATTTCGATAACATGATAGTACAGGATATATAAGGTTTATCTCTAAAATAAATAATAAAAAGATATAAAGTTTATAACTATTTAAAAAGTTTTAATAAAACTATATAATTTATATAAAACTAGAAGAATTTAATATAAATTCTTAACCTAAGTTTAATAAACTAAAGAGGAGATTATGAGAACTTTTATGTTACTATTATGATATTCATGACGGCAGTGTTCAGCCAGCTGCGGAGGCAGTGAATCACAGGGTCGCTCACATTCACAGCAATTCATCCGAACCTCAGACCTCAAAGCGCGCCAGAATTATCGGGCTATAAATATTTATCACGGCCCCTTTCAACTTTCTATCCTTTCTCTCCTTTAACACCTCTTTATGCCAGCCGTACATTTTGTACTTCACATGTTGCGCCGTGCACGTTGATCGAATATCGCGGTGACTTCGTTTCGACAAAATGAACCAGGCAAAAGATCTTGCTATTCACCCTGCTCTCTGGGGCTACGACCACGGAATCCAGAACCGAAAGCCGTTTCAAGTCATCCGAGTGCAAGAGGGAGGCTGTTCGGCGAAAGAAGTGAAGACAATCAGCAAAGGAGAAGGCCGACCAAAGCAAGGGAGAAACCGGGCCTCCTTGGTCAAATGCAGAATTGCAGATCACCGGTGTTCCTAGGTATGATGAGTTCTCGAAATTTATTGTTCAAGTCTAACCATTGTTCTGCGCTGTGCAGCTCGTCTTTGTGTGTTGTCGTTGGTCTCCTCATCCCAAGCGATGTAGTCGATGGTTTGAAGATCGACAAAGATGCATGGAGAAGCCGCCACCAAGAAAGATGCCGAGAAGAGTGCGGTCAAGAAATCTGCAGAAGACGTCGAGATAGACGAGATGGCTCAGATTGTCGAGACTGTCCCCGGTACCAGCTACTTGGTCCGACCCCTCAAGGCGGAGCGAACTACACTTTTCATCTTAGGAGGTAAAAGCGAGAAGGGCCTCTCAAGCATAACCGTCAATGCAGATGAAAACGAACCGTATGTCGTGGTGTTCAAGGATTTCATGGCAGGCGTCATGAACACAAAAGAAACCGAAAGCTACGACGAGGCACTAAAGAAGGCCACCACGTTCTGCAAGGAGTATCTGAAGGAGCATCGAGACGACTTCACCGATGTGAACGACTCTAGCACGTTGCTGGAAGAGATAGGCGGCGAGATCTGGAAGAACCACAGCCATCCCGCTGTTCGTCTCCGCATGAATCTCGAAAGGTCTTTGGTGATGTACGCCACCAGCAGGGACAAGTCATGGTTGGCCCATATCAAAATGCAACTCAGCCGCGTCGACTCAAAGTTCTAAGAGAACATGGGTCCCGGAACCGACCTATATTTCGTGTTGGATGCGTTGTTCAACCATCCTCGAGACTTGGAGAAGAACCAAGATGTTCCCAACATCCTCAATCTGGTCAAGGTACGCCTATCTTGCACAATGTTCGGCGATTACGAACTGACAATCATGTATAGAAAGAGTGGTTCCGCGATCACCCCTCGTCAGCATATGACTTCATCAACAAGTCAACTCTTTCTGCATTCGTCGAGGCACTGCAGCAGGGTGATCTCTCTGAGCTCAATACTGCTCCCAGCATGTGGCGATCGCTTATCTTCCAATCTTGCCTTGTAATCTCGGAGTGTCAACCAAGCAGCCAAGAGAAATTGATCGATATCGTTCAGAAGACTTACAGATCAGTACTTCTTGGCAGCTTTGACACTGATGATCGTACCAAGATCTCAGATTGTAGAATTTCAGGGGCATATGCTGTCATCGCCTATCGCAACACAATCAGCTACCTAGAAGAAACCCTGAAAGTACTCGAAACCTGGTTCCAGCATGATCGCGATATGTATTCCAGCCCTATCGAGGGGAAGGAGATCGAGCATCTTGAGGCTCTACTCCTAAAGGTTCCCAGCGCCATAGATCAAGGATATTGGCGTGACGGGGTCAGGGAGATTGCAACCTTGATCCAGTTGCGCCATGAGGCGGGTTGGGCGGAAGCGTTCAATATCATCAAGACAGCCACCACTGTGCTCAAGGACGTTGAGAAGGGCTTCGTACACGGCGGAGAAGGCCAGGATGGGGTGATGAAGGACGATGAAGAAGAGGACCTTGACGGTTCTGACTGAGGATGAAGATTTTGCAGTCGCTGTCTGTGGAAGAGGCTCTTCCACGATCTTGGTGCGAAAAGCTACGAACTGTGGTATAACCTAAAGTTCAGTCCTATACTCTGAACGTTTTGTTGCTGTTAGAATGAAAGGGCTCTTAATGTTATCTACATCGGCGGTAATATCTCAAGCGATGAAGAAGACGAGAAATGGGATGCCGAGAGAATCGTGGAAGAGCATAGCAAGCAAGCGAGTTTTATTAATGATACCAAAAAGTACTCCAGACACGTCTGTAGGTGAAGGAGAATAGTAAGGAGAGAGGAGCACTGAGTCCGGCAGTGACACTTCATACCATTCATATGAGGATACGGAGGACTACGAGGATGGATCCAACCATGAGCAGGGAGTATCTGAAGTGAAGGAGAATGGACTCTGACGGTGACATGAAAAACCTGATGGATTCATTCAATGAGAAAGGATCTTAACTATAGTAGGTGTATAAATAGTCTTTCTTTTATCTTAGATTTTATATAAAATTATATAAATTATAATAAAACTTTTCTCATTTTATATAATTTTATTTTCTTATTTTAGAATTATACACATATTTATCTAGGTATAGTATAATTTACTTATTTATTTTATTATATTCTTTTTTATATATTATATGAACTGTTACATAGAATTCCATACCGTGCAGTAGCCAGTGGATGGATCGTTTATGCTAGAAATGCTATTATGTTTTGATATCGATGAGTAATAAACTAAATAAAACAGCAGGTTGAGATACACTGAGATTACTTAACTCGGGCATCTCAAAGTCCGAGATCTCTTCTCCCACGTTCTAGATCTCTCCTGGACTTCTCCATAAGTGTCATTTCCAAACATTCTGTATCAAATGGCCAAATGCTTATATGCATGCGGAGTTCGGATCTGTTTGGGTAACATTAGACTTTCGGGTGGGCGTCGGTTACAGAGGATATCAAACACAACTCGAGGCGGATCCGAAACGACAAGGGACAGGGGATGGGAGACGAGTGACAGGGGACTCCGAAAACCGAACGCGAGGGCTTACGGATGACAGGAAACATCATAATATGACCTCTTATAGGTAGCATGATAGTCTTTGGGAGTGGAAATGGCAATCTTATATTACGCTATATCTGTACTTATCCTGGACAATACAGCGGCATAACGCTTGGAGCAGAGTTTAAAGTACCTATTGAGACTACGGATATGTGCTGCTTGGATTTGTATGTGATCAAAGTGTTTGAAAGTCTGGGGAAAGCTATGTGTCTCAGAGCCCTAATAGCATCTCAGCGTACGAGAAAACTAGTCTTCAACCCTTCTGTCCACGAGGGAAAAGTGTTTCGGGATGCACAGCCTCCTTTTAGGTTCGGACGAAGTTACGTATTCGGGATGGGGCATCTAACTAGGGGATCTAGGGGATCTCTAAGTGCTGGCCCCCAATTGAAATCAGCGCTGGGCGTTTAGAGAACAACTGACTCGATTACCAATGGTATGGGGCTCTTTGTAGGTACGTAGTCTACAATCTACGGATAATACAGTAGTCGGGTTCCAACGGTTAACTAACGTTATCTGTGTTTTAGAGTCTTCTGAGACACGTCATCATGGCACCGATATCAGAGTCAGGTCAAGATCAGCTCTAAACTTGGGGCATGTAGTAGTACCATGTCCTTTGAAACAAGAGATCAACTGAACATTGACAAGAGATGACGAGGCGAAGAAGTTCAAGGGACAAGAAGAAAAGAATAATTACTCCGTAATACTGTTCAGAGGAGTTGATGGTGAAACACAGCCTATTCTACGGATACACTTTGAAGTGACTACCGTACCTAACGTTAGTCTACGGATATAACTTGCATGAAATAAGTAGCAATTGTGACGCCAATCTTGCGTCGGTGGTTGGCTGTCAACCTTTTAGTCCTGCGGTCTGTTAAAAGTCAATCCCGTCATAGTACACGGAGCACTACGCCCAACATTATGCTGTTTGCGGAAGAGATGGCTTTACAACAACAGCCTTGAATTTAAAGGGTTGTCGTTGAACAATTACGTTGTTTTTTGCCAAGAACAGAGGAGAGCCCAGAGAGAAGTACACTCCTACATAGTAAGGATGCAGAGTCATTGTCGAGCTATGTCTCCATCACCAAAGGCAGGTCTCGGCTATTGATATTGGGATGCTGTGGGACCAGGGGGCTTATTTGTTGAAGACTACTCCGTACTTCATAACTGCTTTATTTGAACGCATTTTAGATTTATCACGCCATTCACTTTAAACAACACCGCCATTAAATTGATACGTAGTGTAATTGTCGATTTGCAGCTGGTCTACTCCGTAAGCGGGTTATGTTAGTAGGTAGAGAGATATTCTTCAGATGCGATTGGCCTGTGCTAGTGACATTACCGTGACCAGACTCCTTTTGCTGTCTAGATACCTATCTTAAGATACCTTTGTCCATAGGCATCTTGTGATATATAAAGACATAGGCATAGATCATCCAAGCTTTACTACTTCTCAGTGGAGTTTATATAAATTTATAAAAGTATCTACATGCATAATTAGGCATCACAACCAATTCCGCATTTTCATCATGCCCCCCTAGCCACTAGATACTGGGCTGCTTTACCTTTAGGGGATACGTCTTTCTTTGGTCTTTCCCTGATTCGAAACAAATATCCGCGCATTGAGGACCAGCCTTGGCTTCCCTGCTACTTGTTCTGTCTCATCAGCCCAAGGTGAGGTAGGGAAGGTACCGTTGGGTAGCAGATTCCTCAAGTTAACGGATGCCAGACTTGCCGATTTATGCTTTGGAAGGTGTAACTAGACAAGTCATTAACACCGCGATCTGGCAACCGAGCCTTGGAAATCTTGAGTACCTACCTTACACAAACACCAACACCAACATCGCGACTTTTCCTTCTTTTCTTCCTTTCTTATTGCTGAGCTGACACGCCGCCATTGACTTCATTCCCGCGTCTAGGCTGTTCTACAGTACTCTCTAGCCTCTCTAGACTCTAGTACACCCTGTAACCGCCAAGGAGGTCGCACCAAGACAAAACCAACCAAACTCCGCCACCCCACCTCGCTCACCCACTTACCACTCAATCTCCGCCTGCACCTGCAGTCTGACAGAGACAGCGGTAGTAATCATAGAGTCTAGTCGCCCACTCTCTACTCTGTGCTTTTTAGGCCACGGACTTGACCTTGACCTGGGAGCTCTTTAGTTTAGCGCACCGGCACATCCAAAAAGAACCCACTCGGCCTGTTTCTCTTGGACTTTGTCTCCTTGTCCATCATATCTCTAAGCGAACCCGTTCGATCTACGATTGACCCCAACCAAACAGACTGCCAGACATTCTTCAACCTCTCCACAATCTTCAGCTTCGGCCTCAGCTTCTACTCTCTCCGTGTCGCACATATGATATCCAGCTGATCCGAGACTTGAACTCCAAAACCACTGCCTGTGTACTACATTCCAACAATCGCTTGTCGCATTTCTGCTCGTTCCGTCGCAAAGCGACCGTTCCTTGTCGCTGAATCGACCCACAGACACGCCGCTCGCGCTGCTTTGCGAACCTCGATTGCCGACCACTTCGATATACGTCTTTGATCAACAATAAGCACAATCTCTGCGCCAACAAGATGGACCATATGGGCTTTCAGGTCCCGGGCATGGCCCCGCCTGTCATGAATCAACCACCCCAGGTTTTTGGTGGCTACGACGGATTACCGCAACTGCCTCCCGAAATTGCTGCTCAGATGTTTAATGACTCGGCCATGATGCTTGAAGATGCCAACGACCCAAAGAGGAGGAGAATTGCTAGGGTATGAGACCAGAAAATGGATGCCGGACCTGCCGGCTTCAATATCGTGCGTGCTAATTGGGACTTTTACAGGCTTGCGATATGTGTCGGAAGAAGAAGATTAAGTGTGATGGCAAGATGCCATCTTGTACTCACTGTATCAACTACAAGACTGAATGTGTCTTTACCCAAGTCGAGAAGAAGCGCGCTCCTCCCAAAGGGTATGTCTATGCAAGTGTGACTTACTCATCATGGTTGCTTACAAACTACAAGTGCGAAGTACATCGAGGGGCTTGAGAATCGACTGAACCGTATGGAACATCTTCTACGGCTTTCTGGTAGGCCACCCTTGTGAACGCCTTGAGATAAGGCTCGTTGTACTGACACATTGTGTGTAGGCCTTCTTGATGACGAAGATGGTGACCTCGGCGCTCTAGAGAAGAAACTAATGGAGCGACAACAAAAGTCGCGACAACCGTCGATGGCTATTGTGTCTGGCCCTAACTCACCCTCCCATTCTGTCCCCTCTGCTGCAGATGGAAATGTTATGACTCCTCAAAGCTCACTCACCTCCCCCAACTCAATTGTCAAGGATGACAAGCGTAAATCAACAACACCAGCTCCGGCAACAACACCTTCAACAGCTCAGGCACCGACTACAAATGGGGAAGAGGCCAACCCAGAAGACCAAGTAGAGGTGGAGGCTCTCTCGGAGATGATGTGTTCTTTAGTGACAAATAACTTTGGAGAGACAAGGTACATCGGTAAGTTATCGCCATCACAACTTACAGGAACCACCCCTTGCTGACTGTAGGCAGGTTCATCCTCCGGCTTCTCCATTTTTTCGCCCAAGGGAGTCTCGTGGGTAAACGGCAAGACAGGAGACGACTCATTTCAACGGACTATATCGGAAATATCTGTCGATGACCACAAGTGGACTAATTGGAAACCTGAAGTTTTTGGCGATCTATTCCAGCGTCCTATTTTCCGGCCTCTGCCCTCCAAAACCGAGGCGTTGTCACTGCTCCAAGACTATTTTGACAACTTCAACTGTATCTTCCCTCTGTTTCATCAACCAACCTTCATGCACCTAGTGCAGTTGCAATATTCGTCAGACCCGTACCAGGGCTCAGGATGGTGGGCAAGCCTCAACATTGCTCTTGCCATTGCCCATCGTCTGCGGGTTATGAGCAACCTTGTGCCGCAGGATGAGGACGACAAGGCCTGGGGATACCTCAAGAACGCCATTGGTGTATTCCCCGAGTTGACTATGCGAAATACCGATTTGTTGAGTGTCCAGGCCCTCCTGGGCATGGCTCTGTTCCTGCAAGGAACGCCCAATCCTCAACCGACATTTCTACTGGTTGCAGCGGCGATGCGCCTGGCGCAAAGCATTGGTCTTCACAAGCGAGGAACTGGTTTCAACCTCAACCCCATTGAGATTGAGCAGCGTAAGAGAGTCTTTTGGATCGCCTACATGCTTGATAAGGATCTTTGTCTTCGAGCTGGTCGCCCACCTGCTCAGGACGACGATGATATGAACGTTGAGCTTCCGGATGCTGACCCGGCGGATAACATCGGTAACATTCCACTAGCCGACGGCAAAGGCAAGATGAACCTCTTCCGGGTCATGTGTGAGTTTGCCACCATTGAGAGTGAAGTTTACAAGAGATTGTATTCCGTACAAGCCACTAAACAGTCTGATGGTGAATTGCTTAACACCATCGGCGAGCTGGACCGCAAGCTTGAGGAATGGAAGGATAGTATCCCTATCGACTATCGACCCGAACACGACATCAACGCCTCTCATACCCCCCTAATCCTCCACGTTGTCATGCTGCATCTTACCTATTATAACTGCCTTACTACCATTCATCGCATGTCGGTTCACCATGGATTTTGGACCAGCAGACTGGCCAACTATGCCATCCAGGGCCTCAACGCTCGACCTCTCAACCCGCGGGTCTTTTCTTCAGCGGCACTATGCACAGCCGCAGCGCGAGCATCCGTCTCTTTACTGAAGTATGTGCCTCAGGGAGATTTTGCTTGTGTTTGGTAAGTACCCAGGTCTTGGCTATGCGAAGAACTAACTAACATGCACAACCAGGATGATCCTCTACTTCCCAGTTTCAGCGCTAGTGACGCTGTTTGGAAATATCCTGCAGAACCCACTTGACCCTCGCGCAAAATCGGATACTCGACTCATGAACATCGTGGTCACCTTCCTTTCTATGCTTGGGCAGGAGGCAGAGCAGGGAGGTGTGCACCGAATGCTCGGCATCTGTGCCGAATTTGAACGTATAGCCAAGGCCATTATTGACAAGGCTGAAAAAGAGCAATCTTCTCGACGCAAACGCAAGAACCAGGATACAACGAACAAGTCATCCTCCAACACCACTATACCCGCAGCCCGACACCCCCCTGCTGCAGACTCTACAGCTCATAGAAGACCGTCACAAGCTCAATTGTCGCCACCTCCAAACGGTGATTCTAGGGGATCATTTTCTATAAGCACACCAATGAACGACCCCTCGCCTTCAGCCATGTCGGCCGGGTGGCCTCAAGAGTTCCCAGTACCCCAACCTCATCAGAATGGCGACTTCGATTCAATGAACTATGGAGATGGAAACATGCATTCATCTCCTCAAATGCCAGTTTCAGCGTTTCAGCAACCCTTACTCCCACAAGACCTCTTCTCTCTACCTATGACACTGGACTGGAGCTGGGCTGAGATGACCACTGGGGCGTACCCAACAGTTGAAAACGGCAATTTTGGTGGAGCTCAAATGTGACGTCGTTCTTTGCAATAACATTCTCACTAGAGCGTTATTGGGTGAATTCCGACGGAGCATTATGCTCAACTAATGTATATCAATGTGCTTAGTAGTGTATTTGGATGTTAATAAGTTGGTAATTGGAGGTGTTCTGACATAACGAGATATGCGATACGACATACGAGACTTGGGAAGAGTAGCGAGAGTTCTTAAAGTATCTAGTTAGATGATTCGAGCGGCATGAAGGGCATAAAGCAAGCGATGCGCGTTCTTGGTTATATATATAAAAGGCGTCTATTCTGCACAAAGTCTCTTTGCCTATAACGTCGATAAACTCTCGCAAGTTCTGATAATTTCTTTAATCCTAAATTTAATACAAAGTAATAAATAAAGTCTTCTACCTATAACATAATTTAATTATTTATTTTATAATATATATCTAATTTTATATAAATTATATAATTTTATTAAAACTTTTTAAATAATTATAAATTTTATAAATTTTAACTATATTTTAGAGGTAAACTTTATATATCCTGTGCTGTTATATTATCGGAACTTTTCCACGGAACTGTATAAGGTTCCAGATTTAAACACAGGCCTCATGTATGATGCCATCATACACTCTTGTGTTGCTTGTGTTTGACTAATAGGCATAAGTGAGGCCTGGCACATAGAATGCCTCGGAAGGTTCAGACATGATATGCTTCTGCCCTTATCACTCTACTACGAATCGGAGTGATGCTACATCACGAAGCGAACAGTCCAAGCTACAAATACAAATGTTGTGAGGCACATAGCGCAAAGTCATCGCATCACTGGTATTACACAAAAAGCAACGTCGACTCGCTGTGAACCAGGCGTCGAATTGCGACTCTAACTGGCATCTAATCCAAAACAACGACATACTAAAGGCCTGCTACCGCTGATCGCCTTTTTGACTTTTGTGGCCTTCGTTCCTCTTCGTCGCTTCCAACCTCCCTTGCAAGGCGCTCGTGCTTCCTCATCGTGAACAAAGCGTGCTTTCGTAGCGGCAATCAAGTTCATGCACGGTAAACTGAGACCGTCATAGGGGAATAAAAAACAAGGGATATATCACCAACACCCTCTCTGTTACCCTCTTTGTTCCTCCTCTGGTTCTGCTCCAACCTCCTTTTTTTCAGAGCGTTTTCCTCCTCATTGAGCAAATGATAATATGAAAACATGTTTAGGTTAATAAAACTGCAGCAGAAGAAAGATGTGACCGGGAATGTAAGAAAGCGAGTAAGAAATGCAGATAAAAAGACAGAAAAACAGGAATACTTTGGAGAACTGGGAGGCCGTGTCGTCTTTGAGGAGAGTTAAGAAACGTGAAAATGCCTCCCCTATCCCCAATTAACCGCGCTCCTGGACCGGCCGGCCTATTCCATATGCCCCCTCTCCCCTTTGCCCAAACGCCGTGCTCGTTGGGACGGTAAAGTTGTTTGTCCGTCCCTTCAGAATGCAGGAAAAGTAAAAGACCAAGATTAAAGCCCACAAGGCTGTCAAAGCAAATTGCACTCGAGATTTTTTGGTTGCGTAGCGTGAGATTTGGTAAAAAGCGTATCGTGAAACATGAGACGTGATGGGACGTCTGGCATCTGTGTTTGAAACCTGGCATGAAGGCAGCACCGTGAAGAAGCTGATTAGCTGGCAACGAAGTGCATCCGTGGCACGCGTCATGCGCCAACCATGCCAGGGCCGTAGCTCTGTTGGCGCATAGCACCTGGGTATGGCGAGGCATTGCCTGGGTTCTGTACACAGTCAGTCGGCTGTACACCTAGACCCAATGTGGGGAAGACTTGTTTACCTTTTTGCGTCGCTTTTGACCGCCCTCTCCCTCTCCAGTGGAATATCCTCCTTCCACGGCCGTGTCATCGTCAGGGTAGCCTTCGCCGTAGCCCTCGAAGCTGCTGTCGCCGTATGTTCGCTTCTTGACGTTGCGCTTTGGTCGGTTGGGGTCGTTTGCTGAAGGGCCCTGGGTCTTTAGTCGTCCTACTGCGCCAGGAACGTTAAGAGGAGTGTTAGGAGCGGTAGGTCTCGCGGATGATGGTAGCTTCGAGTCTCCACCTGGAGTCTGGAGTCCCAATACTGATGTGTCCCAGTCTCTCTTCCCTATAGGTCCCTTGGCCATGGTGACAGCTCGGCCGAGAGTGGAGACGCTTGCCTGTGATAGCCCGTGTTTGATGTTTTGGCCCTTGACAATGGTGTTGTCCCAATCCTCATCGGGCATGTGTAGGATGTCGAAGAAATCGGGCTTCTCGTTAGATTCCTTGTCTGTTCTTTGCACCTTCCAGTGACCAGCGATACCTAGGCGCTTCATATGGCCTGTGTAGGATGAGCGTAGTGCGTTCTTTTCTCCGTTGGGCTTTTCTCGAGCTACTTCGGCGGCGAGTCCGCTAAGGTTGAACATGTCATAGAGATCTTCCGATACGCGCGGTAATGATTCCGGATGGGCTAAAAAAAAACGAGTGATGTTAACACACAATTCTCTGGCGGGAATCACATGGTGGTATGATAATGCCCGCAATGAGCTCTCATGTCATTCAGAGCCAATATCCGAGCGCCAGAGGGAGCGGGAAAAGGGCTATGAAGGGAGTCTTACGAGTTTGGCAAAGCAGGTATTTCTTCCCCACATCTAGATGCAGGTCCTCAATGCCCAGCTTGCTTTCCTCGACGTGGACCTTCTTCTGCTCGCGGTCGCCGCTGTCATCCACGGAGCGCTTCCGCTTGTGGGGAGAGTCGTCGGCCATAATGAGGTCGTGATGAGCGCTTCCAGTTACGCTGTGGGCGGGAGTCGGCAAAGTGGTCGGGGTGGCCGTGGAGGTCATGGAGGTTGCCACGCTTAACACGGGCTCCGAGGTCCCGGAAGAGAATTGCGATGGGCTCTGGGGAGTCTGAGGATGGAACGACATGGTGGACGACTCCGCGAGGGAGGTTTGTGGGCGAGAGTCGCGTCGGCCGTCGACCGAAAGTCGCTGCGCTCCGCTTCTCTCTTCAGTCAAACGTCATGCACTGCACTGGGTTTTCTTCGGGACTCGGTGCACGGAACGGGCGCGGCGCAGGCGGGTAACAGGATCGTTATTAGGAGTTGTAGAGATCGAGAGTCTGGAATCGACAGGGTTCGAGGGCGAAAAGGGCGAATGTCGCTGGCGTAGAGCGAGGGTTGACGTCGAAATAGGGCGATGTTAGGTTTGGTTGTCAGAGGTTGAATCGGGGGCGAAAGGTGAGGTGTGGAGTGGAGTGTTTGGAATGAGGGAGAGGCAGAGAGCAGAGCGGGTAGTTTGAGCCTGAAAGACGAGGCAATTTTAGGTGGGTGGGTCGTGGACCCAGTCAGCGGCCCGGATGTAGGAACCTGCCAGGCCTGCCAGGCGAGCAAGCCCCTGTTTCCAGGCCTTTCACTGGTAGAGCCAAAGGCTCTTTCAGCGGACTTCGGCTCACTGACCACTTCTCGGTACCATCTTCCGCTAATCTGAGTGGCTGGTTCTTCTCTCTTTCTCTCGTTCTCTCTGTGAAGAACAAAGAAATAAAGGAATAAAGTGCTACTCCGTTTCGATAATTTCAGCATAATATGACACAATCCGATCGCAGAATAGCCAAACACTTGCATCTCTTGTCATATCATTCATTCCAGCCAGGTTTGATAACTACCTACTTACCTAGGTACGATTCAAGTCGTATGACACTAATAGTGAGAATTCCGTTTTACTCCAGACCCCAAGAGCTGCAGGTTCAGGTATGGGTACGTACATTCTTTCGATGCCTTAGGTACCTTAATCAGCCCTCTCCGCTTCCACGCGAACGGTGTCACCGAATCACGTCTCGGCTTACGAGCTGTGCGGATAATTAAAAGTGATTACTCTGTAGAATCAAGTCGCATAGATGCCCCTATCGTCCAAGGCGCATCAATCAATATTGAAGACGGTAATTGCCTTTTCCAGGAAACAAACTTGCAAAACAAAGTCTTTGCGCTGAGGCCCCTCGAATTTTAAACAGGCTATAGCACCTAATAAGGCACCACTGGTGAAGACGGGGAGAGTCCACTTCACTCCACTCCAGGTTGTGAGGAAATGGTACAAACAAGCCGAGCTTATTTATATAACTACCATAGGATAGTCTATAAGTCTTTACTAAGCTTATATGAAACAATCAAATATTTTCTAATATGTGTTAATATTTTATGGGTTTATTTCCCTATTTTCTTTATTAATCTAATTCGTAGGATGTCTAGGTACACAAAGGAAGTTCAAGGCCCAGTTTTATGCACTTCCAGCCTAGCAACCAGTGGATGCACGTCACATGACCTGGCCTCTCTCATAAGATGGCAAACATTCTCGCCCGATTTTTCCCTCTTTTCTTTCATACAACCAAGACCACCATCATCCCTCAACCATTGTCAGCTTGCTTGACCCTACGCTGCTGTAACATCTCGGGATATGTGGTCGAGAGCACACTTCAGTAACCTTGCCTAAAACCATCATCACGAGGGCCCCTCGTGCGGCTACCATGATGCGCTGATGACCTGATGCAAGTGACATATCTTCACCCACTTGAACCCTGAGCCCTTTGTCCTTGAAATCAAAGAGAGAAGAAAGGATATGGGGGCATACTATGGGTCCTTTCACTGTGACGTTGAACACTGATGCGACTATTCATGCCTGTCCATCCAGAATGAAATGCTACCATGGTAAGTGTAGACTAGATATTGATCTGGCTTATGCGCTCACACTGTGATGACACCCAACATCTGGTAAACCTAGTAGCCTTGCCTGTTGTTTTCAGCCTGATGTTTCTCATCTCTGATAACCGCCTGGCTACCAGAAGGAAAACTGGCTTATCTGACCACAAGAGCTTGCATTGGCGACTCTGATCTTTGTCTCTACTTTTGTGTCTATCTTCGTGGAGTCCGAGGCTAATAATTAGCCGTTTGCTTTCCTAGGTTTTTTTTATATACCTCCAATCATTTCCTTACCACGTACGCATCAGTATCACTGCCACCGCGGTTATCCCAAGTCGACAAAATACAGTAGGTTTTGGGTACTTTATATATAATCTTATATGAATCACAATAAACCCTATTTAACTTATATAAACTTGCCTAATCCTATTCTGAGCATATCTCCTATTGTTATAAAGATCCCCAGTTGACTTATTGTCGGAGCCTTTGCACGGAATTATAACCATAGGTAGTTTGAACTTGATAAACTTGATTCCTCAGAAATACCTGTTTGCGACGCTGCCGCCAGGGCCGACGCCGGTCTAACAAACTACTTTTGGTGTGTATCCTGCTTGCTCGTTCAATCTAGGAGAGTAATAAGGCACACCCTGTTCCGAATTCAAACGGTTGCGCCAATTATCCCAATAGTCCATATTTCCTTTTCCCGCCAAATCCCACCTCTAGATGCATCATCATCATGTAATTTGCCTTGTCCCCATAACAACAACATAAGAAAGGGTCATAATCATGGCCAAGTACCCGACTTGTCCTTAGGTACTTCAACAATGATGTACGCCTTAACGCGAATTGCGAACCCAACAGAGTAATACAAAAGATAATAATAACAGAAGCTTAGAAAAACAGTTGAAGGATTATGCAGCCGTTCGAGCCGCTGAATGCTGGATCCTCAGCAACGATGTTTGTGCGAGTGCGGCCCGCCAACATCTGGCCACTAAGGGGTCCTAGCCGCGGGGAGAGGGTTTGTTTCATAACCACGAATACCACTGACACCACCGGAGTGATGATTCATAGGTACGGGCTGATACAAAGGCGGGTGACTGTCAGATAGACTCGGGCTAGTGCTGTTCGCGACCCGGTACGAATAGTCGACTACATCGCCCTTCCACGACATGTTGGGGCGTAGTGGTGACTGCAATGACTCCGATCTGGCTCTTGACAGGGAGTCGCGAAGCAGTAGAGGCGGGATAGGATGAGGGCTCGATCGATGCATCTCAATAGGCGTCCCAAGTCCATGTTGCTGTCCGAACGGATGTGATGTTCTTGGGCTTCCTGCGAGAGGGGTTGAGAAATGGCCAGCGTAGGGGTATCGATCACTGTGTGCTGGGGAAAGTGGCGATGCAAGGCTGGAGCTGGCCATACTACCAGCAGGGCTGTATCCCATCCCGGCGAATCCTGCAACCATGCTGGTTGACGAAGTATGCTCATTCGTCTCGTTTCTTCGTCCATCGACAATCAGAGGCCTCATCATGTGCTGGGCATATGAATGAGTGCTGAACTGTCCGGGCGAGGGTACGGGTGTGTTCATGCCATGGACTGCACCGTACGGAGAATGGAGTGCTTGAATGTTGTCGAATCCTTCGGGGACTGCTCTCATCTTTATCATACGATCGCGATCGTCAACGTTAAGTCGCTTGATCTTGGCACGTCTAGGTAACATTTAGCAAGGGCTACACAATTATACTTAAGTGATAAGTACCGGTTCTGGAACCAAACTTGGACCTGGCGTGAGCTGAGCCCTGGGATTTCCCTGGAGAGCCGCTCACGATGTGCCGCATCGGGGTGAGGCTGCTTGGCAAACTCGCTCATGAGAAACCGAGTTTGCTGGTGGGTAAGTCTAATATGGTCAGTTTTGGTTTTGAGGCTTGTGTTCAGGAAACTGACCTGAAGCGCTTCATTTTGCGTCGAGCCGCCGCCCGCTCGGCTGGTGTTAGAGAAGAATTATCTCCTTCGCCATCAACCATATCTTCTTCGTCAAGGTCATCCTCCTCCTCGTCTTGTGGAGAGGTCAGTCTACCAGCTTGACTAGACTGACTGGATGAGATTTCAGATGCTTGACGGTTCGGTGGCACGAAGGTGCTGGTGGTCGTGGCTGCTTGGGGAGGGTTCCGTAACTGTGAGAAAAGGGCATTCTCCCGTCCTGAAGTGTTGGGTTTCGTCCCATAGCTGTCGTTCTGGAGGTTCGAAAGCCTTGGTACCGACAAGGGGATTCCACCCTGATCAGCCGTCTGGAGATGGGACGTATATCCCTGTGCTGTTCCAGACCTCATGTGGATTCCAAGAGCATTACCTCTATCTTCTGTTGGCTGGCGCATCTGAGAAGGTTGTGAACCTTCATTTCGTGAAGCGTAAGCTTGAACAAGTCCACTGTTGTCACGGGAAGTACTTGAGCTGTATCCTTGCCAAGTCGAAGGTGCCGGCAGCTCGACATTAACATTGTAATGGTTCGACATGCGAGGGCTCGTCGGGTTGCGAGATGGTTCGTATCTGCTGAATGGCCAACGGCTATGTTCTGTCTCGTATTGCCTCGTGACAATCATTTGGACGAGAAATAGATCGAAGGGGAAATGGCCGACTTAAGTGAGCAGAAATGGCAGTGAGACCAGCAAGTGTAGCTAGACAGGTACACCAACACAGTGCAGTTTCAATGTTTCTGCCTTGCTTTCACGGACGGGTCGGCCTGTTGCAGAGAGCTTGAAACCGCTTCCGAGATGGCAACGGAGGGATAAACAAGGGCGTGATAACTTAGCCAAGGCCCAGACGGGTAGCAGAATATCACGAAATTGGATGGAAAGGATTGTGAATAAGAGGCAATCTCCAAGGAGCAGGTTCGAAGTCCGGAGTAGAGATTGATTCTAGTTGGCAAAACGAAATGTGATAACGATGTGAATGAGAGTATAGAATAAGCAGTTTGAAGGCAAGAAAGAAGGAATAAACCCGTTGATATGTGTTTGGACAAAAGGAATGATATCCAAGTTATCGTCCACATTGAAGCCGGACTTGGGATGTATATATGAGTCCAGTGCGGCGAGTATGGACACGCCTTATGGTGGGGTTGGGTAAACGAATCCGTAGCTGCCATATCCTTGCCCAGGGGCCTGGACAAGGTCATAACTCGAGCAGTTCCCCTGTCATGTAAGGTAGAGAAAAACAAAGCAAAAGGTCTGTTGATTGCACGCACCCAGGGGCTTGCCCAGGGAGTGGAAACGTCAACGACTAACTAACAATAGGTGGGGATAAGATCATGTACAGTACCCGGTGGAGAGTTGAGCGAGCGACCCTCACGGGTCAGGCGCCATGTATCCGTAGAAGATGCTTTATCCACACTCATACTATGCAAGCGTACATGTATAGGCAGACGATGGGCCAGAAGCGGTTTGAGCTTGTTCATTGACTTGTCCGTGGTTCATAGGGACAAGTAGGGAGCGGCAGATGTCTGTGTCTTAATGAACTCAAATTAGTGGAATAACAGACTGTCAGTGCACCAGCTTTGGGGGCAACAGCACAGACTACGGGCAATGTTGAATCCCGCCAGACGATCCTGCTGGCAGGCACAATGCTAGTAGATGAAGTTATCTGCACCCACGAATTGGATTGCAATTACCCCAAGAGATGAGCCATGTTGATATTGGTAGAAATTTTGGTCGATAACACGATTATGACGAGATAAAACAAATATCGAAATCTAGTCAGTCCGTCGTACATCACAGGCTGGGTATTTGAAGATCCATCTACGCTTCATCATAGAACCTGTGAAATGTTACTGTCTTGAACTGATGTTGCGGTTTAGCGCATGTTGCGCATAACCGTTGTCGCGGCTTGAGCGGGAACGGACCAATACGATCCTTGCAGGGATCAAGAGGGGTGCAATGCAACGCTGTGGATGGGACGTGAAATCTGATCCAGGATCTGACTGGTCCTCCGAGATTGCAGGGGACCCGAAGCAAAAGCATATTTGGGCGGGATACAAGGATGTTTGAAATGGTCGAGATGAGAAGGCACATTGACCAAGAGGGATTGATTGTATGTGGATAATGGGGAGATCGTAAGGGTGATCGTCCTCTTCCCTGTGGGATATGTAACAAGGCGGTTGGGCCGTGTGGTGTGAATACGGAGTACAGCACAGCACAGCACAAATATACCTAGTCAGTTAGACTAGGTCAGAGACAAGACACTGTCGAACGTGACCGAGATACTCGTCATGGGACGGCATTCACAAGGTAGGGCGAAAATCATATTGAGTTCGTCATGAGCCGTAGCTGGACATGTCTTGACGCTTCTGACCGAGGCTGGCGGAAAATCGAGCTGAACCCTTGGTAGTTCTGTACAAAGGTTGACGCTGTGGAGACGCTGGGCAACGAAGGCTCAACAACGCTGCCAAATGACCGATCCATCGAAACGTTGTTGCGCGGCACTTCAAATCCTCGAATGGCCAGGGGTGTTCATGGGACGACAGATTGACCGCCGACAGAAATTACTGCATACGCATAGATACGCAGGGCAGGACCTGGAGTCCGAACTTTGGCAAGGTAAAGACGACAAACCGTTGCAGACAACGGATACGTGCACGTGTGGCTGAGGCTTGGGCAAAGATCTCAGCCTCTCTCGATCCATGGGGATCCTGTCGAGAACCTCCCAGCCAGTTCTATTTCCGGGAGGACAAATGAACCCTTTACAAACTTGCAGATTCCGCGGGAGAGCCCGGTAGAGATGTTTTGTCGTTCCTCTAGCGGTTACAGATAATCATCTGTGCTGCTGCTGTTGGGACTGGGGTTGGTTGTTTGCATTGATGATCATGGATGGACAGTGTTTAGTTGAAGATTTGATGTCGCGCGGGATGGGAAGAGGAAGCTGCACATCAGAGCGATTTGCCAACCACCATCAGGCTGTTCCTGCCGTGATCCTTCCAATCCAATATGTTTTACAAGCAGATGGACTCTGTGCACCTTCCCTTGCAGTTGCAATGAGCATCGAATCTTGAAGGGTAGGTACTTTAGTAGGTAGTTGCAACTACATACAACTGCAGCCCTGCAGTAGAGCACCTGACTTGGTACCCAGCAAACTGTGCTGTTTTAGCAGGTATTTCGGACAATTCTCACATGAAGCACCTAATCTACTGCACAGTACAGTATGGTACGGTTCAAACTAGGGCATATTTTCCGGGCGAGTGCAGTACTTCATCTCATGCGAAACTGGCAACGGGATACGTCGTTGGCGCGTTCCAGGGTCAGGGATTCGTATTGGCCCAGTAGGAACAAATCTCGACGTTTCATCCTTGGACCAGGCGTAAGTTTCTGCACGTCCACTATGAATTGACGCCGCTGCCGATGGGACTAGCACGGCTTCGACGATGACGACTTTGAAGCTTACCGAAACAACACATTTTCCAACAATCTAGACAGTGAATGAGCACAGCGCTTCTAGTCGGCCTCAGTGAGGCTCTAGTTAATCATCGTCCCCAGGTCCAAAGCTCAAGGCTTGACAACCGAGACTGGCAGTGGGAGTAGCCTTGTCATTGTGAGAAACCCCAAGGACTCCCAAGATTCTTTTGCCTGGTATGAGGTACTGTAATTACTGCTAATTTCAACCTTGGCATCTCAAACAAGTCGTCTGCCGATGTCATTTTCACCGACATGATTGACACCGGGACTCGTTATTTCTCCACATTGAACCAACCATGACGCCATTACAGTTGAGCTGCCTTCTATGGATACGAAAAGAATAATGGTTTTATTGGTTGCTGATTAACGAGGTGACAACAGAGATTGACGAGTTTGGCATCTGTGCTGGGAAATCATTTGAGCTATTACGGGAATGGATATGATAATTACGTGTCCTAGGAGCAACACCACCAGCAGATATTGCCGCCAATCGAGACATGCATACGGATATAATATCGAAAATTATGATTTAAAAAAGTACAAATTATGCAGAATTCAAAAACATGTTCTAAGTTTTATAAAAGATAATGTGAATTGTTCTACGGCGTTCAAAAGTATGCCAAAGTATCGGATATTTCCCCCAATTCCATCCTAAGCTTATCCCCGCTATGCTTACCTAGTATGCACTGCACTGTCCAGATCGTATCAGCTTATAAGACAGGGTTGCAACGGCCATGGAGAGGTTGTCGGCAATGGAATGCGACTGGCTGCTCAAAGTCCAGGGCTGCAGTCAATGTAACGTCTATGCCGCCTTGAGGGGATAATAACATCCAATATTAAGAAAAAAGAATCGCATATGGGCGCGGGAACAATGCTTAGTTTCCGATCCATATGGGGTTGTCAGTGGACCTGAATGATATTGCCACTTCAAGTACGGAGTACGGAGTACAGTTATCACTATCCTGGTTTGTGGTCTTGACAGGAAGAGAGATTGTCTATGACATGGGGAGTTGAGATACTCTAGAATATCTGCCGAATATGGCGTGTTTTCGAGATTCCACGTAATCGGCTCGACTGCCAAGACGAGAGTACGGAACTTGCAAGGTTACGTGAGTAAAGTACACGAACAAGGCTCTTGGAGGGGGCGTTGCAACGAGCTGTCAAATAATGTCCGCAGAACAAATCGTTACTAATTATCTCTAGGTTTTCTCCTTGCAGAGCTAGTTCGAGCAGGATGACGGAGTGAAAGTTTAACTTCCAATTAGGGAATGTTAACGAATATATACAAGGGCTGCAAAGTATATGTGGGATAAAGTTCTCGAAGGAAAAGAACGTTTGATATCCTGGTCAAGACACGAGTGGGACCACCAGAATATCCCACTTGCCGCTGTACTGTAGGGTACGTACATCATAGTCTGTCATTGGGATTACGAAGTGTATGAACTCTGAGACCTCGGTGTGGTTCTTAGATTGTAAGTTCCTTAACCTCTCTCATGAGTTTCTGCACCAATCAGGCTGGCTATATATGCATATGAACTGCAAGCCACGAAAGTCGGTATGTTGGCGTAATAGCCGGTTAACAACATGCGTGAGTGATTGATCATATCATGCGAGATCGCGAGTTTCCTCTCAGGTCTCTAACAGGTTTCAAACATCCAGGTGGTGCAATATTCGATTGACTTATTACGTGAGAACTGAGAGTGATAGACACAAACATCTAATGAACTAATGTCAGTATACGGATACAATGTTGTAAAATTACACAAAGTTTATTGTATTATTATTAGAGTTTAGGATGCCGTTCGATATATTGACTTTGGAAACATTACACGCCAATCAACGTCAAAAGAAATAAAGCAAATATCTTCTTCAGACTTGAGTTTAATTGCATGCGTCCTTCGAGGTAGTTTAGTAGCTATTTTGTTTTCACCACCTAGCCAGCAACGGAGAATTTGGTTTCTTACCCTAGTGTCTACAAGCTGCAAGGGTCTCGTCCGTATTTTGAGAGGGAGCCCCAGAGCCCCGTTCACTGGAGCCGGAGACGCCGCTCCTGAGTCCTAAAGTCCGGGGACCAGAAAGGGGCGTGTTTGTAGCAGACATGCGCGCATGCGCACTTCATGTGCCGTGCTGCTGTTTGAGTCGACTGTTGGAAAGTTGGGCTACCAATCGCGGATGCGAGATTCACATGAATACTCGGACAATCGGTGTCATGGAAGATCCTTGATGTTGAGCTGTTTCGAATATAATCAGAAACCTCGAAACAAATATATCTCCTCTTTCCCCGAGATCGGTATGTATGTTGGCATGGACATGCCAAACAAAAGGCCGATATGAACTGGCCATACCGAGTATATCCACTGGAAGCATGTACCCTGCCTCACATTTCCGATCACATGTGCAGTTCCATGTAAGAGTTCCGATGACGGCCTACCTAGGGATATGAAATTATATGGAGTAGAATGTTTAGCAATTAGAGGGTTCTGGATCTAATCTTAGGACGAGATTGTTATATAAGATTATATGAAACGAAAAGAGTTTATAATAATTTATATAATATATGTAGCAGATCATATATTCATGGTGTTGTTGTGCAGCTTGAGATTGATTCAGATTGATTGAAAGAGGCGAGACTTGCGAGACAGCCTTATTGGCAGATAGTCTAGACTCGAAAGCCGACCCTTTCGTTCTGTGAGGGCGGCAGTTCGAGGATGGGGGTATCCGGGAATAAACACCCACCCCCTCTAGACTTGTGGACTTGACAATGGAATCACTCGAGCGATCCTTGCTTACTGGAAGGTCAAAGATGAAACGCTCTAGGATGGGGTCGCAAGATTATGACAAGCTTGGACCTACTTGCGAAGCCTGACACCCAAGCATCTACACCCCTCTGATGTTGCTTTTTTCTGCCCCAGTTCGGCTTGTCTTGAAGCATCATTACATCAATCAATGAGGGTCCTCATTGACCATTTGATCCCGCCGCAGCATGCCTAGTAGATGTGGAAGACAGTGATATGGCCCGTCATTTCCAACCAAATTCAGTTGTTATTAAGATCGTGTGACCTACGGGATCGGGGACAATAGATGTAACTTAAAAGATTGCACATACAGAGTATAGGCAGCTGAAGTATATATGCTGGATGAAGCCAAGTCCATATTAACTGGCAGTCTATTTGCAGATACACCAGACATTGATCATCCATATTGTCCAGCTAGACCTCGCTAACATTATATACAATTGAGAGCTACACCCATGTCCCTCCAGACGTGCTGTCTCTCGCTAATTCGCCATACGCATCATCTCGCACTAACTGATCATTTATTTATGCTTTTATTTCTGGCAATGCTTGAGAGGTGAGCCTTGGCAGGTGAAAGCGTGGGAAAAAGTAAAGGTCAACAGGTATGGTCGTGGTGTCTCAGAGTCTCGATGATGCAGGTGAGCTCATCCCAGATTCGTCCCTCAACCAGCAGAGATACAGTTATCAAGGTTATACTTGCCATATGCTCTTACTCAACCGTTATATATAGTAGCTTAGAGGTGGACAAATGCTTCACGGCTTTCTTTTTCTCACGCAGAAAGAATCTCCTCCTATGGCGCCAACCAAGAGGTTGTGCAAGGGGTAAAACAGTGATTGTCACCAGAACAGAATCCAGTTCATACTATTGAGCTACATGCCAGTATTGAGGACAAAGTCCCGATAATTAGGTAGGTATAACTAGAAATTCAGAATAAACTCCACAAATCATAACAAGCCTAATAAGCTATCATGAAATTTTGACAAGATTTGCAGGAATTTCGTTGGAACCTTTGCAGGCCCACCCACTGCAGAAGGCACAGAGATCAACCGCCGTTTCAATCAGTAATGGGTAAAGAGCAACGTCAGGGCAAGGTGTATAAACAGAAAGTACCTATAGTATGAAACAAAACCCAACAGCATGAGAGGAGAAGCGAGAAGTAGAAAAAAAAACCGAGCGTAGAATATGGTTTCATCAGTCTGCAAAAGCTCGTGCGACTAGATGAGGTGACCAACTCGGCAACATGTGGTCTGTTGTTAGTTGCTAGTTGATTCGAGCTTTGATCTTTTAGCTTTGGTCCATGACCTGTAGAGCTAAAACAGGAGGTCCGAACGCCTTTCTCTGCATGAGATGGCCAACTGTTCAGATCGAGTATTGAGTATAGTATTCTCTTGATTAGCCAGGATAAACCATTGAACAAACACCAGCTGCTATTTCCAGTAGTTTGATTCGCAGAATAGAGTGGTCGGACCGAGAATAACTACTCAATGGCCTCGACTTAACACCAATTTGGCAATCAGCTCGTCAGAGTATGGCTTGCACATCCAAGAGTTCAGACTGCTGGTGATGGTCTTGGCTCCAGCATCATACAATCAGTGTGTCAAACGGTCAATCGCCTAGTTACGGACAAATGGTATGATCCTGTAGTTATTTCCGCTGTATCACATTCCGAGACTCGGCGATTTCTTTGCCTTTCAGAGTTTGGAAGGCATACCTAATGATGCCAGGACACTTCTGTCTGATCCATGGTCACATGAGGCTATGTGAACACGTTCAAGCGATCGATGTTTTACAGATGTGGGGAAACAATAAGCTACTGAAGATTCGAACTGGAAGAGTCAGACCTCCTTGTCCAAGATTTGCCATAAATTGTGTTAATTATTGATCTATGGGCAGTACCACCATATGGTAGTGGAAGTTTGACATATGTATTTTGTGTTAATCGTAGTTAACTTGAGCACTCAGGATGGATATATCCACGGGTGTTGCATTCCATCAATAAACAACTACTACCTGGCTCTATAACCACAGGAGACTATGCGTTATATCATTTCCTAATAGGCTAGTAGTCATAGAAACCCTTACCGCTCTTCTTGCCGTACCATCCAGCGCTGACCATGTTCTTCAGCAACACACTTGGTCTGTACTTAGAATCGGCTGTCTCCTCATATAGAACCTTCATAATGGAAAGACAAGTGTCGAGGCCAATAAAGTCAGCAAGCTGGAGAGGGCCCATGGGGACGTTAGTGCCATTCTTCATAATGGCATCAATCGAATCCCGGTCTCCAACGCCAGTCTCGAGGCAGATGACGGCCTCATTGATGTAAGGCATGAGAATACGGTTCGCAAGGAACCCAGGCGAGTCTGCGGACACTGACGTGACCTTGCCCATGCGCTTACAGAACTCCACGGCAGTATCGAGGGTGTCCTGACTTGTCTGTAGACCGCTGATGATCTCAACACCCTTTTGCACAGGGACGGGGTTCATGAAGTGTGTTGACACAACACGGGAAGAGGCCGATGTATCAGTGGGATCCTTAGTCGTTGCTGCAGCGATACGGGTGATAGAGATAGAAGAGGTGTTTGTGGCGAGGATAGCATGCTTGGGGCAGATCTCAGCAAGCTTGCTAAAGATATCAAACTTGAGATTAGGCAGCTCAGGAACAGCCTCAATGACCATATCTACAGAAGAAAGATCCTCCATTTTAGTGCTGGTGCTGAAGAGGGAGCGAGCCTTGTCGGCCTGCTCTTGTGTGATCCTTGACTTGGAGACATCCTTTGCTAGGAGCTTCTCGGCAAAGGCAATGCCCTTGTCCAAAGCCTTATCTGAAGTGTCAATCAGGGTAACAGGAACCTGAGCCCTTTGAGCTACAACAAGAGCAATTCCCAATCCCTATGGCTAAAGTGTTAGTTATATAAACAAGACCACTGTCTTTCACATGCAACTCACCATTTGACCAGCACCAATAACACCAAGCTTCTTGACTTCGGCAGCAGCATATTGACGAGGGGAGGAGCTGAAGCAGCGCACTTGACGGGCAGCTGCCACGGAGGGCAATCGAAGAATAGAAGAAGCCATTTTAGGTGAGAATATTTGAAGACTGAGAATTGTCAAGTTATCGGTTCTCTTTTGTTCAGTTCCCCGTGGGGACGTCGGTAGCTTCACCGGTGCCACGGCTCACGGGCATGAAAATGCGGGTAACCTCGGCTCGGAGCCGACGGCCAGTCTTATTAATTGCCGAGAGAAGCGAGCTTCTTATCTTATCTTATCAGCATCAATCGACCTACGCGTTAATTAGATATGCCCTGTAGAACGCGTCCGAGCGCGTATCATAGACTGGTGTTTTCTCCTGTTGTCGAGGCAGCACAACCCCACGGCATGTGAAGAAAGACAACTTCTTGTCTATTAGTATTCGTCAATACGCAATCATGGAGTTGGCAGACGGATCGACAGATATCGTGCATCCAGAGGTGCGCGCGCACATCAACAGTCTTGTCTCTGCTGTAAGTTATGCTTTCCCCTAAAACCTAACGTCGAGAAGAAAGTCAATATCCTTACACTCAATCACAGCTAGGAGGTGCCAGTGCCGACGACGATGGCCGTTATCAACTCGGAGACGACGCCCTCGAGGTTCTTCGCGATATAAAACGATGGCTGCGATTCTACGACGAAAAGACAAACCGCATGGACGTTGCGCGATGCATCCACGAGGCGAACTTAATCGAGGGTGACTTGCTCCCCATTCTTGCGACATGGCCCGAGAACGCTCTCGACAGCCAGTTCAAGGCCAGGATAGCACTGGCTTGTTACGAACTGATGGCGTCTCTCACTTGGCCAATGGAGAAAGACAGAGAGCGCATGACGATCAATCACCATCGTCACATGCCTGTCCTAGAGCTTGCTCAAGTTGGATATAAGCGAGCCATCATCAATTTCGACGGCGCTCAAGTGCTTCACACAGCTGTGCGAGTGGCACTTCCAGCTATGGCTGTTCCAATCGGCGATCGATCACAGCGCGAGCAGGGCATCATCAAGCTCATGTTGTTCTTCCTCCGCAACGTAGCAATGATCGAGCCACCACCCGACGTCAAATACGAAGGCGACGAGTCCCAAATATCGCGATCCGCCACCATCGACGCATTTTCGTACCAGGACATCTTTCTCGTACTGTTGACTCTCGCTTCCAACATGGGCGACGATTTCCGAACCGAAGACACATCTGTCATGGAGGTTATTTACCATCTGGTGAAACAGGTCGACATAGAGAAGCTCTTCATGAACGAGCAGCAACTTAGCAAGGCAAAGGCCGGAGAGCTCGCCAGCATGATGAATAAGGAGTCGTCCATGCTGAAGGCATATAATCGCAAGGGGCCAACCCGCCATAACCGATTCGGGACTATGATCTGGGTTAAGCGAGACGATGGCAAAATGTCATCGCTCTCTGGACAGGATGCACTGGCTGATGCCTCGGCGAGAAACCAGAAGCTCGACAGCTCCAAAACTTTCCGGCCTCCTCGCCGAGCACGAAAAGGAGACAAGAACGAGAAAGATCTTGGACTACCAGCTAAGCTCAACTCTCGCGCTTACGACCAGCTGCGATCATTTGTGGAGGATTTCCTCGACTCCGGTTTCAATCCTCTCTTCCAACATGTTCGCAAGACAATTGACAGAGAAGCGACATATGTTATGCAGTATCATCGTCGACAATTCTTCTACCTGGTAGCGTGGTTTCTAGAAGCAGAGCGTATGAGACGTAAAGCAAGAAAACAAGCAGGCAAGAATACTAGCGAAGATGTCACCAGCTTCAACCTTGTTGCTGGTGTTCTGAACCAGGAGATGTTTATTACTCTCAATAAGGCCCTTCACGAGTCTCTTGAAATGAAAGACTGGGCAGAGTTGACTGCGGTCATGCGGTGCTTCACCCAGATTCTCCTTACGGTTCAGGAAATGTCAGAGTCTGGTAATGAGGAAGACGAAGAGATCGCCGAGAACGTCCTCAGCCGTCTGTTTTACGAAGAGGCCACCCACGATGCAATTGCAAATATCATCAGAAGCTACAAAGACCAAAACTTCAACTATCTTGATGCCGCCACAGAGCTCGTCCATCACTTTTTGCGTATCCTAGAAGGATACTCTAAGCAGAACATCGACATGCAGGTTCGTTCGCGGAAGCGCACTCGACGGAAGAAGAAGGCAACACAAGACGCAGCAGGAGTTGGCAACGACAGCGATAATGATGAGAACGACGGTTCAGATAATGATGCCCAATCCGCTGAGCGAACCACAAAGGAACGTAAATTCGACTTCCATCGCTTCGCCACACGGTTCACACCCCAGTCGGTGGTCGACACATTTTTCGCCTTTACCAAATATTATCGCGATCTGACTGATTCGCAATTGAAGCGAGCGCATCGGTACTTCTACCGTGTAGCTTTCAAAGCAGAGGCGAGTGTCATGCTGTTTCGTGTCGACATCATTCACCTCTTCTATAACATGACCAAAGGACCGGCTGCGCTAGACAAGTCGTCCAACATGTACAAGGAATGGGAAGAGCTTGTGAAGCAGATTCTAAGAAAATGCTTTAAAAAACTTGAGCAGCGCCCAGAACTCCTCGTAGAAATGCTGTTCAGTAAGGGATCAAGTGCTGCCTTCTTTCTCGAGTACGGCTTTGAACGGCAGACAGTCACTACAGCCAGCAAGTCAAAGCCTGCAACTGAGCTTGTGTTCAAGAACACCGAAGAATTGGATCGACAGATTGCTATCGTGGTGGGAGCGATGCTAGACAAGAACCAGGCAGACCACATTGCTTGGATCAAGAAGATTCTTGGTGAGGCCGAGAGCGAGCGTCGAGCCTTTGCGGTGGCTGAGGAGGCGATGGCCTCTGTTGAACCGGCGCAAGAAGACTTGGAGGAACAGCCAACAGAGTCGGGGCCCAAACCGCCCCCTATCTTCTGTAAGTCTACCATAAGATCTAGGAATCTTTTATTTGCTAATGTTATTCAGTCGTTCGTCCGGATGATAATGCCCGCCGGACTGCTATGTTCAAGAACTCTCATATGCGACTCCTCATGAATCTTGCTGGTCTTAACCTTCTGGGTCCGGCTTCAGAAGAAACACCCGAGTCTGCTTGGATCATACCTGCCGATGTCACAGCAGATTCTCTCAAGGATGCTATCCATTACATCAATCAAGCCGAGTTTAGCCCCCCAACCTTTGATGAGGGTGTTCTCGCAGAGCATCAGCTAAAGCGCAAGGTTGCTCCGCGGAAAAGAGCCGCCTTCGATGACGATGAAGAGGGCGAGAACGATGATGCGATGTTCGAAGCGCTTGGCCCTACGGTGCGCAAGGCTATTGATGATGACAGACCCAAAAAGTTGCCTAAGAAAAGGAAACCCCGCAAGGAGCTCACCGAAGAGGAGAGGGAGCAGAAACGCATAGAGAGGCGTGAACGCGAGTACAAAAAAGAAAAGATATACAAGTCACAGGCGCGGGTTAGGAGAGAAGACGATGAGACGGACGAGGAGTATGATGCGATCTTCTACGCTCGAGAGCTTGCATCCAAAGAGCAAAACGATCAAATTTACATGGCTGCCACTAGGCCGGGTCTTGTCTCTGTAGCGAAGAAGTCTACAAAAAAGCCCGCTAAGAAGAATGCAAAGACAGCTACAGAGAGCGAGTCAAGTGAGGAGGATGAGGATGAGGATGAGAGCGAGGAAGAAGAGGAGGTGGGGGAAGAGGAAGAGGAAGAAGAAGCTGATTCAGACAACGATGGCATGGCGTTTATACGCAATGCAATGAATAACACTCTTGAAGAAGAGGAGGAGACAGAAGAAGCACAGCCGGATGGCAGTGATGGAGAGAGCCGTAAAAGGAGACGTATCAGCGTGGAAAAGACACAGCCTGGCAAAGATGAAGAAATGAGTGGCATAGACAAAGAAGGAGAAGACGACGAGGATGATATGCCTGTTGCTGCTGCTGCTCGAAGACCCCGGGTACGTGGTGGCTTTGTTATCAGCGAAGATGAAGATGAGGATGAGTAGGGGATATCATATAGGAGGATAATGGCGTTGAAGGCGGCTCATGTTGTATTTAAAGCATATGCTGTAAATTTAGATTTAATGAACGATACCACTAAGCTGCTTACAAGAGCTCAATTAATACAGGCGAAAAGGTCTTATTGGAACAGCCTTGAAACTACACAAAACTATTAAATCTATGACGGGTTTTTAGAGTAGTTCCATTGATTTTGAACATAACACAGGCCAGTATCACAGAATAATTATACATGATTCGTAACCCGGCTGATAGGAACTATGTGGGCAAATAGAAAGAAGACACGACGAGAGGGATGAACCAGGTATATCTTGTATTGTACTGTAATATTCGGATATTGTTGACGGTCAGTAGTCTAGATGTCGGACTTACAGTGAGTGGGTAGGCAAAAGTTCCAACAACTTCCTCTTTTCTAAATTTATATAAGATAATATAAAGTACTACAAACTCTCTTATTCTACATAAAATCTTATATAATTCTATCCTAAGATTACTTAAAAATATTCTAGATATTATTTATTTTATATATCTTTATATATATTCTTATCTTATAGTTTCCTCGTTGTTGGAGCTTTTGCACGGGACAAGGACCTGATTGGTCGAGAAAGTTCCTCGAGTCGAACAGATTTGGAAAGTTTAGGAGGCTCTGCTCCTGGCTGAGGGTGCATTGATGCAGGGAACGGAACGGACAACGATAGGTATAAGCTTTATGAGACAACCATTACCTACTCTCTTCTGACAGGATTGAATTATTAAGAGATGTTATTGGTAGAGGCAGGGCCAGGGCCAGGGTCCTGTGGCTGTTTGACAGGTAAGTACCACCATTATGACGAATTTAGAGTATTATATTTTATTTTAGTTACCGATCCTCCGTAGTTGATTAGATGTACAAATATGTGATGTCCTATTCTTTAATAAACTCATACAAAGTCATCTAATATTTGTTCAAGCACTCTGTCAGTCCCCCACAGTTGAATACCGCTTCCCCGGATATAACCGATCTATAGTCTGACATGCACATCATTCAGTAGCTGAGTTCTTATTGGACACTAAAGTATCGGGATTGCATCACGGAGCACAGATAAAGGCCGTTCTTTCTTACTGCGTACGGATACATCAACTAGAAGTAATTGACTGAGAGGCAGGGGCGTCGGGTGCAAGCAACCTTCCGTGTTAGCGTCCGGTTGTGAAATTCATGACCTTGCCTGCCTTGGCAGTAATAGAACAACTGTCTTCCACCGTTGCTTCCTTTTCCGTTTCTAAAACGAGTCCCCATTGATATCTCTCGTCCAATCATGGGATTGACACTCAATTGACGTCTATTGCTTGTTGAGCCTTGGGTAAGCAGGTACGACAGGGATGTTGAGCGACCTGCTACCTGAGTGGAGTACTTGCCATCATCCGCGTCCAGTGATCGGTCCACTGACTTCTCTTTCTCCGGAGAACGTCAGGCTAATCATAATCAAGTGAGGATCTTTGCGGCGGTGACATGCTCTTCTTCTTCCTCTTTCCCTTTTCCTTCTCTGTTACATATATATCTATATACATAAACTTTTACCCTTCCACACTCTTTCTACTGGGCGACTTGATTTAGACTCTGGGCAGATTTATCCGGTCTAACGTTAGAAAACTGTTTAATCAACAGCTACTCTGTCCGACCAATACTAATCCGCTTGCTTATCTTCTTCTTAATTTTTATTGTTGATTGAAGAATATATCATGGCTTCGACATCAGAAGGGCACAACATATCTTGCAGCAATATGGCCTCATCTTGTCCAAAAAGAGAGCCTTGGTGGAAGATTCACCTTTTCCGAGGCATGATCAATGATATCCGTCGACGACTGCCATACTATATAAGCGACTGGACTGATGCATGGGACTATCGTGTTGTACCCGCTACTATTTACATGTACTTTGCCAAGTGAGTTCATCTCCCCTTCTTTCAATGTCTTGTTCACCCTCATATCAAAGACATGATCATGACGCGGGACATGTATGACAAGATTACTGACTCGTCTTCCTTATGAAGCATTCTCCCTGCGCTGGCCTTCTCCCTCGACATGTTCCAAAAGACAGGATCAAACTATGGCGTTAATGAGGTATTGCTTTCCTCTGTACTGGGAGCTGTTGTCTTCTCGCTTTTTGCGGCCCAGCCGCTTGTCATTGTGGGTGTGACGGGTAATTTGACCTTTTCTCAATTGCGAAGACATGCATTTATCTAACTACTCAAACACAGGCCCTATCACCGTCTTTAATTAGTAAGACTCATGTTTACCTAAACAGTCCGCTCATGTTGAAAATGGCTAACTAACTGGTTTGAAGCACTGTTTACGATATCATGAAACCGACAGGAGTCAATTATGTCGGCTTTATGTGCTGGATCGGCATGTAAGTTAAGCCAGTCTTCCTGATGCACCATGCAAAGAGTCCTCTATCTTCTTACAACAAATCTGACTGACTGTACTTAGATGGTCGCTCATTCTTCACTGGATCCTCGCCATAACAAACTCCTGCAACTGGCTCCGATGGGTGACTCGCTTCCCCTGCGACATCTTCGGCTTCTACGTCGCCTTCATCTATCTTCAAAAAGGCATCCAAGTCCTCGAACATCTTGGCAGAGGACAAGAGTTCTACCTCTCCATAGTTGCTGCTCTTCTTGTCTTCATGGTTGCATACGTCTGTGGCGAGATTGGCGCTAGCAGTCTCTTCCGTCACCCCTTGAGAGTGTTCCTCAAGGACTATGGTACACCTTTGACCATCATCTTCTTCACCGGTTTCGTGCACTTTGGTCGCATGAGAGAGGTTGACCTCGAAGTTCTACCTACTGGCATCGCCTTTGAACCAACCAGTGGACGAGATTGGCTCGTCAACTTTTGGGACCTGAGCGTGGGCGACATTTTTCTTGCGTTGCCTTTTGCAGTTCTCTTAACTATCCTTTTCTGGTTTGACCACAATGGTATGTTCTATGCAGCACGCATGTTGCTTTGAGAGCCCTTACTGACCGCAACAGTTTCTTCACTAATCGCTCAAGGTAGCGAATACCCTCTTCGCAAGCCTGCTGGTTTCCACTGGGATATCTTTCTTCTTGGCTTAACAACTGGCGTTGCTGGCATTCTCGGTCTGCCATTCCCCAATGGCCTCATCCCTCAAGCCCCTTTTCACACTGAGTCTTTATGCGTCACCAAAGCTGTCAAGGTAGACGATGAGGATGGCAACTCAAGAGACGCCGGTTACTCTTTCGAGGCCACGCATGTGGTGGAGCAGCGCGTCTCCAATATTGCCCAGGGCCTTCTCACACTCGGCACCATGACGGGACCCCTTCTAGTAGTCCTACATCTTATTCCCCATGGAGTTCTCGCTGGCCTATTCTTCATCATGGGCGTCCAAGCTCTCGAGGGTAATGGTATCACCGCCAAACTCATTTTTCTCGCCCGAGATCGTGCTCTTACGCCTTCGAGCAGCCCACTGTTACAGATCCGCCGGCGCTCAGCGATATGGTACTTCGTTCTTATCGAACTTATTGGTTTCGGTGCCACTTTTGCCATTACTCAGACTGTCGCTGCCGTAGGCTTCCCTGTTATAATCTTTGCCCTCATCCCTGTTCGTGCGCTGCTCCTTCCCTATATATTTTCTCCTGAAGAACTTTCTATCCTCGATGAGCCTACTGCCTCCGAGTTCACGATGGAAGGTATCGGCGGCTCATGGGGTGGTAAAGTTAGCGAGAAGCCTGCGTCGCAGCAAAGCGAACCCCAACAAGCACTAGAGCATCATGGCAGTGTGCTTGCACAGCCTGGGGCTCCTAGGAAGAGTCAAGAGGAACTTGCCGAACTGGGCCAGGTTCAGTCTGGGCGGAGTACGGCGACAAGGAGGACAAGTTTGGAACGACGACCTCACAGGCAATTAGATGTATAGAGATAAGTTGCAATTTTGTATAGAGTGATAAAAGTGAGCGGTATGATATGTTTGGAGGATATACCATTGATTTACAATAGCCAGATGGAATGGGATCATACTGTTATTTTATCTTATTTTATTCAAGTTATGTCATCCTCAAAACAGATGTAGGTAAAACATCAAGCCTTGTTCCTTCTCATTGACTATACAAAGCAGAATAGGCATCCGGACATGCATCACATTCAAAGTGAAAATCACATCTTCTCTTGTAGTTTAGTCGTCAATAGTATTTTATACAGTTCTATCACCTAAAATACAGTGTTACACAGATGGGCTTAACCTCTTTCCTCCAAGCCTCCCAATATGATAATAAGGATAATGTTAATGTTGTGCCGTGGTGTGATGTGATATGACGTGAGCGTCTTGCTGAAAATGCATGGAAACATCCGAAGGAATTGATCAAGTGTCTGATAGAGTTGAGTGCCGCTTTTCTCCGCGCCTTGCTGTGACCGCACCGAGCCTGTTATACCCCCCAAAAGGATTATCGTACTACTGTTGTCACCCAAAATCCACGGCCCTTGCTCTACCCCAGGGTCTCTGGACTCCTCCTCCTGCCTAGCTTCTGCGGCGACGAGCATGACCAGTAGGCACTGGTCGTGCCCCGCACATATCTTCAACAATCATGTACTCGGGTGACTCATCTCTTGGACTTTACTCGAGCTTCTTGAAAGCTGGGGCCGGGGTAGGTGGCTCCTTGGGTGCGTCCTCCTCTCCAGGGAATGGAGGGGGTGTGCTCTCCTCCTTGGCACCACCAAAGTACTTCTCAAAGTCCTCATGGTTGTTACTGAATGGTCGCTTGCCCAGGATGCGGACCATGTCGTCTCGTACAAGAACCTCTTTCTTGAGTAGTTCCTCCGCAATCAAGCCAACCTCTGCCTTCTTCTCTGTTAGAAGATCGCGGCAGCGCTTGTAAGCCGCCTCCACAATGCGAGACACCTCCTGGTCGATCGCCTGGGCAGTGGATTCGGCGAAAGGCTTCTGGGGACGGTTGGGATCGTTCTCGAAGTGCACGGGGCCTACCTTCTCGGACATACCCCATTGTGTCACCATGTTTCGTGCCATCTGGGAAACCTTCTTGAAGTCGTCACTTGCACCTGTGGTCACGGAAGGGAAGTGAAGCTCCTCAGACACACGGCCACCCATCGTCATGGCCATTCGGTCCATGAGCTGGTTAGTGTTCATCAAGTACGCGTCCTGGGGCAGGTATTGGGCATAACCCAAGGCACCCTGGCCACGGGGGATGATGGAGACCTTGAGTAGAGGATCAGCGTGCTCTAGGAACCATCCACAGATGGCGTGACCAGCCTCATGGTAGGCAACGGTTTTCTTCTCTTCAGGCTTGAGCACCAGGGACTTGCGCTCTAGACCTCCAACCACTCGCTCGATGGCCCGCTCAAAGTGGTCCATCTTGACATCGTCAGCGTTGCCTCGGGCAGCTGGTATGTGTTAGTAAACTTCCACACGAAATTCTGTCCAAGTGATAAGTGAAACATACCAATAAGAGCAGCCTCGTTGACAACGTTGGCGATATCGGCACCAGAAAAGCCTGGGGTCAGAGTTGCGAGACGACCAACCAGATATTCGATATCCTCATTTGTCACAATCTTGTTCAAGTACACCTTGAAGATATCCTGGCGGCCCTTCATTGTGGGTCGGTCGATAAAGATATGTCGATCAAATCGTCCAGGTCGCATTAAGGCCTTGTCGAGCATATCCGCTCGGTTAGTACCAGCGAGAACGACAACCTGTTCGCGGGTATTGAAACCATCCATTTCAGTGAGAATCTGGTTCAGGGTCGCCTCCCGCTCGTCGTTACCACCGAAGCCTCGGCCACTCTCCTGTCGGGCACGTCCAATTGCGTCAATCTCGTCGATGAAGATGATACAGGGAGCATTCTTGCGGCCTTCGGCAAACAGATCTCGCACACGAGAAGGACCGACACCCACGAACATCTCAACGAATTCGGAACCGCTCACACTGAAGAAGGGTACTCCAGACTCGCCAGCCGTGGCCTTGGCAAGCAACGTCTTACCAGTACCAGGAGGGCCAGCCAGGATAGCACCTCGAGGGATCTTGGCGCCCAGCTTCTCGAACTTCTCAGGCTGCTTCAGGAAGCTAACAAACTCCATGATCTCAGTCTTGGCCTCCTCAAGACCAGCAACATCTGAGAACTTGACCTTCACAGCGCTCTCGGCGTTAAACTTCTTGGCCTTGCTCTTGCCGAAGTTAAACATGCCTCCTCCAGCACCACCTCGTCCACCCATTGATCGTTGGGTCCACAGAATCAGACCGATGAACAGTAGAGTTGGACCAAATGCCAAGAGAAGGTTGCCGAAGGTGCTGCCACCAGCCTCGTAGCTGACGGGTATTCTCTCAGAGGGTGGGATACCCAGCTGATCTTGCGCCTCCTCCAGCTTTCGCTCGAAGGACTCAACAGATCCAATAGAGAAAACGTAGGTCTTTCTGGCGGGCTGTCCACCCTCACCAGTAGTTTGGGTAGCAGACGGGTGAAGCTCGACACGGACTTGGGAGCCATTGATGACAACCAACTTCTGGACCAGTCCCTTGTCCAGGAAGGCCTTTCGCATCTCCTGCCATGTAATCTCCTTCTCAGAGAAGGGGTTGGCAAAGAGCTCTGCGATCCAAACAGTCACACCAATAGCAATACCGGTTTGAACAGCCTCGAGCCAGCCGCTGCGCTCATTCTTGGGTGGTTTGCCACCCTTCTGCTGCTGTTGCTTCGACTTGTCGGCACCGCTCTTACCATCCTGAGTCTTGGACTCCTGGTCCATACGGAAAGATGAGAAAGCACCATCTGGGTTATCCTGCTGATCCTCCAACTCAATAATTCGCTCTGTAACCATGTATACACAACGCATCAGTCTTCCCTTGTCCAAAATCGAGAGGTTGCCATTCTGGCGCTGCTTCTGGAGTAGATCTCGAGTCTCGGCAGGTGCGCCAACAATCTGCAGCTTTTGCAGGATATCCTTCGCTACCGGCCTTTGGGCCTCTGGGAGTTTACTTGTGAATTCCTCGAGATGGGCGATTTCGTCCTTGTTCAAGTGGATCCAGCCCTCGGGCAGAGGTGGCGGCTTCGGTGCTTCGGATTTGCCTCCCTCGGGTACATCCTTTGCGTTATGTTGATTTGAGGGTTTGCTTCCATGTTCGTTGTCTTTATCGGGGGTCGCTCGGGGGTCCTTGCCCGGAGGTGGGGGTTGCGAGGAATAAGTCCTTGCTCGAATAGCGAATGCGGCAGAGGTCTTTGCGGGGATTGATCGAGCGATGATTGACGGTCGTGCACATAATCGTAATGCAGGCTGTGACGACAGCCTTGTCGCTCGCGCGAGCTGGCTGGATTGTCTTATAAATCTCGACATGGCGGGCAATGCAGGCTGGCGCAAGTGCGGAATGACCGGGGTTATGGGTTGATATAGTGGTTTGAAGCGCCGTGCTATCTCATAAGGCAGCACGGCTCAAGCCAAATAGGCTGTCGACTGCTTTCTCGAACCGAAGTGCACTCGTATATGGCGAGAACTCAGAGTTCAGACGCCAATGGATGAATTTGAATAATTTGGATGACACCACCAAGTGGAAGCTCTGATGATGAGTCTACTCGAAAAAAGGTCGATCACGTGTTAGGATTGTCGTCGGGGTTCCACTGCGGAAGGTAAGAGGATTGGCCAACTTGAGCGAAATCGCCTCAGGGTAGGATAGTCAGGCACGTCACTAATTGATGCCTACAGGTGTGGTATAATGTATGCTCAATATATGAATGCAAGTATCATAGAATTTGGAATCGAAAACCTCGTTGACTAATGTCAGGAAAAGTACCTAGCCTTTTCCTTTTTCACTGTGCCCCATCGATGTTGCGAATTAGAATAGACCGTATGAGACCATCACCCTTCACTGGAACTCGCCACTCACTCTCTGACCCTTCAGTGTTCACCATGTTCAACATGATCTCTTTGTCTTCAGTTCCCTCCACATCAGGCCAGTCACGCCAGATCTTAACTCTTGAATTTGAAGCAATTGGGTGAGAAAAGTACAGCTGCAACACACGACGGGCCTGGTTCTCGTCGCCAATTTCGAAAAGTATCACCTTCGGCTTTAAGAGCTCCGAAATGTCCAGAAGCCGAGCATAAAAGACATCCGCTGGATTGCATCCACTCGGACAAGGGAGATCGTTGTTAGGTACCAGCGCAAGACGAGGCTCGTATTTTCGAACTGAGTATCCCAGCTGTCCGCGGCCGTGATGCCAGACATCCTCTGAGATGTACGGTGGGTTAGAGACGAGAATGTCCCAGGGAGTGACTGCGAGTTGCTGCATGTCGCTATCACTAAACACATTGGCCCTTGTGATGTCAAGCCGCTTGTGTTTAGTCGGCTTGATCAGGGTCTGGAGGTTGACATTCCGCGAAATATTCTCCTGCGCAAGTCGAAGGGCAACCGGTGAAATATCCACCCCTCTCACAGTCAGGTTTTCAACTGAGCGCTGGAGGGATGAGAAAAAACCAAGAGGAATACAGCCAGTTCCTGTGCAGAAGTCGATTAAGTTCACTCCATGGCCACTCTTTCTTACGTGTTGACCCAGCAATTCGCCTGATCTGACAAGGTTTGCCAGGTGGAAAGTGTATGCTTCAGTTTCCGATCTAGGTATCAGAACACCAGGTTTACACTTGATATCAAGAGATCCAAATGGTTGAGAGCCGATGATATACTGAAGAGGTTCACCGCGTCCTCTCTTTCGACATAGGTTGTTCAAGTGCCATGTTTTGCGACGGGACCACGTTTCTTCGACATGACTCTTCAACCACCGTAGCTCATTCTGGGCCGACGCCAGGTCTCGGCAAGCTGGGAGCAGGCTTGCAAGGTGAGGCGAAAGGCGATTAGCTTGCCGTAGCAAAGACGGCTGAATGCGTGGCATCGCAATATCAACTCATTGCTGAGCCTGCAGCAACAAGGTTTAACACATGTGTCGAAGAAGAGGAAATAAAAGAAGCATAAACCTAACTGATGCACTGTTGAGTTTGATCAATGAGCTGACACTCCGTGTTGTACGCCTGTGAATGGACACGCAAATTTATTAGCCGACCATTAGCCATTGTCGCGCCTAGAAGCTTGAGCCTCTGAAGGTTACCACTCTGCATAACCTTTGTTCTTAACTTACTGCTCTGATCTGCATCATCGCTCATTTTTGGATATATTTAGAGAATTATCTTCTTGAACTTCTGTGCTTAGCTCAGTTCCCTCTAACTGAGTGACTCTCCCGATACGATTCGTAGCCCGTCCACGATTTTGGACTTTTGCTGCGATCGCCACTTTACCGCCAAACGCCAAATCGTCTAACACGGTGATCAAGAACCGAAAATGAACGCGCCTGATCGGTGAGACTACCCTTCTTTCCCAGTCTTTGTTATTACTTTATATGCTATTCTTCCTGGTGCTGCGGCCTCTCAAAAGCGGTAACAAATATGTGGGACTCTTGAGTCTTCATGTATTACCCCTGGTTTCGTTATATTGCAAATATTGCAATCGTTACTATGCAAAGCCCAGTTGTGACCAACGAGGCATCAATTTAGTGATTTGATCATCTTTAAAGCTGAGAATAGCTATGGATGGGAAGACTGTCACTGTCTGGCAAGTTGTCAGTCATTATAAGTCGATGTCTCAAATGCTCGTTGAACTCGACATGAAGCACTTCTTTCCCAGGGCAAGTTAGTCAGTCGACTTTACTATTAAGTGCATGCTGCAACATCCTTATGACTTTATGTCATTCATCAAACACTTCAAAACGACCAGTACGCATTATAATGCTATCTTTGGCCCATCGCACTTGCTATTGAATAGCTTGTTTGTGCTGTGCCAGTGGCACGCACTTCCCGTCCTAATCGGAGGATATCACCCATAACCCCATTCTCACTTCAATGCATCTCTCAAGCTCAAGCGCATCAAATCTCTCCCAATAACCACACATTTGTTGCATCTCCTTGTTACTCTTGTTGAGACTTCTATTATGGCTGGCGGTAATCCCAAGCATTTCAATCTTCAAGATGACCCGTTACGTTGCTCGAGTTGCTTCACAAATAGATAGGCTAACAAAATCGATAGTTTCGAGCTCTTCCTCCTCGGAGAGGGCGAGAAGAAGATTGAGGAGAAGGTGTTCTCAGGTTAGTCTTCTACGATACATCTCATGCATCTACAAACTCACACTATTTTATAGGAATGTCCAATACCTCGGACTTTGTTCTAATGAAGGAAGATCACACCCTGGGTAACCTTCTCGCGGAGCACCTTAAGGCGCATCCAAATGTCTATATGGCTGGATACAAGAGCAAGTGACACATTGCTTTCAGTCAAATATTTACTAACCGCTTTCGTAGTTGCTCACCCTAATGTTCCGGAGTTATTCATACGGGTACAGACAGATGGGACCATCACGCCCCGCGATGTCTTCACTTCTGTATGCGAGAAACTCATCAACCAACTCGAGATGCTGCATCAAGAGTTCACACGCGAGTGGGAGTTGAGACGTATCACCAACACTGGCGAGCAGGGCAATATGCAGAACGGCCACTAAGTTCAGCCTTTCATCATCACGATCATCTTGAGGGTCATTTAAAACGGATAGGCATCATGGACGGTTGGCGTTTAGGGGAATGCAGATTACTGCTTTTTAAGCCAGATAAAAGTGGAATGAGCTCAATATTAGGACTCTCTTCTGAGGCGCACTTTGCGGTCCCAGTTTCCTCATGATGTGCATGCTACGACACCCTATATCTGTATTGGCGGCGCGAGACTTGTATAGCCCGAACACGGGTATTTGTGCTCGTGGCGAGTCTTCGCGGAGTGAGCTTTTGCGATATTTTTTGACCGTTCCTGGCCAACTTCAAGCAGCACCCTCTGGCCCCTCACCACCGGGAATCAACTGCATGGCAATGATTAGAATGAGGGCTGAAAACGACTTGTGATTGACGTACCATGCAAATGTTGTTGCCGTTCAGCAAAATCTTGGGCAGCTTGGTGTGGTTACCCGAGTAGTCACTAATCAATTAGCTGATGCTCAAAATATCACAAGTAAAGGTTTGCTCGTACAACTCAGTCACATCTTCCAAAACCATGTCTACCGTTGCGATTAGTATGTTGAGATGGAATTCGAGAGTGAATTACTCACTGACGTAGTCGTCGAAGCCGACGAGAGTTCCACTGAATTCTGCCAACTCATCAGCAAAGCTGCCGGTGAGAATAATTAACACTCGTCTTACCCTTGTCGCCCTTCATGATGACCCAGATCCTGGAGCCAACACACTTATCAATAAGCTCTGTTAAAAAATGTTATTATGTTGTCACAAGATATGCCGGTAGGCGCTGGCTTGAGATACTCACCGAGGGGTAGTAGTTGAGAAGCCATTGTGAGGATTTATGTGACGTCGATTTGACGGTGTGAGAAGGACGTAATCTGAGGTGGCCGTTGACAAAGACAATTGCTATGAAAGCACGGATATATCTCAATATCAGTGACCAAAAGTCAAGTTCGTCTCTTAGGGTTGAGCTGGGGGTCGTCAAAGTCGTCGCAAAGTGGGATGGATTAACTGCAGTATGGAGGTGTGAATATAGAGCTTAGGTACGTCCCCACGACCACACGTGCTCACGCGATCAGCATCCTAATGACTAAGCCGACTTTGGAACTTTGGACCCAAAGCCACTCGCTCCTCCACCAAGCCACCCGCTAAAAGCCGCGCTCAATACGGGATAATCAATGATCGCTTTATTGACGCGGTTGCCTAACAAATTCCGCATAGCGTGAGTGTATCAGTGTCATGGGCCTTTGCCACAATGGCTCTTGGACGCTGGCTACATTTCAATTACTTCATCGAATGAGACTGTCTTTACAGGGGTCCATTGCTGGCAGTGTATCATCCTTGACCAGAACGCGTCGCTTTCACCACATTAGGTAGGTTAAGATGTCCATATTTTCTGTTATCTAAGAACTATTCTGACATTTGGGCCTCGTCAAGAACAAAGTTTGGCTCAAAAATGTCACCAACTATCAAGAACCGTCTATGGAATCCAGCATTTGGTATCCGGTTTCCCCCTAAAGCCGATCAACAGCCTCCTTATCCTTTCTTGGACATTACTCGCTTTGTTCACACGCCTGCATCAAGCTCGGAGGCTGCGCCAAATCCTGATGTCGAAGTTGATGAATTTGGCGCAGGTGATGGCTTTGAGCGTGATGCAGCGGAATGGTTTGATCAGCAGGATCAGTTGGCAACGTCAGTCACCGAAACCATTTCTGAAGGAACCCAAGTTGCCTTGGGCACAGATGGGAATCTCATTGATGCCTCGAAGCAAGAGTCAACACCAATAGAAACTGTTGGACCGCCCCTGACTTCTCTGGACTATACCGTCGATACTGAGCTCTGGGCAGCAGCTCGGAAGAGGAAAGCAGGCTCCCACGACTCTTTCTGGTCTTATAAAATGTACCGTCGAATTCTAGACAACGGCGAGCAACAGAATGTTAAGGTCCACTACTGCACCTCCAAACACACAATGGAGCATGTTTGCCAAACATACTTTGCAGATGAGAAAGTTATCGGCTTCGACTTGGAATGGCTAATTGGACAGAGGGCTACCGCCAACCCCCGGAGAAATGTCTCGCTCATTCAGATTGCCAGTCCTAGTCGCATCGGCTTATTTCATGTTGCTCTCTTCGCAAAAGACGATTTTGTCGCCCCAACATTCAAGAGAATTATGGAAGACGAAAGCGTCACCAAGGTCGGCGTGGCTATCAAGGGTGATTGCACAAGGCTGAAGAACAATCTTGGCATAGAAAGCAAGGGTATCATCGAGCTATCTCACATATACAAACTTGTGAAATTCACAAAGAGTGGAGAATTAAACCGAATTAACAAAGTTATGGTCTCACTTGCTGCCCAGACGCAAGAGATGCTTGGTCTTCCCTTGTTTAAAGGGGACGATGTGCGGTCTAGTAATTGGATGCTGCGTCTTTCACCAGACCAGGTAGCATGTAAGTTGATACCTCAACTACGGTGATTTCAACCCCTTTAACAATCATTTTCAGACTCGGCTTCGGATGCCTACGTTGGCCTACAACTATACTACATTCTGGAACAGGAACGGGAGAAATTGCAGCCAACTCCTCCCCGGCCGCACTTTGTCGAGAAGAACCTCCCGATTCAGTTCTTTACAGCGGACGATGTGGATGAGAGCGATGAGACCTCGGAGTCTGGCGAATCTGAAGTGATTACTGATGTGGAAGCTGAGCTGGATGACCCGGAGGTCAAGGTTGCCAAGCCGCTTGTGAAATCAACGACAACAACGACAACAACGAAGACAAAGCCAAGCACAAAGATAACACCACCAGAGAAACAAGCGAAGGCTACGAGGGATGTCCGCATCGTTGCTGCTGAAGATGATGCTAGGGAATACCATGACAACACAAAAGACGTAAGAGTAACGGTCTCGACTTTGCGCTCCTACTTCCTCTGGTACGATAACCAAAGTCTCACACCAGAGGTAATCGCAGCACTCCTGCGGACTCCTCCTCTCAAGACCAACACTGTTGTTTCCTATATTCTTGATTCCATCATTGCTGAGAAGCTGCCATACTCAAAAGAGAGGCTGAGAACCGAGGTGTTATCACACCTTGCTCCCGAGGCGCGATTAGCCACCCGTTATCGAGGATTAGTGGCTGATAGTCAAGAGTCTGAAGGAGAACTGTGAAACGATTTTCAAGATCATGTGTATTTATATGGGAATGGGTTATTCATCTTGACGACTTAGACAGAGGACTGAACAAAGAATGACTGACGAAAGAGTTTGACACTTAACCCTCGTTTTAGGGATATGGTATTGTGTCTTGTTTTTGATAGAAATAGGGATATGTCCCAAAGAGGAGATAAGAAGGAATATGGGAGTTCAACTCGACCAGGTTAAGGCTATACCATTGAGCCTAGATCGGGTGGGCAATCTTACAAAGCAGAAAGTATGAACATCAGTACAGTGGGCGTGCAAAAGTTCTGACAATTTCCTCTATCGTAGATTTTATATAAGATTATACAAATTATTGTAAGCTCTTCTTCATTTATCTGATTTTATATGAGATTATATAAATTATTGTAAGCTCTTCTTTATTTACCTGATTTTATATAAGATTATATAAATTATTGTAAGATCTTCTTTATTTATCTGGTCTTATATAAGCTTACTCTAGGATCATATAAACTCTTTTTCGTATAATATACGTAATATCATCTATCTTAATATGAGTATCTCTTGTTCGCTCGTTGTCGGAAATTTTGCACGGAACTGTAGCTTGTGCTTAGTGTTCAATCCGGGACTTATAGTGTAAAGATTATGAGCTTCTGTCCGGGCTTTCTCGGCTTACCTGGCAGCACGTTTGTAGTAGGCTTGTAAAAGGGTTCGAAAATACCATGGCTCTTGTATATCTTTTAATAAAAGTTATGATAAATTCCACTAAACTTACATTATTTTGTTATATCCTGGGTTATAGACGTATTGTCGGTCGAGCTCTATATCCCTCTATTGCTCATCGATGAAAATTAGATATTACCCGATTTACCTCATTGCCTCACCTTCTGCGGGGAACAATCCACTGAGGTCATCAGGAGGACGGACCTGTTGATCTAGAAAGGCATGGCTGGTCATCATGGAAGTGAAGTACATATAAAATCGAGGACAACTGGAACGTCTTTCTATGGTAGAATATAATAGTCGCTTTTCAATCCCTATATTTATTACACTATGATCCTGGTCCAAACAAGTCCCGCCCCCGATTGATCTGAACCTTCTTATCCTCACCACCGCTCACAATACCCCAAGTCTTGTCCCAGGCCACGCTCAGTACCTTGGCTCCATCACCAGCAGGAGGAAGCTTCTTGCCCTTGAGCCACTCGCGGCCAATAGTGTACACAGGTTCACTAACGCTACCGCCGCCTTCCTCAGAAGTACCCATTCTCGCGCTTCGCAAATCCCATACTCGGCATGTGCTGTCATGAGATCCGGAGACGAGCGAGTATTCGTTATCGGGCGAAGCTGCCAGAGAGACAACCATGTTGACGTGCCCGCGGAGTGTCATGGCTGAGGTTGTAGTGGCTGACTCGCGAGGGTCGAGGAGGGTGATATGTCGGGCCGACGAACCAGCAGCAATGAGCGACGATCCGGGGATCGCCGTGGCGCATAGAAGAGGGTGCATTGTGGTGAGTCGGCTGACCTCGCGTTGAGTTGTCAAGTCGATAGTACGGACAGTGTGATCTTTTGATGCCGAGTAGGCGACTGTTGCGTCGTTGGGATGGAAGATGGCAGCAGTAACAGGCTCGTCGTGAACAGGGATCAGGGCAAGAGGACCACGCTGGGCAGTGTTGGCAGCGCTCGCAAGCTTGGCTCGCTTGGTACTGTGCGCAGATGGAAGACTGGCGGGATCAGCCTGAGGAGCTGTGCGTTTCGACGATGTCCAGAGACCAATCTTGCCGTCCGACGAGGCTGTGAGGATACGGCTGGTAGCGCCGTTGACGTCGAGGCTGTTGATGTCCCTCTCGTGGCCCCAGAGCTCCATGCTGGACTTGAGGGTGCCGGAGAAGCCGTCCTCAGACTCGCTGTAGTCCCAGACAATGACCTTGCGATCAAGACCAGTTGATGCGAGCTGCTTTTGCGAAATCCACTTGACATCATTTGCTCTCTGGGTGTGGCCGCCGCCTCTGCCAGCAGGAGACACTGCAATTGCATCTCCTGAAGGGTTCCAAATTCTCACAAGTCCGTCATAAGAAGCACTAGCAATTCGCTCAGGGATGTTTGCGCCGCCGGCAAGAAGACCTGCACGTGAAGTTGCCGAAAGAACGTCCACGCCACTGACCCAGTCATCATGCTCGAAACTCGCCTCGTAGACCGGGGGTAGCAGACTTCGGACGTATTGAAGCGTCAGGGTAGATTCAGAGGAGAGACCATGGGTCGCGAGGTACTCTTCGATAGAGGTGCGGAGAAATGTGCCGTTGGCGAGGAAGTCGAGGGGAACGGGAGAGGATGTGTTGAGCATAGACTCGGAGTTGACGATGCGAGAGAGGCCATATCGCTTGATATCTGGAATGGCATTAGTTTTGCGATCATATGGTATCCTCTAGAATGCGCCAATATTGACTGACCGGCAGGCACGAGAAGCTGCTGCTTAGACTCTGGAAGCACCAGATCTTGCTCGGATGTGGTGAAGACAACCTTCACCTGTGCGACGTCCCCCATTTTTGCGTAATTACAAGGCGTTACCGAGTAATTCCAGATCGAGTATTCGGGTGAGCAGAACTGAATAAGTCCTCCTATATTTAAAGCCGATTGGGCTTTGGGTATCTCAAACTGTTTGCGATGTGAGTGGGTTTGTAGTAGAGTGTTGCGCAAAGATCTTTAACGAAATTTAGAAAAATTTGGAAAACTTAGCAGCCTTGCATTAGCTGTGCCCCACTGCGGGGAACTGGATGACCAATGACATATTGTTCGCTGGCGAGGCTGAGCTTCGTCTTAACCACCAGTCTAAGTATTTTCATATAAATGATTTTGAAGCAAGTAAGAAATAGTTGTATAGTCAAGAATCTCATCTTCTCTCTATAATACTGCCTGATGAATCACTTAAGTGTTCTTAGCTCTTGACATTTCCTAGCTGTAAAGGGAAGGGAACACCATCGACCTAAGTTTTATTAGCTTGCAGGCTTGTTTGGAAAGCATAGCCCATACATTCTTGATGGTATCATTGGCCAGAACACATAATATTCATCAACATACGCGATCAGATCAAGGGGCGGAAGTGCAACTATCTCATTAAACTTCTAATTCAATGTCTTGGCTGGACGATAATCAACTTGCGATAAGATTAGCTCCCTATGATAACGGATTTGATGTTAGTCCAAGTCTTTACCTAACTCAAGATAAAACAGTGGAGTTGGTCTGTGAATTACCATACAGATACGTGCCCTCGAGACTAATAAAAGCCCTTGGTGTCTTGGCTACCTCTTGGACTTCCTTCTAGCCTGGCATTGGTGAACACGTCCATCAGGCTTGTGGATAGTGCCCGTCGATATAGCCCGCCGGGATCTCCACGGTGGAGTTAGATCGGTGCAGGTCATTTGGTTTAGAGAAACATGGCCATTCCTTTGATATCTTCCGAGTCTCTGGTGTGAATCTCGTGTTGGTATCTAGGTGTCTAGGGATGTAAAAGAATTGTCTTGCGTGTCGCATCTTTGTGTAGTAGCCCTGATGACGTTTTACTCTCACCTGTGGGTGCCATGATGTTATTGTTTGCAAGACAATTTCTTCAATTGGAAGACGTGTTGCTAGGCTGGAGTGATTTAATCTTTTGATGTGTACTTGAAGCATCGCGGCTACAGGCAAGCCTTGCGCCCCGGATGTCTCAAGTAGATTTGGGGGTAGAACGGTTGCTAGAGCAGTCCGTAAAACACATGCCTGAAAATTCCATAGACGTGGGATCTCATTTTATAGTGTTTGGGGGAGAGACATACAGCACTGAATAAGGGAGTTTCCAAGACATGATTATCACGGCTCGGGGTCTCGGCAGAGCAGGAACCGCGAACTTTCAAATCAAGTGTTATAGCCACTGATCTCGTATTATTTGTTTAAAAAGACTCAAGTCAGGCTTGAGATGCGACCTCCAATCGAGTGTTGGAACTTGTGACTTGAATAGCAACAAGTTCGCCATTGTGGGCCATTGTGTAAGGGAAACAGGTTGTAGCGACGAGATTGCCCTGGCAAAACTAGAAACGACAGGCACTGTCATGCGTCAACGTCCACATGATGTCTTTTTCCATTTTCCAACCAAGATGGGCAAAAAAAGGAGTCTGAATTGGGCTTGGAGAAGCAGCCAAATCGCACAAGATGTAGATCGCTGGTATTCCCCCGCATTCCATGACCTCATCCCGACACCCCCAAAAAGTGCCAGACCTGCATCTGGCCAAACACAATGCAGGCCTTTTTAGAACGAAAAATTCACTTTGAGTCCTACAGTAGCAAAACCTTTGCATCGTACAGTGGAGCGCAATCCCTTTTGAGTGTCAGTGTCCTGGGCGGGAGATTTGTGCATGCCGTTGAGGGAAAAAAAACGTCGAGGCGTAGGGGACTAAATAATGGGCTAGCATGCAGGGAAAAAGAGAAAAGAGCCCCAAGCTCCTCAACAAAGCGAGTCAATCAATCCTCATAATGGCGTTGCATCAAGGGTCAAGCAAGCCCAAGGTCTGAAAATGGCAGTGAAACACCTTGATATGATCATGGGCCGGCCTCGGCTCTTTGACCGGAGTGGCGTTGGTTCCCAGGAGCTACGGCGTACAGACTACAGAGTATTCCCATCGATTTCAACCTTGGTGGCGTGTGGACTGGTCCGTTTTCTGCGTGGTTAATCTTGATTGAGTTTTAAAATTTTGCTGACAGTGACGGCCCGAGAGGGGGGAAAATACCCTCAAGTTGCCAGCAATTATCGCTTTGAAGAGGTTCAACAGAATGGTAAAAGGGAATAGGTCCAATGGCCTGATTGACTAGTCATATCATGAATCTCTTTTTATCTCCACTATCTGGAGCTTGGGGTGTTTTTGGTTGACTGGTTGAGCACTGATGCTGTTCTTAATATGCAAAAAGCTTCAAGCATTGCATGGACCCACGTTTGTCTCTAAGAAAAACGTTGGCCCTGGTCCCTGTCCTTGAAGCCAAGAGAACGTGCCCCATGTGGCGATGGGCGAATAGCCCTGGATTCCAACAGGTGTTTGGGCTTGGTATACGGGCCTTTAGGTTGGCTTTGTTTTTAGGCGCCGTTGCTAGGAGCTTGGGGCCCCGACATCCCCCCTTAGTCCCCCGAACCCCACCCAAGCTTAGGTCGCTAGCGCGCCAGAGAGTACCTACCACCTTACGAGCTGAAGCTGTACCACAGCAGGCATCAACACTACTAGACGGCATCTTAGTCGAGGTACCTGCCGAGTACATCAAGACACCATCTTCCTTAACTTAACGTCCTTTTGCATAATTCCTTCAACAATTTGGCCGCCGGTTTTTCTTCCTCTTCTTGAGCCATCTCCCTCGACTCAATCTTTCTGCCTCTCCTTCTTTCCCTTTTTCTCTTCGTCGTCGTCCTCCTCTCATCGATCATCCTTCCCCCTCGCTCGGTGTAACGCTCCAAAACACCAAGCGAATCTCCACCGTCAGTACCTGAGATCCATCCATCGTACTAGGTATTGCCTACAACTGTTAGTGCTCTCTGCAACTCCTCTCCTCTCTTTTGCTCCGCTCCCCATGGGCACATGCCCATGGTTCCATCCATCTCCGTCCGGATGAATCCCTGCCTCCCTCCCTGCGAATAACCCCCTGCTCACTCATCGCACGCAGATCCATCTCTTAGGTTAGGTTCGCTCTCAGCAGCGGCACGGTGACGCAACATCGAGACCACCCACCATCTCGATTCAATCCCCTCCGCTTCGCTTCTACCGATCCCTCCCAGCCACGCTTCGCTACTCCCGAGAAAAACTCTCAATTGGCTTCGCGGACCATTGCTACAGCTTCTTCCTCCTTTCACACAGCTCGTACTTTGCTCTTTTGCTCTCCTGTTGCTGCCCTCCTGAGACATCTGAACCAGCAACGCTACTTCATTCAACGCGACCATCTCCTGGTCGACGTTCATCAGATCATCACCTTCGCAAACTTCCTTTCAAGAGCCTCCTCACTTTTGGAGATTTCGCGTCAAGATGAGTTCCGAAGGCGAGCAAGCTCGCGACATCAAGAACCACCTTCTCTTTGAGATTGCTACCGAGGTCGCTCATCGAGGTTAGTCTCAAGCACCAGCACTCAATTGATGCTCCGTCGACAATCTTCACTCACTAACTTGCCGCGCGATACAGTCGGTGGTATCTACTCTGTCATCAAGTCCAAAGCTCCCGTCACGACAGCCGAATATGGCGACCGCTACACGCTCATCGGCCCCCTCAACCATCAATCGGTACGCTTTCATTGAAGTTGTTGAGAATTGCGCATGCTAACCAAAACAGGCTGCCGTCGAGGTGGAGGAGATGGAGCCTACTAACCCAGAGATCGCTACTACTTTGCAGTCCATGAGAGACCGCGGAGTTCATGTTGTGTATGGTCGTTGGTTGATTGAGGGTGCTCCCAGAGTCATCCTATTTGACACCAAGACAGCCTACAGTCGGTTAGATGAGTGGAAGGCCGACTTGTGGGAAGCGGCCAGTATTCCTTCGCCACCTGGTGATGATGAGACCAACGAGGCCATTGTTTTTGGTTACCTTGTTGCCTGGTTCCTGGGAGAGGTAAGAAAACCTTGAATATTCTACTTGCCATTTCTGTGTCAGCTAACCTTAATTTCATTTAGTTCGTGTGCCACGAAAAGAAGAAAGCCGTTATTGCTCACTTCCACGAGTGGCTTGCTGGTGTCGCTCTTCCCCTTTGCAAGAGGCGCCGCATCGATGTCACGACGATCTTTACCACACACGCAACTCTTCTCGGCCGATACCTCTGCGCCGGCTCCGTGGACTTCTACAACAACCTCCAATGGTTCGATGTTGATGCTGAGGCAGGCAAGCGTGGCATTTACCACCGATACTGTATCGAGCGAGCAGCAGCACATGCATGTGATGTTTTTACCACTGTTTCACACATTACGGCGTTCGAGTCCGAACATTTGCTGAAGCGAAAGCCTGATGGTGTTCTTCCCAATGGTCTCAATGTCACCAAGTTCTCTGCCGTTCACGAGTTCCAGAACCTGCACCAGCAGGCAAAGGAGAAGATTCACGATTTTGTTCGAGGTCATTTCTACGGTCACTTCGATTTCGACATCGACAACACACTGTACCTCTTCACTGCCGGCCGTTATGAGTTCAGGAATAAGGGTGTTGACATGTTCATCGAATCTCTGGCACGACTCAACCACCGTCTCAAGGCTGCTGGTAGCAAGCTGACAGTGGTGGCTTTCATCATCATGCCTGCTCAGACCACTTCGCTCACTGTTGAGGCACTCAAGGGTCAGGCGGTTATCAAGTCCCTAAGAGATACTACACACGTTATCGAGCAGAGCATTGGTCGCCGCATCTTTGAACGCTCCCTCAAGTGGCACGAGGGTGACCCATTGCCCGATGAGAAGGAGCTCATCTCTGCTCAGGACCGAGTCCTGCTTCGTCGCCGTCTCTTCGCCATGAAGCGCCACGGACTTCCTCCAATTGTTACCCATAACATGCTCAACGACCATGAGGATCCTGTGTTGAACCAGATCCGTCGCGTGCAGCTTTTCAACCATCCTTCTGATCGAGTCAAGGTTATCTTCCATCCTGAGTTCCTCAATTCTGCCAACCCCGTCCTCCCTCTCGATTACGACGACTTTGTCCGAGGTTGCCATTTGGGTGTATTCTCTTCATACTATGAGCCTTGGGGCTACACTCCCGCCGAGTGTACAGTCATGGGAGTACCCAGCATCACCACCAACCTTTCTGGTTTCGGATGCTACATGGAGGAGCTCATTGAGAACTCGAGCGATTATGGTATTTACATTGTGGATCGAAGAACCAAGGGCGTGGACGACTCCGTCAACCAGCTCACTTCATTCATGTACGACTTTTGCCAAAAGAGCCGTCGTCAGCGCATTAACCAGCGAAACCGAACCGAGCGACTTAGCGATCTCCTTGACTGGAAGCGCATGGGCATGGAGTACGTTAAGGCTCGCCAGCTGGCTCTGCGCCGTGCCTACCCCAACTCTTTCAGCGGCGACGATGATGAAGAGGACTTCATCCCTGGTGTCGAGCAGAAGATTTCACGACCTTTCTCGGTCCCTGGTTCGCCTAGGGATCGCACTGGCATGATGACACCCGGCGACTTTGCCAGTCTGCAAGAAGGCCGTGAGGGCTTGAGCACTGAGGACTATGTTGCCTGGAAGCTTCCGTAAGTAGTGATTCGTGTCTGACTTCAGAATCTGGCTAACAGAATACGCAGCGAGGAGGAGGATCCTGAGGAGTACCCGTTCCCTCTTACGCTTCGAACCAAGCAGCCTGCGCCTCACAGCCCTTCAGACAATGTCCCCGTGAACGGAACCCAGTAGTTTGGGCGCGTCCTAGCAAGTGTTTGGAAGAAAGAGAAAGAGGAGGAATTGTATTTGCAACATCACAAGAATTTTTTATATTAATTATCAGGTCTATGGGGACGATGAAGAAGGTGGAAGAGGTATCTGTATCCTCGGTCGGAGAAGCTTGCATGTCATTACTGGTGTTGAAGCACATCCGCATTGTGTCAATTTGCATCTTGCGCTTTCCTGTTGATTAGTTAAATCTGCTACCGGAAATCCATGTTTATGAAGGCACATATGTAATGTTTTGTGATGTTGTGACATGAAGTTTGTACGTAGCCTCAACGACAACAGTGACAAATAGAAGCACATGATCAGGGAGTTGACACTGCACGACCAAGGCTGTGATGTGTGAGGGTTATAGTTCTGGTATAGCTGTGATTAGAAGACTTTAGGTATAGTCTCAGGATGAAGAAAGTAAAACATTATATAAAACAAACTAGAACTTTTGCATGCCCACTCACTCCCTAAGAGAAAACCTGCACATCTTAGAACCATATGCTTCATCGACGATATCCTCCTTTAACCACTGTTAGTTTTGCACCATGTGATGAGGTGAACATGACTAGCTATGTGTAATACAGGACATTATGAACACGCCCATCATACATCTTCATACAACAGCCCCTGCATTAGACTCGTCTGAGATGAAGAGTCTGAGAGACACTCCATCAACTAAACCGTTGCAAAGTTATCCAACCTGAACAGGCTATTACAGTTCCGTGCAAAAGTTTCGATAATAAGCTAACAGGAAATACATATATTAAAACAAACTACATAATATATACTATAGTTAGAACACTTTATGTATAATCTTAGTATAATATTATATAAAACTATATAAATTAAAAAAAGGTAACAGTAGTTTATATAATTATAAAAATAATTTAGAATAGAGGAAATTGTCAGAACTTTTGCACGCCCACTGTAGCAAATAGCACAAGCTGGAAACCTCGACTGGGCCCACAACATGTCGCACAGGCATGACGAAATACACTATTGCTGGCTTAGTAGTTGTCGGTCGTTGTCATAACACCCCTGATCATGTTGCATCATATCATGAGACCTGATCATGAGAAAGAATAATTGGCTGCAAAAGCCTGCTTGAATTGAAGGCTTTGTGACCAATACTTGCACCTCTGTCTGCGCTGTAATGTGAAATATTTGTATTATTTTGACCTCCACTAATAACTATCATGCCATGGCAAGCCGCATGTAGAATGAGTGGGCATAATGAGGCGCCCCGAAGTCTGACCTGTCAGGTGGGAAGATGTAACAAGTATGCTGTAAAAGTTTAAAAGACCAAGTATGCTGTTTTCTCTTCTACTATCGCACGTTGAGAAATGAAGGCGGTTAAGAGCAAGCCATAATGAAAACTGACCGTGAATGGTGGCCAATGGCCATAGATAATTGGGGGCCTATTTATACGAACAGCCAACGATAAGCTACAGAACATCCCCAGCTCTCGTAATGGTCCAAAGCCAGCGGCTGCTGTAATGAACGCCTGATGTTAAAAGCTAAGTACTTTTCCACTTGTACGGATACAACAGTAGTAATTGTCCATGGCAACCCTCAAGAGAACCCCTCTCAGTATGGAGTATGGGGTTGAAGCTGCATGCGGGGAGCGAATGAGGCACCTCCATAGCATGGTTTACAGGGCTGCCATTGCGATTGCGGGTACTGCAGCAGATACCATAGCAGGCTCCCTACTATCAAGGGCTGCCATTGGCGGTGAAGCCCATGATCCACGCTTGATGCAGCGCAAATGCATATGGATCCGTGCATGACAGCGGGACGATGCCGTGGTGACAGAGGCTCTGGGTGCAGGTAAACAAATGATGCGTATCATGACAACAATTGGAAAGGGCAAAGACGAGCGCACCCGATTGATCGAGAGGCGGGATATATGACGATATAAGAACGAGGGGGTTGCCAGCTCATTCAGTATGGTACTTTGCATTATGGCATGAGAAGCGTTTAAATAGAGAGTATAGTAATTGCTTTGTCTCGTCCGGTCTCGTCTTTGCGTTGCTTCTGTTTCTATCCTGGAAATCATATGGTTCAATCGTTCTTCTGTTCTGCAGGTCTCTCTTTTTGCCGTTATCTACAACTCATGCTTTGTCTCTAGGCATATATCATATATACGGATAACCCTAGACACACGGCACATGCATCACACCCTAGGCCATCACACTACACCACCATCTTCAGTTCATGTTGAAGATCACACTGCACCCTTGTTGCACCTCTCTCTTCCCCTGCATTGTCCCTGGCCAAACCCCCTCGTGTTAGAGGTCTAGAAGCGGTGACAACGTAACCAAACAAACCTGACGGAGTAACAGGAAGAAGATCAAGTGGGAAGAAAAAGGGCGCTGGCTGCCCATTCAAGAGATCGGACTTTGTCTACCTACCTATTCCTCTTTACGGATACTCTGGTCCATTGAATTATATTGACAGTATCTTTACCTTCATTTGATACGTCACCAGTCCTATCACTATCCTCTCTTTGTTAGTCGCAGCAGCTGCAACAATAGCTTCACTGAATGCTCCACCCTGAGCACGTTCGTTCTCCTGCATAACGATCCGTCTCTGGGCTGCAATTGTTTACATATACTCCGTCTCCATCCATCCGTTCATAAGCTGCACGCTTTGTCAATTCCTTCTTTGTTCTCTTTCTCTTTCAGGAACTCTCTTTTCATCCTTCTTTCACCTCCTCTCCCTCTCCCTCTCTCTCTCTCCTTTCATATACATCCTTGCAACCCCTCACCAACTCCTCATTTACAGTTGCACTCTACTCTGCGGCACGACAAACGTCAATCTTATTTTTTCCGTCACCCAATTTCTCCGGTCAGCGAGCAGCAAGAACAAGCGAAGGCTTGTAAAAAAAAAAAGAACGGGCTTCTCTCTTAATCTCGTGCAGCCAGCACTAAATTGGTACCTAAATATCAGCAGCAGCCGTTCCCGATCAGATACCCAACGATATCCGCTAAAACGAAACCCAAAAGCCACCTGAACGGGACCTGAACGGGAGCTAAAAATTGTTAGCAACGGATGCACAAGCCCCCCCAAACTTCCAAGACCAAACCAAGAAAGGACGGGAGAGCATCGTTGCTGGCGGCTCGTTGCTCCCCGAGAACAAAGGTTGCCCCCCTTTTTGCCAGATGCGGCGTGGGGTGTAAACAAATGAGACACGCCCACATTCGGATCCCAGCAATAGCGAAATAAGGGCCCCCAGCTGGGCCTCGCCCGCCTTCCAAGATGCCTTCTGCTACATCAACAACAACATCTACCACTCCCAAGAGGTCAAATACTCCAAACATATACCCTCAACGTTCGTCGCGCGCTCTTCGAAGATCGCACAACATCGTCTCCACTCCCAACCTCAAGTCCGCATACGCTTCGTCTTCGCATTCGCGCGCCGCGCTGCCGCCTATACCACGCAAAACGTCCCTGGCTCAGCTCACACAGGGCTCTCTCGCCAGCATACCCGATGTTTCTGAGAGCTACGCCGTTGATACTGTCCTGAGCGACTCATCCCCAAACATGATGCCCCCAACGACACCCAGCCGTTCCATGTCTACGAACATCTCCCTTGGCGATGTCGTTGATGTTCCCGGTGGAATGCATGGCGTTGTTCGATTCGTTGGCCCTGTCCAAGGCAAAAAGGGTATTTTTGCTGGTGTCGAGCTTGACCAAGATTATGCCAGCCGAGGGAAGAACGACGGCGACGTCGATGGGTAAGAGTTCTATCTTGATTCTCTGGCTTTCAATGACTAACAAAACATATAGTATATCATATTTTAACACAACAATACCTGGCGCCGGTATCTTCTTACCTGCATTCAAAGCTCTTGCTCGTCGCGACTCACTTCCTCCACCCTTTCCCATGACGCCGGGAGGCCTGAGGGCTGGCAACCAAAACTCTCTAAACTTTACTCCTCCGACTCCCGGTCTTCCCAAGTTCAGCGCTTCCGTTGGGCCTGGAGCCAGAGCTCCTAGTCCGCAGCAGAAGCGAGTAGTCAGGACTTCTCTTCCCCGACCTGATTCCCCTGTACGCCGTCAGCAGATGACACCTGCACCACGGCCGTCAATGACCACGCCAGCCAGAACTCCTTCAAGATATGGAAGTCCGACACAACCACGCTTCGCTCAGAGCGTTCGTGGCACATCTGGCGATCCAAGCAAGAGACCTCTTAGGGTGGATCGAAAGCCAAGCCAGGGGCCCCGAAGTGCCTCAGCTTTGGGTTCGATATCAGGCCTGGAAGAGGATGTCCCGCCAATGGGGATCCAACGAACCGCTACTAACGGTAGCTCTGGGTCTGTCTCGTCATTCGCCATGAAGGTCCGACCTGCTTCGCGTATGAACATGAACGACGAGGAGATCGAACGGTTGAGATCTCAAATTGAAGACCGTGATCGCCAACTGACAGAGCAGTCCGCTACACTGGCCGACATGGAGAGCAGCTTGGTGGAACTGCAGGGGCTCATGGAGCAAGCAGACATGCCAGCAGCGCAGCGTAATAGCTGGGATAACAAGGACACTGCGCAGCTCCGCCAGTTGTTGAGGGAGAAGAACGACAAGATCGCCATGCTCACAGCTGAGTTCGACGCTCATCGGGCAGACTTTCGGAGCACTATCGACACCCTGGAGCTTGCCAGTACAGAGACGGAGCGTGTATATGAGAAAAGGATAGAGGAATTAATGGCTGATGTCCGAGAGCTTGAGTCACGGAACCTGGATGTCGACTCGGTGGCAACCCAACTCAAGCAACTAGAGGAATTGGTCCAAGAACTTGAAGAGGGCTTAGAGGACGCTCGTCGGGGAGAAGCCGAAGCCCGAGGCGAGGTTGAGTTCCTTCGAGGCGAGGTTGAACGAACGAGGACGGAATTGCGCCGCGAACGGGAGAAGGTGTCCACCGCCCCTGCAAATGGCGACAACACTGTATCTTCAAAAGAGCTTGAGCAGAAGGATGATGAGATTAGAGGTCTCAAGGCTATCATCCATTCCCTCAGCCGAGATTCTATACCCGGAGAGCCTAGAGCCCCTGCGCCAAGACCTGGCTCTCTGATCGCTGAAGATGTCATAGCAAGCAAGATTGCGCGCGATAACCTCGAGCGACAAGTCGCTGAACTTCAGTCTATCCTTGACAAGAAGAACAACCGCGAGGACGAGCTTGAGAAGGAGCTTGAATCGCTCCGTCAGAATGGAGGAGTAGCCAACAGGTCTTCTCTCAGGGACTCTCGGGATACTGTTGTTATGGCACAGGCCATGGAGAACCGACCAGTTGAGAATGTCAAGCGATCCAGCAACGCTACGCACAAACGGGTCAGCACCCTCGACACGATGCCCGAGAGCGACGACTATTCCAACTTCACTGAGACTAGCACGCTCTGGTGTGAGATTTGCGAGACTAACGGCCACGACATCTTGACATGCACCAACATGTTCGGCCCTGACGGTGCTAAGACCAACGGCGAGTCGCAGGACATCAAGAGAGCCAGCCATGAGGAGCTCAACCCTCACACCCCAACCGGCGATGATGCCCCTGCGCCTCTGGCGGCCTTGAAAATCAAAGATGCTAGACCTCCTTCACCCCCCGTCAAGATCATGCCCAATCTCATGGAATCGGGTCCTGTCGCCGGCAAGGAGAGTGGCATCATGGACCCCGAGAAGTGGTGTGCTCTCTGCGAACGTGACGGCCATGATAGCGTTGACTGTCCTTTTGAGGATGCCTTTTAACGGCTATTTTACAAATTCATTTCATTAGACATAAGTTTTGGACGAGCGAGCATCAACACGGCGTTTCACGCAGTCTGACGAAGAACGAAGAAGCTGTGCTTAGTGTGGAAGGACGTGATGAAAACCGTCCTTGTGCGATCGCCTCGTTTCACGTTCTTGTTTTCGAAGCTGAGCCGGTAGCCAGGTTTTGGATGCCGGGCGTTCGTTTGGCTAGGCATCGTTAGTGATACCATACATATCCTTACTCCTGTTTTGTAACGCTTAGCCTGGTCTTTTATAGCACTTTCTTGTAATACTATGTGATATTACATATTGATCATATTGTATATACTCCTGCAACCTATCCCTGTGAATATCGCGCCGCTAGAAGTACAGTCATATCTCCTACCTTCTTGCTGTTTCACTGTTGTCGAGAATCTCCATCGCCTCCGTTGTCTGGATTCTCTCCCCTCGAACGCTATGCCATGACCTCGCACTCTTCCACAGCTCGCCATTCCAGTCACCTGCTAGCATGCGATACTTTACCAAAAACCATACACTGGGCTCCCAACTACGTGAGTCCCAAGGCACGCCTGCGCTCATTCCATGTACATTTCGCCCTGCGCCCCAGCAGGTGAAACCACCAGCTAGTATGTCATGGCAAAGAGCGCCTTCGTCGATGATAGAAGGGTCACGATCAAGCAAGGCAATTAGATTCTCGCGGAAGCTCTTGAAAGGGATGACATCCTATCTGCGTTAGTGTTAAGAAACACGCAGTTTTCTGGGGCCCATACAATGTAAGGATGGTGCCCAAAGGTCAGTTGCTTGTCCATCGGTTGGAGATCAGACGACAAAGCCCGAAACCTCGATTTCACAAGAGGCAGCTGTGACTGACTGTATCCCTCATCTTGAGTGACGGAGAATACACTACAGCCCTCATCGCGTATGATTTCTTCCACGCCCTGCATGCCAAGAGCATAGCAGTTGGCAAATATTGCGCCAAAGATGCCTGCCTCCATCGCATACTGTGTTGGAAAAAGCGTCGGTCTAGCATGTGCCGTCTTGTACAGCGCTTTGGCAAACTGGATGACTTGTAGTTGACCTGGGGTTTGTGGAGTTCTGTGTCGGGGAGGAGATGGAGTTGACCTTCCAGTGTCTTGCTGTAAGCGACGGAGGAGAGACCGTTTTTGCTCTATGCTAAGGTTCTCGACGCCGACTAGGATGTCGTCAAGAGCACCACTATCATTGCTCGAGGATGCTCCTGAGCTGCTATGATCCGACTCTGGGCTATCTTCAAAGATCTCCTCTATTGGCCTGGGGTTAAAATAACCTGTTGAATATGCATCTGGGAACTGTAGAAGCTGTTGCTGAGATCCGGATATGTCATGACACCATGGATCTTGATTCCCAAGGCTGAAAGGGTCGCCTAGATTAGTTAATGGTAAAGACTCTGGAAATACCGGGTGAGTAAATGCTGCGGGTGTGGTTGCATGAGCTAGCATGCCCCAGTTCTGTTGCGTGAGATACTCTTCATTGTTATCGAGACCACTCAGACCTTGGGCGGGATCTATTGATAGAAGGTGATCGTCAAGAAGCACGCTTGGCAATGGCTGACTCTGTAACTGAGAAGTGTTCGAGTCGCCTAGTCCACTCTGACCCAAGGCAGCCTCAACATGAGCATCATCGGGGACACTTGAGACGATATTCGGCTCCAACAGATCATTCAAAAGTGCGAGTTTCTGCTTGCGCTTCTCACCTATAGTGCGGGAAATGATGGCGTCAGTAAGGTTGATATCATTAGCCAACCATGAGCTAGTCTGATGAATTACCCACGGTAGTTTCGGCTGGCAAGGCGGTTTTGTTCACGGCGTGCTTCGCTATTGCGCTTGGCTGACGCCTTGCCCTTCTTGACCTTCTTGACATTTGTAGTCTCACTTGTCATGGTATCGATGGACGTGAGATTTGGGTAAGCAAGCTGTATTGGTGGCGGGAGGTAAGCATGCGGTGTCGATGAAATAGTGGTTGTTTGTTTGGAGCAGTTACGAGTTACGAGGGGTTTCGAAGTCTCCTATTCACGGATGGAAACCTCTATAATTCTGTAGAATACTGAGTCTAAAGGTTGAGATATCAATTTGCAACGAGAGTAATTGATAATGGTATGTGGTTCCACTTTTAGGATTCATCAACATTGTGTTTATTGGCCAATCATGTCAACTCTCTTCATGCTTAGGTACCTTAGTGTAGGTGATAAGATGGAAGTAGTGACTTCTCGTTCAAAGTTTAGAACTTTCTATGCTGAGCAGTGGTATTCATTTATTTCAGTAACCTCTATAAATGCTCTATTGGCTGATCGTGCGAATGAAGTTTGTTTGCTGTGCAATATCTACTGTCACTACAAACTGCCAGGGGTCTGGTAACATACGAACCACGTCAGTGAGCAATGAACTCGTAACGCTTCTTTAAGTGTTACAAAGTACAGAACGTTATCAAATCATTAATGCATTAGTGGTGAATACTGCGTATCAAAGAGTGTTCCTTCAGACCATTGATGCCGTCAACATCCATACCTACCTAGTCAAGCGACAATTGTCACAAAAACGCAGGGTAGGTCAAGTCAGGTAACTACTATGTATGGCATCACAGGTGACAGGGGATGCCAGGCAGACCTAGGCAGGCTTTTTTGAGGAGGCGAAAGATGAGAAACATCCACATGGGCCGGGCTAGTGGGGTCCTAAATCGGACCCTGCGGCTGGAGAGGGAAAAAAAAAAATGAAGAGCCTAACTTTGGCCACTTGCCGCAGGGACCTCTTGGAGGGGGTGTCGCAGGGACCTGGGGGACGCCCTGCAGGGAAGATTGTTAGTGAGGTACCTGCGTAGCCTTGTCATGACGCCTGTTGAGGCACTGAGGTGGGTGTAAGCGACTGTGCTTATAGAGACTCTAGAAAGGGTTCCCGAGGGGGCAGAAGCGCCTAGAAAAGACGGAGCAGATCCAGAAGAGGTTGAAAAGGAAGGAGCAAGAAAAGACGCATCGTTTCCCGGAGTTTTAACTGGTATAATGCCGCGTCATGACCATCAACTGAAAGCCTGACTCTTCCAGAGCCCGCCAGCGCCAGCACGCCAAAGGCTACTGCGCGGTAGGTCGTGCATTATCAGCACCGCCACAGAATCGACATTCTTCCACACAATTCCATGAGGCGCAACCCGCATCGGCTTTGTGCTGCAGCCTCCCTTTCTTCTCAAAACCCGTCCGCTCAAAACCATTCTCCAGCGCCTATTCTCGACTTGACTTGAATTTGAAGCTGCTGTTTAAGACACTTCTTTCTCCTTCCTTTTCCATCTCGTACCCTTCTTTATCGCGTGGGATCCTCCCTCTCTTAACTCTCTGCGAAAACCGAGCGCCCTCCACTTATCCGATATTTAGAGAACCAGATCCGTGCATCTTGCCGCAGCGCAGCCCCGCCGACGAAACCCAAGATACACTTTTTGACGGATAAGGTACGATTATAAAATGTGTTCTTCTTCCTGTGATGGATGCTTTTGCGTGTAGGGTTACTGCAAGCCATCACCATTCATCCAGCTGAACTCTGTTGTTGCACGCGCGCAAAATTTGTGCCTTATTTGCTTTGCCTGAGGTTTACTAATACTGCAACTAGAGTCCTTTACCTCCTCCAACTTTATCTCTTCGCTGCGATAACACAAAAACTTCCCCCAAACCGCCAACATGGTTAAGGAAACCAAGTACTATGATACCCTGGGCGTATGTCAACTCAATCTACGGATAGTATAAAACTTGTGCTAAATTCCCTCGACAGGTTGCCCCTACTGCCACTGAGCAGGAACTGAAGAAGGCTTACAAGGTTGGAGCCCTCAAGTACCACCCTGGTATGATACTCAATTCTACGCATCCGAATATGCACATATCTAACATGACACAGACAAGAACGCACACAACCCCGATGCCGAGGAAAAGTTCAAGGAAGTCTCTCACGCCTACGAAATTCTCTCCGATTCCCAGAAGCGACAGATCTACGACCAGTATGGTGAGGCCGGCCTTGAGGGCGGCGCCGGTGGTGGCGGCATGGCCGCTGAGGACCTGTTTGCCCAGTTCTTCGGCGGTGGTGGTTTCGGTGGAATGGGAGGCATGTTCGGCGGCGGCGGTCCGAGCCGTGGCCCCCCCAAGGCTCGAACCATTCACCACACCCACAAGGTTTCCTTGGAAGACATTTACCGAGGCAAGATCTCTAAGCTCGCTCTCCAACGGTCAATCATCTGCCCCAAGTGTGAGGGTGTTGGTGGAAAGGAGGGTGCCGTCAAGCGATGCACTGGCTGTGATGGTCACGGAATGAAGACCATGATGCGCCAGATGGGTCCCATGATCCAGCGATTCCAGACTGTCTGCCCTGACTGTAACGGCGAGGGTGAGATCATCAAGGAGAAGGACAAGTGCAAGCAGTGCAACGGAAAGAAGACCACCGTCGATCGCAAGGTCCTCCACGTCCATGTCGACAAGGGTGTCCGCAGCGGCACCAAGGTTGAGTTCCGAGGCGAGGGTGATCAAGCGCCAGGCGTCCAAGCTGGTGATGTTGTTTTCGAGATTGAGCAAAAGCCCCATGCTCGCTTCACCCGTCGCGAGGATGATCTTCTCTACAACTGCGATATTGAGCTAGTCACAGCTCTGGCTGGTGGCACCATCTACATCGAGCACCTCGACGACCGATGGCTCGCCATTGAGATCCTCCCTGGTGAGGCTATTGCACAAGGTATGTATTCTCGGCGTAACTCTGACAAACTTATGCTAACTGTTCCAGACGCTGTCAAGATGGTCCGCGGCCAGGGTATGCCTTCTCCTAGGCACCACGACTTCGGCAACATGTACATCAAGTTCAACGTCAAGTTTCCCGAGAAGAACTGGACTGAAGATCCCGAAGTTTTCGAGACCCTCCGGAAGGTCCTTCCCGCCCCTGCTGTTGAGAACATCCCTCCTGGTGATGCCATGTCCGAGCCCGCCAGCCTCGAGGAACTCGACAACTCAGCCTCGAGCAGAGTCTTCGGCAACGCCGATGGCATGATGGATGATGAGGACGAGGACCACCCCGGTGGTGAGCGCGTGCAGTGCGCTTCTCAGTAAGCTACTCGGTAACAGAGCACTTATCACGTGTGCAACAAAACATACAATACCATGACGACGTCAGCTGCTCGCGTGGTAGGTTCTCAAGATCTACGTATCTTGAAAACACACAGTATAGCTGAAGAGCAGCTGTCAGCCATTACCGGCGACGCCGCTTAATCATTCAATGATACCAAAATTAGCGGATGATGGTTTTACGGACAGGAATAAGCACGGTGCAGGGGACGTGGTGCAGTTGACTGGGCATCTGAGCACTAGTGGATCATGTTTGAGGCTTTGTGATGAAGCATTCGATCTGGCTTGGAAGGCGTTTTGAGGTCATAGACGATTCATATGATTTTGGTAGTAGCAGACGTAGACTATGAACATGATGATTTCCTTGTTACTTGAATTTGCTCGGTGAATTGTGATGGTTAGTGAGCATGGCACTCGTCATGGAATCAGATAGGTGCTGACTTGGCAATGAAGGATTGTCTTCTGCAGAGCATTAGTTCAGTGTTCAGGGGCTATTGCTAAGCCAGCTATCAGATGGCATATTCTCCTTATGTAGTCTAAGTTTGGGATCAACATGTTTCCTTTCCTGGCCGATGGCGGGTATTTAGACCCAGAACACATGGGTATTATACATTGGATTTATCATGTTACTTTTAGGGTAACCTTCATGATTCCTCAACAATTTCTGCCTCGCCCATCACTTGGTCTTCAGGCACTTGCTCCTCACCCTGCTCCTCGTCATGATCCGTGGCCTGCTTTCGCAGGTTCTCTGTATTGTACAAGAGACCCCTCACGACCTTATCCTCGATATCAAGCTCCACGGCTTCGATTTCATCATCGTTTACCAAAGCCATCGTGCTTGTGGCAAGCTTCTCATCAGTCATGGTGAGTGAGTAGGTTGCCAGACTCTTCGCCTTCGTAGGGTCACTGGGGTCAATTGCGGTGACGATCTTGACTGGTTCGTTGCCCTCGGCGGGCTTGATGGAGAGATCCAGGGGCTTGCCGGGAAGTTGAATGATGGCTGGGCGGTGGAGAGTATTGTCATTGGTGAGCTGCCAGGAGAAGATTGCTGGGATGCTGATCGAGGTTAGTACATGGATTGATAAGACAGGACTGATATACTCACTCTTGGCATATAACGAGAATGTAGACAAGGTCGGAGCCTTCATGGGGATACACCAAGTTATACAGTCCGGACACAGCAACCTTGGTAGTGTCTGGCAGGATCTTCTGGACCAAAGACAGGAGGCTCACTTGTGACAGCAACTTGTTCGCTTTCCAATCCCATACAAACAGATCCTCATCACCACCACCTGACACAAGAATATCGCCGCGCAGGGCAGGAATGGTCATGGAGCTGATGAACTCCTTGTGACCAAAACAGAAACCCTCAATCACATAAGCCTGGGGGATATATCTTGTCACCCGAATATGTTCATCTCGATCAGCAGTCAGGATATAACGTCGCCCCTCACTCTCGCCAATGGCAAGCGTAGTGAGCATAGATACGTGGCCGAGCAAGAGGGTAAGTTCAAAACTGGGACCATCAGATTTAGCATCAGCCTTGGTCCGCGTAGCAAGCTCCATATGGCGCTGCTGCTCCTGGAGAGCACGTAGGTTGCGCTTCGAATGAACGGTTGTGGTGTTGGCAGATGGCTTATACGCGGGCTTGGCTGGTGCAGGGGTTGAAGATTGAGTAGCGGGCTGGGCAGTAGGGTTATAAAGGAGAGGGAGAGCGTAGACATCCCCGAATTTGTCGGCGACCACGATCTGAGAGTCTGGTCCAATGACCACATCACTAGGACGCTTAGGCAGGGCTCTAGTTAGGAATTAGTATGGTATATACATATATATGTTCGTATCAAGGGTAGCATACCGTTTGCTAAGTTGGTTGAGAGAACCCTTTCCATCGTTCTCAAACACCCAAATAGCCTTGTCGTGTCCACTGATAGCCACAATATGAGAATCGTCAGAGCTACTGATCAGATGTGTAATGACTGGGCGATCAGGTACTCGTGAGATATTGTGATCTTTTGTCTTTTGCTGATTGCGCCTGTCCTTGCTCTTCTTTCCTCCCCTCTTTTTGCCCTCGGACTTCGCGTTTCCAGCATCCTTGGTCTCCTCTTGAGCATTTGGCTCGGCTGGAGTTGTCTCATCCTTTGGCTCTTCAGTTCTTTGTCGCTTTGCTGGGGGCCCATCATCCTCTTCTCCCTCAGCGACTGCAGTGTCCTGGCCCACAGGTTTCTCACTTGAGACATCACCTGAGAGGGACTTAACTGCAGCGTCTACTTTGTCAACATCGGGGTGCTTCCATGCTGAAAGATGTGATCCGTCTTGGAGGCTGAATGAGTGTATCTTGCCGCCTCGAGCAGCAAAGAGGACGTTCCCACTGACGTGGACAACATTGTAGGGAATCTTCATGTTTGGCATGATTGTATGAGTCAATTCAATGAGTGATTGTGAAGTGTAAAGACGTGATCCTCAACCAATTGCTTGGTGATTCTTAGAACAGACTCTTACAGTTCCACTCAATTATCCAAGCCATGAAAAAAAAGATACATCTGCCATGTACCTCCCTTCATCAGAGCGGCCCCACCCACGGCCAAAAAAGGAATAGCACATTCATGCCCTAAGCGAATTGGCAGGCAAGCACACATTTTCTCAAAAGTAGCCGCAAATTACGATTCCTGCTTCTGTTAACATCTTCATCACCCCAATTTCCATCAAAAAAAAAATACCCCTTGCCCTTAAACAACCTGCCTTCATATAAATAAGAAGATATGGGGGGCAAGACTGCTAACAAGGCTGGCTACTTCGACAAGCTCAAGAGCTTGCTCGAAGAGTACACCTCCATCTTCATCGTCGAGATCGACAATGTCAGCTCTCAGCAGATGCACGAGATCCGACATGCTCTCCGAAACAAGGGTGTTGTCCTCATGGGCAAGAACACCATGGTACGTGATTTTCCAGACACCTGAGAGCAAAACAATCGCTAACGTGGGAAATTTCAGGTTCGCCGAGCTTTGAAGACCTTCATCACCGACACCCCCGAGTACGAGCGTCTCCTTCCCCACGTCAAGGGTAACGTTGGTTTCGTCTTCACCAACGAGGACCTCAAGGAGGTTCGTGACGTTATCCTCGCCAACAAGGTCGCTGCTCCTGCTCGTGCCGGTGCTCTCGCTCCCGCCGATGTCTACGTCCCTGCCGGAAACACCGGTATGGAGCCCGGAAAGACCTCTTTCTTCCAGGCCCTCGGTGTCCCCACCAAGATTGCCCGTGGTACCATTGAGATCACCACTGATCTCAAGCTCGTTGAGGCCGGCTCCAAGGTCGGTGCCTCCGAGGCCACTCTCCTGAACATGCTCAACATTTCTCCTTTCACCTACGGAATGGGCATTTCTCAGGTCTACGACCAGGGTCAGAGCTTCCCCCCCAGCGTCCTCGACGTTGGTGAGGAGCAGCTCCTCAAGACTCTGTCTTCGGCTATCAACACCATTGCCACTATCTCCCTGGCTCTTAACTTCCCCACCCTGCCTTCCGTCCTCCACTCTGTTATCAACAGCTACAAGAAGGTTCTCGCTGTTGCCATCAGCACCGAGATCAGCTGGCCCGAGATTGAGCAGCTCAAGGACCGTATCGCCAACCCCGATGCTTATGCCTCTGCCGCTCCTACCGCTGCCGCCGGTGCCGCTACTGATGCCCCCGCTGAGGAGGAGAAGAAGGATGAGTCCGAGGAGGAGGAGGATGACGAGGGTTTCGGTGGTCTTTTGTATGTGCATCCCTCCCATCAGCTTCAGGACAAGACTAACAAACTTACAGCGACTAAATGTAACCACATCACGATGATGTATGACTGCGCACCAGAACTCTGGTTGGGCTTACGACTTATGGATCTGAAAAAAGGGGTACATAGATCGTCTGCTGGACAATTGAATCTGTCGCGACGGTTACAAATCACAAGGACGCTTCAACATGCTTGTGACAAAATGTTGACACGACTGACGCAGCTCTATCGATAGAGTATCATTTCTCAAAAGGTTAGTTTGACAAACCCCTCGCTTTTTCCTTCTGACCTCTTATCACTTCCGGATGATTATATAAAATGTACAAGAGCTTTTTAACCCTGAATTTTCTGTTGAGACACACAATATTTGTATGACGGACATATCTTACAATCACATTTTTGACGATTCGCTTTTGAGAATATCAAGCTAACTGTCAATCATCATAGGTCTCTACATGCTTTTGATTGGTCTTTATCCTACATCGTGTGATATTCGTATAATGTCACTAAAGTTTCTATCCCCGTCATGTCGTACCGGCCTGCTCCCCATCCCGCCGTAAGCCGGTTTAGTCTGTGGGATCATGCTCCAACACTCGTCTTGCTATGTTAATAGCCCGGTCTGGAAGTCCAGCAAGCCTTGCGACTTTGAGTGCGTGACTTTGTCGGTTGATACCCTTTTGTAGTTTGTGATTGTAGAAGAAACCTCCTTGCCCATCCTCCACCACATTCGTACAATACGTCTTGACAATGCCTTCGTCTTTCGAACAGAAGCCTTCAGCTGCCGCCAAATCAGCCACGTTGTGGAAGTGTGTCGCAAAGAGGGTACGGCATTGGTTGACAGTTGCCAAGTGATGTAGGCATGCGAAGGCAACAGCTGTGCCATCCTCCGGCGTAGTACCTCGACCGATCTCATCCATGATGACAAACGATCGGGGTGTTGCTTGCTTGAGAATAGCTGCCGTCTCTAGCATCTCAACCATAAAGGTGCTCTGATTACGGTAAAGATTGTCGGCTGAACCTACGCGGCTCAAGATCGCATCCACTATCCCCAGCTCTGCGTACGATGCCGGCACGTAGCAACCAATCTGGGCCAAGATCGTGATGAGGGCGTTTTGGCGTAGGAACGTGCTTTTGCCGGCCATATTGGGACCCGTGATGAGCCAGATACGACCGTCCTTTGGCGACCCTACCAAACAGTCATTGCGTACAAAGCTTCGACCCTGCTCAAAAAGACCACCCTCAACAGTGGGATGTCGCCCGCCTATGATGGTGTGACTAGTCGTATCGTTCAGGATCGGTCGCACGAGGCTCTGTTCGCGAGCGAGCTTAGCAAAGGACGTGGTGATGTCGAGTTCATCAAGGACGGCGGCATTACGGCGCAGCTTGACAAGATTCTTGACAACATGCTCTCGAAGTGAATGGAAGACGGCTTGTTCTTCAGCACGAATCTGGGTGCGAACCTGGTCAAGACGCTGCCCAAGATGGGTCCATTCGGAGATGTGGAAAGATCGTGTAGAGCGGCTCGAAGAGAGAGCCTGTATATCGGCAAGATTGCGCGTATCTTTGCCCCTGATGTGGGCAATGTGACCGAGTCCAGGTGTCCACCTGAGAGACAAACTTGGGGCGTTGAGGCTTTCGCGAAGTGTCTCGTTGAGCGTCGCCTTTTCCTGTATCAAAGTTACTAGGTCAGCATGGAGTCGCTTCAAAGTAGGACTTGCAGCGGGTTTCATGATCCAAGCTTCGTTGTCTTCGGCGTAATAGTCCCGAAGACTGACGGGCCGTTTTCGCTTGCCCTTGGGAAGCGAGGCCACATCGTCTTGCGACCCTTCATTACTGACGACATCTTCAGCAAGGGCCAGCATCTGGTTAGCTTCGGAATCTTGGGCTTCATGTTGCAACTCGATGCCCTCTTCGTCGATGGCTTCTCTGATGCGTTGGGCAAGCTTCAGGGGTTGGGTCAGGCTGATACGAGATATCAGAGAAGTCAAGCACTGGGACTTGGATTTGCGGGACGGAGTGTTGGCCTTTTTTAGAAGATCCACGATGTCTTTAGTGGCTCCGATGGTGCTGGCCAAACCCAGAAGGTCGTCAGCATCACCACGACCGAGGGTGAATTTCTGAACAAGGCGCTGGGAGTCATGACTCCTACGTAACAAGAGAATTATAGAATCACTTAGGTCTACATCGTCGATGAAGTGGGCGACAAGGTCTTGCCTACCAGTGATGAGCTCAAGGGAGGTCGATGGTGCGCTCACCCACTCGTTAAGAAGTCGAGCACCGCTCTTGGTAACAGTCCGACGAATGGCATGTAATAGACTACCCCGGAATACACCATCATGAATGGTTTGCTTTATCTCAAGGGCACGTAGACTATTCTTGTCGACAGCCATGATCTGCATGTTTTCATTCCTCAAAGGAGGTTGTAGTTTCATGCTCATACCCTGCAGCTGATCTTTGACGTAGCCAAGAAGAAAACCAGCGGCATGCACCTCAGCAGAGGAGAACGCAGCCGACTCGGGCTTGGATAGACGAGACTCAAGCATGGGTGCCCAGCTGTCCGGATGAAGTAAAGAAGGATCATGAGGGCGGGGTGCGTACGAGATGATGTGACGATCATCGGCAAGAAGGGAAAATATATCATGATCGGGGGATGATTGCAGGTCTTGGTCAAGAAGAAGTTCGCGCGGGCACACCCGGGACAAGATCGCCGGTAAGGATGCAAGATTGGCCTGCTGGGTGCAAAAGTGGCCGGTTGAGAGGTCGAGCCATGCTAGGCCGAGTGGCATGTCGTCTTGGAACCCCTGAGACTGTCCGACATGTCGGCCAACGCCAACAGCTGATGGATTTTGGTGGGCTGATGCGGGTTCATGGCCTGCGAGCCCATCCTCTGGAGCCGACACTCGGCCGATGGCAGTTGCAGTATCATCTGTCTCGATATGAATCGCCATCACGTAGTTGTTCGCGTATGGATCCATGAAATTCTCGTCTATTAGAGTTCCTGGAGTGATGATACGGGCAACTCGGCGATCATGCAGCAACCCCCCTGACTTGACCTTTGCCGCAGGGGAGTTTGGAAACTCTTCAGCGATGGCGACATGGCGATTGAGATCTTGAACGAGGATTTTGAGGAACCGATCAAGCTGAAAGAAGGGAAAACCTGCCTATAAGACGGATGATGATGGTAAGATATCGAACCAGAATGTGGAAGGATAGTAAAAAGATGGAGGGCAGCAACAAACTTACCATGGGCACCAAACCTGCATTCGTCTTCTTGCTAGCGACCTTGATATTCAGCAAGGGCCCATATTCTTCCGCGTGTTCAAAGTAAAGCTCGTAGAAGCCGCCAACCCGTGTTAGTAGCACACAGTTGTCAAACTTGAGCATATTCTGCCGGGCCTGGAGCAATACGGTAGGGTAAGCGGGAGGACCCTGGCCCAAAGACGGCAGCGGTTGCGGGAGCGGCTGTGTCGACTCATCGTGGGGAGACGAAGCCGACGATGACGTTGTTGGGGAAGACACGGACTTCGGCTGGATAAGTCCCTGGGGTAAATCAGACAGCTTTATGGTGGTGGTGGTCTTTTTACCCCTTGTTTGAAGATGACGATGAGGAGATGGCGGGTGGAGGAATGCCCGGACCGAGAAGCCATGATGCAACGGGTAATTAACATGGCGATATCTCTGCGATACAGCAGTAGCAGTAGAAACAGGCCTCGAGGATGATGATGCTGCTGGTGATGCCAAGGGCCGCAGATGGCGGATGCCGAATGCAGGGGGCACCATGCGGCTGGAACATGGAGCTAAGATGGGCTGTTATAGAGGCGATGATATTGACACCATCAAATAATATTTAGATAGCCTTGGGCGAGATACTGCGGGTTGGTCTGAAAGCTGAAGACCGAAGGCTGATGTGCAAAGTCAATTCCTGTTTTGGTCGCAACTTAAAGGAGGGGAATCGACCAACTAACAGCCCAGTTTCATCAATGCCTTGCTGCAGAACTAAGATCTCGCGTGCATCGATATGGTGACAGCGAGTGAGATGTGGTGATGATCAATGGCGGTTTATGCAGTGCTCATATGATTAGATTAGACGAGAAAAATTAACAGCAGAGCCCGCCATGGTCCACAGTTGAAAGACCTCAAAACTAGGTACCTAACCTAGGGGTGTTCTAGTGTTGAAAGAACTCCAAGAAAGAGCAACCTAGTAGCCTAGTAATATCAAAAATGGCCCCTAACAAGGTTGAGTAATCTGCAAGAAACGTTTGACGAGTTACAGGATGCTTTAAGAGTAGATGTCAGATTGATTAGTTCTTTAGTTTCTTGTGGTTTTGTGGGGAGAAGGACGAATATGAGCACTATGGAGTTTCTATCGGTGAGGGGGAAAAGAGAAAAAAGAAAGGAAATCGACAGATCAGGGGACGTGCAGTTTATGCAACGGGTTATTTTGATACTGAAAGTTCATCTAGAAATCCTATAGGTTTAGAGTATAGTTACTGTGCAAACTATCATCATAGAAAATTGACAGAGTACAAAACAGGATAACTCGTGATAGCTACTAATAAGCGAACCATCACTACGGATAACTTATACTGTACTGTACTTGGTTAGCTGGTAATTATCCAGCTGGGAACAATTAAATCCCCAGCTTCACAAATGAGGAAAGGAACGTTCGGTAATAGTAGGGTCCCCCGGTTTTATAATCCCGATCCCGAAGCCGAAGGATGATTCAGGGACCTTGATTAATTACCAGGTACTCCAGAGATTTTTACGGAGATATAACAACACATGTAGCCACGAAACGGAAGGAATCTGGCCATGGAGGCGTTGGCCAACGAGAGGAACCCGGGTCTTCGCGAACAACGTGTGAGCCAACAGGCCAGTGTCAAATCTCTCGAACGACACGGGCCAATTGATAGCGATGGCCAGCCTTTTCGAGATCTACAGGGCCTGGTTCCCGCTAAAGACATCGACCCAAACCCCTTTCGTACCCAGGACATTAGTTACCTATGCTGCAAGAAATAGAGTTCCCGTCTGGTGTGGTATCATAGGAGCAAGTGGGGGAATGTGTGGTGCCAGAAATCAACATTATACGTTACTGGGAGGTTTTGATCCCTCGATGTTGTCTATTGCCGCGAAATTACAGAGTACTTCTGAAGGGATGAGCTTCCTTCCACCCATGGCCCAACAGTAAAAATTATACAGTGCGGATACGGTTGCGGGTTCAGCACGTGCACTACCTATTTTGACAGGTGGGACCTCGCCGTTGACTAAAGACTTATGGTCCCATGTTAGCGTCATCATCATCCCTCAACACCAGATGGCCCTGCAAATCTGCCCAAGCTGTTGGAGATGGAGCTCAACCCCTTCAAGGCTCCAGCCTAAGCATAAGCCCCGGCTCTGTGTTTCGATCCAACCAGTCGCGTTTGTCTGAACGGCAGGCAACTGGGCGGTAAGTCGACAGCTCGCTCTCCTTTAAGCAGTGGAGTGAATGGGGACATGTACATACACACAACCAAAGGCTAGGGTCAAGAAGAGATGACGGGACGCTTCAACGTAGCAACCGGTAAGCTCGCATGCTCATAAGGGTCCATCTTTGGGGACCACCGGTGCCGAAATCATAAGGCGGGCATCAAAGCGAAACGAGAAGGGATGTCCAGACACCAACTTTGTCAACAGGGCAACACCACTTCCATTTTGAGCAATCACATCAGACGGGGTATAAGAGATATAGCATGGGGTCAAACCAGGAAAAGCCACGGCTAGACAAAGAAACAACACGATCAATGCGAGATGCATCACGGCACAGCTCCATACAGCACACAGCAGCAACATGCTATGTGTACAAGACAACACATGAGAGGCCCAGAGTCAGCATCAGATTCCACGGCGGCCGTTTCCAGGTGCCAGGGAACCCCCTTGAAGGTCTCCGACGATGGCTACTGGGTTCAGACAATGTACCGTGCAAAGATCATCTGTGAGCCAGAAACCGAAACGAAAAAAGAAAAAAAAATTAGACCAGAAATAGAGCCGACCCAGAATGAGAGTCAGAACCGACACCCAACTTGATCAGTGTTGCACCGTACTACATTCCTTGGAAAGACAACACAAGTCCATATTTGACGTGACCAGAACCGCTATAGCCACATTCAGCTCCGATATTGAGACTTTTGGGTGAGTCTGGGAGGAGATTGATGTGCTGCTAGCAATGCAATGCCATAAGCATATCTGTTCGCGGGGTCGGCGTGGGCCGATTCTCGAGAGAGCCTCAGCCCATTTTGGGTCCGCTGCCACACGACGTCGACCGACCCCTGCGCAAACCCTCGGCCACATCTGTCGATTGTGACCTAGCTATATATCCCCATTGTGCGCGTTTGCTGACCAAAAAAGGCTCCCATACATTTACGCACCGCTACTGAGTTACATATATTATATACAGCAAGAACATTCTCAGATATTCACTTTGTGTCTTGCACAAACGTTCTGATCTGATACGGAGCTCCCCACAATTATTCACTTACACGCCCTTGATCCACGATATCCACGGCTACCCTGACAGCAAACCACACGATAAAATCTTCTATATAACGCGATTCGAACATCCGAATCGGCTCGAAAGATAAAAAGAGGAACACGACCCTTGTGTAAACAAATCTTACGCTCAACGCCAAATTTTCCCGCCACACGGTCCATCACTCGGAACTGTGCCCCCGAACAACCCAGGTTCATCCAACACATACATATATATACACCAAGCCTCAACCCAAATAAGATCGCTCTATGGCGACTATGATGTCGTCTGTCAACCCCTTTGCACCGGTCACACCCCCACCGGAAAGCCACTCCTTTCCTAAACCTCCCACCCAAAGGCCTATACAGAACAACCTTAAACGCAAAGCCTCGATGCAAGAACCCTTCAGTGGCCTGGCAGGCCTCAACACTCCCACGATGATGGCCCCTCCACCTCCCCCGACTTCTCAGCCCAGGACCTCCTCATCGCCAAATCTTAGCTCTGGGCTAAACTCCTCCAACAGCACCCCTCAGTCTAGCGAGGCCACAACCCCTGAACTTCCCAATATCGCCGGCGCAAATCTCGACCCCAAGTACCTCGCCATGGTCTCCCGTATCGCCGCCTACTACCAACAGAGGTGCCAAGCTGTATCAAACTACCAGCAGCAGCGATGCCAGGCTTGGGCCAACATGCACAGGCAAAAGTGTCAAGATATGATGCAAGCGTCTATGTTGGTTGTCGCTTGGTATGTGAGGGATCGTATTCAGCGTCGGCGAAGAAGAGAGAAGCGCCATTTCAGATCTGGCTTGAGACGTAGGACAGATCAGAACAAGATCGCACGAACTGAGGTCGTCCGCCGCTGGGTCAAACAGATTCCCGAGGGCCCAGAATCACCCAACAACCCCATCAACTTTCAGCTTGCCGACCGTGAAGAGGCCGAGTTTTCCATGGATCGCGAGACGCAGCCAGACAAGGACACAAAACTGTTTGAGATGGCAGATAATCTCATCAGGAGCCAATATAAGAAGATTGAGGTTCCCATAATGGGCGTGCTCAACTTTGATGAGAGCGACAACGAAAGTGAGAGTGATCTGGACGAGCCAGAGCAGTGCGATGAGATGGACGAAGCAGAAGATCTTGCTGAGGACGATGAGTACTACGAAGTAGAAGATGACGAACTGTACGACGATGAGGATGAGATTGAATTCACCGGCGACGGCGTTTCAGAGGTGGTTCATCATGGCACTGGCACCGGTTCAGGCAGCCGGAACAACAACCAAAGCGATAGCTCATGATCCATCTTCTCACCCTCAAACATTTCAATAACGAGCTCCCTTCCAACGGGGCGGGGTGGATTACCCCCTTAATGACAACGAAAAAGACAAAGACAAAGACAAAGACAAACACCTATGCATTGGCAACAACTCTTCAACAATGATGGACACATTTGGGCACTGGTTCAAGCTCTAGGGAACGGCGTAATTTGAAGGCGGGTGCAGGTTCACGCACACATTTACACACTGGAGTCAAGGGCACCTCACTTCTTTTTTGTACATTTGTTTCTCATGGCATACATACATCGATGATACCTTTTTCTGGCACGGGATATTTGGATTTATTGTTGGCATTCCCTTGGACAACCAATGCAGGCCTGTCGGGCAGGTAGATAGGTGTGCGCAACATAGGCGTACATATCGCAATAAACATAAATGAAACTATTTCCCTTAATTCTCGCACATAAGTTCTTCGTCTGTGACTCATAAACCGAAACACACCGCAAGGCTTCCTTATACATATCCATGCATAGATCAGTTGCTAATTTCGGATCTGAATCAAAAGCACCAGCACCAGCTCTAGCACTCTGCCATTTTCCCCATCATCGTCCTGTCACAGCAGTCGGCGTACTGTAACAGGCGTTACGTGGCACAGTACGGAGTATCTCAGATTGATTGGCGATGAGATACCCGCCCGGAAGAGGGAGAGTGCCAAAAAGAGCGGGAAATCGAATGGTGACAAGCGATTATCGTAGCATTGAAAGCCTCGGGGCGGCGCTTGAGTTGTGCATACTGTACGGAGCACCCGGGAGTGGAACAGCTCATGAGGTGTGAGGAATCGTTCGATCTTTATTTAGGGCTTTTATGCAGCCTGGACTCGGATTTTGGGCGGAAATGCACCGGCCAAGTGCATGGGTTAAAGAGAAATAGGACACTGGTCTTTGTGAGATTCATTAGAGAGGAGAGTTTGATTGGGGAGGGATTTGAAGATACTGGATGTAGTATATCACTCTATTATTTGTTGTTGATGACATTGCTCAAAGCCCACCTGGTCATCTACAGCGCCTTCTTTTATGCTGCCTTCTCAAATCGCTTCTTCGTTTCTATTATTTCCTCGTCTTCCTCCGTGTGAGTATCACCTCATCTTCAATGACAGGACAGGTAAGAGCTGTTCCACAGCCCTCGTACGAACTTCATTCAACCCTTCGCTTTTCAGAAGCGGATGAAAGCCAAAGATCTGTCTGCATTGGAAGGAGGCACTCCGAGAGTGTGGCTTTCCTAGACGTCATCTATTATCCAAGCACCTAATTTGATCAATGGTTATCCGTACGAATACAGAGGACGTAACTGCCGGAAAGGTTAACACGAATTTGTGGAAGTAGCTAACCTAGCAAATAATATCTTTCTCGCCATCCGTAATTCAGCCCATGAAGTTTGTAATTGCAAACTATCAACTCGCATCCTCAACCTTGAAATTCCTCTTGCTGTATCCGTACTCTGTTGCCATTCGATCTTCTCCCAAGGGCTCTCTTCAGTCTGTTATCGCCAGCCACAGCTGCCCAAGTCTTGTCGTTTGTTTTCTTGGATTCCATCGCAGCCATTACTATTTCCTACCTACCTACTCTGACTTGTTGATCAAGCATTGGTAATCCGACACAATGAGGTACGTACACACATTCATCCCTTCTGGGTCGGCTCCATTCCCTCCCCGCACCCAAAATCGCCAGTGGTTCCCCAAACCCCGTCAGTGAATCACCTGGGCCCATTCCCAACCTCTGCTTGGTTTAAAGCGTTTGTCGTTCTGGGTTTAGCCGCCTCCTCCCCTGGTTGCCGTGCCGCAAGTGCTTCAACCCCTGTAAAGGGACTCGACGGGAATGGATGGTCACTCTGTGGCGGCCAATCCCCCGCTTCCATCGGCTTGGCGTTCGACTATACCTGACGAAATACATCGAGACGGCATCACGGACTTATCCACCAAGCAATACACCATTATTAATGTCAAGGCGCCTATCGGCAGCTGTAGCGTTTAAGTTACCTTCGACTTGGAGCTTGTTGGAGCTCACTTGACCTTGCAGGCTTGCATAGAGCTTAACACAAAGCTTCCCGCGTTTCACAAACTTACGTACATCAACACCGAACTTTCCGTTCATCAGCTATTCAAAACAATTGACCCTCATTCCTCTTTCTGTGCCGTGCCCAAACTCCATCATCGTTTTCCCATTCCATCCGTTCTCTCTTCGCTTGACGTCACCATCTACCGTCAAGCACCCGCTCACTATAACTTTCACAGTATCAACAATACGCCCGATCACCTGCTGCCAAGCTCGGCAGCTTGTCCTCGTCACTCTCCTTCTTCTGAAGACCAGCAACAACATCCGCTTTCCGGAAAACTGCGACGTATAACAAACCGATCTGCTCCTCCTGCTCCAGGGCATCCAGATATCTACACTATGGGTGGTGGTAACGAGCAGAAGGGCAATGACTCTTCTTACCCCCTCTTCGCTGAGCGGCCCGTCGGCGTGCCCAAAACAAGCATTTTGAAAGGCCGCATTGAGCCGTTCTATAAGTCAGGACAGTACTATAAGGTTAACTTACAGGCGTATGGCAAACCAACCCACTCAAATGCAGTTGCCACTAGCTGACTTATCTCACCAGGAACATGTACAATGGCAGGTACTCGGGCAAACCTCATGTAAAACTCTCCGTCTGGGATGCGCCGGATCTTACTCGGCCGACTTTTGAAGATGCTGTTAGCCACGAGTTCAAGGAAACACACGTGGGCACTTCTTTTGGACCTTCATGGTCCACACACTGGTTCAAGGTTATTCTGTGTATCCCAAAGGATATCAAGGATGAGGAGCTCATTGAGCTTCACTGGGATGCCAACAATGAGGGCACTATCTGGACTGAAGATGGTGTTCCCATTCAAGGTCTCACGGGAGGCGGAGAGCGCATCGAGTGGATTATTCCCGATTCATTCCGCGATGGCGACGAACACACCATTTATATCGAAATGGCTTGCAATGGCATGTTCGGAAACGCTCCCAACGGCACAACAACAATTGCACCACCAGATCCCAACAGGCGTTTCAACCTGAGCAAAGCTGACATAGTCGCGATCAATGTGCCGGCTCGCAAGCTTCACATCGACATGTGGGAGATTGGCGATGCTGCCAGAGAACTTCCCGAGAACTCAGCAGAACAGAACCATGCCTTGTCTGTTGCCATGAAGATCATCAATACGTTCGAGGTCGACAATCAAGAGTCGATCCTCAAGTGCCGAGAAATTGCGCGTGAAATTCTCGGTCCTGATGTTGATTCGCACAAGGTTTATGAAGTGGGAAAGGACCCTGTTGTATTTGGAATCGGCCATTGCCACATCGATAGCTGCTGGCTCTGGCCCTGGGCCGAGACGAAGCGCAAAGTTGTGCGATCTTGGACTAATCAGTGTGATCTAATGGATCGCTATCCAGAACACAACTTTGCTTGTTCTCAAGCCCAGCAATACAAATGGCTCAAGACCTACTACCCTGCTGCTTACAAGCGAGTCAAGCAGAAGGTGAAGGAAGGCCAGTTCCATCCTATTGGTGGCAGCTGGGTCGAACATGATACCAATTTGCCCAGTGGTGAATCTCTTGTTCGACAATTCCTTTACGGTCAACGCTTCTTCGAGGCCGAGTTCGGCAGTCGAAGCCGTACTTTCTGGCTACCTGACACCTTTGGATACTCAAGTCAACTACCCCAACTCTGTCGCCTTGCCGGAATGGATCGGTTCCTGACCCAGAAGTTGAGCTGGAACAACATCAACAACTTTCCTCACACTACCTTCATGTGGGTCAGTCCTGATGGAAGTCAAGTCATCTGCCACATGCCTCCCTCCGAAACATATACCGCTAGTGCCGACTTTGGAGATTTGAGGAGGAGTGTCGTGAACCACAAAACAATGCGGGTTGATAACACATCTTTGTTGGTCTTCGGAAAGGGTGACGGCGGTGGTGGTCCTACCTGGGAACACTTTGAGAAGCTTCGCCGATGTGCTGGAATCAGCAACACCATTGGTGGCATTCCCAAGGTTAAAATGGGGTTGACAGTTGATGATTACTTTGACCGCCTAAACCACAAGGCCAGCGAGTTTCCTACCTGGTATGGTGAGCTGTATTTCGAATTACACAGGGGCACATACACGACACAAGCAAACAACAAATACTACAACCGAAAGGCTGAGGTGATGTTGCGAGACATTGAGCAGCTGGCCACATATGCTTCAATCAAAAACAGGTCGTACAAGTACCCTACTAAGGACTTGGATGATATGTGGGAGGCTGTTCTACTGTGCCAGTTCCATGATTGTCTACCAGGAAGCAGTATTGAGATGTGCTACGATGATTCTGATAAGGTATGTAACAGCCAAGCTATAGTGGAAATTCACTGCTAACTCTTCTCAGATCTATGCTGAAGTTTTTGAAACTGGTAAACGTCTCCTGAAGGAGCTGTACGAATCACTCAACGTGGCCAGCCAGTTTTCAACCTGTATTAACGAATCTGTGGCAATTAACACCCTACCTTGGCACCGAAAGGAGCTGGTCGAATTTTCCGATGGTGAAGTTGGTGTCGCATGTGGTGATGGTCAGCTTCTGGCTCTCCGCTCGTTTAAGGTGCAGGAAGAAAAGCCTGCAGTCACTGTCATGGAGCAATCAACAGACATCTATGTTTTGCAAAATGATCAACTTCGAGTTGTCGTCGATAACGGTGTCATCACATCTCTTTACGATGTTGTCAATGATCGCGAAGTCATCGAAAAGGGTGGAGAAGCCAACAAGTTTGTTATCTTCGACGACATTCCGCTTTACTGGCAAGCATGGGATGTGGAGGTGTACCATCTCGACGCTCGCAGAAAGGTTCAATATGGCAAGACCAAGATCTTTGAGCAGAAGTCTCATCGAGTTACCTTGGTCACGGAAATTAAGGTCAGCGAGAACAGCTCCATCAAGTCGTACACCACCCTTTCAGCAGCGCTTAAGGGCCAGCCTTCTCAAATCGATGTGAGAGCAGAGGTCAACTGGCATGAGGACTCCAAGTTCCTCAAGGTTGAGTTCCCTGTGAACGTTGTCAACACCGAGGCCTCGTATGAGACCGCTTTCAGCATCACCAAGCGACCAACACACTACAACACAAGTTGGGACATGGCCAAGTTTGAGGTGTGCTGCCACAAATTCGCTGACCTATCTGAAAATAACTATGGTGTTTCCATCCTCAACGACAGCAAATATGGCTTTGCGACTGCTGGTAAGGTGATGCGACTCTCGCTTCTTCGATCACCTAAGGCTCCCGATGCCAATGCCGATATGGGACGCCACACCATCAGATGGGCCATTCTTCCTCACAAAGGCGGCCTCTCGTCCGCTACCGTCAAAGCTGCGTATGCGTTCAATAACCCCCTAAAGCCTGTTACAGCTTCCAAGGCCGCCCTCGAAAGCGTCTCCAGTGCACCAATCAAGCTTGTCAATACTGACGAGTCTGATTCCCTTGTTCTTGACACGATCAAGCGAGGTCAGGATGATGAAGATGTGAGCCGAGATGAAGGCCTGCGCATCAATAAAGGCCAAAGTGTCGTTCTCCGCGTGTACGAGTCCTTGGGCGGCCGCAGCCGAGGTACTATCGAAACAAGCTTCAAGGTCAAGCGTGTCACCAAGACAAACATTCTAGAAGATGAGTTGGAGGAAATCCACCAGTCCGATGGCAAGATTCCGATTATGCTCCGGCCATTTGAAATTGCAACCTTTAAGCTCGAGCTGTAGGATGACACCGAGTAGGATGACTGCATCTGTTCAAGCTCAGATGTACATGTGTTCGTTGGTTAGCACATCAAATTGAAATGGATGGCCCTGCTCCAGGACACTGTAGTAACCAGAATGTGACTAGGGCTTCCGAGACATGTCAACGGATATGGGCTTTGACTTCGGAACAGGCGGCAAGATAGCGGAGGAACAGAATGGCTACAAAACAAGAACTTAGTTGATTACAATCAAATGGCTCTATCATTTCAATTCCAAACGCCTGCCCTTCCTTGTGACAATCAATGGTAGTAAACATGCCGGAGTGTGGCCACAGCCGCACATGTATAAGCTAAGCTCAGCACAATAAAAGGGGATATATCCTTAGCATCTCAAACTGCCTCAAAACCTGTCGCTTCACCGCACCAACACAACACAAATCTACGTACAAACTAATGAGAATCATCAGGCAGCTCCTCAATAACCGCCTGCACCATTTGGATGAGTTCGCTGATATCAGGTCGCTCAGCAGGCTCGACCCGCAAACACTTCCTCACGACCTCGCGAATAGATTCGCTAATCTCAACTGCGGGTGCTTGTTGCTGCTGCGGCTGTCCCTGCTGTGGGCGCATGCTATTGTTGCGCTTGACACCAGCGGGTCCCTCGTCAGGGAAACGCCAATCGCCACCAAGAACACAAAGAGACAAGGTACCGCCAGTCTCGTCTGAGCGCATCTCGAACGGGGACTTGCCGATAAGACAGGCGTAAAGTGTGCAACCCAGGGACCAAATATCGACCTTTGTGTCAATAACCATGCCCGTCTGAACGTCGAAGAGCTCGGGAGCACGGTACGGCATTGTGGAGTGCTCGGCGGCTGTATCTTGGATCTGAAGGGCGAGAGATTGTGACGTAACCGGGATGGGCGAAGGGGCCACGGATCCAAGATCCATGAGGATTGGGGTTGAGCCGGTGTCGTCGATCATGATATTTCCTATGACGTCTGATTAGTATCGGACATAGCGAAAGAGATATCTTGGTGATTAGGGTTACCTGGCTTGATATCTCGGTGGGCGTAGTGCTGAATTGATCTACCGCTGTTGACTTGATTCTCACCCTCCAATAGGCCTCTTTCCTGTTCTCCTTCCTCCTCTTCCTCAGTTCGCTTTCCTTTTGTGTTGTTTCTCTCGCCATTGTTCAGCTCGTCTTCTTCTCTGCCCATGTTCATGCGCTCCACTGCAGGCTTGTACTCATGCATGGCACGAAGAGCCTTGCACACACCGAGGAAGAGTAGCATGAGTCGACGCTCAGGGAAACGGTCGTGGTTGACCAAGTTCGCATTGATCATATCCTGCAAGTTGCCGCGCTTGTAGTACGGCAGCAGGACATAGACAGTTTTTGTTGACTCGTCGGCGCCACGCTCGGTCGCGACGGAGTGGTCGATAGCGGAAATGATGGTCGGGACATGGGAGAACAGGCGGTAGGCATCGACCTCGCGCATAGCCTGCTGGACGGACTCGGCGCCGAAGGGACATCGGATCTTCTTGAGGGCGAAAAGTTCATGGGTAGATGTATCTTCGACGAGGTATACGTAGGAAAACCCACCCTAGCAGTTGTTAGTAATGGAGAGCTCGGAAAGCTTAGAGTTGCGAGCTTACTTCGCCAAGTAACCTTAGGATCTTGAAACTTCGGTTATTGATCTTGAGGTTGGGGTTTCCAGGAAAGCAATTAAGACAGTTCCCGAATGAGTAGAAGAGATCAAGGAAGACTTGCGCCATGATGGATAGTGATGTATGTGGTTGTTTGTAGCACCTGAGACCTCCTCGGTACGCGATCAATCGACTCCAAGCTCTAAGTACGGGCTCTTAAGGCAACCAAGGTTTCTTTAAGAATACAAACAGAGTTTGGCGTTGCTGGTAAGAAATGGATCGTCGGGGACAGATGTGGTTAGAGTTGTTGGTATCTCGGTCGCAATTGAATAGATGACGAAACAGGTGGAAACGGGATCCAGCAATTATGCTATGACTTTCGCAGAACGAGAGCGGAGCTTAATAGCCTGATTGAAAGAAAAGTGCGGTGTCGGAGAAATGAGGAGAGATGTTGATTCTTGAGATGTTGTTTTGGCTGATGTTGGAAGCTGAGCTGAGAGGTTCCAGAGTCTGAGCCACATCAGCCCGCCTTTGAAACGCCGTGAACGCCACGACTAAGCTTACAAGAGCTGCGTAGGCTGCGTCAGTGGGGATGCGGAGGGTGTGCCAGCCCAAGCCAATTAGAGGTCGTACCGTCGAAACGAACGGGCCCGATATCTTATTGGTAGATAAACGACTTTAATTATGCACTTGCCTAACTACTTAAGTAGTAGTGGATTAGAGGGTCTAAGGGGCCTAGGAGGTCTATCTTGGATTGAAGAGAGTTTCATTCGAGGCAAGTGACGATGAATGTTGCTATGTCTTTAACAAGATGTACTTTGTAATCAGTCCAGTATATTGTTTTGACTTTGACAAACTGCATCAATGCGATGTATCGTGGTATACAAAAGCAATCACAACCAGATGTACCTAGTGCACTCCAGCTAGTTCATCGTGTTCACCGTCTAACATTTCTGAAATTCGTCTATTGGAAGTTAATAAAGGCCATGCTTTTCGTTGCCGTTTTACATTCATATTCGAACAAAGACGATTGCGCCTGTATCGCCGTAGCCTCCCACCCGTAGTTACCCAAGTCGCTAAACCCGCCAAAAGATGCAATCAAACCTCCCATAACAACCGATCCCATCAGAGGTCAACGTCCCAAGTAGTCATTCCCTCCAGCGGGGATATATATACATATATATGTATACTTTCATGCGCACACAACGTTGTCTATGCAGATGACACTGCCGCTGTCTAACCCTTCAACTTTTCTGTTTTCTCATATCTTTGCCGTCGCTCATGGCTCTTCTACGACATCACGGCTTCGCCCTCTAGGTCGAAATCACGACAACAAGTTTCGGAGTGAAGGACTAGCACTCGCTCCACTCGCCGGGCGGCTTTGCGGGGGCGGAAGCCCATTTCGAGAGCTAGGTGGGCTCGTTTGGGACAGAGAGTATGGAGGTCTTTGAGGATGCAACTCATGAGGAAATCCATCGTTTCTGGGTGGTGGTGGAGGTGGAGCCCCATTCGTCATGCCCGGGGGCGGTAGGTGTGCCGGATGAGCGTGGTGCCCGTGAGGCTGGTACGGGTGAGCATATCGAGAGGGAGGTGCTGGTCCATTAAGTCGACGAGGGGACGGAGGCAGTCCATTAGTGTATGGTTGCGGGGGATGGCCGCCGTGATGATTTGTAGGTGGTGGCCCGGGTGGCGGTGGTCCTACAACCGGTCCTGCAACCGGCGGCGGTCGTAAGGAAGACAGGTTCGCTATAGGCGGTGGGTTATGGATAGGTGGTCCCCCGTTTATATGTCTGGGAGGAGAGCCGTGCTGGCTTGCCGGGCGTCCCCATTCATTATATGATGGTCTTGGAGGCGGGGCTGCATAACCGTGAGGAACTGGTGGTCGGGCTCCAAGGGCATGGTCTGCTACAAGCGCAGGTGCTTGCATTGGCGGAGGTCCTGTCTGGGCATGAACGTGAGGAGGCCAGGCATACGCAGCAGGGTGCGCCTCGCGATTGACAGGTATTACCTGTGGTGGGCTGCGCAGAGGGGGAGCCGCCGTGACTGGAATGCCCGCTTCGTGAGCTGGAAGCATCGGAGCCTCTGCTATGATAGGTGACTGCCGCACTGGTTGCAGGTGAGGGTGTGGCTTTGCAGTGCGCTGGGCCTTACGACACTTGTGGCACTGGAATCGCCTCTGCTCCATAAACTTCTGTGCCTCACTTCCAAGAGTGCCGTAATGTCCGTTAGTAAGCTCACGTTCTTGTGAGTTGTCGATCGGCCACCATTTCGGACTGACATCGATGCCGCAAGTGATACAAACCTTCTCTCCTGGTTGCTTTGATTCGCGTGTTATGTCTTCTGCATCCCCGCTACGCTGCTGCTGACTTGATCCACCGGAAGAGATGTTCGTTGTCGACAACCTGCGCAGACCTAATTGAGTCGTTGTGCCTGTCAATTTGGCAGCATTCGTCATGAGGGTGGCTTTGCGAACAGTCCCTGTCAGGGTAAGGTCGGCTTGTTTGAAGTTTTGTACATAGAGCTGTAAAGTGTTGAGTCCCGAATCGTCCACGACGTCGTGCATCTGATGAACGGTAGTCTTGGTAGGAGCGTGATCCTTACACCAAACAGTTGCCGACATGGTGCCACTCTCCCCATTGATGGTTACAATGTTGAATTGGTCCCTCCGAGAACTCTTCACGGGCGTCATTTCAAAACCAAGAATGTACCCCTTTTGGCGTGCGCACTCCACATGCACTGCGAGTTCAATTAGTATGTTCAACAGTTACCGTTACATTATCCAAACTTACGTGGAATATGACACTGGTGACAAGAGACACAAGCCCCATCATTCTTGTCGCAGACTTGACAGGTCTCGCCGTACCTGCTCCTTGGGATAGAAGGAATGCCTTCCGAGGGTTCCAGCGCCTTGGCGTTGCCAAACTTCACCTCTGGAGTCCAAACGGCGCAAGTAACATGCACCCAGTTGTTATCCGCAGTTCTCTTGAGCGGCTCCCGAGGGTTGACTGGTCGGTTCATATCTTCCTGCTTCTTGCGGTAAAAGTCGGCAGCTTTTCGAGCCTGTTCGATCTCGAGGCGCTCTCTCTCGCGGTCTTTCTCCGACATTTTCTTCTTGTGGTGCGTGGGTTTAGGCTGCTCAACAAAATCATGTTCGGTGTACTCGACGGGGCAAAGAACACATTTGTAGTGCTGGATTGCTGTTAGCACAGGCGAATATGCAGATTCAGTTTTACTTACGATGGAAACTTGTGGATTCTTATCATTGGCACACATATCGCAGGTCCATTTTCCAGAATGACGGTTATCCATGATACCATAGCAGCTGCGGTGCACCGTCAAGCGGCATTCGCGGCATGACAAATGCTGATCTCCCTGCGGCTCCAATACACCACAGACGGCGCAAGGTAGAACTCGGGGCTTGGGTATTTCGGGGACTGTGACGCTTTCGACGCTCTTGTCTTTCTTCTTGGATGTGGTAGAGCCGGCCACACTGGCAGCATCAGAATGGCCGTTATCCGCATCCTTATCCGATGGTGCTCCCTTGAGCTTCTTTCGTGGTGGTTCTTGCACGCTGGCAACTGCCGGGACTGCTGTGGGCGTTGGGGCACGTTCTGGTGTCATCAAGCCCATGTCCTTTGCAGCTTGTAGTTCCTTAAGGAGTTCCTCGTCTTGCTTACGCTTCCAAGCTCGGCCACCCGACTGGGCCACCTTTCTAGCCACCTCTTCCATGTCTTCCCATCGAATAGCGTACCGACGCCATAGTTCGGCGCATCGACGGCACAGAGCTGCCACTCGCTCCTGACCCTTCTCCTTGTTCGAGGCTTTGGAGCCACCATCGTTAACGGCTCCAGGAATGGCGTTTGGAGCACGTCTCCATTGTAGCGAGGAAGTTGTTGAGCAGAATTGGCAGATGAAACCTCGCTTTTTCTGGATTGCCTTCTCTGCATCGAAAGCCGAATCGTCATCGTGGTCCGCAACGTCGTCGGCAAGCTCTTTAGCAGCAGCTTCTGCTTTTTTGGCTTCTTTCTTGCCCTTTCGGCCCGCCTGATTCTCCAGAACCTGCTTGCCACGTTCTGACTTTTTCCAGGCGTAGTAGTATCGAGTCACCATACCATAATGCATGGTCTTGACATGCTTCCTAACAAGATAAAGTTCGGAGCCATATTTGATAACCGCTTCCTCGAATTTCTTTTGTTCTGCTGGAGTGAGTTCTGGTTCTTTGAATGCTACCTTCTCTGTCCCGGCAAGAAGTCTTAGGGAACGTTTGGTATCAAACCCTGCGTGGAACAGTGTATCGGCGGCGACATCCTGAAGGTTGGTCGAGCGTTCTGGCACTCCGAGATCCTTAGCCATCGCTTTGGCCTTCTCCATGTACTGATTAATTTCCTTCTCTTTAATGACGTCTTCTGAGGGGGGTATCCACATGGGTGTCGCAGTGCAGTTGAGATCATCTTCATCATAATCCTCCCCTCGAACAGTGTATCCAGGAGGCATGTCCTGCACCCATTTTGGTCGTTTGCCACGCGAGGCCTTCTCGGCTTCGATTGCAGCCAATGCCTCCTTGGACTTGGTATCCTTCTTGCCATTCTTCTTGATTTCGAGTGGCTTGACGTACTCAACTGGCTGTCCTGGCCATGGCAAAACAGTTGCTTGATTCCTGGGCCCAATTCTGGTGCTCGCGCGGGGATAAATTCTGTCGTCGTAGTCGAGCGCGTCCTCGGGCTTGCAATGCATTCCCAGGTACCGGTAAGGCCACAGAGAGGCTTGATAAATCTGTTCTGCGGTGCCCTCGGGATGTTCATGTTCTCCATCCTCGGGCGTTGTGCGACTAGTCTCAGCCCCTTGCATCTCCTCATCCTCTTCATCCATCGGATCTTCATCGTCGCCGTCGAAGCTAGGATCATTGACGTTAGGAGTGTTCCGAGCGTTCAACTTCCTTTCCTGAGCGCGACTACATGCAGCACATGACCATGCGAAACCTCTGGATGGTTTCTTTAGTAGGGGCGGGCTGACACAATTCATATGGTATGTGTTCTGACATACTGCACAATCAACTGAGTCGTTGCTAGAGGACACCAATCAGGTCAATTACTGAGCGTGGGTGGGACGTGGGGCAGTGTAAGTGAAAGTGGGCGGTACGTACCTCGCGCAATAGCCGGTGCATCTCTTGCAGAGCTTAACGGCGCTAGTGAGCTCCTTGCCACGCCCCTGCTCGACTAGCACGTATTTCCAGCGCTCATCGAGAACCTTTTTCACGTTGGCTGGAACGTTGACAATAGAACGCGTTGGAATCAAGTCGTAGTTCTTCTGGATATACCGATCATAGAGCTTGTCGTACCAGAAGCTGTCGGGGGTCTTTCGATAAGCGTCCATGCTGGTGATTTCAGCTTTGTGGCGAATCTGACACTTTCCGCGCAGCGCAGTCAACGGGCTGATGTCGGAGTGCATCGTCGCAAAGACCATACGTGTGTCTGGGGATTTTCGACCAATATCTTTTGGTCGGTAGTACCAGTTAATGCGGATTGCATCCACAGGATTGCTGCTGTCATTTTTTCCATGAAGGAATTCCATTATGCGCCCCAGGTAATAGGGCTCCCCAGGTGGTTCACAGACAAGGTACACATGATCTACATTCGCCGGTTAGCCACGCTTGGTTTAATTTGTGATGGTCCTATTTGGGGGAGGAGTTATGTTACCATTTGGCTCAAGCACCGTGCCATCGTCGGCTACCATCTGGCCATCAACGGGTTGTCCCTTGCAGTTGTCAAAAGTCAACATGTTGGTTTCGGGCCATGAGATGCCCGCAGGCGGTCCAGAAGCTGTTGTTTTTTTGGTGGAGCTGTTGGTTGGTGTCGCTTGGTTAGTGGAAGCTGCCAAACTGGTTGTGACCTTGCGCTTCCGTGTAGGTTGCGAAGCAGCAGGCGGTTGAGTTGTCGTGGGCGCATTGCTTGAGCCACCAGCCTGTTGCTCCTTGGGGGCATTTACGGGCTGCGCTGGCTTGGGCTCGTCTGTGCCAGCCTTGCGCGAGCTGGCACCACCACGAGGCACATCTCCGTTCACAGCAGCGCTGGACTGACGGGAAGTCTTTTTGGAGTCATTTTCTTTCTTGTCGTGATAGTAGTCATAAACATCAGCATCAATGTCCCTGTCCTCGGCGTAGTTGATACGCGAGTTGCCGTTCCTGTTACGAGAACGAGTCCCATATGGAGAAGCAACATCAGCGCCGGCATCCTTGGCCGCGCTTTCCAAACCTGATTGAGTGGTCATCTGGTCACACGCAGGTTGAGCCTCAGGGTCAGATGTTTTGGATTCCTAGGTGACGGGTTAGAGACTAAATCCAATCGCGACCGCGCCCTCGCAGTTTGGGTCATAAGTGAGGAACAAGCAAGCATGAGTATGGAAAAAAAGTCAGGTGTAAGAGAAGCGAGTGAAAGTTTTGTAAGAAGCAAAATTGTATCTCAACTTACATTTTGTTGTGCCATGGCATGCAGCAGAGAATCACTTGCGCAACAACGAGATGGGGTGAATCGCGTATGAAGGCATGCCCGGAGGTATGGCTTGATGGTGAAGTTGCGAGGATGAACACGGCAAGAAGAGAGCGATCCGTATGTTGGTGCGATATGAGATGGAAGCAGTTGGCGATGGGTGAGAATCGTCACAGGCGTGAAAGACAGAGCTAGAAGCTCGAGGTTCAAGATTAATTGTTCCGCAAGACGGAGTGAGTAAAGTTAAGAAGGAGGAAGAGGCATGATTCCCAGGCGCCGGGAGAAGAAACGTCCTGGCACTGGCACCCCGAGGCGGCGGCCCTGGCCTGGTCGATGCACCCACCCTACTAATAGGGCACTGGGGGCGGCGTTAGATTGATTTTGTAGTGACAATGTAGCCACTAACTGAGTAGTGGCTGCTACGCACCAGCGGGATACCTCTCTTGTGCATGGTACGATAAGCTTGACAGCGTCTCTACTTACTGCACCCTGGTCATCAGTGTTACCTTGAGTCTCCACGGGGGCCCATCTGGGTCTCGCAGCACTGACGAGCCGACGGATCTCAACCCAACTCTGAGGCGTGGCCATGGGTCCACGGGTCCTCCCACAAAGAAAGAGAGCAGACCACGCCGGGGGAAGAACCACTGCGAAGCCGGTCACCACAGATTGGCCATTACCGTGAAGTCAAGGTCGAGGCAAGAGGCTATCGGCTTTTGGTGGGAAAGTCTAGGGCCTACAAGACCACCAAAGCTGGGGTTGGCGGATGGATGGCAAAGCAAAGCAAAGCAAAACGATCGGAGCAAACATATTGAATCAGAATAGATCTATCGTTCATTGACACACATGATTCCTTGGTCAAGCATGCATCGGTGTAAGCAACAGCAGTGATGAGAGGAAGACGGTATCCGATGGAAGTAGTAAATGTAAATGGTGCAACCAAATGGGCCATGTAGGTAGTATGATAGAGCCTTGTCTCGTTGTCCCCCATCCTTGGCTCATGGCGATTGTCCCATCAAATTGTCCTTGTTCCTTAAAATAAAGGTGCTTGCTTTCCGTGGGAACTCCTGGTCAGCGATATCTCTCTCAAATTAGTTCGACAACCTTTTGCAATCCCCCCCATGCCATGCCCACCGACATGCGCCGTTAACCAGACCGAGGTTTCTAATAGCTACCTCGTACTATACCACAGTTGGAAAGTAATTCCAGTATTCGCTCTTGGCTGTCCAGACCTATTGGAAGTGTTTATGTTCCTTTTAAAAGGCTGCCGAAAGAATGTGAGTTTGGAGGGACCATGGAGACCTTGAGTATGGGGCGCCAAGTCATCCACATTTTCCGTTCCATTCTCCCACACCCTTGCACGCCCTCCCTCGACTCAATCAAAGCGATGTTAATTACAGAGTAGAGTCATCGTCAGGTGTTAAAGCTCCGTGACTCTGTTTGAGCGTTCACCGTGATTGTCCATCAACGACTTTTTTTTTGGCCCTATTATATCTTATTTATTCTATGAAAGCCCGTATTTCGTTCACCCGGGTTCCATATATGGCAAGTGTCTAGCGTATGAATTATCGTCAATATAGTGACATGCACGCTCATTTACCTTCGTCTGCTGAGAAATTTCTCGCCCTGTCGGCTACTTGAAGTCTTCCTCTGATCAAAGGCTACTCTAGTATTATTCTGCATCACTTCAGGGCACTAAAAGTAAATGTGTCGCTCGACTGCAGAAAGCAATACTCGTGAATGAGTCTCTTGGCCATATCACCTACCTTGGCCGACCGTCGCGACTAGTTATCCCTATCTCTCCTCCACCATGACGTCTTGATCAGACAAAACCAGCGATGTTCAATCTGCCACACTCGCAGAGCAGATTCGAAGGCCTTAATAGTTGATAATAATTGACATAAACATGGAGCTGTTCACTATCAACAGCATGAACGAACTTATATATAAAGCTTGCCAATCAAGAGAGTAACGCCAAGTACAAATCAGTCCCGTTGGCAATCCAAGCTGGATCTAGGCTTGTCAATTTCGCACCAGAAAAAAGTCGGCTGTGCGATGGTGATGTTGAGATCCTCGTGGGAGCTGACGAGAGGGAGTCGGTAGTAGGGCTAAAGCTTGAGCTGGCGTAGTGAAGTCAGCTCCACCAAGGTGGCCGGGGCTCCGGTTGGATGGACAGAAGGTTGCTTGCCCAGAGATGATGCCCTGCAGCGGTCCAGGTCCACGTCGGTACGTACCTGGTCTATCTCCCAATCTCCAACGACTTTGGTCGTTGGTGTTGTGTTGTCTTGTTCCCTCTCAAACCTAGCCGGCCTAACCTGGCCTGTCCCCGGGACGGAACTGCGATTTGTTAATGACGGATGGTGGTCTTGCTTTGACCCCCTTGTTTTAGGACTCGACTGGCGATGGACAAATGACTTTTTCTCTTATGGACCATGGCCGTTTTTCTTAGCATTAAGGATGTTGCCATACTCCGTACTCAGCTTGGGAATGTCTCAACTCCCTCGTTGCTATAATCTGCCAAGTGCCAGCATCATTAATCGCCATGACAGGTAGTCCATGCTCCTCCGAGCCTTGTGGACGTGATTGTCTTATCAAATTTTGTTCTTGATTGCACATACCAGTGACTATCCGATCGTCACCCTACGTGGTATCCAGTAGTGGCTGTTTGTTTCACCGAAATGCCAGAGTTGAGATACGTATCCTGCCTGATTGAGGCTCTCACACGCTTGAATACGATGATCCCTTGTGTGAGACCCATGTCGATTGTCTTTTCGCACAGAAAATGAGCCATGGGCATGAATCACGGTCAGGACAAGATTGAAATAGCAGACATGTCTCGGCCATGGATTGGCCTAAACTACTTCCTGTGGCGATCAGTCGATCTGATGATGAGAAAGAAGTCGAGATTGAAATTGGATGATTTTATTCGTCTTTACCTACAGTGTGCTGTAGATTCGGTAGAAGAAAAGAAGCAGCTGGGGCTGGCGGACTGGCAGATGACAGTGTGGTTAGTGTTGGTAGCCAAGTCCAAGTCCAAGTGCAAGTCCAAGCCAAAACGCAGGCGCAGCTGCAGAGTGCAGCGGATGCATGCTGCTGCACCGTGTTGTCAAATGGTCGTCGAATCAAGATTCCATGGACAGGATCGGAGAGGCACACCCCCCAAAAAACTGCCCCTCAAAAAAAACCCAGGTGCTAAAAAGAGTCGTGGGGCTAAACACCCGACCCGGCCGCAGGGGAACGGTCGACGACACTTGAGACTTGGTGCACACGATACAGCGCAACAGGGCCACTTCATGATCTGAAAATTCTACAAAAATTCCCAGTGATAGGCTGGGGCATCCCTAAGAGGCTGGAGAATAGCGAAGCTATATTTCCCAACCAGGACGCCGTCTCTATCAATTGGCAGATTGCGTTGGTACCCATGTAGTCGACCAGAAGAGGGAGTGGCGCACATGGGATGCAAGGTAAAAGGTACGGAGTAGGCTGGGTAATCGATTGCTGGAAGGCGGCGTCCAGATTTGCCATGGAAGCCTAAAAGTACCAATTTGGGCCGAACACCTAGGTGCCTATGCCTTAACAGCAAAAACACAAACGAAAAAGGGATGAAAGTTTAGGGAAAGGAAATGACATAAGTCGATAAGCCGAGCAAATAGTTGGGTGGGAATAATTAACGGCCACGACAAAACTCCCAGTGAACAGGGGGGGGGCACTAACGTAGGTCGGATGGACAAAGAAAAGAAGCAGGCCCGGCAGGGCAGGTTTATGCCACCTGCCGTAGGCGGTCGATGAGAACTGTCAGGGTTCAACTTTAGTGCGACCAATCACCACCCTCCATCATGCCGCGGGGCACAAATCGGCTGCAGGAACCGGGGTGTGGCAGATGCCTTCCATGGGCAGTTTGATGCCTGTCTCCCACGTGATCACGCGTCATCTTTGTCTGCGTTTCGCGTTCTCTGTTTCGCGAGTCACGTAACATCTACGCCGGACCTTGGTTACAAAAAATGAGTGGTGGGTTCGATTATTTATTTGTAACTCGTTCTCGTTGAGTAATTTGTATCGCAACTTCTTCGTTGTTTTTTTATCGCTGATCATGAAGAGTATGCGAGGGTTGATGCACACAACCAGTGTCGAAACTACCCATGAACACAAAACCACATTCGCTACAACCTCTGTGGCTGGGCATAAAAGAAGTTCATCGACTACAGGAGAAGAACAAAAATTCAGACCACCTGCTTCTCGAACCGCAGTTCAGTTTCAACGAGCAGTCAGTCTGCCTGCTGTTGCTCCTAGGATATCAGCGAGTCGCATTGTTCGTCTTGATGAACGAATCGGTCCCTCTGAATACTCCCAAAGAAGAACTATAGCTGCAACTCCTACGTCTTCTTGTGATCCTGAGCTCGATTTGAGTCATCCTACTTACGATCTACCACAGCAACTGGTTGATAATTTTGCGTCACTTGGTATAAAACAGATATACCCTTGGCAAAAATCATGTCTCAAAGGCCCTGGACTCTTATCAGGCGAAAAGAATCTTGTGTATTGTGCACCAACTGGTGGTGGCAAATCACTCGTGGCTGATGGTGAGGCCGAAATTGGGTGATGCATGGAGCTTTAGCTAACATTTTTTAGTACTTATGCTCAAGAGAATCCTACAAGAAAAAGGAACGAAGGCCCTCCTTGTGTTACCATATGTTGCTTTGGTGCAAGAAAAAGTTCGCTGGCTTCGTAGTGTGGTGCAGGGCTTACGCTTCGCTCCTGATACAAATGTCGACGATGACAGGCGCATCTGGCGTCGACGAGCTGATGAAAACACTGTTCGAGTCGTTGGCTTTTTTGGAGGGGGGAAAGTTCGAGCAACATGGGCCGACTTCGATATCGGTGTGTGCACATTGGAAAAGGTCGGTCCTTGGTAGCTGTTTTCGCACTGCTAGCAAACCATTGACATTTTCAGGCAAATGCACTTGTGAACACGGCCATCGACGATTGTTCCATTTCTAAGCTACGCGCAGTTGTGCTTGACGAGTTGCACATGGTCGACGATGAACAGCGAGGTTATTTGTTGGAACTTGTCGCAACCAAACTGCTCAGCCTCGAGCAACCTGTACAAATTGTTGGTATGAGCGCAACTCTCCCGGTACGTTCAATGGTTAGTTTTATTGCACATTTCCAGTCTAACATGGGGGGCAGAATATGGACATGATGGCCCAGTGGCTTGGTGGGCACTGCTATGAAACTCGGTATCGGCCGGTTCCCATAGAGGAGCACCTCGTGTATGACGGCAACATTTATCCCGCAGGTTCTACAAGCAGTCTCATCAAGACAGCCGCGCAACTAAATAGTCGAACCACACAAACACAGGCACAGACGAAGCCCGTCAGACGAATTGAACCGTCTACCCACAAAGAGCTTCGCGACCCTGTTTTAAATGCAGTAGTGACACTTGCTCACGAGACTGCGGCTGCTGGCTTCGGGGCCCTTGTCTTTGCTGGGAGCCGTGGCATGTGCGAGTCTGATGCACGATGGATCAGTCGAGCTATGCCCGAACCGCACGAGCCTAAAGTTGAAATTGTTGACAGGAGGATGGATTTGTTAGGAGAGCTCCGCAGTCTTAACACTGGAGTTGATCCGGTTTTGGAAGAGACCGTTCTATATGGCGTTGCTTTTCATCGTAAGTGCAACTGGTTGGTTTTCGGGATTTATTATTTGTCGCTAACAACAATAGACGTAAGTCACACGGACAAACAATGGTCTGCAAACATTTCTAACGACATAGGCTGGCTTGACTACTGAAGAGAGAGATCTCATCGCAGCAGCTTACGACGCTGGAACATTGCTCGTTTGCGTTGCTACCTGTAGTCTGGCAGCTGGTATTAATTTGTGAGTCTTTTCTTCCTTTACTATTGAAGCAATCTGCTTACAATCGAAGGCCTGCAAGAAGAGTGATTCTGCACAACTGTCGGATGGGGCGTGAATTTGTTGGGCCGGCCATGCTCAGGCAAATGCGAGGACGAGCAGGGAGGCAAGGGAAAGCACCCATTGGTGAGACATATTTATGCTGTCGAGAAAACGACCTGGAACAGGTCGTAGAGCTCATGAATGCCGAGCTGCCTCCAGTCGCAAGCTGTTTGAATACTGAAAATCGGCGTATTCAACGGTAGGTTTCTGACAGTTATCGATGAACCTACATTCGGCTGATGGCGTTTAGTGCTTTGTTGGAGGTAATATCCATACGTCTCGCTACGAGTCATGAGTCCATATTGGACTATTTCTCAAAGTCGTTATTGAGTCATACCCACGATGCCAAGTTTGTGGATGATTGTATCACATCCAGCTTGGAGGAAATAGAGTCTATGGGCTTTGTTACCCGCGATTCTTTATCCATGTATACAGCGACACAGTTAGGCAGAGCAATTGTGGCATCCGCCATCGATCCAGATGACGGCGTGTTCGTCCACAATGAACTCAGTCGAGCTCTCCAGGCGTTTGTCATGGATGGTGAGATGCATGTACTTTATACATTTACACCAGTCCAAGAATTCGGTGTCGTGGTGAATTGGCAAGTTTTCCGGAATGAAATGGAGCGTCTAGATGAGAGTGGCTTACGAGTATTGCGGCTTCTGGGAATTAAGCCTACGACGATACTCAAATTGTAAGTTGGGCTCACAACCATAGCTTCTAAAGTCTTCTTTACTGACAGTCGACAAGGGCTCAAGGTGCCACACTTCGTGAGACAACGCAAGAAGAAAAGCAAATTGCTCGCGTGCACCGACGCTTCTACCTTGCCCTCCAGTTGAGGGACTTGTGCAACGAAGTGCCGATACACATAGTGGCACGCAAATACGATGTGCCTCGTGGAATGGTTCAGAATCTTTCACAAACCTGCCAAGGCTTCGCCGCGGGAATGATCAAGTTCTGTGAACAAATGAGCTGGGGGTATGTGATCATCAGATGCCTTGTCTATCACGCACACAACTAATCAGCTTGCAGAGTAATGGCTGCAGCTCTTGATCACTTTTCTGACAGACTTGTGGCTGGTGCAAGGGCTGACCTGTTGGCTTTGGCCAAGATTCCCTTTATCAAGAGCCGAACGGCGTGAGTACGTTGCCTTTATAGCATGATGTCTTGCTTACAAACTACAGGCGAGTTTTCTGGGAGAACGGATTTCGAACTGTGGCAACAATTGCGAACGCTGATCCTGCAGAGCTGCTCCCTGTGTTGATGCAGGTCGGTATCCTGTCATTCGTCATCGGGTTTTTGAAGTAGAGCGTACTAATATGTTCAGGCTCAACCAAACAAGATTCGTCTAAAAGGCAAAGATAATGAAAAGTACGAAGAGAAACTGCTTATTAAGGCCCAAATTATATCAGATGCTGCGAGTAAGATCTGGAGTGAGTCGCCTTACGATATGCGTACCCTTGCAAAACTGACATTCTTGAAGAACTACAAATGCAGGCAGAGATGGAGGAAGAGTAGCCTATCACATAAAATACATGGATGAACAAATGAGGCTGGCAATTGTTAGTGCAGCATCTCGCCATGGCTTCCAGCTCGGGGAATATGAGCCTGAGGCAAATGGGTCGGACCGCTTCGATGCAGGCGTGTGATAGATTGCCCGCATGCAGCGCGGCGGATGAGCTGGGATTTGGCACACCAGAATAAGACGTGCCTCAAAATTCGGCGTGAACACCGCACCCCGTTGCGCATGAGTATCACATATTATGTGAAGGGATACTCGATTCGGCTCAATTCCATGATCGATATGCGTCGGTATTCGCAATTGCGGATCTATCAGTCTATGCGTGGCGTGGTTGTGAAAGTATAGAAACCAAAACGAGGTCAGAAACACGATCTACCATCCCTGTTTGGTCGCTTTGTTACTGGGCTGTAAACGGAACTCCAAATGTCAGACGGGGTGAAAGGAAAGATGTACACGGTCTATGCAGAGGAAGATGTTGGTTATTCATTCTCTGGCAATCTATTCGCTGAGACACATACCCCGTACCGAGTTGAGGCTTCAAAAACTCGATGAAGGCGTCAATACCCAACTATTGGTCTTGCGTGACCAGGCAATGGGCGTATTCCAACCAAGCGCTTGTACCGCTGCAAGTCGTCTGCGCCTTGCTTATTCTGCGCCAAAGGGCAACCAAATGGTTGGGGGGCTGTGGCTCGCAATTGGTAGTTGTCAACCACCCACATGTTTGACATGCCGTTGGCTGATTCTAGGTTTCTAGGATTGGATGCCAATATGGTGTGCGTGGTGTATCCGAATGCCTGCACCTATTTTCTGCGTCCTATTTCCTACCCCGACCAGCATTACTCACCATACGCTTCCGGAGATGGAACACTTCTAAAGCCTCGCTTCGCGCTTCTTACGCGCTCTCACGCGATCTTCCTGCTAGCACTAAACTGAAGTCGTTGCGGTAAATCGAGCAGAGCACAGATAGTACTTTGATAGTGTTGTTATGGCCGAAAATGCTGAAGCTGAAGCCGCCGGTTCAACCGTCACGGTGCATACCCTGGCTGATGCCATCAATGTGCCTCCGCCTCAGGTTATCGTTATAGAGGGAGACCACCAGGTGAAGAATGAGGAGAAACTCCCCAGTACAACAGAGGACCTTTGGGTTAGTTCCGCTGATGGTCGGTATTGTTCTGCGCCCGTACCAATACGAGTTGGTCCCTTGAATAATATGCAAACATTCTATGTACGTGAAGACACGTTAGTCCTCGATCGGATGAGACAACGATAAGACTAACTGGGCTATAGGTTCACAGAGATGTACTTATTCAGGCCGAGTGGTTTCAGAAAGCCCTCTGTGGAAACTTCAGGGAAGCTAGTGAGCAAGTCATTGACTTGCCCGACCAAGATCCAGCTACTTTTCACTTTCTAGTCGCCTTTCTGTACGAGGGTCGCTTTGAGCCTATCAAACCAGCAGCGAGCGTATTAGGTGAGTGAAGCCGCTCATGCACTGACTATGAACCTAAAATACTAAACCCTCAAATAGAACCAGAGGTTGATAAAGGAAAGGGCCTTGATATCGAATCAGAACCGGCAGAGGCCTCAGATTCAAGCTCATCAAGCAGCAACACCGGCTCTGGAAGCTCTGGCACCTCGTGGCAACGTCGACGTCAAGCTCGACGGGCTAGACTCGCCGAGGAAGAAGAGAGACAGGCAAGGCAGGAGAAGCATCCAGGCCATCATCGCCCAGGATGTCCCTGCCCTCGTTGTCTCGCGAGACGCGACTATTCAAGATGCTGGCAATGCGGCGCCCAGCGATCCCGTGATAGTAATTCTGCTGCCCACCCACTCTATGGCCGAGGGGCTCCTAGGCAAGGAGTACGACCTCCAATGCATTACCCACCGCCTGTGCACATCGAAATACCTCCTCAGCAGATCCAGCCTGAGCGCATCGCCGGTGAGGATCTACGGACATGGTTCCTGGCATACGAGCTCAACCTGGACGTTTACATCTGCGCAAATCGATTCCTCATGAATGACTTCCAAAAGACCGTCATGCGGTCATGTGTGGATATGCTGGAGACTGCAGGGTGGGATGCCGCACAGCCAGAGATAATGTATCTCTGTAGGAAGCTATATCGCAGCGTACCAGAGGTAGATGAGCTACTCAAGATGGTCCTGGCACGCGTGGGCTTCCTCCAGCCATTGCTGTGGAAGCGTGCTCCCGAGGAGACGAGCGAGTTCTTGATCAGCAACCCAGAGTTGGCTGCTACTATTCTCAGAGAGACTGTCATGAGGCACTCAGTACCGGCGCCGGGTTTACCTTCGATGGAGCATCTTCACACTACGGCTTATGAGGATGAGTGGCAGCGTCTGGGGCAAACACCTGCGCGCACGCACAGCTACAATTATTAGATATGGTACTTTTTAAGGCTTATGGGGCGATTTTTACCTGTTGTGTTATTTTTCAGAACATTTATGGATTAGAGATGGACTCAGTACATCGCAAATTTGCAGGCGCCGCAGGCTGTATTCTCTAGATGGGGTGTGGGTTTCGTATTCAATGTCATTACCAATTCATGTATGAGGTGTTCCCTCTTGTCATGTCCTACCACACAGAGTTCCCAGATCTAACTAGTCGATCACGTCGTCTCTCAAGCTAAAGAGTTGCTCCATAACTTCATCCGATTTAGCTCTCAAGGCCGAGTGGTACATAACATTCGTCTCGAAGGTCTTGGTGCCCTTGACGAGTTTGGCCGTCTCTCTGGCGAAGTCATAGTCGACGTACATGTCCTCGATGTATGAAGCAGCATAGACGGGGATTTTATTCTTGTGAAGCTTCTCCTGGTCGTACAGCGCAGGCCAGTCATCCCGGTTGGCCAATTGCTCGGCCTCCTCGCGGAGGACTTGAAGCTCTGGGTAGGTATCAAAGTGAAAAGGGAATATCATCTCACCAGAGAAGTAGAGAGGTTCGTTGGTCGAGGCCGTCGAGAAGTCACTATTAAGCCAGGCAAATGGCTCAAGAACTTTTCCGACACGATGTGCAGACCAGCTAGAGGCAAAACCCGGGCCGTCGCAGTAAATTGCCTCGTGGAGGATAGCGTAGATGATATTTGTATCGAATGGGTTCCAGCTTTCCAGAAGCACTAGCGATGCCCGGTTGAAGAAGCCAAACTGGTCAAGGGAGGTTTTCAGTGTGAATATGGTGGAATGAACCTGGTCAAAGCCTCCATGGCCTCCGAAGGCGATGCCTATGGACAGGAGACGGGGAACCGTAAGAACACCTCCAGAAGGCAGTGGAATATTTCCCCCTTTGCTCTCGATGAATTTTGCAACTTGGCGAACATTGTCGATATCCTCTGGAAATTTGTCGTAGTATTGCTCGTTACGCTCTATGACCCGTCGGAATGTTGCTTCATATACTTGATCAGGCTTCTTGCCTACGGGGGCTAAGCCGCCTGTAAGAAAGACTTCGCGAAGCCCTTCGGGATGCATCGATAGGTATGACAGTGAAACGAAACCTCCGTAGGACTGGCCAAAGATTGACCAAGGTTGTTTTGAAGCAGGCCATGAGTCGGTAAGACACTTGCGTACAGCCTCACAATCACGAACTGTGTTGTCCTGACGCATTAAACTAAGGTAACGCGCACGTCCTTCAGCATTGTCAGATACAAGGCTGAGCATATCAGCCCCGACCGGGCTGCTTAAGCCAACACCGCGATGGTCAAGTAGAAGAAGCTGGTAACCTCTTGCGAGAGCATGGCGGGTGAGAGGGTGATCCTGTGGTTCACGATTGCCAAAGCCAGGACCGCCCTCGAGATAAACCATGTAGGGCTTTGGAGACTCTCCGTTTTTGTATTTTTCCTTCACTTCATCTTCGTCTTCCTCTGGTGGGAAAATGGGGACCTCGTATTTCTTGACGCGGCGGGCAAAAAGGACGATGGAGGTGCCGTTGAGGTCTGTGTAGTCGAGAGGGACTTCGAAGAAGAGCTCTGTGACGAGCAATCGTCCAGGCAATACATGAGACTTGCTGCTTATGAGCTGAGCTCGAGGGATAGATAATATTTCGGGCGTAGACATGGTGACGGGTAGTGATATGATAGTGGTAGTGTTGAGTGTTGAGTGGTGATGGTGGGGTTGGTAGGTGAGGTACTCTTATCTGGGCATTTGTTTAGTGGTATTCGCATTATAAAAGCGTCAGAGACACGACTCAGGGTTACGTTTAGGGAACAGGATAGCTCCGGGCTGTTCTATTTTATATGCACAATATATCTTCCTAGCACAATATGAATTCCACGTTATATATGTCGGAGACACACGTGTTGTAAGGGTTGCTTTCTTCGTGATGATTCCGTTTTGTTTGCTCACTATGATAAGATCAACGACATATTTGCATGTCCTTACTCCTTACTATATAAGTACTCTCACGTTGAAGTACCTGAATCAAGTATTAATTAGCAATTTATGTATAACAAATGGCCCGTCGTAGGAGATATTTAGGCAGTTATATATTACGAAATACTTGACGAAGGCTGCATGTACAGGGTAAGCACATGTGGACTGGACTGGGAGACAAGTGGAAATGTCTCGGTCTATCACATCCCAGCTCTGGGGACCTAAACTTGAGGCCGAGCTTTAGACTACCTAGGTAGGATACCTTAGTACGTAGTAAGCTCCGAAGCACAGCACACTTATTGTCTCTAGTGGTAGCTAGGTAGCCAGACAGTCAGGCAGTCCAGCCAACTATGCATGAGATATTAGGTAGCTTGTAGAGCCGCATCATCACAACATCCCGCCTCAATCACAGATCATGAACTTCAAAGGCCTGAGCTTCCGAGTTGGCTCGGGACTAAACTAGCGGGCTTGTCCTTAAAACCAGCGCCGCCTCACGCTGAAGAGACCCTAATTTTTAGGTACCTTCCATACCCACTCCAGCAAGCAACCAAGCCAATCAGCTCTCCTGCCTCTCCACTTTGATCTCGCCTTGCTCTGCCAACAGCTTTCCTTTCTGGATCTCGCAAATCTCTTCCCTTTTCTTCCCCATCTAATAAATATTGATTCCCTTCTTCTCTTTTCACATTTCCCTTTCCTCTTCCTCTTCCTCTCTTATAGTCTTTCATAGCCAAGGGCATGGCATATCTTCATCTTGCACACACGTTGGCAGATGCTTTCAACGCCCTTGCTGATGAGGTTCAGACCTTGACAGATCGTAAGACTGTCTTGGAGCACAAGCTGCGCTTTGCTCATGAACAGGTAAGAAACTTTTTCTCTTTCTTATTCTTAGTGGCTGGGCCCTCATACCCTGGCCGCGCGAGTTTCTGGCATTCCGCTGCGGCGATACCGGAGCTTGCCGGCTACAAATGTCAGCATGATGAATATCTTAGCTCTAGATCAAGAGCAACAGACTGAATGAACCTGTTGCCGAGATTGACAACCTACTTTTCTGACCTGACATCATTTCACCTTCTTTTCTCTGTCTCTCACCCATATTCCTCCCTTTCATCACCTACCATGGATTCATCACTGACTCGAAACCAAAAACAGTTCCAATATTTGGCTGACAAATATGCTCCGGCGGCACCAGAAATAGCCGATACACTGGCTAAGCTCCAGATACCTCCATATACACCTCTTGATAAATCATTGCCTGTTCCTCTACCACGCTCGTACAGCTCCGGCTCCCACTCCCAACATCAACTTGCCCTCGTCATCCGTGACGGACGTCGAGTAGCTAGTCAGCTTGCCTCGCTGGGCGAAGCGAGTAAAACCACAGACTCTAGCAGAGAAACTGAGTCGCAACTTTCCCACGTAGCTACTTCCATGTCGACCGCGCTAGAACAAGACTTCACGGTCCAAGGAAAGAAGGGCCATCTTCAATGCCCGTTCTCCAAGCCTGCCACGGCCAGCGGTTCTGGGGCCCACGACGATGATGTGCAGGACACCACTCCGCACCATTCGACGGACCCCATCTGCGCAGCCATGTACGAAGAATCTACGTCTCAGCAGGCCCGCACAAACAATTCGTCGGCCGTCAAATGCCCCATCCGCTACATGGATAAGCACTCAGCCGAGGAGATTGCGCACTATGTTGAGACGCACAAGCATGAACTCCCCCGCAGCCATGAAGTTTGCCTCCGCCGGTACCAGCGTGACGAAGATCAAAAGAAGATAGACTCTAAATATGGCGACATTGTGAGCATGATAGAGGGACTGGGTCAGCTTCACCAACCCATGCTACCCGAGGCTGAACAAGACCCGAACCGACCAAATGATGTCGCCCAGCCTTCTAATGAGAGAGTGGAGGATTGGGCACAGGCTGTTAGTGTAAACTCTGATCCGGACCACACTCAAGTGCCGACTCAAGAGGATGGGGACCGACAAAGCCACTTCGATCGACCGCTCAAGGAAGTCCGTGTAGGGGAATCGCCTAGTAGGCCATGGGGAATATCCATTCCAGTCTACGCACTCTCGGGTCAAGGCGATGATCAGCCTCTCTCACCACCACCCGCACCGGTATGCATGCCCGTCCAAGTTCAAACTGCAAGTACTGCACCAGAATCGACACAGAAGGCGCCTGGCAAATGTCCGTTCGATCACACAAAATTGGCTGCCATGGGAATGCCCTCACCTTTCAAACATGAACCATCTGTACAAGCGCCATCCCAAGGGCTAGAAGATATACGGCCTTCTCCACCGCCGACGAAGCAGGATAATGGCCCTCCTCCACCACCACCACCACCACATCAACCTCAGCATCAACGAATGACAGCCTCTCAACCTGCCTTCATCAATCCGGACTTGACCAAAGGGGCGAACAACGGGCCCCAGATGATCTTCACAGGACCTGTGTTCATTGGATACCCGATGGACCAGGCCATACAATTCATGAACCAATACCGAGGGAATCAGTGATCCCATAATGTCGGCATTTTCTTTCTTCAGTTTTCGCATTTGGTTGAGAATGCATAAGCGATGGCGTTAACAAACTTGATTTTATTGGGATGCAAGCGATGGTATTACACATCTTTATATACAGCAAACAGCACCAAGCAGCCTTAAGAGTTGCAAGTTACGGTTGATTGAAAATTTTGATTTTAGTATAGCGACCTGATATCCAAATTTAACTCATGCAACCCAGACAAGATCTGAACCATTCACATCATAACCGTCCTCTATAATTCATTGGTCTTAACAAGACTAGCCCACCCGTGATCTCCCATTGTAAGCATATCCAGAACGCCTTCTAACCTGCTCAATCACCATAACAAAACCGTGTCCCTCCTCTTTAATAATCCTGTCATTATTGTTCCTAGCCTGCACAAAGTTTGGGTTTCAAATACATTGCCTTATGCCCTTTGGTTCCCCCTCTTATTCGTATCCTCATCCTCTTCGTCGCGGTAACTTCCTTCAAGCTCATCCCTCTCCCACAGCGAGATGTCATCATCCGACATAAGGACAGCGGCATCTTCAGGGTCCATAAGAGGAGAGTTGTCAGAATCAGCATAGCCAGCTTCGCCTTCCTCGGCAGCTAGGCCAGAGGGATTCAACCCCTCCTGTCGAGAAAGCTCCTCGGCTCGAGCCATAGTGCGACGGTAAATGATGAGGCCAACAACGAGACCAACCGTACCACCAAGAATCATGCTCAGGTAGTTGATGGCTTTACTACCGGCGGTCATCTTATCGCCCTTCTCGGCTAGGAGAGCAAGACGACTGCCGATGAAAACATGGACAAGCAGCTTAGGGCTATACTTCTATCAGCACACAACACCTTGATATGGGGAGCATGTTGTGCATATACATACCTCGACAATGCCGTAGAGATAGTAAACGCTAGCGGCGTAATACTAGGAATCGTAGCAAGAAAACCGTTGCTCAGACTGAATGGCAGAGGGCAGAATCTGATAGCCGTGAGATACCAGATACCCTCCTGGCGCAGCACCTGGCCCAAGGCAACAAAGCGATGATCCCGACCGACCATGCGATCAACGTACCCGCTCAAGACAGTCCTGCTCGCGAGAAATGCACAGAGAGCTCCTGCAGTGCATCCTGATGCTACAATGGGCCAACCCAACGGGAATCCATACACAAAGCCTGCAATGGTGCTCGCAGTCGAGTATCCGACAATCGGCGGGAAAGAAGTGACGAAGACAAGCATAAACGCCAGAATCCATCCTCCCGGGAGTGCGCGCCACGCCTCAGCCTTTGGCTCGAGCCACTTGAAGAAGACGTGTGAGTATATGATGGCTAGCACGCCAAGCACGCCCGCAGCGACAACGCCTGCAAGGGCGAGCACTCGCTGAACGGGCGACAAGCGCAGGTAGACCTTCAAGACCTGTTCGCCAAGCAAATTGACCGAGCCCCAAATGCGATGCACAAAGCTCGATTTCCTAACAGCGGCATAGCCACTGCTCGCGCGGCGACGGTTGATAAGTGGGTTTGACATGCGGCGGCTCGACGATGTGGTGGACCAGGGCGGACGGTTCGACGAGGGAGAAGAACCGCGATCTGGAGAGAGGGCCAGTGCCTGGGCCGTTGAGTTATAGTCTGCAGGCATGTTCGGCAAGTGAGAGTTGGTATTTGTGATTGTGATTGCACTCGTGTTGTAATGGTTTGGATGGGCTATGCGGCCATGTCTGAATATCGAGATTCGAGTGTACGTGAGATTCGGAACGCGCGGATGGAAATGAGGCTATAGCGGTACGACTGAGAGGCGAAAGGTCGATGCAGAGCTAATCGCGTAGACCAGCAGTGGCTTCTAGGCTCGAAATGCGAGATTCTAGAGTGCAATGTGTCTCCCGTTTAGATAGCGCTCCAGGAGAGATCCTATGGTGATTGTTGTTAGAGCTGAACTTGTCGTTGTACTCAGTGTTACATGACGTTGCTTAGTGTCAGCTATTCCGATGCGGGAGCGGCCCCACCAGGCATGACGCTAACACTATTTCAGTCGGGGGCCTATTTCAGGTACCGACCTCAGCCATACCTATGTATCCAGAGTGCGTATGTCAAAATCAATTTGATACGATACAGTCACCCAAGCATCACATCACAAAAAGAGAAACCATACGTCTGATTATAGAACAAAGTCTTGTTTTACTGCTTTCTTTCTATTTGTGTCTCGCATTGTCATCGACGACCGCTGGGACCCTTGGGCGGATCTCGCACCAAGAGCCTGACCTTGCCATCGCCAATTTCGACGCCCTGGCTCAAGATATCCACCTCTTCCTTGTCATCATCCGCATCACCGTCTTTTGCGAGAGACTTGTCCCAGCTGCGAGCATCGATACCTAGGATTCCTCCCATGTTGTTGCGATCTCCAGGAACCGAGAACTCCCGGTACGCGTACCTCCACTCGTTGAGAAAATTGCGAATCGCTCTGCCAACCTTGTCCTTGCCGTTCTTACTGTGGTGTCCAGAGCCAGTGATAGCATACATAGGCTGCGATTCTCGATCGTTCTCCATCAAAACCTTTTCAAGGTACTCGACCGCCTCCTCGGGGTGAAGACCGTGAAGGTCGACGTATAGCTCTACGCTATTGGGGCCGCCCTTGTTACGCTCCTCGTACAGCTCCCTTGCCGCCTCTCGATGAGCTTTACGCATAAGATCGTTCTCGCTTTGTCCTCGTAAACTGAGAGCCTTAGCAGCCCTAGCATCATTCCGATTCCATGCCTGCGCAGCACTAAGTCTTTATATTAGTATAATTTTCATCTCAGTCACCCACATTCTCGATACATACCTTTGCAGAAACTTGTTACGAAGGCCGCCGTGCTTAATAGCCTCTTGGCGAGCCTTCAGATACGCCTTGTTGGCCCGCTCGCCAGTTTCTAGCCATGGGATATGCTTAGGGCTGGGGATTGCTTGAGCAGCGGCACTGTTTTCTCCATTTCGTGCGATCGTTGAGCTCCCGTTGCGTCCCACCCCTCTCTTAAGCTCAGGGCGAACAGGGGTAGGCGAGGGAGACATCTTGATAATATCAGCCAAGGAATTTGGCATCATGTTCTCCTTGTGCCCGTGGCCGCGCTTCCCGTGGTGCTTCTTACCCTGCTTGGCGGAAGCAGAGCCTAGTGACGGGAATGCGTCGTTGTCGTCCAAAGCAGGTGCCGAAATGTCTGCCTCCCTGGTCTGATGTCGACTGCCTGGGCGAGATCGAGCACGAGGGCTGGAAGTACCCTGATAATGCTTCAAGCCTGGTGGTGGTGTTATACCTATAGCAGGGAAGCTTCCACCGTAGCCGTTCAAGTGATCGGGGGTGCCAGGACGAAGCGAGGGGAAAGAGCTGAGATCTCCCAGCTGTAAACCCCCCTTGCCCGTTGGTGGTGTGCTGGCGCCATCAAGTGCCAGCTTGTTCATGAGTTTTGTGGGGTCGTGAGAAAAAATACATGTCTCTCCAGCTAAGCAATTTCCCATCACCCAGTATCTACGGTTTGTTATTAGTTTAATCCAGTATGAAGAGTGCACTGCAACTTACTTGCACAGATGGTTGCTGAGATCGTGGCTGAATCGGCAATCGGCGCGCAAACACTGGCCAGTTGACATGTAGAACTTGCAAATGACCCCGGACTTTTGTTGGCCAAGGGGAGTAGAGGGACGATCCACTGACTTTCCAATCAAGACGTTCTTGGGTTCCTCTAGTGAAACACCGCCGGGTTGATTATCTCCAGCTTGGCTCTCCATGAAAGAGACGATGGTGGCACTAAGATCGTAACCGTTCTGTCCCAGGGCGGCTTCGATCTCTTCGTCGGTCTTTGCTTGTCCGAGGATAGAACGCAACATGTCGTATGGTGACATATCAGCTGACTGAGCCGACATGGACGAGAACTCGGGGGCGGCGGCGTTGAGGCCACTTGGAGTTCCGACAGATGAAGTCACGCTGATAGCATCATCACTAACAAGCCACTCAACGTTTTCCGTCTGGTATTCTCCAAGAATCTCCGTAGCAGGGGTTGGGTCGCTGGCAAATTCGTAGGCATTGAGGTTTGGACTATGAGGAATGACAGGTGTCGCAAGAGCCATGCGTGGCGAAGCGCGAGGCGAAGAAAAAGGAGAGACTGTCGAGGATATGGTCCTGCCAAAGGTGGATGGAACGAAGCCCGGGGGAGCGAGGGGGCTCACGGCAAGTCTCGGAGAGCCCGATATAGGAGTTGGCGAACCGCGCCATGAGGCGGGAGAAGGACGTCGCAAGATGGTCTGCCTTATTGGAGGCGGGGATGTTGAAGTCCCTCCGCCGTCGCGATAGCGCCACAAAGCATCTAATATTGCGTTGTCGAGTGAAGTGCCGGTGAGGCTGGTCTCCTTGCGGAAGAGCTCCTCAAGCCTGTCTGTCTTATCTTCATCCTCTAGTGTTGCATCCTGCAAGATGGGCAAGCACAGTTCGAAGTGCTCATCGGAAACCATGATTCCGGCGAGTTTGATGGAGGGGATGTCGAATCGGACAAGTTGAAGTTATGGATAGCTTTGGTAGGAGCAAGACGAGGGCTCGCAATAGCGCAGCAGGGGTCTAAGCTGTTGTGGAGCTGATGCGAAGGGCAACGTTATTCGGAGGAGAGTTTCGAGCTTCTAAAGTAGTGTTCTGCCAAAAGAAGAACAATAAGATGAGAGAGGCTGGATGGCCATCTGGTCAGCTTGGTTCGTGGACGTGATTAAGCAGTAACGCGGAGAAGCAGAAGAAGGGACAGATAGTGGAGAGATGGACAAAGAGTCGAGACAAAGGAGTCTAGATGTCGCTAGAAGCTGGAGCATGGCACTTACAGATTAAAAATATGACAAGAGAAGCGAAAGAGAACAAGAATTAAGAACAAGGATCGCAGATGAGAAGCAACAAAAGTGAAAGGGAAAGGGAAAGTGAAGTCAAAGAGAAGCGCAAGCGCATTCAAGCAAAAGATTATAACGGTGAAAAGGAGGAGGAGGAGATGGGAGATGATGCAGTATTAGGTAGGCCCAGGCTAACGTTAGTTGACGGGAAGCGGAGTGGGGGAGGACACGGCCCCCGGGGAGCCTTCCAGCTCAGGGAGACAACGGGAGGTGCTAAGCTCTAGAAGGTCCATCCACGGGGGTCGGGCTCCAGGGCTTATGGTGAATCAGCTACAGTGGTTGGACAGGGGGTGTTTGAGGACACTGGGGACCTACCTAGCTGAACTCTATGGACATTCCGTACCTTTGGGTTAATCAGGGGTTGGGTTTGACTGAATCAAACGACGTTTCGGAATCGCAATAAGAGACGATTTTGTTCTTTGCTGGTAGGGACAAAGTGCTTAAGTGATGTGCTAACCGCTAGCCTCTTTGCAGAAGCAGACGTTAGGTAGATTCGGCGTTAGTTATGCAATTGTTGGTCACTGATTACCCGCTTACATGGTTTTACCAGTATCTTGGTCAAGGCTCGGAGTACGAGATACGTGAGATCGAGTGATATAACATCATTATTATACATCAACAAACTCTTCATCACTCTATCAACTCTTCGGTATCAAACACCAACACTATTACAGTCTTTCCAAAGCCTTTCGCCTTGATTCGTTTACATTCGCATTTGTGGCGTTGGGCGCTAGACCAGCCAAAAGGAAACCCAGCCTTGCATCCGTAACTTAATTATTATTCGACGATAGCCTTCTGACCTCTCAGATCGCACTCACTGCATGTGATTAATGCTCTTTGCTGACACAAACACGAGAACTTCTATTCTTATCAAAGTCGTGTATCAGGAGATAGATCAGACTCGAATGAATATTCCAGGGAGACACACATCAAACCTCCTTTCTCCATTATAGCACACGGACCATCGAATCTGATCTCTAGATGGAGGATGGCAACGCAGTGTCTATCACAAGCCCCTGATTGACTGTTTTGCTTGAATCAGAGCCCAATCGGAACAAGAGATGCAGACGGGTTTCAGCTCTTGGTCGTGACAGCGTCATTGAATAAGTGGCCGTGGCACGTTATTTTATGCAATGGACTATGCGTTTCTCGTCACTCAAGATGACTTGTTTATGCAACCATTACCATCATTAAACGAGCTCCCCTTGTCCTTTGATTGGATGTGACCTTCATGCCACTTTTTACGCCTCCAGACAACTTTCAACACCATCAAATGCTCAAGGTTCTCAGTTTTGGTGTCTTATTCTCACCTTCACATTCATCAACACCAAATTCACTGGTCATAGTAGACTAGGCAGTGCTTATGCACATCTGGGATAAAACACGTCATAAAACAACTTATTTTTTAAACAAAAGCAATCATGCGATAAACATTAGTGCTTGGTGGCTCTTCGCTCAATCCATCATGCATCGTCAGCCCCAGCTCAACTAGTCAGACCATCTGCTCTCCCTATCAATAGGGGGCATATGAATATTTAGGAATACATCTACGGGGTACTGGATTAAGAAATGTTAGATCTCATCTGAGGAATGTCTATATTATCAGGCATAGACACATATAAGGATCCTTACTTCGTGTTACAACTCTAGTGACTTGTTGATCCACACAGCACAATTTCTCATATTTTGAGAGAAGGAACAGTTCTATGCGAACTCACATTCCGTTAAACTCCCATAATGATACTTGTCAAAAAAGGTGCCATAGTAGGGTCTTCATCCCTCTTTTTTTGGTTCATCAGTCTCTCGCTAAAAGCACAATCATCCACCAGTTGGCAACTTGAACTGCAAGCAGAAAAGGGGCCTCCCTAGGGTATCTCATCATCATCATCGCCTCCAAAACCAAAGCTGAAACCACCACCAGTTCCCTGCTGCTCATCATCTGCCCCACCAACAGCAGCATCCCATTTACGCTTCTTTCCGCTCTTCTTATCAGCCAGCTCCAACGCCTTTTCAAGAACTTCTGGATAGCTGCTCTTCATCCTTTCCATAAACAGCCCCCAGGGGTCTGTGACGCTATCACCGAACCCGCTGACCTGGTCAGCCTTGTCTCGAAGAAAAGAGACAACCTCTGACACAAGGTTTAAGCTCTGCGGCACGAAGTTTTGCGTGAGAGCGATTCCGCTCTCGAGATTAACCACCAGATGCCACCACCCGCTGGGAACATGGAGAATCTCGCCCGCTTCGCAAATGCCTTCGATGCAGTCAGGAAGCTGCCGTGCCTCTTCATGGAAAGTGAGGAGCCACTCTGCGATACTGAGCGGACTAGTAACTTCACTGCTGTCGCTGGAGACGTAAACTCCAGGCACCTGCGTCGCTGGCGGGAACATGATCCAATACTTTGATCCTTGAATCACAGCGTTCCATGCACTTGTCGCGTTAGGATCCTTATGGAAGGTTGAGCCGCTTCGCTCAGGACCAACAATGAGCCATCGATGGGCGGGTCGTTCGTCTCCAAGAACCTCGAACAAATCGGGTCCGAAGCAGTCTGGTCTCCAGTATGCAGTATTTTCCTTCTCTCCCAGCCTTATGCCCATTTTCTCTGCAAATCTACGATCGAATAGATACAGAGGGCTCTCATCTCGGTTGTTATTCATGTATTTGCAGTAGGTTGAGAATGGCCAGTCGACGGCCTCGGCACGGAACTTTACTTGGCCATATCTCTCAAGCAAGAAATCGATGGTCCATCCTTTAGAGACTGGCCAGTCCTGTATGCATTTGGTAAGGATGAACGGCTGCTCAGTCCACCTCTCAGCATACTGATCGTAAGTCAGGTCCTCAAATCGACGGATCTGGTTTGCTTTGGGGATATCTGAGGTGAACTGTTTAAGGATGACATGACTGCAGGCGAATGGTCGGTGGAGTACATCTGAGAAGACATTGCTGCAGTCAATCTTCGTTTCCTGATCACTAGGGAATCCTAAGACGGTTGATCTCCATGACCCTTGCCATCGGATATCCTTGCTATCTTTTGGTGGTGACCTTGACTGAGTTTAGTTGTTGTTCCAAAGATACCTCAGGATACTCTTCTGCATGACTCAAGTGTACTTACTGCAGAAAGAGAGGTTTCCAAAGCTCATCTGAGTGGCAAAAAGCATAAAAGAATTTGCAAGTATGGCCAAGCTTCAAGAGAGTATTTGCATCAAACTCCTCAAGCACAAGCGAAATAATTTCGTCAGGGAGAAGCCTCCACGCGCCGATTGACCGCTTAGCATTTCGGCCTGCGAAGAGGTACTGGTTGCCTAGAGGCTTAAGTCCTAGAGGATGAGGAGAGATTGAGTCACTTTGAATAGTTGACTCAGATAAATCGTTTGTCCTATCACATAGTGAATCGTGGTGGGGAGTGCCATTGTCAGTAACAGCCGAGGGCATTTTGGTGGTGTTGATACAGTAAACGAGGGGCGAGAAACACAATGTTGCAGATATAGAATAGAAAGGCCGATAATTTGATGAAACGAAGGAGAACGAAAACAAGGCTGAATCGTATGATACGATACAGGACAATTTACTAAGTATAGTACGTGGTACCTCAAGAGGCCCGATGTTGAGACCAAATGCAGTGAGTTTAGTGCGTAGGGCGGAAGAAAAATCGGCTGAGGAATGGGTTCGGTAACAGGACAAACGAGACTAGAGTTACACTGCAGCTTAATTCCTGCTTTCAATACTTACTGAGGAGATTACGTGGACTTGCCCCTGATAGTTTACTGTTGACTTTCTCTGATCTTATTCGTAGGATTATTATTGCTTGCATATGACTCTTAGAGAAGCTGTAAACGAGTGATTCACTTATCCTTGAAGTTAAAGCGCTGACACTGCTGCCTGTCGAAGAAGCCCATCACATGCACCCACTCGAAGCTGAGGCTGGCTCCTCTCATATCGCCCACTACCTTATCTAGAGGGAATGGAAATAACATGACACAGGCCAAGCAGGTCACAATGACGAGAAACACCAAAGAAACCACGACGTGGGTGGCGGGTGGTGATCCGTGAGTGGAGGGGCATATTTTTTTCAATTTATTTTTTCTTTCAAGGTTCTGGCGAGGGCGGGGCGAAGGTGGGATGGTTCTAGCCTATGCCATGGTAGAAGAAGAAAAAACTTCTGAGAGTGGCAGAAAATTCGAAAAAAATCCTCTCTGTATGGAGCCCCTCCAACTGTGACTGAATGCCCTGCAGGCTCTGTCGGCCCTGCCTAGCCTACTACTGCCACTGTGACTGCACCCAAGTCCAAGCCCAAGGCCATCCCGCACCCAGATGTACCCTAATCCGATACCCCGCAAAATCGTCTCTGATTGGTCAGTGCCTTACTTGAGGTAAGCGGGTGGGCAGCAGCGAAAAAAAATATACTGCCTCCACGACCGCCCCTCATTCGACTTTTTTTTCCTCTTCTCCTTCATACTCCATCCAAGGAACAACAAATAACATTCACCATCCTAGATTTCTGTAGATTCTCGTTCTTTTCACGAGAGTCCTGAGTCTAGTCGATACCAAGTTTTCTTCTCACCAAACGATCTTCAGGCGCAGTCTTCTTGAATAGAAGTTCTGCCCTTTTAATTTTCTTCCGTCACCCCGCGATTTATCACTTCTAGGTCGAGCTGTGCTTGATCTAGATTTTCGTTCGCCTCTACCGCAATCATGGCTGACAAGGGTCTCGAGGATGTCCCCGAGGGTGAGTTTCACATCTTTCCGCTGCCTTTGGTTCGCGATGCCTGCGTCTCTTTTACCTGCCTGCCCGCTCAACTCGACATCGAACAATGCCCTCAAACGAGGTGCGCCTGAGCCCACAGCGCCTGGTTGTGGGCCGCGCCCGCACTCCAAACCCAACACCACAATGAGCGCTGGGCCATAGGTTATCGAGCATCATCGCATGCCTCAAAAGGCCAGCTACTTTGCCACATGAAACACATGCTAACCATGCTTGCCTCACAGGACAGATCGAGTCTAACTACGATGAGACCGTCGACTCCTTCGATGACATGAACCTCAAGTCTGAGCTCCTCCGAGGTGGTAAGTGTCTTACCCGCTTTCTATACAATTTATCCCGCAACCCGCTCACAATAATATTCAGTCTACGCCTACGGTTTCGAGCGTCCCTCCGCTATCCAGCAGCGTGCCATCATGCCCGTCATCAAGGGCCACGATGTCATTGCCCAGGCTCAGTCCGGTACCGGAAAGACCGCCACTTTCTCCATCTCTGTTCTCCAGAAGATCGACACCAACGTCAAGCAGTGCCAGGCTCTGATCCTTGCCCCCACCCGTGAGCTTGCTCAGCAGATTCAGAAGGTTGTTGTCGCTATTGGCGACTTCATGAACATTGAGTGCCACGCCTGCATTGGTGGTACCAGCGTCCGTGATGACATGAAGGCCCTCCAGGACGGCCCTCAGGTCGTTGTCGGTACCCCCGGCCGTGTCCAGGACATGATCCAGCGTCGTTTCCTCAAGACCGACAGCATGAAGATGTTCGTCCTCGACGAGGCCGATGAGATGCTTTCTGTAAGATAATCTTTGATCGACAACACATTCTGTATAGCTAACTTTTCTTCTCAGCGTGGTTTCACCGAGCAGATCTACGACATCTTCCAGCTCCTTCCTCAGTCCACCCAGGTCGTCCTTCTCTCCGCCACCATGCCCCAGGACGTTCTTGAGGTCACAACCAAGTTCATGCGTGACCCCGTCCGCATCCTGGTCAAGAAGGATGAGCTTACCCTGGAGGGTATTAAGCAGTTCTACATTGCTGTTGAGAAGGAGGAGTGGAAGCTTGACACTCTTTCCGACTTGTACGAGACCGTCACGATCACCCAGGCCGTCATCTTCTGCAACACCCGCAGAAAGGTCGATTGGCTCACCGACAAGCTCACTGCTCGTGACTTCACTGTCTCCGCCATGCACGGTGACATGGACCAGGGTCAGCGTGACCTGATTATGAAGGAGTTCCGATCCGGTTCTTCTCGTGTCCTGATCGCCACTGACCTTCTCGCCCGTGGTATCGATGTCCAGCAGGTTTCCCTGGTCATCAACTACGATCTCCCCGCCAACCGTGAGAACTACATCCACCGAATTGGTCGTGGTGGTCGTTTCGGCCGAAAGGGTGTTGCCATCAACTTCGTCACCGCCGAGGACGTCCGAATGATGCGTGAGATCGAGCAGTTCTACAGCACCCAGATTGAGGAGATGCCCATGAACGTCGCCGACCTCATCTAAGCTCAAACAAAAAAAAAAGTCAAAAAAGCAACACGGGTCTTCCAATATCCGTTTCTCGGGCTGTCTCGCCAGCTATTTACGACCAGACGACGCAGGGCAGCCTGACATCTTTGGGAGGGTTTTACGGTGAAATCTCTTGTGGCAGTTGTTGATAGATCTCGTTTCTAGAGTACCACCTGGAAGGGCGGCAGGCCCTTTATACGCTGCGCGCTGCCGCCAGGCCGGAAGGTGAACTATCGGGAGGTCGGGACTTTGACTTGGCCGCATGACAAAAGGCTTCGGGGCAATCCTCTGCGCCCTTAATGCCTTTGGGAGGGTTCGCTGGGGGTACCAAAAAGTAATGCAAGGGCTTTTTTCAAAGCCTGCTTTTTGTCTCTGTTATTTAGGGTGTCGTTATCATGATGAATGCTTTTCTATTTTCCTTTTAAAGAACTTGACCCTTTTGAAACGATTTTGTGACTGAAATGAATAAATGTTCTGTTCGTAAAGTGCAATACCGTTTCTGAAACGGCCTTGTGTTGGTTGAGTTGAAAGTTGTGTCTTTACAACACTACCTAAACAGAAGTGAAGTATCAAAAGACCTTACTGCTCGGCGATTTTCCACAGTTCATTACCTGAGGTTGTTAAAAACACCCAGATCATCACCGTCTAATTGAACAAATGTCGATATCAATGTTATAATTGAATACTAAATGCTATCCTGATAGCCAACCGGGGCCTTTATACAAAGGAAAGTAGTGTTTGTATATAGCTCGTTATTCCATCATCCTCTTCATCATTCTTTGCAAATCCCTCACCTTCCAGTCGTTTCCCGATTACGGTACACTATATACGACTCCCTGCTATCTTGAAGATAGTGAAAACAAAACAAAAGAAAACACAAGAATACAATAGAGCCAGGTCTTGGGCTCGCCCTTTTAACGCCATGTGTGGTATCGCTGCCCCGTGATATATGTACGACTTGAAATATGCCGTCGCCTAGAGAACGTGACTTAAGCTCCCTGAATCAGAACTAAGAAATTACGAAGCTGCCGCGCCTATTTTGTATTCCAAACATCCACTAATAATAGCTTTGGCCAAAGTGTGTTTGCGTAGGAGGAGGACTCCTGATGGCCTGGCCGGCATAGGCACCGGGGATGGGGACAGCATCATATGTGGGTTCCTCAGAGCTTACTGGAGCGTGTTCTGAGACGTGGAGGGTAGGAATGCTGGGAGGCGAGGATTCCGTGGGCGTGAAACCGGACTGATTCAGCTTGGGGGTAGCAGAAGGGGCCTTCGTAGGAGGAGCCTGAAGCTTGAAGCCAGTTTCCTGAGGAGCGAACTGAGACTTGGGCTCAGCAAATTGGATGCCAGGCGTGAAGGGACTGGGGCTAGTGTTGGGGTTCTCGCTAATGTCGGACAGGTTTCGGTAGGCGGCGGGAGGATGACGGGGAGACATGGCATAGGCGCTGAGAGCGGGAGACTTGGGACCGAAACCGGGAGTGTTGGGAGCAGACTGGCTGCGGAGCTGGGCAAGATAGAGATCGGATCGGGCACGGTCTCGCATGTCCATGGACTTGAAAAGGCGTCGCTTGGTGTAGTAGCGGTAGAACACGACGCTGTAGAGTAGGATACACAGAACCTCGACGACGATCTCAATGATAATGCAGATCATGGCCCAGTTCTGAAGACGACAGACGAGGGCATAGTCGACCTTGTCACCGAAGACTTCAGATCGGTGGTTGTTGACGCAAGACCAACCCCACATGTCCTGATTGCCGCTGTTGTTTCTTGAGTTTTGGAATATGACGGCTGTGATGACCCAAAGGAGCAGAGAAAGAATGAACTAGAACGGTCAGTTTGGTTGCATTCATGAGCAAAGAGGACCTTTCGACTCACCCATCCAATGGCAAACATGGTGTAGTAGGTTCCAACTTTCTCGGCACGTCTGTGACCGCCTCGGCAGTAGGAGATGAAGACAATGATACAAGCAGCGAGAGAGACACAGGCCATAGATAGAACAAGCTTTTGGGGCCAAGACCTTGTGTCCTTGGCCCACGAGGGCATCTTGCTCTGATCAGGCAAGGCCCTGGTAGCGTTAAAGATAGTGAACGAGGCCGAAAGCATGGAAAGAATGATGAGAGAGCAGCTGAAGTTGACACCTCTGAGAGCGAATTTGGCCAATCGGACGCGGGCTTTAATTTTCTGTAGGAGTGTAAGTGAGATGTTCAGAGGTTCAGGCTGTAATGATGGAGATCCACATACCACATCGCGCGCTTGCTCCTTGTCAGTCGACTGCTCACGTTTCTCCAGAATATCCTCCTCGCGGAACGTTGGGCTCATAGGGTTCCTTAGGTGAGCAGGTGTTCCGGGTACCTTCATGGCGCTCTTGAGGGGGGTCTTGGGAGTCATGGGGACGGGAATGGATTCTCGCTGGGCTATATAGCCAAAGCCCACGTCGGCAGGTTGAGGTTGAGCTACGTGGGATTCGTCAGGATCGGCGAAGGGGGATCGAGCTTCAACAGGAGAATGTACTGAAGTTGCTTCGGCGAATCGAGGAGTTCGAGGCTTGAGAGAGCCGTCTGAGGACGAGGATTCGGAGGTACCAGGTCGAGCAGCAGTGAGGTTGAGTGCAGCGGGCCTTCTCTTATCTTCTGTAAGGGTATCAGTTAGCATGGACTGTTTTCTATAACACTTGGTCTGCTCCCTTGGAGACGAACCTGGACCAGCCATGCTTAGAACGGGCAAATGTGAAAGTGAAGAGGAGTATCAACAGTGAGACATGCAAGTGATGGCTAGCAATGTTGATGAGGCAGGTATAAAAGCTTTTGACTCAGTCTAAGCTGCTGCCAACCGTGATAGAATAGACGAAATTGCAAAAAGAACAGAGAGACCAGCTATCGAGACATTGGGAGAGAGGTCCGGCCAAGCGGACACAAGTGGGAAGCGACCAGTTTTGAGGTTGGCGGCAATAGAAGGAACTTGGACGCTCATTCGACGGCATCAAGACGCCAACAACGGGACAGGATGAGGGAGAAGGGGGGGGTGCCGCAAATAGCAACAGAAGATGGGCTTACCAGAAAGAATTAGAGAATGAGCGGATATGCCTACACAGAGACTTGTGATAGGCAGATGCCAGCCGCCCGTTAAGTGATTCGCCTTGGAATTAGACGCCCCGATGGTCGAGTTTGATGGGACCCAATGACAGATCGGTCTCTGACTCTCCGTTGGCCTGGTTTGGTCACAGAATGTGCGAGAGTGTAAGTAGTCGGCTTTGTGTTCCTGTGACACCGGTTCGAAGCCCTATGAACTCTGTAGCTCAGAGATATGGTTAAGGGCAGAAGAATCGTGCTGCGAAAGAGAGGGGGTCACAAGAGGAATTTGGGAGAGCTGCGGTGTTATGTGAAGTTCAGAGTAGTAGTGTTCGGTGCTATATTGCGCGGCCAGGGTGTATGTATTCCGTACTGCAGGCAGGCCATGGCAATTGTTTCCCAGTGGAAAAACACAGAAACACCACGTACGGCTTGAATTATCCGGAAAGCTTCTGCATGGTACCCGGACAGGGTCCTCATGTCCGCTGATCATGTTGAGCAATATCACTGGGTAGTAAAAAGTCGCCCGGCGGTTAAAGCACGTTGGAGAGTTGGAGTTGAGGCGTGGATCGTGGAGAGAAGGGCATCCTTGTTATCCCATTGGCCGAGCGAGACAGCCGCTCTTTTGGACCCTGGTTGGTGATCTGCCGCTTTGATAGGCTGCTCGCTACAAGCGCACTTTGTCTTCACCTCCAAGTGGCCAATCAGCTTCTCAGATGCCGTGATAGGGCCAGATGGCCGACCAGCCACCTGCAGGCTTCGGCGGCAACAAACGACTTTTGTTTCGACATGCTGGGATCTATGTCTACACGCCAAGGACAGGCGTCACAAATAGATATTTGCCGTGACAATCAGGCAGGTAGCGTAGCCCATATCGACTCGGAGCACCCAAGCTTTTTGAAGCTTTATCTCGGCAGGAAAATGCGAATCAACTAGCCACTAAAGTGTAGCGAGCCGGGGTCTCTTGTCTACATACCACATACCTTAGGACTCCAGGTTATTCCGTAGAATGAGTGACTTTTTTGCATCGACACATTGGCTGACCAGGCTGCAGGCTCCGGAGTACAGTGCTACAAATGGCATGCGCTGGTACGGGAAATATTCCAAGATGCAGTCATTGTCTCCCAAGACTGCATTGTAACAGTGAGACACCATTACCACAGCAAAATAAGCATCATGCATGGCGGGGCTTCCGAGGTATGTCAGCTAGGCAATGATCGATCATCCGGAGTACAGAATTTGATAAAGATAGTATCAACAGACTGCAATGCGGTACCAGTGTTGAGATTGAAAGGTGTATTGTTGCAATGGTAGAAAATTCTTTCTTTTCCTCGTAACATCACAAACTAGTTACAAGCTGGATGACTAGGTTAGGAGCGTAATTCCATCCATGCTATCCCCTCATTTTGGCATTGGGCACCAACAACGATGTATACCTCCACTCGTTCCTTTATCACATGACGGTATATGCTTTGGTGATGGAAGTGTTATCAAACTTATTGAGTTTGTATACCCGTAGAGTATAAGTTAGATGTTGGGTCTCACGGGCGAAATGGAGGCAGTTGGCGTAACTGAGAAAGGAGTTGATCATGTCCTGGGCACCCAAGTACATATATCTTGCTTCACGGCTGGAGAGGAATTTACAGCACTATCAAGCGACTTCCTCCCCGTCCAGAAAAATTAGCACCAAATGGCCACACTTGATGCTCTATCCAGGTAGGCTTAAAGACATATCTTACACATAGGTAGTATGGAGAGTACAAGGCCGGAATATTCGATAGCCCAATCAAAGTTTCAAGGTGGAAGCACCCTAGACACAGGCGGACCATGGCAGGGAAATGGAAAGTGATACATAGGCCTCAACAGAGTGAAATAAGGTATGCAATAATGTATTTGATGAATTTTAGCACGAAGACTTCGAGATATTGATTCTTGCATCTCAATTCCACTTTTACCGAAGCTCGCCCGAGGAGGGGCATCAGATCCTTATCGGCTTATCTGGCCCTGATTCGGCTTAGCGTAAGAGTCATAGCCATTTCGACAGACTGCACACGAGGAATTTTGCCATCATCAAGGCGAAATACGCAAAATCTCGGCCCTCGACGACTCCCAACTTGGAGAAATACTCGCGAGACCCTCAAATCTTGGACCGTAATTTTCTCTCGATCCAGGCGACTGATTTTCCCACTCGAAACCGCTCCCACGCTACCTCACGACCGGGAACTCACTTCTGAAATACCGCCTGAACTGCCCCGCCTTCATCATGTCTGCCAACGGCGACCCCAAGTACGACGACATTGAGTCCGAGTCTGACTCCGGAGAGTCTGTCGGCCACAACGAGGCTGGCGATGAGAAGCCTCTCAAGTCGGCTCTCAAGAAGTCCAACCCAGCCATCGCCGAGCCCACCGCTCAAAAACCTCCGCTGCCCCCTCAAACCGACCCCAAAGACCTCGATGTCGCCAGCCTGACCCCTCTGACGCCCGAGATTATTGCCCGCCAAGCTACTATCAACATTGGTACCATCGGTCACGTCGCTCACGGAAAGTCTACCGTCGTCAAGGCTATCTCCGGCGTCCAGACCGTTCGTTTCAAGAACGAGTTGATTCGAAACATTACCATCAAGCTGGGTTATGCCAACGCCAAGATCTACAAGTGCGACAACACAGCATGCCCCCGACCTGGATGCTACCGAAGTTACAAGAGTGAGAAGGAGGTCGACCCTCCTTGTGAGCGAGATGGATGTGGTGGCACTTACAGACTATTGCGACATGTCTCGTGAGTTGATGCCCAGAATCCTTGTAGGAAACCTTTACTGACGATATTAGTTTCGTCGACTGCCCCGGTCACGATATTCTCATGAGCACTATGTTGTCAGGTGCCGCCGTCATGGACGCCGCCCTCCTCCTCATCGCCGGTAACGAATCCTGCCCTCAACCTCAAACCTCGGAGCATTTGGCTGCCATCGAGATCATGAAGCTCGACAAGATCATTATTCTCCAGAACAAGGTCGATCTTATGCGGGAAGATGCTGCTCAGCAGCACTACCAGTCTATCCTCAAGTTTATCCGAGGAACAGTTGCTGGCAAATCCCCCGTCATCCCCATCTCTGCTCAGCTCAAGTTCAACATCGATGCCGTCAACGAGGCCATTGTCAACACCATCCCCGTCCCTCCCAGAGATTTCAGCATTGACCCTCACATGATCGTCATTCGATCTTTCGATGTCAACAAGCCTGGTTCTGAGATCGACGACCTCAAGGGTGGTGTTGCTGGTGGTTCCATTCTCCATGGTGTCGTCAAGTTGGGTGACGAGATCGAGATCCGACCTGGTATCGTCTCCCGAGATGACAGCGGTGCCCTCAAGTGCACTCCCATCTTCAGCCGAGTCGTCACCCTCAACTCCGAGGCCAACGATCTCAAGTACGCCGTTCCTGGTGGTCTCATTGGTGTCGGTACCCGAATTGATCCTACCCTATGCCGAGCCGATCGTCTCGTTGGTTTCGTCTTGGGTCTCAAGGGCCGCCTGCCTGAGATTTACAGCGAGATTGAGGTCAACTTCTACCTTCTCCGCCGTCTGCTCGGTGTGAGGACCGCCGACGGAAAGCAGGCCAAGGTTGCGAAGCTGGCCAAGAACGAGGTTATCATGGTCAACATTGGTTCCACCTCTACCGGAGCCAAGGTTGCTGCCATCAAGAACGATGCTGCCAAGCTTGTTCTTACTAGCCCCGCCTGTACCAACATTGGCGAGAAGGTCGCTCTGAGCCGACGTATTGAGAAGCATTGGCGTCTTATTGGATGGGCTACCATCGCTGCGTAAGTGCCCATATACACAACCCCCCTTGAACCGAGAACCCCAACTAACTTTCATCACAGTGGTGTGACACTCGAGCCCAGCACTTCCTAAGCGGTTCATGTAGACCAACGAACGAGTTGAGCAGCTTTTCGTACGATTTCTCGGCTGCATGACATGCCGAGCTCGAGGACGCCCAGTTTTAGAGGCAGAGCCCCCGAAGGCATTTTGAGTAGACGGTTGGCGCTGGACGAAGCCTGGTGTTTATAGTGGTCTGTTTCGGGAGCATAGGTGCAGATGAAAAAAAGGGGTACAGAAGTCCCCGGTAGCAAGCTCCTAAGGACTTGTTGCTGTGGCTAGCGGATGAGCTGTGTAGTTATGCTGTAAACGCATCAAGAGGTTTATATCAACCTTGCAGGGGAAAGACACAAAAGAGTTTTCGCCAACCGGTCATAGCAGGAAATGAAGAGATTTTTATGACCAAACCTCCAAAATTATATTACAATGTCTATTTGCGTACTTTGCGCGCGTGCTTGACCAAGTTTTCTATCACTCCCTCAAATGCTTCTCGATCGCCAATCTTTTCGTCCGTTCTCTTCGTCCAATACTCTAACGCTTCTTTTGCTGCTTCCTCCAAACCTTCCAGTTTGGCAATGTGAACCTTCAGTTCCTCATCGGTCATCCCGTCAAGGGCCTCATCCGTTGTCTGGCACAGATGACGAGCGGCCACAAGATCCAGCTCTGGCTGCGGTGGAGGACCTCGACGCTTTCTTGACGAGCCAGACGCTTTCTCTTGAGTGTCGACCGACGTAGACGAGTTATTGGCCTCGCCTTGCCGTAATCGGGAGACTGACCTTGAATCGGTGGATGTTCGTGGAGAGAGTGTGGAGACGTTGAGGGAGGGAAGCACAAGCTTCTTTTGCTTGGAGGCGGGAAGGATCTCGTCCAGGTCGACGGGGACGCCGAGCGACACGAGGAAAAGGCGTCTCGTCCGAGAGCGAATCCAATCGGGAGGAGCTAAAGGAGGAGGGGCAACGAGTTGAGACCAGAGAGAGGCTGATCTTGGTGTAAAAAATACTGAGTCTTTTGACGGGGGAGGGAATGTAGGAAGATCAAGCTCTTCTGGAGGGAAAAGCGCAGCGAGGTAAGGCTCCAGTGTAGCTATAACTGCGTCTGGGTCAAGCTCGTCAAAGTCGGGTATGGGCTAGATAATGCTTGGTCAGTCAGTGGTACATAAGCAGGATTTTGAGAATTCCTTACAAATGGTAATGTGGACTGTAGTTGAGGTTGTACGGCAACGGGCGCTGGAGTTTCTGCTTCTTGGAACCCATCTTCAAAGTCGTCAAAATCGTCGTCCTCATTACCCTCCTCGAAGTCGTCAAAATCGTCACCGAAGCCATCGTCGCCATTGTCTTCGTTATCGTTATCTTCATCGTCATCGTCATTTGGGGCTGCGTCGTCATCATCGTTATCGTCACCATCACCGTCATCATCTTGCCGGGAAGTAGCCAAAGTATCGGGCTTCTCGAAAGATTCATCTTGTTGCAATTTCGGACTTTTGGAATCGGGTGACGGTGTTGAATTATCTACGTGAACGAGTCTCAGCGGTCAATGAACATTCTTGTGATATTTTTAGGACTTTGCTACTCCCGTACCAGAGTTACTCTTAACATTTGCGGGCTCGCCCTGGATCTCCTTGATCTGACCATCAGAATCCAGGAGAATGTCTGGGGAAGCATCTGCCTTGCGCATCTGCTCATATTGAATTGAATATGATCGGTTTCTTCCACCAGGAGACTCCTCTACGGTAATTGTAGGGGGTTTAAGCTCGGGTTTAGGGGGAGCATCCTGAGACGCGGCAGCTTCCGGAGCAAGCGCAATCTCATCGGGCATGGCGTCTTGTCCTCGCATCTCGTACGCTTCAGTTCCCGGAACCTCGCCGTGGGAGGGCTCATCGTCGACCTTCTCGACCCGGGTCTTGGGAATGGGCGAACTAATCTTGGGACTCCCGGAGCCAGACGCAGCATCTGTAAACTGGTCGTCGGACTCGGACTCCTCAGCTAGAGCATGACATGTCAGCAAGGTGACCGATCATCCAAGGCTCAAACAATCATTCATACCAAGTTCGTGGGCTCCAGGGTCCTCTACAGGGGCGCCCATGGGGGGTTCAAGCTTCTCGGCGTCGGCCATGGTAACGGGAGCCAGATGATATAGGTAGTTCGAGATCTAGAACATGCGGTGTTGATAAGTAGTCGACGTGGGGTTGAAGGTACAACCCGGGCGGAGAGCTGAATATGCGAAGCCTTAAGAGAACGGTAAAGGTAATACGGGCGCCGTTCAAAGGATCGGCACACAGGATAATGTAGAGCCTAATATAGCGTAACAATCTTGATTGTGATCGGGGTGATTAGACTAGGGAAGGAGGTTGTTCTGTCCAGATGCTTTGGAGATCTAAAGCTTAGGTGGGCATGTATCACGTGGGGCATCCTTCCATACCTTTAGTAGTTTGTCTCTCCAGTTGCGCAGCTCATCAATTCTTAAACCTTGCTTGGCACTTGAGTTATCCCTGTACCAGCTAAGTCTAGAACGTGACGAGGACACCGTATTTGGGTAGGAGGGAACAATTCGTGCAAGAATTCTTGGCACTTCGCTGCATTAGTATAGTCGTGAGACCATATGAAACTTGAAAGCCACGATGCTATAGGAAAAGCACGATGGTTGGGGGGTTCTCGATGTCGGCAGTTGTTTCTGCATCCAACGCCTGGGTTGAAGAGTACTATAGGTATCTCTCTTAGCATGAGAAGACTGGGTTGTCTTTAGACAGCCAGGTACGTACTCTAGTTACCAAGTTACACTTCGTGTAAGCTTGTTTGAGACTGACTCACTATGCGCATCTGTCTTGTACATGGTGTGTCTTTTGGTACTCCGTGCTCATAAATGCTATCGATTTGCCTACTACTCCGTACTATCAGTGATTTTCACTCTGTTCTACAACAGTTGTGATATCTTATAACTAAACTCTCAAAATCTACGGACTTGAACGACGAACACCAGAAGTCAATGCTAAAGTAGACTGTCCAAAGGGATGAACTCACGAATCCAGCACTTATATTTTACTTACAATCGAAAATCTTCGTCCTGAAATTCTGTTCTCCTAGCCTTCCGGATTTGTTAATCACGCAGGTTGAATCGTGCGTGATATACCTCTGCATCGAGATCGATACAGCGCAAGCCAAAAGAGCACCGTTTGGTACGGTAAGTCTAAGCTTCACACAGACGGCAACTGAAGTAGCCTAGCCCCGTCACGGTGCAGCTAACGGTGATTGCTCACAAACGCGTCCCCACAAAAAAAGCTCCCAAATGCTGTCGAGTTGCCATTAACGACCATAATCTCTACCTCGACTATCGAAATCATCATCTCAGGTCTCGCTTTCGCCCATCGGGAAACCTTGTCTCCGACTTCTCAATCCATCTCAAAGTCGGCTCATACACACCGCGATCGACAATTACCCCGATTCAAGCAAACTGATCTTGGACTCCTAACCCCCGAGATGTCGTTCAGCTTCGGAAACCCAAGCTCTTCGAGCGCGCAAAACAACAACACAACATCGTCTGCGCCAGCTTCAGGGAGCCTCTTTGGAGCTGCTACAGGAGCTCCCGGTTTCTCCTTTGGTAACGCCGGTGGTTCTGCGGCCGGTAACGCATCAACACCCGCCAGCAGCGCAACCAACATGTTTGGTCAACAAGGCGGTGCCTCGGCGCAGAAGCCCGCTGGTGGTCTATTCGGGGGCGGCGCGAACACAACCAACACTTCCACCACTCCTTCATCTGGTGGACTCTTCGGCGGCGGTGGCTCAACAACTCCTGCGACAGGAGGTCTATTTGGAGGAGGCGCTTCCTCTACCACGCCTGCAACGACCTCAGCTCCCTCAAGCGGTGGAATGTTTGGCGGTGGTGCCAACACCTCTTCTGCGCCTGCATCTGGAGGACTATTTGGAAATAACGCAAGCAAGCCTGCGTCCAACCTTTTCGGTGGCGGCAGCTCTTCAACTCCAGCTAGCAGCGGTGGCGGTATGTTTGGCCAGAACAACCAGGCTGCGGCAGCCACTACTTCAGCTGCTCCATCACCTGGTCTTTTCGGAAATGCTGCGTCTGGCGCTGCGACTCCTGCCAAGCCGACTTTCGCTCTACCATCTACGACTCCGGCTGGAGCACCACCTACTGATTCTTCAAAGCCTGCCGGTGGACTGTTCGGCAACGCAGGTGCGCAAGCATCTACTGGAACTCCTGGTCTCTTCGGTGGAGCGAAGCCTGCGACCACGTCGGCTTTGACTACTCAACCCAGCACAACGGCTGCAGCACCATCTGGCGGCCTCTTCGGAGGTGCACAATCCGGAAACAACACTCCTGCCGGAGGTCTTTTCGGCGCCAAGCCAGCAACGACCTCTGCCCCTTCGGCCGGTGGACTATTCGGTGCAAAGGCCGAAGCACCGGCACCTGCTGCTGCCTCACAAGCTGGAAGCTTAACTCCTTCTACCACTGCGACTTCCATGTTCGGGGCCAAGCCCGCAGCTCCAGCAGCTTCGGCAGCTGGCTCATCGGCCGCAGGTGGCCTGTTCGGCGGCGGCGGCGCAACTACCTCTGCGGCCTCGGGAGCCTCCACTACAGCGACAGCCGGAGGTTTGTTTGGAGCTAAACCTGCGACAACCACAGCTTCTTCAGCATCTCCAGCTACGACCGCAAGTGCTGGTGGTCTTTTCGGCGGTGCCCCAAAGCCCTCCACTGAATCATCTACTCCCAGGCCGGCCGGTGGTTTGTTTGGAGCCCCTGCCGCAGGTTCAGCAGCCACCTCATCTGCGGCTGCCGGTGCATCAACAACTACTTCGGCTCCTGCATCGGGCTCTACTCCTGCTCCTGCCAGCAGCCTCTTTGGCGCGAAACCAGCTGCTGACACCAGCAAGGATGCTGCTAAGCCCGCATCTGCCAGTGTCACTCCTGGGCCTCTAGGTGCTTCTACAACTGGCCCAACATCTCAGATGGCGCGCCTCAAGAACAAAACTATGGAAGATATTGTGACACGGTGGGCATCAGACCTATCGAAATACCAGAAAGAATTCAAGGAGCAAGCCACCACTGTGTCAACCTGGGACAGATGCCTTGTGGATAACGGCGAGAAGATCCAAAAGCTGTACCTTGATACCTTCGAGGCTGAACGAGCTAGCCATGAGATTGAGCGACAGCTCGCAGCTGTGGAGAGCCAGCAAGATGAGCTTGAGGCATGGTTGGATCGCTACGAGTCTGAGGTCCAGGATATGTTTGCTAAGCAGCTCGGTCCTGGCGAGCAGTTGGCTGGACCCGACCAGGAACGCGAGCGTACGTATAAGCTTGCGGAGAAGCTTACCCAACAATTGGATGAGAAGTCGCGCGATCTTTCCAAGATGGTTAAGGAGATCAACGATATTTCCGGCACATTGAACAAGGGTGCTAAGCCCGAAGATCCTGTAAGTTTTCTCTCGTGCTCAATTATTAAGATAGTGACTGACACAATTATAGCTGAGCCAGATCGTACGGGTTCTGAATGGCCATCTCACACAATTGCAATGGATTGACGCTAATGCCTCGTCACTGCAAGCCAAGGTCACAGCTGCTCAGAAGTCGAGCAGCAACCTGGGAAGCCACTATGCGGGCTCGGATAACGGCGCGGCGGAGAGCTTCTATCGCTCATACATGGGTCGACGATGAAGGGAAAGACGGTAATTATTGACTTGGAGTTATGGGCAAGGAATTCGGGCATCTATGTATTAAGACAAAATACGACGGAAGGTACACGCAACCTTGGTGGTGGACGTGGTCATGTTGCAGTGCAATCAGAAACGGGAACAGCACCTAGAGTTTGATGTCGAGAAGCGCATAAACGTGATGGTTCTTGTACACTGGTTTAGACTATGGAAAGACAAGCTCTGGATGACACGTAGATTGATTTCGAGTTCAATTGATAACTGTAATATCCGTCGTTGAACTTGACGAGCCGTATTGCAACTCGCTTATTTCAGGTTATTTTCCCCACTCGCTTTGCCTGACCGATCCGGTGATCCGGGGTATGAGTTGTTTACTTCTGCTCACTGCCCTGCTCCTTGGTAATCTCGTCACTGAAGGAAGATGAGTTAGTTGTGGATTCAATTGGGATGCTAGAGCATCGCGCAAGTGACTGGGTATCATACATGTGCTTGGAGAGACGGTCAAGGTGTTGCTGCTGCTCCTGGAGCTTCTTCTTGAGCTCAATGAGCTTCTCCTTCTCACGCTGGCGGATAGCGTAATCCTCGCTGGCCTTCTCGCGTCGCTGGAAAGCATCACTGCAAGAGAGAACGTTGTTAGAATCCTCCATTTGCGAAACCAATTGAAAGCCTAGCAAGAAAACTCACCCGGAACCTCCACTAGGGCGGGGAGCACCGGTAGCACCCTCGGTCATGACGCGAGGAGTGGTAGAGAAGCATCGGACGGGCCTGAAGGCAGCCGTCTGGCGGAAGGTTGTGCGAAGCATGGTTGTTGTGTAGATTTGATATCCCGTCTTTTTACTTGCTAGAGACAGAGAAGGACGGGGTTTGGAGTTGGGGTTTGTTTTGTAGCCGATGACGTTGGAAGGATGAGCCGAGATGATCTGACCAAGCACGAGCTTCTCAGTTGGGCCAAGCGGGCTGATGGGCGGGTTTAGCTTAGGCTGTTACTTGGGTCATGTGCTTGATTCGCCTAGAAACTCAAGTATTCTCGTAACAGTAACGGATGTGTAGGCGGTAAATCCCGGCCGACTCCGCTTGGAAGCTTGGATCTGGCTGGACCCTCAGCTGGAACATCATCCTGCAAGATGTCAGTATTACTGAACCAGGGTGAGAACCTGGCTGTTTGGTCAAGCGCATTTACCCTGTACTTCTCAATTGTTAGTTTACCTCACATGTATCTAATGCATATCCGAAGCCTGAGGAGAGCATTTCAATCCTCAACTAAGCTGCACAAGGAACCTGCAGGAGCTTGAAGCAACTGGATTGAATGACATCAGAGCTCTCTATTAGGTGGGGTCACCACCTATCCTAGACTACTACGTACGATCTGGGCATGGCTTCGAAGGCATAACAAAAGCAATCGGAGGCAGACATCACCAGATTCTGGCGCAAAGGCACCAGGTGGTATACGTGCTACTATATTGTTTTCTTACTTGAGCATGTGATCAAGTGGGATAGCATATTTGACTTTGGGCTTTTGTTTCCGTTCGCAAGGAACCTAGGCTCCGGAGGTTTATTCCGGTGCAGGAGAGTGTTATATCTCCGTGATCAACACACGGAGCATTGTGCAACAGTTTACGATAGGTTCACATCGATTAGGGAGAATGTAGCAGTTAAACCCGCTGGGCTGAGTTGTGTGTAAGGAACTGGGCAGAGTTGAGCAACGTCAGCCATCCTTCATACAAAGCATTATTGTGAGGATTATGTATAACACAGTCGGGCAAAAATGTTGATTGGTATCATTGTTAACCGGTTTTATGCTGGTTTGAAAAAGATTTTGTGAGTCTAGGTAGTCAATGCGTATTCCCATCAGTCACATACTTGTGCTCAACCTGATATGCCCTACTTGAATTGCGGCAGGCCCATGTCCTTGTCGAACGTGCTGCATTATCATAACATCGCCAATTTGCTTGCCTCTTTACAACAATGGACAATATACCTACCCATGGGTTCACTAGACAGGTAGGTATCACAACTTGATTTCCCTTTCTGTTCCACAACCAAAGTCTCGTGTCGGCACTTGTGGCTGTTCCCGAGCACACCAAAAGCGTGATTGACAGCCTGACAGAACAAAGGAGGGATCGGTCTGGTCGCATGATGACGATGATGACATTTGACACTTTTGGACCCCTCTTTCAAGGCCTGGTCTGTTGAACTTAATATCAACCGCCCGTTACTGAGCCGTTGACGTGTCTTTGCGCCATATAAACGGCCTTTGTTAATAGGTTGAAGTTATGAGATATCTTAAATACAGTTCCCAGTCATTGAATTGTCAGATAAAAGCAGTATTGAATAGAGTAACTCTGATTTTGCAGGATAACTACAGGTAGAGTTGAGTATGAAGATAGCCCATACCAATAGCCACGCCCAGTCACTACATATGAGATTTCGGTAGAAATACATTCATTAGTTTACTTACAATAAAGCCGTTGTATTAGTAGGTACTGTGAGATTAAGCATGAATAACAGTGATTGCCCCGTGTCAGAGATCAACCTCATTAGTCCACTGAAGTTCAGGGCACAGCTTCATTGTTCCATCTCCCAATAGTGGAGTAGGAGTTTCTTGTGGTGGAGATGTTGGGTGCAGAGCACTGATTGGTGATATTTGTTACTGGGATACGTACCTGGGCTGAAATGCTTGCAGTCCAGTTCCATCAGTACCCGGTCAGGGTGAAGCAGGCGGGGGTTTCCATGCTCACTCCATGACACAGGCACTGGCTGGCACTGGCGGCACTGGCATACCTTAGGTAGTTAGTAGGTACTGATGGCAGTGACAAGAGGTGCCCCCTTCCTCGATATCGTCACCCAAAACTTGCCCAATCCCCAACCAATACCAACCAATAACTTCCCCATCCATCTACCAACTCGTCGTCCCGCAAAACCACTTCTTTTTTCCATCTCTCTCTTCTCTTGGCCCCCATCCGCTATCTCCTTCAACTGAAGCTTCCATCTCTCTCAGCTGAATTTTGTTAATCCCACTTTCCTTCACAAACCTCCTTCAAACTACATTCCACGACTTCAGGTACGTTATAAACACCGCCCATTTTGCTTTGATATGGTCTTCCGGTGCCTCTTTCTGCAAGAAGCACCATAGTCTGTTGCCGTTATCCTGTCTTCATCTCCTTGTTGTTGTGTTGTTATGCCCTTCTTTACCCCCTCTGTCGTCATTACCCCCCTTGAAAGCGAAACGAACACGCACCCATTATCCCCTTGGATCTCTGGACGCCTTCACCACCACGAAGAAGCGATACGTACCCGATCTCTACTGTCAACGATATCAAGCATCGACTTTCAAAACTGCCAGACTTCGCTACGTCGCTTGCCATCGCTGTCGCCTGTCGTCGGGAGCCGTCGTCTCAGAAACCCCCCCGCCACTGAGACCCAAGAGCGGGGAGCCTCACCGAGTCGTCGCCGCCACTCTAGCCACGCACTAGGCGCGCAACTGCCTCCCTGTTTAAACAACTTGTCGCCCCTCGTTCACTTCGCAGCTCCATTTATCATTCTATTATCGCCGTTTCGATTAACGACTATACGAGCCTGCGCTTCTTCGTTGTTGCGTTAGCCCACTTTGCGCCTGTTTCTACTCTTCTTACCGCTTCACATTTACCTCGTCTGACAAGCCTGGTCACCCCTTTTACTAACTCACCTTGAACACAGTCGCCTAACACCGCCAAAATGGGTCACGAAGATGCTGTCTACCTCGCCAAGCTCGCTGAGCAGGCCGAGCGATATGAGGGTATGTTGTTCGAACCAGCCTCACCTACCAATCATGCGCTAACCTCGGGCGCGCGCGCCCATCGCAGAGATGGTCGAGAACATGAAGATTGTCGCCGGTGAGGACCGAGATCTCACTGTCGAGGAGCGAAACCTTCTCTCCGTTGCCTACAAGAACGTCATTGGCGCCCGCCGTGCTTCGTGGCGCATAGTCACCTCCATCGAGCAGAAGGAGGAGTCAAAGGGCAACTCTTCCCAGGTCACCCTCATTAAGGAGTACCGACAGAAGATCGAGGCCGAGCTCGCCAAGATCTGCGATGACATCCTCGAGGTCCTTGACCAACACCTTATCCCCTCTGCTAAATCTGGCGAGTCCAAGGTCTTCTACCACAAGATGTAAGCGGATTCATGATATCTGTTCGCCAACCGTTATTGACAAGCCTTGCAGGAAGGGTGACTACCACCGTTATCTCGCTGAGTTCGCCATTGGCGACCGCCGCAAGGACTCCGCCGACAAGTCCCTCGAGGCTTACAAGGCTGCTACTGAGGTTGCCCGAACCGAGCTTCCTCCTACCCACCCTATCCGCCTGGGTCTCGCCCTTAACTTCTCCGTCTTCTACTACGAGATCCTCAACGCCCCCGATGAGGCTTGCCATTTGGCCAAGCAGGCTTTCGATGATGCCATTGCTGGTATGACTTGTAAACTATCTGCTATTGATGTCCATTTTGCTGACCTAAAACTTACAGAGCTTGACACTCTGAGCGAGGAGAGCTACAAGGACTCTACGCTGATCATGCAATTGCTCCGTGACAACCTCGTACGTCCTTCCTAGGCCCCGTTCTTGTACATGATTATAGCTAACCCAAGAATACAGACCCTCTGGACCTCTTCTGAGGCCGAGACCTCCGCTGCTGGTCAGGCTGAGGCTCCCAAGGAGGACGCCCCCGCCGCTGCCACTGCCGAGGAGCCCGCCGCCCAGGCTGATGAGCCCAAGGCCGAGTAAAGGATTGTTGACAATTTTGATACGTCTATGCAGGCGTCGGGCGGACTGGTGTCTACGGAGTGGACGGAAAGACCTCGTTTTTGATCAAGAGCTTCGGCATCGTTTCGGTACACAGACAAGCGCCATGGAAGGGCTGACTTTTTTACCAACGGACTAGCAAGGAGAGTCGAGAAGAGAGCACTCTTACGTTCTACTTTTAGACTGTTAATGCGTTGGCCGTCTGGACAATAAAAATACTAAAATTACTTTCAATATACGACGATATATGATGTGTGATGATTAGAGATATCGAGCCGGGATTTGTAGGTTCCCTCGACATGCATGTGGGAGTGGTGCCCTGGATGTATGCGCAGGGACTAGTAGGGTTAACATAGGTATACGGATATACCTACCTAATGCAAAGTGGCAGGATTTTATCTGCAGTTTGGCAGTCGAATGCTGCACATATCCCGCTTTGCCCTCTGATCACAAGTAGAACGAATCTGTCATGTCAACTTGTCTCTTTAGAAGTGTTATCTGAAGTCTGAATTTCCTCGTCCTCGTCCATTACAGCAAAGTGAACCCGCAGCCACAAGCTACAGTCGAGACAGCCAACCACAAGCTCGCCCTCATCGCTCACTTCCTCCAAGTCTGCCTCACGAAATTCATAGCTATGGCCATTCCCGCAGCGACATGGACGATACCAACATTCTTGATCTTCGTCGAAAGCCAAATCATCTAGGTCGACGCTTTCTACGCCCGTTTGAAAAGAGCCATCCCGGCTAGCAGCTCCAGTAGGGCGGGAGACCCGCAGAGCAGTGTCATATGCTGCACGAGAAGAAGGGCTGGAAAGGACGTTTAGGGCGTTGGTAATTTGGTCGACTGTGAAGAAAATAGATGAGGAACCCAAGTTTGCGACTTTGTCTGGATGGTTGCGAAGAAGAGCGCGGTGATAGGCACGCTTTATGAGGGGTGCAGAGTCATGTTGGGTGTCGAGGAGGGTAGGTGTCAGGTTGAGAACTTGATAGTGCGTTGCCGTTTCTGACGCCTCAGATATAGAATGTGAAGACGCCATTGATGTCGATTTGCTTTATATGAATGGGCTCTCAAGGAGTGAAGCCTTGGAAGAAAGGTTGTCAACCTACTATCAAAGGCTTCAACTTCGATATCACGTGACGATAGTAGACCTGAAGAGGATGAGTGTCGTGAGTTTTGGGAGGCTTACAAGAACCGTGTGAGACATATGTCGCGCATTTAGAAACGAGGGAATCTAGTATTTGTGGACAAACTACGCATGGTATGGTTGGTGGTTTGTCTGGATAACTAATAATCTGATACATCACCGTAAAGAAGCTTGGTATTGGTTGATGCACAGCAAGTGTTTGGCATGATCGTTGTAGATGTTCTTGGACATAAAAATACACATGTAAATGTACAGGGTGCACCAAAGCAGTCATTCCATCTCTCGGCGTCTTGTTTATTTATTTGGGGAACCTGGACCATCCGTGTTTGCCCACCTAGGATATAGTTAGCAATATGACACTCAAGAGCCGCTGTGCAGCTTAAGTTGCTGAAACTCACCCTCTTCCAGCGCTTGATAAGGCTGGGCATATCCAGCATGGCCTTTCTCCTTGTCTCCATCCTGCAGTATAGTTAGCCTCGTTGCTCTAACCCCAAAAATGACACACAGCCAATCTATGACCGTCGCCATGATAGGACCGCCCACGTACTTTGCGATCATGTGTCGTTCGTGAATATGTCCCTTGACCTTTTGTCCCACACCAGTACCCTTGACTCTCAAACCATGCTCGACCCGGTGAGCCAGTCTATACTCAGTGGCCTTGCGTGTGTCGGGTAGGAGGTCCTCAACGCCGTTCTCGCGGGCCATCTGGACCAGCTCAGCCTGACGGCGCTGGGAGTATACAGGATCCTGCCATTTGCCGGTCACGGGGTGCTTGTAGAAGCGGAAGGGGTTCTGCCTCTCCTCTTGATATCGGGTTTTGGGTGCGGTTTCGGGGAGGATGGCGGCGGGAGGATAGCGGGCGAAGAAGCGCTGCAGAGGGGCGGGCAGCGATCTTGCGAGGCCGATCAATTGTGGTGCTGAAACCATTGTGAGTTGCTGTGTTTCCGAGACCTGTCAATGGCACGCCCTAGAAAGAAGTCGAATGGTCACGAACTTGAAGCTCTCCAATCGTCAAGGCTGTGGTTCCCAAGTTTTGCGGTGGACCCATACCGCTATCTTGGCTGATGATTGGCCAGAAGATCACTTCAGCCTTGTCAACTTTATTCCACCGTCAACAATCATCAGTCATCAATTTCTTGGGTTACCTATTTTATGCAGTGACAAGTAACTCCCTTAGTACCCACTTACCTCTCTACCCTGCTCTAATCTCTGGCTCTTCTCGTTCCCAGAATTCTGTCTGATAAACTACATCTGTACGAACCATATGTACATAGGTCTCAGGGGTTTTTATGCCATTGAGAAATAGAGTTGTGGCTGATATGGTGGGCAACCTTATTGAATTTGAGACATTGTTGCTTTTCAGTCTGTGTAGGGACCTCTGTTGTTGATATTTTTGTGGGTTTAATTGGGACAGCTGGATCTCTTTTTTAAAGGTGCTACCAGACTCAATGTAAATGTACATAGGTCTTGACTCCAGTACTGTCTCCCACACAGGCCAACGAGATAAAGCAAAGATATGGAATCGTCGACAATAATTCCACTGAGCATTTCCGCAAGCCTATGAGTAAGTATAATTGACTTATATGAACTGGGGGAGAGCTTTTATTGGCCATTGACTTTTCTATGAGTCCAGGCAATTAGGTAGTTCAACATAAAACAAGACAAAAAGACAACTACTACTTCAAATTTGGCCGTGAAATCAAAACTAACTATATTGAAACTATCACTCATGCTAATTTAGACTTAAGAGCATTACGACGTGAAAGTCAGGTGATATACATTTTATGGCTGATACGGTACCTTGAGGTCTAGTATCTGCCCCACATTTGGTTGCTCAGAGTGTTTGTATACGTCGAGCCAGTCCCAGCGCAACCTCGACATTGTTTCCTCACACAACCGAACATGCCTCTCGATATCGAAGAAATTTTACGGAAGAAGAAGGCCGCGGATGCCGTAGCCTCAAAGCCAAGATTTATCCCCAAGGCCGAGCGAGACCGGCTAGCAGCTGAAAAGGCGAAGAAGGAAGAAGACGACAAGAAGCGCAAAGCTTCCGAAGACTCACAACGGCGACAAGAGGAGGAGCAGAAATGGACCGGCAAATCAAACGGAGCATCAAGACCTAACGATTACCCTTCGAATGGATCCTCCCGCGTACCGACAGGCCCCAAGGCTATGAACCATGAGAACGGCCGAGAAAGATTCGCAGACGGTGATCGCGATCGCGACCAGGGACGCGGACGAGGAAAGGGACGAGACGCTAGGAAAGGAGACAAGCCTGGTGCCGATAAGAAATCAGCAGAGGACATAGAGGCGACTCTCCTTCGATCACGATACTTGGGCCCCCAAGTGAATCAACAATCCAACTTCTCAGCCAAGAAGAAGCGAATGCGCACAACGGAGAAGAAGTTCAACTTCGAATGGGACGCCGATGAAGATACGTCACGCGACAACGACCCTCTATACACCCAGCGGGTCTTTAATCATGGAGGATCTTTTGCTGGTGTTGGCGGCGAATTCGACGATGAGGCTGAGGAACGAGCACGCAAGAGAGCGAGGATGATTGAGCAGAGAGATCCAGAGAACGGAAAAGAGCGAGCGCAAGGTATCATGGAAGACTTCTTTCGGGCACGCGACAAGGCGAGGCAACGAGCGGACCGAACAGGACTGGGTAAGCGTTGGACCGAAAAGACTCTGGAGGATATGCGCGAGCGAGATTGGCGCATCTTCAAGGAAGACTTTGGTATCGCTACAAAGGGAGGCATGATCCCCAACCCCATGCGTAGCTGGCAAGAGTCGAATCTCCCTAAGCGTCTACTTAGCATCGTGGACGACGTTGGTTACAAAGAGCCCTCGCCTATTCAACGAGCTGCCATACCTATCGCTCTCCAAGCTCGCGATCTTATCGGTGTAGCCGTTACCGGTTCCGGAAAAACAGCTGCTTTCCTATTGCCATTACTGGTCTATATTTCTGATCTACCGCCTTTGGATGAAACCAACAGGCACGATGGTCCCTATGCCCTCATCATAGCACCCACTCGAGAACTGGTTCAGCAGATCGAAACTGAAGCCAAGAAATTTGCTACTCCCCTCGGTTTCCGTGTTGTGAGTATCGTCGGTGGTCATCTTATCGAAGAGCAGGCATACAACCTGCGCAATGGTGCGGAGATTGTCGTTGCTACGCCTGGTCGTCTTGTTGATTGTATCGAGCGTAGACTGCTCGTGCTTGGACAATGTTGCTACGTCATCATGGATGAGGCAGATCGTATGATTGATCTTGGTTTCGAAGAGTCTGTCAACAAGATTCTTGACGCACTTCCAGTTAGTAACGAGAAGCCTGACACGGAGGACGCCGAAGACGCCTCAAAGATGCAGCGTTACTTGGGTGGAAGGGATCGTTACAGACAAACTATGATGTACACAGCTACTATGCCGCCCGTCGTGGAGAGGATCGCAAAGAAATACCTCCGTCGTCCAGCCATTGTCACTATCGGTAATGCAGGCGAGGCTGTCGACACAGTCGAGCAGCGCGTTGAGTTTATCTCGGGCGAAGACCGTCGCAAGAAGCGACTCCAGGAGATTCTTTCCTCAGATGCCTTCGCGCCGCCCATCATTGTATTTGTCAACATCAAGCGTAACTGTGACGCTGTTGCTCGTGATATCAAGCAAATGGGCTGGTCCGCTGTCACACTGCACGGTTCCAAGACTCAGGAGCAGCGAGAGGCTGCACTCGCCTCAGTACGCGCCGGCACCACGCAAGTCCTTGTTGCAACCGATCTTGCTGGTCGTGGTATCGATGTACCCGACGTCTCGCTCGTCGTCAACTTCAACATGGCCACCAGCATCGAGAGCTATACCCATCGTATCGGTCGAACAGGTCGTGCTGGAAAGAGTGGTGTGGCCATCACTTTCTTGGGTCCGGAGGACAACGACACTATGTACGACCTCAAGCAAATCCTCAGCAAGAGCTCTATCTCAAAGGTGCCGGAGGAACTAAGGAGGCACGAGGCTGCCCAGTCAAAGCCGGTGCGTGGAGGCGGGGGTGGAGGAGCCAGGAAGGATAAGGAAGATGGGTCAAAAGGAGGCTGGCAGCATTAAGTCAATATTCAGGCGGAAAGGTCTGACGCTTTTACCCAAACTCACCATAAAGATGTACTTGGGTATGATCAAGACAGCTGCGTGAGAAATTACGTTGAGCATTATTAATTGATATCTGCTTTTGGAGCGTTTGGTCGACTTGAAGGAACATAACCGTAGTTAGTTTAAAATAGAACCAAATTGAAGTCACTTCAGTCAATGATGTCGAGTGAACTCATTCAAACGTTTCATTTCCTTGTCTCTTTCATTTTACTTTTCCTGCATCTCAAGGAGAATACCTCACATTCATGACAGACATTCAACATTGTCCAGCCTTTACTCCAACTTGAGCTGCTCAAACTGCTTAATAGTTTCCTCGAAACTGTTAAGCTCTTGCTTAGCATCCGCCAATTTCTTCTCATCTGTCTCCCGGACAGCATCCGAGACCTTCTCAAGGTAGACAGGGTCCTTCAGGATCTTCTCCTGCTTCTGGATGTTGCCCTTCGCCTTGTCGAACTTCTTCTGCGCCTTTGCGATCTCGGCGTCAAGATCAACGCGACCTTTGACGTGGAGGAAGACGGCGGCCTCGGTGGAGACGGGGTAGGCGACGCAGCCAGCAGGTCGAGTGGCATCGGGGCTGAGAATCTCAACGCCCTTGATGCCCTTACCACTGAGGATCTTGATGGACGATGATTGCTCCTTAACGGTGGCGAGGGCAGTGTCGTTGTAGGCCTGGATGATGACTATAAAGAAGTTAGCGTTATGTGTTTTATGGATAATAAGACTATCATGCTCACCCTCGGCCTCATCCTTAAGGGCGTACTCAGCCATCAATGAGCGAGCAGCCTTGGAGCAGCCAAGGACAAGCTCATAGGCGCGCTCAGACTCAGGGTCGTCAAGTGTCTCGCTGTATGTAGGGTACTTGGCAACCATGATGGACTTGGTCTGGTCCTCGGGTCGTCGGGGCATTCGCTGCCACATCTCCTCGGTAATGAAGGGCATAAAGGGGTGAATCATTGTGAGAGCAGCCTCGAGAGCAGTGTAGAGAGTCTGGATGGCAGACTCGCGCTCCTCCTTGGTGCCGTCGCGGATGATGGCCTTTGAGTTCTCGATGTAGACATCGCAAAGCTCGTTGTACCAGTAGCGGTAGACGATCAGCGTTGACTTGGAGAACTCACGTTCCTCAAGAGCCTGGTTGATCTCGCGGGTAGCAGTGTTCATCTTGTGAAGAATCCATCGCTCAGCGAGAGTCTCGCCACGAGCGATACCCGACTTTGAGGGAGTGAAGTCCTCAGGGAGACTTCCCAAGACGTACTTGGTAGCCTGGAAGATCTTGTTACAGAACTTGCGGTATGCGTGGATGATCTTGACATCCAGGTTGATGTCACCACCGCCGGTTGTGGCGTTAACCATGGTGAAACGCAGAGCATCAGCACCACACTGAGGAATGCCGTCAGGGAAGGCAGTCTTCTGGTACTTGGTGGCCTTGGCAACTTCGCTGGGGTGGAGGTTACCCAGGGTAAGCTTGTCATGGAGAGTCTGCAACTCAATACCAGAGATGACGTCCAGGGGGTCGACGACATTACCCAGACTCTTACTCATCTTGCGGCCATCTGAATCTCGGACGAGACTGTGGCAGTAGACCTCCTTGAAGGGAATCTTGCCTGTCATCTTGAGACCAAGCATGATCATTCTGGCAATCCAGAAGAAGAGAATATCCCAACCTGTCTCAAGGAGGGAGGTAGGGTAGAGAGTCTCGAGGTCATGTGTGTTGTTGGGCCAGCCTAGGGTGCTGAAAGGCCAGAGACCAGAAGAGAACCATGTGTCAAGGACATCCTCATCCTGCTCAAGGGTGTAGGTCTTGCCGGGCAAGGCGGCCTTGGCCTTCTCCTCAGCTTCCTCCCGAGTTCGGCCGGCGAACCAAAGCTTCTCCTCAGGGATATCTCCAGCACCGCCTTCGATGTTAGCAAAGTAGACGGGGCATCGGTGACCCCACCAGAGCTGTCGACTGATACACCAATCGTTGATATCCTCGAGCCATCGGAAGTAGCTCTTCTCAGCACTCTCAGGTCGGATCTTGATGCTTCCATCTCGGACAGCAGCCAGGGCAGGCTCAGCAAGCTCCTTCATGCGGACCCACCACTGGGGCTTCAGAAGAGGCTCAATGATATCCTTAGACTTCTCACACATGGGGACCTTCATGGCGTTGTCCTTCTTGTCGACGTAGAGACCCTTGGCCTTGAGGTCGTCCTGGATAGTGTAACGGACATCAAATCGCTTCTGGCCCTGGTAAGCACCAGCGTTCTCGTTCATCAGGCCGTCGTCGGTCAAGATGTTGATAAACTCAAGGTTGTGCTTCTGGCCAAGAGTAAAATCGTTAACGTCGTGAGCGGGTGTAAGCTTGACAGCACCGGTACCGAATGCCATGTCGACATACTCGTCGGCAATAATAGGTAGCTTGCGGCCCTCAATGAAGGGGTGGGTAGCATTCTTGCCAACGAGGTGCTTATATCTCTCATCCTTAGGGTGAACAGCTATACCAGTATCACCAAGCATAGTCTCGATACGTGTGGTAGCGACCTCGACGAGCTCATCTGATCCCTCGATAGGGTACTTGAAGTGGACGATAACACCAAACTCGACCTTCTTCTCGTATCCAGGAACCTCGAGAAGGGTACGGCCGGTCAACTCCTTGTTGGCAACCTCAAGGTTAGAAAGCGCAGTGTTGAGCTTACTGCACCAGTTGACAAGTCGGTTTGATCGGTAAATGATGCCCTCTTCGTAAAGCTTGACCCATGTCTCAGTAACAGCAGCGGACAGGTTCTTGTCCATGGTGAAAGCTGGTCTGTTAGTATGTTCTCCCTTTTTCCGCATCCACGGTTTACATACCTTCTCTGCTCCAGTCGAAAGATCCTCCCAAGCTGGTCAAAGCCTTGTTGATCTTCTTGTGGTAGTCCTCCTTCCACTCCCAGACGGTCTCGACAAACTTCTCACGGCCAAGGTCGTGTCGTGTCTTGCCCTGTCTCCTCCAGAGCATGTTCTCGACAACACTCTGTGTGGAGATACCAGCGTGATCGCAACCAGGCAGCCAGAGAGTAGTCTTTCCCTGCATTCGGCTCCATCGAATCATGAGATCCTGGAGAGCGTCACCAAGAGCGTGGCCCATGTGCAAAGCACCGGTAACGTTGGGAGGAGGGTGGACAATGACGAACTTGCCCTCGTCCTTGATGCTGCCATCAGGTTTGAACTCGGGCTTGAAAAAGCCCTCCTTCTCCCACCAGCTGTACCATGCGGATTCGACGGCGATAGGGTTGTAGGCCTTGAAATGGGGGTCATCGAACGATCGAATTCGCTTCTTCTCGCCCTCGGGAGTATCCTCGACGTACTCAGGGAGAGGCTCCTCCTCGACCTTCTTCTCCTTGGGCTTCTTCTCTTTCGTAGGCTTGGGGGCTGTGGCGGAAGCCTTTTGCTTCTTTGCGTCGAACTTGGCCTGCTTTTCGGCCCTCTTTCGCTCCTTTTCCACTATGGAATCTTATTAGTAACCCATGTCGAGTCGGCTGCGGTTGGAGAAGCTGCACATACACTCCTTCTCGGTCTTCACCTTGGGTGCACCACCAGCTGCGGCAGCTGTGCCAGCATCTTGTCCTGGGGCGTGGGTGCCGGTAGCAGACTCGGCGATATCCTTCTTCTCCTCAGCGGGAACAGCTGGAGGGGGGTTTGTAGCGTCTTGGGCGCCCTCGCTGGCAGCGACTATGCGGTGTCATAATTAGTACCTCAATTATACGCTTCTTAGTGGATTCTGCGTCGCTGCAAGAGGATCCTTTTGGAGCACCTACTTGGGTTTCCTCGGCCGCTGTTGGTCGCCATGATTGCTCGCGTGGTTGTAAAGGGTCGTCCTGGGGAAACAGCTCGCACCCGGAGTGCTCGAACCGCGAGTCTAAACGTTGTGCCGGAGATGACTGAGTGAAGCCCGTATCTTTGGGGCTTCAAGCAATGACCTGCACCTCGAATTGATATAAGTAGGTAGTTGTATGTGACTCAAGGTAAACCAACTTCGAAAGATTGAGTCACCCGCTTCTGATTGATGGCGGGGGATACCTAACTTTTAGTGATGGAGGGGCAATTGTGGCTGAGCCTGACAGAATAAGGCTGCTCCGTAAGCTATGGCAGTATTGGATGCTGTGTAATTTTGCATGCTTATCCAGTCATAAATGTTTGATATCAGTCACAGCGAGGGCGAATGACTGGGGGCAAATCCGAACTTGCATCATAATTATTAGAAAGCGACAATTATCAAAACATTTCTTACTCACAGAGAACGGTATCGGAACACCTTGTTCCAACGAACTGAAGACCAATAAAACTGTGGCGCTTATAGCACCAGCCACACCTAGCCGTGTTTGCGAGATGGAGCCATGACATCTCAGACTTTACGGTCGCATTACAAGACCTTGCTTCAGGTACATTTTGTGGCCTAAAGAACTGGAACTCTTCAGTTTCGAATACTAATCATAATTCTTCTGACCTTTTTTGCTACAAACAACCATCTAGATGGCCTTCCGCCTGGCATTGAGAGCTCCCACGAGCTATGCATTCAATAATAGCCTATCAATCACAGCTAGAAGAGCATACTCAACAAGTAAAGAGTCAAACTATTTCACTGTCGAACTAAGTCCTAAAACAAAAGTACTACCACTTATCACGCAAGGCTATGTTACTAGACTAATCTCATAAGGATCTCTCACAACTACTGCAAACTGTCAAGTCTCAAATCAAGATCACCAATCCCAGTCGTCATGATGCCGCAGTCATTCTAGCAACACCACAGTATGCGCAATGGCTAGAGAAGGATGGCTTCATGTCAGAGTTTGTAGAACTACTGTCTGGTTCTGAAAAGGCAGAGCACTTCCACATCCTCGGCGCTGTCGTTGATCATATCGCTCCGCCAGTGCCGAGCAACAAGCCAGTTCAGGGCTTATCCATTCTCCGTGGTAAACTCGATTCAATCCTACCAGGGCTATGGATTCCAGAAGGACCAAAGGCCAGAGAAGATGCCGATAAAGTGGCGGCTTTGACGATGGATCTTGGCAACCCACACATCACTATTCCTCTAACCAACACCACCTTCCAGAACCACAAGACCTCGACACTTATTGTCAGCCGTTACGACTTGTCTCAGGATTCACCGAAGCTTGTTGAACAAACAGAGAAGAACTCGCAGAAAATAACGCTTCCTCTCCAAAAGAAGCTGCCGTCGATCAACGACCTCGGTATCTGGGCTCCCCTTGTTCCCCTGACTCGTCCTCGTGTGGTAACCGAGAGCTTTGGCAACATCGTCCGACGGATCACCATTAATAACGAATCCATCCCTGCGTCAAACGAGCTCGAACCTGCAGTCGATGAACTACATACCCGAAAATCCGATCTGGTTCAGTCACCCATGGGTATCTGGGCAATAATCACGCCCCCGACATTCGATCAGCCCGGCAACAGCTCCAGCTCTGTTGATCCCGATTCAGAGGTAACGTTCAGCGAGGGCTTGAATATCACGGACCTGGTTGCTTCTACATCATGCCACTTGGCCGGACTATATAAGCAAGGTGGTCGGCTATATCAGATTTGTACGTACCGCTCAACTTATTGCTCTGCTGTCCATGTACTAACATTTTACAGTGAGCGGTGGCGGCGGCTGGGGAGCAAAGAAGGGTCTTCTTTCACTTGACCCTCAGCGAACTCACTTTGCTTTGTCTGAAGAAGAAGAGATGCAGAGATTCATCCAGGCCATGGACGGTGGTAACTTCGTCCCTGTGGGCTCTAAGATCCAATTCTTTGCATCGACAGAGACATCGGCTGCTGAGACAGTAGGTGATAGAAAGACGGCCATAGTCTTTGGAACGGCCACCAAGGTAGAATCTGAGGCTGATACACAGTCGTCTCGGCCTGAGGCTAGTTTATTGGAAGACCACTTCGGTGCTCTATCCGACGATGGTATCTTTGTCACTTCGGCTGATGCTGCTGCGGTTACAACACCTGGCTTTAACAACGATTGGAAACTCAACGTTCCCAACTCCCGAATCTATGTTGAAATCTGAGCAAGAATTGCATGTAGGGTTGGAGTCCTCATTTGGATATCTGGGTTGGCATGTGTGCGTGTATACTAAATATGTATTACAACTACTCTTTTCTAATTTCTAGAGATAGCTAAATCTGTAATGTTGGAGGAGGTATTTTATCATGTCCTTATCATGATTTTCTTTTCTTCTGCAATCCCTCTGCTGCCACTGCTGATACATCCTCCAGGGTTGTCCCCCTCTTTCTCTTGCCAACCTTTTCATTTCCAAGAACCTCATTATCTGCAATATCTTTATATACACTTGCAGCACCCTCAAACATGGCTTTATCCCAACCTGCTTCCTCGTTGAATGTGAGGGCAATCTCTTCCATCTCTCGGACCCAGCGATAGGCCTTGGGTGGCATGCCAGGCACACTTCTCTCGGCGCTATTGAGAAAGGCTGGGTAGAACGAACGGATTTCATCTTTGAGGACATCCAGTACGCCAAGATTATGAGCGGTCGTGAAGGACTGCGTGGCAATGGCAGTGAAACCCTTTGTCATGGAAGCGAAGCACATCTTGAGCCCACTTGCAGCACCAACATCGGGCGAAATATGCTTGATGTTCAGTACAGAAACGAGCTTGTCGCCGAAAGGGAGCGAGCTCAGAGTGTCCGGGCCTGAGACAGGCAGACTAGGGCGATACCAGTGAGAAAAGTCATTGCTGCCGGATGACTTTGTTTCGGTATCAGGAGATGCAGTTACTTTTGGAGGACCCCCGAGAATACTACCATCGATGAATTTTATAGACAGATCTGATGTCTTGATCTTTGCTGCAACAGTTTTGATGGTCGAAGGTGCAACCGCATTGAGATCGATAAAGTAAATCTCTTTCGGTTTGTCTAAACTTGCCGTTGCATTTATAATGCGATTGGCTGTGGTCTCCGCATCCTTTGGCGGCACAATCGAGAGCATAACAGAACTCTGCTGTACTAGGTCAACATCAGACTCTAAGAGCTCGACTTGTGCATCTCGAGCCCGTTCAATTGTATCTTGACTAAGGTAATTATGAGCGTGCGTTGCATTATGTGAATCGTGGTTTACTTTACCTTCTGCCCGAGATGTTGGTCGCAACAGAGAAGCCATGAGCAATTAACAGCCTAGCAATACCAACGCCCATATCGCCAATGGACAGGAGCCCAATCTTGGGCAGTGAATTGGTGGTAATTGGCATTTGTGACCCCTAATAATTGCAGCAAAATTCTATAAGATTTTGTCTTTGTGTTTGTTTGAGGGACATTGCATCATGACATGAAAGAGTTGAGGTGGGGGAACAGGGTAGTCTATACTTGGCGACTTAGACCATCTGGTTCTTGAATTACGTACATGAACCCCCAGACATAACTTAACTATGTTGATTCTTATCCATAAGTTCTGGATATAACCTTGAACTGCAACCAAATTTAAATCAAGACCGATCAGAGATCTTGACGTCTAGTACTGTTTATTGGATATGTCTATCAAATTAACTTTTCTCAAGTATTGGGACACTCATACAACAAACTTCGCAAGATCCGATTCAAGCTTTCCCTATACCAACTTAGCTTGAGGGATTGCTTGTTAAAACACTACCAGACAAGACTAGGTAGTCAGAAAATGGCCCGAAGGTTTTCCACAGTGTTATGTTTGTTTCCTCGCCAGTAGGCAGATGGCTGTCAAAGACAGTCTCCGCTGCCTTTCCGACGATCAATATAAGGATGGAGCAAGGGTGGACCTCTCGGCCACTACTTCCAACGGTCGCCACTTACAATCCATGATCTTATTAATATCGAATGTATCCCAGCTTTTAGAAACATATGCCGACTGACTACCTTAACTACTAAGGTATTATACAAATGATTAGACCGCAAAGTGTCGGGAAGAGTGAGAGTGAGGACAGCAGAATAATGGCATGATAATCAGCCAAATAAAATGCCGTTAAGACCGAGGCTCAAACAACCCAAAGTCCGTTGTTGGTGGTGAGAGCGACGTCACTCTTCAAGGATCCGACCTTGTTTCTTGTGTCGCGGGGAACCATTCATGGCCCGATTCGATCCGCCTCGCCTCTCACAAGATAGCACATGATGACGAACATTTGACAGGACAGGGGAGGGTGTGATCTGTAAATTAACTCTGATATGATATATAGTAGGAACTGAGACTTGATCAAGTCAATATCAACATCAGCATCAACACCAATCTCAATCAAGTCATACACACATCTCATCTGATACGCACTTCAACTGTAACTCATCATGGATCCGATAGACCAACAAGATAAAACACCAGCAACCTCGTCACAAACAAAACCAAAGACGAGCAAGGCTTCATCTAAAACCACAAAACCATCTAAGTCGAAGAAAACCCAGAGGAGAGCACAATCTGTATCTACACACGCACCTCGACAACCAGACGAAATCGAAGAAGCCGAGACGATAGTACCTGTAAAGACAGTACCAAAACAGAAACAAAAAAGAGTCGAGTCATCATCATCCGATGATACCGACGATGCCGAAAGCGTATATCTATCATCCCACGGAGAGACATCATCAGATGAAGACTCCTCAGACTACGACTCAGACTATGATTCCGAAGATAGTGTACAAGAGCTACCCCCTCGTCAGATAGCGAGAAGATCAACAGCTAGTGCCGTTAAACCCGCATCAGGATCTCCATTCACAATCACACAAACTCGAAGCGAAACAACCCGCTGGATATCGACACAGAACAACGGAGGCATGACCCGTGGTACTAGAAGCGTCAACGAGCAGACGACAATGCATGGTCAAAATGTCAATGGACAACAACAAAGACCAAACCATAGAAACAGCGTCAGCTTCAATATGAGCATCAACGTCGACATGTCGTTTAACGGCCTCGTCACAGGTCGAAATCTGGGCTTTACCGGGGTGTGTATCCCTGTCATATGATATTCAACGGATAACTTGAGCATGTCAGCTTACAACTCTAGGGCTCACTGTCATACGCGTGGAATCGTCGAAATACACAAGGGGGTTGATCGAGCTATATCGTTGGGTTGATAACTACTCCATCTATTTAAGGCCAAGTCCGATCGATAATCAAACAGCAGGTTTCAATTTCAAGGTGGGAGTTTTTGGTTGCAATGCGCTAAACAGTCTGGTGGTTTACATAGTTGTGTTGGGAACATGGAGGATATTAAAGTCAGGAAAATGACCACACATCTACTCAATCATGTCGATATCGTCAGTAGCAGCTTGCGCCTGGGCCTGTGCAGGTGCAGCTGCAGGTGCCTGAGCAGGAGGCGCATCCTGCTGGTTGCTGGGCTCTGCGGCCTGCGCACTCTCTCCGCCAAAGTAATCCGCCATCTCGGCGTCCAGCTCCTCCTGCGTCTTCTTGGCACGAGGGTTGCCTCGTCCGCCGCGACCACTCTCCTGATCTCTGCCTCCATCTCGGCCTCCCTCTCTTCCCTCGCGCCGAGCTCCAGGACGACGACCACCTCGATCCTGACCTTGACCTTGACCACGGCCTTGACCGCGTCCGCCACGGGGCATGGGGCTACGTCGAGCACCCTGACCGGGAGTGTATCTGTCAATTCCCCTGCGGGCAGCATCGTCGTCGTCATACCGGCGGTGGGGTGAATGAGATCTTCTGTCTCCTGGGCTCGAGATACGTTCCGCCAATGGACGACCAGGCATAATGGCAGTATCAAAGGGGTTTCGGTTAGGTAGGAGGGCCAATCGAATAGGTTGACCTGCGCCCTGTCAGTCGGATTGCGTAACTGGGGTTGTTAGCTTTGACTTACCGTTGGCATTTGCACCATCAAACTGCTTGACCGCCTCCTGAGCATCTTCCTTCGATTCGTAGGTTACGTAGGCGGTACCTTCAGACCGACCAGAGCGGTCATAGCGCAGCTGTAGACGGGTGACAGGTCCAATTCTTCGAAAAAGCTCCTATGGGTTCATGAGCAGCTGTACAAGTCGCAGTTGTGTGGATTAACTACCTCGAGGTCATCCTCGGTAAGGTCGTAGTGGATGTTATCGACACGGATCTTTGCGCCCTTGGACTCCCTATTTGAGAGAACATTAGGAATGATTGTATATGGACCGTGTAGCAGACTCACTGGTCTGGGGAGTCGCGGCGACGACGAGGAGCAGGTGCTCTGCGATTGTCTGGACAGGGGTCAAAAAGGCGTCTTCGTCAGGGGGAGCGTCGAGTATTACTGTTTTCCTCAAATCGGTCATGGACCCATTCACTGCATACTGTTAGCAAGCGGGCGCAACAAAACGGGACAACTCCAACTAACCTGTCGAGGTTTCGTGATTCGTCGCGAACATACTGTAGATGGGAGGAACGCTCTGGTCAGCAAGAGGTTTCTAGAGTGGAAAGCCGTTCAATCGACAAGAGCTCCGAGCACCGAAAGGACGAGTTGCGAGGAGGGTTGTACAGGTCGACTAGGCATCATTGGAGGGCGAGGGAGGTCAACCTGTGTAGACAACGTCAACAAAGCCTCATGATGAGCGCCGAAGCGGCGAACTGGCTGGAATAGAGTATTTACAAACCTTTCTGACACCATCGCGAGGGAAATCATTACGGGGTTCACGTCGGCGACCCTGACCACGGTTGTTGTTGTTGTTGTTGCGAGGTCGATTGGAGCGCTGTGAAGATAGGTCAGCCAAGGTTGGTTCGAGACGGAAGCGCGTGCATGAACTACGGAAGATGGCATGGCATGGGATAATAGGAACTGGATGATGATAACGTACAGTATCAGCAATGATCTCATCAAGGCCGCGATCCATCTTGTCAGCCATTTTGTCGATATTTGCAAGGAAGATTTGCAAAATTTGCGACAGTTGTGGAGGTAGAGAAGTTAAAAGGAAGAGAAATTGAGATTGGAGACAATGCTTGGAGTTACCTCAGATGAGATGTCATGGGTGGTGAAAGCCACATCTGGGCGTCAAATAAATGTGGAGACTATTAGTGAACTCTCCGTATAATACGTTAATACAATACGGAGACTTCTTTCGGAAAGAAATATTGTCATCTTTGCTCCCAATCAGTTATTATTGATAGGCATGTGTATTTAATCATTTGATTAAATTGCAGATATTTGAACTGATTCGTATCTTTACTCGATATCTATCCTCGACCAAACCACTCATCTCAAATCCAGGCGTACAGCCGACTCAGCACTAAGCCCAGAATAGATCTAGTGTCATTGAACCCTCAGTCACTTAGTCGTGTCTAATTGTATCCCTTTGGCTCGTACTAACGTAGACAGGCCAGAAAACCACCACCTTCGTATTCCTCAACTTTCCCCCTTCCTCTGGTCAGATCTATTTATGACTGACCTTACCTTCCTTTTCTCTTGTTTTCCTTCTGCCTCGTAAATCGGCCATAATAGATCATCTCCCAATCGCTTGCCAGAAAGCCTGTATTGACCCTTATTCCTGTCTGCCGTGTCCCTTGCGGCGCATCTCGACCCAGCTTCAACTTCATCTGGATGCCCTCGACTCGCTCGCGATAGCCGGTGCTGTCGCACGTCCTCACATATTCGACCTACTTGTCGCCTCACAGCCGCAATAACAGGACAGCCATGGCCCGTCCCATGGGGGCTGTTCGTCTCAAGAAGACGAATCCCTTGACCCTTGCGCTCGGAGCGATTCTTTGCATATTCATCGTCTTCTTCCTCGTTTCGCCCTCGGGCAAATCCGTCACCGCTAAACGATTCGAATCCATAACTGCAGAGCATCATCTATCGCCGCCAACTTCGCCGTACCGAAAGTCAAAATCCCGATCTGGCGTACCGCTCAAGCCACCACCCGTTGTGCACTACAACCTTAACAACGTCACCATTACCACTTCGCCCATTAAGAACCGAGAGAATGTCCTCATTCTGACTCCCATGTCTCGATTCTACCCTGCCTACTGGGATAATCTGTTGCGCCTGAACTATCCACACGAACTCATCACCTTGGGTTTTATCCTTCCCAAGACCAAGGAGGGCAACCAAGCCACCACCGAGCTACAAGAGCATATCCACAAGACCCAAAAGCATGGTCGCGAAGCCGACAAGTTCAAGAGTATCATCATTCTACGACAAGACTTCGAGCCTGCTATTCTTTCTCAGGATGAATCCGAGCGCCACAAGCTTAAGAACCAGAAGGCACGTCGGGAAGTCATGTCCAAGGCCCGCAACTCTTTGCTCTTTACCACCCTTGGTCCGGATACATCTTGGGTTTTATGGCTAGATGCCGACATTGTTGAGACGCCAAACTCGCTGATTCAGGATCTTGCTGCCTTCGATAAGCCGCTCATCGTCCCCAACTGTTTCCAGAGATACTACGACGACGAACACAAGCAGATGGCTGAGCGACCGTATGACTTCAACAGCTGGCAGGACAGCGAAACCGCACTTGCAATGGGCGCTAAGATGGGACCCGATGAGGTTCTTTTCGAGGGGTATGCTGAGATGCCTACATATCGAATGCTCATGGCGTACCTGGCGGTTGAAGGCGGCGATCGTAACTTGGTGATCCCTCTTGATGGAGTTGGAGGCACTGCCCTTTTAGTCAAGGCTGATGTGCATCGTGATGGCGCCATGTTCCCTCCATTCCCATTTTATCACCTTATTGAGACAGAGGGATTCGCCAAGATGGCGAAGCGATTAGGGTGGCAGCCATTTGGCCTTCCCAACTACAAGGTCAGTAACGATTCTTCGTTATACCGTAAAGTGGACGATTAACAACATTTCTTTTTAGGTCTACCATTATAACGAGTAATATTATCACTCACAATTTCACATGGTAATATGATCAAGTCTTTGCGCGACCTAATCCTTATGGCTCTTCCAAATGACCCTTGCGCTGGAAGTTGGGAGACAAATGGCTGACCATGGCCATTGTCGGGCAATTCATGATTCAGTTTGGGCGGTACAGGTCACGGCGTTTTAGTAGTGCATCCTTTGAACAATTCTTTTTTCAAAATGGAGTGGATAAGGGAAGCATCATAGCTTATGGGATGCGACAGCTGCAGACATGATGAGCTGTCTTGCCAGGGATGGGCATTTTGTACTGGTTTACATATTCGTGTAAGAAAGATAACATGGTGAAGAACATCGACGAAAGATCATGGAATAAATGGGCGCCTGCAGGTCCATCTGCTATGTTGCTCAAAGCAAGTCAGGGAAGCATTTTTGAATATTTTCGCATTTTATATTGACCGCCGGTCTATCCAAAACGCATCTTGTTAGTTGTTTATTTTTGGAATTATACGCTGTCGCTCAATAAATAAGTAAGAAATTCAAGCTTGTCGAGGTCCTGAATTGATACACCCGAATCACGACGGCCTGTAAGATGAACCCCCAAACTCCGTAAAGCACTATCCAAATCAAAGCACATTGTTTGGATCCCGGGCCAAGCCAAAGGTGACAACAACGCCTCATTGCCCCTCATACCGTCCATCAGAGTCGCGACACCAAAACTCCACAAGTTTCCTAGTACCAAGCACATCACCCGAGCGCAGAAGCGCAGCAACGTCAACATTGAGCGGACTGTCCGTCTCGGGGCATCCCAGCAGCATGCGCACAGCGCGAACGCACTCCAGAACACTGTAAGCAGGCGTCCATGCGTCCTTGAGCAAATCGAGGCAGATCTCGCCGGTCTGGAGCGCAATGTTCGGATGTACGATGGGTGTAACAAATGTCATCTTGGGTGGTGCGAGGGGGTATGTCGATGGAATGGAAATGCTGATCAGCCAGCGACCCTCTGCGTTCAAAGCCATGGTCAGTAAATGTGGTGTCGAGGTAAGGGAGTTAAACTAACCGTCATAACCATGCCCGATACCTCTTCCGTTGATGACGGCTTCCCATTCCATCAAGTCGCCTTCACTAACAGGGCCGAGGCGCTCGATACCATTCTCTTCCTTTCTCTCTGTATTCCAAGTATCCAGCTCTTTTATCAATCGTTTACTTGCGCTTCGCGACGCAGCGCCTGAGTTTGATGAAGATGGTGGCATGTTTATTGATAGTAGTTGCGATATTGGTAATTAGAGAGATGATGCGGTGGGCTAGTTGATGCAGGTTGTAAGTTGAAAGTGTTCAGCTGAGAGATCAAGTTCCGAATGGTCTGGGGTCGTGACTATTTCGTCAGTCGGAGCTACGTTAGGTTGTTCTGTTGCGTTAGAGCTTCCCCTCGGCATGTCCAGTTGGCGATAGGTCGACAGGGGTTAGATCGGGCAGAGCCGAGGGATCATTGGGAATGGGAGATCTGAGCTGAAGTACCAAGAGTACGTACTCTGTCGGTTCATCAGTGGCTGTGCTTGGGTGGCTCGAGCTACCACGTTAGCTGGTTTACAACAAGAATCCCCTTTCACCCCTTTCACATGAAAATATCAGTGTCTATTTAACGTGCTGGGTCATGAGCATTTCAAATCATGTCAACATTAATCATCACAGAGACAATTGTAACTCAAAACAATAGATAGTCTGTCAACAATGAATAGTGATTTCCATTTTATGCTCAAAGGTATTCTTTTCCTAGTATCATAACTCTTTACTTTTTGCGTCGTCCACTGGAAGTGGGAGCCGGCTTCCGCTTGGAGGAAGTGGACGATGAGGTAGAAGTCCGAGGTGGGTTTCTCCTTGTTGTCTCAGGCTTAGAAGGCTCAGGAGACGACTCTTCGACAACGATCTGAGCTCCACTGCCGACATCATCACTGGACGTTGTCTCTACCGAGTCTTCCCTGTCCTCCTCAGAGTTCTCGTCGCTATCACCGCTCTCCTCGCTTGACCCATTATCAGCGCTCATCTTGGACCCCTTTCTGGATCCAACACCGCGCTGAGCTCCTGGGAATGGTCTCCATGATCCAGCTGGGCTGGGTGCTTGGGAACCCTGCATCTGGAACTGGAAAGGATCGAGGGGAGCTTGGCTTGAGTTCCTACCCCGTCGGACGACAACTGAACTGTCAGAGGGTTGACGGCTGGTAGACGGCGCTCTCACCCGACTTTGAGGTCGCTGGGCCAAGGTCGTGCCAGGGCGTGGTCGACCTGCTGTCGTTGAGGGTGGGAAGTATCCCGTGGCGGTGCGAGACGATCGATCTTGATCCTCGGTGAGGTTGCTAGTAGAAGAAGATTGTCGAGCTCGAGATTGGGAAGAGACTGAAGGTGTCTTCTTCTTACGAGACGAGGGATCGAGCTGGGTCAGAGGTACTGCGACTCGTGATGAGTCCTTGCGCTTCTTGGTGCCGCTCTTCTTCTTTTTCGCGGCCTCGTCTCGCTTGCGTCGTCGCTCCAGTGCAGCGATTTCTTCATCGTTGAGATCAACGTCTGTCCTTCCCTTGGCCTTCGCACGCTCGATGCGGTACATGGCTGACTGTACGAGTGCTTCTTCCCGATCATGAACAGCCAAGTCTGCAAGATACTGTTCAAACTCCTCATCCTCACTGCTATCACTGTCGTCGTCTTCATCTTCAGAGTCTTGGTAATCGCCCTTGCGAACCAACCCCCTTTCTTTGTTACCCATGTCTACTCCTGTAAATCGGAGGGAGTCGCTGGCAAAGCGACGCCCCGAAGAAACGCCAACACCTCGGACATCTTCTCCATCTGAATTCAATTCCTCCACACGGACGTCACTTCCTTGACGTCCGCGAGACGCAGCATCCCCATTTGTTCCCCTCTGTCTGCGCCTCGATGGTCTTCCCCATTGGGGCGCGAATTCGGGAGATTGCGGCCGACCACTTAGACCGCCTCCCCGGAAAAAGCCTCATCGATAGGCTTGTCCAAAAATGCGGCGTGACCGAGGATGGTCACGCCTGATGCGCCGATCAGCCAGAGCAGGGTCGTGAAAGGTGAGGCAATCAGACCCAGGGGAACGGCGACGCACACAAGTGCAGTGTAAAGTTGCGAACATGAGGCACGGAAAGTACCAATTTCGAGGTCATGTCCGTCGAGCTTGCCAATGAACCACATGCCCACGACGACCAGGATGATGTCGAAGAGCAAAAGCCAGTTGGAAAGGAGGGCATAGATGCTGAGCATGACAAAGATGACAGCATAGTTGCTTGAGTAGTGGCTGAGGTTGTAGTTGACTCGCGATTGCATCTCAACAAAGTTGGCGGGCTTGGAGAGACGCTTGAAGTCGAGGAACTCGCCAACAGGTCGCAGGTTGGAGAAACGGCCGCTGAGAGGACCGGATCGCAGACTCTGGAAGCGGTCGCCAAAGTTGAGGCGGGACGTAATAACGTCGAGGGGGATCTGAATACGAGACATGATGGCTGATTCGTGGGTGGTGTAGTGTAGTATCGTAGGAGTTTTGGTGTTGTTGGTGTGAAAGAGTATAGTCGAATCGGGAGTGAATGGTTTTATGGCCTTGGTATATAGGCAACAGAATTATCGATCAAGAAGGGTGACGAAAGTCGGTTGCGTGTTCAAGGTAAAGAATGGATACTCTTGTGATGAGCTGAGTGAAGCAATTAAAAGTTAGCGCAAGGCAGCAGAAAAAGTTGAGGACAAGCTGGCAGGAGATGTAAAGGGGATACGAGGCGCAGTGCTAATCAAAGTAGAAGCCACAAGCTGACGATAAGATGCTTCGTACTGTATGTAGGCGCAGATAAAAAGGGGAAAAAAGGGGGGCAAGATAAAACATACCAAAGCAAATCAGCAATGTAAGAGAGAGTTTCAGTCCAAGAAGGAACGGAATGTCGCAAATTACGATTGCGATTGTAATGCTGGGGGAGAGAAGAAGGGGGAGGGTTCTCTCTGTTACTGTACAGCACAGTCAAGTACTGTACAGATTGGGACTGGACAGGATTGGCTGTCTTTTTTGGGAGACAGCTTTTTTTTCTCCGAGTCGTGATTTGCTAAAAACTGTCAGCTTCGGCTTCAGGGCTCCAGGGGGTTTGGGTTCTGTTTGAACGTCTGGGCATCCCCACATGCCCTGGAAATGTCTTGCGCGGTACGTACCTGGACTCGAATCTGGTGGGATGGGATGAGATGAGATGAGATGAGAATGGGAAGGAATTCGATGAAGACGAAATATTCGCAGACCTAGTGAGAAAGAAATAACAGTAAGCAACTACCAAAGCAGTTACGTTACGTTACTGGTTTCTCAGCCAGTTTCTGGGCAGGCAGCCCCCGTAAACAATCAATGCCTCTCTCCCTTGAAGCGAGAGAGAGGCCTGGATTGTATATGGGTAAGTGGGATTGTTTTGATGTCTTGAGTCTTCCCCTCTCCAAACCCAAACAATGAGGTTTTAACGGAAGAGGGTCATGTCACAGACAGACCTAGGGAAGAAGAAGGAGAAGAAAAAGAAAGAGAAGGCAAGGGAAAGCAAAAGATAAATAGAGAAAGGCTAGCTCCGCCTTTTTTTCCTTCTCTCTGTAAACTCCGGAGTACCTAGTAGAATAGGTAGACTGGATTAGTAGCTGGCAATGGGGGAAAACCAAGAACAAGAGCAAATGCACGATCTAATCCGATCAGCATCCATCCCAATCAATTGCACACCGCAATCCTCTCGTCCTCTCATATCTCTTTTCCGCTGGGCTCCGATGGGGAACTTTGGACTATTCCGGGAACATGCCTCCATGCAACTCGTACAGCAAAAACTGGGTTGTAACTATTTTTTCCTTCTTTCTCTCTCTCCGGCTCTCTCCTCTCTGTCTCTTACAGCAGATGCAGACCAGTCCTGGGGACCTAGAAAGAGGAGGGGCCTCACGCTTATGCACGCGACACCAGTTGCAGCAAGCCAAGTGGAAGACGAGGCGTCACCGCTTTTGACGTGTGGCTACGGGAGTACAGTCTACAAGAACCTACAATCCAGCACGTTGTCCCTAGTTTGCCGCCAGAGTTGGGGTAGCTTTCTAGGCCTAGGCTTTCTTTCTATTGAGGTTCCGGAGACGCTACTTCGCAAAAAAGGAATGATTCTTGTTCGTCTATCGCCGTGATCGATATTGGCCTTGCTCAGAGTTCACATGTGATAAGACCTCGACTCACTCTCCTGCAAAGCAACCTCAGCCCATGGCATGGCATTGCATTGCATATCAATGGAGATCAGACCAGATCAGGCCAGCATAGCATAGCAAAATAAAACAAAACAAAATAAACACAATTGGATCTCTCAAGCTCAAGTTACACGATCCAACCATCATGATCCACGATCTATCTTGTAGATCCACTCCTCCGCTCTCCACAGAAAACCGTTCCGAGCTGCCCAACGCCAACCTCCTACTGTGCAGTAGCCTCCATATTATTCAAATGCTGATCGAAAGATCACCTACCCACAGTATTTCCAAGGCATTCTCTCGACCATGTAGCCCATCTAATCTGAGACTGACTCTGTTTTTGACTCGGGTATGAGTCGGTATCCTACAGAAATATCCAAACCTGTGGAGTTCGCGTACATATGCAACACTTTCAACCCAAAGTGCCTGATAACAGGTGTGTAACCAGGCCCCCCAGTCATTGAAACTCGGTACATACACCAAAGATTTCGTGACGAACAAGTTTGACTGGGGGGTCCGATCCATTACCGAGCCACGAACCACGTAGCTAAGTACGTACTTACACTAAAACTACCTAATACGTCCCCATAACCCCCGGACCGCTTCCTTGGCCCGTCTCGTCTCGTCTCTCGTCTCACGTCTCACGTCCCATGTCCCACCTCTCCGAACGGCCTGAAGCCGAACTGCACCTCCGCGACTGATTGCCATTGCATGAGTGACCGCCTTGTGGGCGATATTAGGTACATTTCACCATCAGATCTAAGCAAACAACGACAGGGCCATGACTCGCTATGGTCCATAAGCAGTCTGAGCTTCGAGACAACATGCAGAACCTATTCTTCAGCAATCCAATGTCATGAGGGACTGACTACTATACCTATGCTGCGCTGGGCGCTTTACGGATACTACACGTCTACTTATGGGTCCTGCGCTTCCTCCATTTAAAAATTCGTAGTAGTTATGTTAGTAAACAAGCAGCGCGCTAATCACGGTGGTATTCAGTCAAAGGATAGACCAACATGTCTCGATAAGTCAAGAAATATCCGACAATATGCCTAGAGTGTGAATAAATTACTTTTCTCTAATGTACTCTTGTTACAATCGAACTAATCTCATCTAGCTCATCTAAACAGCGCTTGCTATATGCCTGCCTATGTCGGCTTCGTCGCGTAACGATATGGGGTATAATTATGGATCGTTAAAAACCAACGCATGCAACAAAAGAAAAACAATAACAACACATATGCCCAATCATTTTCGTGCCTACACCTCGAAAAAATAGTCCTCATCGAGCCCCTCCCGGCTTGGAATCACTCCAGCACCGGGCTCCGGACCCTCAAACGCCGTGTCCATCCGCACATTCAGCAGGCGGATCTTGAGCCCATACTCGCTCACCAAGTTCACCAGCTTGTTGGTCTCTGCCGTGATAGGCGCCTGGTTTAGTAGCATCAAGAGTCCGTCCAGCCACTCTGATGCCAAGCTGTGGCTCAGCGGCCACAACGTAAAGATTGGTTGCTCCTTAGCATCCGCTCCTCGTGTAGCCTCTGTCGGGCTCACAAAGCTGTAAACTGTGATCTTGGTTGTTGGCTTGGGAGGTGTGTCCTTGCCCACGAAACCACTCAAAGTACTCCGTGTGTCTTCGTTGGGCGCCGATACGTTGGATACAACGGAGCTGATGGTGCTGAGATCGACCTTCTCAGGAAGAGAGTCCAAACCGGGTGCCGTTACTGTCCTTTCCTCGAAATCAGCGTAGTGTAGATATCGCCGATTATGAGACAGTTTTGCAAATCGCCATGGCGTAGGTGTAAATAGTCGGTGCTTAACTGCGCCATTATCTCGCTTGGGCGTTGGCTTCGAGAACCAGGATCCTTCAAGAAGGCATCGAATTCTCTGTTCCTTCACAAACTGTAGAGCCTCCTGCTTCAGCTCCTCTCTTACTTGTTGCAGATGCTGACCCCAGGTGTTCTCGAACGACATTTCTAGTAGGCCCATCTGCTGGTCCCGTAGACGCGGCACGTCGTACTCTTGCATCTCCTCCTCCACCTCGGCCAGATCCTTTGTCCTTCTAGCTCCCCCGACTACGTGGTCGACCAGAATCCTAATCAGTTCGGCCACTTTCTCAAAGTCGTCTGTTTCCGCACCCGTAGCTTTCCATACTCGGAAGAAGGCGTGCAGGCCAGCTGTATGTAGCCGAGACCACTGGAGTAGCAGTGGTCTAAACAGTCTGTCGTGATCCTTGCTTTCTAGCAATTGGTAGCCCCTGACATCGTCCAGGTCCGTTCTGTCAACGTCGAAATGGTCGTACAATATCATAGTGACCGCGAAGCTCGCCCTTGCAACGGGACAACGTTCAGGGGCAGGCTTCCCCGCCTGCTCGAGTAGCATTTTCTGGAATCCGTCCTCGTGCTTGCGGACGTAGTCGGTCAAGTCCATCATGCCGAGGAAGCCAGTCATGTCGAATTCTTGTGCAGGGCTCTCCGTCTCGAATCCCAATCTCCTCCACTTCTCCGGATTGTGTCGCCTGCTTCCCTTCCTTGCTGATGCCTCGTGCGAGTCTTGTCCCGGAGAGTGTCCGTTTACAGGGACTCGCTCCGGTGCGCTCGCTAGATGAAGTCCCTTTAGTGCTCTACGGTGCTCTGGTCGTTCTAGATCAACAGCAACCTCTCGCCACTTTCTCAATAAAATCTTTGTTAGTATCTGAAACTCTAGCATTGGATGCGCAAGGTCCTGAAGTGCAGAACTCTGCATTAGTCTGTGGACTGCCTTGATCAGGCCCAAGTCCTGCAATCTCTTGATGAACTTGGCCCAATCCTCTCCTGAGCCTGCATTGGCTTTTCCACCATTCATTGCACTCTCCCCCGATACGGCGTCTCGGATCAGAGCGTTGATCAACATGAGAGCGTTGGCGCTCAGAGCATGATCTGCGCTCTGCAGCTGCTGTATAACCAACTCGAAGAAATGCGGGTACACGGCGACGGCGGGCTTGAGCGCACGGAATCCAAAGGTTCCTGGTGTTTGGTTCGTAGACTGGGAGTGGCTGACGAGAGCGACCAAGATGGACATGGCGCCTCTGAGGATATTGACAAGTGGGTTCGTAACAATCAGTTGAACGACACGCTCAACAAGGTCGCCAGCTGTTGGGCCTTCGAAGATGTCCCATCCCATATCAACCTCTAACAGTCTGGTAAGACTTTGGAGAGAGTAGGCGAGCGTGTTGCCGGTAGCTGTCATGATGAGTCGGCGGAGAACGACAAGGCCACCCGAGGAGATAAATACGTCGGCAAATGCTGGATCGTTAATCGAGTTCTGCAGTTTGAAGACTGCCATTTTGCGCGAAGCATCTTCATTGCTTGCCATGCGCGCTAGCAGCGCGGGGATGTCTGCTTGATCCATCGTCGAGAAGGTTGATGTATGTAAACAAAATGATGTTATGATGTCGAAATCATTGCCCGGTCGTTCGTCCGCTTCCAAGAGAGGTACGTGAAAATGCCGAGGTTTGTAGGATCGTGGATCGGTTTGAAAATGGAGAAATTAATAGTATAGGAGACTCTCTTACAGGAGAGCACCTCTTACTTTGGGTACGTCTAACAGGCAAAGCAAGGACCCTGTTGAAATTAAACCAATTGTCAAGGGCTTGGGGAAGCTCTCCACAATGAACTCACGCTTAGCCTCTCAGAGCTCAGGTTTTCAGGGGAGGCGGCTTGCGTCTCAGGCCGACCTGGACATGGAATTCGAAAGTCAATGGCACTAAAACCGTCCAATCCATGAGAAGAGCCGGCAGTCTAAATTAACAACAAACACAGACATTCACTGTCAGTACAGAGTACTCTTAGGCAAGAATTACCTATCAAGATCGATAAAGCTTAATTATAAACGCTAGCTACCTATTGAAAATTCTTAGATCTATGTATCATATCACCTACATACAAACATCTCCTCATCAAAAAGATATTCCTTTTCTTAGGCATGCCAGCGGCTTCTACCTGTGGCGTTGTGGCTGACCAAGCTCTAATGAATCTTCGCACGTGACACTGTACGTACCTCTGAGCAACCTTGCGCTCCAGCAATTAGAATTCAATGCTTGACCTCAAAACTTCCAAGTCTTCATCACCAACTCTCCATATCTAATCTGCCTTGTTGTCGCCGCTTCTTCTTCTCCCGTCCATCGAACCGTAACCATGGCCAATTTCCTTGCCTCCATTTTTGGCACAGAGCTTGACAAGGTCAACTGCTCTTTCTACTTTGTAAGTCCTACAACAAAACGCGTCTCTGTCGCAACACCCCATCGGATCACTGACTCTATGCGCGCGCATCTAGAAAATCGGTGCTTGTCGTCACGGCGATCGCTGCTCGCGAAAGCATGTCAAACCTTCCTACAGTCAGACCATTCTCATGCCCAACCTCTACCAGAACCCTGCGTACGATCCCAAGAACCGAATGAACCCATCTCAGCTCCAGAACCACTTCGACGCCTTCTACGAGGATATCTGGTGTGAGCTCTGCAAATACGGCGAGCTCGAGGAGCTGGTCGTTTGCGACAACAACAATGATCGTACGTCATTCTCCCTAGTCATAACTTCCTGATATTAATCTCTTAACAGATCTGATTGGCAACGTTTACGCCCGCTTCAAGTACGAAGAATCAGCCCAAAAGGCTTGTGATGAGCTCAACAGCCGGTGGTACGCTGCACGACCGATATACTGTGAACTTAGCCCAGTTACCGATTTCCGCGAAGCCTGTTGTCGACTGAACTCGGGTGAAGGCTGTGTTCGAGGAGGGTTCTGCAACTTCATCCACCGAAAGAACCCTAGCGAGGAGCTTGATCGCGATCTTACTCTTAGCACAAAGAAGTGGCTCAAGCAGCGAGGTCGCGACGAGAAGAGCGTGTCCCGTTCCCCTACACCTGAGCCTACAAGACGTCGCTTCTAGCCGCTTGTACGTTAATATTGTGTAGTTGTAAGGATGATGGAAAGAATTGAAGGAAATGCTATATGTATGGCACGGTCACGGCGTTCAAGGGGCTGGGGTTTTTGTTCTAGTAGTTTTTATGTAAGGATTCGCGGGCCATTCAACCATTACGGATACCCCTTCCTTCATCAAATATGTCTTAAAAAAAGAATATTGCAGTAGTCACCTGGCGAGGGCCGGTGTTGAACCCTTCTGACTCATTGTAAACCCACGGATAATGCCGATCAATACCCATGTATAACTAATCCTGATGCGCGCCGATGTTGATATAGCCTGCCCCTGCTTCCGTCTTAGTCCAACTGTTTCAAAGCAATGTCAGTCCTCGCTGTTTCTCCTCCATATCTAAAGATTAAATCCAACTCGTCGTTTTATTGTTGCGTGGAGGAGGGTAAGTCCTTCTTCAGGTCTTTTGTGAAGTCAAGGAGTGGTCCATTGGCCTGTTTTCCTGTAGAGCTCAGCAGGTTTTGAATCTCAGACTCTTTCGGCACTTCTTCAACGGGAGCTGGCTGCTCAAGCTTAGCTGGTTGCTCAGGCTTAGCTGGAGCAGGTGTATCGTCAAAGTCGATTAGGTTGTCATCAATGTGGTTCTCAACGGGCTGGGCGATTGCTGTCTCGGCAGGCTTCGCGGAAGGGCTGTGAGGAGGGATGACATTTTGTTGACTCGGCTTTTGTCCTTTGACAACCGGGTAAATTGCCATGATTTGCTCGGCTTGTTTTTTAGGGGGGGCAGCATGGTCCCTAAACTTAGTTAGCAAAAAACATCATTCATGAGGCCCTGTTAATACTTACATGTGAGCGTTAATAACCCATTCCAAGTCTTCCTCGCCTTCTTCCATACCACCGGGGCCACCTTGAACTCTCCTGAACAGTCGTGGGTGCCACTCAATATTTTCCTGGGCCCGTTGGGCAGCCTCCTCACGCTGTCGGTCTTCAATCTTCGTCTTCTCGTCAGTCGCAAGCTCGTGGTTCCGCTCCTTGACGGCCCTGGAGGTCTTGTCCCAGAGTCGTTGAGACTCTCGCTCCTCCTGTTCCTCAATTGGTCGTACTGAAGGTGGAGAAGGCTTCGATCGTAGGGCGTTGAAGAACATCTCGCGGTGGCCGGTCTGCTTCTGTTAGCCACACATAGACTTATAGCGCAGTCAGTTGCACCCACCGTCATATCCTTGATGTACATTTCTTCGCTCCAGAGGCCAGAAAGCTCGAACAAGACCTCACCAGTGCTCTCCCTCTTAATCACTCCACCAATGGCGTTGTAAGTACCACCGACCCAACCTTTGGTTTTGAATTCGATGTCGGCAGCGAGATCGAGCTCAGGGCATCGAACAAAGCTGTGGTCTCCAAGCTCGTACTTCATCTTGCCAAACAGAATGCCTCGGGCATACATGTTGGGTTGGGTGAGAATACTAAGACACTATTAGTGACCACTCGGTGACAAAGCCATATCACAAGCCATAATAAGGGAAATGTTGCAGAACCACTCAGTTGTGCAAACTAAATGCATGGGTCAACGTACTATTGCTCACCCTTTGCAGGGTCTTTGCCTCGGTTCAACAGACTCAAGAAAGCAATACCTTCCATCAGACTGGCGGCAGAATTTCCAAGGAATCGACTTCGAGGCTTAAGAGTTCCATCGATACGAATATGGTGGTCGGGGGCCATGTAAAAGTAACTCGACTTTGGGGGATGGTGAGACGTCTGCTCGGAGATGTAGTATGCGCGCTTTCCATCTTCAAGGTCCCAGTAGCAAGTGAAAATTTCACCAAGAATTGGGTTCAAGGGCTTCTTGACGCCTCTACACGCTGTTAGTTACTGGCGCACCGGGTATATCAACAAGTCTGGAACTCACGCAGGACGGATGTGCCACCCACTCAGGTAGAACTTGACTACGGATACGAAACGCTCGACGGGGTCATCTATGTCGGGGATCGGGAGTAGCATTTCCGGGTGGCACATGAAGCTGTAACCAAGATGTTAACTTCGAAGCGCACATGACTTAGACAGGGAGTTTCACTTTGTGATGCGCTCAAGCATGCTGCGTGGTTCGAGGATGAAGGTAGGAAGAACGACACGACTGAGATCGGCTCCAGGTCGCAGTTGGGAAATGATATGAGAGAGGACTTGGATACATCACACAGGTCAGTACGAAGGCGAAGGAACAGATTGAGTCGTGATCGCACAGTCATTGCGAAAGACGACGCAAAACGGAGCGAAGGAGAGGCTCACCATTGCCCTGATCGGGCTCCATCACGAGAGTGTCATCCTCAGCATCGGGACCGCGAGGGTCGTCGGTCGAGGAGCGTGCACCTGCAGGTTGCGAAAACCAGTTGGTCAACATGGCGACTCTTGACAAAAATTGTTGGAGGGGTTAGGAGAGGGGCAGAGGTCAATATCGGGGGCCAGGGCCGGAGGACTCGGACTTGATGAGTGGGGATGTGGGTGAGAGTGAGAAGGGCGCTTGAACCGAATGGAGGGGCTGTCTTAGACTATAGCTCTACCTCTAGCAGTCTCTAGGTGACGTTTTGAAGGGCACCAGCACAAACTTGAGCCTGTAGCGGACGAAAGGCTTCTTGTGATTGCGCAGTGAAGCCGTCATGGGGGTTCTTTATAAGAAAGAGGATGAACACACTCACTGGCGGTGCTGCCGGCCCTTCGGCGTCCATGCGAGACAAGACCCATGACCATTTTGTCCGTTTCTTAGGGCTGTTGCCTGCGTTTGCTTCCCAAGGGGACTGCTCAGGCTGCCACAAAGTGTCGGTGTTGAGATTTAGCGACAACAAGGGCGGTTAAAGCGAAAGTTGTTCTCAGAGCTTCAACGGCTAGGTGAATGAATAGGTGAATGTGCGGAAGGACGGTCCGTCAAAGACGTAGTTGGAGCTTTGTTGAGTGCGGGGACTTTTTTATAATATGGATGATGTAGCAGGTTGTCGTTGGGGGTAGGGCGTCGGTAGTTGTGTGCCTTTTACTGTACGTAAATAGGTGGAGCGAGTTGAGCTCGAGGATTAACGATATCGTTTGCGAACGGTATTTGTAGCGTTGGCGGGCGACAGGTGGAAGGTTTCGGGGGTGGTGTTGAAAATTAAAGGTTGAAGGGAGAGAAATGATATCAGTGATTACCTTATTGATAGCCATGTGACGAGGTGACGCCTTCCAAGGCAGATCAGGGCATCAGGTCCCCCCCCCCTTCCAGCAGTAAAGTACCTTATGTAAGGTAGGCAATAGTCGTAACTTACCTATAGCAAGTGGCGGGCCTGTATTCGAGCCCGTGGACAGTTGCAGGCTTTCAAAGACCAATCTAGGCTGTAATTAGGATCCAATCAACAAGTAAAGTAGATCTGCCCCGCGTTGCAACCTATGGACCTTAACCAGGCGTCATGAAGTGGGGGCTAATGTGTCTGCCCTGAGTGCCAAGGAATAACCTTTAATAGCAGTACTCTCAATGTCTGTTGCTGCGTGAAGCTCATATTGGAGGGCATTCCAAATTATACCTGTGCTACATATAAGACAGTCATCATGCTTGAGATTAGGCGCGAACCTTGGGATGTCATATAGCAGTCTAGGTAAGCTGAAGCTCACCAGAGTTCAGGTAACATACTACGTAGATGTCGGACCTGGCTACGTCAGAGTCATAAGCTAACGCACACACCCATCGGACATTCTAGCAGTGCGACAATCGGATCGATTTTTCAGTGCTGACAACATCGAAGATATCTAGTGAATGATATCATTCATGGTAGGCATCAGAAGGTGATGTATCTCTAATAGCTAAGTGTCTACTTTGGATTATTTTTATAGCTGTAGAATAAACCATTTCTTACGCTCTGTTCGACAGAGTGTAACAACTCAGTCTGCTGTGTAGATCCCAACTGCGTCTATATACATCTATTCCTGTCATCATTTCCCATGTTGCCTACCTAGGTACCTAGTATCTATGCCAGAATGGCCATCGCCCCATCATGATCCCTCTCATGCCATCATCTTCGTACTCGAAACGGTAAGCGCCGGCCCCACACGGACTCCCGCCGGGCCGGGCCCATGCTCCTCTCACGGTATGTGTATTTTGTTCGCCATTAATGGTGTTTTTTTTGGTTTGTATTTATCCTTGTTGGCTGTTTAATTCCAGTTCAAAAGAGTATGGATGGTATGATCTTGCTCCTTCTGTTCACCATGCAAGCCTACCTACCTACTATAGAAACTACATCAACTGTCTGTCTATGTACTTACAGAGTGTTCTGCCTCCCTCTCTTGGTATTCAATGATAAAACACTCCCACATAAAAATTGCAATACAGCGCTCTTCAGGTGACAGTTTCCGAATCCGGCTTTTCCGGTCATGCCAAAGGTATCAGGTGTCCGAACCTCGTTCACATTCACCGAATCTTCTAAGTCGCTTGGGGGGTTGGCGTGGTATCCATCAGATTCTCGTGACTTCGGCACTTTAATCATCTCCGTCTTCCAAGAGCAACCAATATCATTCAACTTGTTGCTCCTACAGCTCTGCCAGGCACTCTCTTCGGCCTTTGTAACGTCCCGAGTCCCCGAGTATCCTCTCTTTGGCTATCTCGAAGCCATCATGACCCCTTTACGTATATAACGCTTCAATCCATTGGTATAATCTCATTTCGACATGTTCTTCAACTTCAAAAATGCTCCCGTCTTGTTGTTATGCTATCCCTCTCCAACATTAAATCATTTCTTTTTCGAGGAGCCCTTGATCGGCGCCGGCAAACATTGGGCCAGCGCATCTCGGTCTATACCCATGGTCAGTATTGTGTCCATATGTCAATCCACGTTCTATAACTGGTACTCACCTGATTCATTTTCAAATAATATCGAGATATCGTCATGCTCTCCAGGTAAATCCGGAAGGTCGAGGCAGACAAATGCCATATCATCATAATCACCATCCTTGTCCGCTGGCAGTCGTGGTAGAGGGAACTTGGCATCAACAAACTTGATACCAGACTTGCTGCTTCTTTGCACACTCTCGTAAACATCCGTTCCCTTCAACAAGAAATTCATACAGTGCCCATGATGGAAGTCCTCAAAGAAAGCTAACAGCTGCAACTGCCTGTCTTCCTGCCTTATCACCTGGATTCGTGTATATCCTGCTTCCCATTTCTTGTGAATTGGTACAACCATGCGGCGTCGCTGGATGGCAAAGGTGACCGCCAGCGCGTCAAATATGACCTCGAAACCTGTCATGGCATATTGGAAGTCGTGCAGATCTTTCAAGTTATTGAATTCAAAAGTTCGAATTGTCTGGTTGTGTCTCAGCAGCTGCAGTGCATCAGACATGTTCCTCGGGAGCTCCTTAGGTACTTGCGCCTCCGAGACCGAAATTGTCATATCCTTTTGTGGTTGCCGAAGAACTCGAAAGACTTTAGCGTTGCTCACTTCCAGTCTTACACGCAACTCTCCTGGTGCCACGTTGATGCGATCGGCGACATTGCCATTCTGATAGTCTATGACTATCTTGAGGTGGTCGGCCAATACAGTCGGCGGCATGTCTCCCCCGTACTCATCGTTGACGACCCTTACAGCCTTCCAAGGCATACGGCTGAAAGGAGCCATACCCAAAGGCTCACGGAGACTCTGAGCCACTGAGAAGTTCTTGAGGGGCACGTCTGCAAATATCTTTTCGTCGTGATCCAGAGCTGTTCCGGTAAGAATCGAGTGGAACTTGATCCGTGCTTTGTCATCGCTGAAGACCATGACCATTCGGCCCTTTGATTTGCCATTCTCATACTTGATAGCCAGTGAGGGCGCGTCACCATCACCGCGGAAGAAACCGAACTGAACAGGCTGAGCTGGAGAATAGACATGTTGAACGCCACTCAGTGTCCTCGTCTTTGGTCCAGTCACGACCGCAATTCGGAAACCAAGATGCCACGTACGAGTGGCTGCAGGACCGTTCTCCTTGTAAAGCTTCTCGAAAAGTGAAATCTCGCAATAAGGCGTAGGCTCCTTCGGGAATTGGCGATAGTTGGGGTCTGCATCCATGACCTGGAATGATCGCAAAGTAGACCTGAATACCATACTCTCATCGTTTCGTGGATAAAGAGAGTTGTTGACCTTACTTCCGAAATCATACATATTCCATAGTGTCCTGAAATCCTGCTGAACAAGCTGAATGGTTAACATGAATCCACGTCGTAGTCGAATATCGACCGTGCATGCTTCTTTCCGCCACCGCACATCATCCCAAACTGGACCAACGTTCTTATTTTCTTGTATGGCAAGCTGCACATGGCCGTTCTGGCTGGCTAGAATAAAGACAAGACCGGTAGACTTCTGCGGGCGAAGCATTGAGAGTAAGCATGGAAAGTAGAGTTTCTGATCTTCGTGTCCCTGTTCCATAAGATAGGCATCGGCTGGCACTCTTCCATAGTTGAAGTTCTCCGTGGTGTCGCCCACAGGCAGAGAATCCAAGAGCCTAAGCTTGGACATAGGGCTTGTCATTGCTGTGAGACCCGAGGCCCAGTTTCCTGAAAGGAGAGCAATCACATCCTGGCTCAATGCCGGATATTCCACCCATATCGACTTATCGATGCTCTGTGGTAGAAATGCATCTTCAGGGGGCAAGAAGCCGTTTCGTTTCATGGACATGGCCAGCTTCTTAAGCGCTGAGACCAGACTCGTGCTAACGTCGTCGACTTCAGCATCAATATCTATTCCTTGTGATTGGGCAATCTCAGGAATGACTTGTTCGGAGAGCCAGAACGCTTTAGCTAGATTGGCATAAGCTTGTTGGCGATCTCTATCATTCTGCATCTGGCCCTGAGGAGAATTGGGTCTTTCCCTGATAGCAACCTCCAGGCCCATGCGGCCCTTTAGGAACCACCATAGGGCTCCTCGGCCGCATTCAATCAGTGAGCAGGCTGATAAAGGCTTGATAGATTCAGCATGGAGACGGAATAGTTCGAAAAGGTGGCTTGTCCTATCGGTAAAGATCTCGAGAGCTTGCTCGGCAGCTGCCGAGGTACCATCAGCGACTCTAACGGACAGTGCTCGGGATGCCATCAGAGGAGGAGCACGCTGTGGCGCAATGCTTGGTTTCCTTGCCAAGTAGCTGACTTCTGAAGAAGCGGAAGAAACTGCTGAAATGGGAACAGGAGCTGCATCCATAGCAGGAGACTCAGACGAAACCGGAGCTGGAGATAGCCCAGGAACAGAAGCTGGAACAGCGGCAGGTGGCGCAGGCGGAGAATATGATGAGGAGTTGGAATGGACAGAAGCTGCAGGGCTATACTCATGACTTGGTTTCGAGACTTGGGCTTCGGGTGAAGGGGGTCCTCGTCGTCGTGATTCAACTGGAGAAGTTGAGAGAGGTGTGGCGGAGTGAGGATCATCCCAATTGTGAGAGGATGCAGAAGTGGCACTGGCAACTCGAGCGGCTTCAGCAAACACTCTGCCCTCTGCCTCTCTTTGTTGCGCAGAATGAATCTCAATATATGACCTTCTATTCTCATCTTGTTTTCCAGCTGCACCCAGAAACCTTGCGCCTGGTGATCGTAGCGGGCTCAGGGAATGCTGTTGAGCAGATGCAGGTGAGAGGAGATCATATGATCTTGCATTACGATCTGGGTCTGCCTCAGACTCATCGTCGGATCCAGGTGTATATATCGATGAGAAACCGGTTTGTGTTCGCGACAAAGGCTTTGGTCGAAACTCGTCTATAGGGGAACCTGGGCCAGCTGAATCAGAAGGAGGAGGACGTCCCGGTGGCATTGGAATTCTGCGTTGTGCTGGAGGCTGTGGTTGTTGAGGTGGTTGTTGAAATGGTTGTTGAGGTGGTTGCTGAGGTGGTTGCGGTTGCTGCGGTGGTTGTTTGGGCCGAGATGCTTTGCGCTTCGATATCTCTTGAGTTGGCAATTCGGATTCGTCACCTCCTTCGCCGATAACATCGGGAGGGGTGTCGTCGAATCTCACCACGAGACCTTTCTTGTTGGGTCGTGGGCTTCGTCTCGGCGACCTGGTGGCGGTATCAGCACGTCCTGCGACAAGAGGACGGTTTGATTGAGCCGCATGGTTGACAGCTAAAGCTTGAGGGTAGCGAGAGATCGATGTGGTGTCGAGCTTGGCTAGCTTTGGTAGCGACGACGGCGGGGGAGGCGGGGGAGGGTTTATGATTGTAAGATTATCTGAGGAGCTGTGAAGGAACGATTCGACATTGGCAGCGGACCGGGCTTCATCTCCTTTGCGGTCTTTGGCACCAAACAGTTTGCCCATAAGGCGGTCTCTTCTTGAAGAGCGCCCATCAGGGGCCTGAATGGTAGGTATATCGTTCTCCATGGGGGATGCAATGGCGGAAGAGAAGCAAAAGTATTATTGCACCGTCATTGACCCAAAGAGGAGAAATGGAGCGTTCGTTGACGGTAGTAAGCAGAGAGAAACGCCCAGGTCTTTGCAGGAGCAGAGAGACGTGGTTCCTGGTCGCTGTCACCTCTGCTGGGACGATTACAGGACGGTACCAGAGCAGTAGAGGTAGTGGAGTCGTCCAATGAGGCTGGCTTGTTTCTGGCGACACGAGGGATCAACTGACGGGCATGTGGGGATATTGGCAGGCGGTTGTCTGTGGCGCTTGACAGTCAGCCAAAGCTCAAAGCAAGTCGGAGGGGGTCGTTGTCGAGTTCTTTGTTTGCGAGGCTATTGACAAAGGCTTGTCATGAGATCAGGGGGGAATACTTGCGATAAGCAATCGTGGGCGGATGGGAGGTGAGGTGAGGTGAAGTGAGCTAAGGTAAGGTACCTAGGTAGGTAGCTATTGGCGATGTCGGATAGTGGATGGTGATTTGGCGGGGAAGATTGGGCTGAGGCGTCGTGTGCTGCTTCGTTGCAGACCTCCAGTTCGAGCAAAGGCCAAAGATGGAGTAGCGAAGAGGAAAAAGTAAAGAAAAGGGAAGAGTACAAAGATCGGTAAACAGGTCAGACAAAGTAACGCCCAATCCAGATTGTGTACGTATGTGTAATGCACAACCACACTCTCTTGGATGTTACAGTAGAGGTTTGGCCAGATGAGAGAGGATGGTAGGATGGACACCCTCAGCCTGGAGCTCAGGCACTTGGGGCAGCACTTTACTGCACTACACTGCAAGGTACCTCAGTAAAGGGCAGCAATGCACAGGCGATTCTCCTTTGTCACCAGGGCACCACACTCAGGCTCCAGTTGCTGGCAGGGGAGAGTACCAGCAGGGACAGGGATAACCCGAGAGGAATCCGCCAAGAAGGGTCCTTTTTTTTCCCTCGTACTTTATTTCCTTGTGCCTAGGTTAGTAGGTAGGTAGTAGGTAGGGCGGGCGGCTCTTGTTCCGTATAGGACGATTGGATATATAAAGAAGTGGACAGTAGGAAGATAGAGCCGATTAGATGCGGTCGATGCTATTACAGATAGAGCAAGTACGGCACGTTCTGACAGACCAGCATGGCATCAAATTGATAAAGTGTCAAAAAGAGGGAGCCCAGGAAGGGATGAAGTAGTCAGAAAAGAAAACCGTCATGAGGGGAAACGGAAGCGTTGTGTGCCTGACCTGACTGCCCGTATGAGGATGAAGTGCGATGATCCAGGGGAGTTTCAGAGTCACAGGGATCAGCACCCAAGGGCAGTAGTAGATTAATGAGTGGTCCCTGGTTTGGCAACTTCTAGTTGGCCTGCCTGGCGACAAGTCAACGTTGTGAGAGTCGAAATTTCCAAGGAATAGATAGATAGGCATTGAAATTATTTAACTCCTCTAACAGAAATGATGAATGTCAGCTTTTGGCCGAAATACTAATGTATTGCCCACAACTTGATATGGCGAGGTACGTAGTTGTTGATGTGAGGTTTTGGTGGGTAATCGATTCAATTTGACCACGAACTCCTACAGCATATCCGTGCGACAGATGCGATACCAAATATAGATAGGTACTCTCAATGCTTCTTGACCGAGCAAGATACGAACTTGAGCTCACCCTCACTTGGACAGTAATTAGCAGTGCCAGTCTGTCGAGAGTCAAGACTGTCTGTCATCCTGGGTATTTGAGATTGTGAAGGTGCAAAACGAGACCCTTAATTCGATTTCCCCATCCACTCCAGACTTATCAGCCTCCACTCACACTCACTAGACTCTTGGTATGGGCCGTGTTAGTGCCCAGATCGACTGCTGGCTGCGCAAGCTCGTGCTGTTACTGTTCCAAGTTGCAGAGCGATGACGAGACATTTCAATGTCCTTGTGAGGTGGCTCAAATATGCAACAGATCAGCCCTCTTTCCTGCGCTTCCTAATTCGGTAGCCTCCCTCGTGTCTACAGTGTCAGGACCAGGGGGCTTTGTTCGCTGGAGGTTCGAGCCTCGAGGCCCCTAAACCACTAATAACGGTTCAGTCGTGGCTTCCATGTGAGTGCCGGGCTGAAACATCTACGTCCCCCAATCTATCGGTCACGGCCGTTGCTCTTTTCCTATCCCGGTACCCAAACAATCGGAACTGTAGATACTTACCGTATCCATTGCCTGGTATATTGCAGTACCGAAGTCGTATTTATCCACCAACATTTGACGGGACTTGTCACAACTCTCCATTTGAGATCTCACTCACTTATTACAATCTCCCAAACCTTGTTTCTTCAGAGACACAATCCTGAGGTACTAAGCTATCAACCCTCGATGTTTCTCTGCGGCAAGTCTCTTGAATTAGGTTGTACTAGTTTAGGTGGCTCCCTGAATCTTGTGTGTGCTAGCACCTGGGCTAGCACTTCAGGCGGCGCTCTGAATGGAACGTGGGGCTGGCTGGCTTTGATCGCTTTTTCAACCTTTGGCGTCTGTTTTGTCGGTTTTTTGTGATACGGCACGATGCGTTGGTATGAACCCCCCGTTGGAGGATACGTGTTTGACCGAATGCGCGTAAGATATAGATGTACATAAGTGTGCTTGTGTCTCATGGCAAATCAAAGTATTGGACCAAGCGCGAGCAAGAGTGCAAACAGGTCAGAGGCCAAGAGGCCAGGAATAATGATATTCTGCCAAAAGTATCTCGTCAACTCATCTCCTCTTGGTCGCAATCACCGAGTGCGTTTTTAATTTATTTTCTCTTTATGTCAGACTAGCCTGCTTCGCGGTACTTCTCGTATCGCTAGCCCTCGCGATTATCCATGACAATAAATAGCAGCTAATAGGTATCTAGTAGGCATCACTGCAGAGCCGATCTCCTTTTATACCTCGTATTGCCATAGGTTGAGCGGAAGTATGCTCCATATCGTATCGTAATCTTCTCGCATCGCATGGCATCGCATTGCAGTCCCTGGCCTTGTAACCGTCATATGGCTACGGTGTAGATAAAAAAAGGCATGTTATCGTGGAGCAGTCCAAGACTCCAAGCGAGGGTTGGCATGCAATTTGTAGGGCAGTCTTATGTGAGAACTAAACTAGTCGAGGACTGCTCCTCTGTGGCACGTCTGCCAACATGACAGCGATGTTGGGCCGTGTAGCATAATGTTCACTGGTAAAACTAGTGGTTTTGAGCCAATATTGAGCATTGCCGAATAAAGATGACAATGAAACAGCGCCTGTATACCCAAGACACATTGCTTGGATTGGACAATGGGGGTGTTGCTGCTGAAACAGCTGATACTTCCTGTTTTACGTGTTACCAGTTAAAATCCGTGTACTCCGTACGTTAGGCGTATTTACGAAGTAGGAAATACCCTATCTCATTAGCTTTATCCATCACGCTCGCCTTATTCTTGCATGGGCGACATGCGTTTTAGCTTCTCCAAATCATTGGGGTGTTTTTTTCAGCTGTTTTATAATATGGGTATAGGTTAGGTTAACCAAAACTGGTAGATTTTCAGCGTTTGGTCTAACTAGACCTACCCTATGAGATGAGACGGCTGTCTGTGGGGTGCACCAGAATATCGGGAAGATCCGCAACATCCATGACTGTCTTATCGATAAACAAAAAATCGATAAGATGACTAATACAATTTGCCTTCATCTGCATCTCCAAAGAATTTATGAGGTTGCCGCAATTGGAGGTTACTTGAACTTTTACTAGACATAGCATGATCGCACAGATTATACGAAGAACCATGGCCACAGAAGTCAAGCGAGTACCCATTCCCCGTCGGGGTGTTGATTATCGCGGCAAGGTTGTCCTTGCGCCCATGGTTCGCTCGGGAGAGCTTCCTTCAAGACTCTTAGCTCTCAAGTATGGCGCAGATCTTGTTTGGGGTAAGTTGTATGGAAAAAAAAAAAAAAAACCTCGTATGCTAATATCAAAGGACAGGCCCAGAGACTGTGGACCATTCCATGATTGGAACGTCAAGACGGTTCGATAAGGAATCTAAGACGATAGAGTGGTTCCGTCTTTCTTCTCATGGCCAGAAAGATCCTCCTGCCGACGCCAAGGAGAGTATCATTTACAGATTGCTACCTGAGATCGAAAAGGATAAGCTTATCTTTCAAATCGGAACTTCAGACCCTGAACGTGCAGTTGCAGCGGCTAAGCTGGTGGCCGCCGATGTTGCTGGCATCGATGTTAATGCTGGTTGCCCAAAGCCCTTCAGCACTAGCGGAGGCATGGGAGCTGCTCTTCTCCAGACCCCCGACAAGCTCTGCGCTATTCTCGAGGCTCTTGTGAAGAACATCACCCCTGAATTTGAGATTGGAATCAGCGTCAAAATCAGACTTCTAGACACGGCTGCCCAGACCGAGGCGCTCGTACGTCGCCTATGTGCTACTGGCATCACAGGGCTGACAATACATTGCCGAACAACGCCCATGCGACCTCGAGAACGGGCCATTCGGGGCCAGCTTCGCATGATTGCTGAAGTCTGTCACGAATTTGGCGTTGCCTGTTTGGTGAACGGAGATGTTGAGAATCGAGACCAGGGTCTACAACTCGCGGAAGAGTTCGGAGCCGACGGCGCAATGATTGCAGTTGCTGCGGAGAAGAACCCAAGCTGCTTCAGAAGCCAGGCCAATGGTGGACTGGCGCCTTGGGAAGAAGTGGTTGATCACTACGTCAAGACTGCTATCGATGTCGACAACCGGTTTGGAAACACAAAGTTCCTCCTCTCAAACATGATCCCTGGAAGGTCAAAGTCCTATCAGCCAGTGAACCAGTCCAAGAACTACAACAGCGTTTGCGAAGCGCTCTCACTTGATAAATACACTGAAGCCGCTCGCATTGTTGATAGCAGGCGTGGTTTGGACCAGCCTCTTCAGGGAAAGGCCGCAAAGAAGGCGAACATTGCCTCTGCCGCCCAGCCAGCCAAGTCAAATCAGCAAAGCGAACAAAAGCGCAAGCGAAGTGCGTCTGACAGCAGACTTGTGAAACAGGTCAAGACATCCGAACCTGCACCAGTTGCTGCAGCTGTTTGAACAATGGCTACTTGTTAATGGGGCGAGAAAATGATTATGGGCGTACGGTTCAGCTATTAAAGCTTAGATTCGCATATAAGGAGTTCGGGACCCAGGTTCTAAGGGTAAGAGTCTGGGTTTGAGGCCCAGGATAGACCTCCCATCATCAACTTACGAATGATAATGAAGAAGTAACAGTAAAGCAATGTTTTTGAGTTTTCCGCTCCAAAACCTGCCTATTCAAAATACATACAGCACTCCGGTAGCCGGCTCTCAGCAGGACCGGCTATTGATACAAATGAACCTTATTCGGGAACTCTATGTGATAGTACAACTCATCTCATCGCATCTCGCTTTTGAAAAATCCTTTATTTGCCCTTCTGGACCCATCCCTCAACGGCCTCTCGCGCGTCAGTGACCTTCTCATCAACATATCGCACACCAAGGTTACTATGAGCCTTGGCAAAGCTGACGCTGTTGAGGAGACTCTTCCGCAGTCGAATGTGGGACTCTGCAACAACGGGGAATCTCTGCTCGTACTTCCATGTAAGATCAGAAATGTTGCGCATGGTGATGGGGAGAACGGTCCAGCCGGCACCGATGCCCAAGGCGAGAGGGAGTGAGGCGCGGAGGACGATGCTACGGTTGCGAGTGATAATGCTACCAGCCATAGCTGCGACCAAGACGTAGATGGTGCCGGGCATGAGCTGCTCGCCGCTCTCGCGGGAGGGAGCCAACGAAGCGATGGTGCTGGTGAAGGACTGCTCAAGGTTGAAGGCTGAATCCATAGTCTCGTTGACCTTGTTCTCGGCAGCTACTGCGTACTTGTACAGAGCTAGACGTCCTCTTCCGATATGAACAGCTAATCGCTCGGTAGGGGAAGGCGAATGGGGGTGCTCCTCGTCAACCGGCTCAACGGGCGTCGCAGCAACGGGTGCGGAAGGTGGTGGTGTTACGGGTGCGGGATTTGCGACAGGTATCTCGAAGTCATCGTAGATGGGTTTTCGCTACAGTACTGTTAGTAAGAGTATATAATCCCTTGACGCTTTTGAACGTCGAGTATGAGTGACAAACCTTGAAGTCACTGGGACCTTCGGCGAAAACAGTGGCCGGAGTCAGTGCCATGCCGCCGAGGGCCATGGTGGCCAGCGGCGCCAGGGAGCGCTGCATATTTCAATTAGTACCGACAAGCTTATTTGAAGCTCGAGGACAATGACTAACCCGTGAGAACACCACTCTTGAAGCCATTGTGCGCTCAATTGACGGGTGGATTGAGAAAGACGTCACGCGAATTCAAGATAGACGTCGGATGCTGCTGAACACAATCACCACTAGCCGGAAAATCTAGGACGGAGGCTCTGTTCAGCCACTCAGAATGGAGCTCGGGAGCATTGAATCGGGATGACTAAGGCGGAATTCAACAGGAAGGCACGCTCATTGAGGCGGGCGGGAATGGTCCAAACAGGGAAGGCAACCAGGAAGGAAAATGGGGTCGGGTCCAACGCCGGCTACCTACTTACCTACCTACTTACCTAGTCCGACATGGAGGGCAAGAAAGTTGACTTATGAGAACGTTCCTGCCCCAGATCTTTAAATCTTCACCTATCGACTTGGGAGTAATTATTCGGGGTCGCATACACCTCTTTACTTCTCTTTTTATCCTTCGCGCTCACATTTACTTGGCTTTTTGATTATTATAGATTCATGATATCTATACCTTATACGCATTTATAATGCTAAGTTCGAGGGGCAATCGCCTCTTGACCTGCAACAAATGTGTTCGACACACGGCCAAACATCCACAGCGAAGATGGCAGTCCATAGCCTCCGTGGTAGCTCGCGCTATCTCTCCGAGCACCCCAGTCGATCACGCCGCGAGTTCTAGTCACGATGATACCGTTTTGCGCAGTTTATTCGACGCTCCTGCTGGCAGATCTTTCCCCAAGTTTAGCTTGAAGAGGAGCCAAGGCCTTTTCAAGAACCGATACCTTACGAGCCCGGCTGGCTTCCAACAATTTGCCCAGAAGAACCTTGAGCGAGCAACTAAGATTGTCAACAAGGTCCTGAGTGCGTCTTCGATACACGAGTATCAATCCGTCGTTCGCGACCTCGACCGGCTTAGCGATCTGTTATGTCGTGTGTTGGACCTCTCGGATTTTGTTCGTATGACACACCCAGATATCCGGTTTCAAGAAGCCTCTGCCAATGCTTGGGGTATGGTCTATCAATATATGAATCAGCTCAATACCATGACTGGCCTGAGCGATCAATTAAGCCAGGCCCTATCCATGCCTGAAGTCACGAAGGTGTGGTCAGAAGAGGAGAGAACTGTGGCCGAGCAGCTTAAGCTTGACTTCATGAAATCGGCAGTTAATCTGCCAAAAGCTTCACGGGACAGATTTGTGGAGCTGTCTTCTCGTATCAGTGAGATAGGGTCGGCCTTTGCACAGGGAATGCAGCCAGCAAGAAAACAAGTGACTTTACCTGCTTATAAGTTTTATGGTCTTTATCCTGGTATTGCAGCGACACTCAAAGTAAGACAGAATATCACTCTGCCCACTTTGAGTTCAGATGCAATAGGAGCGCTTCAGAGTGTACATGATGAGGATACCCGCAAAGAGATCTACCTGGCCCAGCGGACCGCATCTCGCGAGACCATAATGTACCTCGAAGCCATGTTGAAGCTGAGAGGTGAGCTGGCAGAACTTGCAGGCTTTGAGAGTTATGGACATATGGCCCTCAAGGACCGCATGATGGCAAAAACACCCTCATCCGTGATGGAATTCCTGCTTGCCTTAAGAAATAACAATACCCCTGTAGTTCAGGCTGAACTACAAGAACTAATTGCAAAGAAGCGAAACAGGCTTAACCTCCCAGATGTTCAGCTCCAGGCCTGGGACAAGGACTTTTATATGGAGAAGATCAGAGTTGACTTAAGGTCACGGCAACGACAAGAGGATCAATTGAATTCTTTCTTCTCCGTCGGAACAGTGATACAAGGCCTATCAAGACTGTTTGATCGCCTTTATGGCATTCGTCTTGTGTTGCGGGAGACTCTACCAGGGGAGACGTGGCATCCCGACGTTAAACGACTTGATGTCGTTACTGATAAAGGTGAACAAATCGCCGTTCTCTACTGCGATCTATTCCATCGCCCACAAAAGTCAGGCAATCCAGCTCATTTCACGGTCCGATGCTCCCGCGAGATCCTTCCTGGTGAAGTCGCGGAGGTTGCTGCTGATCAGGACGGAAACGGACCGAGCTTTGAGTCACCTGAAATGGCAGCCAACGATGGCATGGAGATTTCTGTAAAGGATGGCGTCCTGAAGCAACTGCCTACCATTGCACTCGTTTGTGATTTCCTGCCAAGCGAGAATTCTAAGGAACCGTCCCTACTCTCCTATCAATCTGTCGAGACTCTCTTCCATGAAATGGGCCATGCTATTCACTCTATACTTGCACGAACTAGCTTCCAGAACGTCTCTGGTACTCGTTGCGCCACTGACTTTGCCGAGCTACCTTCTACCCTCATGGAGCACTTTGCGGCAGACCCTACTGTCCTGTCTTTGTTTGCACGTCATTGGAAATCAGACCGACCCTTACCTTATGAGCTTGTCGCTGAACGAATTGGTCTAACAAAACGTTTCGAAGGTCTGGAAACAGAGAACCAAATTATCCTTGCTATGGTTGATCAAGCCTACCATTCCTCCAACGCTGGCCTTGATTCAACCGCAATCTTCCATGATATCAAGGCGCGTTTCGCACACGGCCCTCAAGATCCGCCAAGTACCTGCTGGCAGGGCTTCTTTGGTCATTTGCATAGTTACGGCAGTACCTACTATAGCTATCTCTTTGATCGTGTTCTTGCCGAGCGTGTCTGGCGTGTTGTGTTCAAGGCTGGAGAGAATCGCGGTGCCATCAGCCGCGAGAACGGAGAGCGACTTAAGGAGAACCTTCTTAAATGGGGAGGCGGTAGAGATCCCTGGACCTGCCTGGCTGACACCCTTGAAGATGAGAGACTTGCACCTGGTGACGAAAAGTCCATGGCGCTGGTTGGAAGTTGGGGCATTAAAGACGATCACCATCCCTGAACTGCACATACGCATACAGATTCATAGACGCACCAAAAGCAATAAACTACAATCAGGCATGTACGGCCAAGATATTTGTCCATGCTACGGAAGACATAACAGATATTCATGCCAAACTGGCGATGTTTATGATTTCTTGATGTGTTATCTTAAAATATAAATTCTGTCAACTCGCTAAATCACAATGACAAGACGCTGTTCCATCCAAAAAAATCCTGGTACGCCGAATCGGGACACCCAAAACTGGGCAAGTATCCGATGCATGATAAAAAAATGGTAAGCTAAATCTGAGAAGTGTGTCGGATATTTTCGAGAGCTGCACTGCAACTATTGAAACCCGACGCTGAAAGATCAGAGAAGTATAGATATGATAAGTAAATGGTTGTAAGGAATGTGGTGAGTGTTTGTTGTAGTAGTAGTAGGAATTGTAACAATATGCAGAGGTACAAGACACCGCGTTCATACAGAGTTCGTAAGTCATCTACCACCGAATATCGTACAAGTGGGTATCTTTAAAACTCAGAGAAGTGAGCACAGAAATATGTTGGTTTTTGGCTCAGCCCGTTCAACCAAGGATAATGACTGGTTATATGACCCGACGAAGATGCTGTGAAGACTTCTGGGTGCCCCTGCCCATTGTAAGTTGCGACAAGGAAAGGGTTCGCGCTGCCTTTGTCTGCGCCTGGACCTCCCTATCCAGATCTTCACCAAACGCTCCGATACTATGGCCTTCTTCATGAGGGGTTTCGAACGTATCAGAGTAGTCACTCTCATCGCCATGTCCAGTTCCAATGCCCGAGTCTTCAGGGTCGACTTGTCGGCTTTGCGATCTTGTGATGGCCGCCAAAGACGCGAGATTATCGTCGTCATCGTCGTGATCAAATGCTGATCTTTCGCCGAAGGACTTGGCTGTGGGAGGAGGGTCGTATCCATCATTCATGGCGAAAGAGTTAGACAATACACTCATCTGATGGCCAAGCGTCTTGACCTGAGTCTCTAAGGCTTCTCGTGCGGAGCGTTCTGTGCGTACCAAGGCCAGAAGCGTTGTATAATGGTCCATTGTAAATACCTCAGGGGCGTCCTTGAGAAGACTAGGAAGGCTGGCTGCACCACGGATAGTTGCTGTCGAGGTAGGTCGGTTTTTATTGTCGTCACTCAGAATAGCTGAAGAATAGGGATCAAGGAATACGCTTCCCCTGTGACTCATTTTTTGGTGGTAATCACTGAAACGATTCGAGTCCTTTCTGGAATCTCGCTTGATTCGACCGGCCTGATAGCTTGATAAGTTTGCCCCTTGATGATCATCAATTGGAATAGAAGGCGCTGGTCGATCCGGTGGTCCGAGATGCGGCCGGCGATTTGGAGGAGTATCACACATTCGGTCGAGAGCCTGCTCTAGCCGATAAACTCGTGACTCAAGATTGTTAATTCTCGTCTCCAAGTTCGCTACATGTGTGATCTTCATGCTGCCAACTTGCTTCATGTCTGCAAAGGAACCAAAGTTAAAAGGCTCTGGTTGTGGTAGCTGCGGATGTTCCTCCTGATCATGCTGAGCCTGCTCAACTTCCGCTTCGAGAGCGGTCTCACTCTCTATGGGGTTGGAGGATACAGGAGGCATGAATGTAGGATCGTAACTTTCTCTCCAGTACTTGATTTCGTCACTGCGTTTTCGGTTGAGACCAAGACCCTCCTCTGGCAAACCCGACAAGCTTCGCGATCTCCGTCTCATTCCAGGGAGATCACTCGTGATTGCGCGCCCAATCTCATTTGCATTCTCTTCGTTGTGCTCTTGCCGACTCTCCCGACCGTGACTGCTTGCAGGCCGTGGTGAAAGCCCCGCCAAATTATACTCGCGCAATCTCGTCACACTTATCCGGGCTTGAGATAGGCCGAAGTCAGCGCTTAGCGAGTTGCGCGCACTTTCAATGGCGCGAACATCTTCTGGACGAATCGAATGAGATCTCAATGCGCGATCAAACTCGGTAATAGGCAGAGAAGCGGACCTCTTCGATTCTGCCCCTGGGAAAGGTCGAGTCCGTGATCTAGGAGCTGACCTGTCCCTTTGGCTTAGACTGGGCACCGAGTCTTGTGTCTGACCATCCTCGACTGCCGATCCGCGGTAAGGCCCAGAGGGCATTGGTGTCGACCCGGCTTCTGAATCAGTGTTATTTAAGCTGTCGTTGCCATTGGGTTTCTTCTTTCTGTTGAAGAGTTTGCCCAAGGCGCCACGGAGAGTTGATTGTTTTCGTTGTGGGCGTTCCCTGTCCCTCGTGTCTGCACTAACAAAAGAATGCCTTATGTTAGATGGTTCAGACTTTTGCAGCCGGCTCGTTGCACCATGCTGTCGAGCATGCATTGACGATCGTGGCTCTTCTCTGTGGGACCCGACCCGAGACTCTGGGAAACCAGGAGGTTTGTAATCGTTGCGCAAGAGGGTAGGCTCTGGTTGCGATTCTGTAAATTCATCCTGGAGAGGTGTCGCAATACTGGTACCGGGATTGCGAATTGGAAATTCGTCATCCAGAGAAGTCGAAATAGGGACAGGCCCTGATATCCTGCCGCGAATATTGGACTGTTGGATATCAACAGGCTGAGTACTGGAAGCCATGCTGGGCGTTGATTTCCACGGCTTCTTCATTGCGTGAAGCGTTGTGGAGGATGGCGAGATGTGAAATAAGAGGGGAAATGAAAATGCGACGAAAGGGTGTTAAGCGACAGTAAGAGAACAGAATATAGAAGTAAAAGCGGTCAGAGGTTATAGATAGATAGATGACATGCCCTGATGCATTTTCTTGGAGGAATGCTCATAAAACAAGGTCTCGATCCGTGCACTCGCTCGTCTATACATGGGCAACCTGGCCTATCGTCTGGCTGGCGAGCGTGGAGTGTTGCGTCAAGGACACAGTAAGACACGACGGACAGGCGAGTAATGGCCAAACGAATGTGAATGAGAAGAATAAGTTAACAGTTTATGGCATTGCGCGAAAAGTCGTCCCTGCCGTCCAGAGAGGGCGAGCAAGAATCCAGACAGGAAGTATGACAGGACAAGAGGGTTTGAAACAAATACACATGGACTTGCTGTGCTCCGAGTGGGTGGGTGACTGGCACCTATTAATGTCGGGTCAGCAGGATGGACATGCGACGCACGCCATGCGAAACCGCGCTTGAGCATGCGGGACAGGGACCATTTGCGGGTTCTTGAAGCGCGACGAGACGTTCAATGCCACGCTGGTGACAAGGAGGGACGAAAGGGGGTGTTGTAAGGCATGTCAAGCTGACAAGGGGCCTGACGGGGGGAATGAGATAGTCTCGTGGGAGCAGACCATACGCATTTCCTCAGCACCAATAGTTCGAGCGGTGAACAGGATCGCGGTGATGGCTGGGCTGGTTGGATAACCAGAGCCCATGAGCAGTAGATCCAGTGCTTCAGATGGTGACATAAAGATCGCGTGGAGCCATAGAGCAACACTCTGAAGCTTACAGAGAAAGCATAGTGCATAATGTGTCGTGTTGAGACTGAGAGCCACTGGAACTGACCTCAACGCATTAGCTCGCCGTTGGTGTTGTTAGCAAGACAGGGGTTCGTTCAATTACAGCTCGTGTTGAACCCTCTGGTAGACCCTTGTCAACCAAACGGGCGAAGTACGGAGTAGAGTTCAGAGGAATTGGCTCTTGACTTGGGTCAAGGCACCCTGTGCACCGCACCGCCGCACGGAACCATCGCCTGGACATGACATTTCAGTTGAAGCCAAGTCCGGGTATGGCAGGGGTTATGCTTCGAGATCGCAACGCACAGGCCATCAAGTCTCTCGACTGGGTTATCGAAGATATTTGCTCAAATCGACACTTCTAATGAGGTTTCACGCTCCGAGATCTATTCTACCTCGTGGTTTGCGGCCGGGAGCAGGGCGTTCCGTGCTGTTTTGTGACAGGGTTCCCTGTGTGTTTCTTTATCAGTCCCGTAAATTAGTCAATGTACGGGACGTGCGGCAACCTGCAAACAATACCAAATACAACAGCGTTGAGCAAGCTTGTGAGGTATATGCAGTTTACCATACCCGCTGTCTAGAGGGCAATCGAAGCGGCACCCACCACAATCCTGATTAACCGGTAAGGCTCTACTCCGTAAAGGTTACCTGAACAGGAGGTCTCCAGGCAGGCCGGTGAACCGTTGAGCTTGACCGTTGACCAACGAATATAGATATGGCACGTTTGAAGGATGGCGCAAGCGGCAACCGACGCATGAATAGTGAAATATGAAATGTGAAAAATGACTTACGACTGGCGCTGATCGTGTTGCAGGATAGGGCACTTTCCTTGGTATCATGGAGGGGAGCCTTCCCCATTGACAGATAAGTGGCTGCTGGCCGTTCATGAGGAAGGACACCCTCACAACCGAAACTGCCATGGCACACGCGCAGCTGGAATTCGAATTCATGCGTGGTGCCTCAGGTTTGTCACATATCTAGATTATCTTTGCCTTCTTCATCTTTTTAATGCACACTTCCACGAGAGCGACTACCTACATTGCCTACCTAGGCATCGTCATGAGTCTTGAATACCTATCAGGACATCCCCAATATTACACACACTTTAACACAATCAATAGTTCAATACTTACACGCCAAGCTCCAGGGATGGCAACTAAATGCGGCTCCACCCGGTCTAACAGAGCACGACAGAAGCTCTAAACACTTAGCGTCCGCCGACTCAAAACCTCCAATCGTCAACTTACAGTTAGGGCCACCGCAAAAAGCAACCATAACTCCAACCGCAGCGCCACACCTTCAAGTCAAACCCCAACTGTTCGCGATCCGGGTTATGATTTGGTAGGGCTCGGCTTGCGCTATGGTACCAGTACAGTACCACTTAACTCATCAGGTTTCAAATTGCTCAAGCCCATCACGAGCTAGTTACGGTAACATATGTACAGCCAGCTAATTGTCACACATGCCCTACAATATTGTATTCTCATGCCTATACCTATGCCTACCTCTAGGTATGTATGCGCTCAGTCAAGTTGAGGGGTTTCTCGATATTCTGACCCAACTTGGTCTACGGATACGCAGGGATGGATATTATCGACCTCTTCTGGTATGTGTTTTCCCGAAGGGTGCTTTTACAGGGTACATACATTCCTTCTTCGGGCACACGTGTGCTCCAACAACGATCCCGCAGCTGGACGCTCCGGGCGACAGCTCCCCCAGTCAGATCTTGGAGACTTGGAGTCTATGTAGAAATCTTAACGATGATCCTCCAATGAGATCAACCCTGATCGGGACCCAAGGACCAATCTTATGGTGGCCTTTTTGGCGAGCGACTAGCTAGTCTGGATGACAGGGATATCACCCAATCCTTCGGCCAATCAATCCAGCAGGTCGACCTCTCTTCAGCTCAGGTTATTGAATTGGTTCATCTTGACTTCTGTGAGAAAGTGGTTTTCAGAAATGGATAGCCTGCATCGTTCTGGCTTCTCCGCATCTCTGTTGTTGCAAGAAGCAAGCATCGCTATGCAACAACCATGCTGATTGCTTCCTTCTTTCTCAAACGGAGAAACTGTCAAATTCAACGGCATTTCCTCACAACCGATGTCGTATGCAGTTGGGCCAGGGTTCCCTGAAACTGACACAACGGCGTTCTTTGCTGTATGCTGACACGACAATGGTTTTCATGTCACTGCTTATCATGGAATTTCGTGCAAGATTCCAACAGGTCAATTAAATCATCGACTCTTTCCCAGATATTTTTATTGAGTTGCCCTTGCAGATGAAGGAATTGCGTCGTGTTCGATAAGTCACGGGTCTGTTGTAGTGTTTCACTTTTAATTCACTGGCTTACTCATCAAAGTTTGTCTGTTTAATGCCTCGGCCAATTCTAAGACTTCTATCCGTACTCCCTGGTTCGCCATATGCAGTGGGAAGTTGATTAGGAATTGCAAGTCCCACAATATGTGACCTGAAACAATGCCAGGATGTTGACAACGGCGTCGCTACTGTGTTTCTTGAGTAACTGCCCTGGCGGGCGTCTTAATCATTCTGAACACAAGTCCGATGAGGGTACGGAGTAGAGATTGTCGCTAATTCTTCTAGAATGACTTCCCCGAATCCTCTCTTTAGGAATCAGAGCCCTCGAAGCGCGTTGTTGAAACAGGTACCGTTTCAGGAGCAGCTGAGATCGTAAGTTCTCGTTTACACTCCGCACACTCGCTAACTAGGGCGGCCGGCTTGATCGACGGGCTAATGATGGTCGATATGTCGGCCGAAAGATTCAAGATGATTCTCTAACGTCATTATTCATAGCGATAGATACATACTTTGAATCAAAGACGGATACATGTGGCCTTGAGATGGAACGGCAACGAGCTCAAAAGGTGGTTAATCGTGCATCAAGTTGGATGCGTCTGGGTACCGCAAGTCGGCGTTGTCTTCGAGATACTGCATCCATTTCTTCAAGAAATTGCTCCCTCTGTGAAACCGACAAAGTTAGTTATGCTTCGTCTCAGGTAAATAGCTAGAACAATTTGCGCAGCACTTGTCCAACCAGCGACTGCATTTCGAGGCCCAGCGCACGACGTTGTGATTGTAGTTTACTCACTTTTGAACAGTCTCCGAGTCTCCGATGACTGTCAAAGATCGCTTGGGGCGTGTCATTGCGACTACACCTGCATTAGCTAAAATGTCCCTCATGTTCGACCCTCCCGATCTAGAACCACGAGTCCCTGGAATGTCACCTCACCGTTGAGACGCCGCTTTTCGCCGAGGAATCCGACCTCGCCTTCAGGGTTACTTCGAACGAGTGTCACGATTACTGCCTCTTTCTCGCGGCCTTGAAAGCCGTCGACACTGCCAAGCTCAATGCCCGGGAACTTGTCCTTGAGCGGAGCTAGGATGGCAAGCTTCGAGTCGTTCGGTCATCAGCATGTGTCACACTCATACATGTTGTAGCTGGTTTTATAGACGTACCTGAGCATTGTACGGCGTTACGACAGCTATGTCTTCCGGACGGACACCGGCACCCACGAGTTGCTTCACGTGTTGTTGCACAAGAGCTGCCTCCATCTCGTTGCTCTTACTATCACCATGTAAACTTGCTCTACCTTTTTTGGGAGTATCCTTGTCGTCTTCTTCATTCTTCTCCGGAAAGTCTCCTCCCTGTGTATCGATGAAAATGATGGGTTCGTTGGTGTCCTCATTGTCCTCGACTTCATAATCAAGGTCTTTGAGGAGGCGCTGTTTCACTGCATCAGCAGCAATCAATTTGGAGTCGTATAGTTCATCAGAAGGGAAGCGCATGATACTCTCGTGCATTCGATACTGCGTGGTTAGCATGCGTTTGATGGAAGGCCCATGCAGCGCCAGCAGTCTGTCAAACAGAGTAGTCTCAAGCGTGGCACCTTTTATGATTTGGGCGCCATCTTTGACTGGCGCCTTGACCTTGGTATTGGTCGACTTGATGGTCGGTGGGAGCTGCAGATGATCACCGGCACAGACGACCTTCTTGGCGGACACGAGAGGGACCCAGCATTGAGCTTCAAGAGCTTGGCTGGCCTCGTCAATGATGACAACATCAAACTCTTCGTTTCGTAGCTGGTAACCTCCTGCTCCATGCAGTGTTGCCAGGACGACCTTGCTGCCGCCAATGAGGGTGCTAACACACCGACGCTCTCTCTCACGAAATTCCTTTCGTAGTTCTTTTAGGTCATGGTAGATAGCTTTGCGCTCCTTGCCGCTCTTTGTCTTTTTGATTGAAGCCTGCTTGGTATCCATTTCTGAGCGGATGTCTTTTACGATAGCACCAGCCTCTGATGTCTGGGTGAGAACATCGAGTGAATGGTCAACAACAGAAGGCAGTAAGCGAGCAGGATGGCCCAAACGAAGAATGGGAACCTTGTGAGGGGCTAGCCGCTCAACGATATTGTCAACAGAGATATTGGAAGGCCCGCAGACGAGGACTCTCTGGTTCAGCTTGATCATCTGGAGAATCAGCTCTATGAGAGTGTGAGTTTTGCCAGTCTAGATACGAGTCAGTAGGCGGGTGTCTAGAGACATGCGAGTTTAGGATACTCACTCCTGGAGGGCCGTGGATTAGAGCCACTTCCCGAGATGCGAGTGAAAATCGAATTGCATCTTTCTGTGACTCATTGAGTGTTGGGTCAAGCCACTCAAGGTTTCCCACGTCTTCATCTTTTGCCAAGTCTGCAGCAACTGGTGACGGGCTTGATAAGCCAAAGAGCACCCTGATGAAACTGGAGTATTCTGACTCGTTCATCTTGTGCAGTTTCTCCATCGTCCAGTTCATTCTGTCAAGGTGGACTGTTAGTAAGGCACATGCTCAAAATCTCATAGCCTTTACCTTTTATAGGTCACCTCGTCCGCCAACTTGACAGCCCATACCCTTCCTGTAAAGGCAATCTCTTCCTTTCCCTCGTCAATCGCGACAGCAACCCATCCTCTAGTCACCCTAGTAACAACTCCTCTGGCACCTTTCTTTTCCAGGTCTTTCACCTCACGCTTCTTGGCGCTACCTGCGGGCTGCTCAGCGACAAGCACGATGTCTCCCGTGCGTAGGCCATGCTCTGGTAACTCATCGGATGACCCTGTAGCGGCATCTGGAGAAAGTTCAAGAACTGTTCGGCCTCCGAGACCGGTGCGTTGGCCCGAGACAACGAGGTTTACAAGGGCAAGACCGGAGCGCTGAAGGGCCGTAGGGCTGTGGTTGGAGATGAGTGTGCTTGTCTCATTAATCTCGGTCTGGAGCTCTTGGTCTAAGAGAGCAAGCTGTGTGGTTGCAAATGTGGGAATGTCAACTAGCTCTATACTGGGAGTCATGTTGTTTATGTGCTTATGGGGATTCAGCGTGAAGGCCCGAATATTAGTGACGTCGAAGGTGTAAGTGTAAGAGTGAAAGAAAGGTGGGATTGTTTGGTGGGGAGCTTTAAGATGGACCCCGCCATCCCACTCTGAAGTCATAACTAATAGGTACAGTAGTCATGATGGGTAATGATGAATGTGTTCATGCAGACATTAAACGGGACGCTGCCAGGTAAAACTGATTTAAAGCTAAAGATAAACATATAGCCCTATTATAGTAAAGTTTCACAACAACAAATACTTCTGGTATTAAGTCATGATGCCAACTCCACACAAATGCGCCATATCCCATCTCTTAATAGCGAGCCATGAAGCTGCAACCCCAGCCCAGCCCATACACAATACAAGACGAAGGTCATATGAAGACCCAATCTCACGTCTTATGACAAGCCTAACCTACAACTCGTGCTCGGAAGGATGTATAGCGACTATCACAATCAAGGAGATAACCATAATCGCCAAAGCAACGAAAGCAACGATCATGATTGTGCCGCGGCTAGCAGGGAACTTGCCCTGTATGACCCAATGCTGAGATTGGAAATATCGGTTGTAACCAAGGAAGAGAATGAGGATGCTTATTCCTATGAAGGTGGTGCCCAATGGCTTGCCCATATGTCGTAGTGTCGCCGCATTCCGACTGGAATTCTTACCACCATCGTTGCCGCTTTCAAGAGATGTATTCAGGCGGAATAGTTGGGTCACTGCTACTCCTACAGAGAGGAAACTTAAGGATGTGCGAAGCCATGCTAGGAACGTGCGCTCTGGGACGGATTTAGTGAGAAATCTCCAAGTGGTCGGACGTGAAGCTTACCAATAGCGAGGTGATCACGGGCAACACTGCCTTTGTTCTCCAGCTCTATAGACTGGAACTTATCTGCCTGTCTTCTCCACCATGACCGAGTCTCATTCTCTGATTCGGCCTGGCGATTTGTCTCAGGATTCGGGACATTGCCATTGTCATTATTGTTGCTGTTTCGCAGGGAGGAGGGTCTTTGGCGCAAGCTTCGGGAGGATTGCTTGTGAGCGCCGGGCGCTGAGGTAGCGGTACTTGCAACGTTGAGCGAGTTGTAATTGAGAGGCGGCGTATGGGAGATGAAGCCTGTAGCCTCGTCGGCACTGCTATCTTCGTTGACCGGGCCCGGCTTAAGGGCCGAATTAGGTGGGAGAGCGGGACTGCCGGCGGCTGACGGGGAGCGATTGGTAGGAGAAACAGCAGCCATTGATTGAGCGCGTTCACGGGCGTTCTATTAAGAATCCCAGATTATCATTAGCTGTCGTTCAAGCCTCTTGGATTTTGAAGCGAGACAACAACCAGGAGACAGAGGAAAAGAAGGAAGGAAGAGGAGAAGGTAGGAGGAACAAGGGTTCAAGTGAGCACGCGATTCGATCTATCGGAAGCTACCTTGAATGGGCAGGGTATATGGATGGTCCGGTTCGTCTGCAGGTCCTTGTTCTCGAACGCCACAAGTGGACGGCCAAGATCTATAATCGGTTTGTAGGCCCAGCATAGTTTGGTGCTTTATATGAACGACAAGAGAGGATGAAGCGCCGTGGCAGCGCTCATGATGAGTAACTTCAAGGGGCCACCTGATGTAGGATATGGGAGTTCATAAAAGATTCAGCGACCAGCATAAAAAAGGCACCCACCTCTAATATCTCATTTATGCGTGCATTTGATGAAGACCTTCTTCCACTGCCTCCCATGTAGAAACCAGCAGCATTAGAAGGTCGCGCGGGGATGGTGGTATTGGCATTAGCATCTGCATTGCCATTGGCATCTGCCTCTGGAGCAGTTTCGGGCATCACGGGATTGGTGCAGGCTTATCGCAATCGTCGTGATAAGTAATCGATCGAGTGTGACTGTATTGAACAGTATAAACTCAACGGAGGATGGTATAGTATACAACGAGGATTGCGTGCCCAGGAAATGACGTTGCGATAAGGAAAACGGCAGTTTGAAGATGAAAGACAAGATAATGCGGGTTGATGTATGTTGGGACAAGCTTATTGGGCTACCTAGGTAGTTACCGTAGTACAGTGGGGTTGACGTTTGTGATGGCTGCTCCACCCCGCTGAGATGGCCTGGAATAGGTACCTAATGTCAGCTGGAACGCCTCACGCGCCTGTATGTATTTGTTTTTAATTGGTAGACACCAGACAGAGCCTAAAAATGTGTTTGACGAGACTTGTGATATAATGAATTATGTATGAATGTCTCAGTTGATAGAGCCCCGCGCTTTTTCGTACGACGGCGGATCCAAGTTGTATGACCTAGTCTACGGAGTGCTCTACTCGTACTTACAGATTGAACAGGCCCTATATCGTTTGTCTGACCGTTTCTGTCATATCGCAGCGTGAACAATCCCCAAAGCGAGGATATAGGTAAACCAATACTGCATGAATCTTGCCACTGCAGCTTAAGTGAACAACCCGGTGCTCTTTCATTCGTTGAATAAGTATACCTCGAAACATGTGAGGTCAAGTTGGCTTGGGCACGAGACACAGTAGAATCGAAGATCAAAGGCAACTCTTTTATCCAACCATAGACGCATTGACAAAATAACTATAAGGAATATCCGGACCCGTACGTTGCAACATATTCGTCATCCCCTCCCTGTAGGCTCATCCTCTATATAGGGTTTCCTTAAACTCTGAAGTCTTCTTGTTAATAAACCCCGGAACTTAATTATTTATGGTTCCAATTTCTGAACCGTTTTCCCCTTTAGGAAAACAATCTAGGGTTCAACTGGTTGCCCCACGTTTAATTCCGGCCGCACCTCTCTTATGACCGTGTAAGAGACGACGATAGCATCATGGATAGGCATTGATGTTGAGAAGATATGGCCTGGAGGAAGAAAAAGAAAATGTATAAATAGCTAGGATGGCCTCGTAGTATATTGCATTTTTATCAGACCGTCCTCATCAATTTACCATCATATCCTACTGCAACCAACTTTGTCCATACCCAGCAACGTTTCAAACAACCGACTACTTCAACGCTCATCATGTCTCACAACATCATGGGTAAACAAGTTGGCCCTATCGGCTTTGGACTCATGGGTAAGCCTCATCAAATTATACCACTTATCTAGTATATACTGACTGTTTCTTCAGGCTTGACCGCGCGCCCTCTCCCTGACGAGACTACCTTCGCCGCCATCCGCACCGCTCTCGATGCAGGCTGCAACTGGCTTAACGGCGCAGAATTCTACGGCCCTCCAGACGCAAACTCATTGGCCCTTATCCGTCGCTATCTCGAAAAGTACCCTGAAGATGCTGATCGTATTGTGCTCACCACCAAGGGAGGCTTGGGCCCCAACTACGCCCCTCTTGGTACCAAGGAGGGCACGCGCCAAAGCATCGACAACAGCCTTAAGACTCTGGGTCCGGTTGGTCGAATCGGATCGTTTGCAGTTGGTCGTAAGGATCCTAACGCTGACTATGAAGACGATACTCTCGCTACTATCAACCAATATGTCCAAGAGGGTAAGATTGACGGTATCTCATGCAGCGAGGTCAACGCCGATACGCTTCGCAGCGCAGCAAAAAAATTCAAGATCGTTGCACTTGAGACTGAACTGTCACTATTCACCACGGATATGTTGACGAACGGAGTGCTTGAGGCCTGCGGCGAGCTTGACATAGCTGTTCTTGCGTATTGTGAGTACCACACTCCCACCAGACTGCAAGAATCGTAGTGGCTAACAACCAACTCAGCACCTCTCGGAAGAGGCTTCCTCGGAGGGCAAATCAAGTCTGCTCAAGACCTCCCAGAAGACGATCTTCGTGTCAAATTCAATCCTCGCTGGCAAGGAGATAATCTTCAAAAGAACATCCAGCTCGTCAACGACGTCGAGGCCCTGGCAAAGAAGAAGGGCTGCACCGTAAGCCAAATAGCTATCAACTGGCTTTTATCTCTCTCTCGTCGCCCTGGAATGCCCAAGATCGTCCCCATCCCCGGATCTTCCAAGCCAGACCGCATTCGTAAGAACGCGACAATCATCCATCTTACAGATGAAGACCTGGCCGACATCGACAAATTGCTTGCCTCCTTCACGCCAGCCGGCGAACGATACCCCCCTCAGCATATGAAATACGTCAACGCTTAGTTGATGGCCAAGATACTCAGACCGTTTTGTGAGGAGAGGAGTAACAGCCTATATTGGCAGCATATATGTTTTTCAGACTACCTGCTTATACATGGCTCGCTCATAGCACGTGAATAAGCAAGATTGTTGTAAGACTATTCTCGTTTCATCGTTCATAAAATCATTAAATCATGATTCTTGCATGATAATTGTTTCAAATAGGCCCACGACGGTGACGCTCTGCCCATCATGTGACCATATGGACTGGCAAGGGATAAGGGCCACTTCAGAGTTGTCCCCAGTATTGTCCCATAAAGACTTAATCTCAGCAGCATCTGCATATACCAGAGACAACTTGCTGTGTGTTGTTTCAGGTCCGTGAGGGTGCAGTTGGCGGAAAGACTCCTGCATAACTTTGCGCATATCCGTCTTCAAGTCGTCAAGAGAATGACACTGAGACTTATCGGCACCAGCATATGCTGCTGTACTATATATGACTGTAGCACTGGCTGTTGTAACCACTGAATGCCAGATTCTCCAGCCTTGGATCCCAACTTCAGGCAAAAATGTCATCACAAGGCTAGCTTCTTCTACTCTTGAAAGCCCGTTGTGGGCGTGCCACTCTACTGCAGCTTGTCGAGGGAGCTCTTCAACTTCGGCAGCAAACATAGGTGGAATGCATGTCTCGGGCTCATTCTGTTGACGAAGAGTAAGTGCGTCCCAGTCAGGGATGACTTTTCGTGCTGCCTTATCATCATTGCCAAGTGACATATACGCGGGATTGTACTTTAAGTCCCAAAGATCCGGGCCGCCTTCGACCTCTTCGTCGTCGTCAGGAGATCCATGTGCTTGTTTCCAAGCGTATCCTGCCAGCTGAGCGTTGTGCTTGATCTCGTCCGAAGAGCTTGCCCGAGGAAAGTAAGCGACAGCGCTTGTCCACCACTGAACCTTCAGTTCTTGGCCAACACGCCAGAGATGTTGCAGGGACAAGACAACCTGAAGCTCATGCGAATTCTCAGACGGGGACGGGAGTAGCATCGTTGCTGGAATCAGGGGTATCTGGCCAGCAATAGAGACGCATCGAAGACCTGTAGCTTGGTTATGAGCTGTCACAGGTACGTCTATAGCCTGACTATAGGGGCCAATATTCGCAGGTGCCCAATATGAACGAGACTGAACATGAAGACCGTTACGTTCCTTCGTAGCATTGGACACCGGGGCTGTCAGATAGACAGCAATGTTCACACCAGCTGGCAGTAAGTCGCCACACGAGATGGTCACTCGAGATGGCGGGTTCGGCTTGGGGAATAGCTTGCCGTACTCGGCATTGACCTGAGGAAAGTCTGACATACGCCTTAGGACAATGATGGTACTTGTGATCTGAGAGAGCTGAATGCCAGCCTCAGACGCAAGGCCACTAATCTTCTCTACGACTTGAAGGGTTTCCTCCTGGATCGACCGTACACTGGTACTGAGATCTGGGAGAACGGACCATCGCTCAATTTCAACATCCGCAACCGAAGACCCTGCATCCCTGGGGAGTGGCGTCAGTTTGCTCGCAGCCACAGGAGTTTCTACAGCATTCAGCTTGCCTAGGGGCAATGGCAGATCGTCCAACACAGCCTTGAACTGCGGACCGAGGAGATCTGGTACCCGGACTGTTGGTTTGACTGCAGGATCTTGCTTGTCCTCCACCCTGGCACCAGCCAACAGAAGCCATGAGCAACCACCTCCTTCACGCACGATTCTACGTCCCTGGTCGGGGATGACAATCCTCTTTCTGAACACGGATGAAGGTCCATCCAGGACAAGCGTCTCGAACTCGCCACCCTCTCCTAGGGCTGCTGCGCCTTGAGTTGAGCCAAACTTGCGCAACGCGTTCTTGATGCGATTCGAGCCTTTCTCACTTGACACGCGTTCCCAGAGATAGTCCTCGTCTAGCCCAGCACTTGCAACCTTGATGATCCGTGCCTCTAGCTCAGCGTTGGCCATATCGATCAACAATTGGATGTCAGCGGAGGTGGCTGCGGATGGGGGTGGTAAGATCGGATACTGCCATAGGTAGGCCAATGGCACAAGGCCCAGTCTTAGTGCTATTGATTCAACACGGGTGCGCTGGTAGGTTGAGAGGATGGCACCGGCACAGACAGCATTGGCCTCCGGATGGCGAGCGACGATAGCCTGTAACAGGGGCAGCATGGACTCTGTCTCGTCACTGTCCTTGTCCTTGCCCTTGTCCTGACCACTAGCAGTGGCATCGTAGTCCCTCTCATGACGGACCGCACGTCCAGTGATGGGTAGCCGGTATAACGGCAGACCAGTTGCAGCGGCGTACAGGGGGAGGACTTCGTGCCCGACTGTTTGGTACATGAAGCTATTGAGGTCCGTGTCGGATGTTTCCCCTGAACCCTGGCCATCGTCTCCGTCTCCGTCTTTGGAGGACGGCTTGGGGGTCCAAGTATCCGTACTGGGATCAATATGCTGGAAACCCGCGAGATTGGCCTCTAGCTCGGTGCCGGTGGCGTCCTTCTCACGGAGCGGTGATTGCCCGTGTGGGATATCAATGGCTTGTAGGCCTGAGCTTGAGTCCAACGTCAAAGTCCCTGGTCCTGGCCCTGGGAAAAGATTTGCAAGAGCTACGATCCGGTGGCCGTGCTCGATACAGTGGATCAGACTGAAGAAGCTGTCTTTGCCTCCCGAGATGAGAGCAATGACATTGAGGCTTTCAGACGACATGGCTGATGTGACGACGAGTGACGATAGTTGCGTTTGCCCAAACAGACAGGGCTGGGCAGAGCAGCTAGCAGCTGGGAAATGGCGCCCCGATATGTTCTAGCAGCAAGTAAGTGACGATTCAGAACACGCATTAGAAGGCTGAGAGAAAAAGCCTCTCTCATACTTAAGATTAGGGCGGATATTTGGTGTGGTGTGGTTTGTGGTTTGTGGTTTAGTGTGGTGTAAGAGTAAGTATAGTAGACGTCGATAGCGTAGAGAGGTAGATTGATTCATTTGGTGGAATATGTTTTAGCTGGGTTTCTTTGTGGGGGCACGGCATAGGCTTTCAACCCCCAAATTGGCAACTCAAATGGGATGGACTGCTCGAAACATTTCATAGCCTTGCAGCCCGTGAGTCTAATGAATTAATTAATGAACTAGTTGATTACTTGATTAAGTTTCATCTTCGGTTGGCTGAACTAACATGAACAAAACTCAACACAGATCCTTGGCTGATCTAGCAAGCCTCATGAAGCAACATTTTTGCCGAGTACGTACTCTACCTACTCTACAAAGACTAGTCCAAGACTTTATTTTGTCTCCGGGGCCTCTTCCTGATCTCCCGGAAGCAAGCGACACCACTATGGATGACATCCCATCATTATCCTGTGCCGTGTAATTTCTCTGGCCCGTCTCCGAGCACATCTCAACTGAGGGTCCGGGTGAGTCGACCCGGGCTACGACGATCACCCGAGAGACACATGGAGCAGTTCAGGGTCTTGAGAGTAATTAGAGAGAGGACCCTTCTGGCTGACAATGCATGACCAAGGTGGGAGCGAGTGCGTGTTGGGTAAATGATCAGAGTCCATCAGGCACACGAGTAAGGTAGAGAGAAGCGCTACTCGTGGGCCTTCTTGGCCTTCAACGCCAACACCAACGCCAACACGGACAGCACAGACAGGGTCGTTGGTCCCTGAGCGTCCCCGGAGCCACACAAGATCGCCGATCTGCAGTCTTCACTTCTATTCTAGCCTCGGCTGAAATATCCGTCGAGAAGAGAGAAGAGCGGACTCTGGAGAGGTAGCCAACTAAACACTTCAACAGCATCTCCAATCGTGGAATCGTGGCTAAAGTATCTAACGCGTCAGTGGCTCACCAAGCGTTCGTAAAGTCCCTCAGATACTACCATCATGTCTTGGTAAAAAGAAAAGTAGTCAGATCCTTCAACTATCATCGGAGGATGGACATCCGTGAACACGACTCAGGTGTATAAGGCTGAGGCTGAAGGCTTGTCTTGCGTCCCAGCCATTGAGTCTATCAGGATGACACAGTAAAGCCACGAAGAACAGGTTTTTGTCAGTAAGTGGGAGATAGAGAAGTAGCACCGAATCAGTCACTTTTAAGAACAGTCACAAAGAATAGACTCAGAGTGTGCGGTGGCAATGTGTAAATTGTTGATCAATAGACCAAACTTCTAATGTATACATGTATTGTTGAGGATGAGCGTCTGTCATGATTGTGACCAGCACACTCTGTACTCGACATCTAACTCCAGCAACAGGCAAACGACAGACAAAGAATCAGAGTAAACACAAGAATATGGACAAGACAAAGGCACCTTCGTCTCCCATAGCTCTCAAGTGATACCGTCGCCCCGGCGAACTTTCAGTTCCAGCTTCCAGCCGCCCAGGTTGATTACAACGAGTGTAAGGACGGCGAACCGCCAATTTTTTTTATGGTAGTCGTCGTCGGCAAACTCATCCATCGCCTTCATTGAGAAGTGTGGATCTTCAAATGTTCCCAAAACCAAATAATTTTTTCCCCTTCGCGCCAGGTGTGTCCGTTAAAAAGTCGCCAAGAAGCCATGTTCAACCGGCTGTATGCGCGGTGAATGTTCGCGATGCATTGAGATTCTTGCAATAACAAGAAATCGAAATCAAATAACAAATATCCTCCCATAGTGTCGTCATGCGTAGCGAGGAGGCTGTGGATATTGTTGATACAGGTATAGTGACGATGTGTAAATGCATTCATTACCGCTTGCACTCTTTTGTAAGTGTTCCTTTTACCCAAATGGAAAATATTCCGTGACCCAAATGCCACCGTCAAAGTAGTACGGCTGGCCAAAGAAGAAGAAGGTCGTCAGCGTCGTATCGGGCGTGTGTCAAGACAATTGACTGCCTTGCTTGATCATGTTGGATGATGTATGACTGAGATGACGATTTAGTCTGAGCGCTTGCGCTTCTTCTTGCCATCATCACTACCCTCGTCTGAGGACAGCTCACTTGCACTGCCGGGAACCTCGGAAGCGATCTGGAACAAGACCTTGCCGTAATTGGTGTAATCATCTGCTGAGGTTGGAACCATTGAGCCGTCATACATGTGGGAGTCATCATCCATGAGGTTCATGACGATGGCACCACTTCCGTGAGTTCGGGCATGCTGAGCAAGGTTATCGCTGCGGGAGAATTTCTTGCCGCACTCGTTGCACTCGAAGGGCTTCTCCTGAGTGTGGAGAGAGCGGTAGTGGCGCTTAAGGTGTTCCTGGCGGCGGAATCGGCGGTTGCAAAGATCACAGACGAAGGTCTTGGAAGGATCCTCAGTAAGAGACTGCTTGCGCCCTCGGCGGTTGGCAGGAGCAGGAAGGGGAGCAGGGGAGCCCTCAGATCCGGAGGTGGCACCAGAATCGCTGGCATCAGCAGCCTGGTTGGAAGACTCCTGTGTGTTGCCGGACTCAGTAGCAGAAGCAGCAACGTTCATGATGGGGCCGGTGTGGTTTTCGTTGGCGTGGCTCTTCTTCACACGCTTATCGTGGTGGCAATCCTCAGAAGCACAGCTTGAGGGAGGGCTGGGGTGGGAAGGGAACTGGAAGGCCTCGTTCTCGTCAAAGGAAAGATCCTCGTCACCGATAAAGCTGCCGTGGCCAAGGGAGACAACTGAGGACCCAGTGCAAGCTCTGGGTCGGGTGACGTCAGCTGAGGCGGTGGCAGTCTGCTCAGTGAGGTTGACGAGGCTGTTGACAAAGTCGTCTTCAGACTCAAAGTCGGAAAAATCCTCAAAAGTGGGGAGGCTGTGAGGAATGGCAGGGTTGAAGTCAAAAGACGAAGCAGCAATCTTGGGCTCAACCTTGATCTCGTCGACACAGAACTCAGGGGCGAGAGTGGTGTTGATGGCACCAGTGCCAACTGTCAAGTTTCTTGGGTCACAGAAGTCAACATCCAAATCGGGAGTCGAGACAGATCGCGCATAGGGCGCAGGTGAGGGCGACAGAGACGGCGTGTTGCTAAGAGAGGAAGCGTTGCCGAGTTGAGATTGAAGGTACACTATTAATATGCAGTTAGCCTCTGTCAGGTAATCTTCAACTCGTAAATGCTCCACTGTTTGTGCTTGGACAGCGCACTGCAGGCCTGCGCCTCAGTGGGTGATTGGGTACAGAAAACGGTAGCCACAGCCAAGCCCAAAAATAGGCTCAAGCCCGAGCTTACGGCACAATACCATTGTGTAATCCAGTTGTTGGGTTCGAAACAGAAGGGAGCAAGTGCTGTGTGTACTTACCAGGTGTCATTGGGGGGGATCCACAGTTTGACCAGTCGAGCACGGCTGTTTCAACAGGCTCGAGGGCCTCCTTGAAACCGTCAATGCCATCAACACCATCAAGACCGGAGAACATTGGGTTCATGGGAGTCTGGAGCATCTCGCAGGCGCTGGGGCTGCCGATGGTGCTGCCGGAAGTGGACAGAGGCGGTGTTGAAGGGAAGTACGAGTTCTCGTATAGCTCGTTCTCCAGAAGAATGGCAGGCTTGTGCGACATAGGCTGAGGTGAGGCAGTAGGAGTCATGACGGCGGGACCATTGCTGTAGAGAGTAGGAAGCTGAGAGTTGCTGGCTGAGCTAGGTCGGGAGTAGACGGGAGTTGAAGGCAGCGTAGGGACCATGGGATACATGTGCATTTGTTGTTGAGTGAAGTGTTGTCGCATCTCATGCTTGGACTCTGGGTTGTAGAAATAGAAAGGAGCTTGGCCAATGGCCTGGGGCATCATTGTGGAATCCATTTCTATGTAAGAGCGTCATGTTAGCCACATATATATCGGTTGGTATTTGTAAGATTCCACAAACCTTTAAAGTTGGCTCCGGTGTTGGTGGGTTTAAATATTAATTGGTGTTGGTGTATGGCTTGCTTTGGCTTGTAGTCGGCCTAAGGATAGTAATGGTGTTCCGGTTCTTTTGTGGTGTTCCAAAGAGTGGACGACGAGTGTTGGACTCGGGATATTAGATGCGTTGGGTTGGGGATATTCTAGTTGTACATGAAAAGTCTCAAGTCAAGTTGAAGCAAGAGCAAGAGAGGTTTATCAAGTAGATCGAGAGTGCCGCAAGTGGTTGTTATAATGAATGTGAGGGACTCTCGAGGAACGAGGATATCCAGCAAATAAGAACGATTCACAAAGGAAGGAAGAACCTGGCATAAAAGAGAAGAAAGTATTACACGGGTCCGTTGGCGATCATACCTTTCGATGAAGAGAGAAACGAAAGATGAACAAGCACGGGGACCGTGGAGTGATAAGTACTGACGACGAGGTCTGGCGTATTCACACCAAAGGTGCTCGATAGGCAGTTGGAAAACCCTCCATGTCGTGTCTCACTCAACCAAGCCAGGGTCAGGGAGCTGTGGATCAATGATCCACCACTACATCCCATTATCTGGATCCACCACCCTCACTCTTTGGCCCTGTAACTCACAATCTACACACGCCCACGCACGCCCTCCATAGCCCGGCAGCGGACCAGACGGCAGACTGCCCCCGGACCCCTGCTGCTCAAGTACCCAAGTCATGTCTGGGGCAAGGGAAACAACAGGTGCGGGCCTGGGCGTCCCTGGTCTTTTTCATGTTTAAGCCCATGGATCAGTACGAGCCATGTCCATCCACACCACTCTATGGCGCAGCCACTGTGCTTTTCTAATTCTGGACGGTATCGGCTGGGAACCTCGAGCCTATCCGTCGCCGGATGGCCCGCCGCGGTATGAGAGTAGCCCCCGAAGCCTATCCAGACCGTACCAATGCAACGACCCATGTCCCGACTGAATAGAGAGCTCGGCCATAAAGTAGTGGATAAGGATTGATGGAGGATGGCACCAAGAGCCAAAAGCTCGCAATAGAGGGTCCTTGATCGCTTGTGCAAGACCTGTGCGAGTGTGCACAAGTTCCATGTCTCGCGCTTTGTCTCTTTTTGTGTCGTCTATCATTTTCCTCTTTTCTTTTGTTGGTTGGTTTGTGTACGCGCGTGGTGAGTGATATGTTATGTGTGTGTGCTCATCACCCACTCAATCCGACATTTTTCAGCCAAGCATAGCACAATATGTCGCCCATCGGTTCATGTAAATTAGATGCCCGACGAATGCCACAGCCGCCTTTGGTGATGAGCACATCTAAATGCACATTTTCCCCATCCCTTATCCCTTCCATTCGCTTGCACGGCTCTCCGCTGTGTGCTTGTCCTCTTGTCACCAACCAGTGGGGTTCTCCAGATGCCAGACGCGCTGCAAGTTATGCAATGACCCTAACCAAGGCGCGGTATGGTGCAATGCCACTCGCCATCAGCGGCCTCCCTCTCTTCAGGTGGCACGCAAAGCGCAAACCGCGTCACAAGGGCTGCATAATCCCGCACACTGATAGGGTGACGCCTTGGCGAGTCGCTGTGCATCGACGTGCATTGGTTTCGCCGCGCCGCTGTAACAGAAAAATAAATAACTTATCCGCTAAGAATAATGAAGACTGGGCACGTCCAGAATGGATCCTGACCGTGCACAACTCCAAAACTGTCCACTCGGAATTGTGTTGTGCACCTCCTCTCGACCATTATGTCGACGGCGCCGACATGCACGCTTCCATTCGTCGGGTTATGTCGTGTCACATCCACCCGATGCATCGTCGGACGTGCTATGCAAGGTACAGGCGACAATGCTTCATTCGAAGTCCTGTTAGGCTCGTTGATCACCTCGAAGCGGGCTGTGGAGCGCTCCTCGACGTCACCTATTCTATCCCATCACGACAGCCGTCATTGCATCGCGGACCAAGCTGGAGGGAGCCTGTGATGATGGTGGATTGCTTTGGCCTGTGGTTGGACATGAAGCTTGTAATAACGGATGCAGATATGGAACGGGAGACTTGTTTGGTGGAACGCTTGCTCAATCATAGTTAAACATAGCTGCGAGTTGAAACAACGAGCGGAAACCAGAAGCTCGATGACACAATAGCCCTTCGTGTACGTACGATCAATGTTTGGCCGGGTTGGTTCGTTGGGTGGGCTTTCTTCTTTGTCCAACACCAACCGATATAATCTGGTAAGCCAAACTTGGTCTGATTGCCCGTCGAGTTCTTGATTGCTTCTTTTTTTTCCGAGCTTGCTTTGCTTGTCTGCATGTGGCCTATCAGTTCGCATGTTTTGCTTGACTCGCATCATGCACCAAGATGCTGCGATGGACCGTGTCAGCCTGCCTGGCCTGCCCAAGAACCATACTCGAGTCAAGTTGTTCAGTGCGTAGGTAGCTACTACGTAGATTTAGGAAGTCGGGGGATCGTAGCATTCGTGGATCACAATACCAGACTTAAAAGCGGATATCGTGCTGTAGTCATGGTCATGGTTATGGTCTCAGCTTAACTGGAGGCTAAGATAGGTAGGTTGAAGAATAGACACTGACAAGCAATTGCCATGTGGGCCACCAAGATGATCAACAATGTCACCAAAAATATTGCCATTGCCCAGAATAGGGCAGGTACGAAGACACAGCCCCATGGTGGGAAGAGAATTAATTTTATGCGGCAAGCCCGGGTTCGCTCTCTGACGTTAGCGGACGTTAGCGGACGTCTCAAGGTCGGTGCATAAAACTGGACGGGACGGAGCGCCAACGGCACCTACCAGGTTTGGGTAAGCCTCTGAGCCATCGACGCGTTAGTGCGAGGTCATGGATAAAAACACAGCAACTAATGTAACTTAGTATCTCGTACCTGAGCCCGAGCTGAGCTGAGCTTACCTCACCTATTATCTGTAACACAAACATTGACATATGATGCTGATCCATCATTTGTTAGCTAGCATGTGGGCGCTGCGCTGCACTCCAGTTGTGGATGAAGGTAGCGGACGATCTATTGCGTCTGGCGTATGTGTGCCCTGACGATGCGCGAGCTGCATTGCGTAAGTGCAATGTCGTTCAGGTACCAACAGGACGCTGAGCAACGTTAGCTGCAGTGTCCAGCCTTTTTTTTGCCCGTGATAAGGCATCACTGGCGGAGGCGTTGGACCGTTTAGGACGTTTGACTGAAACCTTGAGCTTGACTTTTCTCCATAACGTGAATTTGGCAGGGTTGAACAGCGTTGCTTCAGTCATGCGATCGTCTATTGCAAACTTCACCTTAGGTAAGTGCTATCTGCCTTCCCTGAGGATCAGCCGATAAGGCAATTTTGTTCCTTCCAAATAAAGGCAAGAGCGACCCGGCTAGGCGTCCCTGCTAGTGATAGGCTGTCAGATTGCCAGAGGGTCCAAAGGAAGACGAGACGACTTCTAAATGTAACGTCAGAATAATCCAATCCGAATCAATCCTGCGACTGTCCCAGGATATGACCCCAGCAACTTCGCCTAACATCTATCCCCGAAGGCCTGAAAGCGACCATCGACACTCCGGCCCTCGACCCGGCCAATCGTCGAAGATCTTGGGTCCCTTCTAGGGAAGGTCCTGCGCGATCGAGCCTTGGCTCCTTGCTTTTTCCCGCCTGGCCTGGGCGTTCAGATGCGCCTGTTCGCTGACTGCACCGCGCTGGGTTGCCTCTGACTCTTTCTTGTCTCTACTGACTATCCGTACTCTACTCCGAAAAGCTCAAAGTTCGCCGCTGGCCCGCCTTCGGCTCTTCATCATACTCCATTATCCAGGGTCACAGAGCCACTTGAGCTCTAAATCCGCCACAAAATCAGCTTCCCTAGCCTCTATCGGCGCACCGAGAAGCCAGTGCATCAACCGTGGTGCAACGGCGCCACTCTACACCAGACTATGGAGTAGTTACTGGCCAACACGCCGAGTCAAGCAACTTAGTATTATCAACATCCCCAGGCAACTTGATACCATCCATAAAAACGCTTCTCGGCTTCAACCCCGCCCTCAGAACGAAGTCCCAATACCCAAAATTGGCTAGCTAAGATCGGGGCCTTTCTGTTCCAGCTCGCTGGATAGTTCGTCTCACCACTGCAATACACCCACAACGAGTCAGATCAGTTAGGCCACATGGTGAAAACTACCTGCTCAGATCGAGATCTACACTAATTAACACAGACGGTTCCAGGACGACGTTCCGGAACGCACCATGCTTCGATTCCCTGCTTCGACCCCAAGCCACTGTCATCCCAACTCTAGACTCCTCTTCAGGGTCCGCTCATGGTCTATATTGACAGCATCCGCGCGAATATCGCCTCGTCCCGCAACCCTTTGTGACTTCAAATGGCTCCAATCCATCTTAGATCATGATAGCCCTCAACGGGAGGCCGGGACCAGGGTATTTTCTCTCATGGGACGCTGTTGGAGTGGATGGATCTCGCCTGCGATATCTGGATATTTCCCATCGCAATTGACATATTGAAAAGGTAACCGACCAGTAATTTGGTTATTTTACGGTAGACAGGCAGCAATTACAATTAACCGATCATAAGTTATTAGGTACAGGCGTGGTTCCCCAATACTCTGGAGCCGGCTCGGAATGGAGATGTCACCAAAGAGATAGGCACCCCCAAACGGAGCACTTCCAGGTTGCTCATATCAAGTTCGAAGGCCGAATGTTGACACGGAACCCTGCGGTTTATGCCCGCCCCAAAGGCCAGCCTCAATATTGGTTGCGCTCGGAAGCTTAACGTTCCAGAAGGTCCCAAACCCTCGGCGCGGAACCTCCAATTGTCAAACTTACACAACGGGTGAAACACTCTGGCATTGGGTCCTACCTCGACTCATGTACTCTGACGCACGCTCAGTCTTGGCGTTGTCGAAACTACAGCATGACC